CAAATTCAATAGAACAGTTGTTATTTTTATGGAGGGGCCGCGGCGGCGTCGGCGGACATACACCGCAACACAATGTTTGCAAAACGCTTTTTTTCCTTCTTCTTTAAAATCTTAAACTATGACGAAATGAAGTGGAAGTGCTATTAATCAATGGCGATTGGCCCCGCGATCCCTAGCGGCTAATTGGTTTCTTCTTCTGACCCAAATTCCACGAACGCGTTTCGAGAGGAGCAACAAAAACGCACATCGCGATACACATACACAACAATAATAACCGACACCTGCTTTTGCAGCTTCTTCTCTGCTTCTGCAACTTCTATACTACTACAATCGGCTGTAGGACAGGAAGACGCCAATTTTTAATTCATTGGGGCAATTAAATGCGAGCGCCTTCGCCCCCCCCCCCAAAACGAAAAAATATCCGATTCTCGGAGCTAATCCAGATCTTGCACAGCTTGACACCCCTTTTCCTGCACAACAACAACAACAACAAAAATGTCTCCAAACAAATTTCTTCTCAAAAATTCGCCTAACGCTGCCTTCTTTAAGAGGACACGGTCGGGTCGAGTCACCGCTTCAAAAATAAACACGATTCAAGTCACATGGCCCAAATCAAACAAAATCGACTCGCTCCGAACAGTTTCCAAAATCAGGACGAATCATCGAGCAAAACCCAACTGCACGAGGCGGTTAGATTGAAAAATCATACTCGACGATAAATTAGTGCGCCTATATGTGTGTGGGTGGGATCACAGTAATTTTCTATTTGAATTTCTAAGACCGATTTCCGTATGACTTTAGAAAATCAAGAAAGTGGTAAACTCATCTGAAAAATAAACCAAATGTCAAATTGAGAATGGCCCACGTAAATCTACAGCAGTCGCCAGACGCCGTCTATACTAGATGGCCAAAATGATGACGCGTTTATTCCATTCAAAACGATTTAATGCAAACATTCTGCCTTTTTTTGATTTCCAATCATGACGACAAAGCGCGCGTGTCCGTAGAGATCATGGACATTTGAGAACAATGGCGGGTTGAAGCACCAACCAACCAAAAAAAAACGCGCGGAAATGCACTCGTCCCACGCGAACATAAACACAAAACAAAATTCGAGAAGCACAAAAGCACGTGCGTGCACACACACACACACACACACACACACAAAAAATGACGTGTGCGCGAATTTCTTTCTCGTTTTTTTTGCGAACCAAAAGAACATGGAATCATCGTCGCTTCGGTTTCCCACAACAATTTGTGTGTTTTGTTTCAGAAAGGTCCCTCCCCAGCGAATAATCGCCACAAATGCCATTAGGCGTAATCGAGAAAAGAAAGAAAATGGCAATCGGCTCTCGCGCTTAAGTGTTTTTGAACTACGCAATATAGGGGCGAAATTGAAAACGAGACGCGATGCGCACAAAAAGAAGAAAAAGAAGAAGAAAGAGCATTACGAGTATGAATGCACTTTTAAATGTCGTTTCGAACATCTTTTGAGATTGAACCAATTTCAGTGTCTAGTCGGCAAGAATTGGAGGCAATTTCTTGCGCCCAAAAATTCTTTAATGTTCCGTTTAAAAATGTGTGTCTCTTATCTCGCGAGAAAAATAACCAATTGCAAAAAGAAAATTGCAAAATCCAGCTCTTATCTAGTTCGCGTTCGGTTTTTGCCATAATCCAAAAAAAAAACATTGCAGACTCCTCCATCTACAGTAATCATCCAAAATCCATTATTAATTCTCTAGGCAAAATGAAAAAAAAAAAACAAACCGACCCACATGATATCTAGCATTATTCAAGTCGATTTGGCATCGCGCCAGACGAAAACGACGCATTTTGATTTACGCGCTCATTTTTCACAAAAACCGCGAAATAGAAGAGGTCACGGAAAACCGAATCCAGATGTGATGATGCGAAATGAGTCATGTGAGGACGACGACGACGACAACGACGAGACGGGTGCCACTAGTACAATGCAATTGCGACGTTGCGGGGGTTTTTATGAAACAACTGGAACGGAATGCAAACAAACACATATAAACAAATAAATAAAATGAGAAAAATTTTGTTGGGGGAAACCCTTGAACCTAACTAGATGAGGTCTAATTGCTAGTCAAGGTCGCGCTTAAAAAAACCAAAAGCGGTGCTTCGACAAAGAGTCGCATGACCGTCCACCTGCCGTCGTCGCAACTTGAATTTGCTGCAGGTATTTGTAGCCTCACATTAACATTAAAATGAATGAGTGTGCGTCTGGTTTCAGGTCCGCCCCGACAGAAAGAAAAAGATAACATGGCGCCAATTCGCCGTGCTTGAAATATGCACACGCTCATCAAGGTGACGTGTGCAGGTGACTAGAATGAGTATTTTTTGGTGATAAGTAGTTTTCAGAAGAATGCACTGTTCCAATGTGCAAAAAGAGCAAAAAGCGCTGTTGGGCGTGCGCGCGCGCGCGATCGAGAGATCCAGCAGCAGTTCAAACATAGGCTCAGTGTTTGAGATTCTCCCCATGACGTCCATGGCCGAAGCGCGTGGGATGTCAAAAAATTGCAAAATCGCCGCCGCGCCGCCGCCGTCGCACACAAAAAGAGCAGCAAACCAAGCGATTTGCAAAAAAAAAGTGCACACTTCTATGCGAGTCGACGGTACGCGGAAAAACGCAACAACAACAACGCACAAACAGTCTAAATTTAGCGATGTCAATATATATATATATATATATATATATACGCAACATTGACGCAATACTCGGCGAATCGTGACGCGCGGACTCATTGCCGCCAATTTTAGCCTCAGCTACAGTAACACGGCGAAACGGAACAAGAAGAAAAACTATGTGAAGCAAGGCACCAACAAAAAAAGCTCGAATTTATACAGTTTTGTTTTTTTTTTTCCTTGAGTGGGCGTCTCGTTTTTCTTCCATTTCGATGGCAAATTCAAATGGGCGAGATTGAAGGCGTTTAATGCCCAAATAAAACGGGGCTATTAAAATCGAAACGAACGACCAAAGTTTACTATGGGAAATTGTGACGTGAGCGACGGCGAGCGATAATTCAACAACCATCGCTGGGTAGATTTACGGCGAATTGCGGCAAATGCGCTCTAGCGTTTCGGCAACCTCAACGTTTCTCGTCTGCATGGCAAAAATTCTAGTCAGAAAATTCATTTTTTTTTTTGCAAAATTTTTGGATGACAAATTGAAAATCACATGGGGTTTTCGGCCGGAAAAGAGTTACACGTGACTGAAGGCAACGCGTCATACTGTGTGCAACGACGAGAAGCACACACATATCTCAAAATTACGCTCACCGACGAAGGCAGAAGAGAACATTGTGTGACGAGCTTCCGATGAAACCCCACCCCCCCCCCCCCCAAGAATATTGCGAGAAAGACCTTCCGATGCTCAAGTATTGTTTCAATCTTCATTTCAAGACCACCAATTTCCAACAAAATTCAAGTTTACGACCACCGAAATGAGTTCATCGACCACCATGTCTGACCGTCTTTTTGTTCCATAGTTCGTTCCGTTCATCCACAAAAATAAGGGGAAGAAGGGATTCCCCCAAAACAGCGGTGGTGTTATCAAGACGTCGCCGCAAAACCAAAATTGATAAAAACGGAAGCTGCTGACGGCGGGTGAGCGCGCGCGGGAAAATGTTGCCGAATGATTGTTTCAACAATCAAACAATCAACGTATTAATCACATGCACGTCGTCGCCGCCGATTGCATCGCATTGAAAAAAGCTGACACCATCGAAGACCATACGTACGAGACATCTGGCAATGCGCCAATCATATGAAACACGCGTGATGCGAGCGAGCGTCGAGACACCCATACCGCCAGTGATGATTAATCGGTGTCGCATTCGATTACTATATAATTGTAGTAGTGCAGTGTACATACATATACATATATCAATAACACGCCTCAGCTGATTGGGCAGGTTTGTTTTTGCATGGGACATCACACACACTCCTCATATGACCTTCTTCATTGAACGTTCATTATAAAAACGATTCGATCGGAATTTGATTACGTACAAATCGAAAGATCGAAAAAAAAATCTTGTCAACACTAATGCAAGAAATTTTTGCTGATTCAGCAAATATTCGCAACATTTATATTACAAAAATAAAATGTTGCAATCGTCAACATTGATCGAAAAATTCGGCTCTCATAAATGAAAGAGAGAGAGAGAGAGAGATGGGGGTCACCGACAGCTTTTCAAAACCAGGCAATAATTCTCTTAGAAGGAAGTGATACCATTATACTTCTTCATATCAAAACTTCCTTTCGAAAAGAAATAAAAACTTGCTTTTGCCCCCCCCCCCCCGCCATCGTTCTGAAATGGGAAAGGAATTGAGGAAGGAAGAATCTCGCATTCTTCATAAATCACACTGACGACTAATCGCGTCTTCGTATTTCGATGATGATGATGTCCCATATATTTGAGGAACTGTCTAATATACGGGGATTGAACTTGAACGACACCTCAAATCCATTCTTTTTGTGATGCCAGGCATCGTTGAAAATAATCCGATTAAAAATGCAGGGTGTTGATGAATGAATATCACTAGAATACTCCGAAAAAAGCTACAAACTATCCCTCTATAGCTAGAATTATACGATAGCCATTTTTAGTGTCATATTTCACCATTTTTTTTATGTGATTGGGTAGAAATGACAAAATTTTATGTGATTGCGTGGAAACGACAAACTCGACTTTTTTTTCTGCAACCCCATGAATTGAATCCATATTCTAAAAAGCTTTAACTACGTTGGATGTCGACATTTCTCTCAATCGTTATACTAATAGTATTCAATTTCCGGTCATTTAACCAAATAAATGTATACTACTACCACATGGAAAGATCACGAACATGTCGTTGACATCACCGTGATTTATTTAATCAGGCCGACCTATTTACAGAACCGCATATTGTAGTTGGTTGCCAACGCATATTGCCAATGTAACCAATTTCGATTATAGGGATTGCTCATCTAGATGGTCTCATGTAACTCTTATCTTCGAACCATAACAACCCTAACCATGTGTGTCTATTTCTACCCTAAAGTGCAAATAATGCATGTGGGGAACGGAAGGATGATTTTTTTCCTAGTGTCATAGGAGAAAAGATAGCAAATTTAAGAGAACGAGAAGAGTCACTGGGCTACAGACCACGAAAATTTTCGGGAAACAAGGTTTTAAAAAATAAAAATAAAATATCAAAAATAAAAAAGAAATATTTTTTTAATTCGACTATTGATCGTTTTTAAAACAAATCCCACTGATTTTCAAAACGAATTTGATGAATGATTCGAAAACGCTGGAAAGTTCTAGACATTCTATGATCTAGACGAACTTTTGATATTAAACGAAACAATTGAGAAAGTTCCCCAATTCTAGAGAGCATCAAAATATTGCTCATTTCTACAAGTAAAATTGAACAATCGTGGTTCAAAGTAGATTCTTGAAACGCATCTCTAATTGCCCAATAACTATTGCAGGAGATCACTATCTCAATTGAACACATTGAACTTGAGCGATGGGTGTTTCATTGATACGTGCACGATCCATTCTTACTAGGTGTAAAGAGATGCGCATAAATCAAATCATACCAATAGGAAGTCGTTATTATGAAGAGGAAGTAGATTCGAAGAGCGAATCAGTTCGAGTTATCTACGCACGACCTTGAGAATAGTAACCGAGAAATTTTGTCGCATGGGCAATAAAAAATAAATAAAAAATAAACGACTTACATTCCAAGAAAATTGGGAGCAGAAGTTGGCAGCTTGAACGTGAATCTGAAAAAAAATACAATTAAGAAATAACGAATTTTGAAAGTTCAATTATCCGATAGACATAGTGAACGATGAAACCAATTTACGCATAAAGATTAAAGGGAATACAGTCTGGATTAACTATTGCAATGAATCATTTTGAAATACATGTAATATATGCTATGATTCGTCTACTACATATTAAACGAATTCTTTTTATAATAGTGAGTTTTGTTTCTTTGGAAAACACATGGAAATGATGGGAAACGGCGGGTTTAAATATGCAGAGTCAAATCATCATTTTCAGATTATTCCAGTATTCGGATGTTTCGTTTGTTTCGTCATTCTTCCCAACATCGCATCATTCAACATCAGTGAACGCGACGTCGAGAAAATAGTAGAACGACAGACGCATCTGCTTGAAAATTCATGCAAATTTCTGTGGACTGATCCATTCGATTCGACTTTGAAAGTGAGTTCGGAATTCTGATTGCTCCTTGAGTTTTTTTGGGTCATTCGTTGATTTATAATCTATGCTATTCGGTTTCCATTGTTTGAATTATGCCTTCCGTGTGGTTTACGATATCAATAACGCTATGCAAATGCGTATTGAAGTGTTGCCAAGTGGTTTCAAGCGGAAGCGGCGACACACTTTTACAGGCGTCATTGGAGGAATTTAAATGATAATTATAGCGCTGTGCAGATTTTGAAAAAAAAAACCAAAAAAATTGGTCTTAAATTTTAAAAATAATTTTTGTAAAATGCAGAAAAGTAAACTTTAAAAACCTCGACCGCGTCCATGAATTTCGAGCTCTACCGAATCACAATATTCATGATATCGCTGCAAAACCCAAAAAATATTAATTCTAGGCGACTATAGTCGTTTTTCAAATATTTTACGAGGTTTTACTGTTTTTTTTTTCTAAAATATGTACTTTCAAGAATTTTCAGAATCCTTCGATTGATCTATGATTTATGCTATTCGATTTCTAGCGTATGAATAATACTATCAGTGTGGTCTATACTATCAAAAACGTATGCAAATATTGGAGTATTGCCAAAGTGATTTTATGCGGACACGGCTGCTAAAGTGCCATCGTAGAAAACGGACAAGAAATAATTAGAAATAAAAATCGAGACTTCGCGAGATTTTCGGTTCTAAATATCAAACTACTGCCATGAAAAACATGTTTACATCGAATGTTCTTGAAATATTTTTCAGATCTTTGAGCTTGTTTTAAATTTTTCAAAGAAGCCTTTTATTTCTAGTGATTTGAATTTGCACAAACCTGGATTAAAATCTTTTATGATTTCCGATTTTGCACATTTCAACGCGTGAATTTGAATGTGTTCTTTGTCTAAATATGAAAACAACAAAAAAATTAAAAATCGAAAAAAATCTGAAAATAAATGAAATCACGCGAACGCTGAAAATGTGCATTCTGCGCAAACTTGCCACGGTGTTTACGGACTGCACGCATTGGCTGGCGAATTTCAAATATTGCTCTAATTTCTTTAGATTTTCTAAATTTTTCTTTATTTCAACATAAATGAAAATAAAGCTAATTTTTTACAGAAATATCTGCGATACCCCAAAAAAGTTTCTTGTACAAGCAAAAATACTCATTTATTTGATATTATCGAAGAAACTGGAGAATTTGTTTACAAATCAAACAAAACTGTAAATTGTACAGTTGAAGAGTTAACTGGAAGCCTGAGACCGAACGCTGCTTCTTTTTATGTTTCTCGAAAGGATCAGGTACCTATTTAGCTGGACTATTTAAGGTGTGTACTCATATTTTCAGTTCGCACCCGAAAATGACCAATACTTTTGGATAAATGCTGATAATTTCTTATTATCCTGTTTCGACAACTCCGTTCTCGTTTATGAGCAACCATTCACTGGATTCAAACACGCCGACATCGAACGCTTGGTGATAAAAGGCTAGCTATTTGCATACCGTATTCAAACTAATGATACGGTTGTTTTAGGGCGCCTAATTGCCGAATATGATGCAAACCTTTGGAACAAAGGCGCGTATTCATTATCAATATTAGTATTAGATTCGACATCGAGAGCACAATTCTTGCGGCATCTGACAAAGACAACAAGACTAATGAAACAGATGGGGGCCGTTGTGTTCGAAGCATACAATAAGGTACAGTAATATGCAGCACAGAGGGCGATCACTAAAACAAACTGCCAAAATAACACATTTCTAAAGAACTGTAAAAATAAGTTAGGGGGTTAGCACAACAATTTGGAATGTTGCTATTGTTGAGGGAGACCAGCTATCATATAGAACATTCCACACATTTCTCAAACGGTCAAAGGAACTTCTACTGAGAAATCAAGACTTTTTCTAGTTTTTACGTTTCATAGTTTGGATGACTGCATTTAGGTTTGAAACTAAAATAAGCTTAACCAAACATATATATATATATATATATATATATATATATATATATATATATATATATGTTTGTATATATATATATATATATATATATATATATATATATATATATATATATATATATATACATATCGCTAAATTAAAATAGCTTGGTGAAATTTAGCTTTATTCGCTTGAATGATATATGACTCAGCTTTATGCGCAATTTTTAAACATTTGATACTTAAACACACATTTGACGTATTCATTTTCCAAATAAGGTCTTCTGTTAAAAACGCCCCCGACAATAGCAACATTTACATTTCAAGGTTGGCGACAATAGCGCTGTCAACATGCTACCGGTTCTCGCGAGCGAGCTCAAAGAATCAAAAGATATGACGATGTTTGATTCGAGCGGAGACGTCAATATTCAAAAGATTCTGCCGTCGACGCGACAAATCGATCCCGATGACATTGATTTTATCTGGAAGTCACTTCCTGACAATTATGTAACATCCTTCAATGATGACATAATGCACACTCATCGTGGTCTTTTTCACTATCCTCCAAATGCATTCGAAATGGGTAAAGAAAAAATGAGAAGGGACTCGACAATGGCAATTTTCCTATTGAAGGCTTCAAAGAAAAACCGACTCGTCATTATTTCCGGCCGTTTTATGTATATATCTACAAAAAACTCAAAGACGTGGCGAGAAAATGCGCATATGGTCGTTTATTAGCTGATATGTTCATCGAGCCTTGGGTTCGTTTCGAGAACATTTTCGCCGAAATCCCACATTTCAGCTTAAACTTTATTTCGAGGTTTGATATGCGTAATATAATTAAAATTATGGACATTTTAGTTTAACACATGATGATCCGAATAGCTTGAATTTGCTCGATAACGATCTCCACAGGAAATTGTCAATTTTAAACGTAATTGCGTTTCAGATAAAAAAATTCAATGATTTTTTAAAGGATAATCAACGCCTAAATTCGACATTTTTAGTCATAATGGGCGATCATGGCAATCGGATTCATGCAATGAGTCGATATTCGTTTGCGGGAAGAGCTGGTTTTCGAGGGCAACATTAAAACTCTAAAATCATTTTTTTTTTCAGAAGAACGCTCTCCGATGCTTGCGATTATTCCACCATCCAGTTTTATAGAAAAATTCCCAAATAAAATGCTCAATTTATATTCGAATGCACAAAGATTTGTCAGGCAAGCGCGAATCGAAGAAACTGGTTGAATAAATGATTTTCAGCAATTATGATCTTCATGAGACCCTTCTCGAAATTCTCAATCTTCCAAGCAACCCGAGCACTGCAAGAGGTCTTTTTTTTCGTTCGAATACAAGCTTATCTGACATTCTTATTTAAGGCAAAAGCCTATTTCGGCTTCAAGATACCTTTAAATCGTGTCAAGACAACAATATTGTTAGCAATTTTTGTATGTGCATGGTTGACGCGAAAGAAGACACATTAAGTTTCTTTTATATATTTCTATTGCATAAAAGGAGCACTCTGAATAATTGTGGACTATAGTAATATACATGGCGGAAAGTCAAATTTGAATTTCGTACTTTGGATAATCTGCAATCTTCACAGGGTGCTCGTTTTTTGTTGTGATTAAAATATACGCTCTTAATAATACTTCGTTTCAGAACCAATTCATCAAGAAAATTTGACATCGACATTCAATTCTTATATTCTCTCGCAGTATTTAACGTGTTTCGATCAAAACTCGGCAAAATGTGATGCCTATGTAAGGAAATAATTATGTAAGATTAAAAAAAAAAGAAAATTCTTGTTTAGGACGATCTCGTAATGCCGAATAATTACGTTCAAATTGGGACTCGTGTGAAAGTCAGCGACAATGAAGTCAAACGGAGAAAGAAAAAAGCTTCAGAGGTTTCAAATAATTGAATTTCGCCCGTATCTACGAAATTTAGATAATTTTCGCATATTCAAACTGTCATTTATTCACAAAATCGCAGCTCAATGTAACAATGCGGGTCCAATTTCGGATTCATCAAAAGAAAAATGAGACGCGGATTGTGTTCCCGCCAAAAATCGAATTGCCTCATCGATTATTCAATACCTCAAACTCGTGCTTTTTCTATTCATTTCCACGAGAATTTTGCGAGTGTATAAATGCTCAAACATAAATTTTATAGGTCTAAAATTTTCACAACGTATTCAAATTGATTTTTAAGGGCATTTGAATACCCATTTATTAATTCCAGACGCTTTTCGCAGCACGTGTTTCTTTTCTTAAAATGAAAAACTTGAAGAAGTGACCCGTTGTGCGCATCGGTTGTGTAGTCGTCTTGGATTACCCGGCTAGTATGATGAATACCCTAGAATCGATCATCATCAAAATTGTTTAAAAAAAAAACTCCCACTCTCCCCCTCATTTACCTGTTCAAAAACCATTTCTGGTCGAACCACACATTTCGTATATCGCGTTTCTAAATTGCTCGACCCTTGACTATTATGAAGTGTAATTGGTGGATTAGTATTTCTGGAAATTTTTCAATTTCAACAATTTTTCACTATTAAAGCTTACTCGAGATTTATTAAATTGGCTGCAACCCGTTGAGAACCCGATGAAGTGTTCACGAACAAAAGGTTGAGTGTCTCCATCATCGACATATTTGACATCGGCACGAAGAACTCGTCAATGTCATTGAAGAATGTGTATTTTGAAAGACCCGAATTACGAAGGAGACAATCTCAAATAATCAGTATATTGCAATTACTGATTAATAAAATTACAACCTGTGATGGTGATGAGTTGCCCGTGATACCAAACATCATTCTCCGAAAATGGTAATTGGAAATTTATCAAATGCAATATGCTGAAAAATGGATATTGTAATTTTGTTTGACTGTGAGTCTTCAACCAATCCTTTGCGTTTATCCCCGTAAATCTACGCCCAACTGTGCGTCAAGACATTTCAAATAGTTTTTTAACTATTTCGATTTTCTTGCCATGCCAGTTTTCTTCCTTTATACAATACGACTTTTTGATTTCACATTTCCCCAGAGATTAATATAGCGATAGGCTAAATAACAGTTTCTTCTCAAAAAATTAAGATTAGATTGAAAAAAGTCTCCTTTATGAGATTTAGTAAAAGCATTGTTCAGCAGTGGTACGACGTCGACACAATTTTTTAATAATCACTGTTCGTGGTAAGACCTATTTTTTCTACTTACTGATTATCCGTATAATATTGAAGCGTTTTATTCATTTTCCCATCTAGGGTTTTTGGATTGTAATACATAAATATTCGATCGATTCCTTGTAAACTGTTCAACTCAATAAACTGTAAAATGCTAACATATTGAGAAACTCAATCAATTTCAACTTCGACGATTCGTTTTGCATCATAAGCGCCGGGAAATAGAACAGGCACACAAATCGACATGTGAATTCTCGGTTCGCTTTTCATATTCTTCTCATTCTCGATTCTATATTTCACTGGAACGTTTGTGAACGGCTTTGAAGATCCTTCACGTCGAAGCTGAAAATAATCGAATAAACTGAAAACGATATTGAAATTACCTCGACATATTCAATATCATCAAATTGTATAAAGTCTGGCATGGGGCAATTTAAGATAAATACTTGCATGTCCATGTGATGGTTTTCGGAAAGCTCGTACAAACTAACATTTCTGGATTTTGATCCATTTATCACGCATTCAAAATCGATTTTTTGTTTTATGACCACCTGAAGCCAATATTAAATTAACCTTTTGATTTTCTCATGCTTTATAAATACAAATGCTTAACAAAACAAATTACTGACTCATTACAATTGAGGATACTCGGAAGAAAGCTACTGCGAAAATGGATGCAGACTAAATTGTGCAATCACACCACATTAACTCTGCGGATTTGCATTATAATCGACGCAAAAAATATTTAAGAAAGCGTTTTAGCGAGTTCCTCACGAATATTTATTCTACCTCATTATTCTGCTCAAAATTTATTCTACCTCATTATTCTGCTCCAAAAAACTCACAAGAACTCGCACATATCGATATCCCATATTGCCATTGCGATCATCAGTGAATGCTGAAACTGCGTACGCTTTTTGATCAATTTTGTAGAAATTCACATTGTTCTCAAAGAAATTTCGCGTTTTTGGGAATATTCTTCGGCCAGCTTCAAACTTCGGAATCCTATAATTATTATTTCGATCATTATTTGTGGTTGTTTGAGAAATTTATGATTTTGAATTTCGGAAAGAGAATTCACAGAAACTCACACCGACGTTGGAATCCGCGTTTTCGGCACGATTCTTGTCAGGCGCGGCCCAATCTCAGGAATTCTACAGTTAATTGTAATTATCTTTCAATAAATACATAATTAAGTTAATGGCAAAGTTTAATCATAAATTTTCCACAAATTCGGTTTCACCCACCTCTCTAATTTAGGATAATTAATGTCGTAGACATTCTGTAGACTAGCATACAAAGAGATAATTGAGATGAAAACGATTGCGAACAATAAAATGAATAGTTTTCTGATAGTAATCTTAGACATTGTATCTAAAAACGCGAGTTATCAGTGGCGGACAAGCGCGTCCTACCTTTTCGGTCATTCTGGTTATCAAATGCTCTCAATTATCGATTTGGCATTGCTCTGAAAATATGCTTGATATTTCAGTACTAATTTCCGATGTCACAAAACCAATTAACATTGCAGGAAATTTCGCTAATTAGAAGGCATTGAATTATTCTTTTCTTAATAGTTTTCCCACCGTATCATCCTCACTTGATATTTTTCTTATCTGCGGACATTTTATAACAAGTGATAACAATAATTACGACACTCAAAGAAGCAGAAGCTCAAAATTTCATATAATTCAGCATTAGCAAAAATGATTAGGAGAATAGAATAAGAAATTGCGAATCTCGTTAAAAATTGAGAATTTTTTAAAACTCATTAAATTATAAATTTAAATAAACGGTTTTTCAACGAAATCTAAATTTGCTAGCGAAGACGAAAATTGCTTGAAATCGTGCGAGGCTTTGGATTAAACAGATCCGACAATTAAGTTCTCAAGTCCGACAAATGGAAACGCTTTGACTCTTGTGAACTTGCGAGCGTTGAAAATTTATACATAAGCACAAAAAAAGATCAACTCGACGATGGTGCAACATGAGAACCCGTTTCCAGTGTTTATTTATAATAAATTTCCGGAACACGATATCAATCGAATTGTTTATTGATTGAAATCAGTTAGAGGGCGAAAACAATGGTGGCGATCGCTGCGATTCCAGTGATCACGCTCAATTGGCCGCTCGACTTCTTCGGTCCCGCCTCCTTCTTCTTGGACAATTCAAGGACGGTATATTCCGGCTTGTCCTCTTCAGGAAGTATATACTCCTATAACAATTTAATCAAGAAAATAAAAGGAATGGACACATACAGATATATTCCTGGTTACACCAGTAACGCGGACGGATCCTGAAGGCTTCTCGGTCACAGCGGTTTGAGTAACAGGGGCATCAGAAATGTGTTCGATGAGCGGCTTGTCCTTTCCTGACTCGCTGACCTCCGATGTCGTGTTCTCACTCGTCATCCCAAGAATCTCATTATCCATCGGCGTCGTTGAATTGTCATCGTCAATAACACGAATCGAGGTATCCACGGTGTCGCGAACGAATCGTGGAGCGGACGTGGCGGCGGCGACGAGCATGGCAATCAAGATGATGAAGAAACGCATGGTTAGTGGCGGTTAATAGTGTTGAATACGGTGGTAGTTGAAGCAAGTAGTTGGATTATATGAGCATATGGCCAATTTCAGACGTTTTTATAGGCATCTCAACGTGGAACCATGTCATAAGGGTCGCAGATAATCGATTACGTGAAGCTCTCCTTTGAATTACACATAAATTGATTTGTTGACAATCTTTGGTTCGAGAAAAACGCGTGACATCGTTGGGTTTTTATAGACGCAGAAAAATTGGATTCATTACAGGGTTGTTAAAGTGGGACTTTTTGAATGGTTTGAATTTTGAATCATAACGAAATTTATCTGCCGGCAATTTCCGGAATGCGACGACGACGATTCAAACACGGACCCCACGGGCAGAGCTGCACGGAATTCCGTCTTCCGTTTTCCGTGAAATTTTCCTGTTCCGCGTTCCACTTCCGAGTTACGCAAAAAAGCGAATTTCAGTATTGTTGAGAAATGACAAATGTCTCGAAGTGTCGTGGGATCTTGCGTTTTGTACGCAATGTGATGAGCCAGTTACAGTATCCTCGAAGCGATTTACGGAGGACTTTTTTGAATGTCCTATTTTCATTTTTTTTCCCATTTTTCGCTCATATTTCGTACTTTCCTTTGAAATTTTGTTATTTAAAATCTGTAGAACCCGAATTTAATTATTTTTTAGCAGACTGAATATGCACTTTTACACTATATTTTTTGGTAAAAATAGAATAGATTTTTAAAATCTCTGTTTTTTTTTGCCGTTAATATATAAATAATTAAATCGGTTTTTACAGATTTTTAATTTAAAAAAATTCGAAAGAAAATACGAAAAAAATGAAAATAGAAGATTTCTCTCCATTCCGGGTTGGATTAGGTTTTAATAAATTATTTTTTATGTCACCAAAAAGACGTTCGTGTTCCGTCAAAAAATATTGTTCCGAGTTCCGTTTTCCGTGTTCTTTTTTTTAGATTATTTAAATTCCGTGCAGCTCTGCCCACGGGCTGCCCCGAAGGCTACTTTCTTGACCACTCTGGATTCATTGATCCAATTCTCGTCTCACAACGAACACGATTTTTTCCGGCGATACTCATTAATTGTTTCTCAATTTTTCATTCAATTCGACACATTTTAATTACGATTTCGAGTTTTTTTCTTTGTTGCAAGTTTTAATTGAATACCAACTTTTGTTTCCTTTTTATTCGGCCAGAAAATGTGATTTCTAATAGCAAACACCCACTACTTCCTTTCTTTTATCAATTTTATGTCTTTAATTATCAATTCTTGCAGCACATGGGTAAAAGCGATAACGTTTATTCGTAAAACAGGAATTTGTTAATAGTAGGCGTTGTATTGATGAGTTGGTTGGAACTGGAAAATATAATTATTGAAATAATTTTGAAGAACAATAATTGCGCTTACAGCTGGTGGCACATAAGATTCGGTTCCATATGCGTTGTAGCCAGAATGGCCAAAGTCAATATGTCCAGCCCATTCTAAATTGTTCAATTATTTTATTTAAAAATTGATTCAATGATTTCTTACCTCTTTGGAAATGGAATCCTTCGAAGTTTACACGATCGACGTGAACATCTCCCTTGAGCCCGATTGCCTGAACGGATTGGAATGGGAATCGGTGTGGATAGTCAGCAAGATGGACGCCATTCACCGAAATCTAAAATTTCACATTTTTCTACATATTCATATAACCATTTATGTCACTTACATTATAATATCCAGAGTGAACCTGAATTCTGAGATTGAAGTGATCCGAATGATGCAAAGGGTTACGATGACGGATTTCCGATCCCCATGATCCATAGGATTGCGAGTTCATCACGACGACATGCTCGTGGTGGAATCGAAAGTTGACATGGAGGACGATATGTTGTCCGGAGAGAAGTTCAACGGCAAAATTTCTAGACAAATCAAATAGAGTATGAAGAGACGAAAAAAATTATAAAATTTTACTTGTGATGTCCATGACGAACATGACCATCAACGGAGATCACGGAACCTACTTGAAGGGGCTCAAAAATGGCAAGAGCCGATGGGACGCTCTAAATATAAAAGAAAAAATTAGAAAAAGAAGACTTCAAAGCAAAATTTGCTTACTGGATTTTGATAGGAGTGCATATCGTTGCAAAACGACTATCAGAGGCAAGTTTACAGTCACTTTTATTCCAAACTTTTTTTCGAGATAAGAAATGTGACATCAATATTTGCATAGACTTTCCATTTCTGTCAAATATTGACTCATTCCTCAAGTTCAGATTAGAGCAATTCGTCATGCCTCGAAATGTGACATTTTTGTGTCCTTCTGATACTTTATGATTCATTCTTTAAGAAGTTACAAGAGGAAATGCGCATTTTGAAAAAAGCGTGTGTAAAAATGATTTTTTGAGTTCCGAAAAGTTCAATTTTTATGCGGTTTTAACCTTCTTCATGGTTTTTTATTTCAAAAACCTAGTGAAATCGCCTTAAATTACCAGTTTTATTCGGTGTTTGAAAAATTTTCGAATTCTACACGTTCATTTAATGCAATTATGTAAAGTTTGTCAAAAATAAACTGTTTAAATCGAAATTTGAATTACCGCCTAAAAAAATTAGTGTCGAAAATTGATACAGCCTATCTAGTGAAGTAAGAGTCTCCCCAAGAGAGAGAGACTTCCAACCATTGCTGAAAATGTCACGGTCTCTTCAATTACGGGGACCTCTCCTCTGGTAACTCAAAACCAATCGGATCCGACGGGAATCGATCTGATCCGAAGCGTAGTTTTGCGATTATGATAGGAAAATTGTCGTTCGTAAATTTTGTTCAATTCGGATATAATTGATTTTGATCTACCAGAAAATATTCCAAGAAAACCAAGAAAAAATAGCTAAATGCCAAATGAAATTGGTGGAAAGGTCTTGGCACGATGTGTTTTTTGTCCAGTCTGTAAATCTACAATTTTTGTTTCGCGCCAGGACTTCATCAGTTTTTTCGGTATCAAGCCAACTTTCAACCAAATAATCCTCAACACATTATCAGTGAAATCATTTATGTGAATCAAAATGAAAAATTTGTGAGCGATGTTAATATTAAATAAAAGATATACACAAAAGTTACATGAATCAGAAATATACAAGAATCGATATCTAATCAAACAGTTGCGATAAATCATTGAACGCCTTCTGCAATTGATTGGCGAATCTCGTCGAGCTCGTCATCGTCGACGAATGATAGCTGGAAATGTTCGCAAAGATTCCATGGTTTCCACCGAATCGATAGCAAACTCCTACAATAAGCAAAATGATTTAAAAAAAAAACTTTCTGGCGAGGCTTAATATTACCATATCCATCAGGTGCAACAGCCCCAAAGCAGGCTCCAAGCCAAGTGTTTCCCTGATCGGTATCCTCATCGCATTGGTTAGTAACATTAGGTACCTGCGAATAAAATTTTTTCAGCTTTTACAAATTCTCCTTACATGAGAAGTAGACAAAGTCCATTTTTGATTAATATAATTTTCCAAGAATGGAGAAGAGACTCCAACTCCCTTCGAAAGTACATACAAGACAAAGAGGTGGCGATCAATACCCTGTCCAACCATGCACTTCTAAAACAGCTTTATTTAAAAAAAAGCAAGACAAATGATAAAGCTTACCTTATTCCTTGCCACGTGAGTTTCGCAAGCTCTTCTGAGCAGCTCCTTTCTCTTCTCTTTCTAAACGCGATTTTTTGAGAAAATTTCAAAAAAAATCACTTACAGTCTCATTCCCATTCATCATAGCAATGACAAACTCGCATGAATGATCATTGACGGTTCGAAGAGTTTCGGTTCTCGAATTCGCGAAAAATCTCACCGAAGCTGGCTCATAGGTCAACACAAACTTTCCAAAATCCTGCAGAAGAAGCTTAAACTTAAAAAAAAGCACCATGATTTTTTTTACTCGATAAGCCGCAAGTTGGATGGCCATTTGAACGAATCCATCAGGTGAAACACCGCACTTCTTGATTCGTCCTTTTCCAAAGTCCCTGAAAATACTTCTCTAATTATTAAGAAAAAATCTAGACAAATACCTGAAGGCCAGAGCGAACAAATCAACATCACTCTTCGCTTTCATATGCGCATCATAGCAACGGGTGATTTCCGAATAAATCTAAAGAAAATGCCCATAAATGTTCAAATCATTTATTTTCAAACCGATTCATCTTCAATCTCAAATTTAAGACGATCAGCAAACTTCAATCCATGTTTTTCATTGTCTTGAATAATAGCCATTTTCTCTTGGGCATCAATAGTATCATATCTGCAAGGAAAATCATACTTTCGGACATAAAGCTTATGGTACTATTTTTTAGTTTTTCGAGTATTCTTCCCAAAATCTGCATAGCACCATAATTGGAACGTACTTGAGACATTCAAGATCAATTTTTAGGAAATTCTCCATGATGTGATCAAATTCAGCGCCATCAGCAATCGAATGCTCAGTAGTTCCTCCGCACTAATATGCATCATATTAATCTCTCTAATGATTCTCATCCACTTACTCTAGCGTTCTTCGAGCTCACGTAGTTCAGCGATTTGTCAACCCAACGATTAGTTCCATCACCAGTCAGAATATTGGCAAGGAATTTCGACAACATTTCCGGATTATTCTGCAATTTATCAATCGAATATAACATTCAACGAAACCATCGAACCTCATCATATCCATAATCCTCGTTCTCATCAAGGCTCATAAAGAAAATGGCGCTCTCGATGTCTTTCAGTACTTTGGCATTATTCGCATTTGACAAAAAGAATCGCTTTCGATTATGATGCCAGCTATCTCTGAAAATATTATTGAGATAGGCAAGTTCAGAAAAACGTGCAGCGCTTCAAATTTAAGCCCCGGCCATTTTGAAATAATTCGAAATTTGTGCCCGCCAAAAATTTGACCTCAATCTTCAACATAATGATAATTCGAAAAGAGCATCGCCGATTCCCGGAAGTTCATCTCGCCCGACCAAATTCCTAATCAACATTACCCAATTCTCGCACCACTCTCAATTGTGTTGTGTTCGATTACACAAATATGAAGTACCTTGTGTCATGCGTCAACGCCGCTATTTTCGCCAGCGGGCCATCTTCTTTGTCCTCTCTGGTAATCAGTTCATGGTATATTCTGCAAAAAATGGAGGTTTGAGAAAAAAAACGCAGATAAGAGTGAAATTGTGTCTACATACTTTGTGAACTGCTCAATAGTGAATATGTTGTTTTTGTCGTCGCAAATGTGCAACTGAAATATTTCAAAATTAGTTTTTTTTTCAATGAAATAAAAATTAATATAACCTTGTAAAAGCATCCTCTGAGGAGCACAACAATATGCTTCTGAATTCCATGGAGTTCGAGATGATCCACCGATTCTCCTGGAACACGATTCACCGCGTACATTTTGCGATAATGGCGCGTACAAACAATGCCATCTCCAATCTGAAAACAATAAATATAATTTATTTCAAACTCGTTTCTTTCTACCGCTTTGAATTGTTGCTTATCAACCGCCAAATGCGAGTTCGCCTCAATCCATGTAACTCGTGCGGCTCGGTGAGCACGAGTCGCCGGACTAACTCTTACGAGATCGCAATGAGCCACACTACTATTAATGAGAAGCGGATATCGGCCATACAAATATGCGTATTTTTCCCAAAATGGTGTCACATAGTTATCAGTGAAAAGCGAATATAACCATGCGTATCTTTGAAGCTTGACCCCTTCGTTCTTTAAGAACGAATCGGCTTGTTGCGTGATTTGTTCGAATTCGTCCTAAATGTTTTTTTTTAAACAAAATTTTCATTTCTAAAAATAAAACCTTTGACAAAATATTCTTCACCGAATCCAAATATTCAGCAATTGTGTCCTCTAGCTTGGGAACGGGAAGATTCGGAAGAAGTCGATCGCAAGATTCAAGAATTGGAGGACTATATGACAAAAGATGACGGACTGCCTAGAATATCGAATATTCAGTTTTTTCAATTTACGATTATTTAAAGACTAACACCCCAAATTTTAGTTCGCAATGATAGCTTCTTTGGATTCTCAAATAGAAATCCTTTATAAGAAAAGTAGAAATGTTTGAGCAATTGTCGCAATCCAAATACAGGGACGTAAGCGCTCAAGAAAGAAACAATCGACAATTTGATGACCTAAAATCGTTTTAGCAACAAAAAAATTAATTTTTTTCAAACCTCGAAGTAGGGGATTCTCTCGAAAATGTTGATTTTGGGAAATAGCTCTATAACTCCATTTTGCGGGTATTTGTAATGAATACTAGCTGCCAAAGCGCACGCAGCGGCGAATGGAAGCGGACGAACGGGCCAAAGTCGATTCTCGACCCAATTCTGAAAAAGAAAATTGCCATATACATATTTGAAAAATTTCTTGTAGTTTTTTGGGCCAAACAATATGAAAAGGAAACAACTATATAAATATCATTGCAGAAAAAACGAAAATTTTTTTTCTTTTCTCAATTTTTTCCTCAAAATTGACCCTTAATATACAATTTTCCGCTTACATATGAACGATACGCAGCTCGTTCAAGAGGTGTTGGGAACTTCCGTGGAATATGATAAGGTTGGCGGTTCTTCTTGCCACTCGACATCTGAAAACAAAGAGGGAGATATTTGAAAAAAATAGTTCAATTTTGAAAAAATGACCTCTGGCAAATAGTTTGAAATCATATAGGATTCAAAACCATTTACCAGAGTGGAAAAAAGTAGATATTGGATCCATGCAGGAGGTCTTTATCACTGGCGACAATTTTTATCAGAATGGCGAGACATTTGTCCCCGCGAAAAGGAAAACGACAACGATATACTGCTTCTTGACCTTTTTGCAAGAAAGCCCTGGTGAAAATAAAGTGCAGACGCTTGGAAAAATAGATAGACAAGTTGCACTCATTTATTTGTTTCTGGTAAACTGAGGCATGAAAAATTTAAAAAGACACGATATTCGAATGGGACGAAATTGGAATGCGAGATGCTGCGAATGGTTTGACCTACAAATTTTCACTTTTATTATCAATGAACGCTCAATGTTCGACGAAACGCGGTCAACGAGCAATATTTGAAGAAAATGTATAATGGGAGAAAGACTGCGTTCCGTGACCGACCGCAGAGATGGCATACAAGAGACTATAGCGTAGCGTGTATCCATCCAAAAAATGTTTACCCAGCGAATTACTCGCTCTGAGTGCAGAATAAACCTGGCGAAAGAAAGAAGACATTGCAAAGAGAAGTGTAGTTTGGAACTTGAAACGAGCTTATCATAAAATATTCAAACTGAAAACAATTTTAACTCTTCCACCCGATATTTTAGGTTCATAGTTTATGGCTCCGATTGTAACAGGTTTCCAATTTAGGCCTGCAGAATGTTATTACAGGATGGAGATAATTACACTTGAAACGTCTACTGGGTAAACACTTAACGAAAATGAAACAAATTTGAAATTTAGCTAATTTAAATTCAAATTGAAATTTTGAATCAGCTGGTTCATTCATGCAGAAGTTTTGTCTACTTTATTTAATTTTTTTGAAAATGGTTTTAAAAAAAATAAATTCAGAATACTGAAAATAAAATTATTGTGTACGGTAAACGCAATCTGTAAACACTCTGCACATAGATGAAACTACAGTAATACAAATAATTTAAAACTGGAAAATTCGTTGATCTTTCATTTTTTAAATTATTTGATTTTTGGAATTTGTTAATTTCTATCATTTAAATTAAGTAGAATTCGCTTGATTTTTGAATCTTATTATTTGTGGCATAGTAATTTATTCGTATAATTAGCAATTTCAAGAGAAATCAAACATTAATGCTCAATTTATATGTGCGTGATTTTCAGGTATGCGGCTGAGATTAAACTCTCGCTCTCAAAAGCCAGGCCTCTCTGAGAGCGCGTCGCTTCTTTCGACAATTTTCAGGCCAATCAATGTCCCCTGGAAGCGTTGGCTTGAAACACTCGCCGTAATGTTTTTCATCTTCATGTGGGTTATTCTTCCAATCATGATGACTTGGGTAACAACAAAATTGGTATTGAAATAATGCAAATTTCAATGAAATTCAGATCCCTCTGTATGTACTTTTTGTAAGCCGTTGGTGGTTCCTTGTTCCGTTATACGCTGCATGGTTCTATTATGATTTTCGCACACCGCGAAAAGGTTCTCGGCCTTGGGTATCGTCTTTTTATGGCGAAAAAAAATGAATATAATTAGTGCAATATTTTTATAGAAATGGCTGAGAAATCACGTCGTTTGGCGGTATTTCGCCGACTATTTTCCACTTCGCCTCGTTAAAACCGCCGAATTATCACCTGAAAGGAATTATATCATCGGGTAATAAATATAGTCTTCAATTCACTCATTTTTTTTCTGCAATAGTTCGCATCCGCACGGGATGTTCTCTGTCGGCGCCTATACATCATTCTGCACAAACGCGACCGGTTTCGAGGAGAAGTTTCCCGGAATCACGCCCACAATACTAACCCTCAATGGACAATTCTATTTTCCGCTGAGAAGGGAGTTTGGAATGCTGGTCGGCGGCACCGAGAGCTCAAAAGAGTCCCTACAATACTCTTTGACAACTCCGGGAAAGGGTACACCGCCGAAAGTGTTCAATTTTCTAGATACGTTTTATAGGAAAAGCTTGCGCTATCGTTGTCGGAGGCGCTCTTGAAGCTCTCGAAGCTCGTCCGAACAACTTCACGCTAGTCCTGAAGAAGCGCAAAGGCTTCTGTAAATATGCGTTAATGCACGGGTACATTTCCAATTGGTTGTTATGGAATATTTAAGATATTTTTTCAGTGCAGACCTTGTTCCGATGTACCATTTTGGAGAAAATGATCTTTATGAGCAATACGAGAATCCCAAAGGATCGCGTCTTCGTACAATTCAGGTTTGAGACAAATTTCGAACACCGTCCGTATAGTTTTTAAACAAATCCAGGAGAAAATCCTACGAGTTTGGGGACTTTGTCCGCCAATGCTCCGCGGACGATCAATTTTCAATCAATATTTGATTGGACTAATGCCTTTCCGCCGACCAGTCACCTCAGTGATGGGAAAACCCATAAGGTGAGCACCAGCTGACTTCCAGATTCCTGATCTTCTTCGTGTTGAGGGTGACAAAGGTGGAAAATCCCAGCGATGAGCAAATTAACGAGCTCCACTCAAAGTATTGCCAAGCTTTGATGAAGTTGTTCGACGACTACAAGCACCTTCACTCGATCCCAAAGGATGTACATTTAACTATCGAATAATTCGATTTCGCCATCTCCCTACTAACCCTTTTCACATTATTTTGTTAAGTTTTACCAGTATGCTCCTTTAAATAAGGATAAAACAAATTTATTGAAAAAGAAAAAAAACAGGTAACAAGTGTATTTATCACACAATATAAAATAAGAAATGATTGTTTTCTTTATTGTATTGAGTGATCGTATCGAATTTGGTTGTTCTTTTGTTAGTTAGCTTATTAGGGGTGCCTTATATACAACAAACGTTTCACCGAGAACGGAGGACACTGATCTAATTAAACAATATTATATTATATATTATATTTGACAGAGTAATGGCAATAAACCTGAAATACGAGATTTTTTGGGCATTTGCGAGATTTTTAAATATTTTCCTTTTTTCTGTTCAAGTAGAAAGATTAATTGGGAGGATAAGGGGTCTTCTGATGATGGTAGGCAAATTTGAACTAACAAAAAAAGGTGAGAGGGGGGATTTTTTGAGAAGTTGCGAGGTTTAATTTTTTGGAACCTACCCGATGAAGAGAGTTTACAATCAAAAAGAAACAAAAAAATAACAAACAATGGAGAGTTGTCTTAATACTGCAGAATTTGGTTAGACTGGCGGCGGACCATTAACATAGGTAACGTGGGGTCCGAATGGCCGGCCGAACACATGATAGTAGAAAATTGCGGTAAGAGCTGAGAGGACGGATAGGGCGAGCGAGATTTGAACGAGACGCGATGTTGATGATCGCTTCGCACTCGTCGAAATCGCGTCCGTCGATGAATCCGTTGTTCTCGGACGCATGGTTTGAGTCGTACTCGTGCTGAACTTCGTATGTCTCGGCTCCTGGGGAATCTCGATTGGCGACGGAACGCGAGTCATCTCGTTGAATCTGCAAATAACAAATGATTCACAAATTCATGAACTCAACAGTATTATCGAAATCGTTGTCGAATTGGGTCTCGCGACATGCGAGTAGATTTACGCCATGTTGTCCGTGTGGAGTACACAGCGCTCGTGTCGCCTCGAGACCATTTTCGACAATTCGCCAATTTGCACGATTTCAATAATCTAATTTGACCAATCAGATGCCCACGAACCTGTCGCGAAGTTTTGCCAACGCGTTGCTGTAGATCGACAACTCGGCGCGAAAGTCCGGACTCTCGCTCGACGCATTCTCAGATTGAAGAGCGGAGAGCGAAGTGGTCAAATAGTTGCACATCGTCTCCAAACTGTCCATTCTCTCCTGACACAACTCCATTTCTTGTGCGATTTGGCGATTATCGAACGCGCCGCTTTTCAAGTGCGATTCGATACGAACCATTGCGCTTCTGAAGAATATCGATTAAATCGACAATGAATCACGACACTCACCTGATGTCATTTTGCCGCTCATTCCACTTATCCCATTCCGATTTGACATCGGCAAGTGAGTTCGCCATTTTGCCGATTCGGCCGACAGCATCGTCATAGCCATCCGAAACGCAGTCAAACTCGCGTGTGAGATCATCGGCGACTTCTTTGAACGCCGGCGATCGGACGAGCTCGCGGAGCTCCTCGCGCTCGCAACTCAAACGACGTTCGATCAGCGAAACCGCGTCGAGCGCTTTCGCGACGTCCTCTTTGGTTCGAATGTCGACGACGTCGCCCAAACTCGCCAACGATGACATCTCCTGAAGTGTCGACGCGAACTTCTTCACTTGATACATGATCCGCGAAAATGGGCTTCGAATTGTCTCGTGGAGTTCCGCCCATTCGGCGCGAAGATCGTGAAGAGTGCTGACTTCGATGAGCGACGGTTGAAGCGACGATTGGAATTTGATGGTCTGCTCGACTTGCCGCAAATTGGTGCGAGCGATGAGCTCGAAATTCGACATTTGAAGTGTATCCATGTTGCTCTCGGCCAACGCGTTTTTCACAACCCGCAAGTTCGCCTTCGATTCCTCGATAATTCGGAGAGCACTCTAGAAAAAAATAATTAAACAAATATTTTTTTTAATTCATACCGGCGATCCAAAATGCTCAGCAAAGTCCTCATCCATTGTGAGCAATTCTTGCGAGATATTCGACATTTGAGGAGCCTGAAGGTCAGCCATCGAATCGTCCTTTTCAGGCGGCTGAAATTTTTAGCAATATTAGGTTTGTCTATAAAATTTGAAAGGTGCACAAGGTGCACAAATGCGCTTGCCATACGGGGGGCACCGGGGATTAGGTATGCGCGGACGGCCCGGCCCGGCTGGCACGAGGTGAAGCTCATTTCGCCACCTGGTTCTGCGGTATTATTGGCACGTTTGACCTTTGAATAGCGTGGCCTTCCACCCATGGAACCTTTAATTAGTCAATACCTATGGCGTGCGAGCGCGCGCGCGCATGCAACCGAACACAACTGAATAAACAGCATGTGCAAATTATTGATCAACATACAAACCGAAGCAGCATAATATATATATATATATATGGTAATGTGATGATGATATAACAAGTGAAACACTATCGATTAAACCGTTCTATTCAATCTAGTGCAGTCGAGAAAAAAAAATTTGATGCGACAAATTGCCAATCACAATTAACGCGGCTGATCAACAACCCATTTCCGGCCTAATTTCGTTTGGCAGGTCGAGAAAAAAAATTGAAAAGTATAGGTTTTTGATTCAATTTTTTTTGTTGAATGAATGGGAAACAAATTAAGAATTTTTTTTAAAGCCTGGGGAGTCTTGAAAGTTGAGGCTCTGTGGTTAATAAAAGTCAATCGAATACCATTATAAAAATTTGAAATCATTCGATTTCGAATATTTTTCAACACATACTTCAAGTCAAATCGAGTTAAAAGAGTGTAAATTTTTGATTTTTTTAAAAAGAAAAAATTTTGAAAATTTCAGATATTGTGAAAATATCAGCGTAAAGTATTACGCCTATATTTTTTAAAAAGTTTTTTTTACTCAATCGTACTACGCAGATATCGCAAAAAGCAAAACTGCTAATTTTTTTTGAGTTAAAAAACAAAACTAACATTGTATTCATCCCACTCATACGCCTGAGCTGCATCGCTGTGCTCCGGTGCTGTATCGCTGTCCATGTTGGCTCTCAATTGAGCATCCAATTTGCGCAAAAGGCGAGTCGTCGAACGCGCCAATGGTGTGCTAGGCGGCGAGACGCGAATCGACGGCGTCATTAGGCCTGAAAAAAAAAGACGAACAATTTTGTTTTTCGAAATTTCGTTTTTTTGCCGCTACCATGGAGACTGCTGACGACGCCTAGCTGCTCGCCGTCGCTCATACTTCTCGGCATTCGACGACCGCGCAATTTGCGGCGTGCCGTCGTTCGACTTTTGCACGGCGGCATCTCGGATTTCGTCGAGCAGAACGAGCCGTCCATATCGAGATTGTCAAGCTTAAATCATTTTTCAGTGTCAATTGAATATGAATAGTTTCATCACATGTCACTTACAATATAATTCGAGCTCTTCAATACCCGTCCCGATCGTTGTCGCTTCAGCGGCGATGAGGTGTCGAAAGACACCGAATTGAATGAAATGCTCATCAAATCCTCCTCGTGCTCTTTTTCAGCTTCAGCGTCTGACGAGTCTTCCGATGAAGCGTCGCAAGAGTTCTGCAGAACGAAACCATCAAAAATTCCATAAAAGGATCAAAAAGGGGCCATTAAGGAACAACCTCTTCCAAAACCACTTCCAAATGCATAATACGGATTGAGAATGAATGGGGGGGGAATAGTTTGACGCCTAATTTGTCTAACTGTCACCGAATAATTAATCAACGTCAAGTTGGCGACACCCACCATCCCACAGCCACCAAAAAATCGGTTGTTTTTTGAAAAATGCGTTTTCGCGATGGGAAATCGGCGATGATAAGAATCGAATTCTCTCTCTCTCTCTCACCTTGGCGACGTTCTCCAAATGCTCTTTGCTGACGCGCGACAATCGGCGTCCGTGAATGCGTTGGCCGTGAATCTCGCTCCATTTCGTGTTGAAACTCTCCGACATCGAAATGTCGGACGGCAAACGATCATCATTGAGTAGCGCCATCACTTCATCTGCAAATATGCGTTGTAAATCATTCAAGATCCAGATCCAATCAGATCCGAGTGCCGGTTATCGAGTATGAGGTCAACAAAATAAAATCCTTTACTACCTCCCACCCTCTCTTGTTTTCAACGCTTTTTATTTTTATTATCGAAAATTTAAAAAAAAACCGGAATCATGAAATTACCGTATTCGGTGAGCTTCTGCGTCGTCGAAAACGTCATATCATGATTGACATACATCGAGTCGGACAAATTCGGCTCATCATCAACGTCGTCATTGATCGCCTGAATCGAATTATGTTAGTCGAATTGTGATGTCTAGGGCGTCTATACCTTGGTGACTTCAAGATCCGACATATCTTCCAGTTGAACAGTGCGATAGAACGCCTTGACCGGCGAGCATTCGATGCGCTTCCGACGCATATCAGATGTCCGTTCGGGCAGTCTGAAAACACAAAACGAGAAAATTGCCAAACAACGCCATCACAACTGGGTCATAAAATAAACTGTTCTACCGCTTCGCCGGTTTTATTTTTTCACCTCGAATAAACAAAAACATTTCGCTCAAAAACCTAAATAGGCAAAAAAAAAGGAGAAACGTTCGCGTCAATTTGCTGAGCATATATATAAATATCGTCGCAAAACCAATTTCTGATAATAATAATTTATAACCGCGCAAAACGCACCGACATCTGTAACGCCTCTCAACAGATGTTCCGCAATTTACAAGTTGCATGTCGGAGCGGAACGAAAGAGAAAAAAATGAAACCGAAAAGTTGATGACGATGTCACACATCTGGAGGCGACGCGGCGCGCGACTAATTGTATGACAACCGCAGAATGATAGGGCGGGATTGAGATGGTTTCTTTTTGCCATAAATGGGACAATTTTAATTCTGGATTTAAATATTTACTTTAAAAAAAAATGTAAAATTATTTTTTTTAATTGGCCAACATCAAGATTTATTTTTTATGTGGCTCCCTCTTAACTATACTAATTGACCTTGTCCACAGGTGTCAAACGAAAGAAAAAAGAAACTCACAAATGTTCGGCACATGTGCTGAGCGCCTCGTGAATCGAGTTCTCGCCACTCGAGTATCCAATGTCCTGTTGCACACTGTCCCATTTTTTCGGCGTCGATTTCAACATTTTCGATTCTTCCGACGATGAAGCCGACGAGGTGACCGTTGTTCTGCAATAAAGAAAAAAGAACTGAGAGCTCGCCATCCATTAAACCATCATTTCAAATAAAGCAATAATAAGAAGCTTAACGGGGTTGAGCGCGAGCCGAGTGCACCTGACAGCTATTACGAGAAAAAAGGGCAATAAGTGGCTCACCTAACGTCCATGATGCTCTCGTACTCGCTCTCGGCGAACGGCAGAATATTATCGTCGCACACCGTCGGCTCGTCGACGTCCGTTTCGTCGTCGTCGTCGTCTTCAGAAGACGATTCCGCGCTTCGCAGGTGACGCGCGCGTTTCGTTGGCGGTCCGGCGAGCTCGGGATCGCTCTCCGAATCGTCGGATGATTGCTGCAAAAATTGAAATCTCATTATTGCGGTAAAATTGAGAATGGTTGGATGACCGACAGATGGCCGGTCCGGGCGCAACGGACCATCATCAAATAGAGCTGATGCAACAACAATACGAGCAACCTGTGCAAACGAGACAGCCAACTCAATGTGTGTTTCAAGCGTTTGACAAAGCCGTTGAGTAAAGGTTACATGTACAAAAGTTATGAATCAACAATAGCGATGAAGCCGAATCGCAAACAAATGTTGATGTATCTGATGATGATGATGATCGAGAGGAATTCAAGAAATATGAAATCTGGAAACTGAAAACGATATGGTCAATTAAAGATGGAACGCGGGAACCGCGGCGGCGGCGGCGGCGCAAAACAACTACTAATAAATGGAGGCAATAAGGTTCGAAAAACCAGAAACAAACGGCGGTGTGAGGGGTGCGAACAACTCCATGAATCGGATGGGTAAAACGCCGAATTGGTGAAATTCGAGAATCGGGAACGTGTGAAGATGCATGCATTTTTACTACGGTCGGGTGTGCAAATAAATACGTGACATGCGTGTGTGGCTGCTCTCGCCCAACATCAACTCTTACACTCAATTACACAACAACACCGTGCGCGTACTCGGCCGCCTTGGTGGAGGAGGGGAAGGGCATGACGGCGGTTCGATTGAGGCGAAATTAATTGAGCGACACGACAAATTGATTGAATGCTGATTTATGTGGATCCCGCGAGAATGAATCCCGTCGGCACCGAATTTCGATGTTGCCGGTTAGATTTGAAAATTGGGGTGGAAAAAATTCGCATCGGCTTTCAGACAAATTTTGAGTCTCAAAAAGGCAATATCAATTTTTTTTCTCGCGAATACTTATAGTCGGCCTCCGACGGCGGCTATCATGCGCCTTCGCCTATGGTCTCGCACGGACTAACTGATTGTTTTGCATTTTGATGCATCGACACGACGATAATTGTTGATTTGAATGACGCTAGAAATTCGAGGAAATACCTAAAACTTCAAGACAGCAGTTCACGTGAAAATAGTAAAATGAGAGTTCGTGGCGAGACCATTTTGAAAGGCGCACCCGTAAATCTACTCACGTACAGAAAATATGTAGAAAAAAATGGTTTCGCAAATTTTGGAGGAAAAAACTACCAAAAATTATTAAATGAATTTGAATTGTTTTAATGGTTCACAAAAATAAACATTCAAAAAAATTAATGTATATGATCGCTGTGAAAACGGCATAATTATACGTTACCGTATCAACAGCCAACTGCAGACGCCTTTCAGGTCTCGCGAACGACAAATGCAATCTATTATTCTAGTCGTGAATTCGTAAATTTATAGGTTTCGGGTGAATGATCGCGAACCGCAACAAAAGGAGTTTTACCGCATAATAATGCTATTAAATCTATACGAGTAATTATATGTAATATAGGTAAACAAATGCACCAAAAGTGTGGGGTGGGTGGACGGGTGGTGGGAGGCGTTCTGTCCATCCAGGCGTTTGTAATTTATTCCGGTTTCCGGCGAGGCGATCGGTCACACCATCGCGTGCACCATTTTGGTGCAATTATCGGTGTTTCAATATGACCTAGATGTTTAATTGAAACATTGGCGGCGGCGGCGGTGGCGGCGGGGCAACAGTGCGCGAAAAACGCTTCGACACTTGTAAAACATTGAAATTTTAAGAAATTGTGCAAATAATCGAGCGAAACGAGTTGAGCCAAGTAAAATATTCAAAAGTTTCAAAAATTGATTTTTTTTTTGGGCGGCTTTCTCAACACAAAAAAAAATGTTTTGCAAATTCCTCAACGCTAATTGAATTAGTCAAAAACGGCGCGCGCAAAAAAATTCCAATCGCAAATCGTTGAACGAAAAAAAAATTTTTTTTTTGGTTGGAGGGCGACCGACGAAAGGAAAGACTGTTCAATTTGGCACGGTTCGATTCAGTTTGGGTTTGGTCAGGACAAACATTAAAACATCCAATTCAAGACAGCTGTCGACCGGGGGGGGGGCCAACGCGGCCAATTTGAAGGTCGACGCGAAAACTCTCGAGTAGGAAAAATGGTGAGATGCGTATAATGAATAAGGTCTCAAAGTTTGGCGGCCGAAAATAACCATAATAATAATAATAATAATAGTATCATTTTGAGTGAGTGAGTGCGAGCGGGCTCATCTCTCGCTCGCTTCTCTACGGCTCATTCGCCGAGAATTGATTGGCAGCTGTTTCGGGTTGGAAGGTCTCGATTCATATGTCGAAAATATGATATCAAAATCATTATTATTGGCGCTTATTTTTACAACATCGCCGCATCGAATTTCAAATTCTTGCCTAGCGACTCGGCGTATTTGATTTGATTTCAATTTATACCGAATCGAGCCAGAAACGACCTAAAATTGTTCACCGTTCGAAATTGATTGTCAAAAGAGAGTTGTGTTTGCACAAAAAGCGACGTATTTGACGACAACTTGCAATACTTTTTGCTTCATTTTTTTTTGGAATTCACATTTAAAAATTTTGCTCAATGTCTATCGTACTCAGTTTTGAATAGCTCTGAGTTAATCACAATTTGTCAATGTTCTTCTTTTTTGTTGCAATGCCGGAACAATGATGAAGTGTTTGCACAAGATGCGCCATAATTGACGAAATCCCACACAATATTCTCATTTCGATTCGGTTTTGGGAGAGTTTGAAAATAATTTTAATGAAATTCAAACGTGTTGGAATTATAATTCGCTCGTTTTTTTTTATTCCAAAAATTTTTAACTTATCTAAAACTTTTCCGAAATTCGTTTTGAAATTGTTATTTTTGCCATAATTTTAATTTAAAAAAAAATTTCAAGATCTCAGGTAAATTAAAATCAATCGGATTCAAAAATAATTTCGTATTCAATCGAAATCGAATATAAATTAAACTGTTTCGATTTATTCCAGAAAGATTTTATAATTTAAATTTGAGAAATAAATCAATCGATTTCAAAGATTTTTGAATCAAAACCAAATTTTCAAATCGAATTTTAATTATGTTTTATTCGAATCAGGTTAATTTATATTTCATTTTTCTTCGAATTCGATTGAATTTCATTTACCTGATTTTGAGATTTGTACATTTCAAACTTAATATTTAAAAATACTAAATTTTTTTTGCAACGACCTAATAATAAAACTGGCAAAAAAAACCGCCAAATGACTAACACCACTTCAAAAAATTTCGAGCGTTGTACTACAAAAACGATGGCGAATTTGCATACAATCGGAATGGAAACGCAAATCGACGGCGGCGAGGCACGATTATATGCGTACTACATTCAAAACGAGACAACTAAACCAAAAAAAACGAGGCAATTCATTGTGAGAAGCGGTGGTGGTGTCGAACCGGCGGAAAGCAGCAGCAGGCGGCGGCGAAGGAAACAATAGAATAGTCGAATTTCGGGAAAAAATTCCGAATGGTGTGTGTTGTCTACTACCTATTATTCATTGGTGATCCACTTGTCACAACACCGCCAAAAGCCCAATAAATCAAGCCGGATAGCAATAGCAAAAAAAACAAAGAAATCAACAACTCACTTGAGTGTTTAGTAGATCTTCGATTTTGCACTGCAACGACAGACTACGCAGATAAATGGTGTGCCATCGTTTGCGGATCCCTTTAACACACGCTCGTCGTCGATCGTCTTCGGTCGGATTTGCGGCTTTCACGTTCCTCAAAAAAGACAAAAGAATTGACTTTTGACTATTTTGATATGCCGATTTACACCGGGTCGAATGGTAAAGCAAGAGGCAAAATTGAACGACCACCTTGAAAACAAAAGTGCCTCTTCCCATCGGGGGCAATTTATTGCCATTGTTGTATTAAATCAACTTGGCTAAAGAAACTAGAGGAAAAAAAACGCTGAAGTTTTTGAAATCATTCAAAAATGTCATTATTGAAGTAGAATTTCAGAAATTTAGTATAGTCGAATACATTTGGAATAGAGTTGCTCAATAATTTGAATTGCCGCTTTGAGTCTCGTAGGGAAAACGAAAAACTCTAAAGAGCGATTTTTGCTTAAATAGTTCAATCAACAAAACGTGAAAAGCCAGAAATTTCAAAAGTTGTTGGGTTTTTGCGGGACCAATTCAAATTCAAAAATTCACCGTTAAATTGTTCTTGGCGGGAATTTCAAAAAAAAAACGAACACAAGAATCTTACTTGAGTTGACTTTCCAGGCGATTAATGAGCAATTGGCCTTCTCGCTGGATTTCCAGTTGTAGCGTCTGTAATTCAATCAATAATTCACCAATATACATAATAGTGTAATTGAATACGTAGTTACACAAGAAAACATCGCCACCCACAAAAAAAACCCCCAAAACAGTCATTGGATTTGAAAACGACCTTTGTCGAAAATGAAGAACATGAGACAAGAATGAGAAGAGGGGAAAAAACTCAGCAAAAAGAAATTTGCGAACACCAAACCCTCAATTTTTTTTGATATGAAACGCAAAATAAAAATCGATAAATGCTCTCTAAGGCAACATTTTTTTTTGGAGTGTCTCGACACGCCAAACCCGCGCGATTTCAAATAATGAATCATTTGGTGGTGGTCATCGTCGGGGCGCTGGGGGGGGGCTCCTGACGACAAATTGTGTTCGATACGGGCGGCACACACAAATACATTGTACATATACGAGGTAAACGGTGTGGTTTGAGATTGGTGCTGATGGGGGGGGGCATGCTGTGTGTACGATTCATTATCATTACGGAATAGTGCAAACGAGTGAACGATGGCACACTAACATTCAATTAATACTCAATTATTTTATCGATTTCAAAACGTCAGAGCGACTTGGCAGGAATTTCAAATTTGAAAATTCATCAAAAGACACACATTGCCAAATTTTATTCTTTTTGAATTTCGTTCAGTCATTTGAAAAAAAAACCCAACGATCGAATAGTTGAAATCTTATCAATATTGATCAATTTTGATTATCCAATAAAAATGGTGGACTAATCAAAATTGTTTCAATTTATCGGAAATCTCACTAAAAATGGAAATTGGGTTTCATACACTCAAAGAAAAAAAAATTCAGCACATTCGAACGTGGCCGGTTTGTTTCGGGTTTTTACGGTCGTAAACTGCCAGCCATTAAATTCTTTTTTTTGGTTTTTTTTTATTATAAAAAAAATTCTAAACGCAAAAAAAGAAGCTCAAATTTGATGGCTTTGGTGAATTATGGGAACCGCATCTCTGTCTAAAGTGTTCGGTGAGAAAAAGAGGCGATCACGGCGGCAACATCGGAAAAAATGAGGAGATCAAGAGGGTTGTTCAGAAACTGCCATTCGAGGAGACCGAAAACCGGAAGAAACCAAGTGATCGTCATCGCGAGACCACAAATATTTGAAATCGAAGAAAAAAAAAGAGAGACCCGAAAAGCATTTCAACTAATTTCGATGCGAGAAGATGACGATGAGGTCCGACGCGGCGAGACCAGCAAAATGATAAATGGTGAAGGCCAGATGGGGAGGGGGGTCGTGGTCGGACTCCCCTCGAGGGTAATAAAAAACAAAACACTCTAGGGGGGGGGGCATCCCGACGCGCGAATTGACGTATCGTATGGATGAGCGATTACATTTCCATCGAATCAATATAATATTTGTTCATGAACCGCACGAACACAACCAACATTTGCAAAAAAAAACGTTTCGCTGGCGCCCGCCGCAAAACTCAAGGCATTCGAGAAAACAAATTGTGCAGAAAACGATGGGAACAAATAAAGTGGCATAATCGCCGCGAGACCCCCCCCCTCCCCTGAGTTACTGTAGACGTTTGACAGCCATCTGGCTGTTGGCGATATACGAATGCACCAATATTCCATACACCTTTTGCTCGCGCAAAACTCCTCAACCTAATGAATAGTTAATAAAGGACGACGTTGTCGTCGGGCGATGGTGGCGGTGGTATTGGGATGAAGCTCTATGCTCTCTCTCTCTCTCTCTCTCTCTCCCTCTCGCTTTTTTTCTTCGCCAATCCAATTCGATCATTTAATTCGCAACACAAATACAAAGACGAAAAATGGCGGAAGAACACGATTGAGACAATTGTCGGTACGCGCAACAACAATAGAAATGTTGAAATAAATTCGAAATTTGAATGAGCCACAGCAAATATTGATGGGATGTGAATGGAGACAAAAAAAAAACAAAAAGCGAATATGAAATTCAAGTTTCTCGCCGAACAAAAAAAAATTATGCTCGACATTTGAAATTATTGAAAAAATTAATATAAAATCACTTAAAAATACCGAAATTTGGAATATCCTCAAAAATAGTTGGGTCTCGTGGCGCTTTTCTATTTTCAAAGATATGTCGAGATGCGGTAATTAAAGCCGCACGCTTCATTTCTGAAGAAAATTTCAGCAAAAATTAGGGTATGCGATCATTTCAAAGTTTTCTTTGGGCGATTTTTAGAAAAATGATAATATGAAATGAGGCGAATCTCCAGCTCAAATGGAAAATGGTATGATTCGACTCTCGTGTTGATATAATATTCGAAATGGATAAGACGACATCTAGAGTTTGAACACCGAACCGCTCTATACAAACACCTTGGGCGAAGGCAGTAGGCGAATCGTCGAGACGATTATTTGATAGATGAGATTGTATATAAACATACAACTGTCATTTACATACTCGGCGGAGTGGAGGAGGCCACAAGGATATTATAATATTAGACGAGATGATGCGAAAACGTCATGTCGTGCGTAATCCGATACGTTCACGGTAGCCATCCGTACAGAAAATGTATGTGCGCGACCGGTTGCGGTGTGGCGAGAAAAAAAATCGGACCCGGAGTTTAATTATGGAGTTTCGAAGCGAGTGACACGACACCACCCTTCATTGGTGGATGGTGGTGGTGTTTCCCACGCGTGTCACACCAACGCCATAAAAAAATGGGAGAGAATCAAATACGTATGGCGGTTGTCACTTGGGATGGATGAGTTCGAGGATCATCGGCTTGCTCTCAGCAAAATGAAGGGAGTTGTGAAAAATTGACAAAATGAAAATCGAGGAGATTAAACAATTATTTCGTTTATTTTTTTTTTCTTCAAATTTTTCGCACTCGTCAAAAATCGAGAAAATGAAGCTGAGTCATCGAAATCGAGTTATTGTCCTGTTGGAATCGTCAAAAAATATAGAAGACGCAAAATTTTGAGGATTCGATTTAGCTTAGATGTATATTTTTCTTTTAAAATATTTAATATCCTTATGATCCGATGGATCAATGCCATTGGTTTCGAACTACAGGATCGTTTTTATTCCATCGTAACAATTTTGAGGGAAAACGACATAAAACAGTGGTTACATTTTATTGGTTGTGAATTCGAGATAAATTTCAAATAAGTGATTTGAAACGGTGAATATGTATTACTTGTGATAGCAAAAAAAAAATCAATCGATGAAAAGTTGCCGTCTTTAATGATCGCGTCCGACAATTATTTTTTTTTATTGAGATTACAAAAAAATGGAAACGAGCTCTTTGAGCAATTCTCAGCAATTTTCGAAGCGGCAATTCGAATATTGACACTTAACAGGGAGGTGTTTTTGCTTAGTGGTTTGGAATTTTTTCTAATTTTGCGCACAAACAGATCGAGTGTGCTATACCGGTTTTCTGCAAAAGTCCCAAAAACTTTGGGTCCGACGTTTCAAATTTCAAAATTTTGGGGTTGAGAGGCGAACTCGCGAAAAATACTATGAGCAGTGGGTATTTGACTACCGTACTACGGATCACCTGCGAATCAAACTCAACATAAATCTATGTACACAAAGCGCTCGTTTCATTATAATTATTATAACTAAAAAATTTCATATTTTTAAATGAGCGGGTCGATTTGCGCCTACGCCAATGGTCTCGCACCGACTAACTGGTTGTTTCGCATTTTAAAGGGTCCGTACGACAATTGTTAATTTGAGGGACGCTAGAAATTCAAGGAAACACCAAAATCATTAAGGCCAAGAAAGCAGCAAAATGAGAGTTCGTGGCGAGACCATTTCGAAAAGCTCACTATAGAAGCAAATTTTGCAATTTTTATTGAAATTCGCGACAAAATTGATTCTGAGAAAAATTGAAATTAATACTAGAAAGTCAAGAAATCAACATTTCCGTGTGAGACCAGCGCAACAATAATGGTTTGAATATAGCTAACTATTTATAATATTTGAACCCAGTTCTGGATAATGCTTATTGTATAATGAAATAAGAGAACCCGTCTCAATAAAACCCTAAATTTTTGCAAAAACGCACCTGTTGATCTACGAGCAGCTTGTTGAGGTTCGATTCAACTCTCAGTCGCTTATCATTCAATTCCAATTTTCGTTCCATCTCATGCAGCCACGATCGCATCTCGCCGGCAACCGATGACGACGTACTTCGCGCGGAGCCTTCAATAAGCACAACAATTAAAATTGAATTCATCATTAATCCAAAAAAAATCTTACTCGAAGCATCCGATTCGGTTCCACTCATTATGCGAGCCGTGTGCTGAATTCGCAGTTGTTCCATTGCGCAGCAGATTGTATTCAGACGGAGTAACACCTAAAGAAAAGAAAAAAATGAAAGACATGAGAGGAACACTATGATTCGAAAATATAAGGTAGATCAAAAGCAATTGAAATTCGCCATTTCAAACCTAGAAAAAAGTTGCTCACCGAGTTCTCGACGTCTGGCTTTTCAGCCAGTATCTTTTTGGCCGATTTTTCTAGTGTTGACGTCATCTCTTCAAGGCATTCACATGATATTGTCTGCAAAAAAACGAGTAAAATAAATATCGGCCTTGGAAGGAAAAGGTGCGAAATAATCTTCGCCTGATCCGTGCGCGAAAAAGGGAAAAACCGATTCAAAGGTGCGATCCGAAAGTGAAAAAAAAATTTAAATTCGATTACACAAAGGTCGAGTAGGTATTATTCATGATTTGGATTCATCAAAAAAGTAATTCGAAAAAAATTATATAATATAAAAAACCAATTTTTTTTGAAAATTTTTAATTATTGAAAAATTTTCAATTTATTATTCTAAAAAATTATTGAAAAATTTTTTGACAAGCTAGAAAAATTCGCAAAAGCTCAAAAATTTTCCAATTAATCGGGAAGTTTTTTTCTTCATTTTTCAGATAAATGAAAAATTCTATAGCTTAAATATCTAAATTTTTACAATATTAAAAAAAATTTGAAATACTTTTTCTCATAGTAAATGACCCTAATGAGGGGGCGGAGTCGGGACAGAACGTAAAAAGAATTTTGGGAAAAATTTTTTCAGTTTCAAATAATTTTTTAAAGCATTTTTTGGCATTAAAAATTTTTTTTTTAATCAAAATGCGATTTTCTACATATTTCGATTATAATCTTGGGCGCTGCAAATTTTTTAAATTTTCCTTGACCATTTGATATATGTAGTTTCATAAAACTACCGTAAGCTTTAAAGGCGCATACAAAATTTTGTTCAATTTGCATCATCAAGAAATCGGAATAACTAAAAATGATTGTCTTTGCTTTTCTGGAGGCTAAATTTAAAATTTTCGAAATTTTGTCTTTAGCTAGATCTAATGAGATTGGCATACAAGAATTTGACGAGAATCAAGAAGAGCCTCGAAAACACCAAAGCGTTGAGATTCATAAAACAAATGGATAGATGGGTTGGCTCAGGATGCTTGCTTGAGCATTTGCCTATTACGCATAATTGAGCCCCCCCCGCGCTCTCAAAAGTGGAGACGAGTGGTCCGAATCACGTCTCGGTCCGACCGAATTTTAATTAATCCGCAATAGACAAAACGCACACGAGGCCGCGAAAAGCCTATTAGGCAAAGATGGCGGTGTTGGGGGGGGGGGGCGATCATTGTTATCGAGACAGATCATCTCCGTGGGATTACCCACGATTTATTAAGGGACTACACACACACACACACAGAGGACCATGAGTTTAATGCCAGAATTTGTGATGGATCACCGATCGAGTCAAATCGGAGGCAATAACGAATTGTTGGTGGAAACACCAATTTTTTTTCTGGAGGTGGTGCACACTCGCTCACAAGAATAAACATAAACAATGGCGGCGAACACCCTCCACTCTTCCTCGTATACATACATACATTCATGCGGGTGGTCTCTGTATACAGCATAAATGTATAATACATAGTATTGTCTTAAATAAACCGAATTGACTCACATTCCTATTGTGTGGTTTCGCGACGCGTCGCCAAGAATTTTGATTTGGGCGTCGCAAATCGAAAATCAAAAAAAAAACTTTTGTGCTCAATTTCTCCATGTATGATGGTCCGAAAAAGATTTAATAGAACTCAAAATGTTGAATAATGGTTTGAAATGCCAATTTTGAAGAAGTCAATGTAGATCAATGAATTTGGAAATTTCTCACGCGTAAATTTGGTCTTGCAGCGAACATATCAAAAATATATCACAATCTCAGTCTAATTAACATATCTTCTTGATAGGACCCTTAGTTCTTTTTACACCAATTTTTATTTGAGAAAACCATGCCTACCTACCGACACCATCCCATCCACCACCAATATAACTATATTTTAAAAATGGTTCAAAATTGATTTGCTTGAAAGTTTAAGTAGATGATTTTTTTTGATCTACAAATTCTACAATTTCTAAAAATTAATGGAGCGATTTTGGTGATAAAAAAAATAATTTTTCCTTTAAATTTTTTCTTTTTTTTAATTTAATTTTTTTAAATTAATTTTTTCTGATCACATTTTTTTCAAAACGTGAATTTCTCATCAATTCAATTTTATAACGAAAAAAGAAGTTGGCAACTTCTACAATCATGAAAAAATGCGACAATCTGTGCTAGCTGAGTCTCGAAGCGATAAAATGGAACATTTGCCATAATCTATAAAAGCGTATCCGGGTGGCATAATGCATTCATATGTATGTACAATGCAAAAAAGTGTTGAATGAATATATCCTAATCCATCTAGTTTTTTTTTCTATTGTCAAAGTCAAACAAGCAATTCGAAATAGATTTCAGAATAAGAACATATCAGTCGAACGAACAAACACACCAAAATTCGCGACGGCTGTGTGTGTGTGAGGCTGGGTGCGCGAAAATGACCAGATGTATGGGAAAATCAACCGATTGGGTCAAATGGCGAACAATTCGGATAATAAAATAACACATTCAATCGCAAATTGACAATTTCGATAAGAGATACACACACACACACACGGAGCTCATTATTTTTCTTACAACTCAACTCTTCGTCGTCGGCGAGCCGACCCATTAATTTAGATAAGAGCCAATGGCGCGTTGACATTCGCACACGTTCGAGCCACAACATTTATATCATGGCTAGTATGTCTGTCGGTGTTGATTTGTTTCAATGTTGCCATCGATAAATAATACATAGAATTGCGAACATTTGGCCAATTTTTTACTGCTTAAATTTTATTTCTGAATTTACAGTTTTCAAGGAAATATAATTGTTGCAGACAGTTTTTTTTTTTCGAGGACCCCCCACCCCCTTGGAACTATTAGCTTAAACAATGTGGCCCACAAAACCCAGAATTTCAGTTTTTGAAATGTGCAACGAAAAAATTTGATCCTTAAAATTCAAAAAATGATATGAAATTGGGATTAAAGGAACATAGGCAATTTCAAGGTTAAAAAAATTCTTTTTAGTACAAATAATTCTTATCTCAATTTTCTTAAGTTCCTTTGTTAAAAATAATTCTTATCTCAGAAAAATCACTATGAATTTCATTTTTGATGGAAAAAAGAAATGTATTTTTCTACGTCACTGAATAAAAAAAAAACAGAAAAATATGATTTTTTTTCAAGCATTTTTAATTTGAATGAAAAAATTCATTTTAGAAATATATCGAAGGATGAAGGCCTAGGTAATCTGAGAAATGAAGACGTCGGTAAGGGACGCAATTTTTGCCTTGATGGAAAATTCTACCAGGGGTAATTATTAGTGGAGAAATTATGAAATTCACAATGATGCGCCTTTAAATAAAATACAAACAATTGTTAGAGAAATATCATCCTAGAGCTCTACGAATCAAAAGGAACTGACAAGATGAGACGCCCCTCCCCAAGTCGTGCAACTTGTTTCACATTTCAATTGTCATCCCATCAATCTAGCCATCATTCAAAAATTCATGCACGAAGGGCATCTTATTCAAGACCATTCATGGGCAAAACGTTGTTCTTTCGAGCAGAGCACAAAAAAAAATCGAGAAATGATTGCACGCGTTGTTGAAGAAGGCGAAGAAAAAAGAACTGCGCAGATGTTTAAAGGATAATCGATTTGTAAACATTGACGAATATCAAATAACAAGAAAAATGGAGAAGAACGACAAAAATGGGAATTTTATTTGGTATGCGGATTGCCAAAACACGATTTTTCCCCCTCCCAAATTCTGCATATCGATGAGAAATTTAAGCTGCAGGGCAGACCTCGAAGTTTATGGGTTTTTGATAAGTCAAACACCAACTATGATTTTTATAAGGGGGGTCCCATTTTCTGAGGTCGCGCATCGCCAGATGCTCGGCAACTATTCTCTTTGTGGGTTTTTACGACGCTTCACATTAAGAAAATGGGCGTCACATCTGGTGGCGGTCGACGGTTTGAAAACTATACAGAGGAATGAATCTTTGGCGAACACACACACAAGCATATTTTCAACAAGCCGTGTGTTGCTGCACACCGCGCGAAACGAGCTCAAGCAGAAACAGTAATCGAGATGGAATAGATACTCGAAAACAAACGAGTGCGTCTTGTTTGCGAGCGCCAATTGTATATACATATGAATGCGCGTAGTGAGCACGCACACCCCCCATTTTGTTCTTCCGCACTGTTATTGCACAATTCGCGTCGAGACCTCGATCGAAGGCAACTCGCCAATGTCCCTATAATTAGCATGACTCGAATTCACCCCTAACCTAATGAGGCTGATGATTTTTTTCAATAAGACGAGTCTAACCTCAACTATGTTGATTCAAGCGGTTCAAATTTTTCATACGATCATATTGGCCTTCTTATTTCAAATTTAAATGCAGCGAACATTTTGAGAAATTGTGGACCATCGCAATTTTTCATCGCGAGGCGGGAATTCAAATTTGAATTCATGCAGTGGGAAGGAATTCGAGACACCAAATTTTTGAATCAAACAGTGTTCTCTGTTTTTTTTTTAACATTCTTTCAAATTTCGCCATTATTTTGTTATTGACGCAAAATTTGTTATTTTCTTAGAAATTCGAAAAATTCGATTTTTTTAGAAATTCGAAAAATTCGATTTTTTTAGAAATTCGAAAAATTCGATTTTTTTAGAAATTCGAAAAATTCGATTTTCGAATTTCCGCGTGAGACCTGCGCAAAATGACAAATCAGCTAAAAAATAACGATTTCAAAAAAATGGAAAAAAATAATTTTTTTTATCTGAATTTATAAGAGTTATAAGTCGGCTATTAAAAAGGCTAGAAAAAAAATAATAAATTTGAGTTTTCGAAAAAAGTTGAAACAAAAGGGAAAGAATATTTCAAGGCGAAATTTTCCAAAAAAAGAGGTTTTACCACGAACACAAGAAAAAATGAGAATAGGCCGGCAAAAAAAAAGAAACGGTGACACCTTGCGCGTTGTTTTGCAGCTGCGTGCCGGCTTGCCAATTTTTTTTTGAGGAGAGAAACGAATTGTACACATGTACAACATTGGGAATGTCTTTGGGACCAACCATTCGAAATTCAACAACACCGGAATCGCGGCAAAGCGATCGCAATAAATCTGCGCTTCTCGAATTACAAGCATACCCAAATAAGGAAGGATGGCTAGCGTTCGGTGCGTCTCAAGAGACCTCGCTTTTTTTTTTTCTTCCTCACTAGTTTCTACATAGTGGTCCCCTCAACAATCGCTAGCTGCGCGCATTTTAATCGAATATAGTTGTGCTTCAGGGGGGGGGGTCGATCCGCGAAAAGCGTATCAAATTGCGCGGCGCGGTTCGAAACAATAACAAAGTTTCTAATTACTGCTACGCCAAAAAATCGTAAAATCAGAGAGATCGATTTGAGAGATAATGTTGCACAATTCCCCGGTGATTTATTAATGTGTTGACCCAACTCTTCGACACTAGAGCATCTCTCTCTTTTTTTTCATCAATGTCATTCGGGTGGGGCGGGGGTCAGGTCAGGCAGGCTCTCTAGGCTTTTGCTCGCGGTCAATATATAATAAATAAAAAACAACAACACCCAACTCCAATGTGGTATATACATAATGACCGATTACCATAGCTACACGCACGCCGAGTTTATTAGTGTCATAAAAAAAAACGAAACGCTTTTTACGAGCGCCGTTTTCAGCGAGTACCTACCTTTGAGGTGAGATTGTGCAGCGAGTCGAGTATCAGATTATACAGCGATGAGCAATTCTCGAGGAAGATGTCGACCTCTTCGTTGCTCGCTGACGACAATTGCGAATCCTGAATTGATTTCAATATTAAATCATTCAAATTGCTAAAAATTGGCTGAAGGCCAAAAAATTTCCGAAGAGAGGTGTGCGCCTTTAACCTATCCTTACACATTGGCCCGTAAATCTACACTTAAAATTTTGCGGCAAGACCATTGTCATGATTTTTTGGCATTTTGCCAATTTTCTGAAATCGCGCGATGCTGACAATTTTTGATTGCAACAATCGAAAATGAAAAATTCATTTTCATGTTGAGCCTGTCGTTTGAAAAATTGCAAAAATGTTAATACCCAGATCAATATTGGAAAATTTAAATTTAATAGGAATCGAACACCATTTTTTACTCAATCCGAAACTCTAAGAACTGTGGCAGCGGGATTTTCAGATTTTATAGACAAGACAAATTTTTTAAATTCCTAAATTGAAATTTTCCAAACTCCATAAATTAGTCAACAAAAAAAACGTAAAACTATAGAAATTTTGAAATTTAATGGAAATCAATGTTGTCGACATAATGAGTGAGTGCGTGTCGACGGGTGGGGGGCGAACAATGGCATACAAGGGAGTAAAGTTGCGAAGAGCCGGCGAGTCGTGTGTTCGCACTCGACAAAACTTTCGAGAGCTTCTTCGGCATACAACTTGTACAAGCCCATTCATTCGCATTCGTTTGATTACCAGCAATTCTATGGTTTGAAAAAAAATGGAAGAGGGGAGAGAAATGAAGATACCGATCCAACTGAAAATTTTGATTCAAATGGTTTGAATTGAAAAATTTGGAATTTGCACAAAAAATGCAAATATAAATAAACCATTGCTTCTTATTTTTTTCGAGAAAATTATAATAAATTATGTTTAAGGGATTCTAGACATTCTAATTGTAGTGAAGAAAGCAATACAACCGAAAGCCATAGTACAGTCATGCTTGTTTCATTACAGTAAGAACAATTTGTCCCAATCAGTGTCCCAGATTCTATCAGGCATCATCGTAAATTCAAACAACCGTTCCCCCCATCCACCATCACCAATTCGATGTGGATGTCAGTCACCATAATTTAGCAAAAGTCACACATCACGCTCACCTTCGTTTTTCTTGTGCAGTAGATCATAAAACGCGATAACGGGCCAAAAATTCAAACGGTTGAAAAAAAAATTTCCGAGGAGTTGGCCCGATTCGGACGATATAAATCACAAGTTTTGCCAAGGTCGATTTTCGCGACGACGACGAAACCGAACGAAGCAGGAGGGGGCGAAAAAAAAATGGAAGGCGGCGAAACGCGTCGAATCTATTGGAACAGTGCCAATGGGGCGTTCGATCACGGATTTTCGCGACGGTCTGGGTGAGGCGCAAGACAAAAATTGACAGCAACCCACCTCCCCCCTCGACGCACTCAAACAAATATATTATGTGTTATATTATTATGAGCAGGGGGCCAAATTGAATCGGCCGTCCCGACATTCGCACAATCATATAAAATGAGTGATTAATGTGACAATTTGTAACCCAAATCAGTGCGCGGAAGTCCGTCTTCCGAAAACTTCAAAAAAAAAAGAACGACGTCTCACCTGATAACCCATGATGATCGGCATCTCGACCTCCGAACTGTCCATTCTTGCAAATCGATCGCGATGATGCTCGCACGTAACCTAAGCGACGGGTTACTGGTGTTTCAATTTGAGTCACACTCGATTGTTCGGTGTTTCGGTATCCAGACGTTGGGGATACTCGACCGGACGTGTTCAGATCATCGCCTCGCCACCAAAATAATTGGCGATGGGTGTTGGCGGGAATGACCAGCTCGGATTCGAGGCGGGCTCTGAAAATGTTTGAAGTGACGAACAACCCGAACGCGATGGCAAGTAAAAAAAAGAAGATTGAGTAGATTCAATGGAAAATTGGCTCTAGAAATTTTGGTTGAAAGCAGATTATTTTAGAATTTGAACGAGCAATAATTTTTAATTTGGCTGCCTATCAAACATGCAAAACAGGAATATACATTAAAGGAGCATTCAAAAAAATTTTGATTTCGCGCCAAGAATCACAACTGTATTTTACCTCAATTATTTGAATATCTGACTACTGTTTCTAAAAATTTAGAAAGCAAAAAAATTGAGAAAAAAATTTTCTTTAAAATTTGTTTCTTATTTTTTTTTTGTTTTTTTTTCCTCTGTATTTTTTTTTTGAAAATTTTATGTATTTTATCAATTAGTGACCACACAACGAAAAAATCGAAATTCCAATGATTCTCAAAAAAAAATGCTGACTATTTACACTACGGAGTTCCAACGAAGAAAAAAAGTTTTCCCAATGCATATTGACGCGATTCTGTCAAAAAAAAGCGTAGAGCGAATGATGGATTGAATAAATAAAATCAAAATGTTAAAGTGCAAAGAACCCGGCAATAATAAACATTGATGATTAAAAAAAACGAAGTGCAGACAAGAAATATTGATAATTATAATGGATTGTATATGATACCAAAATCTTTTCGAGAAGGCGGCAGCCATTGACATCTCGATGATCGATTACAAGGAGTGTCGATTTTTGTCAGACGCCGCCTATCACACCTGGTACCAACACAATCATTTGGTGCAATCAATCATAATTCGAAATCGACGCCAAAATGAAGGTGTGAATTAATCAGCTGATTCAGAGCAGATGGAAACCCCAACAGGTGGGTGGATCATCCGGATTTCGACCTTCAAGATGGCAATCATTTGAAAATGCTGGCCAATGAATTGTCCGTCCAACTATACTACTATTACCAGTCGACCACACATTTATATAATATATACAGTAGGTAATAATAATAATAATAATAATCGGCTAACAACGATATATATAATAAGAATTGGAAGGATCGGCGGAAGAGGGTAGCGGAAGAAGAAAGTGTGGAAAATGGGGGGATTTGAACGCTTCATTTGAATCGGATAAAAGCGACGAATACTATGAACACAATATCGTCAAGCCTACTTTCGCCTATCGCCTTCAGAATTCTTCGCTTCTCTTCTTTGATGATTCGAAATTATCCAATTCTCATGTTAATAAAAAAAATTGTTGGTAGAATACAAAATTTTCGGGCTTTCAAATTTGATTCGATTCGATCGTTCAAAGTCGGCGTCTTCGCGGGTGGGGTTATAAAACGGACGATGTCGTCGGGTGGCCCCAGTTTTTTTACGACTTGATGATTACTGTGCTAATTGGTGAAATGAACAAATAAACCCCCCTATTTGGAGGGGTTGGCCGAGGGAAAGAGGTCGATGTTAAACAACTTGATTTATTTTTTTTCGGGAATCGAAAAAAAAAAACACATTCTAATTTTTTAATTAACCTGTTTGTTTGTCGAATTTCAGAATGAAATGAATGGCCAAAAAGGTTGCTAATTAAGTAATTAACAAATGACATTAAAAATCGAGGGTTTCTTGGGACGCAAATGTCAAATGTCCGCAAACACCGCGACGAAAAAATGAACCGCAATTTTGAATTCACTTCAAATCTCATGGCTCGCATTTAAATAAAAAAAAAATTGAATTCGTATTATTTTTCTTGGCAATTTTGCAATAGAAAATGCTAGTGGCTAATTTTTTTCCATCATTTTTCTCTGATATGCGATTTCTAATTTTTTTCAAAGCTTCGAGTTTTAATGAATCTAGAATTCAACAAAAAAAATGAAATTGCGATAATAGAGTGAAAAATGGACAAATTCTGGCGGCAATTCAAATGCATTTCTTGGAATTTTTCGAGTTTGCCTGACATCCCTAATAAATGTGGTAGCAAAAAAATTGAAATGACGAAATTCAGAAGCAATTGAGTTTTTAGATATACGGTTTGCGTACAAAAAGCCATAAAAAGGCAGCGAGAAGAAGCGATCGATACTAATTTCCTTATCAGCCTCCCTCCCCCCCCCCTTCCATTCCACATGACATGCTACTACTACATACATTCATACTATTGGCAAACTGTTCTGCTGCAACCCCCCCCACTTCAAAAAAAAAATGAAAACAATTAAAAATAGTTGAACTAATTAAGGTGACTGGCTTCAAATGCGAAATCAAAATAATATCGGTTCGAATCGGTCGTGATTGAGGGGGGCGATGGCTCGCATGCGAAAAGAAGCGCCTCGTCGCGAGAAGAAGCCGCGCGTGTGTTAAACCTTGCGCAAACTCACATCGACACGTTTCTCGGCTTCTGTGCTGTGCGTCGGATGCGGAAAAAAGTACACCGATTCCAACGAATCGAATCGATTGTTTGCCCGTGTTACGAGTAAAGAATAATTAGAGAACCCAATTTTTTGAAGCCAAGGAAACAAATTTCAGAAAAAATTGTATTTTCAAACAAGACCCGCCCCCCAAATGCCCAACACCTTTTTAGGTTTAGCAAGTACTGCATAGCAAGACGAGGGCGAAACAAAGAAACCGGGGGCGTGGCTTTGGCCGTTTGCCAATTTTCAAAAACCTCGTCGGCGGAATTTCAAACCGTCGCGTTTTTACGACGTTTGGCCGATTGCCAGTCAAAAGATTTATGATTGCACCACCATTTTGTGTTTCTTTGTGTGAATAGTCTCATGAACAAGATTTTGTCACCACTAGAACTTATTAGGGTAGCCGAGCATTTTAGATCGAACTCTGGGGCCTCTCAATACGCAATTTTTTTTTTGAAATGGGATGACGAGATCAACACATGAAATCTGGCAAGAACGAATAAAAATGGTTTCCAACACGTGGCGCTCAAATTGCATGTGCTGAATGTCAAATCGCGCGTCTGGGTGTCGGTGTGTAAAGCAATGCCAGATGGTTGAAAGAAATATGAACAAATTATGCCGAATTTCAAATTCATTTCGCAACAACAATGTGATATATATAACAACAGGTAGCATTCGACATCTTCCACCTGCCGCCTTCTCAAATATCAAAACCAAATTGACAAGCAGCTGGCGGCATAAAAATTGCATATTCGAGATGTAATCGAGAAGGATTGAAAGGGCAGACGAGAGGGGGGGGGCAATCTTGCCGCTTAAAATAATAAACAGCGTTCCGATTTTTTTTTGCAAATTGCGCGATACAAGCAAAGCACGCAAGGAAGACAATGAGGCGAAATGGCGGGCGAGGCGCGCGCGCGAGAGGAAGCGCAGAGAGAAACAGATTGGCGAGGAAGGCGAGGGGAAAGAGTGTGGACAGTTTTTGAATTTCGCGGCCCCCCCCAACGCGCCACCCGCTGGCGTGGCGTCGCCGTCCGAAAAAAAATGGACGCTTTTTGCTGTGCGGTGAGAAAGAGAGAGAGACTGGGAGAATAATTGATGTAAGCTGACAGCTAACCCCCTTCTACACCATCTAATGGTTTAATTAAATCACTAATCCGAGGGCCTAGCAATAATTAGCAAATGAACGCCTTCTGAAGCTTCTACATTTTTGAGCTTCAAAATGTTTTTTTTTCGTGCGTTTCAAAAAAAAAAGTCGGAACTCACTGGATGTTTGCGGATCATTCAGCGCGGCAATTCAAATTTATGGATACCGTACCACGGAGAGCCTGAGAATCAAACTCGTTTATAAATTACAAGAAGATGCTCGTTTCTTTGAAATTGCAACACATTCAAAAAATATTACGAAATTGAATAGATTTCGAACGGACGACGATGAGTAATCACCATTCAGCAGGCAAAATTATGAATTATTTCGATTTAAAAAGAAAGTTGGGTTTTCCAAAAAAATAGAGATCGCAAAAAGCTTTGGAATATTCAAATCCAGAAAAAAACAATAAAAATTTGAATAGATTCAAATTATAGACATCGTTAAACCTATAAAAATGAGAATAAAAAGTTAAAGGACCAAATATGAGCACCAATTTGAAGAAATTGGTCCGTTCGGGTAGCTTGAAGTTTTTTTTGCGTTTAAAGGCGCATTCAGAAATTTTGGACTCAAGCTTGCCTCGTATGGTTTTTTTGAACTTTGAGGGTCTTGTGTGGAATTCAATATAGCCACAAATTAGAGTAAAAATATCTGAAAATTTCACCGTTCGAAAATGGAAGAAATAGCAAATTTTCTAGCCACGATGCGAATTTTTAAAATCAAAATTCTATAGACCTCAAAATTTTTTCCGAAAAAATTGACAAAGTTTAGTAAATCTGCATATAATTAATTGCCTCGAATATCTATATGAATTAAGTACAAAGACGACAACCAATAATTAATCACTTTAAAAAATCTAAGCGAATGCTCATAAATTTTTAGTGAAGATAAACGAGGCGAAAAATGTACACGAGTGATAAACAGATGACCAATGGGTATGAAGTGGGCAGTTGAATGAAAAGAAAAGCGAAAAACAATAGAAAGAATAAGCAAAAGAGATATCAACGCGAACGGCTGTCGGAGCGAGTCGTCTCATTGCTCAACACGCTATTTCGCGCAAGCTCCGCCCCTCTCCCCAATTTCCATTGGTACCGGTCAGTCGAAATTTATGCACATATTTGGAATCGAACACTTTCATATGCAAATTGCGACATTTCGGCGGTCAACTTTATATTCATGTTTTTTTTTGGTCGATGTGGTATGAATGTCAGAAGCCTCGACGAATTGGAAATGATAGTATGTTGTCGAATCAAGGCGCATCTAATTCGATTATGTCCAAAAATGGTGGGGAGGGGGGGGGAAGCTGTGTAATCGCCACCAGCAATGTCAACCAAATTTCTGACGGTGCAAACGTTCGAGTGGAAAATCGCAAGAACGACGAAGACCACTTCAATTTTTTTTTTTGATTTGATACGGAAAAACGAGTGAGCGGATTTTGCAAAAAAATGTTTATTTGGGTCAGATTTTTGATCTATTGAATACAAATTTACATTAAATCAACAAAAAGCCTGATGATGGGACAATTACTGTTCAATCTGTGAATGGGCGTCGCGGCGAATTGCAGATTAATAAAAAACTTAATATTTTTAATCGGAAATTGTTTTTTTTTTCTATTAAAAAATAGTTAATGTAATTTAGGTTTGAAATTTTTTGGCAACGTTTGAATTGCGCACGCATTTTTGAATTTTTAAAAAATCATTCATGAAGCTTTTAAGAAAAAGGATTCGTGTAAAAAGGAAAGTGTGCAAAATTGCGTCTGTGTGTAATCAGACAAAACTTCGCATGAAGTTCTTTCTTCTTCGAGCTTCCACGCTGTTTTTTTTGACAAAATAGCGCCTCAATCCACTTTGAATATATTTTACTATTTCTTTTAAATGTTTTTTTAATTATTAATATTTAGCATGAGTTACAAATAGATAATTATGATACGATGGTTGAATAAAAAGACGCTGAAATCGAAACAATTACAAGACGTTTTAATTATTCTTCCCTTCATTCAAATGCAAATCGAAATCTGAAGCCGAAAAAAAGCGAATGAAAGCATTTGCATATGCGGAATTAGTGGACAGAATCAAATCGAATTGATAAGTACACAAACGCGGAATCGTCGAAGGGCATATAGTCGTAAAAACTCCGATTATGGTCATAAACACGCAGCTGCAACCAAAATAGAAAATGCTGCCTACACGAATACCATAAATATACTACCATTTTCGTTATAATAATATTATTATTATTATTATGAATAAAAAAACCGTGCGTGAAAAGAAGGCATTCCGAGCGTCGCATTATAAAAATGCTCGCCTCGCAACTTTATCGGCGGCAGATGGACACCGGCTCGGTCAAAAGCAAACAGATCATATCTATGTGTTTTTGCGATTACATGAAGTTTTTATTGATAAAACTGGTCATTCGCAAAATTGTGACTATTATGATGAAATTGATGGCACAACTCGTACTGGAGGAATTGATGATACAATAACGCAAGGAAATGGAATGCGGCGACCTCGGGCCGGACCAAAACTGTTTGCGTTTGACGAAAATTCGCTGTGGCATGTTTACTGTGACAAATAATTGTGGCAATCGAGTTGAGTTTAAGAAAAAAAAGATACAATTATGATTCAATTATGGGCTCATGTGCTCGTCACCAAATTCGGATTCTCGGTTCCCGTGCTGCTCTGATTCAATGCCTTGTATTCCCGCTTCTGATTGAACACTTTGATTGCCAAAAATTCAAGACCACCGTAGATTTTATACACTGCCGCGTAGAAAACACACATAATAATTGCATAGTAGAACATTATCGGACTCTGGAAACCAAAAAAACATTTTTTTTAATTTTCGAGATTCTCTAAACCTCGAAGAACATGTAAACCCAAAAACAAGTTACAAAGAGCCAAATTCCGACGAGCATTTTTTGAATCATTTCCAAATTCTCATTGAGCTGAAAGTATCCCAATTTGGATGTTTAAAATCATATTTTTAAAAATAATTACCTCATATTCACGACCATTCGGCGTGTTTTCAAATTGCCGCAGATTTCGCGGCGTGTTGTAGAATCTAAAATGAAACAATTGCACAATAACCAATCGACTCAAATTTTCGAGTACTTCTTCAGCTTCTCCTCTTTTTGCCTCCACAGTTCCACAAGCCATTTTCCAAGATCCTCATCATTCGCCGGGATTTCTTCAATCGGAATTTTGCGAATCTAATTTAAAACAATTTTTTGTGAAACGTTGATCACACCAACCTGATAGAAAACTTCCTTGGGGCAAACTCCATGAACGACGAGATCAACCTCCGATTGTACTATCGCATCGCCAAATCCAATGGTGACATCGTAGAGGAATTTGATATTATTCGCTGAAAACTCGCTTTAAATATTTGCACATTGAAGAAAAATGCATTCTACGATTTGGCCTATAATTAAGCAATTTCAACGATACATCAAATTTAAGGGGTACCTTTTTTAGCCCATCAATTAAACCTCAAAAGACAAGGTCAAATTTTGCAATTGGCACTTGGCCAACAAAAAGCGCGGCTGTTTGGCGAGCATCTCGCCGACAACAATTAACCGAACAGCTCAGAACCCTTTGATCTTTGCGCCGACAATTCTCATACGCATAATTATGCTAACTATAAAAATCATGAATATCCGAAGGAACACATCAAACTTTTATGACAAGCGTACACATTCGCAGCTCATGAAAACGAGCGCGTCTGACAAATTTTTGATTGATCCCCCGCCTCGACACAATCATCAATATCTATCCATCTATTCCGTTGATACGCGTTTTTGAGAATTGCCTCGCTCTTAGTACGATTGTCGCAAAATACACAATTTCGCGATTCCAATGGTTCCCACGACATTCGAAAATGATCAATCAGCGACGGGCAAGAACACAACATTTTAATGGGTGCCATGTCGAAAATTGCTGCGTTGTCCGATGTTTGGGTGTAATGCGAAAAATTGACCTCGTTACATCGGATAGTCACAATCTTAGAAAAAGAAGGGGGGGGAGAAAGAATGATATCTCTTCGGGACCATTCATTTCATACATGATCCTATAATAGCTCAATTCCATTAGGGCTTTCATTCGGGTGGAAAAATTCCAGGAGCGTATTGATTTGGCGGCCTAATAAATGGAAGCCAGTACATCTCAGGTAAATCGAATAAAATATTTTGAGATTCATTGAGAAACTAACGTGTCTCTATAATATTTTAGATTTTTCTCAATCAATTTTAGAAATTATTATAAGAATTTAGAATTTTCTCAACAAATTTTAGAAGATCTTATAAGATTTTAAAAAATATTTTTAAGTTTAGCTATTCTCAATAAGTTTTAGAAAGTATCAATAAACTTTAGAATTTCTCAAAACGTTTTAGAGTTTATTATTGAATATTTGATTCTCAAAATATTTTATTTGATTTGCCTGAGATATTGAATCTTCAAATTAATACTTCGCTATTTCTTTTAATAAAATCTACTCTAAAAAAAAACTCGTAAAAACTCAGAAGATAATAAATACGAGTTTTGGTGGAAATAATGGTGGACGTGAAATGAGTCATGGCCGAATGATTCGCGGCCGCCTGTAATTCACCCGCCCGAATTGAAGTCCTAAAATTGTTTAAACTTTTTTTATCAGGTGAATAATTAGGACATGCGTCATTTGTATTCAAAAGGCTTATCAAATGACAAAAAAACAGAAGTTGAAACTCACTTTTCCTCATTGTTTGAACAATGTGCACAAAACCGGTGGTTCGAGGGTGAAGGACATAATTATAATGAACCAACGACTTCTTCTCGGCGTGAATTCGACTACGTTCGGTGGCTTTTGGACATTTATCAGTGCCTTCTGGGAATAAAAGAATCTCAAAAAAGAATCAATGTTTTAATAACGAATGAGGTGAAAAATGTCAAGAAAACCTGATAACGGTATCCGATATCCGACAAATAATTCAAAATGCTGTCTAGTTTGATTTTGTCGGTTGAAAATGTGCGATCCAGAAATATGTAGCAAGCGGCCTGCATTGCCCATCCTGCAAATCATGACACTATTTTGCGCTTCACCGCTTCTGAAGCCCACCAGCTCCTGGCACGTATTTCAGCACCCCTTTCAGCGTAATTTTTTCAGTAGTGCAAAGCCACGGATCCATTTTGAAGAGCGCATTCCAGAAGAAAAGCCAATCCAGCCTAGCAAAATAAAAATACGATCCAATTACACATTTTGTGTAAAATGATAACCTTGTCCGATGATTCATGATGATCAATGCCGGTTCGGTGTAATCAATCATATCCCCTTTTACACTAACTTTGGCACCAAACAAGTATTGCATTAAGGCACCCGGGAAAATCACCCAAGCTCCCACTAGTCGATCAAGCATCTTTCGGTAGAGGCGCGGATCGAAGAACATGAGCATGACAAGAGGTGAGGCGATGTAAAGAACGCCTGAAAAAATGGATTCGAATTGGGTTGAAATTCTATTTGGTGGACCACAGACGGCTTTGTGGTGCGATTGCTTTATTGTTTGAATTTCTACCATGGGTCTTGCATGGAAAAAAAAACTTAGGAGCGATTTTCACGTATTCTAACTATCATAATATGAAAGAGCATATTTTTTAAAATGAATTTTAAGCAATTTGGTTATTAGCACAAGTGCCGAATGGTTTTTGTTTTGCGGGACCAATTAAATGGCAGCCCGTGCAATTCAAATTTCTCAAATTCGTCCCTCCACAACAATAACGATAATTTAAGAGATTTTTTGCGAGCAAGCCACAGAATGATTGTGACCCATACTTTAGAATTATTTTGACAAAAAAACTCGGCTATCGGAATCAGACGTGATAAGACCCGGCAGATTTTTCGCGTTATGAGCCTTTAACATTGCTTTAATTTCGTTCATTTGCGTTTCCTCAAAATTTTAAATTTTCCTAATATTCCATTATCAAAATATATATAAAATGATCAGTTTTGACACAAAAATCGCAGAAAATTTAATTTTTACGTCAATTTGAAGAGTTTTTGCTTTAGGATACGGTAATTTCGGCGATTTTGATGAGTCACTCTCTTTCAGATAAAAAAAATAAATCATATATGTCCGTAAAACGTCTTATTGTTTGTTATTTTAGTGTAAATATGAACGTTTTCTCACCAAACAGCGACGAAATCAGCATTCCAGCTCCAAATAGCCATCCTTTGACTCGCGTCGACAATGGCTGACCAGCACCGAGTACTGGAGGTTCTCCCGGTGAGCTCATCGCAACTTCAAAACGATCTTTATAAATTCCGTAGCAAATTGAAAATACATTTTTTAAAAATTTCATGGAAATTAATCCACCATTCACGTGAAAAAAAAACAAAAAACAATCAGAAATATATTATTATTATTATTTGACTAGTTTTTGAAGCGCGCACACATATTCAATTTTAAATTAAAAGCTGATATCAGCAACAAGTTGCTAGCGAAAAAAAAACCAAAAAAAAGTGAGACAAGAAAACGAAGGACATCAATGTGTTGGAGGTGGGGTCTAATAGTAAATGAACAAGTCAGAGGAAACAAATGATAAGATTACACAACAGCGAAAACAAATTTCATTATTCCTATTCCGCTTTCGATTTTTCGGCAGCCCATTGAATGAACAAATGCTCGGCGCCGTTGAAGAATTTCAAGCAAAGCAGGTAAAATCCGATGGCGGCGATCGCGTACATCTAGAACAAAAAAAAAGGAATGAAAAATTTTGAAAGAATAAAATGGGTCTCGCGACGAATTCCTTTTTCCCTAGTGAAGATCACTAAATTGGGAAATACGTTTTTCAGAAGAAACAAAATACTACGGACTGTGACGTGTCTGACGACAATGGTATTGAGATATATGGACCACCATTATTTTGAAATTTAGAAGGTTCCTTTAATCGCGATTCAAAAGTTTGATTTAAAGGAACATGCTAATGTCAATTCTAATGAATTTCAAAACGAAAAACGCATTACCCTCGATTTATTTCTAGGCAAAAACCACGTAAAATTTTTCGAAAAATCAATACAGTGCGTTTCACATTTATAAAGCCACCCCTGTTTTTGGGTGTAACTTTGTCAATTGTAAACATTTTTAAATTCTGTTTTCAAAATTGAATTCAGGACTAAAAAATACGTATATCCACCAATTTTCATTATGATATCTGAAAAATTGACCGAGTGGCATTGAAAACACTGAAAATTGGTCACTTGCAACCGTTTCACATTTATAAAGCCACCCCAGTGAATGGTCTGAAAATGTGGAGACCTGAAGAAGAATGAGCAGTGTAGTTATAAATAGAGTACTGTAAGAAATTTTTCTTTTTTTCCGCGTATTTTAACCAACATTTGGACATGTCCCGTAGATTTTTGCTCACCGATGCCGAAAAGGCTACCATAGATTCCTTAAAATTCGCTGGATGGTCTAACCGAAGGATTTCTTCGCACCTGAAGCGGTCGAAAACTTGCATTATTAATTTTGTCAACAAGATCGACAAAAACCAGCACAAAAAAAATCCCGGATCGAAGGCGAAACTGAATTCCCGAGACCGAAGATCGATCATTCGAGTAGCATCCAACACGATGAAGTCATGCAACGACATCAAAAACGAGCGGAATCTTGATGTTAGTAAAACGACGACTTGGAGGACACTTAATGATGATCCCAACATCATCCGGGCAGTTACGCGTCCAGCTCCGAGCCTCCAGGACCATCATAAGTTGCGTCGTCTTGAATTGCTCGAGACAACATGGCAATTGATTGGACAAAGGAAACTTTTTAACCAAATTTTTCTTAAAAAACAATACGATTATCATTAGATCATTTTCTCGGATGAGAAAAAGTTCAACCTAGATGGTCCCGATGGAAATAAATGTTATTGGCACGATTTACGGTAGGACAACCCAATTTTTTCAAAGCGGGACATTGATGACGAGAATATCATGGTCTGGAGAGCATTCTCTTCGACGGAATTTCGCAAGCTGGCATTTGTAAATGGTCGAATGAACTCGCTGGACTATCAGCGAGTGTTAACGGACTATCTGTTACCATTTCGAGGACGATTTCGGCGAAGAAAGTTCGTATTCCAACAGGCAATGCCTCAACTCATGCGAGTTGATCAATTTTGGATTGGCTCAGCAAAGCAAATATCGACGTTTTGAGGTGGCCAGCGTGCTCACCAGACTTAAATTCGATGAAGAATGGTTAGGGAGAGCTGGTTAGCAGCTTTTATCGTCATGGCAAGCAATATCGACCCATTGATAAATTGAAAACGGCGATTACCGACGAGTGAAAACCAGAAACTCAACACCAAGACCACCCAAAATATGGAAAACCTGGTCCAATCGATGCCAAATCGTATTTACGACCTTATTTCTTTGAAAGAAACCGCACCTAAATAATAATCTGGCTTTATAATAGAGTTTTTACTGCGTTCACGGGGGTGGCTTTATAAATGTGAAACGGTTGCAAGTGACCAATTTTCAGTGTTTTTAATGCCACTCAGCCAATTTTTCAGATATCATAATGAAAATTGGTAGATATACGTATTTTTTAGTCCTGAATTCAATTTTGAAAACAGAATTTAAAAATGTTTACAATTGACAATGTTACACCCAAAAACAGGGGTGGCTTTATAAATGTGAAACGCACTGTATGGTGGGAAAATTGTTATGAAATTCTATCAAAACTCACATATTTCTTTTGTTATATTGCGTTTAACAAAAGAAAAAATTGTTTACTCAAGGTGGCATGGTTGGTTTTCAAAATTCCAACAAAAAAAAAACATCGCACGATTCTCACCTTGACCCAAATCGAGGAATAGATGTAGAGGATCCAGCACAGCGTCGCGACGCACCAGAATGAGAACGCAACAACATATCCAGTGCCAGTCAACGCTTCCTAATCGAATTTCGAAATGTAATTATTGCTGGTCAACAATCATACCGGCCATACGAATCGATCACCACTCGCTTCAAGAACACGGTTTTCCTCGTTTTGGTCGTAGAATCTCCTTAAACGATCCTCTTTCGATTTCCATAATTGAGTTAACCATTGCGATGGGTTTTCTTCAAGAATATCCTCAATTTCGACCCTTTTCACGTCGACGTGGACCTTCTAAATGAGAGGGAAATTTTTGAGGTTCAATCGGTTTCAAACCTTTGGGAACAATCCTTCTTTCACCATCTTCATTTCGGTGTCTATAATTTCTCCATCATAAGCTATTGTGAGATCGTAGACATTCTTCAGCTTATATTCTACAAATTCGATATATAACAATTTTTTTTCAAAAATCTATAAGTTTCTCACCTTTCTTCATTAAATCCAACAAAAATGTGAATCCGGTCGTCCTCGGATGAAGCACATGCTCATACCGTTCGAGGCCCATTTTGTCGGCATACGCGTGACTCAGATTTGTGGCGCGTTCGCCTTTATCGGTTCCTTCAACGAAAAGTAATATCTGAATGAGAAAATTGAAATTTTGGAAGATATTTTTAGAAGAACCTGATAATTTTTTCCCATTTCAGCGTAATACTTTATCATTTTTTCAAGCTCTGGTTTGTCATTTTCGAAATTTCTTTCAAGGAATATATAAGAACCGCACGACATCGCCCATCCAGCCCCCGGAATTCGTTTTAAAGGCGCCTGAAACAAATAAAACTTTGTTAAAATCAATTTCTAACAATAATTGTACCTTTAATGAGATCTTCTCTGATATTAACAACCACGGGTCCATTTTATACAATGCGTTCCATAGGAATAACCAATCTAGCCTTGAAAAATTATTTTTTAAAAGTAATTTTAAAAGCTAATAAAATTTGGTTTACCTAGTTCTGTGGTTCATAATCAATATGGCAGGTTCATCACGACGTATGAGATCTCCAGAAACCCGAAACTTCACACCGAACACCCATTCGACGAGGGAGCATGGGAAAGTTAGCCAAAAACCGACTAGTCGATCCGCGGCCGTTCTCCATAGTTTTGGTTTGAAATGTGCAAGCGGTATAAGCGGAAATAGTAGAAAAATTGCGCCGAGAAGCGATGAAGCAAAAACAAGAAAGGCGAAAATGACGCCTTTTGGAGATTTCATCTCGTCATTCTGTGTCCTCTGGCAGATGGAACTGCTAAATTAAATACTTTATTGCAAAATATCAGTTTGGCTATAGGAATGCGCACTCAGGCAAATCAAATAAAATATTTTGAGAATCAAATATTCAGTGATAAACTCTAAAATATTTTGAGAAATTCTAAAGTCTATTGATACTTTCTAAAACTTATTGAGAATCAATAAATTTTAAAAATTTGGAATTTGTAAATTAAATCTTTTGAGAAAGTGTAAAGTATCTCAATATATTGTGAGACTTTAAAATTTGAATAGGGCCCTTATGACATCCACTGACGCAATTTGCGGCGTCTCTTTTTAAGATCTCCCAAATTCCAATCAATAATTTATGTTTTTGATGTTTCTTCCGTTTTTTTTTAGCTTTTTGTAATAGTTTCTTCACTTCAGTGATGGACGTATTCATGAAATGCAAGTTTTTATAATAAATGTTTAACACTACCTTAAATCTGCATTGTTTTACATGCTGAATTTGAAACAGTTGTGTCTAAACATGTCATTGCATGAACAGGTTCATGAATTTTAAAAATACGCACAATTATTACAATTAATTACAATTATACTTCAGTTTCTAATGATTTCGATATTTTAGAAGATCGGGAAAAGTGTGGAACAAACATTCCAGAAACATTGGCCGATAGATTTAAGGAACGAGGTAAATACAGCAAATTCAATGAGCAGGTGCCCATGTGGATCACGGCCATGGATATTTTCCACCTTTTTCACGAGGGAACACGTATAATAAAAGGTACTTCAATTATGTCTCTCCTTTTTCAGCATTTAAAAATTGAAGATTGTCTTTTAGAAGTCTTCGTTAAAAACGAAATAAATATTTTTCGATGCGAAGCTATTGATGTGAAAGCGAGACTGCCATCTTCGGTAAAGTCGCTATCAGGAAAATTCAATGACATTAATAGGTCCGAAAAAGCTAGTGTAAGTTAATTTACCACTTGCAATTATCATCCTTTGAAGATTTTTGAAGTGAAAATTGTTTCTAACGCCATGATTAGGACCATCCCTCCGTTAGGTTCAGCCGTTGTGTTGCTTATACATGCCTGCTACCGATGGATGGCGTCACCGACTCGCTTAGTTACAAATACAACATTACCAAACAAAGTAATATGGGATCGTTAGCTATGTACATAATAGAAAATTTTTATTTCAGATCGCAGATATTTGCAAATTATTAGAAATTCTAATTTGAGATGGGGCGCCTCAATTGTTTTCTGGTTCAAAAGTGCACGTAAGTCGTTTTTTTGCAATTTTAAGAGTTATTGAACGTTGTAGCATCATGCTATTGTCGTTGATATAAGAAATAATACTAATGATTACTGTATTTATTGTTTCAGCAACTTATATACCATTTGTACAGTAATGTCATGGTCAGCTGTCGGCAATAAGCACGCAAGCGCATGAGCACATTTATCACGTTATCAAGAGAAACATGTGCTCGGAACAGACAAACGGGATTGGATATAGTATTTTGAGAAAGTTAGACTCATTCAGTTATTTTTTAAAACTGGCAATTTTCAGCTATAAACTATATCACGAGATTGTGACTTCATTGAAAATTCGTTTCAACGCGAATCCGGATTTAATTAAGAAGTCATTTTATCGCAAAGAACTCATGAAATTAATCGAAAAACGACAAATTCAATCATCAAAATTTGTAAGTTCAACATTTTCTTTCAATATATGCAACGAATTCCTTATAGCAACGTTGTGCGTCATTCGCAGAAAAAGGAGAAAATGCGAAAAGAATAAATTGATTCATTTATTTTTTTTCTGATTTTTATTATTAATATATTCATTTCGCATTAATATTGTAATAAATGAAATGTTCATACATATTCAATTATTATGGCTGTTATTACATTCTATTTGTGTGAAAATTGCTCGATAACGTATGATATTACATAATATTGGACAGAGTTTATTGAGAACAATCTAAAATTTATTGATATATTCTAAAGTTTATTGAGACAAATCTAAAACTTATTGATAAACTTTAAAGTTTATTGAGACAAATCTAAAACTTATTGATAAACTTTAAAGTCTCACAATATTCATTGAAACTTATTGATAAATTCTAAAATCTTATGAGATTTCCTAAAGTTTATTGAGACAAATCTAAAATATTATAGAGACACGTTAGCCTCTCAACGAACCTCATAAGATTTTAGAATTGTCTCAAAATATTTTTTTTCATTTGCCTGAGCAAAAAAAAGCCTCAGGCAAATCAAATAAAATATTTTGAGAATCAAATATTCAATGATAAGCTCTAAAATATTTTGAGAAATTCTAAAGTTTATTGATACTTTCTAAAACTTATTGAGAATAGCTAAACTTAAAAATATTTTTTAAAATCTTATAAGATTTTCTAGAATTTATTGAGCAAATTCTAAATTATCTCGATAAATTCTAAAATCTTATGAGATTTCCTAAAGTTTATTTAGACAAATTTAAAATATTATAGAGACACGTTAGTTTCTCAATGAATCTCAAAATATTTTATTCGATTTAGCTGAGGCGGTTTTATTGAAAAAATTATAGATGTCGTCAAATTGTATGCATTGGCCGCATTGCGGACTCGTTTGCGCACCGTAGACACATAATGCACCTAATAAAACACACCTAAAATTACACCTATAATAAAACAATATTATAAACATTAAATAATATAAATTAGGCGAAGCTAGAAAGATATTTATTTTGTATCTACGAGGAAAAAAATGTAAGTATAGCTACTTAAAAAAAACTAGGATATGCAGTAGAATCTCATATTTTGCGATGTCGAATTGCCCTTAAATCGACAATATAAATAACCAAAAAACAATAATTTAAAATTACTTGATTCCAAATAGCATAAATCCTTCATCTTGTCTATATTTGGCTCCTCTATTTTGCGAATGCGTAATTCCTTTGCCCTTCGATTTTCCATTGGGAATTTCTAAGAAACTCGTTGCCCTTGAAACGGTGTCCAGAGATTCAGCTTCTTCTTTTTCGAACCATGATAGCGTTGAGGATGTTACCATACTATAAGGAAAATGAGTCTATTTTGGGAGATATTAGGTTTAACCTCGATCTACGAGACAAGCTAACAAGCTCGGAAGCTCTTGACAACCTTCGTTTGGTTGCGCTCAACTCAGAAAGCATTTCCTCGCCATCCAATTTTTTGACAGATGGAACCTTGAAATACCAATTTTGTCAAATTTGAACCTCCCTGGATACCTGCGATTTAACAAAGTCAACGTAAACCCGCCTTTCGGTGACAGTATTCCCACGGCAATCGAGGATTTCCAGATTTTTCATCTCGCAAAGCGGTTTCAGAGAGGCGCAAGAATCCATTCTAAATTTCAAAATTCCAAAAGATATTCTAATAAAATGCCAAACTACTTGTTCTCCGAGCAATCTAGCGATATCAAATTTTGTGCATTCAATGGAGAAAGTGATGTGAGCTTATTATTTTGAATCTGAAGATGCGTCAGTGATCTGAGGCTTTTTCGAACAATCGTCTGAAAATCGACTGAATTAGACAAATATCCGATTGAAACGAATTGCCTTTATCGCATTATTACTCAAATTAATCGAGTCCAAACAGGGCAAATCAAATAAAGCGCAGTCGAATTTTGATAGGGCATTGAACGACAAATCAATATTCTTCAACTTTTGCAGGTATTGAAGACCCATTCTCAAAATTGTTGAATTGTTAATCCCATTTGAAACCAAACTCAGTGTTTCCAAATTTTTGAATGGCTGAAATTTCAAATTATTATTGGTATACATATAGAAGGCTTTAAAAAGAACCTGCAATTGATTTTCGAAAACTGCTATCAATCGAATGCAATTATTATCCAAAACCAAATGTGTTATATTCAGTGGATTGAGCTTTTTGACACTTGCAAGCTTGTTCTTTGATAAATCAATCAGACGAACATGGGAAAGTCTGTAAAACAATGGGCGTGAAAATCATTGAAATACTCAATTCACTCTTCAATTTGAGATTTTTCAAATATGAGCTGCTCAATTTTCTGATCGCATATCATCAACTCTTGTTTGTTTTTCCATTCGGGACATCTGAAAAATATGAATATTGCAGGTTTTTGAAAATTGAGCCATTTACATTTTCTCAATTAGCTCGATACTTAACCCTCTAGTCGTCTGCTTATTAGTATTTACAGATCGTTCTTCAACAGGAACCTGCAAGTTAACAAAAAACTCGAAAAATTTGCGCAATTTGCAATATTCTGGCGTAAACTAAAATGCAAGTCCGCAAATTTCATGCGGCGTGATTGCACAATTTATATTTAAAATTGAAACGCCTCCGAAATTCGACAAATTTGAATTTTCTTTATTTCCAAATTCACTAATTTTTGAAATATTATTCGCGCTGTCTGCGTCTCATTTCAGCGCATGCTCTCTCAGTGTCATTTTTATTCAAACCCACCAAACATCGATCCAATGATATTAAAGATGGTGCATATTGAGCAATTTTTGATTTGAAATTCTCAGCAGCCGAAATTGGATTCGAAGAAATGTCCAAATGAATAAGTTTTGTCAAAGGCTGAAAATATTAATCGAATTGCATACTTCATATAAATTGCATGGTTTACCTTGAATACTTCCAATTCCATTTTATCTTTTATCATATTATCGCTAACAAAAAATGTCTCTAATTGAACACAAAATTCTAATGATTTTAAGCTTTTTATCTGATTTCGTTGTACTCGAATATCCCGAGCATTCTGAAATTCAGACTTTAAATGTAATTGTAGTCAATCGTCGATTTTTCCCACTGTTAATGTTTGGCAAAATGCCAAATTTTGAAGGCGATTTTGGCTCAAATCAACAAATATCAATGTCGATGGGAGATTGTCGAGTTTCCCAACGTGATTTGAAGAAGCGTCGAGGAATCGTAGAGTTGGAAGTCGCATGAGCTTCTGAAAACGTTGATCAATTGAATTGCGTCAAATTCAAAATCACCTTCAATGAGGCGATTTTATTTTTCCTTATTGATAAAAACTGCAAGCTGACCAACTCCTGAATTCCGTGCAATTTTGTCAATTTTTGCTCGGAGAGATCTAATGTGGTGATTTTCAGCTGAAAATCCACGCTATGATTATTTTTTATTCCGCGCATTTGATTTTCGCAACCGCTATATCCATAGTATCCTTAAATGGTCGACAACCGAAATAAGCAATCGAAATGTCAAGAAGTGTTCGCGTCGAGAACCATTCCAGTGGAATCGCGATATCGGCAACGCGGTCCCACAACGATTTCGGTTGGCCGAGAACATCGATGACTTTTCGAACTTTTCTAAAAATTGCCAAATATTGGAAAAATTCGAAAAATGCTTTTCGATGGAAAATAACGAACGTTTGCGGAATGCTGATATCCTCAATCGTGTGCTCGGTGATATCTTCAATCTTTTTTTGCTTCCCCTCCTTCAAATCCAGTTTTATATTCATCTCATTCAATTTTTTGAACTGTTCCAGCCAAGTCTCCTCAAACTTGTCAATGTATCTAGATTTTGTACTACATATTTTACGAGCTACTATCTGCCTACCTTATTTGGTCCGTAGTAATTTGTCCAGTCGAATGAATTTCAACGGCAAGAATCGAGACAAGCTTGATGTCAGCCCACATCAGGTTATCAGAAGAAGTCGACGACATTCCATCTTCCTCGATTATCTTGCTGTTTCCCCGAGTGGTTGACGTTCGTGAGAGGACCATTGGAACGAAAAACACTATCGTCTGCATCTCAAAATAGAATTCTGCTCGACGATCTCCATAATACCTTCTCCTTATTTTGCTTTTTGATAATTTCGAAATCTCTGACAATTTTCACCGGCAATTTGGTATAATCATTCATCTGATGTCGATCCACCAAATGGAATATCGAGCGAATATCGAAAAGCGCGTCATGCGAGTCCCTCTCCAACAGAAATAATCGCTCGATGTCGGATTTGTCGAGCTCTTGGAACATTGAGCACGATTTGATGCTAATCTGAAACACATTGATTGCCTTGAATTTTTGCTTCAACCAACCTCATACAAATTCTTCATCGAGCAATTGTAGTTTAGGGTTTGCGTGAGAAGCCCAATTTCTTCTTTGGTCCCATCGCGAATGTTCAGCGTGTTGCTTGACTCAAGCTCAAAGGCGATTCGATATTTTCCAAGAGTTCTGTGAAACTCGCAAAGTCGCGCGTAATTCTCTAGAAAAAAAATCGATTCCGTCTTCCGTTTTCAGCAAATTTCAGTTCTGAATTTTAATAGAATATGATTATTTAATCGATCTTCAATATTTTTTAAGCATTCAAATCGAATCAGTTTAATTCCTGTGAAAATCACTTTAGATTTTTATTTATCGTTAACCATACTTGCAACGGGGCGGGTCAGGGTGAAAATTTCACCGACCCGCCCCAATAAATTTTGTTTGGGGACTTCTGAGCAATTTTTGTTCCGAGAACAATTAATTCTATTCAAAATAATACAATTCGAAATTCTTATTACGCTAAACAAAGGCCTCGCTGTAAACTTGGAGTGTCGACGGTTGGTCGACCCGGGAAGTTTGCAAGTATTGTTAAAAAATGACAAATGTATCCGTAGGTGTCGTGGGATCCTGCGTTTTGTACGCAATGCTGAAAGACAGTTACCGTAATCCTCGCAGCAATTTACTGGGACATTTTAATTAATTTCGCATATTCATTTTTTTAATTTTTCGCTCAATTTTCGTATTTCCCTTTAAAAATTTTGTTATTTAAATTTTGCAGAAACCGAATTTAATAATTTATTTAGCAGAACCAGCACTTTTAAACGACATTTTTTTTGGTAAAAACTGCAGAGATTTAAAAGAAAACATTTTTGAGAGCGTCAAAGTCTTCACAATAATTCCCAATTCAACTGGACAAGTGGAAAAGTGCATATTTTGAAAATTAAATAATTAAACTCGGTTTCTACAGGTTTTAAATATAAGATTTCTAAAGAAAATAAGAAAATTCAGCAAAAAAATTGAAAGGAAATTAAAAAAAAAACTCCGTAAATCGCTGCGAGGATTACGGTAACTGTCTCTTAGCATTGCGTACAAAACGCAGGATCCCACGACACCTGGATACATTGTCATTTCTCAACAATATTTCGTTAACTAGATATTAAATGCGCGTAGGCTATAATGCAATGTACGCAGTCTTGCGTACTTGCCACGACACGCTTCGGCACACAGCCAGAGTTTCGTTTTGTCGTTTGATAATAAATTGAATTGAATTTATAATTTTAAAACTCGCTTTTCACATTTTTGACATTCCTTGAGTTATTCGTGCATATCTCATGTACACGCTTGACAATCTCCTTTTTCGCGTCCTTCGTCTGCATCAAATCGCGATATGTCGCTAACGCATCGGCAAGGCACGCTAAACGATTCTCGATTTTTGCAACATGCTTTTCAGCCATCTGAAATTCAAAAATGAAGTCGTTAGTTCATTATCTCTTCAGTTCACCCTCAAATCCTTGTTAAATTTCTCATCAATTTTCACAATTCGACCCATCCGATCGCCTAATATTGTGTCAACTGTTGGCTGAAGAAAATTCATTGACAATTCATTTGAATTCCTTATTTAGTTGCCCTGTAGGTCGGCACAAAATTGTCGGTTAGAATATCGTCATCGATGGACTCGATGAACTTGAACGAATGCGCAATCCAGGCGAAAAATATATCCGGCGAGAATGTCTCGGATTTCGCCAGCGGATTGATATGCAACGATCGAAGGGAGTGAAGCACTGTTAATGGGAATAAAGCCTAAAAATCACAAATAATTATTGTACGCTTATTAATTACCTTATATGATGAAAACGAATTTGCAGAAATGTCTAAATGTTGAATGTTTTCTGGCCAAAGCGCTGTTGCAATAACTAAAAATAATTGAACTATTTAAAAGGACAATTTTTGACGACCTGAATCCTTCATTTTATTATTGCTTACTGAAAATGTGGTCAAGTCGCGAAGGGAATGAAGAAACTGTAATTTTTTGTTTTTCCTCTCACGCGGGGAATTTTGAAACAACCGCCAAGTTTCGAAGCTTGTTCGCCGACAAATCGAGAATTTGCAGCAAAGTTAAAGACGACAAACAAGACGCGTCTTCTATCAGATTCTCATAAAGGAACAATTTTTTGAGTCGAACGCATGTTTCAATGCCGGTCAGATCCTTGAATATTGTCAATCATTTTCATATGATTCACTTGCTCAATTTTTTTTAAAACCTTAATAACTCCCTCGCAAACCCACAACTCTTCGAGAGTTGATGCCACTTCGCCGAGCGGTTTCAGACTTGTGATTTGTTGGCCGAACAGTCGAAGACAGCTGAGACTTGTGAAATATTTAAGGCCGACGAGCACTGGAAGGCCGCCAAAGTACATTTCAAGAATTGTGTACCCATCACCTTCGGTCTGAAATTTGGTAAAATGACTCGGCTTGAAATGTTGGCGCTGAAATCACATTTAATTCAAATATTCAAATTTTTAATAAAAAATCTGGAATTTGACATTTATAGACCCTCAAGGTCTTCTATATCTGGGATGTGCGGGGGAATGACCAAATATTTAGGCAAATCTTTCTTTTTCCTGTCCAAAATCTGCAAAATTTCCCGTTTGTTTAAATTTTAGCAATTAAATAGCTAATCTTTTCGTTAACTAAAAATATGACGAAAATCCCATTTGCCAACAGAAACCAATGAAAAATGGAAACGGAAAAAAAGAACGAAACCGCAGAATAATTTTTTGAAAATTATTTCTTGTTTCTAAATATTGTAAGATTGTCACTACGTATTTTAAAATCTAAAACCTTCTCGCACATCTCTGAACTGCATAATATTTCATTCAATACGTTGTTTGCAAAATGGTCCCTTATGTCAAGCTCACATCGAATTGATTTGCTTGATTTTGTTTCGGACACCGTTCAAATGCCCAAATCAAATATTTAAATTAATTCATTGCTGCGGACAACATCAAAATGTCCGCAGATCGATTTTTACAAGGCGAGAGGAACATTGATAACGCGCTTTTGTTTTATTTAAAAAAAAAAAAACATTCTAAACCGAAAAAATTCGTAAGTCGACGATTGTGGTCTCAAAACGAAAATCTCACTTTGAGCGTCGATATGTCGATTCCATTGGCGGCGCAGAGACTTTCCAAATACCGAATATATTTGGCCTTCAAATTCGACAACGAGTTGGCGACTTGTGAAGCGGTGGCGAGCAGGTTCGGCATTCTCCAAATGCGCAACTGCTGCTCACACGTCTTTCGATTCGATTCGGTGAACGCGATTTCCGGTGTCAACCATATTATTTCCGCAATTCAATACTTTCATTTATATAGGTTTACAATAAAAATGCTATGATACTAAAAATATCAACAAGAAAAAGGCGACGGAAGCGGTGAAAATTACTAGACATTTTAGAACGTAAGTCTGTGGGCTGGATCATAAGCGAGCTTCTCCAAGTTCGGAACACAAGCGAAGTTGATCATTGGTGGTGGTCCGCACATGAGAACAACGCCGTCAGAGGAAGGAGCGAACAATCGTTCCTAAAAAACGTCTATCTTGTTGAATTCATCAAAAAATGAATTATACCTTAATCATAGCATCATTGATGAATCCCGAAGAGAACTTCCAGTTATCACTGGGTCTATCAATCGTGTACCAAACCTCAAAACGAGCAGCATGCTTTTGCGCAAGAAGGTCAAGATCCTCTCTGCAACATTCATTTTTGATTTTCGGACACGTTAATTTGCATGACGACACGTCCGCACGTTCTTTGGCGAAAACGATCAACAACTGCGTTTTGAAAGTGAAAACAAGCGGCGAAAAGAAAATTTTCAGAATCGCCATTCAATTATGAATCAATCACCTGCAAAGGATATCCTCCTCCGATTGATTGGCAAACAACAGCTTCAGTTTTGTCTGATCGGTAGGATCGCGAAGAACCGCCTCAATAATCTGCAAAATTCCAGAATTCGAACATGAAGTTCGAATTGTGCTCCTACCTGGAGCATTGGCGTAATTCCAGTTCCTCCAGCAATCATCGAAATCTTCGAGTAAACCTTCTCGACGGGTTCCGACTTCTTGTCAGGTCTCACAGCGAACACACCGTGCCCTTTGTACACAATCAATCCGCTCGGACCACGGAAGTCGATCTAAACGTTCGAGTTCGAATCGTTGCAATTCGAATGAGGCCTACCGTCTCTCCAATTTGCATCTGCTCAAGATACTGGCTCATTTTACCGCCATCTGGGAATTTCGGGTTGGTGTTCTTGAAATAAACCTTGATCATCAACTCGACATATCCCTTATCCTCATCGCTTGACACCGGAGTGTACGGACGTACTACCAATTTTCCATCAATCTCAAAAGTGAACAATTTAAGAATTTTTGATCGAAGAGAATTTTCAAAAACCTTCGCACTCAAATAGACGTGTTGTCCAGTCGGAAGTCCAAGAACGTGGTCTTCCGATGGTAAACTGAACCGGAACTTTCTGGTATCACGGCTGACAATTATCTTCTTCGAGAGTTTCAGTGGATATTTCACAGTATCATCAAGAAGAGTCTTCTTGACCTTAAAAAACTTAATTAGCATGTAAATTAGGAGACAATTACTAATAAATTTCTCTTGGTGCAATTCATTATTTCAATGCGATTAATTGGAAATGGCGTGATAAGCGCAAATTACTGAGGATTTCATCACAATAACTTTCACGTTTCAATTAGAAAAAAAATTTATTTAAATATATCAATCAATTCAAATTTAATTAGAAATGCAAAACCATGAAAATCTCAAAATGGTCCGAACATGGCAAAAAAACAAACAAACCTGCTTTCCACATTGCCCACATGAATTCTTATTTTTTAGCATCAGGTAGATGACGACACTCGAAACGGCGACGACAGCGCCGGTTATAATGAGGGTGCTGTTTTCGACCATCCTCAAATTCTTATATATATATAAGTATTGCCGAAATTGGTCAAGTAGCATGCGACCAAAACGAAACAAAAATGTGTACTGTCGAACTTTGCCTTTCAATTTGATAAGAGGAGAATCAATTGATAATGTTCGAATGTCATCATCAACATCAATTCGTCGTACCATTATTTCATCTATATATTTTGTTGGCGCACTATGAACCATAGCACATCAAATTCAATGAATACAATTTTTAATAAATAATTCATTATAACCAAATCCACTTCACCAGTTGCAATTTTACAAAAATAGGGTACTTTAAGAGATTGAATTACTATTTATTTAAACACGAAAGCCATTGCATTTGATGTGAGAAATGAACGAAATCCGAGGAGAAATTTTTTAAAACCAGTGGATTCTTGCGAAAAACGAGTGCTTGCCACCCGTACCTCTACCTGCAAATTAATTTAATTAATTCACATTATGTTCAAGTATTTCAATTACCCCGCACCGGACACATAATTTGCCTGTATTTTCTTGCGTGCATTTTGCACGCGGTCCGATCGACGAACAGGTATTTTCGACACTGTCGGCGAGACGAACAGAAGACAAAGACGAAACGGAACGGCAGATGGTAAAGTCACAGGGCGCAATTTTCGATAAAATTTTGAAAATAATAAAGAAAGCGTGTTTTAAAATAAATACCAATTTTAGATAAAGAATTGAAAACAGAAAAGAAGCCCTGTGGCTAACCACCGCCGCCCGTGGTCAATAATCGTCTAAGTCAATGTTGTCAAGTTCTTCATCCAAATCAGCATGCGTCAAATCGACTCTATAACGCAAGAGTCCCCCAATTCCTCCAAATCCGCGAACGAATTGGGCTCCTTCTTGTGATCGATCTGTCACAATTTCCAGAGTTGCTCCGAAGTTCTAAAATCAATGTTTCGTATATTTACCCAATTTACAACTTAATAATTACTTTATAGTTATTGGCAAACCATTCAAGAAGCGGCATGGTTTCAATGATTTCCATATCTTGACCAGTTTCTTTGTCAGTAAAGTGCAATTTATCCTTTTCTTCATCCGGTCGCAAGTGCAAAATTATTTCCTCATTCTGCGAGTTTCTCAATTTGTATCTCACAATATCCAAGTTTTCCCAACAGATAAGTGTCTCGACAGCTCCCATTTCTAAAGCAGCAAGTGTATCCTTAACGCCAAAGACGTATTTTCCAGTATCCTATAAATCACTCATGAGATAATGTTTCTTAATAAAGAACTAACCTGACTGATTTCATCAAAATATCCACCAATAAGCTTCTTCTCTTGAATGAACTTCACACTGGCAAGAGTATCAGCAGCAAGTTCGATGGCCTGGTTGAAACCATTTTCACCTCCATAAGCAATATCGACGGTCTTGATCATTTTGGCTTGCAATCGCTGCAAGGAATGTTTCAATATATATTTTTTAAAAACTAATCTTACTTGATCAAACATATCAGATTGTCCAAGTTCGGTCTTGAAATCCGCACTTCCAGCAAGAATTAAACCAGCTACAGTAACTTTATCGTTTTTGATAAACATCTCCACAGCGCATTCAGCGACTTTACGAACGTAATTGTGCCGTTTTTCGTTACGAAGGCGAGCAAAACGAACAGCAGATTGACCACCGCGACCTAAATTATAGTACATAAACTCGGAAAATATTATTGCAAGTTAACCGTGCTTCTTTGGAAGATCGACAGTGAATTTGTGAAGAACTTCTCGCGTATTTCCTTGGAGAGTACCAAAGAGGCAACCGTTTCCGTCCATAATGATGAAACCAAATTTGTTATCATCAGCAAGAAGTCCTAAATACAAAATGTGGAGGTGAATATATAACCTACAACAAACCTTGAAGAGCTTCAGTATGGAACTTATTATCACAAAGATACAAGGAGGTATTGATTGGTTTGAAAGGTTCAAAATCAATGTTAACCTTCTTTTCTTTTCCTTCGTCCGTCATAATAGTACCACAATAAACAACTAATCCATTTGGAGGAACTGAAGTACGCAAAACATTTAGAAGTATATTTTTAAACAAATACCTTTGTTGTATAATTTCAAACGACCTTGTACAGAGGTAATAGCACCAAGGACGGAGAGCCTATTAACACGGGATTTAATGTTGGATGCAGTTCCGTATTCATCAGCAAGCATTTTTTGGACACGAGCAATTTGATCACGAGGAGGAATGATCAATGAAATCATGGACGTACCGTTACTGAAAGACAACAATTATTATCGTTCGCTGTTAGTCTATTTACCCTCGAGCGGCTTCCAAACTCTTGATGAGCCTCTTAATCTTCCACATTTCGACATTTCTATCAGCAGCATCCTCGCCGGTGTTGGCCGCCGCAGCTGGAGGGGCGCTCATATCTCTCTCGTTTATATGTGCTCAAGGCACGAATTACCTGAAATGAAAAAGAATTATTAATAAAACCCAACAAGTGCGAAATAAAAACGAAAATATAATTGGTTTGAGATTAAACGAGCATGAACAGATAACATTTTCACGTAGATATTTTCTTCAAAATTTTGAATGTGTTAAAATAAAATTGATAAAACCAAGAACAGTGATATTAACACTAATTTGGCAGAAATAAGAAAAATTGCGACCAATTTCAAAAGCGACAAAGCGTGTTAGATTACTGTAGTTGCGGTGTCCTGGCACGATTTACGTTAGTGGCAAAATGCCCATTCGCAATGGTCCACGTTTGCATCGTTTTTCTATATTTAAATTTTTCTGTCCATTTTTCGAATATTGTTTTTACGTAAATTTTTATGATAAATATAACTTGAATATTTTTTATTTTCTCACGACATTGAATGAAATATAAAAAATGTAAAAGCATATGTTAATATTCACTTTAACAATTGAAATTATTTTTTTATTGCGAACGTTCATAATATGAAACACGATATAAAAATACTAGCACATTTGTTTATAATGTCTAGTTTTACATTTCCAGAAAGGAATAATGTCTGAAACGGCTCCAAAAAATGCGGACAAAAAGGCTCGGGTGTTCAACCTTGAAGAAATGATGGCAGAAACTTTGAGGGTTTGTTTTGAAAATGCAGTCAATTGTTTCAACGTCCCTTAAAGTGTTTTCAGAACGCTCCAAAAAATGAAGAAACCGATCATGGCTCATATACAGCGCCAAATATTCCAAGCAGTTCTTCACAAGCATCGGAATCCGGTCATTCTTCATCAGCTGCACAATCAGATGACGATGGTAAATATATAATTATTTCGTAATATTATTCGTTTAATCGTTTAGATTTCATGCCAATGCTACCACCAGGATTTAAAAACAAACCAGATGATGCTGCGGCAACTAAAGATGATGAAGAATTAAGTGATGACAGTGATTTTGACGAAAATGAAGCAATTTCTACGATAAAGTTAATACCTGCAGCTTGTGAAGCTAATATTACACACGGAAATATTGCGGTAAACCATAAAATCTTTAACTAAAATCAAAGCTATGTGTTTTAGGTATCAGCGTTACGAGTTGAGCCAGCGGGTGTGCGGTTTGCCAGTGGTGGTCTTGACTATTACGTAAAACTATTCGATTTTCAAAAAATGGACATGTCGATGAGATGTGATAAAGAATTGCTACCGGCTGAAAGTCATATCATCAATTCGTTAGCGTTTTCCGCAAATGGTGAAACTTTGGTGGTGGCCAGTGGAGAATGTATTATCAGATTACTGGACAGAGCTGGAAAACAGTGGTCCGAAACTGTTCGAGGTAGATTTCTATTAAAAATAAACAATAAAAGAATGTTGGTGTTAAGGAGATCAATATCTTGTGGATTTGAATATCACCAAAGGGCACACAGCAACTGTAAATTGCGTAGAATTCAATCCATTGAATAAAAACGAGTTTTTATCATGCAGTGATGATGGGTTACTATAATAATCGTGTTTTTTATTTTGAATTATTGCATTTTCAGAAGCCTTCGAATTTGGAATCTCGAAGATCACAAAGTGATCACGAAATGTATTAATAAACACAGAAAAGTATTAACTTCATTTAAAATCGCCTGTCGAAATTTAAAATTACAGGTAATTAAAACAAAAGGAGCGCAAGGAAAACGTGTGAGCCCGCAAGTTTGTGCATATTCACCAGATGGGAAATGGATAGCTGCTGGTTGCGATGACGGATCGATTCAAGCCTGGAAATATGGCTCGCAATACGTATGTTTTCTTCCGATTATAGTATTTGAAAGAGTTTGACATTTTTAGGTGAATGTAAATTATCTTGTAAGAAAAGCGCACAATGGTTCAATTACTTCAATCGCTTTTTCGCCAGATTCCCGACGTATTCTGACGCGTGGATTTGATGATACTTTGAAAATGTGGAGTCTTGATAATAATAAGGAGCCCTTATTGGTGAAGACTGGTTTGGAAAATGGATTCAAAAGGTACACTACGAACCTCTTTTAGAAGAATAATTCATTTCAAACATTTGTTCAATTTTCAGCACGGATTGCGGCTTTTCACCGCGCGCTGAACTTGTGTTCACTGGAACATCGTCGCCACATAAAGATGTGCCAGGATCTTTGATGTTTTTTGATCCACAGACTTTCGAACTTGTCTACAAAATTGATTATCCAGGCGTGGTAGGATGAATAGAAAATAATTTTATTGTTCAAATTATCTTATTTTTTCAGTCTTGCCATCGTATTCAATGGCATCCTCGACTAAATCAGATAGTCGTTGGGTTGTCGGACGGTTCGGTTCGTGTCTATTATGATCAGAATATTTCACAACGTGGTGTTATGTCGTGCGTGACTAAGCCAATCAAACGCAATCGGGCTTCTGAAGTGGTACGAGAGGATATGATTCTATCACGTAGGAATTAATAAACCCCCTTCATTTAAGCTTTTGTCTTCCGTTTTCAGCTCTCAGTCTTGAAATGTTCCAACCGCGTGGTGAAGAAGGTGAAGAGAAGGAAGTGACGGCATGGAGGCTCAAGAAATACTTGCGGATGCAGGATAACAAACTTCGGCCGGAATTCCGAAAGCCAGCTGATATGCCGATCAATGGAAAGAGTGCTAATGGAAGAGGTAAATTTTTCTTTTTTTTTTCTGCTGTCGAATCGCAGTTTGGATCCGAACTAAAAATAATTGTTAAAAAATATAATATATTTTCACCAAATCCAACAAAAGAATAACTTACAAGGAATTTTTCACTTCATTGACTTTTTTTCTCAAAACTAGCTCGTTATTATCTACTAAAAATTCTTGAAATTTATGTGAGGCTTACTACCTAAATTTCATTCACACACGTGTTATTCGTTTGAAAGAATCGTGTGTTTCAAAAGTTCGAACTAATTGATATTAATCTGCCGTCTCCGTTGGCGATGTGCCTGTGTTTGGTGACAAGTTTGCCGTTCATCGCCATCTAGAACCAAACTACATTCGCTATTGTTTGACGTTTTAATTTTCAGTTGCTGCAAGTGGGGGAAGTCTTCACTCGTATCTCGCCAAACAAATCGGAACCGCACGTAATGCTGAGTTTCTACGAGATCAGGACGTTCGTGCGAGTATTCTCAAGCATGCCAAAGAGGTACATATTTCCATTGTTTTTGCAAGTTCAATCAATTTGACGATTCAGGCCGAAGAGAACCCATTGTATATTGATAAGGCTTATCGCAAGAATCAGCCAAAGAAAATTTTTCAAGAAGTTACTGCAGAAGAACAAGAAGAGGAGGAGCTGCAGCCAGTATTTAAGATGCCGAGAACAAAGTGATAATAACCAAAATTGTTCCTTCCTTTTTTTTTTTTCGTTTAATAAAAATGCCTCAAAGCCATCTATCGTCCGATTCTTGATATTTAAACCGGTTCGCGATGGTCACTATTATGGGTTCGAGTAACCGAAATGTATTATTTGTGAACACCGCAAAAAGGGAAAGTAGTGCGTAATGAGATGAAAGTTGAATAACAGCCGAGTATTCACTTTTCCTTCAATAACAATAATAAATTGTAGAGCAACATAGTCGGTCTGCTATCTTTTTGTTTTGTTTTCTGGCGTAATATTGATAAATACAGAAATTTGAGGCATTTTTGTGTTGAGTTTTCTAAAGAAATGAAATTTACGAGCTATAAATTATAGCCAATAATTTTAAATTCCCTATAATGCATTCTTGACGTAGGTAATTTGTAGCTTAATTGGCAATTAGGGTGCACAAGAATCGAATCGTGCTCCGTCTCGAAGGGTAGTTGAAATTTTCCAATTTTTTAAAATTTGTGTAGTTTTTTCTTTAAAAAATTGCTACTACTGTTTCTAAAAACGCAGATTTTTTCCAAAAATAATTTTTTATACGGTATTAGCATTGAAAGAGCCGATATTTAACATTGGCTTGTTCATTTGTGACAGACAATCATTGAACAACTTGAAAATAGATTAAATTTCAAAAAATATACTCAATTTCTAGTAAAAATGATCTCAACAAACGTTGGCTACAAACTAACATTGTAGTCAATGTCAACACCGACATTCGCAGTTACCGGCAATCACCGGATTGCCTTTTGTTTATCATTTTGAAGGAAGAAAAAAAATCATCACCATGTTCGTATCAAATCAGCGCCAGGATTTTACATTCGCTCTCCCATTTTTATGGTAGAAAATTCCTCCTTAAATAGAAATTGATTGTTAGAATTTTCCAGATTCTTCCACTTTCAATCTTTTAGATAATCTCAAAAGATCATTTCATCTTAATTGAATTGCCTAGCAAAAGAAATGGTTTTCCGAATTCATTCCTCATTCGCTTCATTATTTCAAAATGATTTGCGAGCACGTTTTGTTGTTTTTTGTTGCATTATCAATCAAGTGTCATCATTTCGGGTAGAGTCTAGCTTGATGCCGAAACTGATAATGCTCGGCCATTGATCATCTATATTTGTTTCATTCTCGTGATCATTTTTGCCGAATTCGGAAGAAAAACGACCTCACCTCTTCAATTCGTCGCGAAAATAGCGTTGATATTGAGGAGAGGCGAGAGAGTTGAGGTTCAACACGCCGAAATGATGACCGATACACCAAAAACCACACCAAAGCCATTGTTTTTTTTGTATTTGGTCTTGTCGCGATTTATTAATTACCTCCATGTTCCTTTCAATATCGTTAGAAATTTTTTTGCAGACAATGAGCTACACAACACTTGTCGAAGCGCAGAGAAACTATTTCCGGACGGGAGCGACGAAGCCGGTGAAATTCCGAAAGCAGCAACTTTTGCGGCTCAAGAAAATGATTGAGGAGAATCGCGAGCAGCTTTGCGATGCGGTTTGGAAGGATTTGAGACGTGTGAGTTGAATCGAAATATAGTACGATGGTGATTTTTATTGGTTTTCAGCGTCATGAGGCCACAGAATCGGTGGAAATTGGAATGTTGCTTCAGGAAATCGACTATTTCCTCAAGAATATTGATACCTGGAGCAGCGCGACTAAAGTATATTATTATAACTTAAGGTTCAGAGTTATGATAAAAATATGTTCTCATTAAGGTTGAAAAGACATTCACAACTGCTCTCGACAAGCCGGTTATTGAGAAGGACCCGAAAGGCGTTGTTCTAATCATTTCGCCATGGAATTATCCTGTCTCGATGGCCCTTCTTCCATTGATTGCTATATTGGCTGCTGGTGAGCTGAATACCTTGAAGAATTGACAAACTTGAGATAGTTTTTAGGCAACACATCGATCATCAAACCGTCGGAGGTCTCCGAGCACACTGCGGAATGCCTCAACGAGATTGTTCCAAAATATTTTGAATCGGTGAGTTGACGCTTGAATTCGATGAAAAAATTTGAATTGTTCAGAATTACTTGACTGTTGTCACTGGAGGTATTCCAGAATCCACAGAACTTCTCAAGGAGCGTTATGATCACATTATGTATACTGGATGTCCACCAGTCGCTAAGATCATTATGGCCGCCGCCGCTAAGCACCTCACGCCAGTCACATTAGAATTGGGAGGAAAATGGTAATTAACTCATCGTCATTGTGTGACGAATTAATGTGTGATATTTCAGCCCGGTTGTGGTTGAAGCTGATGCCGACATCGATATTTCCGCAAAGCGTGTCGCTTGGGGAAAGTGGATGAATTGTGGACAGACTTGTCTGGCTCCAGATTACGTCCTGGTGAACTCGTCGGTTAAGGATAAGGTAAAATTGTGTGAATCTGTGTTCTTGAATCAAATTCCTTTCAGTTTGTTGAATCAATGAAGAAATACATTCGCGAATTCTACGGCGACGACATTCAGGCTAGCAAGGATTATGCCAGAATTATCAATGAGAGACACTTTGAGTGAGAAGAACTCAATCAATTGAGGAAAAAAAACAATGAATCAATTTCAGCCGAATCTCGAAACTTCTCGATGAATCCAATGGGAAGGCGTTGCTTGACGGGAAACGCGATCGCGCCGATCGCTTCATTCCTCCAACCATTCTCGACGTCCAACTTGACGATGCGTTCATGAAGGATGAGATCTTCGGCCCAGTTCTTCCAATCATCACCGTGTCCAACATTTCGGAGGCGATTTCGATTATAAACGACGGCGAGAAGCCATTGGCCGCTTACATTTTCACGAGAAATGAGGCGAAAGTGAATCGTTTGCTGAATGAGACCAGCAGCGGCGGAGTTACCGTGAATGACGTTATAATGCATATGACAGGTAATCTGAAAAGAAATGTTGAAAATTGTAAAATATTGGTTTCTAGTTGACACTCTACCATTTGGTGGAATCGGCACTTCGGGAATGGGACGCTATAGAGGAAAGTTTGGATTCGACACGTTCACTCATGAAAAAGCCGTTCTTCATCGTGGATTCTTTGGTGAAACGCTTTTGGCGTAAGTCTCGAATCTTCGAAATTTTTGAAAGCGAAGCGTTGTTCAGGGCTCGTTATCCGCCGTTGACGCAAGAGAAGCTCAACAACCTTCGACGCTTGACAGGCACCAGAATTTCGTTGAATTTCGCCAATTGCATCACCCTTCCCGCCATTTTGGTGTCATTCGTCTTTGGAATGATCGCGCAGGTAAAATATTTTCGCTATTATATTTATTTTTGCTTAAATCACATTAACCATATCACTGCTTCGATTAGAACGATGTTTTAAAATGTTGAAATTGCAGAAATGTACTAAAAAGCCATAATTCGGGAAATCGGTCACTCAAAAAAAATCACATGTGTACGTTACTAGAAATGCAATCCAATTTTACACCATGTTTGTGCTTTTTGTGTTCTAATATTACTAATAATGATTTATTTAAATGTTTCGAAAACGTGAGCTTATCAATTTTCATTAAAAAAAATTGCGACGTTTTTTTTGAAACGGAAAAATTTGCCAAAAGAAAACAGTTTTCCTCCGTGTCTGCTTCAAAATTTTCCTTGAATGTTACCCAAATTAGAGCTTGGTCCACTTGACATCACTAAATAGTTTGTTTTCAGTACATTATTCGGTTCTGATTTATTGCATGGGGTCGGCGTTGGGCAGAGATAACATGCTGGGTTACGGTCATCACCTCGGTGTTTGCACTCAACTACGAGCAGTCGATTTCTACGCGCAACTGCGGACCCGCAATTTCTTGTTCAAATTTTCGTTCTTGTTCCCATTTTTTTGATTTTCACATCAATTTTTGACTTCTGCAACTAGTCTAGATATTGCCTAGCACTTTAATAATGGAATGAATTGTATAGTTGATGAAAAAACGGATTAAATTTCCTTAAAATTCTATTAACTTAACGCAATGTCAATTTACATTTTTTCAGAAGTACACAAGAGCTCTTCCGTGATTATTGCTACTCATTTAATGCGTTGTGCTATTGATTATTCTTATTAGAATTGTACTCTAGTCTTTAATGATGTATACAATTATAAATATTCATATGCAGTTCTTCTTTTTCGCGAAATTAAGGTTTATTTCCGTGGATATCGTTAATAAATTTAGTTTGCATCAAATAGGATTTTGTTGTTCAGGTATGTTCCGCGCAGCTCAGTCGGTCAGATCGCTCTCAACCTCGGTTGCTTGCCGCCAGGATTTGATCCAACAAGCTTTCTTGAACAAAATCAAGGAGTACGCTAAGAACGCCGGTAACTTGGCCAATTCTGATCCAGCCGTCAAGAAGGCCCTCCAAGACGAGCTCAACAGACTCGCCGGAAAGTTCCAGCTCGCCAATTCCGACGTTGTTGCCAAGCTTCCAACCAACTTTGAAACCCCGAAGGTTCGTATTCGGCTTTCATGTTAGCCTTGTGCATAGGTAAAAATCGAATGATCCAAAAATGAATTAGTGCAAACGATGTTTTTTTTCCATTAAAAGTTCTGAACAAATAATTTATTATGGGAATTTCAATTATATTCAGGTCGACTCCGCTGTCCAAGCTGCCCTCGAAGGAAAAACGTTGAGCGAGCTGTTGGAAGGAGTCAAGAAAGAGCAAACTGCCTACTTTGCTGCTCGTGAAGCCAAGAAGGCCCAGGAAGCCGCCCGAAACGCTGCCCTTAAGAAATAATTTTTTGTTTTTTTTTTGTCGAGTATGGTAAATGTGTATTCTTCATGTTTTTGTAATAGATCTAAAATAGATTTGAGCCGAATGAATCGATTATTTGTTCGACAAGTATCACTACTTGATTGATTATTTCTAAACAAAGGAAACTGATAAAGTTCCCTATCATTGCTGAAATTCGACAGACAGCTTTATTATCAATTGTACAACTATAAAAGGTATGCCGAATATGTCCACAAATGGATATTGTATGGCTGGATGTTCGGGTCGCTGGCACCCCGCTTTGTCAAACAGCCGAATTCGCGCGTCGCGCGTTGTGCCATATGCACTGGCAGACGCATTAAAAAAGACCACTGCTTTCACCGAGGCGTCGTCACTTTTCACCCTTTTTGCGTGACCGTTTTCAATTTTAAATTTCCAGGTGCTTCCAATCATTAATCATTATCAATTGGATATGTATACCCAACTCTAGTCAACGTTAGGTAGTGTTTCAGCTTCACATCTTTTTTTTAGTTTATTGTCTATTTTAGGATGTTATACGTCATCAATAGTGGACAATCATTGTTTTGTTCGAAATCCGAACGATTGATATTGACAAGAAGTTCGAAACGGGATGCGAAGAAACGAAAGGTGAACGAAAGATAAGAGCCGAGTTGGCATAGGTTACCCGATGACATCATTTATCGGACCCGCGTTAGCGAACGAACTGCGTATAGATTGTGTGTCCCTCTATTGTATTAAAGCAAGTATTCGATTCAGTATGCGTTCGCAAACATTGTTCAAAAAGCGAGCTTCATTATGGTTTTCGATGTTGTCCAGAGTGAGATTCAAATTTTTCCAAATGCACTTATTATATTTTCAGTGATTGAGAAGTATAACGATGCCAAAAATTGCATGTTAAAGTTTTTTTTAATTGTGGAATTTTATCTGAAAATTGAATATTGACTATTTAGGGTGTTCACTTTGATGCTGACGATGGAACGTCGTCGACATCCGATTATATATTTCAAGAAGGAAAACAATGGGGACAAATCGCAACGAGTTTGTAAGTCAAATTTAAAAAATTGCAGCTGGCAATAACATAACCATTATGTGCGAAATTTAATAACTCTAATAAAAACCATTTTTCACGTTTAATTTTCTTGAATTAAATTTCATTACGATTTTTACTCCCCGAAATTGAATGAGTCTGAGACGTGAAATGAAACGTCAAATCGTTATCGAGGGACCCATGTAGAATCTGCCATATCAATGAAAATATCGGAACAATTATTGCAGTAACTGTGATGACTCGAGTGAGAATGAGTTAAATGTAATGGATGAGTTGCTGAACTTGTGCAATTGGAATGATCCGAAAGAGAAAATGCCGAATTTTAGTTTCACGGGTGAGAATTATCGCCGGAAACGAATAGTTTGAAAATTTCAATCGATTTTGATTTTCAGACGATGAGGACGATGATATTCCGTTTGCGACGAATTGCTCCAACTCCATTTATCCGACTCCTCCTTCAACGTAATATCGAATTTGAGTAGGAATTTTGAGTGAATTGTTGTAGGTCATCGACGGATGATCGAAGTTTGCGTGTGAGCAACCTCCATTTGACGAGTCGATTAAGATTGGATAGCAAACCGATACTGGTGGCCCAAAGAAAATTGAAAAGCACAGTTGTGTAAGAGAATTGGCAATGGACAATTGTGGAAACTAGTGTTATGGCTCGCATGGAATTTTGCAATGAACTTTGTATAACGATGATTTACCATAATGCTATTAAAAATAGTTTTAAAGAAAAATGATTGCTTAAAAATTCTTAACAGAATGATCTAGGGCTATATACAGCATTCCACATCGGCCTTTTCACAAATTTATGATTATTTTTGTAATTTGAATTTTCAGTGAAACAATTGATGATAAAAAGGTGTTGTCTGAAAAAGAGGAACTTGAACTCGCCTTTCAAGGAGTTATGGTAAGCGTTTTTTCATTAACGTTTAAATATTTAATATATACTTTTTTCTAGAAATCTCAAATCGATTTGAGAACAAGCTCACCGATTAAGAACTCACAGGACGAATCATTGAAAAGCGAGAAGAAGGAATCGAATTTTTGGGACGACGTGGAATTTTGAGCCGAAACTCCGACGCTTCCATTTCCCCTCCCTGCGATATTTCGTATATTTTGAATTTATTTTTGAAATGATTTCAACTAAGTTGAGATCATCTATTTGAAGAGTTTATTTTTTCAACCGTTTTCTTTTGAAAGTATTTTTTCCTCTGTTGCACACATTCCAAAAAAAAAACAAACAAATTAATTTATATTCGTGTTTGGTTTCCATTTTTGTGGTTTTTTCATCATCTTTCTGTCACTTATTTTTCTTGAATAACTCATCTGTTCACGTGTTTCCGAATTTTGATTCCATAAATCTTCACTCACTGTCAGACCATCCTCTGCCTCCATTTCTTTTCTTCGTTTTTCGAAAAAATCAATTTGACAATTTTTATCTCCGATTCTGTTTTATATAAATGATTTTTCCACATCACACGGGAATTCTTTCGAGAAGATTTGAATGTTTGAATCATTTTATTATCAGAAATTAGGAATTTCATTAAAAATGGTAACATTGAAGAAGAAATGAAAAAACGGAGCCGGCAAACCGATGAAGAAGAACTCAGTGGTGAGCTTTTGAGTATGTTTTTGGAATTTCGAATAAAAAATTAAAACTGCCAATTGCTAAAAAACGATTTTATTTTTAAATTCTGTTCGCGTGGTATTAAATTTTAGCTTTTCATACTGCAAAATCGATTTTGAGAAAATAACCAAAAGAAAGTTTAATGCCGAATTTCCTTTATAGCTAAAAACGGTCTTTTTCGTACAAGAAATAGATTTTCAGCTTCTCAGGCACTCATCAAACGAATAGAAGCGGAAAATTGGGTCGGATCGGTAGAGGAAACTTCGGAAATTCGGAAAATATTGGAAGATATGAGAGATGATGTATATTTCGAAATTTTGTATTTAAAGTTGTATTCACATTTTTTCTTTTCAGGACTCCGCGAAGAACTCCGTTAAAAATATAAGCTTATTGGCTTTGTCGAATCTTCTGATCAGCTATCATGCGACGTGTGCAGAAATTGACAAAAATATTTTTGGCATTTTGATGTTCCTCGAAAAATATGGAACAGATTTCAGGTGTGTAAGATCGCAATTAAAAAATTTAATTATCCTGTTCTTCTAGTGTTTTACAACCAATGGTTTTCGGAGAAGAAGCTCAACGGAATTACTATAATTTGAGGAAAATGGGTCAAAGTTTGCACGTGAAAATTACGCCCGATGACGTGAGCTTCGTTCGTCATGAAACTTCTATTTGAGTTTTCTAGGCGATCAAGACGTTTTTGAATTCGGCGACAATTTGGAATACGATGAAATATCACGTGAGAGAAGTTAGCGAGGAGAATGCGGAGAAAATCTACGATGTCCGTTATATTCTGAGATTCTTGTATTCTCTTCTCTATCCGGCATCTCCGGTAAGTAATTCAAGGATGAAAGAAGAACAATTTTGAAAATTGCCGTTTTATTAGATTTAGTAATTTTTTAGTTGTCATGCCGCTTATTTATTGAGCGCAATTGTCTCGCTTTGCTGTTTTCATGCACATCATCATCGGACCCAGACATCAGGACCATTGCTTACGCGTGTTTGCAGAGATATATGAATTTGTTGCAGGTTTTCAAAAAAAAACTGCAAACGATACCTATTTTTTTTTGATTTCCAGGAGCTCAAGCTTGAAGTTTTTGCCGAGAAAAGTTTGGTTGTATATCTGATTCGAATGTTCAAGCATAGTTCGGACAAGCCGATTTCTCGCGTTTCAAGCAGTATGATAAAGAGAATCACTAACGAAAATTGAAATTTTCTATTCTAGTCGTGTCACATTTCTTCGCGAAAGTTTCAAAATTGCTGCTGGAGCCGAACAATGTTGTTTACCCGCAAATAATGGCGTTTTTATGCATGAAGCCCATTTTCGATACGGAAAATGTGACAATCACTCGCTATATTATTTTAAACATTATTGATAAAAATTTTTAGGTTCCTGAATTCCTTAAATTGTTCTTCTCGAGTTCGCCTGAACATCACAACGAAGAAAGAGAATGGATTTTGTCGCTGATTGCCGAGGCGATGTTGGAACCCATTGATTATCAACTTCTACAGAATAGGTTTTGATTATTTTTCAAATAACTTCAAGATAATTGACATTGGTTTCAGAGCTGGAATTAAATTATTACTTTCTGCATTCAGTAGCTTATGGATTAATAAGGAATCGCGAGCACTGATCCTAAGGATTCTTCAGAATTGTGTTCTCATGCCTTCAGTGGCCCATGACTTGTTCAATCGTGAAGCTCTTCATTCGTGGATTGTTGCGAATATTGAGGCATTCAATTTCAACATATTCAATAATTTGGTGATGTATTCTATTTTCAGAGCAAGAGATTCACCGACTGGGAACGCAACTATCTCGCCCAGATATTCGCGAATCTTGTCGAAAATGAGCGAAAATATCAGAGGAGTCAGAAGGGCGGAAAAGTTGAGCTTTGCACGACATCGGTGATCACTTCGAAGATTTGCAACAAAAAAGTTTTTAGAATATTATTTTTTCATCTTGATTATTATTATTAATCTATTTAGATAAGTCAAGTGCTTACACGAATCATAACGCATAATAAAAACGGTCGGGAAGCTGAAAAAGCTCAGGAGTCTCTTTCGAAAATTGAAGAAGTGATAAACCGTAAATGGAAGATTAAACAAAAGTATAAGGCTGTTTGATGTGGTTTGGTGTTATATATATATTGTTATTGTTGATTTCATTGTTATATTGTCTTGTTTTTGTTTTTCCCTTATAAATATTTGATCATAAAAAAATATAGTTTCAATTTCCATTCGTGCTAGAAAACCCGAGTTGTGCAAACACGAAATTGCGATAATCGGTTTTTGCGGCGACGCCTTTGGTGGCGAGCCGAACCGAGCCGAGCCGGTCCGGTTGGACGGCGTGCTTCGCGCCAGCGCCGACCGGACGCATTTCGGCCAAATGTTCGCGTTGTTCTTGCTCGTTATCTCGCCCGCCAGCATCGATTGTAAGTCGTCGGCCATTCGCCGACGATCGGCCCGTTTCGATTCTCTGTTTTTTTTTTGTTTTAGCCGCATCGATACCGGAGTTTTGTCCGCAATTTGCCGTTTACGGAAAGTTGCCCGACGAGGGATGCGAACAGCCGTCGGATCCTAATGATCTGCCCGAATCGGATATTGAGAAATGGTTCACGAGGGAGATGTTTGATGTAAGTTCGAATCAGTTGCTATAAGCGAAATTAACAATAAAATATTATTAATGTTGCGGAGAGTTTACGTAATGCGTATACTCGGCATCTGACGCGGAAGCGTGCATCTCTTGGTCTCGCACGGACTAATTGGTTGTTTTGCACTTTAAATTGACGGCACGACAATTGTTAATTGCGATGACGTTAGAAATTGAAGGAAATAATAAAATAATAAAGAAAAAACTAACAGTTCAGGCGAAAATAGCAAAATAATTGTCCACGCGTGGCGAGACCATTTCGAAAAGGCGCACACCGTAAATATACCCAGCAATCGCCGGACGCCGACTATATTAGGCTTGCGTCTCGCTGCGAGTGATTCAATTTTAAATTTTTAAAATATGTATATTCCATATTGTCTTTTGTGAGTTTTGACAGTAATTGATGTCAAACAAAATTTTCAGTTTGTCTCGTCGAAATTTTCAGTTTGTCTCGTCGAGACCTTTGCGAAATTAGCATTCTCGTGAATCCATTATTATATTATTAGGAATATTTCATAGGATCAAATTGATTGCTATATTTCTTGCGCTATTTTAGGCATTTTTTTGTGGGGTTGAAAACTTGCTTTCGCGTTATAAGCTAAACAATAGGAAACGAACCATTATTTAAGCTCTCATGATTATCCAATTCATTGTGTTAAAAATATAATGAGCATCTGAGAACTTGACTTCTAGCTGAAACTCAATTAGACAACAGATTTTCGAGAAATTACTAAGATTGGAAAATTTTGTTGTATTCAGATTTGAAATATTTTACTATTAATTTAGTATTCTACGAATTTGTCTTTCCATTAAGCAATTGTTTTCATTTTCGAATCCCTACAACCACAAACCACAATTTCAAATATTTTATTTGCTTTGCATCTTCAGAAATCAGGCAACGCAATAATTTTATGGTGGCAAAATTGGTCATCGTTATCACCATGAAAACCCATAAAAATGAGTTAGATCGACATTGATAAATGATGCAAATAGTAGATATTGGGCAAAGGTGTGGTTGAAATTGAAATCGATCGATTGATTATAGGATTTGTTCCCGAAATCCAACATTGGTCTCGGTCCGAACTCGTGCCTACCGTACTCTTACGACGCCTTCATTATCGCGGCGCGATATTTCCCCGAATTTGGCGCCTCGCATCCAAATAGGCATTTCAAACCGCACGAGCATCATAAACGCGACGTCGCCGCATTCTTCGCCCACGCTCTTCAGGAGACCGGCGAGAACGACGTCGGCCTCTACAAGTGAGTCGGTTTGTCAAGAGCTATCCCAGATTACTGTAGGACGACAGCAATACGGATTTGACTGTCGAGCAAGCGCATGAATGCTTCTATCGTGGCGGTTTCTATAATTGGTTCGAGAGGGGCCCAACGTCCAATTTTCTGCCACCGGATAGTCCAGGTAAATAAGCGGCAGTGTAGATTATTGATCGAAAAAAATTTCAGGACATCATCCTGAAGATGGCAAACGTTGCGTTCTCGATGGCCGCTATTGCAAAAGCGAATCAGTTCTCGATTTTTGGTATCCATGCAATCCCGAAACGGAAGAGCTCGGCAACACGACCTACTATCAAGGATGCTATTTCGGACGTGGAGCACTTCAGCTCTCATGGAACTACAATTACGGGCTCTTTCAGCAATTCCTTCTAACGAAAAATATCAAAGTCGATTTGATCGAGAATCCGAATTTGGTAGGAATCGACAATTCCATAGCCTCATCCGAACATTGATCATATTAAGGTTCTGACGAAAATGGATCCCCCACTCGCGATGATGGCTTCTCTTTGGTTTTACATGACACCGCAGCCGCCGAAGCCGTCAATGCACCAAATTGTCGTCGGTGATTGGCGGCCTTCATCGAAGAATCGAAGAGCCGGCTACCACGGTCCAATTTTCGGACCAACAAGCTTAATTATTAATAATGAGTGTGGTGGCGAGGATCGAGAAGAACCAGGTGGTCCCGGAGAATCGCGACGAATCAAGGCGTTCAAATGGTTTTGCAAATATTTCAAAGTTCCCGTCGGCACGGAAAGAACTCTCAGCTGCAAAGGCAATCGACAAATTCTGGAATTTGAAGGCCAACGACTTTTTTTTGATTTTCAGGAATGCTTGACAACTTCGACGCCGTTCAGCACATGTATTCATGGCATCCGGATTGGGGCAACATGTGGAAGTCGCAGGCATGCGATTGTGCTCCAGCTCCCTACGGAGGCCCACTACCATATTACGATCCGAAATTTTATCCGCACGAGTTCACAAAGCAAAACGACAGAAATCGTCTGAGATGCGTCTACAGCATCTACGAGAATCCGCACCTATTCCGTCTCGACGAAGGCAATTCGCCGTGTCTGAAACACAAGCCGAAAATCAAACTAACGCGTACTGGTTTGAGGAATTAGTTAGTGTAGTCATAAATTATTCGATTGCTCTTCGTTTTTTTTATTTCGTTCTTTCTTTGTTGCAAACATGCCACGCGATCGGACTGATAAGATTGAAAATCGTGACGAAACCGTAGTGTAGTTAATCAAATGAACGAGCATTTCTCACAAGAAAGCAAATGCAAATAAAACATTTGAATCGTGTCGATGAAATGTGCGAGTGAGAAATAATTATGCAAAAATGACTGGATTCCTTTATGGACCTGTTCAGGCAATTTAAAACTTGTAAAAATGGGCACATTTTCTCATTGGAGGAATGCAAAAATTGCAATGGGTACTGTAATTAAATCATGGAGAAATCTGCGAGACCCATGTGACAATTTGTTGTTGTGCGTCTTTTTTTTTTTGAAGTTATGGTATTATTTTTTTTTTATTTAATTGATTTATATTTTTACTTTGTTTTCGTTTATTTTCTGAAATTTGAATAACGCACATTTCTTTTAATTTCGTCGAGACTCATCTTTAGATTTAGAAGTAGATTGACGTGCATGCGCCTTCGCTATGGTCTCGCACGGACTGACTGATTTTTTTTTCATAAATTTCAATAATTAAGAATTTAAAAAATTATAGATTCTTCAAGAAAAATCAAATAGTTCACGTGAAAATTTCGAAGTAAGCATTCACGTGTGGCGAGACCAATTTGAAAGGCGCACCCCGTAAATCTACACGCGCACAGCAGTCGCCGGCTTTAGAATAATCAGTAATGATAGTAAAAAAAAAAGTAATACCGTAACTTCAAAAAAAAACGCACGACAATAATTTATCTCATGGGTCTCTTCATCATTTAATTACAGTACTCATTTCATTTTTTTTGTTGAAAAAAATTTTTTTGTAATTTTTTTATTACATGAATAGGTTCTTCAAAAGGCCACGCTACCTTTGAATGCGATAATTCTACTGGAAAATTTGGACTAAATCGCGTTTTCAAGTGAATACCTACTCAAGGGTTCCGACTTCTTTCTTGTTACCAGTTGGAACTTACCAATCGGAATATCTGAAATGAATTTGAATTAAATTCATTTGAAATATGGACATTGCGAAATTTAATACTGGAAAATCTGAATTTCATTTGCCATATTGAAAATGTATTTGGACTCAGTGACACCGTCCGTCTTCTTTTTTCGGTGCTCCCAGGCTTTCGACGAGATCCGAAAGCATCCTTGAGATTGGAAGTTCAAAATATGGATTAGAGTATAAACATTGCTGGTCAACTCGATTTGTGGTATTATATTATTTAAAAATTTTCCAATTCATAATTGCATTGCGGAAATTTTGTGGAAATTCTGCAAAGCTTATTGGCATGCGCCTTTGAGTACGGTCTGTTTGGCAACATCAAAGTACACTATAAAACTGAATTAGAAATATTTTTTCGACATATAAGGGATGTTTTTGATAAAATATTTAATAAAAATAATATTGAAGTTGAAAAATTCTCCAATAAAACTGCTGGTTTTTTCTCTTTCTTTTCTTGATTTTAAGAAATTCATTTCTTAAAATTGTAAAAAATATGATTTTATATGTAGTTTTTTTAAATTGAAATGCTCAAAAGCAGTCAATAAATGTTTTTTTTTAACAAAAATTTGCATTTTTTTTAAATGTTTGCCTTTCGAATTTTTTAAAAAATTCGATTAGGAATCAAAAAATCGGCGATAATTAGATAGTGTTCCGCATTTCGATTCAAATTTTTGCTAAAATGATAACCATGATAATCATGATGCAAATCACCTAACAATAGGATTAATTAATTGCAAACAATCAGTAGAGAAATTGTTGGGTACTGTAACAGCAGTTTTATCTGTGTTATACGATTCCCAACCCATCATTCATATTTCTTTGTTCGATTCTCAATTAAAATGTAGGCAACTGATAATCGGGCTGCTATTGCTCGAGCGTGCCGCCGATTCGCCTCTCGCCCGGACATTGATAAGCGCGAATTCAGGCGTCGCCACGAATCAGAAATCAAAAATGATAAATCGAAATGGTATTTGAGGAGAATACGACGAAAGTACAAAACGAACTTTGAAGTGAATTTCGAAAATGCCCAATTAATTATGATTCTTCTTATACAGAGACTTAGTGCCGAATAAATTATGCCCCCCATAGCAATCGGATGCGAAAATCTTACAATCAAATAGAGAATGATTCTGGAACAGAGAAAAATGAGGAATGTGAAAAACTGCGGCGATATCCTATGCATTGTGTGCGTACACCGAGTCGCACATATCGATCTTACCTACAGTAATCTTAACGGAAAATTATTTAATCAATTATTGATCGTTTCTTTTTGATATAAAACAATTAACTTTGAATAATATAAACATTTATTACACTTTTCAACAAAACTATACACATAAAACCATTAATTCGCCAAGATAGCACAGAAAAAAATTGAAAAATAATAATTGATTAAATAATTTTCAATTGAGATTACTGTAGCTAAGATTTGAGGTGTACGCACACAATGCATAGGATATCGCTGCAGTTTTTCACATCTTTCATTTTTCCACAATATGCTTTTATCCAAAATTTGTCCATTGAAGAAACTTTGGTGTCATTTGAATTGCCGCCTTGGGTCTCGCATGGAATAACTCATCGGAGCGAGATTTGTTTAATTTAACCCTCACAATATGGAATATCATTTTACCTTTTCTTTCAAAACGAAATTTAAAGGTGCATTGCAGATTTTGAGAAGCAAAACTAGCATTTTGCATACTGTTTTTCGAATAGTTTTTCGATAGTTTTTTCCTCATGTTTTTGCATAGAAAATTGATTGCAAAATTGACGTCAAAAGAGACATTTAAACAGCAGCCCGGCAATTTTTCAATTTTTCAAATTCTTCCGCAATCAATTCTTGACAATCATATAGAGAATCTAATGAATTCATGATGTTCGATGGAAAAAGAGTTGCGGGCTGAAATTGACGATGACATTGCGGTTAAAATCATTGACAAATAAAATAGAATTATGAATCAATATTTTGCTTGAATTTGAACGACTAAATTTTAAGAAACCAACAAAAAAAATTGTCGTCCCAACTTCTTTTTTTTTTTTGATTTTCATGAAAATATTTTTTTAAACAAAAAATTGTGAAGATTTTCGAAAAAAAAATGACAAATGCAATTTTATTACGATTTTCTACTAAATAAAATTCGAAACATTTTTTTTAATATTCATAGTTCATTTTAAATGGTTCAAGTCGATTGGATTCTTGGAAAAAAATGTAGAATAGAATTTGAGCATGCGGGAACGAGAATTTCGTAAACCCAAAAATATTCGAACATCACACGCTTCCCTTTTTTTTATAGATTTATCTTTTCGATAATTAATCCGATTATTTTCAAATTCCAGTTTGATAAGTGTATGCCTGCAAAGCAATATTCATAGTTCCGCGAAAGCCATTCGGAATTCAATGAACTGTTTCAATGTATTTCAGTTTTTTTTTCGAGATTGCCAAATTCGGTCCAGGCAGAAAGTGAACTGTGATCAACCGGATTTTTCGGAAAAATACCGTGATTCAGACAAAGCGAGATTAAATTTTATTGGTTTTCCAATAACGCATTTCGTTGTGCGATAAGAATGCGAGGTGCACAAATCATATTTAACTGAACGATTTTGCGAATATGGGAGATTCAGAAGGATTGACAGCATTGCAAATCACGTCGTGCTGGAAATTGCATTATGGTTACAGATCTGCGGACAATAATCGAGGACCCGCTAGTTCAGGCCGTAGAATGTTCTTGGATGATCCGTAAAATAGACCAAGTCAAATCTTTGATTTGTTGAGGCCCAATTTCTCAATTTAAATCTGCTCGATCTGCGGACATTGATCGGGGGCATGCTGATGAGTTCAAATTGTTAACATTCGAGGTGATCTCAACCAACTTCCAAATTCGATTCCTTATCTTCTATCTTTATCACAGAGATATTTCATTCTCAAATTGGACGAAACAATTTCAAAATGAATCATATTTCTCATAATGTTCCGGCTATCATCAATATTCCCCCCTGACAAAATTTATGACGCGCCCGAGTTGAACTATTTGCCACGTCGGCGAAATGCGACCGACCATAAATTGCATTCATTAGCTGTCGTTGGCTTCCATAAAAGGCGAGCACAATTTCGAACCACGCCCACAAACTTTCAATTTCTTATCTTGCCAATTCTAAATTACCGTATCGCGGCCAGCGACCAAGAACCGATCGCCTAATGAGCACATATGCCACCATTCATTTCATTCTCGATTGCGGAGAGACGTTGCCTTCCACTTTCTACTTAAAAAAAATCAATTCCCTAATTACTGTACTACTGTTTCAGATGCGCTTGGGCATATTCCTGCTGGCCGTCTTGGCTGGCTGTTGTGCTGCCGACAGCTTCAATTGTTTAGTGGGAAACCTCTTAGTTCAAAATGGTATCATTATCTCGAAAAGCGTAGAAACTGTGAGTCCGAGCCATCATAATCGAATCACCAACTCCCCAATTGATTTCAGAAATCATGCAGCGGATTATGCAGTAAGCAGACTCTCACCAATCAGGATGGATCTCTTGTGATGTTCGCGTGCAAGAAAGAAAACAAGGTATGTCTAGATTGGTGTTCCGCTTCTCGCAATGCCCATTTTCAGCTCACATCATTCCTCAATCAAAACGAAAAGCCATGCTCCAGCAGCGAGCTCGAAACCAAGTGCTTCTGTCGGGGCGATGAGTGCAATCGTGTCGATCTTCCCGAAAATCTGCCGGCACCATCGAATTTCGTTGCCAAGTGAGTGAGTTTGCCATCGTCTTTATCAGGCGTTTCGTATAACGTGGCTGCGTTATCGCGTGGTCTCCATCAAAATTGAATTAAACGTCTGATAAGAGCAGAAATTTTGTGATGAATTACTGTAGGTCGATTTTCGATTTATATTTTTTTCTTTGCAGCAACATCCTCTGCTACGTCGGATTCTACGCCAACAACACCGGATTTGGAGCCGTCGGCGATGTTGTCACGTGCGGACAAGGAAATGTGTGCACAAGTGTGTCCGGAGTCTACCAGGGCTACGATGCCGCTGCGTACGCTTGCATGCCGCTGGCTCTCTGTCAGAACATCCTTCCCGACCTTAAAACCGGAACCCAATGCACCAATCTTAAAGGAACCAATATTCAAGGATGCTGCTGCTACGATCAAGATTGTCGCTCGCTGGCCCCAATTCCGAACCTTCCAACTCCGGAACCGTTCGGAAAAAACAATGTGACTTGCTATCAAGGAATCCACATCAATGGAAATAATATCTATGGTGGAAGCTTCTCGCAGTGCCAAGGTGAATGCGGATCAGTGAGAATTCGAACCGTCTTAAATGTAAGCGGACACGTTCTGAATTCAGTTTGACAGACGTCGGAAATTTTTAGGGAACGAATGTATGGGGTGAAGTGTTCGTCTGCGATCCGGTTGACGTCTTCAACACTCTCAACTTGAACAATGATTGCCGCACTGTCGATACCACCAACCTCAACGGCGTCCCGACCGGATTGCTTTATGGATGCGCTTGCAACACTGATAAATGCATCGACCCGACTGTCGTGCCACCGGTCTATCCAATCAAACAGCTTAAGGTAACAAATGCAAAAAAACAAATTCGATATATGGCTTTGATTGGTTTGTTTCAGTGCGCCGTCGGATTCCTCAGCAACAACAAATGGCTCGGCGCCGAGATGGCTTGCAGCGGAAGATGCAGTCGGTACAAGTTCGTCGCCAATGGACGCGACGTCGCCTATTACACGTGTTCGCCATACGACATCTGCGCCGGATTCGGATTGGAGAGCACCGAGGGAGAGACCTACAATCCGCCGCAGGATGAGGAACTCGAAGCGTACTGCTGCTCGGCCAAGGACAACTGCAACGCCGACTCGCCAGTGATTCGCGGAGCCATCAACACGACCGCCATTTCGACGGCCAAGTACCCGGTTCTTTGCTACGGCGGAATCTGGGTCAACGGTGTTCCGATCACGAACAGCGCTTACGGATTGTGCAACGGTGAATGCGCGTCGGTCAACTTCATGACGATGTTCGCGGGCGAAACGCACAACGCCACCATCTACACGTGCGATCCAGTTACCATGTGCGAGTCGGCCGGAATCGCCAACGGATGCGGACCGGTGATGGGCGTCACCGCTTGCTGCTGCGACAATGACTTGTGCCTCGATCCGAATCGCGGAGCGCCGCAACCAAACCTTCGCTGCTACTCTGGAATCTCAATTCCGCAGGACGGCTACAATCAAGGAGGAGATCAGATTTGTGACGGATGGTGCGCCAGCTTGAACTCGGTCATCAACAACAAGAACGCAACCGTCTACTATTGCTCGCCGGTCGGCATGTGCCGCTATTTCGGTCTCGGATTCGGCGGAAGCGCCGGAAACTGCGCGTCAATTCCAGGAGCCGATCCGCCGGTCACCGGATGCTGTTGCTCGGACTCGGACAATTGTTTGGTGCCTGACAACGTCAACGTCACCGCCATTCCGGCTAGACGCGATCCAAAGATTGTGTGCTACGAGGGACTTCATCTCAACGGCGAGAACGTCACCTTCCCGTATTATAGAATCTGCGACGGCGAGTGTGCATCGGTCATGCTCACCGGAACGATCGGAGGATCCAATCACTACGCTCAACTTTTCACGTGTGACGCCGCAAGCTCGTGTGCCGCCATGGGACTCCGCAACAATTGTTCGACGATCGACAACTCGTTGAGCGCTTGCTGCTGCGATTCCGATGAGTGCATCGATCCGACCGTCAACCGCTATCCAGGAACCCCACTCAAGTGCTACGTTGGTATCAGCACCAAGTTCTCCAATTTCACCACCGGAGCCGATGTGATCTGCGACGGCTATTGTGCCTCGGTTGCCGCCGTCGTCGGAATTGACTTCGTCACCGCATTCCATTGTGCTCCAAAAGACCTCTGCCGCTCATTGGGACTCGACAACTCGAACAACACCATCTACCTCGATCGTTACGTCAACGCCATGTGCTGCGACTCTTCGGATTATTGCAACTTGGCCGGCACCAACATCGACCCAACCAAAATTCCGGTTTCGCCAAAGGAGGCCCCGAAGGCGTGCTACTCGGGCGTCTTCGTTGGAACCACTCAAGTTTCCGATGGAGGATGGCTCGCATGCCAGGGTGATTGCGTCTCGGTTTCACTCAACACCACCTACAACGGAGCGGTGTCCGTCGCCAGTCTTTACACATGCGATCCATCGACTGTTTGCCGCAACTTGAAGGCCATGAACCGATGCCACAAGATTGAAGATGGCTTCGAAGCGTGCTGCTGCGATAGCGACGCTTGCCTTGATCCCACTGTCAACCCGCCACGCAAGCCATTCGGAGACGGAAACCTCTGCTACGTCGGAGCTTATTCCTACGACGCTGCCGGAAACACCATCTTGAACGTCGGAGGAGAGGAGTATTGCGAGGGAACGTGCGCTTCTGTCACCTCGTCGCTCGCTGGCGCCAACTTCACCGCCTACGCATGCACACCAAACTACGTCTGCTCGTACCTCGGACTCTATGATGATTGCCAGAGCGTCTACGCCGATCGCACCATCAATGCCTGCTGTTGCACCAGCGGACCCAATTGCAATTTGAATCAAGTTGTTCCACAGCCACCACCACTTCCACAGCCAAGAAGACAAAAACGCGAATTCCCGATCACCTGCCCAGCTGGTGTCATCATCAACGGAAATCCAGTCACCCCAATCGAATTTCAAGTGTGCGATGGTGATTGCGCTTCAGTCACCATCAACGGAACCGTTGGCTCCGCGCAGCATATCGCCACACTCTACTCGTGCGATCCAAGCACCGTCTGCAATCAGCTCAGCTTGTACAATGATTGCGCTACCGTCGAGAAAGGTGTCACCGGATGCTGCTGCAACACCGACGCGTGCCTTGATCCACTTCGCGGCAAGACCGTCCCAACGCCGCCATTGAAGTGCTACGTCGGATTCTACTCGAACAAGATCAACACCGGAGCCGAAATCCTTTGCGACGGCAAGTGCGCTTCAGTCAACGCCCGCCTCAACGACGACAACGCCACATTGTTCGCGTGCGTTCCGCACAAGTTGTGCCGCTCTCTCGAATTGTACGACGAGTGCCGATCAATGGCGCCGTGGTATCCGGAATTCAAGGCTTGTTGCTGCGACAACCTCGACAACTGCAACGTGAAAATGAGCCATTTGAACGGAAAGATCAACACCACCATTCCACTCTCGCCGCTCAACGACTTCCCAATCTCGTGCTACTCGGGTCTCTTCATCAACGGAAGCGCCTACAGCGACAACGGATGGCAGATTTGCGACGGCGATTGCGTCTCGGTCTCGTTCACGTCGACATTCAATGGTGCTCTAGGCGTTGCATCGCTCTACACATGCGATCCTTCGAGAGTGTGTCGCAACCTTGGACTCAAGAACAACTGCTCGACACTTGAGAATGGTGTGTCGGGATGCTGTTGCGATTCAGCCGGATGCATCGATCCAACCAAGTACCCACCAAAGACGCCAGGAAACCCACTCTACTGCTACGCTGGAATCCAATCCGATTATCTCGTCAACGGAAAACCATTGAGCGTTGGCGCTGAGATTCTCTGCGACGGAAAGTGCTCATCGCTCTCCGGAATCGTCAACGGCAACATGGTCCACTCGTACCATTGCGTTCCATCATCGGTGTGCCGCGCTTTGGAGCTCTACGACGACTGCAAACGAGTCCACGAGGATCGTCAGATCGATGCTTGCTGCTGCGACAATGTCAACAATTGCAACATCGCCAACACCACCATCGTGCCGCCAGTTCCGCAGAAGACAGTTGACTTCGCCATTGCTTGCTATTCGGGACTCTACGTCGACGGAATTCCAGCCACACCACTCACGTTGGGATCGTGTGAAGGACAGTGCGCATCGATCAGCATCAACACGACATACAACAAAAATACGAAGGTCGCCACACTCTACGGTTGCGATCCGACATCAGTGTGCGATACACTCGGCATGAAGAACAGCTGCGCGTCGCCGGAAGACGGAATCACCGGATGCTGTTGTAACACCGATCTCTGCCTTGATCCACCAAAGAACAAGACCGTCCCATCCGGCTATCGCAAGTGCTACAACGGAATCTACTTCAAGGGCAACGCCACCGGAGCAGAAATGGGCTGCACCGGAAAGTGCGGTTCGGTGAGCTCAACTGTCAACGGAGATTCCGTGACGATCTTCTCGTGTGTTCCAACCACATTCTGCCGTCAACTCGAGCTCTATGACGAATGCAACACGGTGAAACAGGATCGCGATATCACCGGATGCTGCTGCGACAACTACGACAACTGTAACGTCGATTTGGCCGGATTGAACGGAAAGATCGACACGTCGGGAGATATTTACAATAGTCGCGATTATCCGATCGCTTGCTATCAAGGATTGTTCGTTGGAAAACAAGCGATCGCTTCGGCTGGATGGCAGGCGTGTCAAGGTGAATGTGCGTCGGGAAGCATCACCACCACTATTAATGGACATCCAACGACTGCCACGCTTTACACTTGCGACGCCGTCAGCACTTGTTGGCAGATGGGAATGAGCAACAACTGCACGAATCTCGAGCAAGGACTTTCAGCGTGCTGCTGCTCGACGGACGCGTGCCTCGATCCGACCGTCTACCCACCGCGCACACCAACCAATCCACTCAAATGCTATGTTGGACTTCAATCGACATACCAAGGCGGATTGAGCATTGGAGCCGAGACGTACTGCAACGGACAATGCGCGTCGATTACTGGAATCGTTGGCGGAGAGAACGTCACCACCTACCATTGCGTTGCCGACAGCGTGTGCAAGTCATTGGAGATCAAGGATACGTGTAGAGTGCTTTGGGGAGACCGAAGTCTGACGGCGTGCTGCTGCAACAACGCCGACAATTGCAATCTGAAGGATCCGAACGTCAAGCCGGGACCACCAGTGCTTCCAGACTTCCCAACTGCGTGCTATTCGGGACTCGTCGTCGACAAAAAACCATACTCGGCATTGTCTCTTGGAGGATGCTACGGACATTGCGCATCGATCAGTTTGGCGACAACCTATCAGGGCGCCAATCACACCGCCACATTGTACACCTGCGATCCGACCCAAGTGTGCCAGCAGCTCAATTTGACCAACAGCTGCCAGAACGTCGAGCCAGGAGTGAGCGCGTGCTGCTGCGACACCGACGGCTGCATCAATCCGTACACCAACACATTCCCGGGACCACTCAATTGCTACGTCGGATTGTACACCAGCGACGGCAAGATCAACACCGGCGGAAGTGTGCCATGCGACGGCTATTGCGGATCGCTCGAGACCACCGTTGGCACGACCCTCTACAAGTCCTACCATTGCGTGCCAAAGTCCATCTGCACACAATTCGGTTTGTTCAATGAGCGTCGCACAATTTCGACCGACAAGGACATCACTGGCTATTGCTGCACCAACGGCAACAACTGCAATGTACTCGAGAACGCGGTGAACGTCACTGTCGCGCCAGCGGTAAGACCAATAATGAATGGATTGCAATCAACATTGATACCTTTCAGCCAACCGGCAACCCAATCGCTTGTCGCTCATCCATCTACCTCAATGGAGCCCCAGCGACCGGCGACACATTCACAGCATGCTACGGACAATGCGCTTCGGTCACCTATGCGACCGCTCTCAACGGCGCCAACAACACACTGACGCTCTACACCTGTGATCCAACATCCGTGTGCGATTCCTTGAGTAAGATCCGCTTAATCTAGAAGCCCACTATATAACACCTTCAGAATTGTCCGACTCATGCGCGACACTCGACGGCGGAGTCTCCGGATGCTGCTGCAACACCGACAACTGCGTCGGGCCGAACATCCAGCCAACACCGCCAACTGGATACGCCACCACCACCTCCTTCTCGATTCTCAGCTTCCTCGCTGCTGTATATATTGCCATTAATCAATTCTAGGCTAACGGTTTTCACTAGTTCCACTCTTCTCCCAAAATCAATTCGTTAAACAATGCATTCATGAATGTGCTATTGTAAAGCACCCGTTATTCCCCAATTTTTTTATTCTCACAATTTCCGAATAAAAACTTAATCAATAAAGATTGATTTTGAATAATGCTTGATGCGCCTTTAAATCTGGCCTCCTGGCTTCTGTTAACCAGAAATAAAGAAAATTTAAGCCGGAATTTTGGAAAAAACCCTCTAATAATAAAGTATACAACAATAATAAAATCAAATGAAAAAATTTAGACTTTGAGTAACCATTTATGAATAACAACAATTATAACAAATCTAAAAACGAATCAACAACAACACTTACTTAGTCACTTAGTCGGTTCGTCCTTCACCTGTTGAGGCGCGAACCACAGCTTTCCAAGCTTTTCGGTCCTTGGCTTGGGTGGACCAGGGGGTGATAACGGCACCTTCAGCTGTTCTTGTAGTGATCTCCTTCCGAAGCGAGTCCGACCATCTCATGGGAGGCCTTCCTCTTGGCCGGGTCCAATTCCACGGCCGCCACTCCGTTAGAAGAGTAGTCCATCTTCCATCTGTTCTTCTAGCAACGTGTCCAGCCCAGGTCATTTTCCTCTTCGTGATGTGGTGTAGGGGGTCCCGAACTTTAGACATAATGCGGATGTCCTCTCGATGAAGATCTTGTTCACGTTGTTGTGATAACGTGAGGCCAACCAATCTTCGCTCAAGCGCAGCGTGACTAACTCGGACTCTCTCGGCAAGAGCTTTGGTGAAGGTCCAAGTCTCTGATCCGTAAGTCAGCGCTGGGAAAACGATGGAATCGAAGAGCTGTGCGCGGGTTTTGTTACAGGAAATCAAATCGGTGGTGTTCTTGATTCCATTAAACGCTACCCAAGCTGCTCTTCTCCTTCGGAAGATCTCCTTGACTAGCTCGTTTTTTGGGGTGAGTAGTCTTCCAAGGTACACGTATTCGTCAACATCGTCAATGATACTGACCGAATTCTGGTGCGTTAGGGTAACCTTGGCGGAGTCTGCGAAGGGGTTACGTAGGACTTTGGTCTTTCCAGCGTTAATCTGGAGCCCTACTTGTTCGCATCTCGCAACCATCTCACTTAGCATCTCGGATGCCGCTTGCGGACTGTGCGCTATGAGCACGACGTCGTCTGCAAACCGCAGGTGTGTGAGGTTGCGGCCATTCACACGTAATCCTGGAGTGTTCGTATTGTCTTCTGAGTCGTTTTTGAATTGACTCCAAGACAATTCGCGGAAAACTTGCTCCAGGCACGCGGAGAAAAGGTTCGGCGAGATTGGGTCACCTTGCCTTACTCCTCTTCGAACAGGTATCTCTACCTGTCGATGGAATGGCGTGATGCTTGTGGAACAGTCAGAGTAACAACTTTGGAGTAGCTGGATATACGCTTCTTCAACGCCTTGGTCTCTTAGGCTCTGCCACACTGCTGAATGCTCAACACTGTCGAACGCCTTCTTGAAATCAACGAAGACAAGTGTGAGTGGGATTTGATATTCTCGTCCCACTTCTAGCAGTCTTTGGACAGAGTGGATGTGATCCACTGTTGAGAAGCCCTTGCGGAACCCAGCTTGTTCTACAGGTTGATTGGCTTCTAGTTTACTCCTGATTCTATTCAAGATGCATTTTGTGAAAGCCTTGTATAGAACAGGGAGTACCGTGATTGGCCTGTAGTTCTCCAGGGAGTATCTATCACCTTTCTTGAAGATGATAGTTGTCTCTGACTTGGTCCACAGTCTCGGTATTGATCCGGTTTCTAGGTAGCGGTTAAATCGGTCCGTTATCAGCGCGATAGTGTTTTCGTGGCAGCATTTGAGGAAGTCTGCGCTTATTTTATCACTACCAGCTGATTTCCCATTTGGGAAGGACCGAAGTGCCGAAACGATCTCCTCTCGTAGAAATGGAAGGGGCCTATCCGTGACTTGCGTTGTCGTAGGCGTAGGCGCTTGTGGGGCTCTACTCGCAAAGAGCTTCGTGTAAAACGATTCCACTTCCTTCTCCATTTCTGTTCTAGAGGTGAGAGTTCTGCCTGTAGTAGAGCATTTGAGGCATGGAATCAGTGACTTGTATTCGTTCATGTCTCGCGCTACTCTCTTCAAGCTTTTGCGTTGATCGGCTGCTCCTAGTAACCGGGAATTGGTGAACTCCTTGTGATCTCGTTCGATTGCTTCTCGGCACTGTTTTGAGAGGTTCTTGAAATTGGGATCGGACCTGCTCATGTTTCGTCTGCGCGAGAGCAATTGTTGTGTTTCGACAGAGATCCTATTGGTCCGGTGGTTTGATGGTTTAACAATGGCTTGGTCTTGTAGTTTCCTGAGTAGCGTTGTTAGATTAGAGTAATCTTCGTCAACGCTGTTGGCTACTGGAAGACTAACAATCGAGCTTATTGTTTTAGCCATCTCCGGGTCCAATACTTTCTTCGGCGCCTTTCTCTTTCTGCTTTTATCGTACTTCAGCCAATTTATGTTGAAGTGGATGTTCGCACGGAGAAGGCGGTGGTCGCTTCCTACTGTGAATGATGGCAGCACCGAAGTATCTGTTACAAACCTCCCGTTGGCGAGGATGTGATCGATTTCGTGCTTGAAGAGGCCATCTGGACTTATGAAAGTCCAACGCTTATGGGCTGGCTTTTGGAAAAGCGAGTTTGTGTGCCATAAGCGGTTTGTTTCACAGAAGGTCGCGAGGAGTTCACCAGCGTCATTGCGCGGTTCCATCGAATTGACTCCGATGAACCGCTCATTCTCATTACTTCTGGCCCCTACGCGTGCGTTGAAGTCACCGATGACTAGCTTGTAGTCGCTCCTACAAGAACGGTAAGCTTCTTCCACAGCGTCATAGAATTGTTCAATTTCTTCAGGATCGGCGTCGGCGGTTGGAGCATAAACTTGCATGACTGTGCATTTAAGCTTATTTCCGACCTTGAATGTTAGCATGCCGATCCTGTGGCTAAGAAATTTTACTTCTTCTATACGGGGAGCGAGGGTGCTATGAACTACAAAGCCGACCCCTCCAACAACAGAAGTGTCATGACGTTTGCCTAGGAAAATCGCTGTCCCATCAACGTGTTTCATATGCTCTTCAGTTGGCCTTTTCGTCTCACTGAGTCCAATGATATCGAATTTGATTCGATTGAGTTCATTGAGGAGCTCAGAGAGTCTGGTTTCTGTAGCGAGCGATCTACAGTTGAAAGTGCCAATTCTGAAGTGAACTTTTCGTGTTTTTGGGGGCGATTTTCCATTAACCGAGACCAGACAGTTGCCATCAGGCCCGGATTGCTCCCGTTCTGCTTGTCCTGTAACTGTCAATCCAGGGGCAGAGCTCGGGTCCGGGACATTTCTTTGCTTTATACTGTTTTTAGCGGACTGGGTCCCTGTTTACTTCTTCCGGCTTGCTAGGCCGAATCGAAGCCGCCCGGATGAGGAGTATTCGACTCTACCCTCGGCCTGCGTGGGACAGTGTACTGATTAGCCTGAGCATGTTCCACTGGGGTGACGAAATCCCCAGTTATGTAGAGGAGCATGAACAGTTTATCTTCTTCGCCACGAAGAGGCTCAGTAACAGAAGAAGGCTTTCATGAATGTGCTATTGTAAAGCACCCGTTATTCCCCAATTTTTTTATTCTCACAATTTCCGAATAAAAACTTAATCAATAAAGATTGATTTTGAATAATGCTTGATGCGCCTTTAAATCTGGCCTCCTGGCTTCTGTTAACCAGAAATAAAGAAAATTTAAGCCGGAATTTTGGAAAAAACCCTCTAATAATAAAGTATACAACAATAATAAAATCAAATGAAAAAATTTAGACTTTGAGTAACCATTTATGAATAACAACAATTATAACAAATCTAAAAACGAATCAACAACAACAACCAAAACTTTAAAAAAAAGAAACAATTTAACGACGTCTCATCTTCTTATTTCCACCAGACGGACCTCGCTTACTTCGTTTAATTCCTTTTCCCTTCTTCGTCTTCTTCTTTTTACCGTCATCGTCATCCTCTTCAATGTTTTCAAGCATCTCCGCAAATTTGTCTCCAGCCATCTCAAAATCGTTCTCACCAATTTCCTCGTCACTCGACACATCATCTGAAACCGCTTATTGTTGGAAAATTCAATGCAGAACTCGACACACCATCTCCGAAAATGTTCGAACTCGATTTTCCACCTCTTCCTCCAAAATCGTCATCGTCGTCATTATCATCTTCGTCATCATCTTCAAGATCCTCATCGTCTTCCTCGACATCCTCGTCGTCATCATCATCGTCATTTTCGAACCCTTCCTAAACTCTCACAATTTTGCCAAAAATCTAAAACGATGAGGCTCTACCTCGTCGTCATCATCGTCGTCAGCATCATCCAACTCAAGATCATCCTCGTCAATATCAACATCATCTTTCTTCTAAAAATACAATACTCAATTTTCATAATTCAAAAAGTGCAATAAGTCTGCGTGGGCCGACAAAAATTGAATAGGAAAAACAATTTTCGAAATATTCAGAAAACCCTTGACTTACATTATTCTTCTTGTTTTTCTCAGCAGAGAACTCTTTTCCATAATCGATATCGAATTCATCGTTGAGCTCTCCAGGTTCGAATCGATCTGAAACATTTGTATTTATTTTTATGATCATTCCTATCATATGCTTACCAAGGATCGCGTCGAACTCCTCCGAGTTCACACTTTCCGCATATTCCCATTCATCATCCTCATCTCCCTCCTTTTTGTCTTTCTTCTTCTCTTTCAGAAGCGTTGAAGCATACCGATGCAAGAATCTCTCATCAGCGGGAATCTCGTCACGCCGCTTCTTCATGTACTCTTTCGAGCTGACCGCCAACTTGCGAACTCCCCATGGATCGTGCGCCTTCTTCCTCGTCACACGCACACCGCTCTTTTGCACATCCTTCGGATTTCGGAACGCAAACCGATCAAGGAAGCTCATCAGCGCAAAATCGTTGAGAGAATCACCGCAGTAGTTGATTTCGCCGTTTTCCAATAACGCTTTCGCAAAAACGGCCACCGACGGATGAAAATGTTGGGAGAGCAGCAAAAGCTCATTGTCGGCTGATTGGGAAGCATCAACGAACAACGGATTGCGAGCAACTGAGTCGTGCGGCGATTTGACTCGCTTTGCGTTTTGCTCTCGATGAACCCAACCACCAGAAGATGAAGCGCCAAGCTTCCCAGAAAGCACCGCCTTCTTATCATCCACTTCCTCCACTTTAATGTCTTCATTCTTCAAAAAATTCTATTTGCAATTGATAATCCCAAACATTTCGAACCTTTTCAGATTTTACCGGATTCGTCTGAATCGCATTTCCTTCAGCATCCAAATCCACAAAATGCTCCTCTTCATCATCTTCTTGAGCCATATTTTTCGCTGTGGGCTTAAAATCTCAATTTTTATGCATATTTCTTTTTTTTGGCAAAATTCATACATCAGCATCTTTTCGCAATACGATCAAATTCGGATCCTCTCGCAAAATTTTGATCTTCGAAATCAACAACAAAATGCTGGCGGCGAATTCCGGCGGCGCGTTCACGGCGACTTGTAGAAGGCGTTTGACAAACGCGCGAACACGCTGCGCCGATGAGTCCTCTTTCAGCGTGTCAAACAGAAGCTTGAGGAATTGCGCGTACGCGGCAGGTGGACAATCGTCCAATAATTTACGATAGAGCGCGTTGTAGAAGCGATCGGACACATATTCGCTGAAAATCACAAATTAATGAATCGACTAGAAAATATCACGAGGCTCACTTCGTTTTATGGAATTGAAAAAGGAGGCGAAATGCCGGAATCGCCGTCCGAAAACTCGAATTATGTGCCAAATAATAGACATCTTTGACATCATCGAGCAACGAGGTGACGTCCTTCGCAAATGGAAACGCACGATTCGCTCCAGAAAGAATGATGGGCAGAAGGCGGGTGTTCGTGATCTTCTTGCTAACAATCGTCTTGAATAGAGCTAGATAAATCGACATAAGACGGCACGCGAGGTCAGAATCATTCTGATTGAAGCACATTTGAGAAAGGAACGTCGTCGAATATGTATGAGCGCGTTCATTGACGTTTTTTCTAAATCAATTATTTCCAAATTGTGTTGAAATATCGAAAAAAAAAAAGAAAAATGGCTCAAACCTGAAAATGAGTCGTTCAATCTCTTGAGCCATCACAATTCTCATCGCCGGGTGTTTTCGAGAAACATTTTCTAAAAGGTACACCACATACGATCCAATTTTGTAGTTGGGATGACCAAACGCGTTGACGATTGTTGAAAGAAGAAGCTTAAAATTATCTTTGTGTAATTTATTATATTTCTGAATTCTCCTACACTTTCAGCTTCGGGCCTTTCAGCAAGCAAATTTGTAAGGGTTTTCAGTGCGCGCTTGGAAACATCTTCCAACGGTCTTTTAACCACTTCCTGAAAGAAAATGAATGATATGAGTGCAGAAATTGTCGTCTTTTTGCGGAAATAAAATAAGTGAGGTCTAAAATTTTAATTTCGCTGTCTAACTCATTAAAAACTGGTCAAAAATATTTTATATATGTCTATTGAGCCAAAAATGAATGTGATTTTTTGCAAAAAAAAATAAATAGAAATCACCGTTAATGCTTCAATAAACTGTTGATACAAAATCTTTGCTTCATTTTCAAACGCCCAAAGCATCAGAATCTTTCGTCGGCTTCTCTCGTTTCCAGATGAGAGCGCATTAATTTTTCCGAGTGGCCTCTTCGAAAATAACACTAATTTTCGATTTTCCGGTAGAATGTAATTGATAAACACGTCTTCGAGAATAGCTTCAAATCGGGAATTTAAGAAAGACAAGCAAACAAATTATTGACTTACGAATAATATCGATAATATCTCTTGTTCCTTGCTTCCGACACGACGCGATAAGCTTCTCAATATATTCAAGCGAATGTACCGGAGATTTGTGCATCTAATAATCAATTGTTGAAAATCATGTGTTGTACACAAAAAAATCAACCTGCAGCTGCATGGCCGTTCGTCTATCCGCCGCGGTACCCTTGGACATCACCGAGTACAACCACGAAGCTTCCGACGAGTTCTCCTGTTTTTCTTCTTAAAATTACAAAATTTGTCAATACGATCTTTTAAAAATGCAAACTCGTTTGAAGAAGAGCAACGTCTTGCGCCAAAATTTCCCTTCCTTCATTCAATAATTTGCCAATTTGAGAACTGTCCGATTTTTGCGTGAGGTCTTCAATAACTTCATTTATCTGAAAAATTCGTATGGAATCCTTAATAATAACATTTTATACCTGATAGTTATACCATTTTGACCCTTCTTCGTGCTTCACCAAGAGCCCATCTTTACTCAACCATTTCTTCAATTGCCGCTTATTATTCTTCGGAGCTTCGGCCACCTAAATGTTAATCCAAAATTCGAAAATTTCATTTTCAATCATTTCGAACCTTTTCCGGCGCCTTTTCAGAAATTCCGTTCGGCTTCTTTTTATTTCCCAAATTCAGAGCGCCGCTTTCAAATTTAGCCATAACCGCGGCCACCTAAAACAAATAAAAACAAATCAATAATAATCAATCAATATTCCCTACATTCTCCATATTCGCCTCATTTTCTTTTTTCTTCTCCGCGTTGCTCTTTTTCGCAATTACTTCTTTTTTCGGCACCTCCTTTTTAATTGGCTTCAATGCCGCTTTTCCTTTCTTCACCGACTTTTTCTTCAGCTTCATTCTAAAACGTGAGTTTAATATCTGCAAAAATCGTTTCTTTCAAATAAGATACCAGGCAAAATTACCATAAAAATATATATTAAATAGGAAAAAATATCATAAATAGTTTATGGGCACGTAAGTTTACATTAAACTTCATGGAACACGTAGCAAACTCTAAAAAACGGGGAATATGTCATTAACCAACAATAGTTTTCAATAAATAACAAATATTCACATTGAAATTACAACTTTGAAAAGTTCAGTTTAATGATTCGAAGTATTTGTTGGCGAATTTCTCAGCGCTCGTAACAATATTGAACACGGCATTGATGGGTGCCTGGAAATTTATATTAATGTTATAAATGTATGTATTAGGTACAAAGAATTTTCTTGTTTTGACCAGATTAGTTACTGTAAAATTTAACTAAACTGCTCATAACCAGAAGCTCTTAGAACAGCGTTTCGAGAAGCAAATTAAGCATTACAATCGCAAAAAATTACTGACTCGGAAAAAATATGATGATCCATTTTTTTGCGATGGTAATTTTAGAGAAATCCTTACGTTGAACTTTTATTCTGGTAAAAAAGAAATATATCGTAACGTCGATACGCAAAACTAATAAAAAACTACACGATTAAAAACAATAAAATAATAACATTATGCAGATTTTGAAAAAAAAATCTAACAAATACCGTTTGAAGAGAAACTACTTTTAAACGTTTTTATCAAAAACCGCACAGTGCCATAATAGAATAGCTTTTTTTGCGAAAAGAAGGATTTCAAAATACTTACCACAATGTTGACATCACCACCGAGAACATTTCCTTCTCTTTTTAACGAATATTGTTGCGCAATCGACAATCCGCTCAACACATAGCACGTGTGGTATAAATCGACCGATTTGTCCGGTTTGTCCCGAAATCCACCATTTCCGCCTTGACATGCGGCGAAAATGTACTCTTCGAGCATTCGTGACTCAAAAAGTCCCTTGTCGAAGGATTTTCCCTAACAATTTCTGATGATTTTCGGTTGGAAAATGTAAACAATTAATACTTCTCTTTCCATTTCACCATCAAGTAATGGGAAAATTCCGCCTTGCCAGAAACTGTAGCAACCATCAACAAGCTTATTCGTTCTTCCTTGGAAACCGCCTTCGAATTTCATTTGGCGACGAGCAGCCCAGCGAAGAAGGCTCTCAACATCAACCAATCGGAATCTAAGAAGCAATACTTAATTTGTTGATTTTAAGCTCTAGAATTCACCTGCCAAGCATCACTAACGAGGCAACAGCGCAAAACGTGTATCCTCCATGAGCTTCCGTAAATGGCTCGCCACCAAATCCGCCTTCATATGACTGGCAACTGATAATCCATTCAGCAACGCCTTCACGAAGCTCTTCCAATGGTAGATGAAGAATCTCACATACCGCCAATGCGCAATAAACACTTCTCATGTCAACCTATAATATTCGAATGCGATTTGAATGAATTTAATCGAAAACCTCTCCACCATCATGCATTGTGAAACCGCCGTCGTTTTGTTTCATTCGCTTCAAAAATGCAAAAAGGGTTGTCAAATTAATCGAAGCAAGCGCATCCTCTCTTTCCAGAGATACTAAGCACATGACGGCGGCGTACGTTGGCGCTAGATGAGCGTACTGTCCTGGTCCTCCTCCATAACCTCCTTCCTCGTGCTCGCAAGACTTTAAAAATGCGATAACATTTTGAGCAACTTTATCGCTGATTTCGGCTTCAATGATTTTCAATGAGTGAATTGCCCAATAGCACATCCAAGCTCGACTGGCATCTAGTGTTGCATAGCATGCTGGAGATTTCTCCAGATATTTAAGCAAGTATGCGGTGTGTTTGCTTCGGTTTAGTGTTAAATGGGCCATTTCCTCATCATTTGTAGTCTCGAAGGGTTCGACAATTAAATTATAGTAAAAATCGGACACCATGGTCTCGACGCGCTTCTGAACGAAAAAAATCAAGATGATGAAAATTATCTAATGAATACCTGTTCAGTACTCGTATATGTAAATCTACCATCGTCTTTGTTTGCGAATTTCAGGTTGCATGACCGAAACGGAATTTGTCCTTCCATTTTCTTAAAAAAAAGGAATTGAAATAAATAAGAGAGGAGGAAAACTGAAAAAAATAATTTTCACAAAGTAAAACTACAAGGTATATTATTTGATAGTTGTGTTCGCTCTGAAGCAATAAAAGTAAGACTTAAACTTTTAAATAAAAAATTAAAAATTCCAACGAAACTTCACTTGGACGTTGGTTAAAACAAGGGCAGCCGTAAACACGGAATATCGTAAATTTTCTCCGGTTATTCAAGTTTTTTTTCTTTTTTCGGCTTGAATCATCAAGTGTACGCGAAAACTTTAATAAAAACTATAAAAGATTGAAGAAAAAATTCTCAAGGTCATTTATAATCTTATGAGAAAGTCAATTCTCTTCGGGAAATCCATATTTTTCCGTGTTCTTTTTTTCTTATTTCTTTAGGATAATTTTTCACCAAACTTTTAGTTTCACATTCACATTTAATATGTGATGCTTCTCTATTGATTGCCATGATAAAGTTTTTGCAACCTTATCGCTTTGAGTGCAGTTTTTTATCTATTTGGCGGTTATTGAACATTCGTTGAAATCGAAGTTCTCCTCTCAATCATGACATACATAAGTTATTTCGTTGTATCAAAGATCTAGTTTCTTGTTATAATTTCAATTTTTTGCTGTAGGTAATGTCGAAATTCCCGGTTCCGCTTCGAACAATCGGCGGTCTTCGGCCGTCGGCGACAGCCGCTGTCTCCACGGCGAACCTCGGATTCTCAACAGCTAGCCATCGCGCGTCGAGCACCGGAGTTTCTAAAACCGCTCTTTTTGAGAATATTGCCCGTAGATATCCATCAGCCGCGGTGTTCTCGATGAAGAGTGTCCGAATGTACAGCTCCGGCAATTTGCCTCAGCACAAGCGTGTTGCGCTTCCAGCACTTTCGCCAACCATGGAAATGGGAACTGTCGTCAGTTGGCAAAAAGTTCGTTTCAAATATTTAAATTAAAATAAAACGAATATCATTTAGAAAGAAGGAGACCAATTGAGCGAAGGAGACTTGTTGTGTGAAATCGAAACCGACAAAGCTACCATGGGATTTGAGACACCCGAAGAGGGCTATCTCGCAAAAATCTTGATTCAGGAAGGATCTAAGGATGTTCCAATTGGAAAGCTTCTCTGTATCATTGTCGAGAACGAAAGCGATGTTGCTGCATTCAAGGATTTCAAGGATGATGCTTCCGTGGCTCCGCCAGCTGCTCCAGCAGAGCCAAAGCCGGCTACCCCACCACCGCCACCAGCAGCAGCTCCGGCAGCTCCAGCACAATTGCAATACCAGCCACCAGCGGTACCAAAATCCGCGCCAATTCCACCACCATCTTCTGGGCGCGTCCCAGCTTCGCCGTTTGCCAAGAAAATCGCCGCTGAACAAGGAATTGATATCTCAACAGTAGCAGGAAGTGGACCAGGTGGCCGCGTGCTTGCTGCAGACCTTGCTTCTGCTCCACCAAAGACGGCTACTTCTGCTGGAGCAGCTTCTTCTGGTGAAGACTATACCGTAAGAGATAAATTTAAATGTCGATTCGGTTTTTAAACTAGACTGATTTAGGATATTCCGTTGACGAACATGCGCAAGACTATTGCTAAGCGACTAACTGAAAGCAAATCGAATATTCCTCATTATTATTTGACAAGCGAGATTCGATTGGATAATCTCTTGCAGTATGTTATTATTCGAACTGAATCATCATATTAGGCGATTTTCTAGAGTTCGCGAAAAGCTCAACGCTCTCCTTCAAAAGGGAACATCTGGCAATGCCACTAAGATCTCAATCAATGATTTCATCATCAAGGTAGTCAAATGGATTTATTGATTTTTACCTTCTTTTATTTGTAGGCTTCCGCTCTTGCGTGCAAGAGAGTTCCAGAAGCCAACAGCTACTGGATGGATACGTTTATTCGCGAGAATCACCATGTCGATGTTTCGGTAGCAGTTAGCACTCCGGCTGGATTGATCACTCCGATTATTTTCAATGCTCATGCCAAGGTTTAATTTAGTTCAATTGTTTGACGCTCTCGAAATCATTGCTATTGGCTAGATCACGTAGATCACGCAATAATTATCTTTTAGGGACTTGCTACTATTGCTTCTGAAGTTGTTGAGCTTGCACAAAGAGCCAGAGAAGGAAAACTTCAACCACACGAATTCCAAGTAGGTATTTTTACCAATTGATTGTAATTTGAGATATTAAGGGAGGAACATTCACTGTCTCGAACCTCGGAATGTTCGGAAGCGTGTCGGACTTCACTGCGATCATCAACCCACCGCAATCATGCATTTTGGCGATTGGAGGTGCTACTGATAAGCTTATCCCTGATGATAATGACGGGTAATTTTGGAACGTTTGCCAAAATTTATTGGAAAAAATATTTTTAGATTCAAAAAGGTTAAGACGATGAAGGTGACGCTCTCATGCGACCATCGTACCGTTGACGGAGCTGTTGGAGCAGTATGGCTGCGACACTTCAAAGAGTTCCTCGAGAAGCCTCAAACAATGCTCCTTTAAACTCGAAACCCCCTATGTTCATTAACAATAATTAAGGACATTGTTTTTTTCTTCTGCACTTTCTAGTTTTCCATATTTAATCTAGATCCGTTCCGTTCTAGAAGAGTTGTGTTCTTGATTATTTTTCGATGAAAGTCTGTTAATTGGAGTAGGTCATAATTAAGTTTTAATTGTAATTTCAAACAATAGGGGGAATAGCGCTTTTGCCCCGCGTTTTTTTGGTTTTCGTCTCCCGGTAGGTGTGTGAATTGTTCTCAAATTTCTCTCCGAAAAAAATCACGAGACAATCATTTTTTTTAGTAAATAAAATTTATTAGATTGAAGTTTCACATTAATTTTGACCTCGTATTCGGAATCAGGCTCGCCTAGCTGAAAACCTAGGATGGGGGACAAATTACAACAACAATTAACGGCAGAACTGGCAGGTTCTCGCGCAGAACGTCGACAAATAGCGTTGGTGCGATGGCGACCGACAGAATTGGCGCCATTGAGGGCATCGATTTTGAGGATCGCGATCGATGCAGGTGCCACTCGAGAAGGATGATGATTGACGGAACGTGCTCTGACCGCGACGGCGAAAAGCTGGTGACGGTTGCTGGGCGACGATTTGTTGACGTGGTCTCTGAGAATCAAGCATTACCTGCCTGCAAGTTGAAGACTTACCGCTGGAATCGGTCGGAAGGTGGTTGTCTGAACAGTAGCTGGCCTGAAATTCATATGGAAGGATTGGATTTCTGGAAAGGAGAGTGTTACAGTGGAGGTGGAGCAGTGGAAGTCTGAACTTGAGCACTGAATGAAGCCGAACCTCTTTGGAATCCATCTGAATGAAATTAGAACGGTTTTGTTCCTAATTGTTTTAAATTTTCCCATATTTCTCTGTGTAAATCTCTATGAGAAAACAAATTATTATAATTTTTTGTTTTAAAATTAATAAATAAATTTAGAGTATTACACATACGTCTATGCATGATTTCCATACCTACAACCGGAATTATTTTGGTCATTGTCGGTGACGTGGCAATCGGCGACGGCTAAATTTTTTGATTAATTGTTAGCAATTAATGGGGTCATAATTTTCTTATTGGATCTGAACTTATTAAAGTTGTAAATGAGAAGGACCCTTTAAAAATTCGCAAGTATAGAATTAAAATGTTTAATTATTCAGTATACCAACACCATTTACCGAATTCTAGCAGCATATTATTTCGAAAATTCATTTATTAATATTGATTTTCAAAAATTGCGATTTATAAGAGGCGTTGGTCTCGCAGCGATGGCTCGGTCTTTCAAGTTTTTTCTAGCCATTTGCCACTGAGAATGTTGAATGAAAAAAATGAACTGGATTGAGTTGGTGCAAATTTCAGTTTTTCTCAAAAAATTAGAATCATTTTCGGTTGGTTGAATTGTGAGACATTTCGGTCCGAGAGAAAATAAAATTTTTCGAAATTTTTGGGCAAATATGAATGGCTGACTCTTTAAAAAAGGTTCCATTTTTTGCCAAATAGTATCTTGTTTTTTAAAATTGGAAATTAACAAATAAGAAAGGCAATATATTCGCTTATATCTAATTTTCTGAAAGTGGCCTTAAGGGTCCGAAATGTTTTGTATGGGAAATTTTGGAGCACTCATTGTTTCAAAGACCGAAAATATAAAAACAAAATTGTTTTCGAAATAGTCGAAATCGTTATTAACACCATCTTAAAGGATAGTCGGCGTCCGGCTACTGCTTTACGCAGGTAGATTTACGGGCATGCGTCTTTCCTTTGGTCTCACACGGACTAACTGGCTAATTTCCAATTTAATGGTTGGTTTGATTATTTAAAAAAAAAACGCCAAACTTATAAAAAAAAATTAACTTTTCACGTGAGAGAAGCTAAATAAGAGTGCACACGTGACGAGACCATTTCGAAAGGCGCACTCGTAAATCTACCCGCATACAGCACTCGCAATACAATTTTTGAAAAAATCAAGTAAAATAATTCGTTCGTTTTGCGAATTACCTTTAAAATCAAGTAAAATAATTCGTTCGTTTTGCGAATTACCTTTAAAATCAAATTTTGAGTTTAATAGTACTGCCAGAATTCGAATTAGTTAGCCACCCAATGTTACGTAATTTTGATATTACTCTATTAGGAATTCAAACACACACATAAAGCATATCAGCTTTTCTTATTAATAATTATATAACAGCAAGTTAATTATTACTTAATATTTTTCCGAAAATTGAATATACCAATTTCTTTTAGATGAAAATTTGTAAAAAAAATTTAAAACTCTTGACCTGCGGTTGATTGTGAAGTGTTTGATCAAGTGTCTCGGCACCCTAAAATCACATATTGAACGATTCCAGATGATGCTCATTCTTTTTCAGCAGTGCTCTCTCTCTCTCTTTTTCTATCGGTGTGCATTTTATTGTTAGTGGAAAATTGAAATTAAAAAGCTAAAAATGGATGTTGATTAATATGGAGGAAAAGCAGCAAAGAAGCAACTAAACGAAAGCTTTATGTGATGAGCAGCAGAGACCCGCAACGAGGAAGCGAAAGAAAGAAAAATTGTTGAAAATGAGAACAGAAAAATGAAGGATCGAATGCGGTTCGCAATCATGCAAACGGCCTCCTACGCACAATCGAGTCGAACACTCGGAACGTCTCCATTTTGAATTGTTTGACCGGCGGCGGCACTGTTGGCAGTGGAGCGCGATATGAAGGGAATCCGTCGCGGTTGAGGCGACACGGCGGAATCGGACGCGATCGGACCGATTTCACCCAGAACATGGTCTGATGCTTCACGACGGTTGCTCTGAAAACGGGAGAATTTTTTTCCCACTTGGATTTTCTAATTTTTTTAAAATTGAACCTCTGCGGAAATTTTTGGAAATTTATATGGCAGATTCAGTTGGCTAATTTTGAACTAATTTTCAGAATATCAGGAATCTTCAATGATATGCCAAAATAAATTTCAAACAATTTTCGACGAAAAATTGTGAAATGATATTTTTCCTCAACGAACTCCAACATTTTCGAAAAAAAATTATATCGCAAAGAATTCCAAAAATTGCGTTCACCGCCATCGACAAAAAAACGACGAAACCAGTTTGCGAATTCAATAAACGCAACTTACACAAATTGTACGGTATCGAGTTCGTCATCGTTCTTCCACCACATCTTGATATGTTTCTTCTTCTCATCGTGAGAATGTGTTGCCGAATCTTTGAATCTACCAACGGCATTCGAATGAGCGTCAAAAATTCGGAAAAATTTACCTGAAGCATTGCTGCTGCCATGAGCCATTGTCATCCAATCGCACCAATTGCCCAATTCTGGAATCCGAGAAGTGGTATAACGAATTTCACAACGAAATTACCTATTTCCTAGTTGATCGTTGTTCCATTTGAATGGCTGAATGACGAATCCTTTGAAAAACACCGATTCATTGAGTCCTTGAAGTGTTACTAAAGTTCCTAGAATCAAGGCGAGCCATTCATTCGAATCGACTTACACCCAATCGGCTGATTCCTCCAGTAGCATTTCTGATCAATCGCGATCTCATACGGCGGCACGCTGAGCTGAAGTCCACCTTGATGCTCGACAGCTTCCAATGGGTTCATGCTCTCAAACGCGGCGTGTACACATGGCGCGCCATCCGGCCATGATAACACTAGTGGAATCGACGATAACAATATGAAAAGGCTCCCAAGCATTCCTGAAGTCAAATGCGAATGAATGATGAGTTTGGGATGGAATGAGGTGATGATGACAATCAATGAGAGAGAGGCAGAAGGAGAGAACTTGATTAGTTTTCGAGATATGTGGTGCCACGTGCGGAACATACCAATAATTGAGGAATTTTGACATCAAACAGCATACTTGGAGACGTATTTTTTAAAGGTCTCGTCATGATCACATTGGAGCACCACATTTAAAGGCACATGCTTGAAATCGCTATGACTAAGAAGGCAATTCCCTGGGAATCGATAGGGTGAATTGTAGACATATGAAAAAAATCGATTTGAACCAGAATAAATCATCATATAAAAAAATAGGAAAAGCCAAGGTCAGCCGACATCTCAGTTTCAGACGATGCCCGAACTTGTTGGATTAGTGTTAGTCGAAAGCGCGATTCGAAGAAAAGTCGCGTTGAGAACCGAATTTGAAGTACGATCGGTCATCAATGCCGTTTACACCATGCTGATTCTTATCGCGTTTCTTACCTCGAATGGCTACTAAAATGACCAACACAATAAAGCGAAACAGATCAAGCCGATTCGATTTTCTTAAGTAACCTTGAAAAATCTCAAAATTTTCGAATCGCCGGCTTGACGTCATCATTTTGACATTAAATATTTTTTTTCTGATCAGATGCTGTAATATGTCTATTTTTGGAGGACGGGTCTTTGAACGAAATTGATTGATATGGGCCATAGAAATAATTTATTAAAGAAAAAGCTGATGGGGAGGAGGGAATTGCAAACAAACGATACTGCAAATTATTAAATGTAAATTGTCCTCCCCTCATCAGGGTAGTGGCAAAGGAATTTCATGATAGTACAGAGTGTCGCAAAACAATGGCAATAATACCGGACACATGTCCTTCTCTAACTAGTAAGCAGAAAAAAGTCGACGAAGTAAAACCTTCATGCGGCATGATTTTTTTTTGGGGCGTACGTTGTAATACTCGAGAAGTGGCTGCGAAAAAGTGTCCCGTGGGAGGCCGGCCTCCCAACACCAAATTTGATAAGCAGAAATGAACGAGAGGAACAGTGTGAGATGAACATTTTGAGAAGCGACACCCAAAATTACAGATGTTACAAAATATGTAAAATCGCCTTTCTTTCTTTCAAATTAAAATTTGACATCAAAAGTTCACCATTGCCGCCAACACCAACACCAAAAGAGAGTCTTAATGAAATTTACAAATGGGGGAAATTGAATCAATCATATAAAATAAATTTTGCGGTTTCCCACTTCAATCATATATCAATTGAATTTCGATTTTTCTTATTGAGTAAGAGAAGAAGCGATAAAAATACTACTTCCTTGAAGTAATCTCGTATCATTGGAACAAAAGATTGATAAAAAGTTTTCACGATGATTTTCAAATCGAGATTTCAGACATACTTGAATGTCTGACCTTGTGAAAGAGAATAACTATAGATTGAAATCGTGGAACCTACAGAATTGGAATTTGAGTTGCAGTGGGGAATCTTGTTAGGACTTTAAAAGGTCTCGAAATTAAAACAAAGTCAATAAATGTAAATTCACACCGTTGAAGATCAAGGAACTAAATAAGGAAGTTGTCAATTGATAGAGAGAGAAAGACTATTTGTAATTTCTTTATATTTTTTGTAAAACTGATTGTGAAAAAGCCGGCTTGTAAACAAGAACGAACACGTTGACGGCCGGCGTTGATTCGAATGCCGTAAAGCTTTTTTTGTAATCCAAATTGGGATTAAAGATCCCATTAATGGTATTCGATGAGAATTGTTCACAGATCATTGGAAAGCGAGGAATGAGCGAAAATCAATTTTACAGTTTCAAACAAGAAATATGTTAACAACAAACGGTAAGACGTTTACCATATTGGTTGAAGACTGAATACTTCCCAGCAGGATCGGCTGCAATGAATTATGGCTGCGCGAAATAAATAAAAAAAGCTGTTGATTTATAATGAGGACATGAAATTGGATATGATTGCAACAAAAATCTTGTCGGATGTAAGCCATCTGGTGCCAGATACTCGCGATGCTGTCTAATCACACCTGTGACATCTTGGATTAGGCACACGTGCACCTACTAATTAGAACAATAATTGGAAGGTATTAGGGTCAATGAACCAGTTAGAATAACAATGCTTGTGTTTTTTTTCTTCTAATTTTAATAAAAGTAGTTGTCAAGGGCTATTCTTTTAATCTCAATTGTTTTTGGTACCGCCTTGAATTGCACTTTGCTTATTATGAATGTTGAATGTATGTGTTTTTTGTTGCGCCATGCTGCCTAGTTGCCAAAATGTCAGATTTTTATCGACGCGAAACACGTCTGTCTCTAAATGGTCACTTCGCACAACACAATTGAAAGCGTTTCGAGGTTGGCGAATTTTTACAGTGGCGCTTTCAATCACGAGACGCGATTTCGAGAATTTAGTGCTGTTCGGCTGAGAATATTCGAGAAGCTTTTTTTTTCAAATTTTGACTTGAAGCCTGAATTTGGACCTCTTCACTGTGAAAAAAATCCGCAGGAATGTTTTTAATAATTGATAGAATTGAATGGACCTATTATGTGAATTAAAAAAAGCAGTATTTAAAATAAATTTTTTAACTTGGCTGAATGAGAAAAATTTTCTTTCATTTCGCAGAATAGGTTCGTAAAAATTTGAAAAGTTGGAAGAAAAATGTTGAGAACCTTCTTCCCAGTTCTTTTCATCATTCATCTGATGATTATGACTTTCTTAATACTTCGGCCAACTCGCTGAGAAGATTATTTCAGGGTGTTGCCTGCTTGAATATCGAAGCTGTGGTATTCCTGCACAATTCGTGATCATCACCCCAAATTTAGGTACAAAGAAACCAGGAAGCCGACTTCTTCAATATGGTATGAATGAGAGGCATTGACTATCGGATTCCATCTTCTGCAGCATGCTGAAAATGTGCTCATGGATCGATCGATTTAAAAAATGTTCTCATTATGAATCTATCCAGATCTTGACTAATTTCAAGGAAAGAAAATAGAGACGATTGATGTGTCGTGTGAATGAGTCTCGAAGGGAAAAAAATTTTTCCATTTTCAAACCAATAAGAAAAAAAAATTATGTTTGTTAAATGATTTGAAAATTAGCAAAAGTGTCAAGAGAGCCCAATAAAATTCTGGGCTTATCAATTCGGAATTCCATGTCCTTCATGCACATTTCAGAACGAGTCCCACTAGTACAAAGAATTTATTGGCATCGGCTTTCCAAAGAAGTTGCCAATTCAGCATGTTGAATTTCGTCTCATAAATCATCGAATTAGGTGTGGATTTTTGGCGGCAAAGGCGCGCTCACATCCCGCCGAATCCAATTCGTCGCCAAATGATTTATTACAAAATCGTTGATGTTGTTGTTGTGGCAAAAGGGTGTTATATAAACATTTAGTCGACGGATGCAGCAGCACCGGCATCGACTACTTCACCGCATCTGCCCTCACACGGTCCTATTGTTTCTTTTTGAAGACACTCTCGCCAAGGTCAAAAATCCACAGATGCGATGAATTACCGCAACACATACATATTTATTCTAATTAACTTGTGTTTGTGTGGCGCTGGTGTGATATTGCGCCCATATTTTCGATATTGTCAATCATTCTAAACTGTTACATCAAAAGGTCATTCATCATTGGGCCGGTGCCGAAGAAAGATGACTACAAAATTATGCAAATTATGCGTGAAATTGAGCCATAGATTACGGTGAGAAATTTTGGTGGTTTGGGACGCCAATTTTGTCGGCAGCACGTTTTACATATTACATCAAGAGCTCAACAATCATATAATTCGTCCTCCTCGGTGGGCACGTATTCATCAAGAATAATGAGCAATTGGGTAATGAATCCGGAAACGATTGGGTGGCGGATTGCCATCCGGAACCCATCCGGAACACACGCTAATTTCGCGCATTCAAGCAGCGTCGAAAAATTCTGAAGACGATGAACACGTGCTCCGGAATCGCGCGCCAACAATTCGATTCATGCGGTGCACCTGCGAGTTGCGAAATAGCGTGCGAAGCGGCTAGAGAGTGCCACTAGTGCTAAACAAACCCAACAGAACGATTCTAAACATGCTCCTAATCCCAATTAATATTTAATAACTTGGTAATATGTGCTGCTTATTTACGGATGATGTAATAAGTGGATTAGGGCGAGTGACGACGTCAGATTTTTTTATGGTACGCGCGAAATTGTTGGTGTAAAGCTCGCTTGAAGACGTTAACCTTGAGACCATATTAAAATTGGCAAAAACACCGATCGGTTACATAATCGTCGTCTCGACGTATCCATTATTCATGAATAATTAGATTGGTGGCGAGAAGCGCGTTGGCGGCACCTTTGAGCCGCCAAATTGAGTCCCTTGTGAATTCAAAGAACCACTGTGTGTCTGTCTGTTTTTTTCGGGTGACTTGTTCTTCATTACGCAATCACTGGCTAATGGCTTTGCAAGTTTTGCCGAGACATTACTGGTTGAGTAACAAGTTGTGAGTGTTGAACAAACACACACACACACATGCACCTGTGCCAATATTTTGCCTAGGCTGTCACCTAGATTATATATGTTTGCCTAGTGTACGACAAGGATCATCTCATTAATTAGGTGAGCATTGGAAGCTGCGCGCAATGATTAGCACCTGTTCGCGCCAGCCTAATTGGCATAGTGTGTGTGTGTGAGTGTGGTGGCCTCAATGAACATGTGTAATCTGCCGGAAATCCGATCCGTTTACTGCATTTATGCTGTTGAATGATGCCATCCAAGTTATATGAGACAGTTCTTGGAGAAAAATATACGACGCGTTGTAAAAATGTTTCACTTTTGTTCGACCCAACTCGCGTATGTTTTTTTTTGCTTTGTTGCTTCAATGACGATTTATTATATAAACATAGAATGAGATATTCGTTTGAGAAGCAAAGTCATATGAAAGCATGAAAAAAGAAGATTCGGATGAAAAAAAAATAATGTGCTACTGTAGTTTGTCAATGTGTGCAAACACTGCGACGACGATGCACACGAAAACTTTCCACAATTTCTTGTCCATACTTTCCTCGTAAAAACACCTTCATTTTGTGGTGAACACATGATTTTTATAAAAAAAATTTATTAACATAAATTAATAAAGATTAGTTTTAACGAGCTATAATACATATTATGAGATCATCACAGTTGGGTGCACCGATGGGAGAGAATAGTGGCTGATAGCAATAGCGGCTGCCTAGAAGATCCAGCTTACGAGCCGCTCGAACCAGCACGAAGTCGTCTCGGCAACGATGTCGTCGGAAGTTGAGAAGAACTCGGCTTCAAATTCATCGCATAATTGGCAGAGTCGATGTCCAATTTTTTCAGCAATTTCGCTGATCATGTCAGCTTCATCATCTGCAAAATTGTTTTTTGAATAATTAGGAATTATGAGCAAAAATAACCAACCATATCCGGAATCATCTAAACATTCAAACGATTCTTTGGAAGAACCGAAAAGCATTTGATCGGAGCACGGGTAAATCGGCATAAAGTCGTCGCAGGTATAGCTCGAAGTGCTTGAAGCGAACGCTAGCATCTGAAATATAAGCGAGAAATGAGAACATTTGGAACAAGATTAACGGAAAAATGGCACAAATTGCGAAATTTGCCTCTTAAATAAGCATATACCATCGAAACATGTCCAGCGATCAACCGTATCAAACAAGTTTCGCACTATGCAAACACATTTTGATCATCGTAGGAGCAGGTCAAAAATTTTGGCGCGCGTAAAAATTAACTTACAATCATATTTGGGAATTAATGACTAACGGTGTGGTCAGGATGAGGACGCGGAGTGTCAATGAAGTGCCACACAGGCTTCTCCTGCTCCAGTCTCCTCCCACTACCGCGAGGCGTCGCAACGCCACGCCCACAATTGCGCGAGAACACAACACCATCGCGCAAGAAGAGTAGTGGGCAAGGAAGGAGGGAAGGAAGGAAGGAATAAGAGGAAATAGAGGATTACTGTGATGGCTATTGAATAAAAATTAAGAGCAATTTAGGGTAATTAAAATTGCTTTGCTTATAAGAGAAACAAATAAATTCAAGAAGGTTTTTCCTATTAAATTAGTGAAATTTAATAAACTTGTAAAAAATTGAGAAAAAACTGAAAATGGAGATTTCAATGTTTTCCTTGTAAACATGGTTTCATGCAATGCGCAGAAACATGTTTGAGGTTACTGTAGCAGGTTTGTCTGCATTAGGCGCGACGCGAATATGCAACTTGCAATTATTTTTTTCCTGACTGCTGATTTTTTTGTTTTGTTTTTTTTTGAGTATTTGAAAGTACTTTTTAGAGATATAGTCAATTATTAAAAAATATAAAAATCGAAATTGCATGAAATAATTTCATTTTTCATTGAAAATTCAAACAAACGAAAATTTATGAGATAATTGAATTTTTGGCGGTCTTTTCACATTATTCCAAATTTAATTGCTTTTAACTATGTTTACTACTAATTACCATTGAAACCTTTAGAATGCGGTAATGAAACCCCACATCAACCGGCTTTGACACGTACAAATGGCTTCGCATCTATTTTCGGCGACACTCAAAGGTGTTCGGCAGTTTGTAGGCAATTAAATATGCAATCGATACACCTTAATCCGGTTCGACTCTCGATGAGCACTTGATGCATATTAAGCCGACGTTTGATCTCTACCGAAATTGCGTAATCCAGTTATGGTAAGCTCATTGAAAGTGCAAATATGGAGGTCGAGAACGTGTGACGTAATTACGACTGTAAATGCTCCCAAGTGCGATATTCAGATCATATAAGCTACAATTAGGCGACTTCTCGGGTCAACGAGGTCCATGGGAATCTCGCATTGCATAACGATACCCAATTAAGGATAGTTGTGCAATAAACACATTGTTTAACCAACAATCCGTGACAGACTCATATTTCATGTAACGCAAAAAAAGAGCGATTAATGCGATAGGCCATTAGAATGACCCTCTTTGAAGACGAATCGCATGCTCAATGGGGTGTATGAGTCAAGAAAACGTATCTATCAATGTTACTCCAAACACATACACATTTAGGGAAGGAAGACGACGTTGACGAGGTGCCCGTATTCCAATTATCTTAGATAATCTCGGCTGAGTGCTTCACGAGTACATATTTATATATTTGCGTGTGTCATTTACAAGTGTGCTCTTCATCGATATGCAGGTGTGTAAGCAGCACTACTCGATTTGGCACCTAATTGCACAAATATTGACCGGAAATCGTGGCAGCTCAATTTACCTCAAAAACTAATAAGGCAAATAATGAATTGGAGTGGGGGTGCCAAGTGAAGATGACCAGCAAGGAGCACGAAATGAGCATTGAATTGAAAAAAGCATGTGAGCTTGCAGAAGGAACAAAAGTCGACGCAAAAGCATTCTTTTGGCCAGAACAGCTCAATTGAATTCCTTTTGTAAGCTCATCATTCAGAATTTGCACACGCAAAGCGTTTCGCCGCAATTAAGCTCTTAATTGGTGTTATGTTGCGATGAAGCGGAAGTGAATATTATTATTCAGCGTGTTAATTGTTTTGTTATCGTCGCGCATGTGCGCATCTTCTGGCGGCGTTTCCCTTTTTTTTTGCGGTGGCTTCGTTGAAACACGAGCCAATTGCGGTAGAAGGCTTCTGTCTCCCTCTCTCTCGCGTAATCCGTGTATCGAATTGCGGACATGATTGCGCGGCGCCCTTTTCATCGTACCATTGGCAGCAGCACTCGTCGTCCCGTTGGGATGTCTTCATTGCTTGCGCAAACACACATCGCACATCTTGTTATTGTTTCGTTTGATTGCCGTTTCCTTTGGCGGACCAAGATATCGACACCCACTCCCACCACCCACCCATGCCACCAAACAGTACTCACTTCTGTATTCAGTACATGTTTGCACACGGATTGCGATGAATACAGTTGTTTCGGGGCGGCGGCGCTTTGATGTCGACGACGATTCGCGTGTGACGACTCCTGAATATTCGATGATCTACTCGTTAAAATGATCGTTTCCACCCAGATTTGACAAAAACAATGGCAATAATATGCGCGCGGTTATGCGATTTTTCGTCGAGGTGGTCCGCATTGCAACACATGGTCCGTAATTGCATATTAACGGGCCTTTTATTATGCTACTTATTGGGGGAACATCTTGTGTAAAAGGCAGGATATTTGTTAAAATGATTTGCTGTTCAATCTTGTTTGAATTAAAAAAATCTGATTTAAAGAAATGTACAGTACGAAGTCTGAAATATTTAATTTAAAAAAAAATTTTATCTGGATCCTAATTTTTATGCGATTTTTTTTCGGAAGAGCCTCTTGTAAAAACTCTTGTAAATTGGAAAATCAACTCCAATTTTATTTCGACTTGTGCGCCTCGTTGGGAGACAACATTTGCTTTATTCTTCGTGTAAAAAAGCAAATTTAAATATTACTTCTTCCTCTTTGTTTAATTTTTTCAAAATTATTTAATTCACAAATGTTTGCGATTTTCTAAATATAATTTTTTATTTCTACAAACTCATTTGCAAAATGGCGTTATTTTCATGAGGACGCAGACGCGAAATACTGCCATGGAGCATGTTTGCTCAATTCGGGCAATTTATATTTCGATTTTTAAGACCAAATCTGGATTAGTTTTCATTTTTCAGAAACATAATGACGAATTTTAATCGGATTGTGCTCTCAAGGCGAAATGTAATTAATCCAATCATTTTTACACGAGAAAGTAGTAGGTAAATGACGAAATAAATCGATGTTCTCGATTTTTGCGTAATTTAGCTCGTTTAATATTGATATTGCGACGAATGACTACGAAAGACGCACCGAATTTGCAGCGGCGAATTACAGAAAGAATGGTTTGTTGAAAATGTGAGGAGTTTGGAATAATTATTTAAGGAAGACTGTTTCGTATGGTCCTGCCACCTCCAAATGTGACAGGAAAATTACATTTGGGTCATGCGCTCACAGTTGCCATCGAAGACGCGATTTGTAGGCATCGAAGGTGTCAAGGGGACAAGGTTTCCATCATATTCATCATATTTCTGAGCTATATTCATTAGGCCCATTGGATTCCCGGCTTCGATCATGCCGGAATTGCAACACAGGCTGTAGTTGAGAAAATGCTCGCCAAAAAAGGAATGAAGCGTCAAGAAATGAGCCGAGAGGAATTTCTGAGGCACTGCCATCAATGGAGTGAGATGTGAGCATTATTTTGGATCATTTTAATTGATCTGAAAATTTTTAGATGCTCTGTGGAGATCAAAAAGCAGCTTTCAAAGATGGGAGCTTCTTTAGATTGGAATCAAGCTTATTATACGCTAGATGATCAATTCTCAAAGGCTGTCACAACAGCGTTCTGCACTCTACACAATGAAGGGCTGATATTTCGAGGAAAGCGAATTGTGCATTGGTGTCCTTCTTTGGAATCGACACTTTCCAGTCAGGTATGACCATTTAAAGATGTTTGAAAATTGTTGGTTTTAGGAGGTTAATCGAATTGAAGCTCCCGAGAGTGGCATTCTCACCATTCCGGGCAAGAATGGGAATCGATGTGTGCGAATCGGAAAAATGTATATGATTCGCTACAAATTTGTCGATTGTGAAGAATATTTAGAAGTCGGAACGACGCGTCCGGAAACGCTTTTCGCTGATGTCGCAATTGCAGTTCATCCAGATGATTCAAGGTATTTGACGATGATTTTGAGCAACATGTGAGATTTGAAAAAAAAAAACCATTTGAAGATTTTCGAAATATGTCGGACGATCCGTTGAATCACCGACGAACGCCGCGCACAAGTTGCCGATTATCGCCGATTCATCAGTTTTGCGCGACAAAGGAACTGGTTCGGAGAGTTCGATGTTGATTGATGAGAATTTCGCAATATTCTAGGCGCCGTCAAAATCACTCCCGCTCACGATCCATTGGATTATGAAATCTGGCAAAGGCACAAGTCGACTATTGAGCATGACGAAATTATGTGCATTGATACTAATGGAATGATGATCAATTGTGGGCCCGAGTTTGATGGGCTGGACCGATTTGAAGCACGAGAGAAGATTGTTGAGCAACTATCTTCACATGGATCTTGTCGGATTACTGATTATAAAAATGCACAAGTGAATATTTGCTCGAGAACTGGAGATATTATCGAGCCAAGATTAGCCGAGCAATGGTTTTTGGATTGCCGAGAAATGTTTGAAAATGCATCGAAAGCTATTGAGATGGGAAAAGTGAGTGATTGCGCAGAATGCTTGAAGCAAGACAGCCTAGATCAAAGTGACTCTAGATCAAAGTGCACCCAAAATATCAATCGCATCGATTAATTGATTGGTTTGAGAATCAGGAGCCCTGGTGCTTAAGTCGACAATTGGTTTGGGGACATCGGATTCCAGCTTATAAAGATTCGAAAGGGTATGATTTTGGTTGGGTCGGTCATATGGGAGTGCAATCAAACGATTTCTAGCACAAAAGACTGGGTGGTGGCTGAAAGTCGGAATGAAGCTGAACAGATGCTGGGATCCAGCGACATTCGACAGGATGAGGATGTTTTGGATACATGGTTTAGGTAAGAAAAAAAAAACCATTTGTTGAGCTTTATTTAGTATTTATACGGTTAACTTAAGCTCTTCATTGGTTCCGATGGTCCGAAACAGGCCAGAATCTGATGAGCCTTCATTGGATGTGATGGAGACAGGATGGGATATTTCAGGATTCTGGGTTGCGCGAATGATAGCTATGAATATGAAGTAAATAGTTAATGTGATTTTTCAATTTCTTCGAATTTCACACCTTCAGACTTTCACAAGGTCAAATTCCATTCGGAACTGTAATTCTTCATGGTTTGGTTAGAGATAGCGATGGCCGTAAAATGAGCAAATCGCTTGGCAATGTGATTGATCCGCTTGATGTTCTCGATGGAATCTCGCTACAAAAAATGATTGATCGAGTCAAAGAAAGTGCGTTGACAGACGCGGAAATCGACCACGCGATTGTTGATTTGACGAAAAGGTTTCCGAATGGAATTGATCGTTGTGGTCCCGACGCACTGCGATTCGCCCTATTACGATATGACGTTCTATCATCCGATATTCCGCTTGACATTTCGACGGTTGCTCTAGAGGGACTTCGATTTTGCAATAAGTTGTGGAATCTCGCCGCTTACTATGATCAATTGGCGGCGAAATGCGATAATTTGAAAGACGTCGACTCGTCGAAATTAGTGGTAATGACTTGGAATTTGTAATTTTATTGTTTGAACGAGGCTTCGATTGCAGGATGAATGGATTATGGCTCGGTTGGCAAGTGTCGTTTCTCAAGTCGATGAGCACATGAACAATTATTCGCTTCATCTTGCTCTTTCGACTCTTCATCAATTTATTACCTATGATATTTGTGATACATATTTAGTGAGTCGATGCGTTATTTCATAAGCATTCCCAAAATTCAAGGAAACTACCAAACGCGCACTCTGGTCGAATGATTTGAAGCGAGTGGCGGAAGCGAGAACGACACTTCAGAAGGTGCTTCAGCCGACGTTCGTCCAGCTCTCAGCTTTTATGCCGTTTGTAACAGAGCATTTATACGAGAGGATATTCTCAAGAGAGCCTGGTTCGATTAATTTTGATGTTGTCAAGGTATTAGTCTAATTTTTTTTCTCATTTCAATAAAAATCCACAACCGTGCTTTATGATTTCAGCCTGCCCTGTTTATCTTCTACCGAAATGCTGAGCTTGAAGAATCGATGAAGCTTATCACCGCCGCCATGTCGGCAGTTCGATCGCTTCGAAGCAAACTGCAGTTGTCGTCGAAAATTGTTTTTGAAGGTTGCTTTGATTGCTATTGTTTTGTTCTGAAAATCGCCTTCATTCCAATTTGTTCAGGCTTTCTGAAGTTTGAAGAAAATGGTGGACTCTCACCGCGAGAATTGCATTCATTAGCTAAAGACGTCACTCCTGTCTGTGGATTAGATTTGCGACTTATGACGGCTGGATCGGAAGTTTCAAAGGAAGAATTTATGGAATGCCCGATACCGGGACATAATGCAACGGTTTGGATCAAAATTGAGGTGAGAAGCGGACGATTTTCGGTGAATAACGATTCAAATTTTGAGGAGAACTCAAAACCGGCATTCATTGAGAGTTTGAATAGTCAATTAGAAAAAGCACGGACACGGGAGAGCCAGTTTTCGGCAAAAGCTGAGACTTACGACGCGATTTGTAATAATCCGACGGTATTTATTTCGATTTCAAATTTCCGTGTGACTCGATTTGTTCATTCTAGACGAAACCGTCGTTTGTGGAGAAAAATCGACGAAAAGCGGAGAATGCACGAAAAGTTGCAGCGAATGCGAGAGAAGAAGCAAATCGAATTGAAAAGATTATCATGAATCAAAAGTAGATTTAAAATTTTAGAATGGTTTTCTAGGTTTTTGTTTTTGTTGTTGATGTTATTTAATAAATAAAAAAAATAATTTTTGCAATTTTTGAGCACTAAACGTTGGTAATTGGCCAATTATCCTATTTTATTTCTTTTCGAGTTTTTTTTTGAAATTAGATGAGTCATAATTAAAAATTTAGACATGGATGCGGAGAAAACCGAATGGGTTGTGATTATAACGGCGTTTGTGCACTTGCTGATGGCTCCCGGCACGAAAGTCGAAGAGTCGTTCAACGTGCAAGCTACCCATGACATATTATTTCATATGCCTACTAATTTGAGTAATGTGAGTTCCAAATATGGTTATAGTCTGTGTCTGACGAGAAAAAAAATGTAGTGGCCCAGATTGGTCGTTGCGAGATTTATCGACACAAAATACCGCATCCAGAAATTACTGTAAAATTTGAAAGCGCTTTGTTTTTGAAAACGTTGTTGAAAAGTTCTGATTCAGGCCTTCCAATTATTTTGTAATTTTTTTTCTCCTAATTTCTCTGCGTTGCCCTAAACAGGAATTGTGAAGAAAATATTCTATCACAAATTAAAATAATTAAAAATTGAGGCTCTTAACGCGTAAAATCAGTTTTAGTCTTGTGGCGATTAATTCTGGTAGCCGCTTTTTTTTCAGAAGCAGGCGATAATCAAATAATTCGAATTTTCAGTATGACCATCGAACATTTCCCGGCGTCGTTCCGCGAACATTTATTGGACCAATATTCCTTGCGGCTCTTTCTGCCCCAATGTCCTTCATATTTCGGATTTGGCTTGTTCCGAAAATGTGGCAACTAGTTCTTGGTAGTTTATTTTATTACACATTTGAAAGTTGCTTTTTTTTTCAAATTTCAAGTTCGCGGAACTCTTGGCTTCCTGAATGTGCTCGCGTTTCTCAACTTTTGTCGATCGGTAAAAATCCATTTTGGCGCTGACACTGCCAACTTTCTTCGTCTTATTGTGGCTTCACAATTTCATTATTTGTTCTACGCGTCGAGACCACTGCCGAATACGTTTGCCCTCACTTTCGGTAATGAGAATTCGTGTTGAAAATCATTCAAAAACTCTCAATTTTCACAGTAATGCTTGTATTTGAAAGGATATTGGAGAATCGAATTGAATCGGCCGTTCGTTGGGCCACAGCAGCGACGGTTCTATTCAGGTGATTTGCATCAATATCGTTGAGCTGAAAATATATTTCAGATGTGAGCTTCTCCTTCTCTTCGGTCCCCTTTTTATTAAGTTTATCATCAATCATCGGCTTCCATTATTTGGCACCGATGGCGCGTTAGCCAATGGTCTTCGTGTCTCATCTCTTTGTTTGGGTTGAATTTGAACGCTTGCAAAAATTGCAATATTCATCATTTCTAGCCGTCACAATGCCGATTGATTCGTATTTTTGGGGACGTCCGGTGTGGCCGGAAGGCGAAGTGGCATTATTCAACGTCATTCAGAATCGCAGTCACGAATATGGCGTAAACAGTGAAGTTTCCACAACGATTGCTTATTGAGAGTTTCCAGACGTCCCCATTTTTGTGGTACTTCTACTCGGCGCTTCCTCGAGCTCTCCTATTGTCAGCGTTTCTGGTGCCGTTGGGAGTTTTGCTTGATCGAAGACTTCGAAGCTTGATCATTCCATGTGTTGCATTTGTTTTCCTATACAGTTTTTTGCCACATAAGGAATTAAGGTATTGATGCCAATCCAATTAATCGATATTGTGCTGTTCACAGATTCATTATCTACGTGTTCCCAATTTTTAATTTGTCGGCGGCGGTTTTCTGCGCCCGAATGTATATCAACCGCGCCAAATCGATGGCGCGCTTCATCCTTTACCTCGGGTGTCTCCTTCATCTCATTGGAAATTTGGTGGCGGCTGGAACATTGTTGTACGTTTCATCGAGGAATTACCCAGGAACTGACGCGATCAATTATCTTCATGTAATTTAATCGAAAGCAGAAGTGCGATGCGCTTGATTTGATTTCAGTTGCAAATGCGTTTTGATGCTCTGAAGCCGGTAACTGTGTACATTGACAACGCTTGTGCGCAAACCGGTGTCAGTCGATTCTTGCAAATGAATGATGCTTGGACGTAAGAGTTGAAAGCCTAAAATTTGCAATATAAACTGATTTCAGATACAATAAAACGGAGCACTTAAAACCAGAAGATCTTAAAGATTTTGATTTTCTAGTTTTGGGGACCTATGGAACAAAATTAAAAGAAGAAGTTTGTCAATTTTTTATTGCACTTTAAATTTGAATGTTTAAGGTTCAAGCCAACTTCACCACTTATCACAGGCCTATGTTTTACGTAACCGCGTTTCACAAATATAAACTTAGGTAAAACAATTCAGAGAGGTGAAAATTGCTCGATATGGTCAATTTTCAGAAAATCGAAAAAATTCCCATTCTACTATCCAGAGATAATTCTGAAAGAAAAGGCGGTAGTGCTCAAAAATAAAGAGTACAAATAATTTATTTAAAAAATGGAATTCTCGATTTTTCAAAAAGGTGTGTCCCTTTTTTGGGTTTTTTTAAATTCATATTTTTCATGTGATTTCCGATCTCGCTTGCTTTCACTATGTCGATAGTTCGTCTCTAGTTTGAATTAATGCCATAAATTATCTGTGACATTCATTATTTATTTATCACCTTTGAGGTTGACAAAATGAAAGAATTGAAAAGACGAAAGACAATATAAAACCGACTAGAACCAGTCATTGCGTCGATATATATATATAATTATTAAAATTAAAAAAAAAATATATATATTATGCAAATATAAATAGGTTTGAAATCACATAATATACAAAGAAGGATGTATGCGGTGGGGGGATTTTTGATAATATATAATATGTCTGTATGCATGGAAAGATTGTGGCAAATTGAGAGAGTTTAGAGAAAGTGAAAAGAAGAAGAAGATCATCGGAATCCGACGTTTCCGCAAGTGGCCATACAATCAGCCAGCGAAACAAAGTTGTTGAGGTTTCCACCGCAGCCAGTGTACTCGAATGGAACGCATTGACTCTGAAAAATGAATAATATGCAATTCTAGACCAATTCGTCTCCTACTGTTTGTCTATTATAGGCATATCTCGTTTGCCTTCCACCACAAGCTCCGCGATCGATCGATAACAAGCAGAGTTGTTCTAAATTGGAAACGCTTAGAAAATCCTTGAAGAATTTATATGGACTAGTTAAGAACTTATCGATTCAACGAAGAGACCATTCGATCGGCGCTGTTAAAACAGAATATTTTGAGAGTGTTAGTAGTAGTTGTATATGATTGAGTGCGTGCAATTACCATCATCTCCTTCTTCCACCAAAATAAAAGAGAGAATCATTCAATCAATTCGATTTGGTCAAGAAACATCGGATGCAAAGCGAGAGCATTCGCAGAAGAGAATCATCGTTGTCGTGCACAAAAATTCTCACCTTTCGCTCGCCCACTTATTTTCTTGGTGTAGAAGGAGGATGAGAATGAGTAGGAGCAAGAAGGAGCACACATTCACACAATGGGAAATAATGGCAAAGCAACTGAAGTGATAATAAAGCGTGTGGTTTTTTTTTCGTTTAATTGGTGATATGATGCGGACGAGTGTGACGGCTTTAATTGTAGCCCTTGTCACAGCAAATCTCGGTGCATTTCTCCAATGAGTCGAAATTGTTTAGATTGCCTTGACAGCCGCCAAACCTAGAAAAAGAAAACGATCAATATCGTTTTTTTGAAAATCAAAAATTGAATATTCTGAGATTACATGAATTTTTTGCAAGTGCCTGTTGTTTTGTCATAGGCGTAGCGCACAATTTCTCGGCTACACGGTCCCGGATCGGCGCGAATCAAACAGAATACTGCTGAAAATAATCATTATGCTTAAACATTTGAAGATTCTTGAATTTCACCTGGATCTGGGCAGCACACTGTCTTTGACTCGCGCTTACTAACATGACATACGTGATCCCTTGGGCATCCGGTATCAATTCCGCAAGAAGTGAGCGAGTTGTTGGCGACATCCGGTTTGCCATGCGGGCAGTAGCCGCGAAATCCGGGACACGCAATTTGGCATTCGGCTTTGGTTAGAAAGTTGTTCTCATTGCCTCCAATACCAGTATAATTGAATTCACTGCATGTATCATCGATGGTGTCGTAGTAGAATCGAGTGATCGCCGAATCTCCGATTCCCACCATCAATTGCTGATCGCAAATGTTGCCCCTCCTTGGACAACACACTGTGGTTTTTGCGTCGATTCCCCGATGGCAATAGTGCGTCGCCGGGCACACTTGGGTATGACACTGTACGACTTTTCCGTTGTTCATCAAAGGTGTCTCGCCGCCGAAGCACGCTGACGTCGCTGTAAATTTTCAGCATGACACCAATCATTTCTTTTTTTTTTTGAATCGCTTACATGGCTTGCATTGCTCTTGGCATCGCTTCAACGTGAGAAAATTGTTCTCATTGCCTTTGCTGCCCTTATACTCGAATGGGAAACAATCGCCTTCGACCGGGTTGTAGTAGAATCGCGTGAGGTTCAAGAAGCCTTCACCATTGCGGACGAACGCGTCGCAAGGATCTTCTGAAGAGCGCGCAATTTGAGAAATTACAACAAATTGAAAATTACGATTGATTCGTGGACAGCAGAAGCTCGAGTTCGAATCCAATGGATCGCCGGTATGGCAGAACTCGTTGAGATTTCCACATGAATTCGTCGACAGCGGTTTACACTGTTTCGCGGTGCCGTCGTCATTGAGGATCACCTCACCGAGGCACGGATTTTTGAACACTAAAAGTGGATCCCCTCACATGAGAGGGGATATCGATTATCAAAAGGAAACACAAATAGGATTTGGGAATGCATGCACCGATCAAATAGTTTCAACACAGAATGAGAAAAATGGAAGAAGCGCTCGAATTATACCTGGACACGTCCTCTCGCACTCGGCCTGCGACTCGAAATTGTTCTGATTGCCTCTCTTTCCATTGTACTGGAATGGAAGGCATTGGCGATCATCGGGATTGTAGTAGAAGCGTGAGAGTCCCGCGTTGCCAGTGCCGGGCGCAAGCGGCACCGAGCACGGATTCGTGGCTCCCGGGCAGCAGACCGTCGTTTCCGGTGTGGCGCCGATGTGGCACCAGAAATTGACGGGACACGAGTCCTTGTTGGTGATGGAGCAGAACAGCACCTGACCGGCGGCCGTTGTTGCCGGCTGACCAATGCATGGATTATCCAATGGCTGACATGAAAGTTGGCAAGCTCGCTGAAAATATCACAATTGGCAAATTTCGACGAAGCTCTCAAATCTACCAATGAGATGAAATTATTCTGATTTCCCTTCAATCCATTATACACGAATGGTCGGCATGTCTTCGATTGTTGATCGTAATAGAATCGATCCAGTCGCGCGTTTCCTTCGCCTGTTGACATTGGCAAATTGCACACGTTGGTTGAAGCTCCTGGGCAGCACACCGTGGTCGACAAATCTGATCCAATATGGCACCAATGGTTCAATGGACAAGTGTTGAAGTTCGCTGACGCCGAGCACGTCTGAGTTCTTCCATCGGCTCCGACAAACGGGCGGCCCTCGAAGCATGGGTTTGGTCCACATCGCTCTTCGCAAGCTTGCTGTGAAAGGAAGTTATTCTGATTTCCATGAAGTCCCGAGTAGGTGAACGGTTGGCATGTGCCAGTTTGTTGATTGTAGTAGAAGCGATCAACAAATTGGTTGCCGGTTCCACGCGCCAATGGGAGAGAGCACGGGTCTCCTTCAGACGGGCAGCACACAGTGGTCTCCTGGGTAGCTCCAATATGGCAATACATGTTTGGTCCGCAAGTGTCTTCGGTTCCTGTCGAGGCGCACATAGTCGCCGGAAGTGCGATCGGTTGATTGCATGGATTGGTGAAAACTAAAAATTTCATATTAAAACCATTTATGCACAGCAGAAAAAAAAGAAACCAGAAGAACCCAAAGAACTGAAGCTACCCGAAACAGAAATGACTATTCACTATAACTAAATAATAGTTATTAATTTTGCCTTCTACAGGCAATAAATGAAATCCTGAAAATAAGGAAGAGCATGCGAAAACATAGGGAAGAAGAGATAGAAATATTTAGAAGCAGAGTGTAAACACAAAAACGGTAAATTGCAGACATTCGAAATTTTCATATGGTGCGTTTCACGAAAAAAACGCGGCTACCAGAAATTTTCGCTGAAATACCTTGTATTTGAAACGCCTTTTGGTTCAATTAATTAATGAATTTCGAAAAATAAAAATAAATGAAAGCACACGCGAACCGCAACGCGTCTGGCGACATTGAATAATTACGGTAGTCGCAATCAATAATTAAATGAGCGCGCAGTTTTCGCAGTTGGATGATCACGATTCTGGTGGCCACATTTTCTTCAGAAACAAACTATAGGCTGATATAGTTCAGACACACTTGAAAAGTTAGTAGCATGAAAGTTAGAATCGTATACGATAGAAAATTACCCTCGCATGTCGCTTCACAATCCTCTTTCGTCAAGAAATTGTTCTGATTTCCGCGTCTTCCATTATACGTGAACTGTTTGCATTGCATTTCCGACTGATCATAGTACCAGCGGGCGGTTGGCGAGGCGGCGGCGCCAAGCTCACCTTCCGACGGCGGCAATCCCTGACAAGCGCCGGGATTCGTCGGCACACCCGGACAACATTGGTACTCATTCGGCACGAGACCCAAATGGCACCAGTGTTCGGCGCCGCACGAGTTCGAGCCGAACGTGCACGTCTCGGGACGATTCGTCGAGTCAAGCAGCGGTGAGCCGGTGGGACACACATTCACATACACTGAGATTTAGTGGATTTTGTTTTTGGTTTGGTTCAATAAGAAAAATGGGGGGCGGGATGGTTTTTCGATTTTTTTTTGTTCCGATCGACCATTTTTTGTCTTCCTACCTGGACACGTTTGCTCACAATCAGCCTGACTCAAGAAATTATTCTGATTTCCCATTCGTCCTTGGTAGTTGAATTGCACGCATTGCATCGTCGTCGAGTCGTAATACCAGCGTGGAAGCGCGGCGCCGCCGGTTCCCTCGACTTTCGGCTGTTGGCAAATTTGCGGCGATTCGACTGGAAAAGCGCATCATGCGGGATGAGGTGAATGGGAGTTTCGGTTATGCGGTTTACCTCGTCCCGGGCAGCACACCGTCGTGTCGGTGTTGGCGCCGAAATGGCACCAATACGACGCTCCGCACGTGTTCGAGCTCGTCGAACACTGAAGGGGACGATTTTGGGTGTTCATTTGGGGTTCGCCGAGCGCACACGGGTTGTCGAGCTCTGGATTGGATCACAATTGGGTTTGACTCGAATGGATAATTGGGTATTTTGGTTTTTGTGGTAATATTCCGCGAATTGAAAAAAAGTTTTCTTTTTTCAATTAGCAGAATGGATTCATTAATTAATCAATTAAGCTGATTGATATTTGAAAACTTACCATAACAGGTTCTCTCGCAATCTTGTTTAGTAAGGAAATTATTCTGGGTTCCCTTCATTCCACAGTAGCTGAAAGAAAAAATGACAATTTATGATTTTCATGTAGATTTTGCCAAAAATTCTTAAAATACCGGTTCAAAAAGCTAGTATTAAAAGAAACCATTTGAAAACCCTTTGCCGATTTCGCCAAAAAAATATTTCCAACCATTTTTTAAAAGTATTTTTTTTTATTTATATTAAAAAATAAAATTTATATTAAAAAATAAAATTTATATTAATTTATATTTTTAAAAAATTCCAAATTTTTTTTTCGTACTATTACAAATGAATCAGAGGCAATCAAAATTTGTATTTACTTAAAAAACCTAAAAATTCTATGTAGATTGGGATTTTTAAATGGTTTTATCCAGATTTTGCAAAAAAAAATTGAAACCGGTAAAAAATGTATCAATAAATTCTAAAACGTTGTAAGAACCCTCTGCAGTTCGCACCGAAAAAAAACTACTCTCTAAATTTTTTCAAAAATTTCCTCTAAAATCTGCGCAAAATTATAAATATAATTAATATTAAGAATATTATAATAATACAGTGTATTTATTAAAACAATAATATTTTCGGCGTCGCGCGACTGCGGAAAATTGGCTAAATTCAAAAAAATTATGATAGTGATCTTGCCGCAAAACTAAAGATGTAGATTTACGGGTCAATGTATAAGGATAGGTTAAAGGCGCACACCGCGTTTTTTGGCGTTTGGCCAATTCTACGCTTACAATAGTTTTATTTCAGTTTTTTCCCCTCCCTCTGTTCACATACTTGAATGGCAAACAGCATTGTTGCTGCTGATTCCAGTACCATCTCGCCAATTGCGATGATCCCATTCCACGATCCAGAGGTTGTCCGCACGGATCGCCACCTGAATCAACATTGCCATGTGCGAGAACAATGCGAGCAAAAAAAATTAATAAAAACGAGACAACTGGACACAACAAGGACGACACAGCACACATTAACTTACTCACAAAAAAAAAGAAACAACCTGTTCGGACTCAGAAACAAATTAATTTAATAAAGAAAAATACCGAGAGCCTGACAACAGTAGTTGGCTTCAACGCCGATGTGACAATAGTGGCCAGCAGGGCAGATCTGAAAATGTCAGAAATTTTGGTTTGGCAACTCGACGGATTCAACGAAGGATTATTACATGCTGTGGTGAGCATTGCATGTATTGATTATTGACGACATGTGGCTCGCCGATTTTGCAAGGATTTTGGAAGACTAAAATCGTTTTAGAATCGAGACCCTCTCATAATTGCAGCCTACCGGGGCAGCGTTTCTCGCAAGCTTCTCTTGAAAGGAAATTGTTGGGATTTCCCTTCATTCCTCGATACTCGAACGGCACACACTTTCTTGTCGTCGATTCGAATGCCCATCGTGTTGCGTGGTATTCGCCGATTCCTGGATTTCTCGGCGGCGCCGTGCACGGATCGTCGATGGCTGAAATATTACATTCTTGTGAATGATTTGAATCGTTATTGGTTTACTTGTTTTTTTTTTGAAAAGTCGATTCTAAATTTTTCAAAAAAAAAATGCTCAAATAAAAAAGGGCTGGGAGACATTTCGATTAAGGAGATTCGTTTCTAATTTTGATCTACTATATAATTTTATTTGGACAGTTTTAATTCAGCGATTCGTAAAGGACGAACCACCGTTGGTTTTGGTTTACACTGGGGTCCAAACAACTATTTTACAATACGAGTACGACACTCCAATTACACATTGCCCTCAATTTAGCATGTCAGGAATTTTTTCAAAAATGCTTCACCGGTTACCCAAAACCAAAAAAGTGTCCGCTGGTTGTCCGGATCGAATCGCTGAGTTGAGATTCTCGGAACATTATAGGATCAGCGGAAAAAAGCGATTGTCATGTATGTAAAAGGGCGGTCAAAGAAAACGCGCTGATTGAAGTGATAAAATTTGGAAGTCATTCTACAGGTTATACAGTATGTGTAGAATTACTGTGAACTTTGTCATTGGTCCAGCAATCGTCATAAAATTAAGATATGATCTTGTATGATCGGACGCTCCTGGAAGAAACGGAGAATTTCCCCGCGCATTCCTGGTATGTAAACTATATGTAATTAATTTCAATCAATTTCTACTCAAAGTTGTGGTCCCTTAGAAATGAGTTCACTTTATCCTGCCGGTGGCCGACATCTTGCTTATCAATTTTTTTGAATGAATTTTCCTACCATTCGGACAGCACACAGTAGTTTCCTTCGTTTCACCATAATGACACCATTGTTGCGACGGACACGCTTTGGTCGTTGAGCACGGCACAAGTTTTGCCGAGTGTTTGAGCGATGACATCGTGATCGGGCACGGATTCTGCTGAACCGGACATTGACGCTCGCAAGCCGCTTGATTCGGAAAATTGTTGGCGTTTCCCTTCAAACCGCGGAACATGAACTCATCGCACGTTCTCGAAGCAGCGTTGAAGTAATAGCGAGCAACCGACAATGGGCCTTCGCCTTGGGACAACGTCAGCGTGCAAGGATCGGCTCGTCCGGGACAACACATCGTCGTCGAGGCGTCTGGACCGGGATGACACCAGTGAGTCAATGGGCACGAGTTCTCGTTGGTTGGATCGCACGGTTGAGGTTTGCCATTCGGAAGAAGGTAGGGCTCGCCCGAAGGGCACGCGTTCACCCAAACCGGACATGTTGCTTCGCAGTGTTCGCGTAGAAGGAAATTGTTCTCATTTCCGCCCATTCCTGTGTACGTAAACGGCTGGCACTGTCTCGTTTTCTGATTGTAGAACCATCTCGACATCACATTGTTTCCATGTCCTTCCTTGACCACCAATGAGCACGGATCGCCTTCCGATTGGCAGCACACCGTGGTGCTATCGTCGAAGCCGAGATGACAGAAGTAGCCAGCAGCGCATGGCGCTCCCTGATGGCATTGGAATGGCCGCTGATCCGACGACATGATTGGGATGCCAATAGCGCACGGGTTTATCCATACCGGGCAGGCGCTCTGAAACATCGTTGAATTGAGAAGTTCCGAGTTGATTCGAGGCAACCTCGCAAAGCTCTTTGGAAATGAAATTATTGCGATTTCCTTTCAAACCGAGGTAGTTGAAAGCCAGACACTTTCGCTGATTAGCGTCATAGAAGAAGCGCGTGAGAGCCGCCGTGCCCTCGCCTTGCGTCATTTCCTCCTCGCATGGTGAGTTCCCTGGAAGGTGTCGAGTTAAATCAGAATTGCCATCGGTTTGAGCACATCAATCAAAACACACAGAAAAAAATTGAATGAAAACTCAAAAAAAAAAACCGAACAAATTAACGTGGCATGCGCATTTTCTCGAAATTTCGTTATTTTCATGCATAATTTCAATTTTCCGAATAAATCGTGCCGCCCACGCCGGTGGTGGCGGAGTCAACAAACGTTATTCGACACCATATTAAGTCATGCCTCACCACCACATTCACTTAGAACCCACCATTCATTCATGTGTTCGCCAATTTTTTTTCTTGCTCCAATCACCAGTTATAACAAAATGCCCCCAAATTCTCGTCTGAAACATAATTTTAGAATTAGTAGCACGGCGGGGGCAACTGTTAGAAGATTTTTTGTTTCGTCAATTTCTGACGCGTGGGTTGGAAAAGAGCAAGCCGGAATCGGAGGATTTGTGTCCAGTGGTGTTTTCGTTTTTCACTTACCAAGTGCCTGACAGCACACCGATGTCGTCTGATCGGCTCCGATATGGCAATAGTAGCCGGCTGGGCAGACTGATGGATTGATAGCTGAGCACTGGACGGTGACACCTTGCGAGCGGTATGGGCTTCCGATTTTGCATGGGTTCACTGAAAGGCGTGCCGCTTACAGTCTTCCCGATTTGCTTCCTACCTAGACACGAGTTCTCGCATTCGCTTTGCGAGAGGAAGTTGTTCTCATTGCCTTGCAGTCCTTTGTAGGTGCACGGCTGGCATTGTTGCGTGAGCGGATTGAAGTACCAGCGTTGCAGATTCGCGTTGCCGATTCCAACGTTCAACGGCTGCTGGCAACGATCGACGGCCGCCGGCTTCGGGCAGCACACGGTCGTCTGCAATTGGGCGCCAACGTGACAATAGCTGCCGGTGCCGCAGCCTTGGCCGGGCGCGCACGGCGCCAGCGTCGCGCCGCTCGACACCGCGCACGGGTTCGGAGTCTCTGCAATCGAGCGGATGAGACGAACGGAAGCGAATTGTTGGGTGAAGCGGTCCCCCCGGAGCTGCGATACCATGCGCCTGTCACCATTGGTGAAGCATGCTAATTGATTGGAATGGCCCGAATTTAGGACGGTTGAATTAAAATCGGCATGCACGGGGGTAATGATGATGATTTTTTTTGTTGATGAATCAAGCATGATTTTTCAAGATATCTGACAATACTGTGCAACAGTGCTACCGTAACCCCCAACAGACCCAACTGATAGTGTGTTAATATTGTAGTGTTTGATGGGTGTTAGCTCCGTGCTGCGAAAAAGCACCTGGACACTGCGCTTGGCACTCTTCAAGCGTCTGGAAATTATTGCGATTGCCGCCCGAGCCGAAATAGGTGAACTGCTCGCAAATGCGCGTCTGTTTGTTGAAATAAAATTTGGGAAGCTGAACGGCGCCGACGCCCGATTCTTTGTCCTGCGAGCACGGGTCGACTGAAACGGGTGAACATGATGAAAACGCAAAGCGCACGACACACACACACAAAAATAATTTTAAAAATCAAATGGCACACACGCAAATGTCAAAAATCTGAAATGAAAATTCGGTGGATTTGTGATTTTTCTTTTGTTCAAAAGCAGGAATGATGAAGCTTGACGGGTGTGGGGGAATGATTGGCATGGAATGAACTTTGGCGATGGAATGAACCTTGAGCATTGGCGACTGTTGTTGTCGTCGTTGTCATCGTCGCAATCGGTATCGGCATCGTCGACGGCGGTGGAGCGAGCGTCACAATCGGCGACACACCGCACGATCTTTGGCATTTCTCCAATGTTTCGAACATGTTGCCATAACCGCCGAGACCGCGATAATTGAACGCGACACACTGTTTGCTATTCTGATCATAGTAGAAACGCTCCAACTGCATGCTGCCATAGCCTTCAGAGAACGGCCGATAGCAGCACGGGCAAAGTATGGGGGGTTTCGATAGGTAATGATGGTTGGGTTGGAATAGAACATCGATCTGGTTGCTTGACGGATTGTAGATTTGAACGAACGGGTTCTCGAAGACCAGCGAACGCTGACTCGCTAGCAGAATATATCGATTAAACCACAAACCCCCAGATATTTTTCGTCTTTCTTTTTTTTTTGTTGAAATTTGAAAAGAAAAATTCGAAGGTGTCCCTTTAAACAAACCTTCGCAAGTCGATTGGCACGTTTGAAATGTTTGGAAATTGTTGCCGTTTCCGCAGCATCCTGACCAGTAGAACAGCTCGCAACGCCCGCGCACTGGATTGTAATACCTATTATAAGCGAATTTCAGATCAGAAAAATACGATGACGATTCAAACCATCTTGGAATTCGATAGGGACCAGTTCCAATTTGACGCGGTAGTGTGCAAGATTGGCCGGATGGTGGTGCGTAACGATTAGCTGAAAAACGGAAATTCGAATTTCGCGCTCAAAACAAAAAGAAATGTTTGTCGTCTGCACTCCCTCTCGCTTTTCCACAATCTCTCGTCACACAATGTAAATTAAAAAAAAAAGGTGCCTGCGTATTGATGAAAAGTCGGATGATTAAGCGGTTTGTTAGTGTCGTTCTTTTGATCAGCGCCGAATAGGATCGTCTTGAAAGAGCTCAATATGGAATCGTCGGTGGCCACTGACAGAGGACCCAAGACGGCTAGAACCGTGAAAAGCCACCGCGTCGGCAGCATTCTCGTTTTCTGGAAAATTTTCCGAGATTTTTTTTGTTCGATATACATAATATCGCGGAAATTTAAACACGACAAAAAAAAAACGAATTAAAAATGCGGATGGCACTATTTGTGTGTGTGTGTGTGTGTGTGCGTGAAATTGACACAATCAAATTATGTTGGCGTTTGGGATCAATGCAGTAGATTAGACGACACCGACTTCCGTTCAGAAAACCGGCGCGAGACCGTTTGGAGATTGAGCGCGGGAGACGATTGTTGGTAAACAAATAAATCAACTGGAGTACCACACCTTCATTTACCTTGTGAAAACAATGCGATGCACAGTGCACAAGCTGGTTTTGAACTCAAGGACTCGCTTCACAAGATGAACGAGTGAGTCAGACTCGTTTGGGCAGAAAGTGAGGAGCATCAAAGGTTCATAGGGATGTAAGTAATAAGAAGAATGAGGTGTCGAAATGACAATGAGATGTTCTAGAAATTTAGAAATTGAAAAGAAATTGTGAATAATACTGATGGCTTCAATTATAATTCTAAAGATTTACGTGATCGCGCAAAAAAAAAATGAACACGGTTCTGGTCTCGAGTGGCATGATCGAACAAGTCGACGGTTGAGAATGGCAAATGATGAGCAGCAAGTGCAAGAGCAACATCAGCATATTGAGAGTCTGGCGGAGCGTCGAGCTCTCGCGTGTGCGGATAAGAGGCGGAATCGCGTCTCTCGTTTTCTCATACATCTTCGCACAAAAATATGTGTATACAAATATTTCGGTAGGTGTGTTAGGGGGGGGGGGCGATGAAGAAGCCGGCCGGATACCCGCGCACGCGTACCTACGCGTACGTCAAGTTTGAAGCCTCCTAACACTCGCCGCGCCACGATGAGTGTGCAACAATTGTTTGAAAAGATGCCAATCGAGTGAGTTGGTTGATGATTTGTATTCAGTGGCGGGTCGTCTTGCCAACTGGTTCGGCACGTCACGTCGGCGACCTTCTTGAAAAAAAAAAAGATTTTTTTTTTGTGCCTCGTCGATGTTGCAATCCGAGATTTGGGAAAAAAGTGGTCTGCGGAATTTTTTGTGAATGTTCATTTGATACGATTGCAAACAGTTCCCTTTTATAGATGTTCGCATTGTCTTAAATCTGGATTCGTGTTCGGGGGTTAAATGACAACAAAAGGGTAGTGGGCTGCCGAGGTGTTGAAAAAATGGTGCTGCGGACAAGTTTGGAGGATAAACAGCAATTCTACCAAGACGAAAAAGCAAAAGCTTCAAAAAAATACAAAACCCATACAAACGTTTGAAATCGTTTTTAAACGGTCCGTCGAGAAAAGCAAAGAATGAAATTTGGTCGATGAAAAAAATGTGATTCGATGAATCAGATGAGTTCAGAAAAATCTGATAAAGAGAGCGGGCAACCTTTTAGGTGGTGTACTAGAGAGTTGAACTTGCTCTTGAGAAAACGCACTCAAAATTTCCCACGATTTCGGAAGTGGCGCAATCGCAAGAAAAAATCGCCCAACGTCGGTACCGCAAAAAAAAGGAAGTGCTCGACATAGATTTTGTACTTGACGAACGCTTAAGCATGGGATATTCGATATATTGACATTTGAAATGATCAATTCAAGTGTGTGTGGTGAGCCGATGATGGGGGAGGGCGCGGGGGGGGGGGTCATGTTAATAATTGTACCGTCCGAAATAGAAATTGTCGGCCGGTCTCGTAAAAATTGGCAAAATTCCAAAAAATAACCTATGTGAGAGCTTAGTAACAAAAATATAAAGGTTCATGGATTGGTTAAAGGCGCAAGCCGATCGCGACAAGACCTTTTTTGAATTTTTATTCGCAGCGGCACGACCACGAAAATTGGTCTCTAGTAATGCGTTAGCTGAATATCAAGCCTACAGTGTGGATTAAAGGCGCACGGAATAATTTGCTATTTTCGCGCCAAGAGATGACATTGAATTTTGACACAAATTATGTCACCCGCCTTGGAGAAAAAAATCAAATTTCGAAAAAGAAGAACCCATCAGCGGTCGGCGAGAAGTCGCCCAAAAACACGAATTATGTTTTGTTTTATTTTTTTCGGCGAACAGGTGCGGTCGACTTACGGCACAATGGAGCAAACAGAGTGAAATTTGAGGCAGATTAACATCGGTCATCTTCTGGCCATTTGAGGCATGCGAACAGAGCACCCAAAAACAGCGTGAAGGTGAAGAGCGGAAAAAAACCAACAACAACAACAACAACAACATATAGTGACCGGCGAGTGGAGGGCAGACAGTTGAGTGACCCCTCTCGAAGGTGGGATAGACGAAAAGCTTCCGCCTGTCATAGTGTCATATCCGATTCGGGTAAATGTGACCATAGTTGAACGCAGAAATAAAAACGAAAAATGGGTGAGAAGAAATCGGGAGATTTGCGAAAAAATTTTCTTGAAGCCACAGTAATCCGTCGTAGCGACGATCTGGATGGAATTGATGAGGAATGCAACATTTCGGGAGGTGAGGCGACTATTCGAATCTGAACACCGAACCATTTAGTTTGAACCCAAATATTTGCATTGTCCCCATTTTCAATGTTGCTCGTGTTTTGCAACACCACTAGGTAAAGTTGACCTCCCCCGCGCGCGCGCGAGCACCTCCAATCAAAATCGAGTGAATGAATTGTGGCTTTTTTTGGAGATGCTCGCACTCTCGCGCGCGCGCGAAATTTGGAAGACGACGACGACAAAGAAGAAGAAGAAGAAGAAGAAGGCGAAACAAAAAAAACGGCAATGCAAACAGTAATTCTCGCCCGCACGCCGCGACAATTCATTCAATTATCGAAGGTTTTTTTTTGCGCGCCGGCGCGTGCAGCGCGTGCGCGTCAAATACGCGCACGTTTGAGGCGAGTCTGCGCGAGCTTTGCCGCCGCCGCGTCGCTCGCACAACACAAATTTCGACATTTGACCGATCGAATGATAGACAAAAAATCATTTTCAAGTCGTCAACTCTTGCCACGAAATTTTTTTTCCAACATTTTCTCTCAATTTTAGCAATTTTGAATATGATTGTAAAAAAAAAATTGATTTCAACATTTTTTATAATCGCTACGAGACCCAAGTTCAAATATTTCATGGCGGAATGAATTGTTCTTTCCACCAAAGATCCTCTTGGTCAAGGATATTGGTCCGATCATATCCGACTCATCCTGGTGGCCTGGGATTTCAGATTTTTTAAGATCAGGGCGGGCTATGAAATATTCTGATTACTTTGAATAGCTGATATAAAACATACAAAATAAAAGCTTGATTTCACCTTCCAAAAGCCCATCGTCCCCGATTTTTTGACCCCTTTAAAGAAATAGAAAGCTTAGAGAATCTAATGGTGAAATTGTTTGAATTTTTCACAAATTATCAATGTTTAATTAAATCTCATGAAATTTTTCTCCAAAAAAATTACAAAAAAAAGTCATTTTCATAAGAGAAAATGTGTGGATTTTTTTTTTTTGAAATTTTGGAATAAATCGAAACTGATTAATTTACATTCGATTTAGATTGAAAAAGAAAAAATTTCGAATCCGATTGATTTTCATTTACCTGAGAATTTGAATTTTTTATTATTGAGAATTTTTTATTATCGCATTGAGTTTCAACATTTTTAAACGAACCAAATTTGTCTGTAAGTTAACCAAGCAGAATTAACAGAATCAGCCTATTTACAATCCAAAATTTTACTGGAAAATCCAAGCTAGACGATCCGCAATCAACAATAATGATGTCCGAAACCTCGGACAATTTTTGCTCTCCCTCATCCTTGATAATCGTGTTCGTGAAATCTGCGTTGGCATTCTCGGAACACCTTTCTTTGCACTTGTCCGAGTGCTGTCGGGGCAGCATTTCTTGGCTTATGATGTAGGAGGAGGCTGGTCATTTTATCCGTGGCTCTCAAGTGTGCCCATGACGACGATGGTGATGATGATAGTGGCGGTCAAAGAAGATTGGGGGAGATCGTCGAGACCGTTTTTTTTTTTGCGCTCATCGAAAGGCCGACATGCTCACAATCTTCGTTGCACTTCCTCACAACACTTTTTCGTGTTCGCAAATAATCGCCGAGCATGCGCTCCTCCCCGAGCAATCGCTGAATACATACACACACTCACAAAATAACAGACATCCACATGTACAACATAAAAAGAAAATGTCGAAAATTTGCGGGGTTCGAAATGTGATGTGTGAAATTCGTCACTTTCTTTTGTTTTTTTTTTTTTGTTCGGCCACAATAAAAAATGCCAAAAAAATCTGTCAATTCTCCCGCAGAAATTCGAAATTCAATAGCACACTTGCACAAATTGAGCATTTCTGAAAATGACAACATCGAAGCTCGTGCAATTTGACATCAGCGATTCTCGATCGCGACGAGACCAACATCGAATTGTTTTTGAATTGGAGTTTTTTGAAATATACATTTTTCGACAAACAGGAGGAAAAATTCAATTGGTTGAAGAAGCACGCTAAAATGAGGGCGATGTGTAATTGGAGTGTCGTACTGGTAATTAGGAATGCTTTTATACAACCCAGAGGTATTTACTGCGAGACATGTCGACTAGAAAAAACCGGCAAAATGAAATTTCGAAAGTTGAAAACCTCAAAATAATATTGATTAGAAATAGGAGGTCGGAAAAATTTGTATTTTCTCAAAAACCGTCTACTGATGGTCTTGACGCGAAGCACTAGTATTTAGTCGAAACATTTGTGCATTAGAGTTGTAGGGAAATGAATTTTGATACAAATGGCGAAAGTCGAAAACCGGGAAAAATTTGGCGAGACGGAAGACGGAATTCCGTGCAACTCGATTCAGTAGTACCCACGAGAAAATGCAACAATGGACCCGCCTAGGGATGAATTATGCAATCGGACCCCCACCCATAAAATTACTATATTCATGGGTGGATTGGTTTTTTTTTTAATAAACAGCTGATACTTTGAAAAATGAATATTAATCATTTCTTCGAAAACCGAACCGCCCTAGAATTACTGTATTTCACCAAAATCGAAAACTGACCCCATTCCGAAACAAGCGTATTATTAGAAGGAATAGCGATTACTACTGATTCTCACCCCAATTTTTTTTGTATAAAAAATAAGAATCAATTTCAAGATTTTTTTTAAATTTTTGTTCGAAACTTCAAGGAATCCAATGCGACTCGGTTACTCGAAATTTTGCTCTCTTATATAGGGGAGGCATCGAATTGATTGAATTTTGCCGCAAATTTTTGGGCATGCTTCAGCGATCATCAAAATGATGCAGCTTCTCTCCACAATTCTTTGATGTTCGCCGTCGGTCAAATTTGAATAAAAAGCCAATTTAACAAATCGTAAAACAGATGTTCGATGATTTGTCCGCAGATGATGTTTCCCAAAGCAATTACATACGCGAAGAAGAAAAAAAAAATGGAAGACCCCCCCCCTACTTCGCGAGTTGCAAAGAACGAATCAATTAGTCGTGTTGGAGGTGCGACCTCGAACACACTGGATTGGCTATTATTATTCTTTCGACGACGTCGATCGCCCCATTCGATAAGAGATTTCTGACAATGATTAAATATGTGATGATGGTGTGCTCTCAGAGACGAACCAGATTTCCAAGGGAAGCGGCTCTTCCTGCCGACCTCCCCGACATCCGCTTATTATATGCATATAGTTGTTCATTCTTTCTTCTTTTTTTTTTAGATGTCTAGTGGTGGTTTTTGCCAAAAATAGGAAAAAAAAAACATAAAAAACGTCCATTTGTGCGATTGCGAATGAAATTCGAGAACACACACACATACACACAAATATTTTTCACGACAGATTTGCACCCTCTTTTGTTTTGCATTTTTTTTTGGTCAAGCTTCTGCCCCTTTAACGGCTCCTTCCTCCTTCCCCAGCCTCGCCCCCCCCCACATCCTCATTGCGCGATTAATTTTTATTGTGCGTGTGTGGTCGTGGGAAAAATAATACATATATGGGATGTGCCGAGTCGCGTCGTCTATTGTTGGTCCTTCAGATTTTTTGTTTGACGACCACCTCTCTTCGAAATATTCTTTAGCTACCATTTAGTAGTAGTCGACGAAACTCGAATAATCTATCAAATTTATCAACGTATTATTGAAAGCACTGCCACGTGGCAAGCTGTTTTCGGACCCTTTTCGGTAAAAGGTAACAAAGGGTCCCACCAGCGGAATTGAAATTTTGGTGAAGACGAAGAAAGACGAAAAATTGCATGAAAAAATCAAGAAAAAAAATGTTCCAACACGATTTTTTTTGGCGGAAATTCAAACTTCCTTCTCATTTTTTTGGAAATTTTTGGTGGCATCTTGAATGAATCCGAAATCGTCACATAGTGATCCTCGAAAAAAAATGAAATAAAATTAATCGGTGGGATCTCTTCTTATACATAGTCTGCGGAAAATGAAGACAGGGAGAAACTACATACATATGTGAAGATTTACGGGCCTAAGGATAAGAATTGATTAAAGGCGCATCCCGCCCCGATGGTCCGAGAGAGACCTTTATCTGAAATTTTTTGCGACTTGCTTATTCTAGAACCTATTTTCTTAAGGGATTCTTTGGTTGTGATTCTAGTAGACCACAAGACATATATATTATTCACAATAGTCAGCTTCTCAAGTAGTACAGCATTTTGGCAAGAAACAATTGGCGTCCCTTCCGTTCGTTTTTCTTTTCTCTCATCTGCATATAATTTGGGTCATTAAAAAAAAACCGCCAACGAGCTTCGCCCTCCGAACGGGCGCGCGCGCTCTCGCCGCCGGACATTCTACTCCACATCAACGAGACTCCGCCCCCCATTTTGACGATGCGTAATCTTCCCCCCCCCCTCTCATCCCCGAGAGGTTGTAATGTTGGTCCGTATTCAATTTTATTCCACATTTTTACGCGCGCGCCCGGCCCCCTCAAGAACCACCCTTTGTTCACACGGCTACTGGTAACCAATACAGCCTCTTCATTATCGCTTTGTCGGCGTGTTCTTGGATTTCCATATTTGGCCATATGTTTGCCCATTCAACCACACCAACAAGACACCCGTTGAATTTGATTCAGTTTCACTTGTGAATTCTCACAATTGTCGTAATTATGTGCGCATTGTGTGTAATCATCTTACGATACTTTGCGTACCAACAACGTTTTTTAGAAATATTTATTCAATGAAAAAATGAATTATGCGAGATTTATGAAAGATTTCCAAATGTTCACGATGCGAAACAGAGAAAAAACTGATTTATTTCGTTATGTGAAATTATAAAAAATTTATGAACATTTTTGTTTCGTTCCCCCCAATTTTTCGCCCCATCCTGTTCGACACAATGCATGCATGAATCTCGAATATTCAAAATGGTTGTTACAATTGGCACAAATTATTGTTTCGGGACAATAAGGATATAAAATTTATCGCCGCCCACCTGTCATTTCCCGTTCACCCATTCATTATTGAATGTAAACCACACGCTAGCAGTCATATCGCCTCACAGCGCTCTCCTGTACGCAAATGGTAGGCAACGTTGCCGTGCTTCCGTGGCGCAATAGGCAGCGCGTTCGGCTGTTAACCGAAAGGTTGGTGGTTCGAGCCCACCCGGGAGCGAAAATTTTTTCTAATTAATTCGTGTCAATGGTGTTCCGGCGGGCTCTCGGTCACGCCTCTTCCATCTTCGGCTCCCCATGGGACCCTTCAATCACTATTGCGCGTTGCACTTGTCGCTTTAATTTGCATATATTGCGCAGCAAATGGGCGACTTCTGTCAGCAGCGTGGCCCGCGGTTCCGTTCGGTTCGCGATTGTTTTTGTTTTCTGTCAACCGTGTGTGTCACTCTAATTGGCTCAAATCTATTTGGAGAGACGGATTTGATTTGTGCTGCTCGTATGTGCTGCTCTTTCTGCTGCTGCTGCACGTTTTTACGCTCGCTCGCACTCATTTTTCACGCCAAGCAGTTGGCGGTGCCCGCCAGGGCTCCGCGTTCTCATTTATATTTGATTGTAATATCGCAACATTTGAACCAAAATATTTTGACGAGGGCTCGTCTCGATTTTCGGCTCGACGCGACCCGAAAAAAAATAAGATGAATCTGCACTAGTCGTCGGTCTGTTTTTTAATTGAATCTCGAATTTTCCCCTTTTTTTATGGACGTCTCCTCAATTTCTCATTCTCAAAATGGGCAACCGAAAATGCCATTTATTTTAATAATAAATAAGGGTTGGTTTTAGTTTTGAAAAAAAATATATACTAAACACGATAAATCTTTCGAAATGAATTTTTTAAAATTAGGTCTGTTTTATTCGGATGCTACCGTAACGGTTACTGTATTTTCGCAATTTGCACGCGTTGGCTTTCTTTTTTGAATTGCGCGCCAATTTTCAATTTTTTTTGCATAAATTACGGATTTCAACTAAATTCTTACCATATTAATTCTTTCGTTCAGAAAAATTGAAGAAATGCATTAAAAAAATGGCTCCATTGAAAAAGATCAAATGTGTGCAATTGTGCGTGTCGGTGTATGAATCGCTACGGGCAAGTGTTTTTTTGTTGAAACAATTTTTAAACGCGATTATTTTTAAAATCAAAAATTGAGAAATTTCATTTAAAAATTGATTCTCCAGTGCCCTCTCAGTACTGATTTGCTTCCGAAACTGATATCGATGGTGAGACCCGGAGTCGCCGATTTTGGACTCGGAATGAATCGACAGTGAGCCCATTTGCTCACGCGATGCATTAAGAATGCATCATCTTTTTCTTGGCAATTTTTCTTCGCAACATTTCTCGAGTCACAATAAGGCGCAAGTCACTCGAAAAAAAAACCCGCGTTTATTTCATTTTTCGTTTGGTTCGTTTTTCAAAAAAAAAAAAACAATTCATTTGGATGACAACAAAAAATGTGTGTCGATTTCGAAACGACGCATGTCTCTGCGGAATTATCTTTGCTTACGAAATATATATATGGGCTCAAAGACAAAAAGCCTAATATAAACAATTCGGTTGACGCATTATTTTTGTGTGTGTTGCGCTTTTTACCGTTCGCCTAATTCGTTTTTTTTTTTGCCATTCACAACGCTTAAACAAATTATGAGGATGGCATTTTCTTTTCGGCTCAATTTGCTCGTCTCTTCTCATTTTTTTCGAGATTCCCCAGATTCGATTTCGAGATAATTGTTCGAATTTGGCCTTGATTTATTGGCCGTCTAACGTTTTATTGCCTCATTGTTTTTTTTTTGATGTTCCAGACCGCCCGGAAATGACGACTGTGTCGTGTTCGCCGAGTTTGGCCGACATTCGTGCTCTTCAGGTTCGTCCAACAATTTTTTTGTTGTTGTTCATAGCACGGCTGTGCGGCAATCGGAAATTTCGGCAATCCGGCAATTCGGCAAATTGCCGAAAATAAAAATTTCGGCTAATAAATTTTTTCAACGATACTTCGAAATTTTTGTGTCGCCGATTCTTTTGATATCAAATTGCCGTTTCGGCAATTTCGGCAATCGGCAATTCCATTGCCGCACAGCCCTGGTTCATAGGACCCAAATTTGAGAGTCGCGTTTTGTTAAAGGCATATGATTTCTTGTGAAAATGTATTAATCGAAAAAATTTGGTCTCGATTGGCGTGGGTTGTCAAAAACACCGGGGTCCCTATAATGGCCTTCAACGCGAGTTTCACAAAACAAGAAAATGCTCGCTAATATTGTTTTAATTATTTTAAGGGAGGTTCAAATCTTGACTCTATGAGACCGACTCAGAGTGCACATCAAGCCAGTAGGCATTCAATTTGCAACATACACATGTACGAATGTCGATCTGTTGTGAATATATGTGAAAAAACACGACAAAGAATTATGAATAGAGAGAAAATGTCTAAAATGCAGCCACTTATCAGTCTGAATAATACAGTACCACAAAAAAGACACGAAATTTTACATTACAATTTGAAAGGAGATGTCTGATTGAAATGAATACATATACATATAGTCGGCGTCCGGCGAGTGCTGTACGCGGGTAGATTTACGCGCATGCGCCTTGAAAAGGTCTCGCCACGCGTGAATGCTTATTTTGATGTTTTCACGTTTTTCTTGATGAGTTTGGCATTTCTTGGAATTTCTAACGTCGTTCGATTTAAAAATCACATTTTTTTTGTAAAACAATACCAAAAAAAATTAGGAAGAGGTTTTGGTGAAGCTAAAAGTGTAGATTTACGGGCGAAATGTTAAAGGTGCACAGAGCGCTTCGAGACCATTCAAAAAAAAAATTTAAAGTAAAAAAATGCGAAGGATGTATTTTTGATGGCTGTGATTCCGTATATGAATATATTGAAGTCTCACCAGTGAAGAGATGTGCTGGAATATTCCGAGTGTTTTTTTTGCCGGAATTTTTCAACCAACGATTACGGTAGATCTGTAAAGGCACATGTGGAAAAACATAAAAATGTTCATCAGCAAAAATAATTTTCATCATTAAAAACTCACACGGCTTTTTACGCTTCATTTACGCTTTAAAAAATTGATGTTTAAAAAAATCAATCGAATCACAGATTTCCAGAATATTCTAAAATTTCAACGCCAGAGAATTCTTTAGGGAACCTATGATCATTCAAAAATTAGTTTTGTTAGTTGTGGAGCGACTTGCTTTGAGTGTATTATTGTTAAGTAGAAGAGATCTTCTTGATATGACTCTTTTAATTGCCTTGCACACTGTTTAAATGTTTTTATCCGACGTTTCGATCTTTAGATCATCATCAGGGATGGTCAATTTACCTCAAACTTGGGTAATTAAACCAGTTTTTTTTGTAATAATAAAAGGGTCATATCAAGAAGATCTCTTCTACTTAACAACATTCAAAAATTATATAATATATGTACATATATGGGTTTCAGGCAGACAATCTTGATCGTCTTCGCGACACACTTCAACAAATCAACATCAAAGATGTTGTGCCGCTGCTCGTCGCTCGAAATGTGCTCCGATCATATGAGATGGGTGCCCTTTATGCAAAGGTACAGTGCCTCGAAGGCGAGCTCAAACCACCAACCAAAACAATTCAGAACTCATCGGAAGAGCAAGTCGATGCTCTGATTGCGCTACTCAAAACCAAAAACCATTGGGTCGGACCATTAACCGACGCATTAATACGGAATGGAAAAGCGCCGATTGCGAAATTATTGATCGAATTGCAAAATGGGAAATGACGAGAAAATGTGGTGCAATTCGCCGTTATAAACCATTATAAATATTCATATTTTTTAACCGGTTTTAAGCGAGCAAAAAAAGTGCAAAATTGTGATGAGCAGAATTCAAATTGAGTCGATCGTGTTGTAGGATTGAAGATGATTATTGTTGATGAGCGTCGACTCGATGATGGTCTCCGATGTCTCGCTTCTCGCAATTAGATTTGTCTGTAATTAAGAATGCCGAAAATTGCGTTCGAAAAATTGGTTTTCAAAGAATTTTTTGAAATCAAAAAAATGACAAACAAATGGATTATTTTCCATATGAGACCCAAAACAAAGAGTTTAGCAATCTCTTAAAAATTTTGAAGTGAAAGTGTCAAAATTTGATGGAATTTTGAATTTGGCGAATCGGTTAATTAAACACAATTTTATAATTATTGTGACCTTCGAAAAAATTTTTCTGAGCCCCTAAATGTTTTCCATATAAGACCTAATACGGCTTTACCCTAGTGAGACTGAAAACCGTTAATTGATTAGTTAAAATTTGAATGAAATAGTTTTGTAAAATTAAAGGCGCATGGCAACATTTTTTGATATTTTCGCTTCAAAAAACAATTGTATCTGGCTTAAATTATTTGAATTTCTTCCGAAATTTTTTGGCTATGTCACATAAGCTCATTGAGCTCATCATTTTAGATATCACAAAATGAAGAATAATAATTGGTCTATTTTTTTCTATGGGACCCCCTTCGACCGCATTTTTGCATTCTTAAGATGTTTGATATTTTTTTGGTTTTCAATTCTTTTTTTTAGGAATCTTTGAGATCCTAAATTCCACAGGGAATCTCGATAATGTTTATTATCAATATTCCCTGGAAAATCTTGTTGAAAAGTTAGGTAGATCAAAAGTGGGTGGAGCTTCCCTGGATTACGGTAGATTCAAATTGAAACTCACATCCCGTCTTTTGAGCCTCGTGCGCACGAATGTGATGAACATGAAGCATGTGAGGAAGAATAGCAGAAAAATTATGAAGACGAGAAGAACGATGAGGAATGATGAGAACTCATGCGACGGTAGATGGCCGGCACTCAATTGGCTCTGAATAAATCGATGGTCTCGCAACGAAACACACAAAAGACACTGTCATACAATATTATTAACGTCGAGCATCGTCGATCGAGCCACTCGAATATCGCGAGTTCGCCGCTGTCTTCTCACATTTGCTCGTCGAAGGCGCACATGTGACGACGACGACGACGACGACGATGTTGCCTTGAAGAAGAGGAAGAAGGGCAATAAAATGATGAAGCCTAAGGGAAGAAAAAAAACTGGTCGAGTTTCTTTTTTTTCTTGTTGGTAATAAAGTGGAAAGCAACGTTTCGCTTTGGGTTCTTTTCAAACATATACAAATCGAGTAATCGGATCCTGGGGACGAATTGAGCGATAATAACGAGCGGGACACTGTTGGGACGACGTCTTTACAATATTTCTGGGCCAAAAAAAATTTTTTCTGATAGTCTTTTGACATTCGAGTTTCGAATTGTCCGCAGACGAGCGGTTATATTGGGCTGTTCGAGGATTTGCGTTTGTACGAGGGACTTAAAGGCTCATCACGATTTATTGGTATTTTTAAAACCGACGACGACACCGCAAAATGTGCTAAAGTGATATGTTCAAATTTGAATTGCCGCCAACACGATGGTCCCAGCTTTTATGGTAATTGAGAAATTATTCATGAAATTGCAAAAATTTAGGCAAAGACGGAATATATTTTTTTATTTATTGTCGGCGTCAAATGGCACGACTGTGATGGGATATTCGAATTTCTCAAGATCAGCGTGGATCTACGAATCTGTAATTTCGCGTACTCTAAAATGCAGAGTACGCAGACACGCGCACGTCTCTTTGCCTTGAGACCCCCATGGCAAAAAATTTCGGTATCACGATTGACACCGACAATATTTAAACATTATTTTTATATTCCAAATAGGTTCAAATTAATTAAAGGCGCAGTGGCGAAGGTGTGGCGCGAAAAAATAAAAATTTAAATTATTTCCAATTTTCTTTTCTATACACTCGCTTTTTTTCTATAGTTTATAAATTCCGTATATTTTCTCAATTGACGGCTCACTTCACCCAAAAATATACTATGTAGGGGGATCGAGAGCTACAGAAGTTTCTGACTTGGGATGGAAACAAAGAAGGAAGAATATCAAAAATTATAGAAATAAATGAGTCGGCGGGAAACGCTCGAAAGGAATGTGGGAGATCTTTATTCTAACGAAATTAGTGTAGATTTACGAATGGGTAAAATGTTTGAACATGAAATTCAAGTATTGTCGGCGTCAAAACGGTTTTGAGAGTGGCGAGGTTTACGTGGTCCAACGATGATGAACTATTACGGGAGGAACAATTTATTAGAATGTGACTAGTTCCGATTAAAATTGAAATCGGCAGACTTATATACGACTCAGAATTTTCTATTGTCGGAGTCAAACCACTGAAGAGAGGTGGAGCCTTCAAATTTGCGAAATCAGTGCAGATTTACGAATTTTTAAAATTACGCGTTATTATCGTAAAAAGGTTAACACATTGAAAGTCAGAAATATTTCTCTTCGCTTTGAGACCAGAGAGAAAAATTTGGAAACGCAGAATGCTGAGGTCCGCCCAACTCACTTCGAGACACCTTGGCATCTAGCCATTTGAAATTTTGATGCCGAGTCGACATTGCCGCCAATAAATAATTCAGATTTATAGATAAGTTTGCGAGAGGTCAAAAAACATCATCTCTTGATGTGCTGCAAGCTTTCAGCAATTTTTGAGCAAAAAAAAACAGCAAAATTTTGCCGAGAAAAAATTGGTATTGTGAGACCAAAAAAAAAAACACAGAAAATCCAAGCAATTTTGATGAATAGAAATTTGAAAAAAGAAAGGTAGGTAAGACAGCAAATATTAATATCTCATGGCAACGTAAGAAAAAAAAAGTTGAAAAAAAAACATTTGGGAGAAAGGATTGCATTCCTCGTGAGAATATACTATGTATAAATGTGCATATATGTATTTGCACGACGAGTAATTGCATTGGACGAGAAAAAAATCGGATTCCTCATATATAATTTTTTTCGGCCTAATTTCGTATGATTTTGGAAGATCGGAAATCTCGGCGAAACGAGTCGACGAGAAATTTGGTTGAATGCCGGCATTTCGAATTTATGAAGTGATCGTCTAGAAATTGACCATTTTTGGGTAGACACAAACAATCCATTTTTAATGAGGTTCAAAGAATTTGACCGTTGTAATTTATTTATAAAGTATAGCAAAAAAACATGATAATATTCGTTGAAGAGTGCAATGAAATTTTTTAAGAATTTCGATGTGATTGGTGGCTACACTGTTTGCATTATATCTTACGCAAATTTACGGAATTGCCATAGAAACGAAAGAAACAATCGTCTTGAAGACATTGAACTAAACGGCTCATCGCTTTATGAGTGCTTTATTGGATGTGATGAGGAATTGCCTCAAGGCTAGACTCCATCAAAACTCGGCATTAGATGAAGAGCATGAATATCGCTTCATTTATTATGCAGTTTTTATAATAAAAAAAAATAAAAATGAATGAATCCTTTGAACAGATTATGATTTGTGAAAAGAATCTAGAATTATTTAAGGCAGATATTAATCACTAATTGTGAATATGAAGGAATTTTATTTTCATTAGAGAAATTCAAGAAATATAAGCATGTGTTTGTAGTTTGAAAATTGAGTTTTCGTTCAATTTGTGAATTCTAATAAGGCATATTGTGACGAGTTCTTAATGCCAACGAATTCGAATAAAACTTATATTGAAAAGAGAAGAAAACAAATTCAACTATTGGTGTCTTCCATCTTATGCATTCCGGCATCACACATTTGCGCACTTTTTGCATTTTTTTTTTTCAACTGACTGACAAGCTGACAAAAAAAGAGGAAATGCAACACAATAAAATGACAAAGAATGAAGTTGAAGGCGATTTAATTCAATAAAGCAATTCGAAGCATACCTAGATTTAATTATTGCGCGCGCAAATTGGTTGAAGAATTTTTTGGGTTTGAAATTTTCCACCGTACACGCATTATAAAATTGTACGTGAATTTACGGCATGGTGGGTTGCGTACACCACAGTATATCTGACGCGATTTACAGTTATTGGCCGACTTTTTAATTTTTTTCCCAAATTTTTGTTTATCCTTCCTATTTTCTAGGCAAAATTTTTTGAAATTGTAGCAATATTGGTGACATTGTCGCTTCGATATTAAAGTGTTGAAATTGGTGTCATTTAAAATTTTCCAATTGTGTTTATCAACAAATATCTGTTGCTTACAGCATATCCTACATTATTCTGTAGTTTAGTTATTTTAGCTGTAGCAATCGCGCGCCATTGAACACGCTGAGACATTTCGGCCATTAAGTTATTGTTTCGCGGCCACGCTGTTTCGGCACCAAAATGGAAGCTTGGGCTCAATTTTTCCGTCGCGCCGGTATCCCCAACGATCTTTCGGTGAAATATGCCAAGTCTTTTCAGCAGAACAGGTTGGTGTTGATTTTCAAACAAAATTTTACAATTTTCACAGAATCACAAAGGAAATGCTACCGGATCTTGACAAATCCACTCTTGTGGAACTCGGTGTGACCGCAATTGGAGATCAAGTACGAGAAATAAGCAGGCCTCAAGAAATTTTCGATTTTTTAGATTTCCATTTTGAAACGAATCAAAGCGGCTAGCAATGCAATCACAAAAGACGAACAAGAAGAGGAGACGCTTGAAGATATTCCAAAAAAGCCTAAAGCAAAAATAACAGCACCTGGAGGTAGTTAAATTTTAAAAATTTGAAATAATTTTTTTTTCAGAGTCAAGCTCATATGGCTCGGAGTTGCGACGCGGCAAGCCGCCACCGGATCGGCACGAGATCTATCATGTTAAAATGCCATTAGGGCTGACACCTAGAAGTCAGCAAATCCTTGAAAAAGCCAAACAAATGCGAAGTCAAGGTGGGCATTGGTTTGTATTTTTTATAACAAACTTGTTAAATCCGGTGCCTTGTCGTTTTTTTTTTTACATTTAAAACGATAATTTGATATTGTGATGGCCGAGGGATTAAGAAAATTTTCTCGGCCACGAAATTGACAAGCTTGGCTTAAACAAATTACGGTACTGTCTGAAAATGTGCATAATTTCTAGGAATGACAGTTCGTGGGACCACCGGAGTCCGACAAGGTGGAAGATCCGTTTCTCCAGTTGATAAAACTAGTTTGGCTGCTCGATTATCGAAAAAAGAAACTTCAGGTACACTAGTGATTTTTTATAACTCAAAATTTTCTTAATTTTTTTACCGTTCTATCCCCCCGTCCCCCTTTAATTAATAGTTCCTCTTTTTCTGCAGGATCTGTTGCCGAAGTCTCCTCATCGACTGATAAACTGTTGCGCCGCCTAAAAATTCAAGGAAAGCATGATGACAAAACGAACAAAATTCAAAAAATCTCAACAAGTGGTATTCAAAAGTAGGTTTTATGTTCAAAAGGCTATCATATTAAAATAATTTTGTTAGGAAAACAATTCGAAATAATTCATCGTTAGCAACTGTTAAAATCCATGTGAAACCTCAGGTTTATTGAAAAAAATGGTGCCCTTCAAAAAATACAGAAAATTACAGGTTAAAAGCTTCCATAAGAACAAGATTATTGTGAAAACTGCGAAAAAGTCGGTGCATGATCGAATTCAAATTCGAACTGATGTAAGTGTTTTGTTGCATTATTTCTCCATAAAAATATTTAAGTTTACGAAATTCTAAATATTTTCATTATTGTGTAAAAACCCATTATTGTGTAATAACTTATCTATATTGAAATCTTGAAATTATTAGACTCATTTTTCTCACCATAGCTTTTCTATGGATACATTTTGATTGATTAAGATTTGAGTGCTGCTTTTGGTTTCAACCAGACTTGTAGCCGGTTTTTTGAAAATAAAAACAATGGCTTAATGGAACGTATGCTTATATTCATTCCATAAATGTTATAATTTCAAATTTAATTTTTTAAATCTCAATTTCATATTCAAAAAGGGATATGCTGCAAAATAGAAAATCCAGGAATTTTTTTTATTCATAAAATTTATTGTATTCACATTCACGCTAACTGCGTGGCCGTGAAAAAAATCGGCCGCGGTTTCAATAAGCCTGGTGTCAACTGAATTAATTCCGACGCGATTAGAGTTGAAGTCATAGTAAACTCTTATTTTCAGGAAGACGACATATATGACGAGGAAATGATTGTGGATGATGACGATGGAGATGATGTCGTGCTTGATTATGAGGATGAGGTAGTATTTCTTAATCGATATCCTCAGAATCACTATGTTTAGGAGATGTATGATGATTATAACGATGATGAGACTCTTGAAGTCCCATCGTCTTCTGGAATCCGACAACGGATCACCTATGCGTCATCATCGAATCCAAGGCATCGAAGTGTGAATTCGAATCGAATCGCAACTGTTATTGATGAGTCGGATAGTGTTTTCAATCGCGTCTCATTCCATCGTCGATAATATTTTTTGCTGTTTTTTCCGTGTTTTTTATTAATTTATGTTGTATAAAACAAATTGTCGATGAGGTGAAGAACACCGAGTAGTTTTTAACTTATTCGTCTGAAGCACCCAAAAACTCAAGTGTTTTCCATTTTTGTTTGCGTTTCGACGTGTTTTGAGTTCCGGAAAAAAAACGGCGTCTTGAAATTGAGCCCAACTGATTCGAGATTATTCCTGAAATTCGCTTGTATCATTCGTGTGTCAACGGGGCCAATTCATTTCCGCTCCAATTTCCCATACGTCAAAAAAAAAAACGGATGGGGGAAGAAGAAGAAAAAATTGTAATCGCGCCATATTTTTTCGATATGAGTTCCCCGATTCATTTGTTTTCAAGAAGCGCGCTCAATGAAGCGCGCAGGTAAATGGACACGAAAATATGGCAAAAAAAATGCAACACGACTTCCTGAGAAGTTAGGAATCGAGCAATAGAAGCTGCTGCGGGCGGGCGGCGGAAAAAAGAAATTGTGGGCGGAGCTTCTCGTGTGCGCCTGAAGCCAACGATTAAAGGAGAAGCAAGAAGGTTCGGCCTATTTTTGGTACGGATGACTTACGATTCAGCCGCTCTCCTAGTTTTTTGTTATATATATATATTTTTTTTCTTCATAGTGGTTTCTTATTGTTGGCTCACCTCATTCGACTAGCAGGCAGGCGATGTCATTAAAATCAACGAGGTATTTTGGCTGCCCGTCAAGACCTCAAACACATCTCACGAGCAATTTCGATGGTCCCGTTCATTTGTGCGAAAAATAAATACCTCTGCGGTCTGCAAAAGGTCGTTGAGGTGTTTGCGGATCATTGAGCAATTTTTGCACAAATTTATATTCATGTTTTTTTGTTGTTGTTGTTGTTGCATTTCGTACTTCAAATCGCGTATTAGGATGACATCTGCCCTTTATTTTTTCTTTGGAAAAATTCGAAATGAGGTTTTGAAGCGAAAATTGAAAGCTACCGAAATTGACAGCATGAAACTTGTCGGCAGCACGATTTCGATATGTTCTCCATAATTCCGGATCCCACCAGAAAAAAAAACAACCCAAATGCGCGAAAAAAAAAACGCAGAGATTCCCACATGCATAAAAAAAATGTAACCAATTTCCTCATTTCAGCGCACTCGGACGAGCGCCCAAAAAAAAACACACGCGAAAATTTTGGTTTTTATTTTTTCTTTTGTTTCTCGGCCGATCCGGCACCGATCCGTTTCCAGAAACCGGCAATTATGTAGGCGGACCATAAATTGGAACCACACACACACACATTCTGCTGACCAAACGGCCGATACGTTGAAGTAAAGAAGACGAAAATTGCGAATGAAAGATGTAAAAATGAAGAACGCTGGCCACCACCGTTTTTCATATTCATTTTTTCATTCATTCATTCGTTCATTCAGTTTTTTTCCCTTTTCCCCCTTTTTTGTGACGCGAATGTTGCGTGTCAAACCCAAAAAAAATAAGTATTTATGTATGGTTTATACAATTTTTAAGCAAAAACGACCAATTCCCCATATCGACTTTTTTGAATTTCCATATTCATCGCTCTTTTTTGTTGGCATTGCGCGAATGCAACAAAATGGTCTTGAGGCGAACAGCACTGCGTAAATATCCCCCCAACTCTCAAATCGACACTATCTCATTTTTCTGTCCGCTTTTTGTTCTGAAACAAAAATATTACTTTAATTTAATTCCCTTCCGCTTTTTAGGCCGCCTAACATCGGGAAAAAAGCTGAAATCAAGCGAGCCAATATTTTTGGAATTATCGATGTGCGATGACTAGCAAATGGTAATATGCTCCATGGTCCGCCGATAAGAAGCCCCACGAAGCCATCATCACTCGTTGTGCTCATTCTTGTGCTTCTCAATTTTGCAACAATGGCCGGTAAGCTCATCGCGCGTTTTTCGCATCGTTCACAATTCAATTAGTCGCCCAACGCGCGAGCAACAAGTTGGTTGTTGGCTGTAACTCGCAAATGACTTTCTCATTTCCAATTAAAGAAAGTCCACCGAGAAAAAAAAATGAAGACGTCTCGACGCTGCTTAAATGAAAATGAGTTGTTGCGTTTTCGCGAAACGAGACGCTCATTGCCCCCAACCTCCTAAAACAGAGGCGGAAAAAAAGGTCAACTAATTGGTGTCGGATTTCGATGGAGAAGCCGTCGGCAAAGCCGCATTTTGCCCAATTATGCAACAAATCATTTATTGATTAGGCGGCGACGAATCGCCCCATCCTAACGTCGACGTGAGAACGAGTTGATGAGCAATCGAATGTGTCAGCCATCGACTTGAGGAATTGTATTAAAAATTGAAATTTTTGATTAGATGAGATGCGAATGAGCGAGCGGAAGAATTGAAGTTTTCCAGTATGATCTTGCAAATTTTTTTTGAAGGCAATCTGAAAAAAAGTAGCAGATGCCAAATTTTACTAAAGAGCAAATTTCAAAATTTTGGAGCCACTGAAAAGCCTGGCTCGTGTAAAATTACGGTGAGTTTGATGTACACGAATTCCCACGGTTTCAATAAAAATTCGAATTACCGCGCCAAACATTTATGGTCCATAAAGCTACAATGGTATTATATTGAAATTTTCTTGCTACGCGCACTGTTTTGAAATTTTTTGAAATTCATAACTTTCGATTTTTTTGTTGCAGTTCTCCAGAAGAAAAAAATAATATTTGGGATTTTAAGATTAAAATTAATTTTGTCGATTTGATCTAGTATTAAATGTATTAAAAACGTAGAATACGCTTTAAAAATATTTTCAATTCGCGAAAAGATCAAAATAATGGTCAAATTTGACTGTCCCCACTTATTTCAAAAAATTTGAGTGCTTCGAGCCAGTCGCAAGTCAAAAATGTCAGATTCGAAACGAATTTCAATCTGCCGACACCGTTGGAGTTTTTTATTGTTGAACGTTCTTCCCATATTTTTTTTATGTCTGGTCTTTTCCGTGGAAAAGTACAACACGTCGAAGAAGGAGACGAGAAAAAAAAATGTGCTCATTCTTTTATGGGCCTACACACTATTTATTGGGTTATAAAAAATGAGAATAAAAACGAAACATCATCATCATCTGCATCGTACTTTTTTTTTCCTTCTCGATTCGCCAAATTCGACATAAATTTTTCGGCATGCGAATTATATGAAGGGGGCAGGATTACTGTAGAATATTAAAGGCGCATCTAGGGAGATGTAGTGTCGAATTCCCAGCACGTTTCAGACGCATATAAATATTTTAAAGGCGCGCATTTTCACCGAAAAAACCGAATACAGTAGATTCAAATTTCCAGTGTGCCTCGAATATCTAATAAATAATTTCCAGCGTAAACGCGCGCATTTAGTGAATGATTCATGGCGTTCCGCCTGAATCGAGCTTCTCCATCTCCAATTATCGTTTCACAAAAAGTCGTGAGCAGCAGCAACATGAAACTCTAGTCGCGCGCAGATTTCGTCGTCCTCCTCGAGCTCTTCTTGTTGTTGTGGTCCCGCACTCCGTTTTGTCATTCGAGTCCCGATCAAATGTCAATAAAGAATGAATGTCTCCGGAACCCGCTCGTCAGCGCACACCTTGTGCGTCGGTGTCGCAAGAGTGAGAGAGAGAGAGAGAGAAGAAGAAGCTGAGGTGGCGAGATGCGAGAAGGGGGGACGAACATTTATACTTTCTCATCTGCGGACAATTTTCAGATTGCCTACAGTGCCTTGAAGGCTCGGATTGTGTTCTCGACGCCTCATGCGGTGAATGCTCGGGTGTCGCGTGCACTCGAATCCTCTCCAACAATATGGACGACAACAAGGATATCGCTCTCACCTGTCTACCGTATGACACTCGGTAGGTCTTGCGCTCCTTTTCTGTAAACATTGGTCGACGCGATGTGTGTCTTATCTCCGCTATCTGTCGCAATATCGCCATGTGGGGGTATACACAGATAAACGGCGGCATAGGCACAATGGAAGCATAGTGGAACGGCTGTGGATATCATAGGAATCTTATATGCAAGTTATATGGAAGCATAATGGAAGCATTTTTTTGCGGAACCGCGTGTTTCGTATATGGAATGAGCCGTATGCCTTCCATATGGGAAAATAAGAAAACAATTTGATTGCTGTATTCAAAATTTATTTCATATTAACACATTTATTTAATTTAAAATAAAAAAAACAACAATGAAATGAATTTCAATTAAGATATAATCAAACCATTAGTTACTGGCAACTGCCGAACTATTCGAATCATTGTCAGTACTGACATCGAGCGGGACGCTGTAATAAGTAGATTATAATGGGCCTATTAATTTGAAAAACTTGTAAACCATTGTTACGTAAACTAAATTTTTCGAGAAAATACAATCAGTTTTTTTACATCAATAATTTTCTTAAAAATAAAAATAATTTATTTTTATTGCATTTTTGGAAACCCTTTAGTGCACAAAATAAAAAGTGAATTGGCGGAAGAAAGAACAACTCCAAAATTTGAAGCAAAAAGGCATTTTGGTTAAAATTTCAAAGACATATGAATACTCACATCTGAGGGTTGCTGGTAGAATCAAGCAGCTTCCTTAATTGCGCCGCGAGCGCTTCCGGCGCTACACCAAATTTCCTTTGAAGTCGTTGGCGCATTCTATCGCTTAATCAAATAAATAAATTAATAGTCATAGTTCAAAATCTTACAGAAGATTATCCATGACTTCTCGAACCATGCGTAATGCTTTCGCTTTGAAGTCATTTGTCGGTTGTTGCCCAAAGCCATGGATAAGAGCATCTGTAATATAGATATTTGCAATAAAGTATAGGATCTTTATATAGTCGGCGTCTGGCGACTTCTGTACTAGAGCCCCACTTAAAAAGATAAATGCCACTGAATGATATTGGTACGAAGGCTGTACGGCAATCGGAAATTTCGGCGATTCGGCTAATGGCAAATTACCGATCGAAATTTTCTTCGGCAATTTGAAAAACCGGCAATTTCGGCAATCGGCAATTCCATTGCCGCACAGCCCTGATTGGAACCAAATAATCAACAAGCTTTAAACATAGGAAGTACTTTATAAAGACTTCATTGCGCATATTTTTCTAATTGAAACCATTTCTGGAGTCGAACAGGCCAATTTTTGATGATAACAACTTACAAATTGGGCGTACGAAGGTTTAGGAATTGGCGTTGATTTTGTTGTTTGTGAGGACTGTGGAGAAAAATTTTTTTGCTGAGTTGGCGAGTAAATTGGACTATCTGGATCTGAAGTGTCGAGCGAATTTGGTTCCATGTTAGGGACTTCTGGTTCTTTGTTATTGACTTCTAGAGCAGTTTCAGTTATATCTGACAACACTCTCGATCTTGTCTTCATCTGTAAAAAATTTCAAAACATTATGTTTTATTAAAAGAAAAAAAGCGAGCGATAATAAAAAATATGTTAAAGTAAATAAAAATAAAACGGATTCGATGAGAAATTAAACACAATTCGATTGAGAAAATATTTAAATTCGATTTTAAAAGTGTCGGAAACGATTTGAAAACATCGTATCGATTTTAAAATTTTCGAATGCTATCAATTTATTTTTGGTTTCGATTTTGATGATAAATATGAAAATTTTTCCTTTATTTTTTAAAAACATTTTTCCTTTAATTTTGAAAAAAATTCTTTAATTTTTGACAAAAAAAACACAAAAAATCTTGAAAATTCATTGAGAAAAAGCAAAAGGACAAAAATTTTGAAAACGAATTTCGAAAATGTGAGGCGTGGCCGCATTGTGCAAAGCGGCGCACGGTTTTGCAATGCTGCGGCACGCCTCTTCTACGCGCGTCTGCTACCAGTTTGGAGCAAATTGTGAGTAGTTTGCGATGCCAATTTCGGAAAAACCGGCAAAAATATATTAATACGACTAAATTGTAGTTGGCAATCTTTAAACAAAGTGAGGAACAGTTGACTGAATTAACATAAATCTGAGTAACATAAGTCATTAAATGGTAGAAGCTAAATTTCGTCCGTTGTGTATCATGTAATTTTCAAATTTTCATTGTTTATATGATAGCATAAGTTTTTTGTATTGATTTTTCTAGAAATTGTCTTGGTCTGCCGTCCAGACGCCAATTGTATAATGTTTATTGACATATGATTATTTTATCCATATTCCATCCATATTTGTTCCACGGCTCGCAAACACCGGAAGCATATTCATCCCGTTTTCATTCCATCCATATTCGTCCCATAATTCTTCCACAGCCACTAAGAATTACATTATGCTTCCTATATGGAAGCATTATGCTTCCGTTCCACAGATTTCCCACAATGCTTCCATTATGCTTGCGTCGCGCTTAATCAGTGTAGCTCAGTGGCAGAGCATTCGACTGCAGATCGAGAGGTCCCCGGTTCAACTCCGGGTGCCCCCTAGTCCATTTTTTGGGTTCTGATTATTTTCGGATTTTCAGCGGCTATCGAACGCCGCAACTCGAGGAGGACGGCTGCCGGCAGGTTGGCGATCGCCAAATATGCATCTGTTATAGTCATGATTACTGCAATTCGACATACCACCGACAACTCATGGGTCTTTCTTGTGTTCTTCTCCTTATTAATTTACTCAATGTTTTATAAAACCAAAAATGAATAAAAAGTCATAAATGTGAAAGTAAAGCGTATAATTGGAGAAACGATGATGATGAGCTAGCGTGAGAAAGTATTTTAGGGGAGGCGATTCAGATTTGGAAGTTATGAATTTAGGCGGCGCGTCTGTAGAATCTCGTCAAATCGTGCCAGAAGCACGCCTTCATGGATTCGAAGCGATCGAAGCATGGAACGAACGACATATCCAATTGTTGTGGATGTCCTGAAATGAATCCAATTCATCTAGTTGGATGATTTGCAAGCATTTGATTACCGAGTCGCTGATCGCAGAATGACAAGCACTTTTCTCCAGCGAGTGTCGTCGTCACACCATTTCGAGCGCAGCACGCGCGGTGGTCTCTGAAATCATCAAGAATCTCATCTGCGGACATTCGATGACGAGGCAAATCACCTTCCTTGCGCCGCACAGAATTGCATTTCGCTCATCGCCGCCAGCGGGCATGCGTCCTGTTTGAAGTACATGGCGGTGAGCTGAATTGGCATTTGTCGAAAATTTGAAAAATTGTTCAAAATTTTGAATTACCGCCTGTTTGTTGAATGCTCCAAATGTGCACTTCTGAAGGCACGCGTCGGGTAGTTTGCGATCAATGCAGCACTCATAGAACGCACGATCGGGGTCCTACAACGAAATGCGCGTGCAAGAAATAAACATGATAGCCTACCACGGGTCCGCGGGAATGCCGAATTTTGGCGACAGTTGGCGAGACGAGCTCGAGCTCCTCGCTAGCCGAAAGTCGCTCCTTTCTACGAACGCGATCCATGGCGAGACTCAAATAATAATGTTGAAGGCCGAAACTCGATGAGTCCAAAACTCACCGATGCTTGAGAACCTCGCGATCGGTCTCTTCGGAGCTGGCGACGGTCACACGGGATCGTCCGCGCTTCGGCGTGTAGGTCTTCGAGCCGCGAGCGCGAAGTCTGAAGCATTGTCAAATGACCGGAAATGTTGTCGGCAGATGATATTACCTATAGCATCCATATGATCCGCAGCCATAGCTTCGCTGACATCTGCAAGTTGGCGGCGGCTGGTAAGCCTGACACGTCGGCTGGTATCCGCACAGGCCATTCACGGCGCACTGAAATTTTGCAGCGTTTTTCTTTTTGTTTGGGGGCGTCCGGTTCATAAATATCCTTCAATTCCGGCTATAATTGGGCAAAATCGAAAGTTTGACATCAGTCGATCATAAGAAACAAAAAGCGAACAAAAGAAGCAGACCTCGTGCGTGTTTGGCGGCAGAATCGCAAGAATCGCGACGCATAGTAAAACACCGGAGACCAATGCCATTTTTGGGAAGTTGCCGTCTCTCGCTCTCGCACTTTTCCGATTTGTTTCTTCTCTCCTGCAAATCAACCACTACAGATGTTTTCATAATGGACCAATTAGTCAATTAGTGAACGCCAATTGTTGTGTGTGTGGGGGGGGGGGGAATTTTTTTCGCGTTTTGCGATTGATTGGGTTGCGGTGGTGGGTGGCAGAACGAAATTTCTGACAAATATGAATCGGCTAGATGCCGATGGTGGGCGGCGACGAATCGAAATCGACGAACTGGTTCAGGCAGTAAAGGTCAGGCGAAATGGTTTCGTCACTGAAAAACTATTTTTCGTTTTTTTTTCTTCTTCTTCTAGCGCACAACACACAAATGATAAGGGGGTAAATTCCGGAAAGTGACGAAAGTGGGAATTTTGTACCCAAAAAATCATAAAATTTCAATTCGCTTTCGAAAAGTGCATGCGCCTTTAATTACAGTATCCGAACATTGGTATTTTTGAAAATTTGACAATCCCTGGCTTTTTGGTTGAAATATTCAATATTTAAATAAAAAAAATTGAAATGAATGAAACAATTGATTAAAGGCGCATAGTGAAATTAACAATGGGTAATTTTCGATGCCACCTGTTTGAAATTCTTGCCATCACCAACAATACCGTCATCAATTCGTTGAATATCCGCCAAGGTCGAGACCGATACTGCGCACTACAAAACAATGTCACCTTGAGCAGAATGATCGTCCACCTTTATCAAATTATTGAGTAACCGATCGCCTTCGATTGTTTAAATTTTCCTGTTTTTGTCACACGCTTCGTTGGCTGACATTCTGGAAACGAATGACGACGTCGTCTTTTCGGGTTTTGCCATGTGTTGTTGCCTTATTTTTTTGCACTGTGGGAAGTCACGAATAAAATTGTTATTTTGCCGAACGAAACATCTTTTATTATACATATATTCAACAATTATATACATTGGAGGGGGCAAAAAAAAAACGATAAGTGCCTGGTTGATTTAGGTTCATATTATGTGAAAACGAACCAAAATTTGTGAGACATCGGGGGTCAATCGAAACTGGGTCTTAATTTGCTATTTCTAAAATTTGTTCTAGCACAGTCCCTTAAAAAATGTTCATAAAATTTAATATGTCAAGAAAAAACAGACCATTTCGAAAGGCGCACCCCGTAAATCTACCCGCGCCGAACGCCGGTGATGAATTTCGAAAATGAAATCAGAGACAAGGAATACAGAAAATATTACAACGAATTTTCAATTTTTTGAGGTATGCATAAGGAATGCCGAAAATTTCGATGGGAGATTATCAACAGAGCATGGGTGAGAGTCGCCCTCCACCACTAGGACCATTTAGATCAGCCCGACATCTTCATTGAGCCTCCTGGTTTGCCTTTCTCTGAAGAGCTTTCCTATTGTGGATGATACTAGGAATTCTTTAAATTCTCAATTCTTAGGCGATATGTATGTGTCACTCTGCACACTACATATTTCGTGGATTGGAATATTGTATTGTCAGATTCAAACGACTGGATAAAATTTTAAAAAATTATTGGCTATATGCCAATGCGTCTCGAGGCAGCGAGAAGTACGCGAGATTACGTACATTGCATTATATCGTCCGCGCATTTAATATTCAGTCAATGATAAATTTAAATCTACCTCGATTTCGAGTATTTGAAGTCTCCGCCTCCCTTCGGTCGTTTGACTCGAACATTCTGAGTTGTATATAAGTCACTCTAATAAATTGTTCCTCCCGTAATAGTTCATCATCGTTGGACCACGTAAACCTCGCCACTCTCAAAACCACACGGAACAAGGATGCTACTCATCTACTGAACCTGATGGGCTTAACAATTAGCCCCCAGATGAGATGGTCAACTTTACCGATGGTGGACCACACCAATTCCCAAGGTCTGTAGGATGTGAGAAGTATTTAAGCAATACATATTGGAAACAAACGGCTCATCTTTGATTTTGTGAAATCAGCGTTGATTGAAGAATTTGTCCATTTAATGGTGAGATCAACCCATCCTTCATACAAATTTTTATTGTCGATAGAGAATTTTCAAAAAGAAAAAAAATAGCAAACTGTCACCACAGAATCGGTCTCTCCGACACTCAGCTCTAAAAATTGTGTGTGCCTTTCATTTCCGTATCTTCTTTGAAAAAAACCCTCAAATTATATCAAAAACCAATAAAAATTTTAATTTGCAATTTTTTTTCGTTTTTTTTTTTTACATTCAAATATCAAGAAATTCCATGAAAATTGCGAACAATCAAAATTCAAGCGCGAATTTAGAAAAACTAATAATTCGATTAAAGGCGCATAATGCGAAAAATGAGTGTTGAGTCTTGTGGCGACTGATTCTGCTAGCCGCATCAATTTTTTGAGCCAATTTTGAGAAACTCTTTATTCTCCACGTCCAATATTAAGCGTTCCTATTATAATTCGGCGTTGAAGCAAAATTTAAATATTGATTCGGTTCGCATTTTTCCAAAAAGCTACAGGGTGCGGCAAAATTACGGGTGCATCGATAAAACGAAATAACTTTTTTAAAAATCAACAAAACTCTTTCAAATTAATACCAAAATTTATTCAACACATAACAATCACAAATTAATTATTGTTGTTCGATTCTTCCGTCTCGATTCTTGATAACTTCCTTCAGACGCTTCGGATAGGCGTTGACGGTGGCACGCAGGTATTTGGCGTCTAATTTGTCCCATTCCTTCAGAAGGGCAGCTTTCAATGAGTTCATATTTGAGTGTGGGTAAGCTGACTCCTTCTCTTGCAAGACTCCCCAGACAGAATAGCCCATGGGGTTCAGGTCGGGCGACGAAGCGGGCCAATCCGTTGACCCGATGAATTGTGGAAAATGGCTGCCGCACCAGTCTTGAATGATTTTGGCTCGATGTGCAGGCGCTCCGTACTGTTGAAAAGTCCAAGATCGATTTCCGAAGTGAGATTGGGAACAGGGAAGGACATTCTTCTTCAGAATCTCATTAAGATAGTCATTTTGATCAATCTTCACTCCGGGATCAACGAAATCTTAGGGGTCTTGCCGTCAGCACAGATCCCACCGAATACCATGATCTGCTGAGGATGGAAAACACGATGAATGGTTCTGCCTTTGTTCATAGCTTCCTCAGACCTTCTGGCGATCACTCTGTGGTTTTGGAGATTGAATGCAGCTTCTACCGTAAACAGCTTCTCATCCATGACGAAAGTCGTTAGGTGCTTTCCTTGCCGCGTGCCAGCTAGGAGCGATTTGCGCTTTTTCATTCGACCTGCTTTATTTTTTTAAGTTAGAATGGCGGCCTTTCTGACACGATAAGGTATCAGGTTCAGCTCATCTTTGACTATTCTTCCCACCATCTCGTACTCATATAGACTTCTGACACCATCTTTCTGATGCTACGATCTGGATTTCGACGAACTCGTTCCCTGATGACCTTGACTCGCTCCGGTGTTATTAAAAAAATGTTTTCTTCCTCTTCTAGGACAGCTAGAGAGTTCTCCTATCACATCAAAGCGTTTCCAAGTTGTTTGTACGGCGTTGTGGTGAACTTCAAGGAATTTAAAAATCATCTTGAACGATGTTCCCCTTTTTTTCAAGTCGATGATGGCCGCACGATGAATAGAATCAGCTGTCATTTTTGTAATACGAAACGGATTTTCATGAAACTTTCAGAAAATGATTAAAACGTCATAGAAAATAAAATAAAAACATAAAACTGCACAAAAAATGCGACAGTGCTCTATGAGCTTGCGCCAAAGATATGCACCCGTAATTTTGCCGCACCCTGTAGAACCAGACGGCTGAAGGTGTCGCGTCTCGTCTACTCTGCCGACAAGAGGTCGCAAGCAAGTAGAGTAATTCTCATGTGATTCTTCCAGCGAGACCCCATTGATTTTTTGCTCGCACACTTCTGCTTTTTGTCGAGGGCGCGTTGTTTCGAAATTTTCGAACAATTTTCAACTTTATTTAGACTCTACAAACTACAGTAGGCATTAAAGGCGCATATAAATTTTCTATATCATTTGAAGCCTCCAACATTATCAATCTCATTGAAATTGAGCCATTATCCACTTTTTTTGCAGAAAAATTATGTATAAAAAGCGAAATGGAAAAAAAATCGACTGGAAAAAAAGTCAAGAAGGTGAGCAATTTTGGAATTTCAAATTCATAAATGAAACAATTTCAGCCCGATATTCCCGTATATCAAAAAAATTCGTCGGAATATCGTCAATTGCTTTTAAGCTATATTTTGGAATCTCTGAAGTTATGCCAACTACGCAATGAAATGATGAAGAAAATGTGAAAGAATGGACCTCTGAATAAATTCATTCGTGATATTGCTTTGTATTTTTTTCCAATGATCAAATGTGGATCATAGAGATCAGTAAAGTTGTCGATAAAATTTTCAAACATTCAAAATAATGTAAGAAATTTCAAGAAAAGTCTTGAACCTATTTTGGAGAGAGTTGATCGACAATTCGGAATTATAGATTAAAAGTTGAAGCACGAAAAATTGACTAGACGATTTTTTCCGGTATGAGCGGATGAAAAGCCTGTTGAGATGGACATATTACCTTATGTCTGAATTTATCGTGTCTGTTGGAAGCGAGCCACGGATTCACATCGGAAATTCCAGCATTCTCGCATCAACAGATTGTCGCATGATCATCATATTTTCACTCAAAATCAATCAGCGAATCGGCACCTCAAATTGCAGCTTGACCAACCGGATAACGTACTTTTCCTGAATTCCCTTCGAATAGTATCATTTGTTGTTGATTTTCGGGCCAATTAGGGAAAGTCGTGCGGATTGCTTTTCACCAAAATGTCTGCTCGACATTTCCCCCCAACCTAAGGGCTTATTCGCATTTCAAGAATTTGTTGCTAGAATTCGAATATGTTGTGAGTTCAAACAAGAGCTTCTCGAAATTGTCCTCACAAAAGGAAATTATTCAATTAAAACTGATCGAAATAAAAAAAAACAGAAACGCATAAATTTAAAAATTTTTAAATCTATCAATTTCCCACCATCGATCAGTCGTTTGTCTAATAATATACATATAGCAAATAAATTTACACAATGTCCTGCTCATTTCGAACTTTCAAACGATTTTTGGTGATTTTGAAAGAGCCTCGAGTAGTATTGCGTATTTCATTCAACCCTAAAATTACACCTTCGAAAATACTAAATCGAGCCACATGTGCCAATTTCTTTCAGTCATTTCAAATCGATAATGAGAGCAGAAGCTGGTGGAGCTAGAAAGAACCGAGCAGAAATTCTTAACAATACGTATACACCAAATATGTGCATGTTTACTTTTTGTTGTTTCTCCCTCTGATTCGCATCGGCGCGCAAAACCGATCTTGTCGATTTTATGATGGGACTGTCTGTCGATGGCTGTGTGTTAAGGTGGGCGGTATCAGCCTCCGAATTCCGGCGGTCGGCAGGGTCCCGCCACCGCCGCGCACTACTGTTTACCGTAACCCTCCGAGTGAGCCCCTCTAATCACTCAATTTTGTCGTTTCGCGCTCATTCATCCACCAAAAAAGGTCCGTCTAGCAATATTCATCGAAATTCGTTTCCAGCCCCAAAAATTTGCGACAAACATATAATTTAAATTTTGAGATTTTCAATCATCAATTTGAATAGACAAAAAATTGGTTTCGAATCACTGAAGTAAAAAAAACACAACGTCGAGGGTGGAGCAGCGATTTGGCGTGATGAGAGTCGGGCGATTCACATGCTCGCCGTTTTGTGGTGGCCTTCAATTAAACCTTTAGGATTGTTGCCCTCAAACTCCATAAAAGGCAATCCGTTTAGCTTAAACATGACTTTTGCGAAAAATTCAAAGTCGCTTTATTAAAAGAAAAAAATTTTAGTATTCTATTTTCCTCGTCGCATCCCCAGATTCTTTGGTATCCATGACATGCCCAACTTCAATATTGAGCATTCATTTCAATTTCATCTAGTGCTACCGTACCCACAAATGATGGCATGTGTCAATTTACTCTTACTGTCAGGTAGTGGTCATCTCATGCCTTCCCTATTTGCACAATCATCTTCAACGATTTCGCTGTCGATTTTGACTAAACATGTCCAGGTTTTTGGCGAGTTCTAATCCCATTCTCAAACATATCACTCATATCATGCTTGTCAAACACCGCTGGCGACAGTGAAGGGGGGGGGCTTTTAGTTTTTTTTTTGTCAATTCTTCTGTTCTCATATTTTTTGCTTCCATGTAGCATCAACATGTACTTCGAATCGAAATCAATAAATAAATAGAACCGTTTTATGTTTGGCACACACATTGAATTCCTTGAAACCAACTGTAAATCATTGATGACGTCGACGGTTTGTTTGCCGTGCGTTTCTGGCCACCCCCCCCCTCTCCCGTTTTTCAGTACACACAAACCTCATCGGTTTCAGAGTTTCAACGAATGTTCGAGCCCGAGAATCCGTCGTGCAGCTTCTTTGAGCACTCATCCGCCTATCCGCAATATGTGCAATTCAGCGCCGAGCAATTCAACAACACCCAATACATCAATGTGCACAATTATCATTTTCATGGTCCGATGCCGATGATGGAGCAGCATCAACAGCATTCGTCGCAGCAGGTAAAAAATATGATCTCCGACATTTTTTTGAGGTTTTTTTCTAATCTTTCCATCTTTTCAATTTTAGTCCCCCCTGCCCTCCCAAAAAAAGAGAGCTCGATAATCATAAATTATGGGTTGCAGCCCAGACTATAATTATGAATCACAAACTCAACTAAATTGCATTTCATTTTCTTTTTTTTTCCAGCCGATGTTCTTCAATCCGGGCCCAACGCCACCGGCCGAGGGGTACAACCAATTCGAGGAGAAGCCGATATGGCTGAAAGACGAACACATCACCTTCACACCGACTCGCGAATTCTACGATGGCGATGTCGGCTATGAGGACATCGTCAAAGGGTTCAGCGGTCCCACCTCACCGTCGGCTTCCGTCTCGTCAAACTCGTTCTCGTCGGATTTGTCGATTCAACCCGAATGCGAAGACTCGCGTCTGCCATTGAAGGAGCGCGGAAGAGTGAGAAGAGGCAAAAAATTGGCTATTCACAAATTTGTTCTCTCTCAAGGTCTATCGTCCACGATCAGCGATCCGACCCAAGAAGACGCCGGCGAAGCGGCGCGATAAAGAGGTTCTCGATAAACTTCGAGTGCATCATTGCACAGCGCCGGGCTGCGACAAAGTCTACACGAAAAGCTCACATTTAAAGGCGCATGAGAGAATTCATAAAGGTATTCGATGGGTCTCATTCTATTTTTAAGAATGATTTATATGGCGGGCTCCCACGGGATATTGCTTGTTGATGGTAGCGCGTCAAATCGTAAAAAAAAAACCATACCACATTTTTATGACCCCCTGAAACTACCGTAATCCAGCCCCCCACGAGAATGTTGGTGCGCTAGTTTGTGTGTGCACAATGCTCCCGCAAAAGGAGCAGGCCAATGTGTTTCTCAAGTATGTACAAGCTGCCAAAAACCGTCCTCTTGACTGATTGTGTTCGTCTTCGCCCTACCGTAATCCGTTGTCTTTGTCGGCGAAACACGATACGGTTGTCGGCAAACATGGGTGGCGAACGACCGGAAATCACCGCGACTCAATCCAATTACCATCATCCATCATTGATACTTTCTTGCTTCGCGACCTTCCCCCCCCCCGCGCACTGTTTATTTTATATGGTGGTCCCGCGGCGGAGACGATTTCGACACCCTTTTACGGAGGCGGTTCCCATCGCTCATTATCAGTTTTTATGAGGCCGACGAACGCTTTGGCGGCACATAATTACATCGATGAGAAGGGGATATCATTGACGTTGGCGTTGTAGGCGAGAAGCCGTATCATTGCGAATGGCCGAATTGTAGTTGGCGATTCGCCAGGTCCGACGAGCTCACAAGGCATTATAGAAAGCATACCGGTGCGAAACCATTCAAGTAATCGAAATTCGTCAATCCAACCGGCAATCACACGATTTTAGGTGTCAGGATTGCGGCCGACAATTCTCGCGAAGCGATCATCTCCAACTCCATATGAAGCGGCACGAGAACGCCAATTATGAGCAGAACATTCCCGATTTATATTTTCGTGATTTGGTTTCACAATGATTCGATTCGACATTATAGATTTAATAGACTATCATATTTATTTTTCCAATAAATTTTTATTTAGAACTCAGATATTTTCATATATTTCAAAAAAAATGAGAAGACACAAACTAATAACTGAAAAATGTTTTGTGCAATTTTAGCTGCGGACAATTGGCTTTAAAATGTTGTATTGTCAGAGTCAAACGACTTGACGAAATTAAAAAATTATTGGCTATATGCCAATGCGTCTCGAGGCAGCGAGAAGTACGCGAGACTACGTACATTGCATTATAGTGTACGCGCATTTAATATTCAGTCAACGATAAATTTAAATCTACCTCGATTTCGAGTATTTGAAGTCTCCGCCTCCCTTCAGTCGTTTGACGCCGACAATAAAACCACAAAATCAAACAAAATTATTAATAGTCATTTGTATAAAAACTACACGTTTATGGAAACCTCGAAAATTGCCCGCAGACGAATGTGCTTAACACACAATTTTTTCTTTAAAAAAAATATGAATAGTATTTTATGAGGGATGGTGGAAGCAACAAGAATTGGGAATTCATAATGATAGGCAATTTACGTGAAAATGCTAAAAAGTCAAAGCTTCTGGGAAGAAAATGAGTAATTCTTAAATTTCAGAATTTATTTCGAGCAAGGTTTTAAACAACTCCTTTTTGTCTTAAAACTTCACAATGATTCGATAGCTTTGAGGGATGTTAGGACCAAAAACCAGATTTTCATTTGTTTGGCCATCAATGGATGAATTTTCACACAATTGTCAGCATTTCGCAAAGGACAAACTACAGTTGATTTTGATATAAACACGGTGACATCACGGGAGTTCGCAAAAGCTGGGGCTGTTAAATCTGTTCATCACTACCAGTACGACACTCCAATTACCCATCGCCCTCAATTTAGTGACATTGGTTTTGACTAATTTCATTTTTCCCATAGTGTTTTTTCCGTAAGACGCCGTGATTTTTCTCAAAAGTTTTTCCAAAACTTTTGATCTCCACATAAGCTAGTTAAAATTGATCCAAAATCAGTTTTCACTATCATAATGTTCATATATGTATTATAGAGGTTCGTAAAAAAATCCGCCCCCCCCCCCTTCCAAAAAAAAAACTATTATCAATACAATGTTAATTAATTTGTTATTCTTAGGTGCTAAATAAAGTGTACTGTCAATTTGAACGAGTTTTGTTGTTTTTTTTTTTGGAATAGTTATTTCGTTTTTTCGATGCATACGTAATTTTGCCACAGCTTGTAATAGCGTGAACCTCGCAAATTTTCCCGAATAAACATTTGATAATTTCCGACCTACCTGGACTTGCTAGAATTATATTTGACATCAAGTATTACCGTAAAACTAAAAACAAAATCTATACCTAATTTTTTTGTTGTTGGCATTTCTCGCCATTTTCTAGTAAATGTACAAATTCTGAATTGCACGAGAAGCATATTTGAATATCAAAATTGGCATTCCTTTATTTCCCATGACTCGCTGACATTCCCGAAACAAAAACCGAAGTCCCTCGAAATTCGAATTCTAGCTCACATACATTTTTGATTAGAGAATAAATTTAACATTTTGTTCATTTTTTTTAAATTGTATTCTTACAATATAACAACACGTTCATCTCAATCAAATTTGTTATCTAAAGCCGAGCAAAGTACGCGAGCTGGACCATCTTGTTATCTTTTTTCGAGTCGGACACGTGACAGTTTAATGAACTCAAAGAAGAGATCAATCTGAGTACGACTCCTCCTTCGATTCGTCTGCAAGCAATCTATTTATCGGAACAGATTGATAACGAATGAAACGTGATGTTTATCAAGAATCAATGTTCATTCAAAAAAAAAAAGAAGGCGAAAATTGAAATTGGCTGGATAGATAGTGCTTGATCGTCTTGATACTCACATGGGATACTAGTGAGCCCATTGTCAAGCATCTGGTGTGCTGTGGACGAAGTCTCGTCAGAGTTGTCGATTCAGACGGGGGGCATAGTGCATTGGGTCCTGCAGCATTCTTAGCCTTCTTCAACCACTATTTGATTTGGAGAGATCGTACCTGATCGCTTTGATCAATTGCGAAAATCTTGTGTCTTTCTAGAAAAGTTTTGATTTTTGTTTTCCATATTTGTATATGTACACACAGACAGTATCAATAATGTTTACGGTTTTGTTTACTTAACGTCTCGCCACAAAAAATAGCAGCAGAGTGCAAGAACGCGAGAAGGATTCGTCGTACCACAGAACACTCATCGCCAGGTGTTGAGAATCGCCGGCACATGGCCGCTGGCATCAAAGAACGATCTGCTTCAAAGATTGGTCTCAGCCTCCAATCTCCTCTGTTTGTTCGTTTCGAGACGCAAAGAACATTCAGACCGTTGTCAGCATGTGACGATAAGAGGTCCGTTTAAATATCGGCAATTGCGATCACATCGCTCAGTCTCACAAATGCTTCCAGCAACTCTTCGACGATCAATTATTCACAAGTGTTTTCGGCGAGCCGTCGCCAGCTATATCCATTGTCCGACGCCGGACAAATTCGAATATGAAGTGAATATAGAAATGATATTAAAAAATATATATAGTTGACAATTTTTTTTTCCAGACGCTCGGACAAACATTGAGAGAATCTGTTGAAAAATCGCCATCCAAAGATTTTTGTGTGTTCGCCGACGCTCAAATCAGAAAATCTTATGAGCAATTCTACAAGGATGTAAGAACTATCGGTAACACGACAATTCGATTTGTGCGGGTTTAGGTGCGCCAAATGGCGGCAAGCCTGTTCACGTTGGGCCTCAAGAAGGGTGATCGTGTCGGCGTCTGGGGACCCAATCACTATGAATGGCTCGTTCTCCAGTATGCGATTGCCAGCGCCGGAATGATTCAGGTATTCCAATTATTGAAGGAACATTACCTGTGGAATTGAGTTTAGGTTAATGTCAATCCGAATTACCTCGCCGATGAGCTTGGATTTGTCATGAGAAAAACTGGAATGAAGGCGATTTTCGGACCAAAAACGAATCGAACCATGGATTATTGGCACATTCTTCTTGAGGTAGCAGCTTGGAATTGTCGAAACGGACCGACATTGTTGAAGAATTCCAGGTGGTCCCCGAAATGCGACGCAATCAGCCAGGCAATGGACACATTCGATCGCATATTCTGCCGGAACTCGAGAATGTCATCATGTTCGGCGATGACGCGAAAAATCTTGCGTAATAATTTGTGATTCTCAAACCAAAAAATGAGAATTCGAAAAATTTTCAGCGGTGTTTGGGAGTTTGAGAAAATCTTCAGCGCCGCCGGCTCGAATGAGATCACCCAACTGAATGAGGCCGAGAGAAAAATCGCGCCCGACGACGCTGTAAATATTCAATTCACCAGTGTAATTCGTTGATTTAATCGACAATCATCAAATGCCTAATTTTAGGGGACCACTGGACACCCAAAAGGTGCCACACTTTCACATTTTGTTATCAATAATAATGCGCGACTAGTCGGTATTGAAATGGGTCTTAATAAAGGGGTAATCATGGTCGCAATGAAAATAGCAAGGACCATCTCAATATTTTACAGGATCAACGGGTCTGCATTCCATTGCCATTGTATCATATTATGGGATGTGCAACGGGAGTTGCCAATGTTGTAAATCATGCACAAACCGTCGTCTTTCCATCGAGAACCTATAATGTTGAGCGCATTTTTCAGTCGGTCGAAGCTGAAAAGTAAGACATCGAAATTAAACTATCGTCAGGGAGGCTTCAATTTCGTGAAATCAGTGAAACGTCACTAAATATTTAATGCGCGTACACTAAAATGCAAAGTACGTAAACACGCGCATTTGACATTGCTTTAAAACACTTTGGCACATACATAGGCAACATTTTTAAAATTTTCAAAAAATCGCCACCAAATTGAATAGAGAGAGTGTGTGAATTTGAGAGACGTCAAACAATATAAATTAATTGTTTTAGGTGCACTTCGCTCTTCGGAACTCCCACCGTCTTCATCGATTTGCTGAAATCGCCACTTTTGCAAAAACACGATGTTTCATCTTTACGAGGAGGTTTGCACCAATTTGCCTAAAATCCAAAAAAATGATAATGATTCTGATAGGATTCATTGCCGGTGCACCTTGTCCGTACACCCTTTGCCAAAAAATGATCGAGGATTTAAATATGAAAGACCTTGTGATCGGATATGGATCAACCGAAATGTAATTCCTTTATGGCAATTCGTATGTTTATATTTCAAATTTCAGCCAATTCCTCACCCTTACTCCATTGCGCATTGATCCACTTGAGAGAATCAAGAACGTCGGGCTTCCAATGCCGCACACGGAGGTTCGATATTTGACTTTTTTAATTCGTTCTCATTTTTATTTTCAGCTCTGCGTTCTCGGTCGCGACAAAAACCCGGTGAAGCGTGGCGAGAAGGGAGCTCTGTATGCTCGCGCCTACTCGACAATGCTCTCATATTGGAATGACGAGCACAAGACAGCGGTTGCCGTCGCCGAAAATCGCTGGTACAAGACTGGGTAATATATTTTTGTTTCTAATAAGGTAAAAAAGAAAATACAGAAAAATTTCGTTCGTTTTTTTTTGGCATTTTGCCAATTTTTCGTAATCACGCGCCTTCGCATAATATTTATAAAAAATTAGAAAATATTTCCGGACTCACATGTTCTATTTTTTCTACCATATTTGAAATTAAATTTAGAGACATCTTCTCCAATTTGAAATTAACAATGAAAAATGCATTTTCTAGTGATATCGCAATCATGAACGAGGACGGATCAATCAGCATCGCCGGCCGAAATCGCGATATGATTGTGAAGGGCGGCGAAAATGTGTATCCGGCTGAAATCGAGCAATTCATGTTCAAATTGCCATACATTGCCGACGTGCAAGTAGGAATTCAAATCGAGAACCCAATAATTTAATTCTGCGTTTTTTTTTCTGCAGGTCGTTGGCGTTCCCGACGATCGCTACGGTGAGCAAATCTGCGGTTGGGTACGCCTTCGCGACGAATTCAAAAACAACGGAATCACTCCAGAATCGATTATCGACGATTGCAAGAAGCTTGTAAGCATTCCATACCCCCTATATTCCATTGCCCGTTCTTTTTCAGATGGCCCTCTACAAGGTCCCACGCTACATTCTCATCAAGGAGGAGGACGATTTCCCAATGACCGTCACCGGCAAGGTGAAGAAGAACGAAATCCAAAAGATCAGCAAGGAACTTCTCGGGCTTACCAACGTCAAATCTCACTTCAACGAGGTCTAAATTGCTTTAATGTATATAAGAAAAAGAATAAATGTATGTATTTTGGAAGGGCAAAACAAGACAACTACAACAACAACAAATAAACAAACAAACAAACATAGGTTAACAATAAAAAGTCCTTATTTGGGTTTCCGACCAGATTGACGAAGTAAATAGTTTCGCAGCGATTTCTGCTGGTCTCGGAACGAACGCTGACGATTATCACCACGCTTTTTATTGCGCACCATAGCGAACACTTTCTTCTTCGAATTCGCTTCATTCGTTTTTCCAACATGAGGACCCTAAAACGATAATAACACATAATCGATTTTCACGATTTAGCGCTCACATTCTTCTTGGGTCTTCCAAACTTATAGTCCTCATCAGCTCTTCCAGCCGCAATGTCGGCCATTCTCTCCTCTTTCGTTTGTCGCTTCTTCTTATGGAATTGCTCAATATCACTCAACTTCGCCAATCCATCCGAGCTCTTCTTTCTACAAAATTCGTTCTTTGGATCGCATATCAAATTGTAATAAACACGCGTTTCGATACGTACTCGCACTTTGATACGACGGAATCAAAAGAAAACACGTTGGGCAGTGTAAAAAAATGGGGGGAGAGAATCAAAGTTCATTAATTTCGATGTAAACATTGAGCGTTTAGATAATTTTATGTGATCAAAGGGACCCCGGGGTTTTAAAATATTATAATTCCAAAAAAACCTCCAGACCATCGTACGATTTTTTCCAGCGGTAATTTAAATTTCAATTTAAACAGTGGGCTACCGTATTACGGATAAGCTGTACATCAAACTCAAAACGAGCGAGCTCGTTTCATATGAATTTGAACTGCTTAAAAATTGACCAGAGATGGATGTACTTATAGAATTGCGATAATCCAACACAAATAAAACTCACGCTTCGAGCTTCTCGCTCATTTCTTCAATTATCCTCTCATCGGCATTCGTTCTCGCCTTGCCCATCTGCTTTTTCAAGCGCTTCTCTCCAATCAATTGCTTCTTCAATTGATAGGCACGAATCGATTTAAACTCTTCCTGAGTCAGAATTCGATCAGTACAAATGATTTCAGCCTTCTTTTTCGGATCAATTTCTTCCTCATCATCTTTTTTCGCGGAACTCGACGATGTATTCTGCTGCTCTTCAGTTTGTTCTTCCTCCTCGTCCTCGTCTTCTAGCTCTTCATCCGAGACATCTTCTCCTTCGTCTTCCTCATCAGAGCACTCCTCCCATCCCTCTTCATCATCTACATCCTCCTCATTCTCTTCTTCTTCGTCTTCGCCTTTTTGCTCATTCGATTTCTGCGCTTTTGTTTCAACTTTCCTCTTTTTGACACTCGGCTCATCATCCTCATCAGTATCAACGTCATCAGTGTCAACATCTGAATTCAAAAAAAAATCGATTCAAAAATAATCCTTCTTTACCTGATACTTCAAGTTCGCTATCACTATCATCATCGTCATCCCCAGCAGTTTGCTCAGTCTCATCTCGTTCCTTGTCCAAAATCTCGGCGCCAACCACAAAATCATGAACAACGGGCTTCGCAAATCCAGTATATCTTTAAAAATTCGAATTTCAAACGTATTATTCATTTTATTTCATACTCTTTGTCCTCCTCATCCTTTTCTTGCGGTTTTCCGCGATCTTTTCGCGCCAAAAGTTTTGGATTTACCGCACGGAATAGTGTGATAAGCGATCTAGCCGCCATCGAGACATTCTTGTTTTTATATGTCTTGTACTAAAAAAAATAAACATTAATATTTCGTCTAACGGGAAATCTGTGAAGAGAAAACCTCCGCCAAATCGCGAAGAAGCTCTTCAGTGGCTGCAAACGGACAATTCGCAAAAATCTCACGAATGGCATTTATTCCAACAGTCATAGCTTCCGGAGAATTTCTGCAAATATTGTTTTATGACGAGATTTCCTTTTAGGAAAAAAACAAGAAAGAATAAGCATTCTTTCATTGTTTTTCTTTCATATATTACATTCGAAAAAAACGAGAGCCTTGCGCCGATACACGGTAAGTTAGTTTCGCATGTTACCCAGAGTACGGTACCTTGTTTAAATTGAAATTTGAAGTACCGCCTCAAAAATGTGCAATGGTCCATAATTATGCAAGGCGCTGGTTTTTTTGCGATGGTAATAGTAAAAAAAAACCATAAAAATATAATTTTGCAAACGAAAAAGAATTGCCGACGTCGCGCCACTGCGAAAATTGGCATAATGCCAAAAAACCAATGGTAGTGCTATTTAAAATTGTAGATACACGGGTTAAGGTATAAAGATAGATTAAAGGCGCACCTTTCCCTAAATTTTTGGCATGATGCCAATTTTGCGCAGTTGCGTGACTTCGAATATAAATAAAAATAAAAATAAGAACCTGTCAGTCACAAAATTATTAGCAATCACGCGAACAAGCTGCTCAACAGTATCCGGCGGAACCATTTCATGACAAGCTTGAGCAGCATACAGAAGAATTCGGGTAACCTGAGAAAAAAAAAACATAATTTTTCCTTTGCATGCGGAAAATCGCTTACATCTCGTTGTTTCGGCGCCAAATATCTGTGCAAATATGAATAGAACGAAAGCGTATGAAGTCGATGAATTCCAATAATTCTGGCACACAATGCGATGCGCAAAAGTCGAACCTGAAATGAAAGAAAAAAGTTCGAAATCTCTCTTCATTCCATTTTACCTCAAACTTATCAACTTTCTTCGATTCGAGCATTCCAAATAATCGATCAGCAAACTCTTGCGGATCATAAATCGATTGGATTGCCATCAAGTTGCATTCTTTGCTTCTTCCCTCTAAATATTTAATTTAAATTATTTTGACGGCTAAAAATCTCGAACCTTTCTTCTGTTTCTTCTTTTTGCTTATCATTTTTTTCGTTCTTTCCAGATTTTTTGCGCGTTTTCTCGTTTTTTTAACGTGCCGAAATGATGTCATCACTTCTTTCACCGTCTTCGCGTTCTCCTCGTTATCCGAATCCAAATCATCATCCGAATCTTCGTTGTCGTTCTCGGAACCCAAAAAGAATTTCATTGAGGTTACCTGAAAGTAAAACACTTTTTTTAAAAGTTGCATTAACTAAAAGAGAAAGCACTTTTAAGAAGAAATTCAAAAAAAGAAAAACGTGGTGAGCATGTCATTCGTAAAAGTGTACACCCACTCGCACAAGTGCACACAATTGATAAGCTTTAACGAAATCCCGGTAAAAAAATGCATTTCTCGAAATTTTTTTCGAAAAAAAAAATTAAATTTTTCATACCAGTATTTCATGTCATTTATATAAGATTTTAGTGAAAAACCAAAAAATTATCTACGTAGCGCCACTTGGATTTGAACTTTTCTACCTACTTAAAAAAAATTAATGTTATACCTGAATCTTTGGCACTTTATGGAAACACGCTTCCGAGATGACATTCGCCGTTCGAGCGTCTCGCCAAAATTTCTTTCGGAAAGCGTCAATGCACACCAATTGGGCAGCTCTTGCGACAATCGATCGTGAATCCTGTGAAATTTTGAATTTGCAATAGAATTTTCACAAAAATTCTCAACAACAAAAATTACCTTCATTTTGGCAAACACCAAATTCTGAATTTTGCCCAACATTTTAACGTCCTTCTTTTTATTATAAATTCGTTTCAAGTGCGAACTGATCGAGGAAAGAACAAATTTTCTACAATTCGAATAGATAGTGAAACTCAAAAATGAATGACTACCTCAAATGTTTATCTTCGACTTTAATTAATTCAATGAACACTTCTATCAGCTCGACTTGATTGATCAATTCCTGATTTCTGAGAAGCACAAGAGCCTTGCAAAACGCCATTCGAACGTCCGGATCGAGGCCAGCGCCCTGCTCGCGGAGAATCGCGAACAAACTCGCCGAAAATTCTTTCGATTCGGCTGAAATTTCGAAACTTTCAAAAGTTGAGGGAGAGCCATCATTTACACGGAAAATGTTTGGCGAGACCGGAAAGAAACATAACCGACTCAAGAAGTGGCTGAAGCTCCATTTTATGCTGCTCCGGCTGCATATGAAGCAGTTTCATTGTTTGAACAAAATGATTGAATTGTTCCATAAATTCCTGAAATTAATTTAGGTTTCATATGGAATGCTGTGTAGGTCTCTTATGGAGAGCATTTAAGAACAAATAATTGTTTTATTTCAGATGTCGCGAAGATGCGGAAAATCGTAAAAAAAACTATGGGAAAATATTTTATCAAAATGTGTAGTTTTAATAAAGAATAGGCTAAGACGCAAGCCTATCGTGACAGGACCTTTTTCAAGAATAATAATTTTGAAATTAGCTATTTCGATTTGCGATATCAGTGTGAAAATTTTTTCTTATAGGTATTTTTGATGGAAAATATGAATATTGGAGTTTCACTATATTTTTTTGAATTTTTTGAACTATTAGAATATACAGTGAAACTATGAATTTCATTGATGCCGGAAACATTGGAATGTTATCATAAAAAGTATACTACTTGAATTGTTTATTTTCAATATTTTGACGAGTTCACCTCCTTATAGGATTCCGGATCCTTTCGAATAATTTCCATCATTAATCCAAGATTTCTCTCGGACATTGTGAATCGAGAAGGTTTTCCCGAATTTGTGCCAGCACTCATTTCAGACGTCGACGCCATCTAAATCCATGAAACTAGTCAACTATGTCACAAATACGACAGAAAATATAAAAAATGCTGACGACAACATTAAGAAAATCGATATGATTTAATTCGAAGACGGTAAATATGCATTCATCGAAGTGAGAAAAAAAAAGAAATGGAAAATTTTTGAATGTTTTCACAACGCTTGTCGGGACAAAATTGGGGTCAATCAATAAACATAGTGGAACAAGAAGGGAACAGAATGAGATTCTGAACATTATGAGACCATATAAGATGAACAACACATGAGATCCTAGGGTAATGGGACAAGATCGCAATTATAAAACAAAAATGGAAGGGGGAATTTCAGGGCAATCAATGATTGGTGTAGCGATGTGGAAGAGAGTTAGATAGATAAAAGTAATGAAATGAATATCTACAACAAAAAGAGAAAGGACCAAAAATATCTAGCTGGGAAATTGGGACAGGTAATTAAAGACTTGTTCATCGGCAAGCTTTACAGAACTCTTTTTAACACGCTCGATTTCGATTTTCATCACTTTTGAATTTGCGCCACCCTGCTTTTCGATGATGTCGGCAAGCTGAAAATCATTTTATTACTACGACAAAATAAAAAATGTTAACTTAAACTTACTCTTTTCTTGAGTTTAATCATTGGAGAATCTTTAAATAACATGGCGTTTGGATTATGATTTAAAATAAGGGAATCGAATAGGTCCCTAGCGGTTATTACAGACTTTTCGCTGAAATAAAATATTTCGAAACGTGATTTTTGCTCAATTTCCTACTCATTGCTTTGTTTCTGATTGCTGGGACTGCTGCTGTTGCTGTTGTTGTTGCTGCTGTTGCTGCTGTTGTTGCTGTTGTTGTAGTTGTTGCAGTTGCTGCAGTTGCTGTTTGGCAGCAATTTTGTGGCGCACTCCATGATGTCTTTTAATAAAATCTGAAAAAGTAAAGTTATATTGATTTTGTAAAAAATTATATATTTTTAGGTTCTTCTCGGGTTGAGTTCCATTATCAAAACTCACATTACCTCCTCGCTCGGTGTATTTTGGCACGGTGGCGACGGCGGTATGATCTGGCGGATCCAAATCGTATTGGAGGCTTTTCAATGCCAAAATTCCGTTCACAGCAGCAAGCTTTAAAAATTTGAGCTTCTAAAAAGTTTTTAAGAATTAAATCTACCTTAACTTGAACTCGTTGGCTTTCGTCTTCGTCATATTTCTTTAAATCGATGAAATAGCAAGCACAAAGCCAATACAGGAAATCCGGAAAAATGTCGCGCAAAGAAGCGTTCACTTTTGTAACCTCAAATTATTTTTTAATATTAAACATTTAAAAATCAAATAATATACCAGTTCAAGACCAGTGGATCGATGTATTCTGTGCAAGAGAACATAACGGCATATGTATTGGAACCTATAGGTTGACAGTTCAATGTTTCTGTCACGAGAAAAAAAATGAAAAAGTACCTTTGGGCCTCGTAATCTTCCTTGCACGCTTCCTTAACACGCTTCCATTCATTCTTGAGTTTCACCCAATTCTCCTCGCAAACAGGATATGCTGAAAAGTAAAGCGAAAAATGGCCTAAAATGCAACAATTGCTTACCTTTTTCGGGGAACAGCGAGCAATCGCCATGCTCACGCATACAGAAACTCATTGCGCTAATTAACTTCTAACAATTAAACAATTAAAATGCTTGAATTGAACACGGTGAACGAGGCAGTTGCGTTACGAAAGCTCGTCGGCAATTATTGATCCTAATAATAATATACGCTAAAGTGCGCACGTGCGTAAAAAGTGGAATGTCGTTGCGCGCGTCACAAGAGATTTTTGCCAAAGATAACAATGAGAAACAGGTCGCTTTAATTTTTGAAGGTGAAATAAAAAACATGAAAGAAAGAAGAGTTTAATGCGATTAATGCAGCTTGAATGAAGTAAACCTTGAATCCGACTTGTTGAAATTCAATGGAGATTGCGCGATGTAATCTAATCGCGATAATGGCGTACACTTATTCGAACTTTGTCGGCAGAAATTCCCCAAGGGCCCAAATCTAATTAACACTGAGCGTCTCATGTTGGGAACAAGCAAAAAATTGAGACGACACCTCTCATTCGCACACTTCTATTCTCAATGAGCAAATTCGTTATTTCCATTTTTGGCGGAATTGGCGCTGGAAAAGTGAGTTTTCGTGCACCAATTGCAACATTTTTTTCGTTTAGAAAAAAATTGCAGAACGATTGAAAAATGAATTATGCCATCGAGTCGGGGAATTCAAATGCCTCTCGACGGAGAATCAAGTGAATAGGGGCGGATTATTGATATATTACGGAATTCGAGCAGTTGAATCAAATTATAAAGTGTATTGTTCGAGACCAAGCGATGAACTACTTGCCAAATACGGTAAAATATCATTGGCAGATTGACTTTAAACAAGTTTCAACAACAAACAAACAGTAATAATTATCGTTTTGTCGAAAGAATAGAAATTGGTGAGCCCAATTTCTTTTGAAATTCTCATTTTCGACGACATTTTATTTTCATTCTAAAAAAATTTTATAGATTTGTTCTATTCTAATCAAATATACCCTCTCTATTCTAAAATGTTCTATTCTAATCAAATATATAATTTCTTCGTTTATTTTAATATCGCAATTAAATTGGGCTCAGTGCTTTTTTCTAGTCTGATAGCCAATATACAACTGTGTATATTTTAGTGATCAGTCTTCCGCCGGATATTCTCAATGACAAATTGGAGCTCGAGCAATGTCTTCTGAAATTTCGACGATTTCATGTAACTCGTGTTCTTCCACAAAAATATGAAGCGGATTTTTATATAGAAAATCCAGATGACCCAAGTTTGTTGCAGGCGAATTTGTCTCTCTCAACTTATTAACATTTCTAGTTCGCATTCATCAACTTGCAAATGAAATCATAAAACGAATGAAAGATTCTGAAGATGTCAACGATGAATCTGAAGAGGTCAACGTGTTCCTTGAAAATTATAAAAATTTGGAAAATCGACCAAGGAAAATAATTATTTAAAATAACGCATTGAGATCTTAATCGCCCATTTCATTTATTTCTACTTGTTTTATTCGTACATAAATATGGTTGAACAGACTAAGGTTTCAAATAAATGATATGTAAGATTGCATCATTTCCACAGCGTCGCTCGCATATTTGGGACCAATTGTTCGACTTCCAATCAAATCGACATCATAGCACTACTAGGCGAAGTAAGAATAAACGCCGGCGGCATTTTACTCGATTGTTGCAGTCCCCCCAAGAATTGTTTGCGATTCGACAGGCTCCACTGTCGACGTTTCCAATTGTCGTCGGAGCATTGAAGTTGAAACCACGATCACTGAAACCATCGATATTAATCGTGGCAATTCACCACCGCCAAAGCCGCCAATGGTCCGTTCCATTTACACCATAGCCAATCGAGAACGTGATCCGTACCCTGAACGGGAAAGGAGCACAGTCGCCTCGCTGGCGGAGCGAAGTTTTGTGACCAACACGGACCGAGAGAACGCCGATCCACCAGATCATTTGGGTTTTTGGTCTTGGGAAAAACCAGCCGAGAATCAATACGATAGGAGGAAGGCTGAGATAGCGTTCGCCGAATACGCTAAACGCCAGAAGGAGAAGATGAGAGAGCGGAAGAAGCATCAAGAGGAGATGATTCGAGTGAGCAATCGGCGTCAGAAAAGTTTGAATCAGCGAAAATCGAAAAATTGCCCGAGAAAAGAGGATGGCAGAAAGTTGATCAAATGCGATAAGTGAGAGACAGAAGAAATAAATTCTAAATTGTTTGCTTGGTAGAATGCCCAAAAATGATTCTGTCGAAATTCGCAACAAGAGAAATGACGAGGTTAAGATTGACAGGTTTCATTTTCGGCGTGGGACGCAATCCTCATCAAAATCTACAGAATCAATTACACAAATGACAAGCTGAATGATTTTTGCGATGCCGCGAAGCCGGCGTTCTATGGGACCATTGAAGCGGAGCGAGCCGCCGCGCGAGCCGCCGAGCACATCTCGAACGCATGTGTGAGCTTGAAGAAGTTGAATTTTGTGGCCGACCGCGTTTATCCCGAATCTCAACAGCATTTGGTGGGTTTGTTGGTAAAATTTTCAGCCGAATTCGAGCAATTTAGGAGAAATTGACCAAAATCAGCGATGAGCTTAAGGATTTTAATGCGCAGTTGAAGCTCAACAAGGCTAAAGTGCCCAAGAATATGAATCAGGTTGGGAATTTCAACGAGTTTTTTCTTAAAAATATAACGATGTTTATTCAGAAGGGTAACAATGTGGCCCATTTTGTAATCGATAGCTGAATGGAGAATAAATGAAAAATTACGAATTAGAGATGGAAAATAAATATTAAAAATTTGGAAAATTGATAGCTATTTCTGGATTTTATTTAATTCAAATTAAGGCGGGAATTTGAAAATGCTATCTGCCGACAGATTCGATCAAGACAATCAAACATTTCGAAAGACCTTGAAGGTTAATACTGATCATCACTTCATAACCAGAATCAATCAACAAATTTTGAAGCAATTTCAAAGTTTCCAAATTTGGAAGACAATTTCGATTCGTTCCTGGTTGAAAAATAATTTTTGGGTGAAAGTCAAACGATGACTAACAGATTTCCGTTCCCAGGTCATATGTTTGCCTTTTGATTTCGATTTATAGAGAAAATTGATGATGTCGTCATTCACCACGGCCAACAATTTTTGCGATATCAACCGCATTTGATACCTTTTCGGAAGTTGTGCGAAAACAATTCGCCGAGATACCTTACTTTACACATCTTTTGATAATTCTCGCCTTCTCGATGGCGTGTTTTCACAATTTATTTTTGGGGGTTTTTTCTGTCTTCTTCTATCCCCCAAGACCCCTTCATCATCGACCAAAAAAAAGCGATCATATTGCAGAATGAGGTGGAGGCTGTCAATCGCGATTTTTCTTATATTAACTATATCATTATGCGAAGCGGGATTCTTTGATTCGTTAGTTTCAAAGTTTACAGGAAGTGAGTTCAATTTTTTGTAGTAATATGTAAATTGACAAAATGGAAAATTGGTCTTTTGTAAGCTAATTAATTGAAAACCATTTTATAAAACAAATAACACTAATTAAACTAATCGGGTCAAGACCTAAAATGGAAGAAGCTGACATAATAGAAAGAAGTTTAAATTTTCTGAATATATTTGGCATCTTCGCAGTTTTTTTTTAAATACTCATTATATTTAGAAAATCATATTTGTATTTTACTTTTTTTCATATTTGTTTAAACATTTAAAAAATCAAAAAATAGGATTCCAATTTTTTTTCTTCCCACAATTCTAGGACCATTTCATAATAATAAAATTAAAAAATTAAAAAATTTTCCAATTTTTCTAAAATATTTTTGTACTGTATATTCCATGAATAGTCATAGAAATATTTTTCATCGCGTTGGATTTTTTTTCATAATCTGTGAAAAAATTAAAAATGCTTTGAATCGATAGGTATTTTTTTTCAGAAGGATCATCATCCTCTTCGTCATCATCATCGAATAATAATAATAATAATAATAATATTAATAACAATAGAAGAAATCCACCTCCAGTGACCGAAGAAAAAGCCAGGGTTCGTTGATTCTTCTTCCTTATTCGCTACAAAACACGAACAGTTGTGAGTGACCTGGTCTGTGTGACCGTCGCATTGATAAGTACAACAATCGAAACATAGTTCAGCAACAGAAACAACAAAAAAAAAGTTCCGCCATATCATTTTTTTCCATTCACAGAAATACCTTCAAAGTTTCGGTTATGTTCCGCCGTCGAACTCGATGGGAGCTGGACGAGGTATGGCCGCCGATTTTGGAAGCGCCGAGTCGATTTTTAAATCGGCCATCAAGTAGATCAATATTATGAAATATAGAAAATGGCAAATTTTTGATGATTTAGAAAGTTTCAAGAATTCGCCGGATTGGCGAAAACCGGAATTCTCGACACCGCGACCAAGGCGAAAATGGCTCTGGCTCGCTGCGGAGTCACTGATGCTCCACAAGCGTTAACAGCAGGAAGTGCTTGTGGGTGCTTTGATGACTAGCTTAGATCTTTTTCAAAGACACAGTGTTGAGTGAAGCTCATTTTCAGCGCAATTCAAATGGTCAAAGACGCGTCTCACCTACTCGATAGAGAACTTCTCGCCCGATCTTCCACGAGACAGTGTTCGCCGCGCAATCGCCGAAGCGTACGGCCTCTGGGCAAAAGTGACACCGTTGACGTTCGAAGAAGTGCCGGCTGGCGGAAACGCCGACATCAAAGTGCGATTCGGTGCCAATAATCACAACGATCCTTGGCCGTTCGACGGAAAAGGCGGCGTGTTGGCGCACGCGACGATGCCCGAAAGCGGAATGCTTCATTTTGACGAAGACGAGAATTGGGCTTACATGGACACACAAAAGATCGGATCCGATTATACCGATTTCTTGTCGGTCGCGATTCACGAAGGCGGCCACACGTTAGGATTAGAGCATTCGAGAGACGAGAACGCGGTTATGGCGCCATTCTATCAGCCAACCGTTGACAATAGTGGAAGATACAATTATCCAAATCTCAAATCGGACGATATCTCCGCAATTCAGGCAATCTATGGTAAAATTTGAGAATTTTCAACTCGACGAGAAGAAAAAAGGGACAGACTGCGATGATTTCAGGTCCAAATCGAGGTGGATCCAGCTCAGGAGGTGGATCATTTTTCACGACTCCAAGAACACCAACGACTACCACCAAGAGCTGGTTCAACAGATTCTTTGGACACGACGACGATGACGAGGTTATGACGACAACAAGAAGGCCGGTGACGAGAACCACTCAGCGAATGACCACCTATTGGCCTTCCACCGAAGCGCCGAGAGGAGGATCAGGATTCGGAGGGGGCGGATCAGGATCGGGATCAAATTGCCCTTACTCGATCGATGCATACACGCCAAGTAATCGACTAGGTTCATAATCGATGCCAATTCTCAAATATTAATTAGGCGACTCGTTCTCATACGCGTTCTCCGGCTCAAGTGTGTATGTGATCAGCGGTGTTCGTGTGACGAAGGTGCAACGAATCAGCGAACTGTTCCCATCAGCACCAGTTCCCGTTCAAGGCGCTGTGTTCAACACGAACGCCGGTTCGCTGCTTCTTTTTGGAAATAATAAGGCAGGTGAATTAAGACAGGGGGGGGACGTGCAAAAGCAACTCTTGGATTTCAGGTTTACAGCTACTATTATTCGTGCATTCGCGGAATCTACCAACTCGATAGCGGTTATCCGAAATCGCTGCCGTCCGATCTTGGATTCCGCGTCAGTGGCGCTCTTCGATGGATCAACGGGCATCAAATTCTCATGGGGGTAATCGATGATCTATGAGGGCAAATTTCGTTTTTTTTTGCGGCAACAAAAATCGGCTTAAAACCAAAAATTGCCGACATTTGTGATTTCCTCACATCGACTGTTTTGATCTACCGATTCCGTTGATTTACAGGACAATGAGCAGTTCGCCGTATACGATGAGTTCTGGAATCAGGCGACGTTGAAGAATCGCGTTGCCTCGTACTTCCCGAATCTGCCACGTGGCGTGAAAGGCATCGAATCACGTGAGTCATTTTTTTTTAGAAAACACCATTATTTCGAATTCTACAGCTAGCGGAATGACGGTGACAGCGTTCACGTCATCACAAGTGTTCGAATACAATTCTAGGCAGAAAACCATCGGACGGCAATCATCATTGGCGAATTATCTCGTTTGCTGAGTTTGATAATACCAATAAAGTGTTTCACATTGATTACTCGAATGAGAATGAGAACGGTGTTCCATTGGAATAATCAATTCTGAAAAAAATGTATTCCAAGAAAGCGAAAAAAAAGCGAATTTCATGGAGCTATGGCATTTCGGAAAGATGGAATGCAAATATAAAATGGGCATAGAATAGTTTTACCAAAGAATGAAACGATTTCGGCACCTTATATGGTTTGTAGCTGTTCAACATTTCTGTGTGTACGTCATTCTTTGACAAATTGCCCCCCGCTTCACCAATATCAATAATGTATTGAAAAGCCACGAGCGTCGATGTTCAATGAAATGTTTCAATATCAGCCTACGCTAGAGCAATAATAGATATTGCTCAGTTATGCGCCTTTAAAGCTATACGTAGTTGTCTGTTCGCTTTTTTTGGAATTAAAATAGTCAGCTAATAAAAAAAGGGGCTACCGAAATCCGTTGATTTTTCAAAAATTCTTTATAAAAACGTGAACCACAAATTTAACTACAAGGTCTTGCAGCGAAAAATTACTGTAGCCGCTTCTTTTTAGAAAAACACTATAGTAAAAAATATACTCGCAAAAAAAAACGTCCTCGTGTAGATTTACGATGAGCTTTATGTATCCGTACTACGGTTTACGAATTAGCAAAATGTACAGGGTGTCATTTAAGTTCCCGCACAAAAGTTAGACGCCATGAAAAGCTTGGCTGTCGCACTTTTCGTGCACCAATACAATTTATTTTTGTTAAATAAGGTATATTTTACTTACTTTTCAAGTTTCACTTCATTCGGATGTGTTTCCGAGAAATGGCGAAGGCTAACATCCATTGCGCTTCCATTATCGAACTTCATAAGCGAAATGAGCGCCCGACAGAGATCATTCAACGCCTCGGTGTGCCTCGTAGAACGGTTTAAGACACCAACAAACGTTTCAAGGAGCTAAATACGACCAGTGACCTTCCCAGGCAAGGAAGACTCGTCTCAGTAACCACTCCTCAGAAGATCAACGCCGTCAAAACGAGGATCAGGCGAAAACCGCACAGGAGCATAAGAAAGATGGCGTCAGACATGGGAATGAGCACCTTCGCTATGGAACAAATGGTCAAAACGAAGCTTGGACTGACCCCATATCGCGTCCAAAAAGCGGCAATTCTATCGGCCGTCAACTAGCAGAGACGCTTCGAAAAAGCAAAACGACTTTTTGCTCGCACGCGGTCTGGAGAACACCTCGCCACTGTCTTCTCCGACGAGAAGCTGTTCACTGTGGAGGCGGCATTCAACTCACAAAACCATTGAGTACTTGCCCAGACATCCCAGAAAGCTTCTGAGAAAGGAAGAACAATTCATCCAGCCTCACATCCTGCCAGTGTGATGGTTTTCGGTGCCATCTGCTCAACCGGGAAGTGCCCCTGGTTTTCGTGGATCAGGTGGTGAAAGTGAACAAAGAAGTCTACGTTCGGGACATTTTGGGGAAGCATATGATGCCCTGGGCCCAAACGCATTTCGGTGGGAAGATATGGGTCTTTCAACAGGACGGAGCACCCGCCCCTACTGCCAAAACTACTCAGGAGTGGTGCCAGACCCATTTTCCCGACTTCATCAAGTCATCCGAATAGCCTGCTTGCTCCCCAGACCTGAACCCGCTTGACTTCTCCGTGATGGGGTCTTGCAGGAGAAGGTCAACGCAAAACCCCACTCAAGTGTAGAGGCTCTGAAGAAGACATTACTGGCGGAATGGGACAATCTTTCCATCGAATACCTGCGTACCACAGTCACATCCTACCCGAAGCGTCTCCGCGAAGTCATAGCTGCGAAAAGAGGCCGAATCGAAAAGAGTTAATAGATAATTATTTGTTGTACTATAGATAAAAAATATTTCGAGTCTCGTTTGATTTGGACTTTTAGTTTCAGAAATATACGTCTTCAAAGTTGTGCGGGAACTTAAATGACACCCTGTAATTTGAAATGAAAACGAAAAAAAAAACCTAGAGTGCCCGCTTTTTTCAATTATTTCAAATCTGACCAGTTTACGAATTGTGACGTATTCCTCCTACTTTTTCCACATTGTTCCAAAATTTGAAATATCGATTAATTGCCGGTTTGGCGTGCTGATTAGACAACCCCATTATATGTGTTATCACAAAATTTCAATTTAAATAATTGTTGATTTGTTATACATAATACTACGCAAATTTTTGGAAACAACTCAAAAATTCTAAAAATCTTTCCCAAATTGTGGAAAACCGGTTTACAGGCAGTTTCTTTTTTCGAAAATATGCATCGTATCATAATATTCTTACAAATGGCTCTGCAGATTTCGCATAAAAAAAATTTAAAATCTTTTTCGAAAATTTTTTTTCAGCTTTTCGAGAGTTGTTCCCAAAATCTGCACAATTAAAACACAACTTCTTGTCAAATGCGTTATTTTTCAAATTTTCATAAATTTTCGATGAGCCAAACATTGATAATCCATTTTCAAATCGTCGGATTTATTCACATAATTCCAAAATATCTCTTTGTTCATTATGGTTCGATGCAGATTTCGGAAAAACATTTTTTTAAACTTATTTTCTTCATAATTTTTACATTTTTAAATAAATTTGCACCGGTTTCTTGAATATTTTTCTCAATTTGCACACTGCCAAACAATGTTAAGAATAATCGTTTCAAGACCTGTTTTGCGGACCTGAGCCACTGCTGATTTGCTAATTGGAAAAATGATAGTATTTTCGGAATCAAATCTACACTAAACTGTTGTCATGTAAATTCTTATCAATTGTTTGAATAGCCAATATTTGCACTGTGACATTACCAACCTCCAAAACCATGGATGCATTCTTATTTCAATATTTGTTTTTCCCATGTGGTACTATGAAAAAATTGGGAAAAAAGCTTTCTCGATGTCTACAGTACCACAGCTTTTTTTTTAATCGCTGCAAGAATAGACATGTTGTAGGTGCGCCTTTAATCGCAATAGAAAGACTGCGATCGTAATAAAAAAACTGGGTTTTTAGAAATATATATATAAAATACATAGTTACGGTTAAAGATGCATATGATGAAATTTCATGAGTCTTACAGCGATTTAATAAAAGCTGTGGACCTCTAGACTTCGGAAAACACGAACGCAACCGTTTTTTTAAAAGGATTTTTTGAATTTTTATTTTTTTTTTTAGTACCAATAACTATCAATTTCAGGGTATGAAGAAATCCGATCAACTAGTATGTTTATGCATTTTCGCCGGTTTTATATGTTTGATCTACATATCAACAAGTACACCAAGGTATCAAATGTGTAAGAATTTCCGATATTTCAATATGCTGAATTTTATGAGCGTTTCAGTTAGTTATCGGGTTCCTTTTATCGAGACTGTCATAAATCCGACGAATTCAACCGAAGATTCCAACGAGATTAGAGGTTATGATGAAGTCGTCGACGGGAAACCGATGCCGGAATATTTAAAAACCCTTGTGGCAGCCAATAAACTCTCGGCGGGGTTGGTAAATTGATTTTCTTTGGTATTCAAGTGCCCGCTGATTTTTTTAGTTTGACAAGTTTTCGGAAGTCAACGTCATGACCGTTTATGAGTTTCCGGACCATTATTCAGTGGTCCTGGCGATTGAAACAACAATTGGGTACCTTGTATCGATTTTCTAAATTTAAAGATTTTTTTCAGAAAAACATTGTACTGTAGATATAGTGGAACCGATGGAAAAGAAATCGCGGATCCTGTTCCATCAGTAGTTTATCCCGGATTTGTGGTATACTGTAGTCGACGCAATGGGACCACAATTGTCGGCGTCACAAAAACCGCGACAACTCCATTAAATACCAAAAACACCAAAATTCCCATTAAACGATTATTTAAAAGTAGGAGATTTTTCTGTATCGAAAAAAGGAAAAATTAAAGTTTTCAGGTCATCTGAAGCACCTCACTTATTGTTTAGCACCCATTTTTGGCGACGAACCCAAATGGCTCCTATTCGCTGAAATGATTGAGCACTACAAACTGCAAGTGAGATTTTCCATTAAAAAAAAGAGCCTGAAAAACTGAAATCGGCAGGGTGTCGAGAAATTTTTCATCTACATTCGAAAAATCAGCGATTATGATTTGAAAATTGTGGAAAGCTATCGAAAATCGGGCGAAGTTGAGGTATTTCAAATAATTGAGCTCACCAGAAGCAATCAAAAATTTTCAAGATTATTGATGTTCCTCCAGCTTATGATGACGTCATCAAACAACAATTAATGGCTGTTGCGGTAGATCACGATCAAACTTTAAAAATATTATTATCGCCTGTTTTAGGATTGCCATCTTCGCAACAAAAAATACTCGAAATGGACAATATTTTCCGATATTGACGAGCGCCTTATAATGACAGATTCCAATAAAACAATTGCTCAATTTTTGAAGTCTGCCATATTTTGATCAAAAAATTGTCCGAATTTGATGTTTTAGAGAACCGAAAGACGAAAACATTGGAGCTTTTGTTTTTCCTCAACGATGGATATTGAAAAAAGCGCAAATGCCAGAGTTTTATCAAGATGAACACCAGGTATGAAAAAATATTTATATTAATACAAAAATTGCCCTATTTTATTTCGATGCATATTTTTTGAAAATATCAGAATAATTAGATATTTTCAAATATGATAAAAGTATATTAAATTAGCAATAAAAAGAGAACCCTGCACCGACTCTGGTAAATCAAAACCAATCGTATCCGACAAAACTCGGCTCCGAAATTAACCTTATCCGATTGGTAATTCTACGGATAAAATTGTAAAATTGTCGTATCCGATTGGTAATTTGTCGTATCCGATTAGATTTTCTTCGAATCCGATTGGTAAATATTCGAATCCGTTTTGTTTTAATATTTAATATTTTAATTCTAATCGGATTCGACAAAAAAACCAATCTTATCCGTAGAATTACCAATCGGATACGAAAATACCCAAAAAACCAATTGGATACGACAATTTTACAATCTTATCCGTAGAATTTCCAATCGGATAAGGTTAATTCTAGAGCCGAATTTTGTCGAATCCGATTGGTTTTGAGTTACCAGAGGATGTAGTTAGCTTCTCAGATTATTCAGAGTACGGAATCGGAATTCCCACTGTCTAAATTCGAATTTAAATTATCGCCCCGAAAAAGTGCGATGGTCCACAATTATGTAAGGCGCTCGTTTTATATTCATATCTAAAGCGGGATTGCGCGAGAAAACCAAATCGAAAAATTCGGTCCAAAAATTTTGGCAGTTTTTGAAATGTCTACAAAAAGACATAGGAAATCCAATTTCGCAAAAAAAAAACGAGAGCTCTGATTTTTTACGGACCATGCAATTGTTGGGGGAGACAATTTAAATTTGAACAACAATTTTTTGTCCCTTTCCCAGTTTTAGAGAAAACGTGGAGATTTACCTATTAAACATAGAGATCGGGGGTTAAAGGCGCACACCGGACGAGACCTCATTCTAACTATTTTTTGACATTTAACCTAATTTTCGCGATGTCAACTTAGAAAACGCTCAAAACACTTTCATTGTGTGTTGCATTCTAATTTATTCAATTGTTTTATAGGTTCTTGAACGAATGCCGACTCTACAATGGCATGAGACTTCAGCGCCAGCAATAAAAGGACATAAATCTTGTACAAGCGAAAGGAATTGCTGGGGAAAGCTGATAATAGAAAATGAAAAAGTTTCCATATATCATTTACAAATAATTGCAGTATTCTTTCAGGTTATTCGAATATCGGTGCACGAAGTTGACAAATTATACCCAAACTATCGCGAAGAATTTCTTGATCCAAAAATTGGATACATTCGGTACTTAGTGGGCTTATCCCATATAATTTCCACAAAACGGATTACAGACACTATCGTGACGTCGAAATGCAATCATGGGCTAGAAACAATTGGAATCTTCTGACGGGATTTGGAGCATTTTCGAATACGTCGTATCCCAAAAATTTCGGGGATGTTTTAGCGAGAAATGTGGTGGAGCGGGTGAAAAGCGTCTACGGATAAAAAAAACGAAACAACGACGGGTTCAAGAAACGTGATTCTGCGGGTTAAATTGTTAATTTGTTATGTTAGATATATCATTTTCATATAAAATATAGAAAATACAATTTAAATTTTTGTTTTTCCACAACTGCCCCATTTTTTGATTTGCTATCCGTGGGAATACCACACCCTCTTACCACGGGCTTCACAATTTGTTGAGATGTTTTCGATAAGACGAACTGATTTCGAGAAATTGGAAAATCTCAGCTATTTTATTAGCGTAAAAAGTAATGAGCACGTTCAGTCATTTGGATAAGTGTTGGCAAAATTAAAGTGCCACCGTTGATTTGCTTGATATTGCTTCTTAATTTGCTACATCAATTTTCCCGGAAGTCGTTAGAAATACCTAACCGATACCACAGGGAGTTTCCATGCAATTTCATGCTAATTTTAGTTTCCCATATATCTTGTTTGTTTCTAAAAAAAACTCTGTGGTCCTTCCTAATAATTATAAATCAACAGGATATAATCGTTTTTGATTTCAAATGTAGGACAAAAAAAAAAGGAATTAAATCCTTAAAAATTAGCAAAAAACTTACCTGTCCTACCCATCATTTATTGGACCTGAATAATTGTTACACTAGTGATTTTTGACATAGGAAATTTTAACTTTGAGTAAAAGAATTCAATTGAAACAGCTAAAATTGAAATCAACATTGACATTACGGAAAAATTTGCAAACGTACGGATTAGGCAATCAAATGTGCGTCACGGTGTTTGCAGATAAACACATAACTTGACGACAAATTTTAAAAACTACAGGTTTTTTAAATTTATTTCTCAGCAATTATGAAAAAGGTAGGACAAGTTTCCTGGCTCCCATGACTTACTTGTTAGGAGGAAAACAAATGAAATGTTTCCATATCCATCAGTTAATTGAAACTGAGGTGACGGAATTTTAAAAACATACGTAGTTAGAAATTTAGGAACACTGCTAGAGATGTATTGTTTTCCAGTTAACCATTGCAAAGAAATTATGGTTGATAATCACTACAAATTAAAGCGAAAATGGGCTGAAAATGATTGAAATTTGTGATTTTTATAAACAGAACCACTTTTAACATTTCTTGGTAAATGTATTTACCAAATTTATTGACATGTACAGTACTGGCCATAATGATGTTCGCCTAGTGTTTTTTGAACATAACTTGGCTCAAACGCAGCCGATCGGGCTCAAATTTTTACCATATCTTTAAAACGCGTTGAAAATGCGTTTGATTGGTATCGCATACTGCAGAAAAGTTTTTTTTTTCGAAAAATCACAAATTTCATAAAAATGCGGAAAATGGAAAAAATGACACAATGTGATTCGAAAGTCTCAGAAACCCGAAAACATTACAAATGTGTAGAAAACCTGTTTTCAATTTATCAATACTTGTTTGCGTATCCCTTGGCATCAATAACCGCTTGGCATCTGCGAGGCATCGAGTCCAAGAGGGTGCGGATCACAGCATCGGAATGGCACTCCATGCGGCTTCGAGTTGAGCGAACTTATCGTCGGCGGTTGATGCTCGGAACCCTCTATCCATGCGTACCAGTTCTTCCCAGAGATGTTCGATCGGATTATGGTCCGGAATCTGCGATGGCCATGCAACAATATCAAGTCGGCGTCGCTGGAACCAATTCTTTACATGTCCAGACGTGTGCTTAGAGTCGTTGTCTTGCTGGAAAACGAATGCACTTCCGACGTTTGTCAATGCCCAAGGTCTTATTGTGGTTTCCAGGATATCTTTGTGCTGGTACCGATCCATGATTCCATTTACACGTCGGAGCGGTCTCATGGCGGTGTCGGAGGAGCAGTCCCAAACCCTGCAAGATGCTTCACCGTTCGGAGGTGGTACTTTGGCATGAATGTGGCTTCAATAGGTCGACGAACCATCTTGATTCCATCAGTTCCGAACAAGTTGAACTTCGATTCATCGATCCAGATGTGTTTGGCCCATTCACATCGTTCCCAGTTCAGATGATCCTTGAACCATGCCACCATCGTCTTTTGGTTCTCGTCACTGATCAATGGTTTCTTCACCGGGCGTCTTCCATGAAGTCCATTCTCCAACAAACGACGTCTAATTGTTCTTCTGGGTGGAATTGAAGAATTTGGCGTTGCCACAAGAATCTGGATATCTGCTGAAGTCCGTCTAGGATCTTCTCTTGAAGCCCGACAGATGTTCCGATCTTGGAGCCTAGTAGTTTTGCAAGGTCTACCATGTGATTTCTTAACAAAAATGCAGCCCAATAGATTAGAAATAGTCCAGAATGATTAAAAAATCGTACATTTTTGTCTTAATCGTTGCAAAACTTTTTGGATTCCTCTTCGGGAGCACAGGAACTGCTGAGCCAGAAGGCTTCTGGACGACCCAGTCTTATGACCGTTGACGATCGCTTTTTGAACGTCCGCCGTGAAATTTTTCTTTCCAGAAGTTTGAAAAATTACTAAAAACATGTTTCAAGTTCAAATTTCAAATAAAAAAATTTTTATGGACAAAGTTTGAAAAAAAAAATGAAAAATTGGTAAAATCGAAAAAAAAAACAAAAAAAATTGAAAAAAAAATTTTTTTTCAACATGATGCAATTTTTGTTGTTCCCAAGGTTGCGCAACTGTGTTTAGCATTTACAGTAAAAATTTCAGCCCAATCGGCCGCGTTTGTGCCAAGTTATGCTCAAAAAACACTAGGCGAACATCATTATGGCCAGTACTGTATATTTCTCGGTAGCTCATGTTTCTTCATATTTTCATGTTTCTGTTCAATTGTTTCATTTTCTCTTTTTTGTGTATTTAATGAATATGGCGATCAATTTTGATGGCTTGCACGTTATTACGTGAGTGTGAATTCAATTATTCTGAGGCCAGCAAAAATATTTTTGTCTATAATATTTTTGTTTGTGCTTAAGAATTCTATTTAAATATGGCTAATTATCGTTGATTTTCATAAAATTTCCCTACATATAAAATCGTGGCCGAACATTAGTTTTTCTTCGGCCATCACCGAATGGCTCGAAGCAATAATTTTTTGAAATCAAAATCATTCCGCACTTGTTCCAGCCATTTTTAGAAAACGTTTCAATGCCTCATAACGCTTTACTTAAAATATTAGCTGTAATTTTTCATCGCAATTTTCGTATTTTATGACACAATTTCAGCAAAGCACGATGGAATCAGAAATTGATGTTACAACATCCCTTGATTGGAGATCAATTGATTTGTCCGAGCAAGCCAAAAAACTCTTCCTGCAAAAAAAGATAAAACGGGGCAATAATAGTTCGGCTGAAGGTATATTATAAATGCAAAGGAAAAAAGAATACTGATTGAAGTAATATTAGAAGGCAATCGTCCAAAACGTGTCGCGTTCACAGCTCCATTTGTCCGTTACAGGGATATTGAAGAAATTGAATATGGCGAAGTTTTTCATATTCTTTATTATAACCGTTGTCTTTTTTCCAGGTTGGAATGATATACAACGAACGAAACACCGAACCACTCAACAATTTAGCGAAATCAGAAGATGAATATGATTATGATTCTCCTGATGATGAGAATGATTTAAGAAGCGATTTAACATTGGATAAAGAAAGCAGAGTTCAGCGACGAGTAGTTGTAAGATAACACGATTTTATTATTATTTTCATGCATTTATTTCGTTTTAGTCATGTGATGAAGCAATACGCGGCGAAAAGTATGGTAGTCTGTACATTACTCATGATATTCCGGGAATTCCAAATCAAAAATTTAATAAAAACGATTTGTCCACATATGGGTATGATGATCGAGATTGGAATGTTCAGGCTATTTACATGGTGCGAAATTTTGTCGAATAAAAACCAATAAATTGTTTCAGACTCGTATTGAGAAGCAGAGGCTGGTTTTGTATGAAGGTTGGGCTGTCGATACCGCTTCGATTTTAAGCGAAAAAGAGCTGAAAGTGACGGCAAAGAGAAGAGTAAGTAATTTTTTTTAAACAAAAATATTCAATAATTAAAATATTGCAGCTTGCCGAATGCAATTATCGTCATAAAATGTACGATCTACTCAAGAAGAAAATGAATTTGACCGATGCAGAACTTCCGACCGCGATTCGGATGTCAATAGAGCCATTGAATAAATTTTGGATATATGAAGATGTGACGTTCTTCCATAATTTGAAGTAATTTCCCCCCCCCCTTTTTTTTTAATTTTTGCTTTTTGAAGACATCAACAAAAGAATTGGGCACCAATTTATTATGTCTACACGACACACTTGGAAAAATGTTCATTTCCTTCGTTTGAGGTGATATTAACATTGATTAGTCAAAAAATTAAAAGTTTTAAGTATGTCGTCGACAACTATTATAAGAATGTGAACATCAGAATGGAGGATTATCATCATATCAATTACGTGAAAAAGATTTGTAAGAAATAGACAAAATAAAAATGAATCAAAAAATTCTTAGACACTTGGGATGAGGAAATGGAAAAAACCATTCAAATTCTCCGTAAACGTCTTGAAGCGAGATGCCCTTCACTGAGATGTCGATGCGCCGATTTTGTAAGAATTTTTTCTGTGGTAGAGTCATTCAAGAATATTCTTTCAGGCCACGAAGATATTTGACAAAGGAGTAGAATGTGGGCTAACACTTCGAAGATTAAACTATGATAAAAATGGACGTCTGAATTTGCAAGATATGAATCGCGAAGGCACTTCTTTTGCGCTTGAATGTGGAATTCAATGTGGATGTCCGCCAGATTGTCCGACGAAGGCGATGCAGGTTGAGATAATGAACTATATAGATTAGTTCTAAAAATTGGTAAAATGCCAACCAAAAAGGAAGTAGAAGGCCTTTAAAAAACTAAATTTGTAAATTTACGAGGCAAAATATTCCATTTTCAAATCAGAGAGGTCAAAAGTATCCGCTGTTCGTTGTGTATGAGAAGAATGTTGAAGGATTTGGAGTCCGAGCTGGCCACGCATTCAAAAAAGGCGAATTTATTACCGAATATACCGGAGAGGTTCGACTCCCCCCTCCCCAATTATATGTCATAAAATGAGATACATATTTTTCTTGTAGGTTATGAAAGTATTTGAAGGAAAAAATATATCTCATGTTTCGTATCAAATGCGAACTATAGGAATAACTAATGCAATTATTGATGCCTCCACACGCGGGTTGGACGATTTTTTTATTAACATATTAAATAATTTTTAATAATGTCAGAAGTGTTTCTCGTTTTGTCAATCATAGTTGCGATCCGAACGCGGTTTTCATTGAAGTTGCAGTTCCCGAAAGTGATTCGGATTTAATCAAACCACGAGTTGGAATTTATGCCATCAAAGATATTTCAGTTGGTTTGTCGCGGTTTTATGCATATTTTGATTGACTCATCGATATTTCTAGGTGAAGAGATTTCTACGTCATATTATTCTGAAGACGAACTTGAAAATGCTCAAAATGGAAAGAAAATTAAGTGCAAGTTCGTTTAATGGCTATTAACTGACAAAATTTAAATATTTTCAGCTGCAACACATCAAAATGCCTTGGATGGCTGCCGAATAAATACTAATGAAACTTATTTTTTCGAATATTTTGCTCAAATTTGCATAAATCATTTAATGATTGAGAATTGTTGAAAAGAAATTTTAATTGGAAGTAGGCAAGTGCGCTCGAGCGCACATGTCATATATAGTGATTTCAGTGTAATATTGCATTTCAACATTACTCTTATTTGCAATATTCTATAGATTTTCAATATTTATTGGAATGAGTGACGGCCAGCGAAGCTCAAACCCGCTAGAAAAATGGTCGCAGGTAAAAATTTTCGCCTACTTGATAATCAATCGATTTTTTATTTTTTTTTATTTAGCAGGCCACGACGAGCGCATTTGGATTAATGGAATCGCTGAAAGGACAGGGTTCATCGTTGGCAAAAAACTTGAAAATGTTTGGGAAAACTTTAATGAAGGAATCTGGAAGCTCCTCGTCTTTAAAAACGCCGGTATTAATTTATTTTTAATTTTAATTTTTTTTGGCAATGCCGAGAAAATTGAAAAAAAATACAAAAATATTTATCTAATTTTTTCCTGCATTGAGCCTTAATATATAATTTGGTTGATGTTTTTTTTAGCAGGAACACCGTGATGACGATATTCGACTCACGTGGCTAACTAATCGATTAGTGCTAGCAGATACGATGCATAATTCCAAAGAAGGGCTACTAAAAGTAATTTCGTGTTTTTGTTTATTTCATATTCGCGAAATTTTGGGAATATTTGAAAATTAAATAAAATTCAGGCTGAAAAAGCGGTTGTTCGCGAGATGGTTGATTGTCAGCCCTACGTCGTCGTCAATGTTCATTCTGAGTGAGAATTACCAACTAATTAAATTGTTGAATTAAAGATTTTTAGGCCACTACGATTGGATGGTTATGCAAAATCGATTCATATTCCATTGGGTATTTCACAGAAAGGCGGATTACCTCATCAGCCGTTCATACGAGCATTAATTCCCGTATGAAATATATTTATCGAGGCGTTTATAATGCTTAAAATAATTTCAGCTACTCAATGAGTTTTGCCTACTGACCAACGATGCGGCTATTGTGATTTTTGGTCTTGATGGTTCGTAAAAATCAATTTTGAATTATGAAATGTTTGAATTTTCCCAGAAAACGTTGTGGTAACCGCTGCGTTTTGCCTAATAGCGTCAAGATCGGTTGGAAATTTCAACGAGTTCATGTCGGATTCGTTGCAAACGAGATATGAACGGTTGCCGACGACGTATCGGAATTTTCTCGAGCAGACGCTCGATTTTGTTAAACTTTGCTCATTTTTTGAGGTTTGTCGTGGATATTTCACGAGCTTGTGAAATATTTCAAAATATGATTAAAATTGTTTTAGAAGCCGTCAATTGGTGTGGTTCTCGATCATATTGTTCTTGAACCCGGAAACGCGTGCATCGACGGCGATGTTTATGTGGCAATTTCTCAAGGCGTCATGCAGCTCAAAGTTTTTGAGTTCGCCACAAATAGATGCAGGTAATTTATACGCTGCTCGCAATTTTTCTTTCATGAAATTGCCCACCAAGGCTTCATAGATCAAAAATTGACAAAAATGGAAATATGGACCCAGTATTCATTTTTTTTAGAAATGAATATGGACAATTCGTTTTCCCGATTAGCGGATTTGAAATAGCTGATGACGCAGTAGTATTCGTTGGAGAGAAAGGAAATGCGGTATGTTTATTCATTTTTTTGTTGTAATTTTTAGCAAAAATACATATAACAAGCACAGTCTTGTTGGGTAATCCTCCCCATAAATGTCATGCTCATATTTTATACATATTTATGACGAAACGATAAGCTATCGTTAAGACACCCATTTTACTTTTATGGTCCCGAACAACGTAGGGATATATGAATGGGCCTCGTTTTTAAACATTGATAGCTTGCTTTGATGGTCATTAAGAGTACTTATTGGTACATTCAAAATTCAGATTATAATTTGAATTAAATTTTTTTCGCAAAAACTAGCAAATTTAGACATAAGCTGGATAAAATTAAAACACCATTGTAAATCTACACTGATTTCACGAAATACCCGCTCGGCTTCATTAATTTGATGGTGACCATACAGATTTGAAATATTGAGATTGGTAATATATTGGAAAAAAATACGTGTGGTAATCCGTATGATTCGCTGGCTACTCGCCGCGTGATTTGTTTTCGAGCGCGGATTTATTATGTTTTTCGCTGGTGGCCGCTTATTATTGGTGCTGTGCGGCTGACCGTTGAATGGATGAATGTCTGCGCACCTGCTGCCCTTCGTCGATTATGTGTGCCCGCCCGCAATTCGCTTCTTTCCTTTCCTGTCCCAGGTCAAACCTCCGGTTACTCTTTACATACATTCGTGACCCCCATCTCCGTCGTTCGCTTCATTGGCGGAGGAAGTCTATTCTCATTATGAGCCGAATAGTTGTTTTGTTTGTATTACCCCTCGTTGGTCGGTGCCGAGTCGTTACTGGGGTCTTCGCTGCAATTTTGCAAAAATGCGTCTTTCTCAAGCTTCTTTGTGTTAATTCGGTGACGTCAAGTTCGAAACAGAAGTAGATTTATCGCTGTTTTTCGAGGACGATGCCCATGATTACCAAAATTCTATAATAGGAAACATGGATAAGATTAATCGTAGATTTCTTTTGTTCTAAATCAATGAATGGATTAGTCGATATTATTCAAAATAAATTTTCGGATTGAGGAATCTATGAGAAATGTATCATAGCAATATTAAACTATTGTTGCTGTTGCTACTTGTTTGAGACGCTTCAATGCCTTGAGACAGACCAGGAAAGTCTTCTAATATAAGGCCCAAATTTAGTGCAATCTTTATAAAGACTTAATATATATATATATATTTTTTTGATCTATTAAATTTGCTCGAATATCGCGATCAAATTAGTTATATTATTTTCTACAGATTCCGCTACTCACTTGCCGTTTCAATACCCAACTTCTCGACAGCAACGACACAGACATTGTGATAACCGCCGCTGAAATGGACGTCTCGCGAATGATTGCGCAGCCGGTGCAGGATTTGAGGTATCGTTTTCTGCCACTGGTTGTTTTTTGTTGTGCCAATTTCTGAGCGAGCAACGTGCGGGTTTCGAGTATCCATTTACTTCGTTTTTCTTTTTTTTCTTTTGTTTGCATTCAATTTTGCATTTGGATTTCAATTTGGGTTTTGCTTCGCGAGCCGCTGGAACGCCTTCTTCTTTTTTTTTGCGTTTTTTTACTCCCCCATTTCGCGAACCCATTCTAATTGAATTCGGCGTTTCGCAAGAACGTCTTCAAGTCCTCTTCGCGAACATCATTGCTTCATTTATCCTTTTCTTTTTTCAGAATGATTCTGAATTTTTCAACGAGACGTGTGCCGACACTGAACAACATGCAATTTTATCGTTACAAGCTGCTTTGTGTGAGAAACGAGTCCGAGCTTGGTTAGTTATTTTTTACAAGAACTATTGGATGTGAATAATTAATATTGGATTTCAGGCGGATACCAGCAAACCTATGGTACATTGGATTCCGATGAGGAATCTCCAATCCATCGTAATCGTAGGAGTACGCCGAAGAATGAGAAAAAGAGCACTAATAATGGGGAGGGCGGCTCGTTCTTCGAAACTCTCCAATTTAATGATAGTCAACCGGCAAGAGAAGAACGATTATTGGATGATGATCATGTATTGTTGAGTGGAATGACATTGAATGATGAGAAGGTTTTTGGCATATTTGCATATTTCTGATTTTTTAAAACTAAATTTCAGACGTTTGGAAATGTTGAGATGGGTTTTGCCAATGAGACACCCATTCTTTCGGCACCAACACCGCTTCATAGCGAAGGAGTGCCTAGTCGAGCTTCACCAACCCCAGCGATTGATGATTTGCTTGGGTTGGGTTCGTCGGTGTCGAATGAATCTCAGAATTTGACGGCCAACTCGAGCACATCGATCAATCAAAGTAATAGCAGTTCGAATCTTGGCGATTTCGACTTTGGGCTGCCTTTAAATCCGACAAGGTTTGTTGACAGTGTGTAATTATTGGCGCGAAACTTATTCGAATGTTGTAGCTCGTCGCCAAACACACGACCATCGCCGCAGCAACCCGAATTTAATGATCTTCTTGGCGGATTTTCGCCGCTGAGACCAACATTGAACAATGTCACGCCACCGAATTCGCTCAACTCGTCGGCGACAAGTATGATTGTTTGGTTTTCTTTAGAATCGAATTTAGCTCAAAGGTTTTCCTGTCAACTTAATTTTAGACTCTAAGCCAGTCTCCGCTGTCAACTCGCAATCGGACTTTGAAGCATTCTTGGCGAATTATCCTGAAAAACAGCATCCTCAAGAGCCGCAGCCGCCAAGTGCCGCATCGAATCCTGCCGCTCATCAAACTCGAACTCAAGGAATTTCGAGCCAGAAACGTTTGATTTGCCATTTAATATCAATTGGAGATTTGCGTTTTCAGAACAATACAAGCCAGCGTTTGGAGATGCCTCGACTACCACTGGAAAGGTGTCCGTGGACGCGTTCAGCGATCTTCTTAATCAAGGCGTAAGTGGATCATTTAATTTGATGCATAATACTAATCGAAATGTTTAGGGCTTCAAACCAACTCAGCGTGAGAATCAGAAGCAGTCGATCGGAGCTTTATTGAATGCTCAACAGGCTAAGAATTTGACGCCAGAGGAAATTAAAGTAACTTTTTTAGGTCTCGCTACAAACTTTTAAATTGAATTTTTAGATACGCGACTGGACCCAAGGAAAAGAGCGAAACATAAGAGCACTATTATGTTCTCTTCAGAATGTGTTGTGGGAAGGAGCTGGAAGATGGAATCAGCCGAGTATGGCGGATTTGTTGACGCCCGATCAGGTATATTGTAATTTGAAGAATTGAGTAGCTCAATTAGGATTTATAGATCAAAAAGCAATATCGAAAAGCTTGTCTGGTCGTACATCCCGACAAACTTACCGGATCACCGCATTTGACTTTAGCTCGAATGATATTCACAGAGCTTAACGACGCTTATAACAAACATGTAAATGAACCTTCGTAGTAATTAATTAAGCATATCAATTTTTGTATAATTGCACCCATTTTTGGGCAGGCTCAAGGTTAATCAATTGAGATTTTTCTTTGAGACCTGTTGTGTTGATCATAGTCGAAAATGAATCGAGTCTTCTATTGCTTGCTTATTGTCTTCTACTGTGATGGTTTATATATTTCCGTTTTTTTTTTGAATTATTAATTTGGAATCTGGTTGTGGCCCTTTTTTTTAAATAAAAATTGATGGAAAGTTGAAAATTTATTGAAATTGTGAACGAATATTGCGAAGTGTTATGCAATGTGTTGGGTAGAATAATCTTTGTGCTGATTGCGTTTTTCCATACTTGCAAATTTCCGGGTCGACCCGCCCCGATCCGCCCCGCGGGTCGGGGCGGGTCGGGGCGGGGCGGGTCAGTAAAAAAATTCGCGACCCGCCCCGCCCCGCCGACCCGCAACGACACTCCAAGTTTACATGCAACGACACTCCAAGTTTACAGCGAGGCCTTTGTTTAGCGTAAAAAGAATTTCGAATTGCATCATTTTTTCGATTTGCATCATTTTTTTCGAATTGCATCACTTTTCTCGAATTTGAATACATTTTTGTAGTACTTATTCATATTCCGCTTTTTCCACTTTATATCTGGTTACTGATACTGCTATATTATTGTAGAAAATGGCGGATCTCTTCAAGTTGGATGATAAGAAAGTGAGAGATATGCTTCTTAGAGCGGATGGTAGAGCGAAATTGGTTCGTTTGATAGGAAACGTGATTGGCCGATAAAACACCTCATTTAGAGTGATATGTACAAAAAGGATGGAGTTCGAACGATTTTCGTGCGTGCCGCGGACGGTGACTGGGTGCAGTACTTAAAAGTTGCGTGCGAGTTTTGCTTAACATTGCTTTCAATGGGACCCGGCGGACACATAAAGAAACATTTCGAAAGGTGTAAAAAAAGAAAAATAGATGAAGAAAACAACGAAGAAGGAGAAGAAAGCGAACAACCCCGGGCAAAATCTCATAAAATCACTGGTAAGCAATTAATGTCGTTTACATCTTATACGTATTTACTTTCAGAATTCACCGAAAAGAAATACAAAGTCCAAGAGCTTAATAAAATTAAAGAAGCAATTTCGCGATATTGTTTAAGGAGCGGTCGTTCTTTTAATTCTCTTGCGTCGCAACCTATGAAACAATTTATCATCGACATCACGAATGCATTGTAAGCATTTCTTCTCTTATACTAATAAAAAAATAATTGCAGAATTGGTGGATTTGGTGAAACGGCTATGGAGCAGCTTCCTTGTCGATTAACAATTCAGAAGAATACGGAAAATCTCGCTAAAGATCTCATCGAAGAAACGTTCAAAAACTTGGAACTCTTTCGCGGCAAACGATTGAATTTAGTAATCGATCATGGCAAACTCGTGTGCAATTATCTGTCAGTCTATGGGAGTTATGTCGACGACAATTTTCTCCTTTGCGTTGTGCCAATGGCATTTATTCCATCAATTGATGGAAAAAGCGGGAAAGAAGTTAGCTTTTTTATTTTAGATTATAAATTCTAATTTTTTAGACTGCGAAGCTTATTGTCGAACGATTTCACGAGTATGGGTGGACTAAGGAAGAGGTCTTAGCCTGTAGAGTCACGGCTGACGGAGCGCTCAAGACTCTCGGTGATTATTTCCAAAGCTGTGAGTGTTGTTGAATACCACGTGCACAGCTCCCCAATTTTGATAATTTAGATATTAGGTGCGTTAATCACTCTCTCAATCTTCTGGCTGCGAAAGCTATAACGCCTTTTGAAAAACACGCAAAGGATCTCTTCCATTTGAGACCGCACTTGGAGAAAGTGCACGAAGTTCTACGCCACGCAAAGGTTATTGCATCAGGAGTTCGCTCAAATTGCACAATGTGCCAATTAATGACAAGACATCCTTCGTTGCCGATTGAAACTCGCTGGATGTCAAACTTAAAATGTCTTAAAGACATAATGGACCTTAGGAATGAAATTGAACAAAGAAGCAGTATGCTGCCACTTGCTGCTAGGCAGGCTTTAAGTTCAATATCTGTGGATCTTTTTCCAGTAGCAACGTCGATTCTTGCGGTTCTAGGCCCATTGCTCGAATACAACACTTTATTTCAAGTAAACTGAGTTGTTGCATATTTTAAAACATTTTTTTTCAGACTCAGACCGCCATTTCTCTTCATCTGGTGCTCCCCACATACAAACACGTGAAATTGCAATGGGAGAAGTTTAAAAGCAACAGCAATGAAAATTTCGATCCGGAAACTATGGATTTGGAAGTTTCTCAAGCCATCGCAGAAGCCGGTCTTCTCGCTCTTCCTATTTACTATTCGGAATTCAACGACATCCACTACGCCGCCGTTTTGCTGTCACCACGCACCAAAAAAATGACAAGCTTCAGCAATGAAAAAAAAATCTAGGGTATGAGGTGAATTTTATTCTAATTAAGTCAGATGTTTGTAGGCTAAACAATTTCTATTTGAAATTCTTCCAAATCATTCTAAATCGACAAAACAAGAACCGAAACCGTCAAAAGATGATTCAATTTCCACTTTGTTGTATATAGTAAGTGATTCACCAGAAATTGAGACGGAAACGTCTAGCGAGTTCGACAGGTAATAACTAATTGAGTTTTGAAATAAAAAACATCGTTTAAGATATTCCCAGGAATACGTCGATTTAACTGAAGTAGAAAGCGTGGAATGCTATTGGAAAAGGAAGAGGCAGGAATTCCCGAATTTATTCGAGGCCGCTTGTTACGTTTTCGGAGTTATCCCGTCTGAAGCCGTGTTAATTGTTCTTGGAACACAAATTGCTCAGAAGTTCCCGAACAAAATCTATTGAACCAAAATCTATTGAAAATCACTGTTTTTGTTACTTTTATAAATTTGTTTGTAATAAAGTTTTTATTTTAAATCTATTAGCGGGTCGGGCGGGTCGGGGCGGGTCATGGTGAGAATTTTACCAACCCGCCCCGCCCCGCCCCCGACCCGCCCCGACCCGCCCCGACCCGGGTCGATGGCGGGTCGACCCGGGTCGACCCGGAAATTTGCATGTATGCGTTTTTCTGATGTTTGCAGCAAGTTTTCATAACGAACGAGCAATTATGTAACAAGTAGTTCTATTAATAGAATAGCAAAAACATTAAAAATTGCGAAAATCAATTATAAATGTAGAAATGATGACGGGCGTGGAATATGCCATGGCCGAATAATTCGCGGCCGCTAACGAAATGTTTTTTTTTCGCGAAAACAAATTCGTTTTAGAAAATGCTTTATTCATTTTTTAATTTAATTTTGTTTAATTGTTCGGCTATCTACAATGATGGAACGGGAAACTGATTCTGCAGACGAAGATTTATTTGTTAATTCCGGCACGAATCAGTCCACAAATCAGAACGAGAAAACGTGTAAAATCTCCGACTTGATCGGATGAAAGACAAACTATTTTTTTATTCGTGATAACCGACCCTAAAATAGAGATTCAGGTGACAGTCTAGACGCCACGCGAATTAATGAAGTACAAAGTCTTCTGGAGATGGAGATGCAATTTAAAAATTATTACCTTCAATCTCATTTTGCCACTTCTGAGCACATAATAGAGTGAAATGTTGTTAGATGTTGCAATTTCTCCTTTTCGGTAATTTCTATTCTGCAAATTCGAAGAAGCTTCGTCGTTCAACTTTGACAATTAGTCAGGTGGGTGGTGGAATCGCCTTTTGTTTCTTTTTAAACAATTTTTCGCTTTTTCATTGATGATAATTTAGATACGCCAAATGTACCTGAAAGAGCTGAGCTCCACTTTTCGTCGGTTCGAATTGGAGGTGTGTCACAAATTAATGTCTCTGATATGCGAAATCAATACTTTGCAGTAAATCTTCTATAAAAAGCCTATTGTTGTATTATTGTATTACGATTTCAGATGTTCATTGCTTCTTGACTCTCCTGTGGATTTGGACCGTTCGCTATCAAAAGACCATTACTCTAAGGCCATCCAAAGATTCGTTTCACTGATGCACATGGTCTATAATCTCGGAGAAATCAATCCGTGTGAAAGAAGATTATTGCATTCAACGTCTGCCAGTCGAGTTTTCATTAAAGAAAGCAATCCATCAATTTCTCAAAGTTACGAGAATGACAGTTAAAATACGAAAAGTAGGTTTTTATCATTGTCATAAAGAAAAGTTTTCACTCCAAACGAAATTTTATAGTCAAACACGTTGAGATGCTCAACATGCGCATCTTGTAAAATTGCGATAAATAGAGCACAGATTTCTGCCGAGCGGACGAAAGCAAAAACACATCACAAAGATCATTTGATGCTGATTACGTAAGAAACTCATTAATTTGACGGTTGGCAAATTTATGAAAATTTTTAGTGAAGAACGAATTATATTGGAGCAGTTACAACTGATAAGTCAAGACGTCGCAGAAGACTTTGCATTGATGATCAATGATTGTCCACCTCTCGTCTCCCAAAGTCCATTGATTGCAGGCAGTTATAATTGTTTATTTTTTATCTTTTGTACTCCTAAAATAAACAAGTTTTCAAATATTCCTTGTTAGCTTGTTAAATCGCCAAGATTCTTGTTGCAATAGCGCTATAATCTAACTATCTGAGCTTGTTAAGCATTTTCACTCTTATGTCATAAGTGCGATCAACACTTATCATTTTTTCTATATTACACCAAATTTAACCGAATTCTATTTCTCAACTATTTTCTCATAAATTCACGTTTTTATGACAATTCCGAAATTCATTCGGCATATATTTGCAAGCAAGGTGAGAAAGAAGTGCGAAATCATTAGAAAGATAGATTGCAGACTTGCATTTAACTTCTCAATATTTAAAAATCTCAAATGTTCGCTACAAATAGCTGAAAGGGCCCTGAAGAGGGCCTTTTGGAATTCGGGTGCCGATTAGCCTGACTCGACCCCCAAAGAATGAGGACCGAGTCAGTTGATCTCCTTCGCCACGTAGAGGCTCGACACTTGAAGGAGAGGCTCATCAGCATCAGGCCGAAACCTGATGTGGGTCATCGCCGATCCCACCATGGGGATCACCCAAGGACATCCCACAACTATCATCCGAGGATAATAGAAGTAGAAGTGGTTGGGCAAGCCACGTCTGGCTGGGCCCCGGGTCTACTGGTGATATGGTAATGTGGTTTTTGTGTTCTCAACATAGCAACTTACTACAAAGTAGTAGCAAGCCACTACAATGTAGCAAGTTACTATGCCAAGAAACACGGTCCATGTGCACCCGAAAGGCTGGACATATTGACATAGCTGGCCAATCCACGTCAATATAGGTCTGGGCCAGATGACATCCTGACTAGTATGGAGGACACCCGGTGAAGCAAAGTTCTAAAGCATAACCATCCATAACGCCCATTTCCAAGCACTCGAGAGTACTTGAAACGGGGGCGTTTGGGTAGGGTTCGATTCCCGGCTACGGAATCAGGGCTGAAGGGCTTGCCAGGCCAATCACCCGAATTTAGGATTTAGCGGATAAGCCGCCATCCAGCCAACGCCTCGGCACTACGGGGGATCAGGAAGCCTTGGCGTTTGGGGGAATGACCGACTACGGCCCTAATATAGCCGACTACGGCGGATTAAGTATAAGAGGGGCCCTTAGTATGGCTAATGCTTAAAGGTGGTGGGGGGGGGATTTAGTAGTGGTGGTGAATCGATTCACCGATAGGGTCCTTCCATCGGCAGCGGCAGCAGACGATACCTAAACACCTAAAAAAAATGAACACAAAAAATTAATACGAAGAATAGATAAAAATAAAAGTAAAATAATTAAAAAAATGGAAGGGGGAAGCCAGTCATTAGTGGAATGACTGGCGTGGCCGTAAGTGGTACGACTTTCCCCCGGGAAAAAGAAGAGATGGTTGGTCCCAAACAGTAGGACCGAGAGAGAGAGAGAGAGAATCCCAAGTGGTGGGATATAGAGACGGAAGCCGCGAGTGGCGGCAAGGGGATCAGTCGACTGATAGAGAAAAAGGGACAGTCGCAAGTGGTACGACTGCAGGCAGAAAGGGGAAGGGGAAGCCGGCTTTCCCCCAAAAAAAAGATGGTCCCAAACGGTTGGACCGGGAGGAAGTACAGACGTAAGTGGTACGAATGTACGGAGAGAAGAGAAGAGAGGGAATCCCAAGTGGTGGGATATAGAAGGGGACAGTCGTAAGTGGTACGAATGGCGGATAATAATAATAATAATAATAATAATAATAATAATAATAATAATAATAATAATAAAAATAATAATAAATAATTGGTCCGGACCAAAAATTACCAAATACCCGACACTTTTGCTCCTTAATCGTCGCTTCTTCGAGCCGTCGCCTCCGATCGGATCCATTCGATTCAAGATTCCTGCAATGATCCGAGTTATTCTGATAGACTGTGACTTTTACCAATGGAATCCTTATCATCGATCGATTCGACGCCCCGGGCAGCATCGATCTTTCGCCATTCCCCATTCTTGCTCTTCTTCACGTGATACGTCTACTCATGAATATGGGTTTAAACGAGCCCGCAGGTTATGCGGGGCACGTCGAGGAGCCCGCAAGATCCGCGGGCTTTCCGCAACTCGAGGAGCTGCGAGAACTGACGAAATTGCGCATCCGCCGGCCTTTTATAGTGCCACTGGTGTCGGTGCAAAACTTGCAATAGAGCGCATTTGTCGAAACGAACCGCAAATCGACGATAACTGGCCGCTGACCCTCTTCTGTTAGCACACTCTTTCCTATCAGACGCGCTTTCCCGATCGACGCTGTGTTGCGGTAGAGCGCGCATGTCTCATTGGGGTGCTTGGATTTCGAATTCCTGGTTGAAATGGAAAATTTTTAGGCATGAGAACAGCGAATTAATCAGATATCAGTTTTAATGAGATATTGTCGGCGTCAAACGACTGAAAGGAGGCGGGGAATTCAAATTCGCGAAATCAGTGTAGATTTAAATTTTTCGTTGACTGAATATTAAATGCGCGTACGCTTAAATACAAGGTACGCAATTTTACGTGCTTCTCACTGCCTTGAGACGCATTGGCACATTGCCAATAATTTTTTAATTTTCGTCAAGTCGTTTGATTCCGACAATATACGAAATGAAGTAGAAGCGCCGGAAATTACAAAACATATAACATTTAAAAAATCGAGTATCACAATTCAGTTTTTTCCAGTAAATTATTGATTCCTAGATTCCTTGAATTCAATGCTTTGAAATTCATAAAAATAGAAGCAAATTTTAAACGAGATATTCGAAATTATAGTGTTTTGGGTATATTCTTCTATACTTCATAAATGCCACATAAATTACAGAACTTTAATCGGCATGTGCGACTCGGTGTACGCACACAATGCAAAGGATATCGCTGCAGTTTTTCACATTCGTTATTTTTCCACAATATATATATATATATATATATATATATATATATATATATATATATATATATATATATATATATATATATATATATATATAAATTTCGCTCACTCGTTTTACGCCGATTTATTTCTATTTTGAATTCATACATTCTGAAGAATACGTTTCGTACTGAAGCTCAACAGGCTTTGAACTACTCATCAATATATTCTTAATGCAAATATTTTTTTTTCAACTTTTTATGATCGTTGAAACCTCAAATAAAAAACAACGAATTTCTAACAACTTGAAAAAAAGTAATGATGCTTTAATAAATACAACAAATTCCCCGTAGTTCAACAAATGCCAAAACGATATGCAAAGAAATGGCTAGAGGATGAGCAAACTAAGAAAATCGAAAGGTTTTGGAAGAATTGGATGGTATTCTTCGATATTTTTTGCTTCTGAGATGGCCGTAATACCGCTTAAATCGGTTTCCTGCACTGTTTTCGCGTTTATTTTGTGCAGAAGTTGAAGGAGTGACAACTAAACAAATGAAAATGAGAACCAATGGCGAAATATGGGTCTCACCTCGAAATTCATCGAACAATCTTGATCCTTTTGAACAATACCATGTCGGAATAGAGTAAGAAGTTTGCGATTCTTCGAAATCGGGCGAATCGACAATAATTGGAGATCACAGGGAAGTTCGGAGAAGACGTCGAACTGTTTCTTATTCGATGAGATTGCTACCATAGGTGGATAGATCACATTCTGAACACTTCGATGTCCGAATGCCGAGTGCGACGTCGAATGTTGAGACGAGTCAAAGTCGGCTAGGCCGGTTTCGAGGAGAACCGAGAAGCGCATGTCGACAGGGATCAGATCCACCGGAATCGAGTCTTCTCCGTATCCAAGCCCTTTCCCATCATCCTGATTTAATTTTCGATCTGAAATCTCACGTACGCAAAAACTGACACAAATTTTCTAACCAATATTGATTTCGATGCCGCCGTTCTCATAGAATCTAACGCCGTGCTCAACATTCGATGATACCGTAACCCGTACATCGTCATACTGTACGGCGGCCGATGACGGCATCGGATAGAAATTGGCGGCGACGTTCAGATCTTTATAGAAACTGCGTCGAAGCATTTGAAGACCAACACTGTCGGCGAAACCGAAGAAATTTGAGGAATTCGTCTCGAAGCGAACCATCATTTCGAGATTCCTCTGATTTGCGATATCGACCCGCATCTCAATATCCAACTGTCGGCCGGCGAATCCTTGAATATTCTTAAGACTCGTTCGCTGGTAGATCATATCCATGAACAAATGCGTTGATTGGCGAATGGGCCCGCGAACGTAATAATGGAATTCCGATTTCGGTTTATACTGAAAATTTTTTTAGATCAAATTCGTCAGTTTTGAGGGGAAAAAGTGCTGACCAATTCAGAAGTGGAAACTCGCATCAAGTATGCTCCACCGGACGCGCCTTTGTAGGTCACAAAATTCTGAGCTAAACTCAATTCCTTATTGTTTTCAGTTCGCAACACTGCGGTCTCTACGAGACCGGTGACCTCAGAATGATAAGTTTTCAGAAAATCAGACTCCAATGAATATTTCGATTCGATTTGATCCGAGAAAACACTGAAAATGCGTCAAGATTGATTTCCTTCAATGCAGAAGAATACGTGTGAATTTGTGATTTGAGTTTGTCACTGAACTGCTTTCGCGTCGAGACCTCACAAATCGTGGTTGATTCATCCGCATTATCGACTTTTCTTAACACGAAATTTGTATACGCTAATGGTTTGAGAGAAGCCCCGAATACCAGCTGTAATAGCAGAAAATCTTGAGAAATTCATCGAAAATTTTCAAACCCAAAATTCGTTGTTCTCCAATTTCCCTTTTTCGACAAATGGTTCGATTTGAGCGTTCACGATCTTTCCATTCTCACCAAGTACTTGAATATTTACACTATCCACGCGTACCGCAATAACATCATCTATAGTAGACATCAAGCTGTTGAAGATTGAAAGGGTCCTTCAATTTAATTTTTATAAAATTTTCTACCGCTTTCTATACATTTCTGATTCGATTTTTAATAGCCGCTGTGTTTCGGTTTCAAATTGTTTCCTCGGATACTTTTCCTAAAATATCTATAGTATAATAAATTGGCAAAGAATTACACCAACAATTTGAATTTCTTCAATTTTCTCGATTTCCTCTTTGACGGCAATAATCGAGGAGTGAAGAAGATGGGAATAGTCTTTCATCACACTCACTTTCGATGTTCCTAGAAAATTTAATATTTTAATTGAAACGCATATTTCAATTCCAACGCCAACCTGTAATTGCATCATGATGCTGGAAAAGCGACAAATTTCTTCTCGCAAATTGAAGAACTTCGGATGAATAACCGCCGTGAAGTGCTGATAGTAGATCGGCTGTCCGAATTAGATGCTAAAATTTTTTAATTATTAAAATTATATATTTTTTCTGCCGTTCATTTTCTAGAAATCACAACCGTTTTTCCCCCATAGCAAAACAAAATGCGCGCGAGCAATTTGATGGCCTAATTTCTGATGACCGTTCAGTTGACGGCCACGGCCACCTCCAACCCGGGCTCACTAAACTTCACCTACGTGCAATTCTCTGCCCTGCCGCTTATAAAATGGCCGTGTCGTATAGTAGCCGGTCCAATAATCCCTCAACGCGCACATGTAGGGGAAAAAGTCGCCGGAAAGTGTCGGAGGCTGAGTTTCGGTTTGATTATAATATGATTCAAGCTCGTTGAAATAATCATTGAATGTTCCGAAGCTAGAATAAATTCAGATTTACGAAGAACTCTGATTAAAAGGCACCTTATTTTGACTTCATTTCCCTTATTAATCTCATCAAAAAGCGGCAAGAAATTGTCGTGCTGCTGATGCCACTCCTCGATCATATCATATCGGAAATCATCGCCGAGCATCATCAACAGCACTGGTGCTTCATACATCTCGGACATTTTTCGGAATTGTCCGACAAGTTTCTTCGCTTTTGCCTCAACGTTGCTCGAAGTGATCGCGACGGTCTGACCGCAATGCCATTTCGTAATTCGTTTGAAGTCGAACTCGCAACACACATAGGAGTCGGGACCACAGGAGTTCAATACATCATAGTGGGTGTACGGAAGCACGTGTGTTAAAACATCATTCTCCCCATTCTTATCTGTTACTTTCAAAATTTGATAAATTTGGAAGAAAAACAAAATTCTCACCAAAATATTGCCGCCATCTGAATGGAATTGCATGACGTTGTTGAAGAGAATTTTTCAGCGAATGATGAATGCGGTTAATCACACTTCGCCGAACGCCTGCCTTTCGGAACAAGTAAGGCACCGAATTTGAGTAGCCGAATGGGTCATTCGACCAGACTACAGTGGGTTTTGTATGAAACTCATTTTGAATATAGTCGAAGCCTTCAATGATATTGTCGACCGACACTGGGAACAGTACATTCGCCTCATCTGTCATCACCCAAGAGCCCGAGGCGAGCTCCAAACGACCTTCAGATACGAGTCTGAATTTTTCGAATGATGACAAAGATTCAATGAAGCCAACCTGCGGACATCATCGCGGACTGTCTCATTTTGAATGCGAAACCATCGTTCGAAGAATACAAACTCAGCCCACATGAATCGCATTTTCTCATTTTTCGTCATAAAATTGTGCATATTGGTGAGAATTGCGTTGGTATCGGCAGTGTAACTTTCAAATGTCTTTAACCAGCCTTCAATGCTAATCAATTCAATATTTGCGAAATTTTTTAAAATCGAAATACCTGGATCGACATGCGTAAAAGGGAGCACGAAAACCCTCAACTTTTTGTGTGATTTCGGCTCTTTTGAGTGAATTTGCATATTTCGCAAGCCAACTACCGTTTTGAACATTTCAAATGTCTGAATACATATAACAGTTTTCAGTAGATTGCCTGACGAATAATTACATTGTAATCAGTTTTTGGCTCCTGAATCGGTTCCACATTTCTGCGATATTGCTTTGCAGGAAATTGAAATGGAAAACGGCGCGAAATCTGTAAAAAAATCACATTTCCACTTTTGCGACCGTTTTTGTCAACCAAAAAAATCTACCCAATATTCCACATTTTTTTTCTGTGCATTTGCGTCACGGTGTTTTCACGCATTTCTACGCGCTACCATTTATTTATATTTGTCCGATCAATCAAACCTCAATTGTTAATAAATCAAAATTAAAGACCAAGAATGAAATATATTTGCGAAAAAATACCAAAAATACCTCTAGGCGGCATTTGAAACGAATTTCGCTAGTACGATAGCCATGTTTTTTTTTTTTAATCGCGATCATCTTCTCCACAACTAAAGACCGTACATAGAATACACGTTTTTTTTATTTCTCGACTTCATCTCTAGTCTCAATATTTCTATTTTTTATGGTTATCCGATCCTAAATAAATTAACGATGCACCGTATTTCGAAATTTATTTATTATTTTCCGAACACACTTTCTTAATATTTGGAAATTGAAATGTCTCTCATTTATCCGCAAATGAAATTAATTTTTGCATTTTATTCTGGAATTTTTCTTTTGTTATTTTCTGAAGTTATTCTGCGTTTATTAAAAATTCGTTTGATTTTTTATTTGCACAATTTTATGGCAAATATTAAAGTGAAACGACTCGACGATAGCGAAATTTAAATTATTTACTATATGCTGATGTGTCTCGAGGCAGTGAGAAGTACGCGAGACTGCGTACATTGCATTATAGTTTACGCGCATTTAATATTTAGCCAAAAATTTAAATCTAATTTCGCGAATCTGAAAGCCGATAATATGATTTTTAAAACAATTGCCCAGGAACTTTGGGGTGTGTTTTAATTGACTACAGTAACACAAAAAAAACATGCCGAGAAATCTTACCACACTTTCATATGAACTTCGTCGGTAATATGCAAAACAAAATGTGCAAGCCACAACAATGACGTAGATCAAAATTGTGCGTGAGCTATTTGAAATTCGCCGACGAATCGAGGTTAATTTTCTGCTAACACCCATCTGAAATCGACAAAATCACCAGTGAAATGGATTGGGAAATATCGAATTACGAGAAGAAGCCATATTAGACATTTTACGAAACAAAAGCCGTTGGCTTTATTGAGTTTCTATGGAAAACTAGGTCGTCATAGCAACTCGCCTTTTATCATAATTGTAATATATATTCTGGGTCCACCTGGAGCGGGTCAGGAAATCATTTGGCGACCTACGACGACGCATCAAATTAATGCGCTTCTTGAGTTTAAAATGTTTTGAAGTGAATTTTGTAAAACATTTTTTATTCTTCTAAAAACGGTGTAATTTTAATCAAAATTCCCCAATAATACCTCAAGGTTGCCGAAGTGAAATATTGACAAATATACCAAAATGAGTTGTCGATTGGATCTACATAAATGCGGGAGTAATTTGCAGATTTTGTCTGGTCTTTGAGATTTTTTTTTCTAAAAGATGTATCAATGAAAGCGAAATTTGGAAACAAAATGACATTCCGTTACTGTGTAGATTTCCGGGAAAATTAGTAAAAAGCCTTTTCGAAGAGAAGAAAAACACTAGTTTTATCTAATATGTTTTTTAATTTTTACTCAATTTTACTTATAATGGGCTCTCTTAAAAATGGGCTTGTATGGCAAAAAGTGACGAAATTTGCGAGCCATTGCGCATTTTCCGATTAAGCGCATCGCCATGTCGTTTTGGGAAACTCTGTTTACAATGCACGTTGGAAAATAAATGAAAAATGGATGAAAGGGGAATATATGTGGCAGATCAGTTTTGCATGCTCTTTTGATTCATTGTGTAGTACAGTCGAGAGGGTTTGTTACATTGAGCCCACCATGCGCTCGGACGGAAACCCTGGGTGTGCCTCTGATAGCTTATCAACGATAAAAGAAATAACTTTAGAATGGTTGTTTGAACTATACGTTCTTCATTCTGATAAATAGAAAAAAAAGTGAAATTTTGAAAAAAAAATACGTGCACATGTATGGGTTTGTCGGGAGATTAACTATACATAGTGTCATTGAAAATCGCCGTCGAATACATAAAAATATTGACGATTTATAGCCCAATAAAACTATTAACAAAATTATATGCGATATTTTTTGAATCTGTGAAGTTCTCGTGAAAAAAATAGTATTTAGTATTATACGAAGAGTTTGGTTTGCACATCATTCGTGTGGGAAACACATAAAATGGCTGGACGATTTGTTTGAATCAATCGGTTTTGTATATTTTCAATTCTGTCCTCTGCGAGAGTTTTCGCTTTGTTATCTGTTTGAATATATTTAAAAGTTCTCACACCTTTATTGAGTGTCATCACACAAATATAACGACAAATATAACAAGAAAATGGCTAGATGATAGGCAAACAAAAGAAATTGTATGGTTTCGGAAGAATCGGATGGTAATCCTCGATCCGCGATGGCCGTAATACTTCATTCTCATTGATTCAATTTAAACGGATAAATTCCCCAATTACCCTTTTGTTAGCTATCAAATTATCGGCATTAATTAACTGACATTGATGATTCTTCAAGTGTCAGTCTATGGGCAAAAAAGCAAATCAGACTCGATTCTGGAGTTTTTTTGGTCAACTTTTATGTTCCAGAAATTGACTATACTTACTCAAATAATTCGAAAAGTCGACATACAAATCCATTTTCAGGCCCCACACAACCATAATTCTCATTTCTTCATCCAACTGTTTCGAGTTTTAGAATCCGCCATCTGATGAATTTATTTCACATGAAATTTATATTCTTCTGGATTACTTTATTCCGCACATTTCTTACATTTCGAAATTGCTAAAGACTCGGAGATAATATTCATTTATATAAATTTAAATTAAATGGTGTTCAGACATGCGCACTCGAAATGCGCCAGTGGTCTATCATTGGCGTTTTTGTCGCACCGGCGAATTTCCGAATAATCCACGGCGTTCACACTAGTGGGATTTACATGAAAAAAAGATTTTTCTCAATGGAGCGCACTTGCAGCTTAGCGCTATTCCGGTGCATAAATTCAACAAATTAAATTTGTGAAATAAATTAGAAACATTCTCAAAATGGAGCGTTTTTTCAATAAGAACGATTAGTTTTAATATTTCTTCCGGTGGATCAGATTCACCGCAATTTATGGTCTATTTAGTTATAAATTAAATAAGTTATTTAAATTTATATCGGATCTTTTTTTTGAACATATACATAACATTTTTAAATGATAAAACCATCAATTAAACGAAAGAAATACTACACAATTGAATTATGATATAAAAATTGATGATGTGTAGCAGATGAATTCAATGCGAGTAGATAAAGACGCGAAAGAGATTGAATTCGGAAAAAGAGGATATAAGGACATTTGGAAAATTGCAAAACTAATAGGGAAAAAATACACTTATCAATTTGGAAACAAATGGATAATCAACAAATACATTTAACAAGATGCTCTTTACCAATTTCATTAGGCAGCTTGAAAAGAACACTTTGATGTTATACAACACAAATAGCTTAAAAAAATGCATTTTTGGGCTGAGGACGTCTTTCCATTGGTCTTTTGGAGTAATTCGGAAGTTTAAAAAAAATCTCGAATAGCGAATTGTCCGTGATATCGTTTCATCACTCCGCCAGCTTTTGATTTTCGAGATGGAGTGCTTATCTGAATTCAATAAATGAATTCAATGCGAGTAGATAATGACGCGAGAGAGATAAATAGCGAAAAAAAGAAGCTGAAAACGGTAAAATTAACGTAAGAACTAACGAAATTTAAAAAAAAAACAACAAAAAATTATAGAGAATCTCTTGCAACTTCTCCGCCGTAATGACACACAATTTACATTTAAAATTTGCAAAAAAAATTAAAAATAAACAACTATGAAATGTTTTTCCAAGTGTTACCAAACATAATCGTATAAATCAAACCATATAATATAACAATAAATGATATTAACAAAAGAGAGAGTGAAAAAACAGAGAAAAGAAATGTGAATATTTTTACAGTTCAATCTTTAAAAAACTACGGACCTCTGAATACTTGTCCGATTGAATTATAGTAAAGCTTTTTCGATAGAAAAAAGCCTTGCGAAAAACGTGGTCGGTGCACTTTTTTGTTAAAATTTGAGAAAAATTCAAAAAACTTGAAAAAAGAGTCAAAACCTGGCGATTTTTAAAAAATTCGTCTGCGCGACAAAGACGCCAGCAATCGATCACTGACACAGTTTGAGTTTTCATTTCAGGTAAATCCCACTAGTGTGAACGCCGTGAATCGCAGGTTTCGGCCTCCCCTTTCAAGGATATTGCGGGTTAATCAAAATCTTGCGTAAACCGCGGAGACCACGATGTTTTTTTGGAAAAATTTGGAATATTATTGAATTTGATGAGAATTCAGTGGTCCGGGGTGTTTTAAGCGAACGCCACAAATTTTCAAAATCACACCAATAGATTTTCTGTTTTTTTAGTGAGTTCCGTTTATTAAATAATACTACTTACACGTACGGTAAGTACTTCGTTTATGTATTGTGAGCAAGGGGTCACATTGCTCCATTTTTTTCTTAACCATATTGCTCCACGAGGAAACCAGGCTGTTTCTGCATAAATTAAATGTCATTGTTGAATGTCTCATTGTGGGTCTTCCAAACGGACGTTTTATATTTTCCAGGATCCACTTCTGGATCAGCATTGCCCAACGGCCGAAATGAGTAAATTTTTTTCAGGAAATTCCATAAATGCGAACTTCTTGGTTAGTCGCCAAAAAACTATAGAGACAGGCACATTTCCATTCATCGACGCGAAGTCGCCGAACGCCGATACTTAAATAAGAAGAATTTGTGTAGTGGACGAACGATTTTGGGGTGCGATTGATATATCTCTTGAAATTGCCGTTTCGGGTCTCGTATGGAAAAATTCTTGGGATCAAGTTTGCGTTTTCTAGCCATCATAACATGAAAGAACAATAAGTTTTAACGAATGTGCTGGTTTTTTCTTTCAAATTCGAAATTTTTCCTAACATATTTATGTTGTTGTCAAATGCGGTTTCGCATAATCAGTGAGTGTTATCGAGAATGTTCGAAGCGAGTTATTTACACAACAAATGTAATATAAAATGGAAAATGTGAGTTTTGCACCAATTTTGAACTCGAAATGCACTTGGTATTGGGTGAAAATAAAAGTAATCAATATATTGGTTTGACAACATGATGTTGTGGAGTTTGCCAATGTTTTTTTTTCTATTAGAATAGGAGTGTTTGTTCACTTTCGGGGAAAACCCTAATAAGGAATATGTCGCGTGGAGTTATAACGTGACAAACTAATTTCTAAAAATTGCCATTGTGCACTCAAAATGGCAGTGTTACAGATGGCATTCACCGGCTTGAAATGGAGTCACATAATGGGTCCTTTGTCGGAAATCGATAAAGCGGTGAGTGCAAAACAGCCGTTATGTTGTTTTGGCTAAAAACATGGACACGAGAACTTGTTTTTGAGTCTGACCATTTTTATTCTCTCAATTTTCTTTTTATAGGCAAAAAGAATTTTCTGAAAATGTTCAAAACAGATTTGTACTTGTTTTTTTTTAGATTGGCGCCGTCGCAGACATGATCTGTGGTGAAAAGCAAGAGTGTGAAACTGATACGACTTCCGAAGGCGAAAATGATACAAATGAGCAAGAGGATGAGGTGAAATTAACAAAATGTAATTTTTTTTTCATAACGAATGAGGTAGAAAATTGTTTTCAAAAATTGAATTCCTTCAAAGTTTGAAAATTATGTGGGCTTATTCATGACATTTGCTTTTTTTTTTACAAAAACATATAATGGACTTATTTATGTAATAAAAAATACAACTTTTCCATTACGTGCACTTAAAAAATGCACATTTAATGTAATTTTTTACATTTTTGCGAAAAAAACGACGTTTCATAAATATGTTCATAAAAATTACATTAATTGCTTTTTTTTTTTTTGAAATTTAAAAGTCTCTAAATTTTTTTATATTGTGAGTTTTTTGTATGAATAAATCCAGTAAATTAAATTTATGGAAGCCACATTTCAGCTGAAAAGAAATTGGTGTCAAGTTTGAAGCGAAAAAATACGTGCGATGATGAAGAAAACGACTCATCGTCGCCGAAGAGATCACCAGCTTCCAGCACTGCGGATTCAGACGACAATGGATCGAATAGGCAAATTTTTTTCAACTGAATTTCTTCTAAATGATGATCGATTAAATGTTTTATTCATTTTTTTCAGTTTTCTCACAAGCCTAACTGGTTTCATTATGTCGCCGCGATTTTCGGCGAAAACTCCAAAATACAGCGGAGTGGATTCGTGGGTTCCGGCCGACAATAATGAGGTATTAATGCTTTTCATCAATTAAAATAAAAATTTAAATTTTGTCAGATTGCTGAAATTCCGAAAAATGTGCTCGACAAGTACAAAAAAGTGCACCCAAATATTGAGGCGCCTCAAAAGTTTGTGCTCAAAAATGGCGAGTTCACTGTTCTGACGTGTGCTGTGGCCGATAAGCCGAAACAGGTGAAAGGTGCTGATGAGTCAAGGACGAAAAAGCTGACAAACAGTAAACTGAATAAAACCGAAGTTGCACATTCGCAGTCGGATTCTGCCATTAAAGAGTATGTTGATTTTTCAAATTATAAATTTCATTATTGAATAAGGTTGTTTCCAAGAAAACATTACAGACTGAATGCCCCAGATAAAGATTTTTACTCATTCTTACGGTAAGCATGAATGTTCAGTAATACATATGTTGTCAAATTATTTTTGTAATGATTATGTTGTTTTGTGTATTAAATAGTTTATAAAATTGAAATTCCGGAAGCTCTTACTAAATTTTGATTTTGCTCAGGAAAGAAAAAGCGACAGAAAAAGATACACACGAACCTCTGCATCATTTAGCGATCAAGCTATCAATAGATGACGGACAGAAGTATGTCATGTCGCTCTACAGAAGTTCAAAGGTTGTCAAACTATAGTGATTTTAAAAAGAAATTCCTTTTAGATGAGCGATGTTGTGGCGCTGTGTGAACGGTGCCGCGAGAATCCGGAACTCTTCCGCGTGTTTCCCAAAGACGTCGTCGTCAAGGATTTTGTGAATTTGATTTTCAACGAGCTCCGCGAGAATATGACGTGGAAGTCGGTACATATTGCCGCGAAAATTGGTTTCATTGAGTTTTTTCGAAATATGAAAGAGCACAAATTGGGAAAGTCGGATTGAGTTGTTCCGATATTACCCCAATTTAGGCATATTTAGGAATTTCAATGTGATCGCACAACCGGAAGGATTGTCGCCGCTCATGTTGGCGATTCAAAATGACCAGTAAGACTGATGTTTTAAAGGAAGGAAGGAAAAAAGCTATCTATTCAGACTTGAAACATGCTCTCTTATGATGGAAAAAGGGGCTGATATCACGTACGTGTGTCCAGATGGATCAAATGCTCTGCATATAGCGGCTACCTCGTCAGTGGAGATGATCAAACTGTTATGGGAGACGAAGAAATGCGACGAGATGTTGAATAAGGCTGACGCTTCTGGAAACACGCCGATGTATGTAGCGCTTACGAATGGATATCTATCAAATGCGAGATATCTTAAAGCTATTGGTATACTATAAAAAATAATTATATAAATAAAACATTTAATATATATATTTAGGCGCGAGTCTGACGGCTATTGACGCTACGCATGAAGCGACACCGTTGATTGGCGCACTGAAAAAAGGAAAATTGGATGATTCGTTAGTTTTTAACACAATTTTCGTAGTTGTTATATTTTCAAAACATTTTCTTTTTATAAATTTGTAAAAAATTTATAAAAAGAATATTAAATGTAGATTTTGGGAAGAAAACTCGAAAACTTCAAAACAAAACTAGACTTTTGAGCAAGTGTTTTTACAGTTTTTTAAAATAGTTTTTATAATTTTTTTTAGCACGATCAAAAAAATTCTTGAAATGAAACCCGATGCTCTAAATGAAACCGAACCAATCACGGGAAACACGGTTTTGCATTGTGCCGTTAATAAAAAATCGATTATTCTCCTCCTTGGGCACTATGTAAGCTGTTCTTAAAAAGAAAACAATATCCTTTCGGTTTTAGAAGGATCAATGCAATGCGAGAGCCGTTAACTCGCTGAAACAGACACCATTGCACATATTCGTGTCTCGTGACGACGTCTCTCTTGTTATGACACTTGCCGCTTATGGTGTCGATGTGAACGCAGCGGATTGCAATGGAAACACGCCACTTCATCTCGCAGTAACGGTATGATTATTCGATGCTTGTTTATTGGATGCCGGTATAGTTACAGAAGGGCAGTGTTGCGATGACGAGGACGCTACTCTGCCTTGGAGCTGATCCGAATGTCGTTAACCATTACAAGGAATCGCCAAGACATATAGCCGCAAAGAGCGCTGAACAGTAAGGCATTTAAACAACAGATACTTTGAAAGTTTTACAATATATGTAGATCAAAGGCTATGGACTTGGTGCGTTCATTGATCATTTGCGGAGCTACTGCGTGCGCTAAAGGGTTTGTTGGATGCGCATTTGGTTGCATGCATCGAGATAGTTTGGGAGCATGCCGACAACACATCAATGGTAGTTTCGTTTTTGAAATAGCCGCAAACGTTTTTTTTTTGTAGATCATAAGAAATATGACACCGATAAGGCGAATGTTGAGCGCAACGTTGATTCGATCGCGGTTGATAGCGAAGCAACGACGGCTCCTTACGAATTCGTATTGGACCCGGATACTCATGTCGTTGAAGAAGCATATGCGGAAAAGAATGATATTCGATCATTTCCGCACAAAGTGAATCGAAGTTCACAGAAATGTTTATGATTCATACCGAATTTTAAGCTTGCCTTGGAACGCGTCAAAGCCAAGCTCAAAGAATGCGCCGAAAAAAAGAAGGCGTCGAATTTGATCAATGTTTTGGCGCTCGATGGCGGTGGAATTCGTGGACTTGTCACAGTTCAGGTATTCAAAAATCAAATTGTTATTGATTTCTTGAATTTTTTATGATTCAGATGCTATTATCTGTAGAAGCTCTACTCGATGAACCACTTATTAACTATTTTGACTGGATTGGTGCGACTAGTACGGGTTGTTATATCATGTCGACATTATTGACTGGTATTCATTGTTTTTTGTATTATTTTGACTGAAATTTGAACGTTAGGCCAGACGTTGCGTCAAGCCCAGTGGTACTATCTTCAATTTAAGGATCAACTATTCGATAGTTGGAGTAGACCTTATGATACGACGACGCTCGAGAAATTTATTAAATGCTGCTTTGGTGAGAATCTGAAGATGTCCGACATTGAGTATCCAAAGTGGGCAAAATTGAAGTGATGCTTGAAACGTGCTCGAGCTGTTTCAGAATCTTTTGCACCACAGTTCGTGCCGACACATTTCCAGTGCAATTGGACTTGAATAGAAGTTATCGGTTGCCGATAAGCGCTGAAGAAAATGAAGAACTTGGATTTGCTGATCCAAAGGGTAATTGCTTAGATTGCAAAAATAATTAGTAATGACCAATTTTAGATATGACACTTTGGAAAGCTTGTCGAAGGAGTAGCGCCGCACCGACATATTTTTCAGCTTCAGAAGGTTTGACATTTTGGCATAGTTATCGGGAATCAAATAATTTATTATGAAAAGAAATGGTTAAAGCTGAGAATTTGTCAGATTTCTTGTTGTAAATAATGATGCAGTCTTAATTGGGTGTGGAATACATTTGAAGAGATTTCTAAAATTTTCTGCCAGCAATCTTCGGGTTGATGTTGTTGCGACACCGTAAACGAAAACGTTAAGAAGGCAGCAGAACGAGATTCGAATGTAGAATATGTAGAATTTTGTAGTGTAGGAGAATTTCGCATAATATTGCTGCAAATCGAACATTTTTTAAGTTTTTTTTCTTTCTTTCGCAAGCTGAAATTTACTGGAAAATAGGCGATAAGTTGGGAAGAGAACTCATAAACGAGTAGAAATGTTGTGGTGCTAACGGATTGGAGCATGAGTTGTCGTTCGAAATTCTGAACTCGTCTCGAATTTGTTGACATATTTACGGAGACTGCGGTAACTGGAAATTGTTGGTTAAGCACCTTTTCTGCATATTAATTGCCTTGTTACTCACTAGTATGAGTATTGTCGAGATTGTGCAGAAGCTCACCGTGTTTGATCGAAAGGAATAGGATAAGAGCAATATTCAGAAGCATTGAAAACACTGGGATCAAAAATAGATAGCGGTTTTGGAGTGTTGTTATCTGGAATTGATCAGTTGCTGGTTTCTTTGATTTTTTTTTTAAATAAGCATTTCCAAAAAAGGCAAGAGTCAAAAACATCAAATTTTACAAGTACAGGTGATTTTTATTTTATTTTTAGAGAACCAAGGATTAATTTTCTGTTTTTTTTGCATATTAGTTTGTTCTTAATACTTTTTTGTATTTACCGTATGCCGATTTGGAGCACACGCTGACTCAAATGTGAGCAATCTTTGATTCATATTGATTTGGCATTCGGAGAAGAATGGTATAAGAAGTGAGATAAGTGAAACAATTGCCAGAATTGCGGAATATATCCATAGTTTTTTATCGCTGAATAGATTTGAGGTTGGATCGTAAACTCCGTAGATTCTTTGAACTATCATCAATGGATTTAAATAAAGTGAATGTTCGTAGAAAAATGTGCAAAAGATTGTGAGAACTGGGCCGGTGACTCGTCGGAATTCTAAAAAAATGATGTTCGAAATTTTATGGGCGATTTAAGCTCGGCAATTTTGATTTGAACATCATACCAAGATAGAAATCGTCTTCCCAGATCATTGGCATATAATAGCCGATGAATAGGATGATATTATCAATGGCATTGCATATAAGAAGGTTGTAAATGTAGACGACTGGAATTCTTTCTGAAATTTTTTGAGCTATTCGGTATTTTTTTCTGAAATTAGATTACTTTTATCACCATAGAGGATTACAATGATTAATAGGAGAATATCAAAGATAACTGAGAAGAATAATAATGCGGAGAATAGCAAAAACGGCACGATCATTGTGAGTGAAAGATTCGATTCAAAATGAATTCAGCTGCTCATTCTATCTGCCATGTGCAATGCTATATTAATGAGTGTTTTTAGGCAAGTACATTGATGGTGGAATGATTTCGAACAATCCGACACTCGATATTTTATCGGAGATTTGCTTTTGGAATTCGACTTGTCAGAAGACGGGAGTTGGGGGGAATTGTCATGGAAATGATTGGATGGGAATTGTTTTCAGCACACGTCGAAGATGGTTGACGTTGGATGCGTTTTGTCGGTGGGAACTGGAATCACGCCGGTGTGTCCTGTTGATCCGTCACTTTTCGAGATGAACAATATAATGGGAGTGCTGCGAGGAATAATGAACTTGTCGTTGGTCGTCATTGATCAGGTATGAGGAGAATAAAGTTTGTGTGAGCAATTCATTTACAGGCGACTGCTACCGAAGGTGCACCGATTACCCGATCACGATCATGGTGTCACTCGCTTGGATATCCGTATTATCGATTGAATGCACCGCTTTTCAAGGTGAGCATAAATTGATGTTTGATTAATGGACCATGTATATTTTAGGATATATTTCTTGACTCGAACGATGATATGGAATTGGCGAAAGTAATGTGGGATTCGGTGGTTTATGCGCATACTCATAGGTGATTTATACTTGAAAATCCAAAAAAAAAAAACGAAAAATTTGATTTCTAGAAAGGATTTCGAGGAAGTGGCGAATCTTTTGAAATTGATTGGAACGAATAAGGAAAGAAGAGAGCACCTCAAATTGTAAATATAATAATTTGCTGTAATTTGGTTTCGATTACTGTCATTCCCCCCTCTACCGTAGTCCTCGACCAATTCATCCCCTTCATATGTTAATCTGCTTAATTTATACGAACGTTATACTTTAATTGAATCTAATAGTCAACACCGATTAATAGAAGCTTTAAAACGATATTAATTATTTGGATCTGTGTTTTTTATCGTATGAAACATACTTTTTTGATATTGTTGTATGATTTCGAGTTCAGAATTAAAATTCTTGAATTTAGAAAAATTTAAAGTCAATTATAGTGGCCTCTAAATTTCACTTTTTGCCACTGACTGTTTCTTTTAAAAAAAGAGGATATCTGTGTCGTAAGACGCGTTGCGGTTCGCGTGCGGTCACGTTAAATTTTACTTGAAAACATAAGTTTAGTAATTTGGATGGAAGAATGGACCCCCCTTTCAGAATGCACCCAGTAGATATCAATCAGTTCCATTTTAATTTTGAAAGATTCTGATCGCTGCAAGACATGTCACCAACCGCGTGTGGTCAATTTTTTCGGGTTTTTTTTCAATGAAATGAAATGACGTCTGGAAATTATTATATTTACCTATAGTGTGGGACGGAGTTAACTGCAATTTTCTGCAAGTAGAGACACGATTTCGAAAATTTTTCTATATCTTTGATGCTCACGCGTAAATAATTGTGAGATCAAGTCTAGTTCAAATTTTTATGCGTCACCCACACCTTCGGAAGTTGTCTGTATTTTAGAATACATTTTTGCAATAATAGCCTTTATTATAGTCTGCTTCGGAAAAAATTGTCACAGTGAACCGCTACGAGACTCAGACCCAAAAACTTCTAATGCCGTAATATTGTCGGCTATATTTGGATATAGGTATTAAAAAAAAATATATCGATGGTGGTCTCGGTGCGCGGTGTGCCTTTAACCTATCCTAATGAATTGGTCTGTAAATCTACATTTTTAATTTTGCGCCAAGACAAGGTCCTGTAGCGAAAAAAAATGTTTTTGTTTTGGGGAAACGCACATTATCTATTATTTCAAAAAGCCATTCATTTAAGAATTCCTTTTATCGATTTTCTTGTTTATTTTGGTTTTATCGGAATTTCTATTCGAAATTTTCAAATCATATTTTTTTAGTTCAGGTTTTCTATATACTAATAATATATTTTTTGTCGACCCAATATGTGAAAAAAAAACAAAAACAATTATATAGGTTTTTTGGTAAAAATAGATCGAATTAGGAGGTTATAAATTTTCGCCATTTTTCTTAAATCTTAGCCTAAAAGTTCCACGAATTCTAATTATATTATTGTGGTTCAGACCAAGAAATACTGTATATGAAATCAATACATCACAACATTTATTTCGGATTCAACATGAACCAAATTTTTTTGGAAAAGGTCACATATGTTATTCACAAAGCGTACGACTAATAAGGTCTAAAATTGAGGAAAATAAGAAAAAAACAAGAAAACAAAGACAGGGTAGGCCTGGGAAAAATGAGGGAGGAAAGTCGGATGTTAAAAGAGTAAAGAAAGTTGGGGGGAGGGTGTCGGCAAAAAATTTGGTGACCCGCCCCTTTCAGCCGAAATGCAGACACTCCAAACTTGCGAACTAGACCACTTTTAGCGTATTTAACGTTTCGAATTGAATTTTTAAAACTAAGTGTGTTTCTCTGTTCAAATCACATAATTTTCCAGCCATATTTAGGCAAGTCAAAAAATCTCCAGTTGAAGTGGCGGGGTGTGTCGATAAATATTTCATCCTACCCCGTTCTAATTATGGATAATCAAAAGATGAAAAAAATTACAGCAAAATAACTTCAAAAATGACGAAAAAATGAAATCAAGGTCTGACTAGATTTCACAATTATCATCAACAATTGTGTAACTAGGCTTGAAAAATATTTACAAGCTAAAATTGTGTATTTTACAAAATGAGCTCATTCTCAAAAATGTCTAGACTTTTTTGAATGTTATGAATTTTCATGGCTTCGTCGGACCTAAAACATGAATTTGAATAGCTTATTAATGATGAGTGGGATGATTTTTGAGGTTTGAAGAGATGTCTAATTACAATTAAAAAGACAAACAAAAGTTTATTAATGCCAATTAATCATTTGAACATTTCATAGGTTCAATGTCGATCTCTTCGGAAATGTCGAATGAGCAGATCTTGCGTCGGGTTGAACAATGAAGACTTGCTTGAAGTTGCTCACAAGCAATCGCCGAGTTGAGCTCGTCGCGATGCCGTAAACAAGGAAATTGAGAAGGCATGAGCATGATATTCGAATATAGAATATGTAGAATTTGGTAGTGTAGGAGAATTCTGAATAAATGTGCTAAAATAACAATAATTATATAAATGTTGATAAATAGTTTTAAACAATACCGGAAATAGAGCAATGATTTGCGCGGAAACCTCGTAGATCAAAATGAATGTCGTTGTGGAAATTGATTGAAGCATCAGGGTTCGCTCGAGATTTCGCGCTTTTTTTGAGAACATCAAGTGTGGACCATTGATAACGCTCACCGTTGATGCTGAATATAAGCAGATCAATTTTTTTGTTGAGAAACTCTTAAAATCCATACTGCTTTGCGATCGATTAGAATTTTGCATGAGATATCCTCGCTTCACCGCTAGATATAAAACTAAACCAATATTAAGTATCATTGAGACGAATGGGATCACGAGAAGGTATCGATTTTGAATCAGAGTTATCTGGAAACAATTAACAGTTTGAACTTTTGTCAATATGATATTTATTTAGTCAGATGGGGCTTGAAATTCATGTTTTTTCTTGATATGCATGACTTTTAAAAATCATCTGGTTAGAATATTTTCAGGTTTCTAGAACCATAATTTTATAATGACGTTTTTAAAGCTAAATTCACTGAACTTGTTTTCTTGAGAAGCTTTAGTGCATGATATAATGCTTTGTGGAATTTTTGAGATCCAGAAATTCCATTAAAAGCCGATTTCAAAATAAAATTCATTTTTTCATCAAATTTTTTAAAATTTTATGTAATTCACTTATGATTAATCGTTCATTTATGTCGATTGAGACAGGATACACCAAAGTGGCAATAGTTGTGCACCATCTGATGGATACTCGGGCGTTTCTTTTGCACCAATTAATACTTTAATCATTTTAGACAATTGTTTGAAAGTAATTAGCTTTGTTTTAACGAGAATGGCAGTCACTCAGTTTTGAGAGGGTCAAGATTATCAGAGCACGGAGCACCACAACATAAGAAGCTCTGAGCATGATTTATACTAGAAGAATCGTAAAATTGTAGTTTGACCCAGTATTATGATCTCTTTAAGTTCCAAGAAAAAATAGTTTTCGATATGCTACTCAATTCTAGCCAATGAGTAAACATTTTTCCAAAAATAGTTTATAATCAGCTGCCCACCTCGTTTTTCTCTTGTTTATTGTATTTTGCATGAACTGACCGTATGACGATTTGGAGCACACGCTGACTCAAATGTGAGCAATCTTTGATTCATATTGATTTGGCATTCGGAGAAGAATGGAATGATAAGTGATATCAACGAGAGGATCTGAGAAAAAAATTCAAACATTTTCCGTGTTGAAATTAAAGCTACTGCAATTATTGCGCAATAAATCCAAAGCGATTCGTCGTTGAACAACTTTGTCATCGGACTATAAACACTGCAGATTCTTTGGATCACCATGAGCAAGGATAAATAGTGGGGATGCTCGTAGGAGAATGAGCAAATCAATGTGAAAACGGGGCCAGTAATTGATCGAAATTCTGAAAACAAATTGTAATTGATAATTAGCATAGTTAAAATACCGTAGTAGAAGTCATCATCCCATAGCATTGGCAATAAGAATCCAATGAATAACATAATGATATCCAACGAATTGGCCATAAGTAAATTATAAATATAGACGGTTGGGATTCTTGCTGAAAAAGGAATATTGCTAACTAGAAATTGTTGAATGGTCTCTTACTCTTGTCACCATATACCATAATAACTATGGAGAGATACATATTGAATAGTAAGGCGAATATGAAAATTGTTGAGACGAGAAATTCGAGAATCATGTCGTGAAAATGAATGGAAAAACAAAAAATTTCAGCTGTCCAAGTTGGGAGTTATGATTCGAAATGTTAATAAATTGGCACTCGGAAAATCAGGACAAACCTTTGAGCAAAAAAAATGACATGTTTGTTTAATGCTCCGATTTCCAGAACACAAGTTGAATGGAATAAAAAATTAATATATAAATTAAGCAGTCACATATTAGAATTTTGATGAGTCATTGTAAAAAAAAATAGTTGAAAAATATTTATGTTTCCCAGCTCCCTACCCCTCATTCACTTTTTGAGCCTCGCTTAAATAGGGATGAGAGTGTAATAATGATAAAGGTCGAGTATAATTGAGGTCTGATTAAATATATTTATCTCCTTCCGGGCTCTGATTGATCGACCTGATATTGCCTCCTGAATCACTTACACTTAGATTGGATGTACTTGTCAATTGCGTATTACAATAACTATATTAACCTTCAATGGGTTGTAGCAAAAATAAAAACAAGAGTACAACTCGGAATTATATCAACACCTCGTAGCAAAAAATTTTCAGCTTAGTCTCCTACGATTTATTACATCTTTCGGGTGCGGTATGTTGCTGAACAAGATCGCGTGTCCTATTATCGATCCAGCGTCATATTGACTTCTTCAAGGAGAACTTGCAACTCAAGTTCACCATAAATCTCCAACACGGTGTTCGTTGTTTAATATTTCTATTATCTATTCAATATCACAAACTTCAATTTGCCCTTATTTTAATTGGAAATTCATTTCAACAATCAAAACTATCAGAAATACAACGTGTATACTATTCCTGCATTGGAAGTATTGAGGAAACTCGAATTTTCACAAATTTACGATTCCTAATAAACACATGAAATGTTTCGACGAGAAGCTTTCTTGTTGAAGTGGTGCCAACGCCATACACCAGCACATTGATGAGGCACGACATCGAGATTCGAGAATAAAATATCCAAGATTGAGTGTTTAATGATAATCTCGAATATTCGTCCTAAAATCAAGATATCATTGAATATTTGTGCAAGAATCACACACCCAGAAAATATCAATTAATGTAGCGGAAATCTCATAGGTTAATAGAACCGCAGTTGTATAAATCGATTGGAACATTAGAGTCGTCTCATAATTCTGCGAAGTCGTTCGATCTACTGATCCGCGTTGGCCCGAAGCTGCAAATAAAAATCGTCATGCGGAAACACACTCGATGGAGTGTGTCTGGTCGGACTGATCATTGATAGACCCCGCCCCCTTACCATGAACTCTTGCAACCATAGTTAGCACTTGAGTATGATTGAATTTCAAATAAAAAATGAGACAAATATTGAGAAACATTGATATTGCCGGAATTGCCCCGACGATATTATTTTGATAAATAGTGAGCTAGAATGAATTAAATTTAAAAGAAAACTTGAATTTGCCTTGAATACTGTGTGTCGGTTTGGAGCACATCCGGACTCGAATGTTACTAATCTCTGATTCATTCTTATTCGACATTTGGAGAAAAATGGAATTAATAATATAATAAAGTTCGAAACCTAGATATTGAATTATATAATTTGGTACAGTCGGTTTCTAAAAATAAAAAAAAAAACGACAATATTGTATATGAGCCGCTGCGGTTCACATAACATTTTTTTTTCTCGTAAAATTGTTTCCACCACAGTGGTTTGGTTTGTTCCAAAACGTTCTCATCATCGTTTTTGGATATGACTGCAGCCTACGAGTATTAAAAAAGAAACACACGAACCGCCTGACGGCATTGCCCAATTCGGGTTGTCGCTATTCTTTTTTTTCAGAAACCGACTATAATATTTTTACAATATTACTACTGAAATTGCGATGTATATCCATAGTTTTCTGTTGGTGAACAATTTGTTGGTTGGATAGATGACACAGGAAATTCTGTGGGCAATCATGATTAAAGACAAGCACAATGGCTGCTCATATGATAGGGTGCATATAATAGTGATATAAGACATGATGGAATTGAGAAGTTTTGAAAATAATCAATCATTTTTTTCCAAATTTCCAAACTGTCTTACTATTGAATTGAAAATCATCAAGTAAAATTGGGATCCCAAAACCTATAAATAATGTAATAATATCAACTGAATTAGCAATAATCATAATATAAATATAAACGATTGGAATTCGTGCTGCAAATTTGGTTATTCATTATCAGCTAAAAACTCAGTCTTCACATTTATCCTTTGAAGTATATATCACAAAAAATAATAGAATATTGAATAATATTGCGAATAGAAATATTGAAGAGAACAGTAAGAATACGAGAATATTCCGCATATGTACTACGCCTTTATGCTTTTTTCTTGCATTTGGAATAAAGGTTATAATTTGAGGAACAGCTGAAAGTGGAAACTCCTATTTTTGATATTTAATGTGCTTGATTTGATTTCTGCTTCCAGGTTTTCTATACGGTCGATACATTTTTTAAGTTCATTTAGCAAATCATTACCAAAGCTCGCCATCATTGGACAAATGTGTAATTATTTTTAAATACATATTATTAACTGCTTGAATAAGTTCATAACAAGGGAAATAATTCGTCGAAAAACTCATATTGTCACATTTTTTAAAGCTGAAAATGAATAAGAAATCAATTTTGATGGCGGCACCATTGCCCAGATTCGCAAATTTCGTCTTGGTAAATTCAGGAGCCCGCAGGCATATTGTAATAGTGACGGGCTCCCTGGATCGCTTGTGTTCAAACGAGACGATTCTCATTTGGGACATTTGGCGGCAATTCCAACAAAATATAATTAATTTTAATTTCAGGTAATTGGGGCTCCACGGGAGTTCTCAAAAACACTAGGACACTCCATTCTCCACCCTCAATTCTGCGTGTGGGGCGAATTAAATTTTTTTCCCATATTTCCACCGAAATGTTTCATCCGAAACGAAAAGGCCCCCCTGATCGCTGAGTTGCTTATCATTTACCAAATTCGCTTTCAAAAATTTTTCCGTAGCATCTACTGTAGCTAGTTTTTAAAAGCTTGCCTTCCGTTTCAACTTCTCATTTTTTTTGCGTTTATTCGAAAATCGTATAGAACCCTTATTGAGCGCTCATGAAACATTAATGCGCAAACAACGACTATACACAAAAAAAATCAGTTTTTCTTTTCGCGTTGCCCCCTCTCAAAAAAGTCGCATGACAACCGCAAGAAGAACAACAAAAATGAAAGCATAGAAACGAAAAAAAACTAACAGAAAAAAATAACGAAATACGAATTGGCTGGTCTCCCGTTATTGAATGCAACAGATTCGCTAGTTTTTGTGGAAAATGCTATTAGTAATATTAGTAATACTATTAGACCATGTCACATCGTGCACATGGCCGTCGGTTGACGCCCTGTTCATTTTGGATTCCACCGAGTTTGTCACTTCTTTTCAGCATCAAACCCAAGTCAATTTTTTCAGTCAGGTGGGTAAAATACATTGAAAATCTCGAAATTAATTTTTAGGTAATGAAAGATATGAAATTGAATGAGGCCGGCTCGAAGGTCGCATTGGCGCAATTCACACCAGCCGCCATGATTACTATGAATTTTGCCAATTCGAGTTCACCACAGAGTCGCGTTAATGTAATTATTCTTCTTGCGATTCTAAGGGAATCATTGATGTTCAGGAATTACGGTATTGTCCCTGCGAGAGTCAAAATTGCGAAAAAACCAGTGTCAATTATATTGCCAAATCTTCAATGACATCGATGAATCGAAAATCAGTTCCTGATGTGATTTTGGTGGTATCAAATAGCTATCAGCCTTTGAATGAATTGGTACAAAATTCACTCTAGTTCGGAACATTTTTGAGAAGACAACTTCCAGATGCCCAATGAGCCTTTGATGTCGCCAATTTCACCGCTTCATGTATTTTATGTGGTCATCGGCTCGAACATGCAAATCACTAGATTCGAGCCGTCCGCAAACACGGTTGGTCTGAAAGTCGCCGATTTCGAGCATCTCCCACAATTAGTATCGCCACTATGCGAGAGCGTCAACGGATATGTGAAAGGTATATTATGCGCACAATGGTCCCCCGGTCGTTGAGTCGCCCATCTCGTGTTGCCATGGTCCGAATGAGACGCATCCGAGTTGTTTCGAGCATTCGTCGTTGTTTCCAACCGACAAATGTGTATAGTTGGCAATATATATGAGTAAGATAATTGCCGATATCTCGTGGTGGAATTTCTTGAATTGGAACTCGACGAGTTGCCATCGACAAAACGCTGAACAAACGGTATTCTGGACGGTTCCATGTCAGTTTATCCAGCAAATCATTCATCGAGTTCACTTTGTAATAATCCAATCGAATTGCAGGCAGCTCTCATACACGATTCGGACCACTTTGCTGGATTATCATCGGTGGATTATTGCTATTGTTCTTGCTTATTGCCTGTTGCCTAGGATATGCAATTTATACATATCAAGACGAAAGTAAGTTTAGCGAATTCCGTCGGGACCATGTGAATGGCTGATATTGTGGAAAAATAGGTTCTGAGAAGGGGGCTTACTTGGGATTGTTTGAATTGCCGCTAATTTCACAAAAAATGTTCACTATGAGAATTGCATAAAAACTTGGGCTCCGACATCATTAGATATCTCAAAATTCGCTGCGAACAATTTTCGACCTTCTGACGATTTACCTGCGGAAATTCGAAAAAAAATCCCGAAAAATTTAGGGTACACTATATTTGATATTAATGCAGATTGAACAAACGGGAATCGATAGGAATTCCTTTATGAGATTACAGGGTGGCTGAAAATTACCCGGATTATATGAAAACCAATGTATTTCAGTGAATAATTGTTCAAACACACTCCAATTTCATATTTAGTTTATTTTTACAATAACAAACATAAATAGATTATCGTTGTTCGATTCGATCTCCGCGGTTTCTGATGACGGCGCGAAGACGCCTCGGATATGCGTCGACCGTGGCGTGCAGGTATAAAAATTAAAAAAAAAACATTTCGCTGAAAAAGCACCAGTGCGCCTCACGAAGGCTCGAAATTTTAGTCCGGGTAATTTTCAGCCACCCTGTATATATTTAAGCCAATTTTGAGCAAACCCCGAGTCGACTTTTTTACCAATAAAAACGATATTTGGAAATTCAGATCGCCGCTTAAAATATCGATTAAGCGAAAGCGAAAAAAATCTCAGGAAGCAAAACGAGTACTTCACCGCTCAGCTTCATTCTCAGATGGAGAAGCAGATTCAGAATGGCGAGAAATATGCGGAGGAAATGAAAAAGCAACAAGAGATTATGAAGGTTATTTCAAATATATGTATAATATATTATTTTTCTCAATTTCTTTTCCTGAAGGCTCAACTCGATCGCCAACTGGAAGCTGCTTATCAGCATGGATCCAAAGTTCACATTCTGCCGATCAACGCAGTACATCCGAACGACTCAGGAATATTATGAAATTGTGCGAAATCTAATTAATATTTAATTTCAGATCGAAAAGAAGTAAACCCGAAGCCGAACACGGATGAGCGGCGGGATTCTGGAATAGCGACGTCGCCAAGAGAGAACGAGCAGAAAGTCGAGGTGCCGAATGATAATGCTGAACACTCGGATAAGGAGAGGGAAAAGGGAGATGAGAAAGAAGCTGATAGACATTCTGAATCGTCTTCTACTGATTCATCGACCAGCGATAATGAGAGCGAAGATTTGGAGGAGCTGAACCGAAGAACTCATCTACCAATGGACCATCCTGCGAGAAAATTGCCTCCCATTGATTTAATGTTTCTCGTTGACACCTCCAGTAGCATTGGAATCAATAATTTTGACATTGTAAATTTTTGTGCAATCGCGAAATTGATTTATTTGGGTTTTTTCTAGCTCAAAAATTTCATATGCGAAATCCTCAAAGACGTCGATATTGCGCCGGGACGCTCGCGAATCGCAATGGTTCAGTACGCTCAGGATCCAAGCGTCGTCTTCGGATTCGATCAGTTTTATTCGTACGAAAGTGTGAAGCGAGGCGTGATGCGATTGAATTACACGGGCGGCGCCACGATGCTCTCGAAGGCGTTGGCGTTCGCCGGCGGCATCATGTACCACGAGCAGAATATGAAGAAAACCGTCAAGAAGCATCAATACATGCCAACGCCGAGACATGACAGACCACAGGTGTGTGCTTAGTTTGTGCAGTTTGCACAACATACAGAGTAGATCAATGTTGTAGTCTAAAGTGTGAACTCATAATCAAGCACAGGTGCACCATGTTCACTTCAACGATGTCGTTTTAACTAAAAAAAATGGTCTTCTTTTGTTTGCCACGTGGCCGGTCACGTAAAACTTGTTCACGCGTCAAATTAGTCGTGCAAACTTTTTGTCTATTTGCACATTCTACAAAAAATATGAGTTTGCTTCCGAACCTTGAATTTCTATTTTTGGCGATGGACACCGTTTTAGGTGTTGTGCCTCGTCTCCGATGGATATTCCAATGATAACGCCGACACCGAAAGCATCAATCTTCATGATCGCCTTCACGTCAAGGTATGCGTGTTTTCGATCAATCCATAGTCAATGTTTGACATTCAGATATTTGCCATCGTCTCGCGCATTTTCAACAAAAACAAACTTGTTCCAATAACGCGATTCGAGGGCTCGGTGTTCACGATTCACCAACGCGAAAGTGTCGCGATTTGGCTGTGGCGGCAACAGGTGGAAAACCTCGGAAAATTCAAGACCAAGTGATTTTGATTCCAATTTTTTTGCAGAGAATCTGGGCCGAACATTATAGTCATTTTGTTGAAAAAGAGAAAAGACGCGAGGGGAAATAATCCGGCGAACTCTTTCAAATACTTCACACACGTCTTTCGCAAAAAAATTGTTGTATTGCCAATTGAATTGAATGAATCATCATTGTGTACTATCCAATTTATATTTGTTTATTTTTTTGGTGGATTCGGCGCGTTAAAGTTTAAACAGGCAATGTACAATAATAGACGTGTGGAAAGGGCACTTGATTGAGAGGGGTGGATTGGTTAGAAAAATCAGAGCACTGAGCGGAATGAAATCAATTATTTTTTGGAGAGTTGACTGGCAAAAAAAATGTCATTTTTTCTTGGTCTGGCAATTAGTTTTTCAATGCGAAAAACGCGATGATAGTGAGCAGCGAGGCGAGGATCTTGCTCGTCGATGATGAGTTGCACAGCTCGTCGCGGCAGCAGCACGCCTTATCGGTCTTCGATCCGACGCAGCCATCTCTCTGAAATGAAAAATGATAAGTGATGCGAATTGGAATTCTCTCTCGAGAGAATGAATAATATATGTCAATTTTCGAATTTTTGAGTCGATCAGAAAATTTTTGCCGAAAACTTGTGACTACAAGATGTCTATATTTTTTCTTCTGTGGTTTGTGGCCTGCAAAGAGCAAAACTTACAATGCAGAGGTTCGGTGTTCCACAGGCTCTTCCTTCCACCCACGTCTTGTCGTCGTTGAAATCTCTTGTCTCCAAATAGCTCTTGTAGCAGTATTGCGCCTCAGCCGGGCAGTCAATCTGAAAATCGAGGTCAAAAATTGGAAGGCTGCTATCGGCATCTCACCCATGTCTTCATGGCATTCTTGGCGACACTGGATTTGGTGTAGTCATAGCATCGAATCGAATCGACGTTTGGGATGATGAACGCGGCGAGAATAAGCGCGACGAGGGCGAATTGCGACATGTCTCGGAACGTCGAGATTTCGTTGACTGATTCGAACGAATCAAATCTTCTTAGTTTCGAAACAAACTCTTGATGGTGGGCGGAGTCGGTGTCGCGCGGCAATATTTGAACAGCCTGTAAACTGCTGTGCGGCACTCGTGTTGACTTCCTACCTATACTCTCAAATTGTGACGGCGCAAATAGTTGGCCGCCGCGAAAATTTTGAGGAGGAAAAAAAAGTCGAGTAAGTGAGTTGGACTGTTAGTCAACACGATTTTTTTCTCTGTGTTCTATGTGCGAATTTTTGGGTTTGGTGGGCGGAGGCTCAATTTTTTTCAGTCAAGTTTTTTGACACGTTCGAGGTGCTGATGAGTGCCACTTGACAACTTACGCTTGTTTGAGTGACAAAGTATTCGATGACAGATTAGATATGAGTTTTGAGATTAATAGTAATACATATGTAGTTTGGAATGTTCAGAAAATTTATTCATCAGTTGTCCTTTTTTGGAATAATAAATTCTAGTGAATAGAAGGATTTGGGTGTCATTTAAATTGCCGCCTTTGGTCCCGCATCGAAAATTACTTAAGAGCAAGTTTTGCACTTTTTTACTTGGGACAATGTAGAGAAAAATAAAATAATAATTTTTTTTCAAATTTATTTAACTTTTTTCAATTTTTATAAATTATACAAATTTTCTCTGCATTGTCGTAACTATAAAAAGTGAATAAAGAGCATAATTTTATGGATTTAAAAAAATTAGAAACTCTTTTTTCAATTCGGAACACTAATTCAAATATTTAAATTGAGAAAATTAATTTTTTCTAAAAATTCTCAATGCTGGGAATCGAATTTATTCAGATTGTTTTCTAGAATTAAAAAAAAAATTCTGAGGTTAATAGAAATTGATATTGGATCATGAAGGATCTTAAAATCCCGTTCAAATTTTAAAAAAGTCATGAAACTACTTGAAAATCTCTCCTTCCAATTATGGAAATGACCACTTCAAGTAAAGCCAATTAGCCATATTTGGGAGTTGCGATTTCTTGAAATGCCTACCCATTGAGTGTTACATCTATTATCCGGCTCGATTTTGTGTGTTTAGTAAACAACAATGAGCCTAAATTTACCCATGACTTTGTCAATAAAACAGCTTTATATAAAACAATATCGCAGCAAAAAAAAATAGACGCCAAATATTTGCGAATGTTCTCAAAATGCCAACTTGTTGTTAATTCCTGGCATGTCAAGAGGCGATTTCTTTTAATAAATCATGAAGTTTGAAACAAAAATTTTATTTTTGCATTCCTCTCAATTTTGGAGTTTTCGAATAGCGGAAACTTGAAAGGCAAATGCGATTCGACAAAAATCAATGGCGAACTGATTGTAAATAATAACAATGGTGAGAGTATAGATTTCAGAATCGAAGGGGATGGGGGGTTTCGACGTCGCTGACGTGAAAGACACCCGAAACTCGGTTATCTGTTTCCGGCTCTCACCTCTCGAAATCCGCGGCACTTTTTTTTGTGTGTTTTGTGTTGAAAAAATAAGCTGTCATACTCGTATGTTGTTACGCATCGAGCTCTCTTTCTTTTCAATTTTTTTTCAAAAAAAAAAAAAACAGAAAAGTGCGTTCCTCATTTGTGTTCGTGACAAGTCGAAAATATTTGTCGATGCTTATTGAAACTTGCGACAAGATGCAACAAAAGCCACTGCAACCTCCTGGGTTGCCTTTAGACATTCTCGAGCGGATACCGAATCGAATTAATTTGTCTTGATGACATGCCTCTCTGAAAATGCTTCTGACTATATTATAGATAGCACTATTTATTGGAATTGACGATTTCTGAATTTTGTAGGAAAAAATAATACAAATTTAAATATTGGTCAAGTGTTCCAAAAAAACTATTGAAATAAAATTTTTGAACCTATTTGCCAAATTTAGAAGGCTTTTTACCTAATTATGCTTTTGGTTCTTAACGGCACAATTCGGAAAAATTAAAAATCAGTTTTTTGAGTGTTTTTTTTCGCTAAATGTGCACAATAGCATAAATAAAATGAATATATCAATTAATATATTCTAGACTTGCAAAATTTTCGAAGTTGCCATTTTTAGATAATGTGAATCAATTTGTCAAATTTTACGTAAAAAAAGTCAATCTTGACTTTTTTGCATTTCGTTGAATATGGCTGTGATTTTTTAGGATCGACCTTTTTCTCTTTTGATCGATCTTCTGAAGAAGGGGGGGGGGCACGAGTTTAAAGGGGGTGCGAGGGGTAGCCTATGATTTAAATTTTTTGCGCCATTGTCTTCTAAGCTGGAGTAGAAATTGTTTTAAATAAACGTAGAGGAGACATTAAAGATTCATTCGAACATTTTTTACACGCTTGCTCACTATAGAAAATTCGTCAAATTAATTTTCTACAATTCATCCATTTTTTTTTCTCAGCAATTCAATTAAAAAAATCACAATTCCAAAAAGATTTATATGAAAATTATTAATACACTGAGGAATTTTGTGATTCGTCTGATCGGTCTTTATTCAAGATATAACAATTTTGTCTTCAAGAAGCACCTTATAGTCGGCGACTGCTGTATGGTTCCGTCGCATGTGATTTATTGTTTCTAGTTGAGTTTGAAATTTTTATATCATTGAAATTTAAAATAATTATATCAGCTCTTAAAAATCGGAATAACAAAGTTTTTGCTGACTATAATTTATTTCTATATTTCATACTTCGAATTTAAAATATCAATTTTCTGGAATTCACTAATTTGATCTTTAAACCGCTTGGTGCAGACTGTTCCCAAACAGATTTTTTGGGAATGTTTGCGAATTTTTGCAGATTGAATTTCAAAGTGCAAATTGACGCCTAATTTTTTTGTGTCACTTCGGCATGTTTACGTCTGACCTGCAGAACAGACATACTGAATTCCGTTCATTGTGTAGTCGAACACGATTCGCACGGTGTCGGTCGGTAACGCAACAAGTGAAGCCCCTCATTTGCTCGCCGCATCGTCCTCCAACCGGACGATTGTTCTTGAGGCGCTTTTCGCGCATTTGCGCGACGAACAACAAACACACTGCGTCTCGTCGAACGACGCGCTATCCGCTAGCCGATCGCGCCCGACTCTCGTCTGATTCTGAATTCGATGCGCCCCCCCCCCCTCGATTTCATACGGTGCTCACAAGCAGTGTGTTTTCCGGACTCGCCACCAGTTCTCGATAGCTTGCCAAACGGATCATGGCAGCGATACTCGGCTTTTTAATTTTCGCATCGATCGCGTTGTCTGAATCACAAGATTTCTATTCGCAGGTTATTTTGAGCATTTATTTTCACAGGTTGGATCAGGCGATTTTTAGGGTCCATATGTCCAACAGCCACGAGCATCGTCCGGTAGTCAAACAGTACAACGACCTTATCCAATTATAGAATCGGTTAGTTTTCAGTAAATCAAAATTTGAATTACCGCCTTCCCCATGGTCCCAGTATTCTTTTTTTCTTTTCAATGGTAATAATGAATTTGAATTGGGTGGATCTTCAGGTTTCTGGATCTGACGGTGTCGATCTTTACGAGGAAGAGGAGGTCGAGCCGACATTCAAAGTTGTTCGGCCACAATTTCCATTCCCTGAGTCTGAAATTCCTGGAACAATCCCACCACCGGTTAATCCGGAGCCGTCTACATCGCAGCCTGACCATAGCTATGCGATCAATTATTGCGATAAGGTTATAATCGACAGTACTCCTTTATATATTGTATAATTATGTGATTTTTCAGAGAGAATTTCCAGACGAGGTTTTAGCTCAATATGACCTTGAGAGGATCGATTATTTCATTTACAATACCTCATGCTCCCACATTTTCTTTCAGGTCCCCCAGTTCGCAATTTGATTTCGTTAATCGCTTCTCCATTTTCAGTGTTCCATTGGTCAGACATTCATGCTTCAGTGCACATCGGAAGATCAAGCGTTCGACAGATCGACGGAAAATTGCAACTTCAAAAACGCGGTCAAAATATGTCCCGAATACGACCACGTGCTTCATTGCAGTAAGTTTATTGCAAACTTCTCGCCGTCTGCAAACATTCTGCAGACGAAAAAAAATTTAATTATGAGTTGAATTATGTCGAGTGCAAATCGCGATTTGTTTCTTGACAATTATTACCAATGCTCACAAACCAGAATGTCTCATATGCTATCAGTCATCATTTCGAAGCAGCAATTGATAATTAAGCTATTTTCTAGCAAAACCCATGTCTGGAAATCAGAGATTAAATTTGATTTCCTAGTAAAGCTTGGTGATAGTGCAAGAGATAATTGATCTCTTGTGAATTCTCATTTATTTGATAGCATTCAATTTATTGTCATGAATAGAGGAATTTGAGAGATTTGGCATTGAATTGGTTTATATAGCGACAATTTTGTGAACATTCAAAATTCGTAAAATTCTGGAACAATTATAATAGCTAGAAAATGGACAAATCGCTCCACGCGAGACCTAATTCGAATCAAAGTGCGATCTAGAATACAATAAAAATTTGATGGAATTAATTTTTTTTTCCAGCTGTCAAAGACACTTGTACTGCCAATGAGTTTGCTTGCTGTGCAGTTCCACAGACTTGCATTCATATGAGCAAACGATGCGATGGGCACTCGGATTGTGCCGATGGCGAAGATGAGAACAATTGCCGTACGAATAGAATATTGCCGACGAATCAGTGTTCTCAATTTTCAGCATCATGCGCGCGAGATGAGTTCGCCTGTGTGAAAAGCGGTCATTGCATTCCGGCGAATAAGCGATGCGATGGTGTTGCCGATGACTGTGAAGACGGTTCGAATCTTGACGAAATCGGTTGTAGCAAAAACACAAGTATATTATTTGGATTTGAGCTTCTCCTTAATATCCAGATTAAGCTTGCGTTGGCAAATTCATGTGCGATCTTTCGCGCGGCGGCGTTTCGTGCATTGATTGGGAATACCATTGCGATGGCAAACAGGACTGTCTCGCCGGCGAAGACGAGATCAACTGCAAGCAGCAGGAGCGTGCCAAATACCTTCTCTGTGAGAATCAGAAGCAATCTGTCACCAAGGCGCAATGGTGCAATGGTGAAAATGATTGTGCCGACGGATCGGATGAAAAGTATTGCTATTAATCAGTATTCAATTTTTTATTGGTTTGAATCCCAAAAATTGTATAATTTATGAATGTACATATTGAAAAAAAAAGTTGGAAATAAAAATAGTTGAAATGTTTACGATAGCGATTAACCTTCGTTTCAATGTCGATGAGGCAAACAGTCAAAACTAGTAAGTCATATGCTGGTCTACACGAGTCTCCCAAAAATTATTTTCACCTTATTTGCATTGCTTCCAACCGTTCAATGTATATTATGCGTTAATTCGACGTCCTATAAGGGTAGAAGCTTGGGACCACCAAAAACTATAACATGTTCTTCGCAGTGTGTGAAGACTATGCAAGTGGCCCCCACAATTGAAGGTTGGTATTTTTATATTAAAAAAATACCCCCCGGAACAAAAAAATTCAGAAAATAACTATGAAGTCCTTTCGATTCATCGCGAGTGCTACGAAGAATTGCCAGAAAACGATGGTTGTGTGGACTCGTATGAAGGATCGACGAGAAGGCCGACAGGCCCGCATTTGATCACATGCTTCTGCTCAACGGATCTATGCAATTTTTAATTTTGAATCTCTATGTATATATTTTCTTTGCATAAAAATTCTCACAGAATCGAATAACAAGCCAGCTATATACCTCCCCCACCCCTTAATTAGCCGCCCTCGCGCCCTTCTACGCTATAACTTCAGTCGGTGATAATGCGCTCACCGCGAGCACACCTTCTTTTATTCGTGCTCTCATGCGCTCTGCGAGCGAACTCCGCGTTCAATATTCTTGTATACTCGCCGAGAATGATGCAGAGTCACGTGAACTTCATCGCCGAAATTGCGAACGTTCTGGCGAAACATGGGCATTTTGTGGTATTTTGGAGGAACACCAATTTTGGGCAAAAAAAGATCATAGATTACATGGTTTTCAGACGGTTATTGATAGTGTACTTCGCGACAATATTGGAAATGCTCTTTCCAAAGATGTTCAGAATGTTGTGACAGTCTCCACCGTATACAAGATTTCAAAAAAGAAAAGAGCATTCGCATTATTTTCAGTCTCGAGAGGTCACCAATATCCTCGATTCCAATGACTCCCTTCCCGAATTCCTTTGGCGATCGCGATTGTCGCCTGATGATCAGCGTGTGGTAATCAGTTGCCGACAAAATTCAAAATTAAATCGCGAATTCAGTTAATGGAAAAGCTAGGCATTATCCATCGCGAGCAATGCGTTCATCTTCTCAAAAATACGAATACAATTCAGCAATTGAAGAAGCACACATTTGATTTTGCAATTCATGAAGTTTTTGATGTATGCGGTCTAGGTATCAATGAAAGATAAATGAAAAAAAAAAACATTTTGTCCGTCTAGGCATTTTCGAAGCTCTTGGAATTAAAAAATCAATTATTGCTTCATCTACGGTTATCATTGACATCGTGTCACTGGTTTTAGGAATCACACATCCCATTAATCACATTTGTAAGTTTAAAGTGTTGTGTTGGCAATATCATTTGAATTGCCGCCATGGGTCTATTATGGAAAAACATTTGAAGCGAGCCTAGCAATCGTAATATGAAAGCTGATTAAAGCAATTTTGATCGTTAAGTGGCTTTTTAGGGAACCAATTAAATAACGTCGCGCGGAGTTCAAAATTTTCAACCCCCCCCCCTCCCCCAATCAAATAAAATCTATTTTAGCTCTGTTATCCGATTACGGAAGTGAAATTGGAATATTAAATGTTCGTCGAAGTTTGCAATTCACCGAAGCCATGACGAACTTCTATTATGTGCAGAAGGACGTGGTTGAGCCGTTGACTCGAGAAATCTATGGAACTAATTCGACATTCGAGGCTACTTCTTTTTGCCGTCGTCCATATTCAATCTTATAATCCATTTTTTAGGAGACAATGAGAAGGACTAATCTCCTTTATACAAATAGTAATCCGTTCTCGGATGCGAAACGTCCCTGGTCTCGACACACATTTGAGATCGGCGGCATCGCGTTCAGACAGCCGTCGGTTGTACCTCAGGTACGCTCATTCTCAATTTCTAAGATGCACGCGCCCGTGATTTAGGAGTACATCGATTTGATTTATAATCGAAAAACGGTGGTGTTGGTCTCGTTCGGAACCGCGGCGCCCTCGTTCAAAATGCCGAACAATATCAAAACATCGCTGATTAAAGCGATGAAACTCATGCCGGACGTTCTATTCATTTGGAAGTACGAGGATGACGATGAAATAACGCAAATGGATATTAAGAACGTCGTGTTTAAACCATTCATTCCTCAAATCGACCTTCTTGGTATTCGAAACAACTCGAATTTCAAATATTGGTGCTTTCAGAAACTGGAATGATTTCTCTTTTTATCACCCATGGCGGCCAAAATAGTTTATTGGAATCGTTTAAAACTGCTACTAAGACCCTCGTGGTTTCCTTATTTGGAGATCAGCATAGGTTTAAAACAATGGGTCTCTAACATCATACAACGTATTTCAGAAATAGCCACGCTGCGCTTGAAGCTGGCCTCATCGATGTGCTTCCCAAAAAAGACCTGGCGAATCCCAAGAAGGTTTTGGCTGCCATTCGAAAATGCCTTTTTGACAATGAAAAGTTGACATTGTCAAAATTTTAACATTGTTTTAAAGCAATTTCAGAGACGACATGAAATTGAGGCGAATCGCGGAATCGCTTCGAGACGCCAAAAACAAATCGGAGGAATTGCTGCTGCACACCATCGAGATGACGTATTCGATTCGAGACCCACCCGATTTTTCAAATTACCCCAAATATATGAGCCCGGCCACTTTATTAGCCTTATATGATTGTTTTGCAATCGCTGGAATTTTATCAGTTACAGTTTTTGTGATATTGAAGTTGAGACAAGAAGCCAACGAGAATGAGAAGATGAAAAAGAATAATTAATTATTTAAATAAAAGATTTCTTGCATCTGGCACATTTCAAATAAAAAATAATGATGGAATCTTGGCGAAGCCGAAATCCATTTGATTTAATGGTGATAAATTAAAAGTGCCACCTGGGCCAATCGCATTTCGGATCAACAAAAAATGTGCTTGGCTGAATTTTTTTTTGCGCGAAACTCAACTTTTGATTGAACTTTTCGGAAAAGATGTTTTATAAGCTTAAACTTATAATAATATAATTATCTGAATGATTTAACAAACGGAAAATGAAACCCAGAATTGAGAATTAAAAATAAAACAAAGCAAAGCTAAATACTCTCTGTAGTTGCGCGTCAACTCCGGTATGTGTGTATACACCGAGTGTTGACCGTACGCCCACGGTGATAAAGCGAGCTTCCTCGTGGCACGTAATTTGGAAATTCTGGCGCCGGAGTGATTTCATTCTGAAAAATGAAGAACACATATCGACTGCTGAAAATGTTGAAAATCTCATATAAATTCTAGAGCAAATATTGGGATTTTTACAGTTGATAGAGGCCCAGAAAAGATCCAAATTGCGCTGAAAACAACCTCTTTATTTTGTGAATTGGGGGTCAAAGGGTCCGAAAAATTCAAAGTACAAAGTTCATTTCTTTAATGTTTGGTGAAATCTAAATGACCCTGATTGTTAGCTACAGTATTCGAAATGAATATATTTTCTGCTTTTCGAAATCACGAACATACCGCTATTTTAGAAGCAGGCGCGTCTTCTTTTTCCCATTGCTCAAAGAAAAAGATCCTTCATCAATACCCCATGGCATATTTCATTCGTCTGAACATCGAACCAACGAATCTGACAACAATCCCATATCATCTTCTGAGCTCAATTGTGTCAGTGCAGATGCAACTCAATCCGACAACTATGAGAGAGAAGCCAGGAAGATGGTATATAGGTGATCCATTCGAGTGTAAAGTAACTCATGCGTTTTTTCTTGCTTGCGTTTTTTTTTTATTTTATTTTATCACTTCTCTATTGGCTCTTCGGCATCTGTTATTATAGTGTGTATGTGACGGCGAGCATTCTCCTCTTCATCTCTCATTCTCTTTTTTCTCCGCTCTTGTCACGTTTTATTCTCATCGTATATTAGTGATCATCAATTTGCAGGATTACATGAAAAGTAATGGGACGACTAGTAAAGAAGCTGCCGGTGCGACAGCGGCAAGAAGTAAGAGCGCCGATAGTCGATGGAAGACGATGAATAAGAATATCGGAAATGTGGTGGTGAAAAGTTTGCCGAATTTTAATAGAGCTGTAAGTCACTGAAATTTTCATTTTGATTTGTACAAATTTTTAAAATCGGTTTCTTTGTATTCAATTTTATCGGTGTGATTTGTTTTTTTCAGAAATTCCGAATTATTATCATTTTCTGAAATAAACGTGGCTTTCACTTAGAATCCATGATATAATTAAAGGCGCATAACGCGTCATGTGGCAACTATTTTTGGTAGCTGCTTCTATTTTTCGGATCTTTTATTAAAAATATCCGCCCTCAGCACTTTGCTATCTTTTAAAAATTCGTGCAATGATGAAATAGACGTGCACAATGGGTTATTGTGGACCATTGTATATTTTGGGGAGGAGGCGGTAATTCAAATTTTTGTTTTTTGTATTTCCGCCGGCTTGTGGTAAATCCCGGAAAATGTCCGAAGACGTATAAAACGAATTTTTGTTGGTGGCCAAAAAAACCCCTGGCCCGGAATTATAGGGCTTTGGTCCGGACCAAAATCCTCCATTTGGATAGCCTTGAGCGAACCGGATAACCGGCGAATCAAACTCACGAGTGGCCGTAAATAGGTTTCTATTTTTTTTTTTGCGATTGTAATAGAAAAAATTATAAAAAATGGGGGGAATTATTTCTTCTTTAAGAATTGAGTTATTACAAAAAAAATTAATTTTTTATCCCCAGCGAATATATCGTTTTCAGGAAGCTAAAAACAGCACCACCACTGAGTCGAAAGTGATAATAGAGGATCAATCGAAAAAGAAGCGAAAGAAGCGAAAGAAAAATGAGGCCGAAGAAGAAATGCCTCAAATCGAGGACCCTTTTGTGAAAGCGATGAAGGAAAAAGTAATAAAATTCGAACATGCAATTGATTGAACGCAAATTTTGAAGGAAAAACGGCAAAAAGTGAAAATTGCGAGTCAAGATGCGCGAAAAAAGACATTATGGCGACACATCGCTTGGCTCGTCATCCTCTTCGCGTTCTCCTTATTTGGCGGTGTGATATTCAGCGCAATCGAAGGTATGCATTCTGTTTCGATGCTCTGATTGACAAGTGCAAGTCGGGGCAAAGAGCAATTTCGAGACGCAAACGCATATCCGTTTTGCAATCGATTTGAAAGTCTCGTTCAGGTGGACACGAAACGACACTGTTGATCAAGAAATTCGAGCACGACAAAGATATTTACGAGCGTAGGAATTTGTATCAACAGCAATTATTTCAAAGGTAAATTGAGGGAATAAAAACGCAATTAATTTGGGTGTTGAAGATTGCAACAAATCCGAGAAGATAACACAACAGTTCGAGGGAAAAGCTTAGCGGATTATAGGAATGAGCAATCGCAGATGGCTCTAGAATGGTAGGGAATCGTCTCTATGAAGGAGCTGATAGTCATAAATTTGAATTAATTCAGGTATGAGCAAAAGCTAGGGCTTCATGTTGAGATTCCGCAAATGCGAGAAACCAAATGGAATCTTTGGGGAGGTGTCTATTATTCAGCAAGTCTCTACACAACAATTGGTGCATTTCTCAAAAAAAAAGCAAAAATGAATTCAGTTTGTTCTTACCAATTTTTTAAGGCTACGGCAACTTCCATCCGGAAACCAAAAGCGGTCGAATCATATCGATGTTGTACGCGTGCGTTGGCATCCCATTGGTGTTCACAATTCTCCTCGATTGGGGATTTTTGTATTTCGGATGGATCGAGTACGCTTGGAACCGTTTCAATGAGAACTTCTGCCAGAAGAGTTTGCAACGGGAAATGCAGAGGCGTGTGAAACGCGAGAGGTTCGATTTAAAAATTATTATATTGAAATATGTATAATTGAAGAATTCGAAAAGTTGGCAGCGAATTGTCATTGTCTTCTACTGCTCCTCTATTACATCGCACCACTACGCAATTATCAAATCCCACCCAACATGTAACGCTCCTTTAAATTCGATTAGAATCGACGGCTTCATTTCCAGATCGAATCCATTCATCCATTGACCCCATTGGAAGTTGATGTTCCCGTCAGCGAGCAAGTCCAAACAGTGCCCATTAAAGCGGCGGCAATTTTCTTCTTCCTCTGGATTGTCATTTCAGCGTTTATCGTTCGGTAGAATAGTCCGATTCATGTTCGCATACATTCGAATTTGATTTGTTTAGACTTTGGGAGTACGAATGGACCTACTTCACCGCTTTCTACTTTTTTTTCACATCGCTTACGACTATTGGATTAGGAGATGTTGTCACAAAAACGCCCAACTTCATTATTTTCAACTTGGCGATGACACTTGTTGGATTATCCGTTGTTGGATTGTGCGCTGCCATTGTTCAGGTTGGTTGACATGAAGTTCGCCTCATTCAAATTCTTGATTAGGCCAAAGTGAAGCTGGTGTTTGACCGAATGATGCGAAGTATTGAAGCTCAATATCGCATTCGTCAGGTTGATCCGCATGTTGCGACAATGAGCATCGTTGAGGACGAGGAGGAAGGTGTGAAGCGGCTGATTCAGTCTCAATCTTTAGAAGATCGAATTATATTCCTATTTGTCGATGAGCATAAAAAGAGTATGCTGAAAGAAAAATGGAAGCAGAGGAGTAATATGATTAATAGGTATGCTGAATAATTACAGTGATTGGAAAAATAGGTGGATTTTTAAAGGATCACTCAAACATATCCGTCGAGAGCTGACAAATACGTTCAAACTGGTCAACGGGTTTATGATCAACCAAGGGGTTCCGATGATGATTATAGTGCTGACGAAGATGAAGAAGTAGGCATTATTTGCAGTAAGGCCGACTTTTGTCAATTTCAGGAATTTGAGTATGACGAGCAAGGCAACAAAGTGATACCGCCGCCGGTCCGACGGTACATTTACACTGTGTTCGATTAGAACGCACAAACCACAAACCATACGTGTACGATATATTTTATTTGGGCATAAATAGTTTTTAATGGTTGTGAGACTGAATGCAAAAAAGTATTATGAATGGAACATTTTTTAATGGAATATTTCTCTTGCACCAAAAATATACAGATTCTGACATTTCGATCAGAAGGTCATCATCGGGAAGTCAATTATCTATACATAATAACAAGGTGAAAATAGGAGGATTCAGTGAATCAGGGAATATACACTTATGTATTGTAGAATATTACTATATTGATGTAAAAATTGTGTGCGATATAATTCATAATTCGGTGATGAAGTCACAAACCAGAATACGAAGGTTTCAATTCATGGATCTTTCAACTTCAAAAATGGTTGATAATTTTTGTGCTTTGTGCTTAAAAAATGCGATACTGCAATTATCACTAAAAAATAAAACCTATAAATAATGTTGGCTAGGGACAATGATAGATAAAAAATGAGTTTGTCGGTGGCCGCACATGGAATTTTGAAGACCCATTTGACATGGGATGAAGTGGAGCACGAACTTCAGAAGGCATTCAATACCAATGCTCATTTTGGTCCCAATAAGTCGGCTACAAGTGTTGGAGATTTGAAGGTAATATTTTAATAAAAAATAGTAAAGGTGCTGTATTTTTAGGGATTCATGTCGAAAATTGCGCTGATTGATCCCGATTGGCAAAACAAGAAAAGTGACGAAAAATTGCCGGAAAAATTCATCGTCAAGGTTGATTTGCATTTCTAATCAAATAATTTCATTGAAGTATATCATTCAGATTTGTTCCCAACTTCCACTATTGGAAATGAGAGATCATATGAAAGTTGGATCCGAAGAAGAATTTGAACAGAAAATTCATGAGTTCAGCGGCATCGTAAAAATGGTAACTAAATATATGTAAATATGTTATGTCTAGAAACTTGCACATCATATAAAAGGTATTAAACAAGAATTCTTTAGTTCCATAACCGCGAAGTTGAATCGTACAGGCTTATTGATAAATATGGAAAAGGGAAAATTGCAACGACAAAGGTTGGCATGATAAAATTGAGCTCAAATAATTCATAGTTAATTTTCAGATTTATGCGTCGAGAAAATTTGATGAAACGAATCAACTCAAAGGATTCATTATCTCCGAGTATTTTCCTGATATTCAACATATTCCAACACACGACTCAATTTCTTATGAGGATATGAGACCGGTATGAATTGTAAGAAAATGTGAAATTCAATGCTTCTAAAATGGGCGCCAAAAATGCCCACATGGCAAAATAAAACATAGTTAATTCTTTTTTCATAAATTTAATGTATTTTTAAAAGAAATCGGCAAAATATTAAAAAACAATTCAGATAATAAATAAAAAAAATCGAAATAATGATGGACGTGAAATGTGGGATGGCCGAATAATTAGCGGCCGCGATTGAAACGAGGAAGCGCTTCTTATTGAAATTGACCTAAATTATTAAAATTCCCGATAGTTGTAAATGATTGACACTATATGAATGGTGATTTTCAGATTGTGAAAGCGGTTGCTGAATTTTCAGCTCTTGGTGAATATATGCTGGAAAATGAATTGGAATTCGCAAAGACGAGCAGTATGGCTTCGGTTGTTGAGAATTTTCTAGATGACAAGGTTTCTTATTTTTTTTAGAAACTTATTTCTAAAAATGTGCAACGATTATTTTAAGAGTGTGGACAATTTCAATAGCTTGTTCAAGGAAAAAATGCCGGCCGAGCATGAGCCCAAAATCGACGAATACATCAGCATTATCAAAGAATTTTATACGTCATCGCAGTTTTTGAAAAATTTCGAAAAAATGCACGAGATCATCAATCATAAACCGGTTCTCATTCACTGTGATCTATGGGCATCGAATCTTTTATGCGCTAAAACCAAAGAGAATCACGTCGAGCTGAAAGCTATTATTGACTTCCAGGTTTTTAATTTATCCCCCTTCTTAAAAATAATCATTATTGCAATTTCAGACGGTATCCGTTGGATCTCCAGGAATGGACGTCGGGCGTCTCTTCACTTCAAGCTTGACTACTAAGGATCGTAGAGATCATCTTGACGATCTCCTTCATCTCTACTACGAGACCTTTGTGAGCAAGTTAGAGGGAAAGAAGCCCCCATATACGTTCGAGCAGGTAGGAGAGCACATGAAAAAAAACCAAATTGAATGTGATTTGTAGTTGAAATCATCTTACTTTCTCGCGTTTCCCATTTTGGCATTTCTAGTTATTCCGACAATGGGAACATTTTTAGATCAAACCAATATTGCGGAAGATCTTCGGCAAAAGGTGAATTAAGCTAAACACTACCAATAAAACTAAGAATTGCAATTGAAAATTTTCAGATAAATGAATTGGCGATTGAAAAAATGATAGGGCTATTAGATGATGCGATCGAAATCCATAAGAAGAATTTTGCTGAATTCCCAATTTTTTATCAATAATTCGTAAAATTGTAATAAATGTTTGATTAAATGCATATTAGAGCAATTTTTATTCTTAGGACGATACGACGATTTCAGAACTTCCAGCGTTGAGATCTTGGCTTCTGACTTCATAAGCGACATCGGTGAGAAATGGCACTCTCAGCTTGGTGACCAGCTTCATGTAATCCTTGTCATTGACGGTCCAAGCAATTACAGAGAAGCCTTTTTCGTGAGACTCTCGAACAATATTCCTGGAATGTTGGGGGGAACCGGGCGGTTTCAAATGAATTATTCAAATATCTCACTCAGATATTAGCTTATAGCTTAGCATTAGCACATCGACACCGAGGAATCTGGGTAGAATGTAAGTTGGACTGACTGAAAACGCAAAGCAGTGAATCTAAGAAGGCTCGAATACCTAGCATATTAATTTCATCCAGCACTTCGTTAAACCAGTGATAGAATACATTCACAGTGAACGGTTTTTTCCTTTCATCGTCACTGAATGAATAGTAGGATCGATCTAGGGTTAGTCCTAAATCTCAATGAAATTTTCAATTCCTTTTATTTTTCAATCAACCAGTAATAATTTTCGGATCAATTTTTTTCAATCGATACGGAATCATTGGATTGAAACTGCTCACCATGACTTTATTGTAAATCCTTCGAGACCCTGAATATCTCATTCAAAATTTTGACGATTTATTCAATCGACGAAAACCGATTTCCTCGGCGACTTTTAAAATTAGTTTAAGGTTATCATTCTTCATATCATTCTTCAAACAACATTTTCATATTGTTCGCGAGGCACCATTCAATTGTCTCGTTCAGTTGATTGATGACCGCAGAAACACCACTAAAAACTAATTTTTGCAATAAATATACATTGAATCGTTTAATTACTTGACTTGATTGAGTTGGACCCTCTCGATATCCTTCCATGGGGTACTTGAAATAACAATATTCGTTTTTCCGGTCCGTCCTGTAATCGAGACTGTACTTGAATGGCAAAATTTGAAGCACCTGTCGTCTCATCATGCATCAATAAAGGAATCCCATCTGCGGACATGTGGATGTCGAACTCGACTAGTTGGCATCCTTCTTCTTTTGCCTAATCAAATAATTTAGCATTTTTGAATTTGCCAATATTTGCACCTTCTTAAAACTTTCGATGGTGTTTTCGGGCGCGTGAACTGGAGAGCCCCGATGGCCGCCAACGCGAAAATTAGTGAAAAATTCGACAGTGTTCTGAAATTCAAAAAATAAATTTTTTTGGAAGAAATCCGATTTTTTAAGACACTTATTATTACATCATTAGAGTAATATGTATCATTTTTGAATATAAAATATAAAAATGTCAGTGCAATCGGTGTACAAAACACGATGTAGATCAAGCCGGTACATCGGCCGAGAACTAATAGAAATGTCACACAAGTAAGAATACCCCTGAAATTGAAAATGAATCGGCGAAAGTTTGAGAGAAATGATACCATAGGAAGAGAAATGCCCACATGGGGATATTCGCGAAATGTTAAATGATCGAGTAGTAATTGAAAATGATAATTAGAAAAAAAAACGTGGACGGGATAATAGATTTTTTTTCAAATAAAAGAAGGCTTCGAGAAATATGGCCTAGTTCACGTGGGATTTGAATGATTTGAATACCATTCTAATCTTGAAAAGCAATGCCGAAATTAAAAAAAAAATTTATTATTTTGCTTGAGCTTGACTCAAATTGTGTTTTTTTGTGCGATAACATGGTAGAATGGAGTGTAGAAAATCAAAGCTCAAGAATTTGCACAAAAATTTTTCCAGTTATTAAACTATTTGCGGTTTCTTATAGAATTCAATCCAATTCTGAAAAATTTTCAAATTGCACATTCTTTGTATGAATGCGAATTATTAATGAAAATAAAAAAAATGGCGTTCCTAGTGATAAAATAGCATAACCAAAATAGAATGAAGGCTGCTTAAAAAATCGTGTGATTGTGCGAGACGTGCTGTCTCAATTTTCTGGTGTCTGCCATTTTTTTCAAAATCTTCATCGAGTTCCACAATCATGAACTCCGATTTTTTGTTTCTGAATTAACAACAGGACACGGTCAGAGAATTATAGAGTGCTCATTTTCTGACCTGTAGGAGAAATATGATCAATTATTTTATGTTCTAGTGCACATGGGCATACGAGTAATGGTTTATGAATGATAACGATGCGGAATTGTTATCAAAACGCGTATAAATATGATGGTATATTGAGACTAATTCTGATATAATCATGAGTTTGTCGGTGGCCGCACATGGAATTTTGAAGACCCATTTGACATGGGATGAAGTGGAGCACGAACTTCAGAAGGCATTCAATACCAAGGCTCATTTTGGTCCTAATAAGTCTGCAACTAGTATTAGTGATTTCAAGGTAAAATTTGGCTATAATATGTATAATAAAATTGTGCAATTTAGGGTTTTATGTCGAAAATCGCCTTGATCGAACCTGATTGGCAGAATGTGGCAACCGATGAAAATCTTCCAGAGAAATTCATTGTCAAGGTTTGCTATTTCACATGCTCCATTTCGAATATCGATTTTTCATTTTAGATTTCGTCTCAGCTTGCTTTCGTTGAATTGAGAAATGTGATGAAAATGGGCACTGACGAGCAATTCGAGAAAAAGATTAAACAATTGACAGAGGTTACGAGAAAGGTCTCAAAAATTGACTGCTCCACTATGCATATAAAATAATTTCAGTTCCACAATCATGAAGTTGAATCCTATCGGTTGCTTGAAAAGTATGCCGGGGGAGAAATTGCGATAACAAAAGTAAGAAATATTGAGGAAATAGAGGAATGGACGGTTTTTTTTAGATTTTTGCAACAAGAAAATTTGATAGTGAGAATCAACTCAAAGGATTTATCATCTCGGAATATATTCCTGATACTCAACACATTCCACTGTACGAATCAATTTCATATGAAGACATTCAGCCAGTATTATTAGTAGTCCGTATTTCACTTAAAAATTTGATTTTTTAGATTGTCAAAGCGGCTGCTTTATTTTCAGCGGTTGGCGAGAATATGCTGGAAGACGAACTGGAATATACGAAAGACCACAATATGGCTTCGATTATCGGCAAATTTCTTGACGAGGAGGTATTTTTTTTCAGTGCAAGTCATATTTTCTTCAAATTTGAATTGCAGAATCTGAATAATGTTGTAAGTCTTCTCAAAGAGAAATTCCCAACTGAGCATGAGGACAAAATTGATGAGTATTTTGATATTATCAAAAGGTTTTACGCGGAGCCCGAATTTTTGATGAAATATGCGAAAATGCATACATTCCTGAGACATAAGCCCGTTTTGATTCATTGCGATTTGTGGAGCTCAAATCTGTTGTGCACAAAATCCGACGATCATCACGTTAAGCTTAAAGCTATAATTGATTTTCAGGTTATTAGGGTTTCGTTGAACTCGAGATAATCATTCTAGTTTAGACGGTGTCCACCGGATCACCAGGAATTGATTTGGGCCGATTATTCACATCGAGTTTGACGGCAAAAGATCGCAGAGAGCATCTCGACGATCTCCTTCATCTCTACTATTCCACATTTATAGGCAAATTGGCGGGAAAGCCACAACCGTATAATTTTACTCAGGCAAATAGTCAGCGAAAAGGAAAATATAAAAAATTATTTTTGCAGCTCAAAATATCATATAACATCGCGTTTCCACTTTTGACGCTTCTGGTGATTCCAGCAATGACGCCACTTCTTGAACAAGCAAATGTTCCAGAAAACCTGCGTGAAACGGTATGCATATTTAAAGTGTTATTAAAATTTAAATTAATAAGGATTTGATTGATTATAGACTTTTTTGTTGATTTCAATTATACGGAAATGTTTCAGATGCGAGAAGCTGCAATTGAAAAAATGGTGGGACTGTTGGAAGATGCCATCGAAACACACAAACGAAATGTGGAAGAGATTCCAGAATTCTATAATTAATGATTAAACATTACAATAAATGTTTTTGAAATTCTATGAACGCTGTTTTGAAATATGTAGTACAATTTCAAAACAATATGCGAGACGTCGTACTGTCAACATTGGGAAACAAATCGTGGGTGATGATTGTTTCGCCAAAGGTCAACACACAAATTAAACACCAATGTTGCGCAATTTTGCAGAAAGTTGAACAATATTGTCATAGTGATATAAGAACAAAAATAGTCGACGAAAAATTTTAAATTATGAGTTTGTCGGTGGCCGCACATGGAATTTTGAAGACCCATTTGACATGGGATGAAGTGGAGCACGAACTTCAGAAGGCATTCAATACCAATGCTCATTTTGGTCCCAATAAGTCGGCAACCAGTATTGGAGATTTGAAGGTAATATTTTAATAAAAAATAGTAAAGGTGCTGCATTTTTAGGGATTCATGTCGAAAATTGCGCTGATTGATCCCGACTGGCAAGGAAAATCAATAAACGAGCATCTTTCAGAAAAATTCATTGTTAAGGCGAGTTTTTGGATGTTGCCATGAATAAATCAACGTTTCAGATTTCATCGCAACTGGTTTTTGTAGAAATGAGAAGAAGCCTGATGCAGTTAGATGATGATGAGAAACTTGAAGAAACTCTCAAATCATTAGGGCCAATTGTTCGATTGGTTAATTGCAATTGAATCCGTATTCTAATTAATAATTGTTTAGTTTCACAATCGAGAAGTCGATATGTACAAGATTTTGATGAAGCTGAATGAGAAAGAAATTCCATTCACTGAAATTTATGCAGCCAAAAAATTTGACGATCAAAACAATCTCAAAGGTTTTATTATATCGGAGTATATTCCAAATATTCGGCATATTGGAATGCATGAATGCATGAATTATAATGATATTATAAAGGTAGCAAGTTTAGGGGACAGTTTTTTTTTCAATTTTTCATCTCAGCCCTTTTTAGGTTGTCAAGTCTGCTGCAATTTTTTCAGCGATTGGGAATATTTCAGACAAGGAGGAATTAAAGTTTGCTGAAGGCGAAAATATGCTGACTTTATTAATGTCTCAGGTCATTGATGAATCGGTAGCTCATTTAAAATATAAAATTATTTTCGAGTAATTTTCAATAGGGTCTCAACAGGGTTCTTACTCAACTCAAAACCGCCTTCTCTTCCGAATACCGGCCAAAATTGGAGAAGCTCGAACAGCTCTACAAATCGATTTATTCGACGCGAGCATATTTGGACAAAATTTCGAAGTTGCACAATTACAGGGTGTCATTTAAGTTCCCGCACAACTTTGAAGACGTATATTTCTGAAACTAAAAGTCTAAATCAAACAAGACTCGAAATATTATTTATCTATAGTACAACAAATAATTATCTATTAACTTTTTTCGATTTGGCCTCTTTTCGCAGCTATGACTTCACGGAGACGCTTCGGGTAGGATGTGACTGTGGTACGCAGGTATTCGATGGAAAGATTGTCCCATTCCGCCAGTAATGTCTTCTTCAGAGCCTCTACACTTGAGTGGGGTTTTGCGTTGACCTTCTCCTGCAAGACCCCATCACGGAAAAGTCAAGCGGGTTCAGGTCTGAGGAGCAAGCAGGCCATTCGGATGACTTGATAAAGTCGGGAAAATGGGTCTGGCACCACTCCTGAGTAGTTTTGGCAGTGTGGGCGAGTGCTCCGTCCCGCTGAAAGATCCATTTCTGCCCACCGAAATGTGTTTGCCCAGGACATCGCATGCTTCCCCAAAATGTCACAACGTAGACTTCTTTGTTCACTTTCACCCCCTTTTCCACCAAAACCAGGGGGCACTTCCCGGTTGAGCAGATGGCACCGAAAGCCGTCACACTGACAGGATGTGAGGCTCGATGAATTGTTCTGCCTTTCCCAGAAGCTTGCTAGGATGTCTGGGCAAGTACTCGAGGATTTTAAGAGTTAAATGCCGCCTCCATAGTGAACAGCTTCTCGTCGGAGAAGACAGTGACGAGGTGTTGTCCAGACCGCGTGCGAGCAAGAAGTCGTTTTGCTTTTTCGAAGCGTCTCTGCTTGTTGACGGCTGATAGAATTGCCGCTTTTTGGACACGATATGGGGTCAGTACAAGCTTTGTTTTGACGATTTGTTCCATAGCGAAGATGCTCATTCCCATGTCTGACGCTATCTTTCTCATGCTTCTGTGGGGGTATCGCCTGATCCTCGATTTGACGGCGTTGATCTTCTGAGGAGTGGTTACTGAGACGAGTCTTCCTTGTCTGGGACGGTCACTGGTCGTATTTAGCTCCTTGAAACGTTTGATGGTGTCATAAACCGTTCTACGAGGCACAGCGAGGCGTTCAATGATGTCTCTCGGGCTCACATTTTGCTTATGAAGTTCGATAATGGAAGCGCGATGGATGTTAGCCTTCGCCATTTCTCGGAAACACATCAGAATGAGGTGAAACTTGGAAAGTAAGTAAAATATACCTTGTTCAATAAAAATAAATTGTATTGGTGCACGAAAAGTGCGTTAGCGAAGCTCTAAATGGCGTCAAATTTTTGTGCGGGAACTTAAATGACACCCTGTATTTTGCGCATGAGCCGGTGCTCATCCATTGCGATTTATGGTCGTCGAATTTGCTGTGCGATTTATGGTCGTCGAATTTGCTGTGCACTCGACGACCCAATGATGGGGCAGAATTGAAGGCGATCATCGATTTTCAGGTAATCACTTCTTGAAAATCAAATCGAAAACTTTTTTGCTCAAGACTGTCTCGTTTGGCTCACCGGGCATTGATCTTGCTCGATTATTTGTTTCGAGTTTATCTTCAAAAGACCGCAATGAGCATCTTGATGATCTACTCAATCTCTATTATGACACATTTGAAAGTAAATTGCAAGGCAGCAAACCATCCTATACAATGGAGCAGGTAGAAATGCTCCAGAGAGTCTAAAATCTGAATACCTTCAGCTGAAAGATTCCTACTATCTCTGTGTTCCTCTATTTACACTTCCCGGAATTGTTCCTCAATTAGAACTCTCAAATGTTGCAAGCAGTGAATTGAAAAAAGTGAGTCTGAATTGAACTGAAGCAAGAAATTGAAAGTACGTTTTTATAGGAGCGTAAAATCGCAATGAGCAAAATGATTGGATTAGTTGAGGACTCGTTGGCGGCTCATGAAATTAACGTGAAAAATCATTTGAAAATGTTGATTAATAATAATTAATTTGTTAATTGTTTTCTTTCAATTAAAAGATTTTATCTAAATTATTTGAATTTTGGATTCTTGTTGAGAGAAACCGCAAAACGATTGCGAAATATTGCCAAACACCTTTGTACTTTGATAACGAGAGAAGAGAAAAATCAAACATCACAATTTGTCCCTTCATTTTACCGACCGTCATGTTTATTTTTTCTATTATTATTATAGTCGGCGTCCGGCGACTGCTGTACGCGGGTAGATTTACGCGCATGCGCCTTGAAAAGGTCTCGTCACGTGTGAATGCTTATTTTGCTGTTCTCACGTTAACTGCTTCATTTTTCTTGATGAGTTTCAATTTCCAACGTCATTCCATTCGATTAAAAAATTATCGAACCGGTCCATAAAATTTGAAATAACCTGCTAGTCCGTGCGAGACCATTTCGAAAGACGCATTCCCGTAAATCTACCCGCGTACAGCAGTCGCCGGACGCCGACTATAATTCTATGCACATTTTTGGAGAGAAAAACGAAAATGGTTAATTTCCGCAATATCATTCTTTTTTGAGTTTTTCGAGCACAAATCGTGTCCGCAGGAATCGTATGTTTCCATCGAGAACATCGTTAGTGAAAATTGCTATTATATATTAATCACATTGAGGAAATATACATAAAGTATGGTACCAACTGAACACCCATCGCGGGAGCCCTACGGACTCATATGTGGACCCATTATGTGCCCGTCGCATTTCACCTGTTCACAATATTTGGGACCATATGAATCATATTTCATCCATAAAATAAGAAATTCATTATTTTCGTATATTGCAGAGATACGGCGTTCGAAGAATGAGGAGTTGTAATTAAAAAATAGATTTAAAAAAAATACTCAAATCCTCTTTAAAAATCACAATAACTAATTTTTTTTTTAGAATTATTTTTAAACTTTATGAGAAAACGCATGTTACAGTTCATTTTTTTAGATATAATCTCTAAAAAAAAATCACTACAGTAATAATTTGAAATGCAGGAATGTCGCTGGCTGATTACGGAAACGGAATTCTGCGAACACATGTGACATGGGAAGAAATCGAGAAGAGAATGCAAGAATCGCTTGGAACGAAGGCGAAATTCGGAGTGAATAAAAAAGCGACAAGTATTGGTGATATGAAGGTACATATTTGTTCCCCATTGTTCGCCAATTTTCTTTTAAGGGATTCTGCTCGATAATTGCTTTGATTGAGCCCGAATGGGTCGAAAAAAAGGACCACGAAAATCTGCCGGAAAAGTTTATCTGCAAAATCAGCAGCTTGCTGAGCTTCTACGATATGAAAGAAATGATAGCATTGAAGGATGAAGATGGTTGGACGAGCGAGAAGTTTGAGAACATGGCGCCATTGTTAAGAGATGTAGGAAGAATATTTCAATGAGTATTTCCAAGCTTCTCTGATTCAGACCCATAATCGAGAAGTTTCGACATATTTGATTTTGATGCGAGAGTTCAACAATGGCCGCACAAATTTGCAATTTCCCAAAGTTTATGCGACTCGAAAATTCGATGACGAGAATTTACTGCAAGGCTATATTTTAACAGAGTTCTTTCCGAACTTATGCGATGTTCCCAATCATGAATGCATTTCGATAAAGGAATTTGAGCCGGTAGGCTTTTCCATACCTCAAATCTTCATTCTTGTCCCTTTTCAGGTTGTCAGAGCGATTGCCTCATTTTCAGCGATGGGCGTGAATCTAAGTGATAGCGATTTGAAATTTTCCAAAGATTTTCAAGTCGTCAAAGTGCTCTTCGAGCAATTCTTTAATAATGAGGTATTTATGTATATTTTGTCAGGCGTTCTCGAAATTACGATATTCTGGGATTCCAAAGTATTTCCACTGCAATGAAATCCAATTTCCCTCCGGAGTATTTGGTAAAAATTGACGAATTTATTCAAATGTTCACAACGGAATTCACATCGCCGAAATTTGTCGAGAATTTGGCCAACGCTGCACATCTTCTAAATCATCGCCCGGTTTTATTGCACGGCGATCTGTGCTCTTCGAACTGCTTATTTTCCAGAGACCAACACGACACGCTAGAATTCAAAGCTTTAATCGATTTTCAAGTGATTTCGAAATTAATTAAAGCAAATCGATTCAATAATACAGTTGGCTTCTTTGGGCTCACCGGGTCAGGATGCAGCTCGCCTGTTTGCCACATGTCTCGGGAAAACCGAGCGCCGTCAGAATAGGGACCATCTTCTCAGAATTTACTATGATCAATTTGTGAACGACATCGGGGATCGCGAGATTCCATACACATTTGAGCAGCTCGTCCAATCATATGAGCTATTCTTCCCGTCAATGGCGTTCACAACAATTCCGAGTATTTCGCAGTTTCTGGAGAACACCAATATCGAAGAGTGTGAAAGGAATTGGGTAATTGATCTACCAATTATGGGAAACTAGAAGAAATATATACAGTGCGCGTCATAATGATACGCCACCCCCCAAATTTCGCAGTTTTGAGAAAACCATATAAATTGGTGACGAGGCAATTTCATTTTCGAATTCAGGGCCATTAAAAACCTATACACGCGTATTTTCATGAGGTTCCGTTGGTCCGTATCCATACAGCCCGAAAAAGTTTGATTTTCAAGCGCGTCATAATGATACGCCACCCCTTATTTTTTGTCTTTTCTTTCGACATTTTTGCATGTCTCTCGCTGATTTTTTTGTATTTTGTACAGTTTTTCAACAATCTTGTTATTTTATCCATAGAACGATCGTCCGTTTTAGTTTTGGCTTGAAATCGGGCCGAATTCGGTCCTTTGAACGACTTCGTTTCGTTTAAGGACTAAAACGCAAGAAAAAAGTCTAAATAACTATAAGACAACAAGTTAGAACGCGAGAACACACCAAAGTCAATAGTTAGTAGTCTCTCCATAGTTTTGGATCACTTCACATATTCGGTTTCGCATTCTGTCGGCGAGTTCCTTGAGGTATGCAAGTGACCCACTGTTCCATTCCAGTCAAATTGCGGCCTTCAGCTCATAAAAGGTTGGCATTCTGTGTGCGGACAGCCTGACCGATTTTTCACTTATAAACTATTTTCACTACTTATCCTTCTCATAATCATCGGCCGCGGAAAATCTCTTACATTAGCTCACAGGATAAAGCTCAAATTGACATTATGGTATAACTCAATCAGAGAGTCAAGCCGATTAAGGATGGTATCGGACGTTTTCGAAAATCTAACTGTATACGTAACTACGAAATTTCTTTAAAATTTGTTTCACGAATTTCAACAAGACAATCCAGTCATTCACAAGAGCTGCAGCATCTTCAATTGGTTTTAGTATCAAACTTTTGGATGGATCAGCCAGCTCCTCAACTTCAATCTCGTCGAAAACGTCTGAAGGCTTCTTGAACGTTCCTTTCGCTCAAAAAGCAGAATGCGAACCTTTTATGAGCTGAAGGCCGCAATTTGACTGGAATGGAACAGTGGGTCACTTGCATACCTCAAGGAACTCGCCGACAGAATGCGAAACCGAATATGTGAAGTGATCCAAAACTATGGAGAGACTACTAATTATTGAATTTGGTGTGTTCTCGCGTTCAAACTTGTTTTACTTTGGATATTTAGACCTTTTTCTTGCGTTTTAGTCCTTAAACGAAACGAAGTCGTTCAAAGGACCGAATTCGGCCCGATTTCAAGCCAAAACTAAAACGGACGATCGTTCTATGGATAAAATAACAAGATTGTTGAAAAACTGTACAAAATACAAAAAAATCAGCGAGAGACATGCAAAAATGTCGAAAGAAAAGACAAAAAATAAGGGGTGGCGTATCATTATGACGCGCTTGAAAATCAAACTTTTTCGGGCTGTATGGATACGGACCAACGGAATCTCATGAAAATACGCGTGTATAGGTTTTTAATGGCCCTGAATTCGAAAATGAAATTGCCTCGTCACCAATTTATATGGTTTTCTCAAAACTGCGAAATTTGGGGGGTGGCGTATCATTATGACGCGCACTGTATATAAAATACATTTCGATAATGATTCAGACTGAAATTTTCAGCAATATGGACCAGCAATGGATAAAATGATAGGATTATTGGAGGATATTCTGGAAACACACAAGGATAACAAAAAGAAATATCCGCAGTTTTTTTGAACAATTTTAAATCAATATTTGTTAATTTTATTATGGTTATGAGGATTTCCACAAAAATGGCTTCAAAGGCAATAAAAAGTAGCAAAACCCCTATACAGATTGAGGGAAAAACTATTTTAACCAGGTTTTTTTTTTGACAATCTGCGGACTTCATTCACTGGCGTACCTGTACCGACATGTCGTTGGTTTTACAACGGCAATGAACTTCTCGATGGTAGCTATCGAATTTGTTTTTGACTTTAATTATTTTACAATTCCATATTTAGGACTCGATGGCTACACAATCATCACAACTGATGCCGAGTCGTCGTTGATCATCAATTTTGTCGAGAAGAAACATTTTGGTGAATATTTATGCACAATTCGCAACACGAACGGCGAAGAGCTCGCGAATGCGATGATTCTATCGGAAGGTAGACGGTGTTTGGTGCAATATATCGTGTTCTCATATGTCCATGTTGCAGTCATTTTATACAGTTTGCTTGTGCTTGTCAATGTCTATGTGAATCGTTGTGTGGTAAAAATTTTCAGATTTGTGTTTGATGTAATCGATTCCAGGCTTGTCAATTTGGAGGATCCGGGCTTCTTCTTTTTTTTTGAATTCCCGCCATAAACAATTTTATTGGTTTGAAGCCGAATCCGAATTTGACAAGCCTGATCGATTCCATCAATAATATGATACATTCCATGATTCATTGGACAATTTCTAGGCTCATCTGCTGCACTCCCTTCAAGAAGAACTACGAGTCGACGATAGAATTCGAACTTCGCGAACATGTTATTAAAAAAAACGATTTTTTTGGGTAGAATTCGTCTTCATCATACATAATAATCTTTTGATTTTCTCGATTCAATCAATTATGGACCATAATTATATCATAATTACTTATCATTTAACCCCTTGATTGCTTCAAACGGATATGCTTTCATTATTTTTGTTTTGCTAGTTTCCGAATAGATTGGTGCTAAAACAGAGTCCATTCAAATGTGTGCAACACTTATTATTCCATACATATTCATGCATTATCGCATACTTTTTTTCTTGAATAATTTGTTACAATAAATGATTTACAAAAATATTTATTCTACTCGAAAAATTGTGGAACCTCCATCACATTAGACTTGTGAATCTCCAAGCTATCCTCCAATAGCGCTATCATTTTTTGCATTGTTGCGTCGTGCCACTCAAATTAATTTGCTAAGACTGAAATTGATGGAGACTCTTACTTTGTCCTTCTCGCTTTTTTCGATTCTCGGATTCTTAAAGAATTGAGTCAATCCCGGGATTACCATTATCGATGAAGTGGGGAAGAACAAATTATAGGATTGAACGAGCTGCTCGAAGGTGTAAGGAATCTCACAATCGCCAATTTCCTTCACAAATTGATCGTAGAAAATTCTGAGAAGACGTTCCCAATTTTCTCGACGGTCCTCTTTACTGAGACATGCCGCAAATAAGCGAGCCATGTCCAACCCAGGGGATCCTAAGTTTATAAGCTAAAGACCTATGGATATTCAGATGGCCTATCAAAATCTCACCTGATAGTCAATGAGAGCTTCGAGCTCTACCTCATCTTGGTCTTTCTTAGAGAACAATATGTTTGCTCCCCACAAATCTCCGTGCAATAATACTGGTTTGTGATTAAGCAATTCAAAAGCCTTGGACAGATTCGCTAAACATTTTGGAGTGTTGATAACTTTTGTAAAAGTTTCAATATAATCATCGATTTGTTGGTGGTATTCAGATGGAAACTCCTCTTTCATGTTAGCGGACACACTTTGGCATCCCTAAAAGTCAAGATTTAAAATTCCCCCTATTGAAAATATTTTTAATTTACATTATCATCAAAGATCTCTTCAGAGAGCATTTTGACAATGTCCACCGCTCCCACCAACTTCAATTCCTCATCACTTAATCTTGTCCCGATTGCTGAAAATGAAGCAACCGCTTTGACAACCTAAACTTCGGATGGCTAGTATTTCCTTAAAGAAAAATTGCCTACACTCTCCGCTGTTTTCAAAGGAATCGACTCATGCATTGAGACCGGGTACAAATCGGGAATAAGCTCGGTGATTATGTATCCTTTCAGATCATTCGTCTCATCAAATGTCTGATAACCAAAAACTTTCGGGAATGCCAGATTTTTGTTGCCGTTTTTGAATTCCCTCATCATTAGCGAGAATGCGAATACTTCGCGATTGTGGAAATCTCTTAATAGAGGTCCCATTTTTTCAAACTTCTCGTCATTCCATCCGTCTGCTTCTTTCAGATGCATCATCTCCCTCATCAATTTCATGTTCAATAAACTAGAAATCTAAACAAAAATTAAATGAAAATCACGATGGGTATTCTTATTCAAACCTTGCACACAAACTTCTTAGGCAAATCTTCGCCCTCATTCTTATCCATCCAATCCGGATCAATCAAAGCGACCTTGGAAGCAAATCCCTATGAATGAAATATATTTAGCGGGAACTCTTGATCAATCAGAATACTCTAAAATCTCCAATAGCCGTTGCATTCCTATTCGGTCCGAATTTCGCCTTCGTTCCCAGCGACTCTTGCATTTTCTTCTCGATTTCCTCAAATGTCACATGCGTTCCCACAATTCCATCAGATATTTCAAAAAGCGACATGTTCGTTTTTTTTTCTGAAAATAATAATAGGAAATTGAACAAAAATGAAAAAAAAAATTATATTCGAAAAGAGTTCGCATGTCTTTATATAGGATAGTTTTTTATCAGTCACAAACCATAGTTTATAGAACTGTCACAAATGTACGCATTATAATTTGTATGGTTTATGCGGATATGCTATGGTTTAAATTTTGTTAAATGTTTCAATTTTTAGTTTTTCGATATTGCCAATGGATTGTGGGATCTGTATTGCGCAACAATCATATGTTTAGTTATTTATTACAACGAATGATTTTCAAAAATGTTTATTCTACTCAAAAAATTGTGGAACCTCCATCATATTAGACTTATGAATCTCCAAAATATCTTCCGATAGGGCTGTGACGCGCCAAAGGATGCCACATTATTGATGGTTCATGCGTTCTCTCCTCTCTCGCTCTCTGTGAATTATCTTGTCATTCTGTTGCTGGGACGGCCTACCGTCCGGCCGTTCCCGCTATACACGACAAAGACCTACATGTATGTGTATAGTGTTATTATTAGCTGACCCTTATGGTGGAAGTATCCATCATTTTCCCTCTTGTAGGAGCTCGTTAGACTTGCTCCTAATCAGGCCATTTTTAACAGTTTAACAAGTTCAACAAAATATACTAATGAGTTTGATTAAAAATAAATATACCAAAGGTTCAATTTTAAAATTGAAATTTTTGAGCATTTGTTCACAAAAGTTAAATATTCATGATTAATTTATTATCTCAAGTACATTTTGGGAGTTTTTATTTGATATTTTTAGTTCAAGGAGTGCGGAGCGTTTAATGGAGCGAAGATTGTTTGGAAGAAAAGCTTGGTATTTCAACCTAGAATCCGTACAGAGGAAACTGGTAATGTTGATGAGTTATCAAGTCGCTTGCGAGGCGGTGATGACGAACATCCCCTGAAATTCTCACACCAAATAAAATGAAAATTTTTCAAAGGACCTGTTGTGAAGTTTTCAACCTCAAACTTGGGATCGTTTATTTGGTACACATAATAAAAATAAAGGTAATACTAAAAAATACAAATAGAAAAACCAACGGCAGAGCGCCATAATGTTAATAATTACCACCGTTTTATCAATCGCAAATATTGCACCACATAGACGTGTCGGAACCGCGAGTGCTAACGAGCACATGTTGAAGACGACAAGCATAGTATTATTTTGACTTCGACAATTTGTGGCACTTATAGAAACACATTAATTAATAGTGAAATTTCCATATATGTAGGATGTCAGAAAATGTGGAGAACAACTACATATATTGTGCCATTTTGCTTACTTATTTTCATACCATAGAAATCAAAAAAAAATCAGTCAAAATATTTTATTCTTGAAAACCAACTAGAAATCTTGAAAATAAACATAAATTATTGGAAAAATTGTGGAAATTTGCTCAGATTTCTCCTATGGGTTTCGATGACGTCGTCAAGCAGTCCAATCATTTTATCCAACACAGAATCGAGTAGCTAAAATAGAAAACGTTCGGTTTTTATGGAATATGTCGCTTTCACCATTGCTTTCTCATTTTCAGAGAGTTTCGTAAAATCGAAAAATTGCATTGAATTGGGAATTGCAACAAATCCCATTGTTGGAAAGAACAATTCATAGGATTGGACAAGCTGGTCGAACGTGTAAGGAACCCCGCGATCGCCGATTTCCTTCACAAACTCATCGTATAATTTTAAATAAATATTTGTTAATTTTATTATGATTATGAGGATTTCCACAAAAATGGCTTCAAAGGCAAAAAAAAGTTGCAAAACCCCTATACAGATTGAGGGAAAAACTATTTTAACCAGGTTTTTTTTGACAATTTTTCAAAAATCTGCGTTTTTCAAAAGAAGAAGAAATAGGAACAAAAATAATTAGAAATGAATACCTGGAAATGAATTTTTAAAATAATCATTTATGGAATTTAAAAAATGTATAGAAATTCACTTTTTGAAATGCACACATGCAAAAAAAAAACACAATCAATGTAATTGAAAAAATAAAACAAAACTTTTGATGAATAAATATTTTAGAATTGACACTAGACATTGCAAACAAATGAATTTCAATGCGTGACCAAACTACATCGAATCTCCTCGGGGGAGGGGAAGAGAGGGGGAGGGGAACTAGAGCGAAGACTACTGGCCAGTCGTCGATTGTGCAATATTGCCCAATGAATTCGTCTTATCAAAACGAATTCAGCAAAGACTATATAATCGACGTTTCCAAATTCCGACTGTAGTTTGCTTGTTCAAAATGTCGCTCGTCGAGGCTGCTGACGGAATTCTGGAGACGCATGTGTCATGGGAAGAGCTCGAAGCGAAACTTCAAGAAACACTTGGAACGAATGCCAAATTTGGGCCGAACAAAACCGCCGAGAGTATTGGCGATTTCAAGGTTTTCCGTTTCGTTTTGCAATGTTTAATTTTGAAAATTCCAGGGATTTTCTTCGAAAATTGCATTAATTGAGCCTGATTGGACTGATAAAAGAGACGATGAGGATTTGCCGAAAAAATTTGTGTGCAAGGTTGGATTGTTTCGAAAACAAAACAATTATTGAATTAATTAATTTGTAGATCTGCAGTCTGCTGAGTCTCGCGAATTTACAGAAAATGCTCAATTTGAAAGAAGAAGATGGCTGGACGAAGGAAAAATTTGAAGCAGTTGCTCCATTATTCCGAACGGTAATCGGAATTGCACAAGAATTATTGAAATTTTTAATTAGGTTCATAACCATGAAATTATGATTTATGAGATAATGATGAATGAACTAAACAATGGACATTCGAATTTAAAGTTTCCCAAATTATTTGGAGCTCAGAAATTTGAAGGAGAGAATGTGCTTCGCGCCTACATCATAACCGAATATGTCGAGAATGTGCATCAAATTGAAATGCATGAGACAATCAGTGTTGAAAGTATGGAATCGGTAAATAATTTAATAAAAATATCGAATTCATGTTTGAAGTTTTAGGTTTTAAGAGCAGTCGCTTCCTATTCAGCGATCGGTACAAGATTGAGCGAGGAAGAGCTGAAATTCGCCAAAGAGCTCGATGTCATCCAAATTCTGTTTCAGCAATTTTTCGACAAAAAGGTTATTAGAATTTCATAGAAATCATTGCTAACATTTTAATAATTTTAGGGATTGCAGAGTATTTTCAGGAATATGAATACACATTACCCAATTGAATATAAGGAAGACATCGATGAGCTAAATCGATTGTTTGATGAGGTGTTCACAACGACGGAATATTTGGCGAAATTGTCGAATAGTGCTGGATTGTTAGCGCATAAACAGGCGCTGTTACATGGCGATATGTGGGGTTCGAATCTGCTATTCGCGAGAAATGAGAGGAATGTGCTCACGCTGAAATCATTGATCGATTACCAGGTGAAATTTAAATCTACTAATTTTCTAGAATGCATACAGTATCGCAGCTAAACTTTTAAGGAGTGGTGCAATCGATGTGAAATTTTTATTAGAAATGAAAGACAAAATTAATTAAAAGCCAATTGTGAAGTGGAATGCTGTAGATTTTTTTTTGAAATCTGCAAAAATGAAAAAATCGACAATGTAAGTACTTAAAATTTCATATCGATTGAGCCACTCGTTTAAAAGTTATGAAGAAATATAAATATTTCGTATCTTTTTCTGCGGTACTGTACATTTACTATATATAGGTGGTTCGCATGGGATCCCCTGGACAGGATATTGCTCGATTATTCGCTTCCTGTCTTACCAAAAACGATCGTCGTGAGAAGCGGGACCATCTTCTCAAAGTATTCTACGAAGAGTTTGTGAAGGAAATCGGCGATCGCGGGGTTCCTTACACGTTCGACCAGCTTGTCCAATCCTATGAATTGTTCTTTCCAACAATGGGATTCATTGCAATTCCCAATTCAATGCAATTTTTCGATTTTACGAAACTCTCTGAAAATGAGAAAGCAATGGTGAAAGCGACATATTCCATAAAAACCGAACGTTTTCTATTTTAGCTACTCGATTCTGTGCTGGACAAAATGATTGGACTTCTTGACGACGTCCTCGAAACCCATAGGAGAAATCTGAGCAAATTTCCACAATTTTTCCAATAATTTATGTTTATTTTGAAGATTTCTAGTTGGTTTTCAAGAATAAAATATTTTAACCAATATTTTTTGATTCTATGATATGGAAATAAGATATTAATGCAAAAATGCCACATTATAGTTTTTCCCACAAATTGTTCATATCCTACATACATATATGGAAATTTCACTATTAATTAATTGAATAATAATAATAAAATAAAATAATTATTATGAATATTTAACGATTGCGGTCAAATACTTACAAATCTCAATTTAAAAATTGAACCTTAGGAATATTTATTTCTCCGAGATTAGGTGATCAAATATGTTACGGAAATTGTATTTTATTCAATCCATCAACTTTTGATTAAATCAAACTCATTAGTATATTTTTTTTTAGATTTTTGAACTCCTAAAAATGGTCTGACATATGTGATTGGAGAATTATTTCAACAATTTTTCCGATATGTGGTCTCTGATGTTTTAAGGATCCTTGAATTCAATGAAAGCGTCACGCGAGCAAGAACAACGCGAGTTTTAACGTTGGATTTTATGGAACATAATGATAAGCATTGATAAAACTACAAAATACAGTGTATTTTATTTGTGATGAGGAATGTGGGTGGTTTAGAATGTGAAGAATTGAGGCAGTTTCATCAAAACCAACTGGTGAATGCTTCAGTCAAATATTTTGATAATCGCTTCAAGTAGTTGAGAAAAAGTTTGTGAATATTTGGAAAAGCAAAATATGATAGCAATTTTTGAATCCTCTTATCAAACTTATTATTGCTGCCGATTTGATTAATTTTTGTTAAATCGAAATGTGGCCCGTCAATGCTGCCGAAGGAATTCTGGATTCGCTATTAATTGATTTCAATTTCGAGGGATTTCAATCGATGAGAATGAAAACGAGAAGGTCTTGAATTATCCAGACAAAACTGAATTTCGCTATTTTTTTTTCGTTTGAAGGAAATGCTCAAAGACGAGGATGGTGGGACGAAGGAGAAATTCCTGTCACCGCTTATGAACGATCCGTATAAGGATCACACTGTCTTAACCTAAAATGTTTAGTTTTTATGAAATGATGACGGAGAAGTTGAAAAATGGAAATGCGAATTTGAAATTCCCCAATTTTTTTTTGGGGGTTCAGAAGTTTTAACTTTTCATTGTCACCGAATACATGACGGACCTTTATCACTTGGCATGACACGGGTTCCGATAGACACTATGGAGTCGGTTAACAATTCGATTAAATTTAACTATCAAGCAAAAACGAGTTCAGGTCTTGAAATCGGTTGCCGCGTTGGCAGCGATTGGCTAATTATTTCGCGTTCATCAAAGACTTCGTGAAAATCGAAGCTTCTTGAATGTCGACATACAACTTATCAACGGATTTTGTGAAGAATTTCAGATGGTTTTTTTGAGCGGAGCCAAGAGCTCGCAGATTTCAATCCTAGAAACCATTAAGAATAATGGAACACAATCTATTCAACAAAAAACCATTTGTCGGTATGCCTTTGGGGTTTTTTTTAAGCATCATCACTGTACTCAATGAACTATGAAACTCATTATCTTTTGACAGTACTATTTGAGCTTGTGACTGATAAGAAGCTATTGTATATAAAGACATGCGAAACTTTTCGAATATAATTTTTCATTTTTTTTCAATTTCCTATTATTATTTTCAGAAAAAAACGAACAATGTCACTTTTTGAAATATCTGATGGAATTGTGGGAACGCATGTGACATTTGAGGAAATCGAGAAGAAAATGCAAGAGTCGCTTGGAACGAAGGCGAAATTCGGACCGAATAGGAATGCAACGGCTATTGGAGATTTTAGAGTATTCTGATTGATCAAGAGTTCCACCCAAATATATTTCATTCATAGGGATTTGTATCCAAGGTCGCTTTGATTGATCCGGATTGGATCGATAAGAACGACGGCGAGGATTTGCCTAAGGAATTCGTGTGCAAGGTTTGAATACGATCTTATCCGGATTTAAGATTTTTTTATTTAGATTTCTAGTTTATTGAACATGAAATTGATGAGGGAGATGATGCATCTGAAAGAAGCAGACGGATGGAATGACGAAAAGTTTGAAAAGATGGGACCACTAATCAGAGATTTCCACAATCGCGAAGTGTTTACTTATTTGTTAATGATGAAGGAGCTCAAAAACGGCAACAAAAGTCTGGCATTCCCGAAAGTTTTTGGTTATCAGACATTTGATGAGACGAATGATCTGAAAGGATACATAATCACCGAGCTTGTTCCCGATTTGTACCCGGTCTCAATGCATGAGTCAATTCCTGTGAAGACAGTGGAAAGCGTGAGAAATATTTTTCTGAAGAAAAAACAGACGAGAAAATGGTTTAGATTGTCCAAGCGGTTGCTTCATTTTCAGCAATTGGGACAAGATTAAGTGATGAGGAATTAAAATTTCTGGGAGAGATGGATATTGTAAAGAAGTTTTCTGAAGAGTTCTTTGATGAAATTGTAACTTTCGATTGTTGTTCAATGTTTTTTTTCGAGACTTTTAGGGATGCCAAAGTGTGTCCGCTAGCATGAAAGAGGAGTTTCCATCTGAATTCCACCAACAAATTGACGAATTTTTTGACATTTTCAAAAATGTTATCAATACTCCAAAATGTATTGCGAGAATGTCGAAGGCGGCAGATTTTCTCAATCATAAACCCGTATTATTGCATGGAGACTTGTGGGCCTCAAATTTCTTATTATCAAAGAAAGGCCAAGATGAGCTAGAGCTCAAAGGGATCATCGACTATCAGGTGAGGTTTTGATAGGCCATCTGAATATCAATACGTTTTTAGATTATAAACATTGGATCCCCTGGTTTGGACATGGCTCGCTTATTTGCGGCATGTCTCAGTAAAGAGGACCGTCGAGAAAATTGGGAACGTCTTCTGAGAATTTTCTACGATCAATTTGTGAAGGAAATTGGCGATTGTGAGATTCCTTACACCTTCGAGCAGCTCGTTCAATCCTATAATTTGTTCTTTCCAATTTCATCGATAATGGTAATCCCGGGATTGACCCAATTCTTTAAGAATCCGAGAATCGAAAAAAGCGAGAAGGACAAAGTAAGAGTCTCCATCAATTTCAGTCTTAGCAAATTAATTTCAGTGGCACGACGCAACAATGCAGAAAATGATAGCCCTCTTGGAAGACATTTTGGCAATTCATAAGTCTAATGTGAAGGAGGTTCCACAATTTTTTGAGTAGAATAAATATTTTTGAATATCATTCGTTGTTATGGATTATAGTCAAGGCGGGGAATTCAAAAAAAATGACACGCCCGAAATCGATTACATCTAGAAAATATTTTATGATGAATTTGTGAAGGAAGTCGGGGATCGTGAGGTTCGACCAGCTGGTCCAATCCATTGTTCTTTATCAATGGTTTTGATGGCTCAGTATTTTGGATATTCGATCATCTCTGAAAATGAAAAAATGGTTCACTTGAATGCTGCCACAAAAATGATTGGTTGATTGATGCGCAAAACAGATCCAATAATCCATTAGCAATCTTGAAATACAGAAGATTGAAACATTCAACAAAAAATTTTCCGGTATGCCGTTTTTTTAATCTATAGCATATTCGCATAAACCATACTAATTATAATACATACATATGTGACAGTTCTATAAATTATGGTTTGTGACTGATAAAAAACTATCCTATATAAAGACATGCGAACTCTTTTCGAATGTAATTTTTTTTTCATTTTTTCATGCCCTATTATCATTTTCAGAAAAACAATGTCACTTTTTGAAATATCCGATGGAATTGTGGGAACGCATGTGACATTTGATGAAATCGAGAAGAAAATGCAAGAGTCGCTGGTAACGAAGGCGAAATTCGGACCGAATAGGAATGCAACGGCTATTGGAGATTTTAGAGTATTCCGATTGATCAAGAGTTCCAGTCAAATACATTTCATTCATAGGGATTTGCTTCCAAGGTCGCTTTGATTGATCCGGATTGGATCGATAAGAACGAGGGCGAGGAATTGCCAAAGGAATTTGTGTGCAAGGTTTGAATAAGAACATCCATCGTGATTTTCATTAAATTTTTGTTTAGATTTCTAGTTCATTGAACCTGAAATTGATGAGGGAGATGATGCATCTGAAAGAAGAAGACGGATGGAGCGACGAAAAATTTGAAAAAATGGGACCACTAATCAGAGATTTACATAATCGCGAAGTATTCACATTCTCGCTAATGATGAGGGAATTCAAAAACGGCAACAAAAACCTGGCATTTCCGAAAGTTTTTGGTTATCAGGCATTTGATGAGACGAATGATCTGAAAGGATACATAATCACCGAGCTCGTTCCCGATTTGCATCCCGTCTCAATGCATGAGTCAATTCCTTTGAAAACAGCGGAGAGTGTAGGCAATTTTTCTTTGAGTAAATACTAACCAATCCGAAGTTTAGGTTGTCAAAGCGGTTGCTTCATTTTCAGCAATCAAGACAAGATTAAGTGATGAGGAATTGAAGTTGGTGGGAGCGGTGGATATTGCAAAAAAACTCTCTGAAGAGTTCCTTGATGAAACTGTATTAAAAAAATATTTTCAATAGGGGAATTTTAAATCGATACTTTTAGGGATACAAAAGTATGACTGCTAACATGAAAGAGGAGTTTCCACCTGAATACCACCAACGAATCGACGAATATGCCGAAATTTTCACCAAGTTTATCAACACTCCAAAATGTTTGGCGAATATGTTGAAGGCGGCAGATTTGCTCAATCACAAACCAGTATTATTGCACGGAGATTTGTGGGGAGCAAACATGTTGTTCTCAAAGAAGGACCAGGATGAGCTAGAGCTCAAAGCTCTCATTGACTATCAGGTGAGATTTTGATAGGCCATCTGAATATCCATAGGTCTTTAGATTATAAACTTAGGATCCCCTGGTTTGGACATGGCTCGCTTATTTGCGGTATGTCTCAGTAAAGAGGACCGTCGAGAAAATTGGGAACGTCTTCTCAGAATTTTCTACGATCAATTTGTGAAGGAAATTGGCGATTGTGAGATTCCTTACACCTTCGAGCAGCTCGTTCAATCCTATAATTTGTTTTTCCCCACTTCATCGATAATGGTAATCCCGGGATTGACTCAATTCTTTAAGAATCCGAGAATCGAAAAAAGCGAGAAGGACAAAGTAAGAGTCTCCATCAATTTCAGTAATATCAAATTGATTTCAGTGGCATGACACAACAATGCAGAAAATGATAGCCCTCTTGGAGGATAGTTTGACAATTCATAAATCAAATTTGAAGCAATTTCCACAATTTTTTGAATAGAATAAATATTTTTGTAAATCATTTATTGTAACAAATTATTCAAGAAAAAAAGTATGCGATAATGCATGAATATGTATGGAATAATAAGTGTTGCACACATTTGAATGGACTCTGTTTTAGCACCAATCTATTCGGAAACTAGCAAAACAAAAATAATGAAAGCATATCCGTTTGAAGCAATCATGGGGTTAAATGATAAGTAATTATGATATAATTATGGTCCATAATTGATTGAATCGAGAAAATCAAAAGATTATTATGTATATTGAAGACGAATTCTACCCAAAAATCGTTTTTTTTAATAACATGTTCGCGAAGTTCGAATTCTATCGTCGACTCGTAGTTCTTCTTGAAGGGAGTGCAGCAGATGAGCCTAGAAATTGTCCAATGAATCATGGAATGTATCATATGATTGATGGAATCGATCAGGCTTGTCAAATTCGGATTCGGCTTCAAACCAATAAAATTGTTTATGGCGGGAATTCAAAAAAAAAGAAGAAGCCCGGATCCTCCAAATTGACAAGCCTGGAATCGATTACATCAAACACAAATCTGAAAATTTTTACCACACAACGATTCACATAGACATTGACAAGCACAAGCAAACTGTATAAAATGACTGCAACATGGACATATGAGAACACGATATATTGCACCAAACACCATCTACCTTCCGATAGAATCATCGCATTCGCGAGCTCTTCGCCGTTCGTGTTGCGAATTGTGCATAAATATTCACCAAAATGATTCTTCTCGACAAAATTGATGATCAACGACGACTCGGCATCAGTTGTGGTGATTGTGTAGCCATCGAGTCCTAAATATGGAATTGTAAAATGATTAAAGTCAAAAACAAATTCGATAGCTACCATCGAGAAGTTCATTGCCGTTGTAAAACCAACGACATGTCGGTACAGGTACGCCAGTAAATGAAGCCCGCAGCTCGGCTCTGAACACGAAAATTACGATATGAGTCTCATCGAATGAATTACCTATTCTTCTCGCGCGTCTGCACAGAAATCGGAGATTCATTGAATCGTGGCTTTTCGCCAACACTTCTGAAAATCAATCTAAGCTTGTGATGTCGACGTCGAGCTTACTTTGTTGATTGAACAACGGTGAGTTCGAGATCGGCGCTTGATTGCCCGGAGGCGTTCAGCGCAGTGATTTTGTACTTTCCATTGTCAGCTCGTGTGACATTCTTGATGCGTAAAATGAATGTGTCACCCTCGTTTCGCATCTGCACAATTGTGAGGCTTATACTATTGAATTTCTGATTACACAATACCATATATCGATCCTCATTGATCAGGGTGACATCGGATTTGGCCCATGTGATCACAGGATCCGGGTGCCCGATGACCTTGGCTCGAAGTTCGGCACTTGAGCCAGGATCGACGCGCACGTTGCGTTCGTAGTCGAAAATTCGGGGCGCTTCATCGGCTACCGATCGTTCGTTGCCTACAACATGCGTTTCAAACCAATTCAAAATCAATCAATCCTACTTCGAACATCAAGTTGCATGGAGCATTTCGCGGTTCCATATTGATTTTTCGCTTCGACGGTGTACTCACCTCCGTCTTCCGGGAAGACGTCGGCAATTGTGAGGAACACCTAGAACAAGAAGAAGAAGAAGCTCAATTAAGAAGTTGAAGCCAACTACTCACCATTTTCTCGGATCTCGAATAGCTGAAGGATGGAGAATCAACAACTGTGACTTTATTGCGAAGCCAACGAATTTGAAGTGGCTCGGAGGCCTGCACGAGTTCAGCAGCTAACTCGACACGACATCCGTCGACCACCTTGCGCACAGATTTGATCTTCTCGAACCTAAATTCGTCGATTCAAAAACGCTGATACTCATTCAATGATACCGGAAGAGCGGCGGGATTCCATCAGCAGCATTTGGATCCACACCGCCAACTTCGAGGTTCATCTGCGATTTGGTAGTTCCAATTTCGTTGATTGCTTCGCAACAATACGTTCCCTCATCCGATGAGCTTATTGAGCAGAATTTCAACGTCGCGCATTCGCCATCATACGACATGATGTATCTAAACAAATCATTGATGTGGAAGGATGAAACCGAATAAATAGCACAAACCGATCAGGTTGTGGTAGAAGTGGCACTGAGTTTCGGAACCATTGAATAGTCGCGCATGGGTATGCGTTGATTGAACATTCGACAGTTATACTGTCGTTTGGATTTGCCTTAAAAGGAGGGTAGAAGTTTGGGGATGAAGCTGCTAAGGTACCTTGATCTTTCCCGGCAGGACTTCAATAAATGTCGGTGCTTTGGTTTCCTTTCGACTTTTTCGTTTGGCCTGTTGCGCGGCAGAATCATCGGTGTTGACGACAACATCGATCTATCAATACGAAGCTTGTCTATTTCAAATGTTCAGATGTCTATTTTGTACCTCTGAAGTGCAAGTGGCGATTCCTTCATCGTTAGCAGCAGTACAATTGTAGAATCCCTTGTCGAACATCGAAACGTGATGAACCTTTAAGGCGATTTGGAATGAATAAATAATTTTCATCGGGACATCTCATACCTCCAAATAGTAGAAATCACCATCATTATAGATAGAATATTTGTTGCCAGTCTCCAGAATAACCCCGTCTTTGTCCCAATGAACGACGGGAAGTGGATTTCCAGACACAGCGGTTTTAAGACGCAGCGATTTGTATTCCTCGAGGACCTTCTTGGGTTTCGGCTTCACCAGGAATTTTGGACGGCAGATTCGCTTATTTCTTGAATGGATCGCAGCGCGAACTTCGTCCAAAGCTGGAAATTGTTATGATTGGAAAGAAATGCCATACATTGAATCTTACCGGTGGCGATAGCACTTTCCGGACGACTTTCAGTGGATTGTCTCGGATCGTCGAGTCTCAATGAGTTGGCCAGCGCTTTCGCCAACTTCTCAGCATTCCTACCGGAATGCTTGTGAGGACGCAGCTCTGCAAATTGTGAAGAATCAGATCATTCTTTAGGCATTCGGTCATACTCCTTCCAAGTTTTCCGGCAACGGCGGCCGAATCGCCAGCCTTCAGATCCATATCTTCGAGACCTTGAACAAACATGGGCGCAGCTCCCTTTCGTTTGCTCTCGATCTTCGCTGACGACGCGGTTCGCGGGATCTGAACCGAAACATCTAGAGAGTCTAGACCACAGCGACAACGAACCTGTTCCGAGAAGGCGACTTTTGGCTGAACTGCCACAATCTGTTCAAGAACATGCTTGAACTGTGGCGGCTCTGATTGTTTCGCTTCGCCGACGTTCAGGCGACCGGCAGTTCGCAAAACTCCATGAATATTCGATGCCTCGACGTAGTACATACCGAGATCCTTGAGGGCAACATTGCTGATGCGGAGACGGCTTGATGTATCGGTTGGGAACGAGATCTGAAGACAATTTCGAGACATGTGATAAACGACGAGAATTCGAACCTTTCGATTCCGTCCTTCAACAACTTTGTTCTCATTGTGGTACCAGATGAGATCTGGAATTGGGTACCCGGCAACCTCCACGGTGAACTCGATCGTCTGGCTCAGCGGAGTCCAGATATCATGAAGGCACTTCACGAAACGTGGAGGTCCAGCTGGCTCATCGGAGAGTTCTGAATTATGAGAATAACATGTTTAGTGGCAAGCTTCTTCATTACCTCCGACAAGAAGGTAGCATTCCGTTGAGGCCTGACCACTGGAATTGGTCGCGACGCATTTGTAGGTGCCTCGTTGATCGCGCATAACCCTTTCTGACTTGATTTCAGCGACCTTAATTTTTTTTTTGAAAATTTATAATATATGAATCGAATAATATACCTGTCCGAATCGGCACTCCAACCAGCTTGTATCTGACGTAGAAAGATTGGTCTTCTTTCCATAATCGTCGATATAGAACCATTCGACTGTCGGCTCTGGAACACCAGTGACATAGCAGCTCAACACCGCCGGATGACCATTGACAATGCCCATGTCAGTGAGTTTCGTCGTGAACGCTGGCGCAACATTCGACGCATCGTGAATCGACTTCTTCCTCTGCACGATGACTTGAGTTTCAGCGATCACTTCACCGTTGGTGTTCTCGGCTCGACAACTGAAGATTCCAGACGTTTTTGAGACGACGCATTCAGCCGTCAGATGGCTTTCGCCATCACCGGTGACAAAATGACGATAGATGCGATTGGTTCGAAGAATCTCGCGGCCGTCTTTCAGCCACGTTACCATCGGTTTTGGCTCACCGACGGCCTTGGCGACCAGTGTGAATTGACCTCCTTCATTGACTTCAATGAGAGACGGTGGCGCTCTGATGAATCGCGGCTTCTCTTGTCTTTCTTCAATAGAGTCGGCAATAACCAAATGGGAATCGCTTCCTGTTGCTCTGGCGACCATGATCATTGAAGATGTCGAATCGACACCAGCGACATTCGTTGCCGAGCACACATAGACTCCAGTATCTTCGGCTTCACATTTCGAAATAACAAGAGTGCAGACTCCATCGTCATTTTGCGTTTGCTTGATGCGACGAGTTGTTGAGATTGTCTTTCCATCTTTTGACCAGGTGACCTCGGGAATCGGGAATCCTTCAACAACACATTCCAATGAAAGATCACGTCCAGCAATCACTGTGACGTCTTCGAGAAGCTTCTTGATTACCGGAGCGGTGAACTTGCTAGCATCTTCAACTTTCACCTCGCATTCGCTCTCAGCAAATCCGTAGCTGTTGGTGACGACACAACGATACACTCCAGAATCTGCGGCTTGAACAGCGTGGCAGACCAGCTTGTGGTTGCCCTTTTTGTCGCTGCTCAACTCATATCTTCCAGTTGACTCGACGCGATTTCCGTCTTTGAACCAAGCAATCGAATGATGAGATCTCGATGAGATTCTGCAGTTGAGCACAATTTGTTGGCCGCTTTGAGCGGTTTCATTAATCAACGGCCTCTGAATGACGGGAACGATGTTTCTTTCCAATGACTGATCAGGGATTGACTTTAGAGATGTCGGACGGTTGAGGACAACCACATGGCTTGATGTGGAGGCATGGCCAAGATCGTTTTCAATATGACAAGTGTAGATGGAATCTTCTTCGTGGCTCTTCAATGTCAAGATCGACGAGGTTGAAGTCGTTTGGATTGAGGCGTTCTCATCCTCTTGAACTTGCATATTATTCTTATACCATTTCACAGCAATCGGTTGTTTCCCGTCAAACTCAGTTCGCAGTTCGGCTTGCTCCTCTTTATTGATCGTGATTCGAGATTCCGGCAACTGTGTGAATTGTGGAGCTGATCCATCAGGCAATGTCTTGACGGTCTCAATCGTTTCGGCCCATTCGCTTTGGCCCGTCTTGTTCTTTGCGGCAACTCGGAAAATGTATTCGGTGTTCGCCTCGAGATTCTTGACGTCGATCTCATTGTTCGCCGTGCTTCCGACCGATTTCCACGAACGCTGATCTGGACTTCTCTGCTCGACTTCATAGCTATAAGAAGGCGCATCATCAGATGGTGCTCTATCCCAGGCAATCGTCACTCTATCGGTTTTCACGTTCGTTGGTCTAGGCAATCCAGGTCGTCCGGGCTTCTTCTCATCTTTCTTCTTGTCGACCTTCTTCTTCTCCTTCGTTTCTTTGGTTTCGGCCTTCTTGATTATGGCGACTTCTGAGTTTTGCCGAATTTTGCCTTTTTCATTTTCGACCGCAATCGTGTAGGTCCCTTCATCTCCATGCGCAATATCCGTTACAATCAATTGATAGTTGACACCCTCATTCTTGAATTGAATTCGGTCCGTTGCAACAATCTCTTGGTTGTCCTTCAACCACATAACATCAGGTTTCGGAGATCCGTTCAAATCCGTGGAGATGGTTAACGTCGATCCTTCCGGAACGTTGTACTTTGCTTTCGGCTCAACAATGAAGTACGGCAAAGAAGCCACGGCGATCATCGGCTCATTTCCAGCAATGCTTAATTCTGCCGACGTGTGAATATCACCGAATTGATTCGTCGCCACTGCGGTGTAGGTTCCACAGAGCTCGTCAGAGACATTATCAATGACAAGAGTCGAGGTATTATCATCAAAGATTCTGATCTTGTACCGATTCGAATCGTTCACCGCTTTTCCATTGTGAAGCCACACAATCTGCGGAGTCGGATCAGCACGCGATTGGCAAGTGAACGTCGCGGTTTCTCCAGACTTCTTCAGAACAACATCTTGAATCTTCTTAACGAACGTCGGCATCTGTTTGACGTGCTCGCTGTGCTCACTCGACTTCTCGACGACAACCGTGGCGCGTGTCTCGACGGATCCATGCTTGTTGGAAATCTTGCACACGTACTGTCCATTGTGCTCGTCGTGCGCTTCATAGATCTTCAAGAACGCGACTCTTCCGTCAAAATATGTGCGCAACGTTCGGCTCTCAGCGACAAGTTTGCCATCGTGATACCATTCAATCGTTGGTGTTGGGAATGCGTCGACTTCAACTTCGAGCAGCTCGCGATTGCCTTCCACAACCGTGGCGTCGGCCAGTGGTCGAGTGACAACTGGCGGTCGATTGACTTCTTGAGTCAACACTGATGGTGATCTACTGCGGCTTCGGCTTCGGCTTCGAACAGGAGTTAGTCGTGATTTCGTCAATCCCATATCCACCACTTTGACTGTGCAATGAGTAAAGTCTTTTCCAAGGTTATTCACAGCCTCGCACGTGTATTCTCCCGCGTCGTCGATCACAACATTCATGATGTTCAATCGAGCAACTCCCTTGCGATCGGTGTATTGAAGCATGCGGTTTTCAATGATCATCTTCAAACCATCCTTGTACCAAGAGACAGTTGGAATCGGTTTTCCGGTAACGCAACATTCGAGAACAATCTCGTTGCCTTCGCAGGTCGAGCAATTGACAAGTTGCTCAACGAACTTCGGCTTCGAATGATCCTTGTCGATCGCTTCCTTGATTTCGACAATCGAGAATGACTGTGCGACTCCGTGAATGTTCTCAGCCTCACACACATACCTTCCTTGATCCTCGGCGCGAGCACCCATGATGTGAAGGGTGCACACACCATTCTCATGCTTCATTTGTTTATTCGACATGTCGACTGGCTGGTCATCCTTCATCCACTTGATGTTGGGGTGTGGAGTTCCAGACACCGAGCAAACCAGCGTCAAATCACTTCCTTGCGGAACTTCTCTGGGCGTCGGAAGCTGCATTCGGAATCGCGGCGCTTTGCTCTTGTCAATCTTCTTGCTCTGCTTGGCGACGAGCTCCTCAATTCGAACACAGCAAAGGGTGTGAGCCTTTCCGATTTTATTCTTGGCCACACACTTGTAGTTACCGCTGTCTTCCGCGTAAGCATCGATGATTGTCAATGAATAGTTGCCGCTTCCATCGTCAAATTGAAGACGATGTCGTTGCGAATGTTGAATCTCATCGTCATTGCGGAACCAGCTGATCTCCGGCGCCGGATTCGCCTCAATGTTGACTTCGAGCTTCAAAATTTCCGATTCCGAGCACTTGATGTCGGTGAGCTCTTTGCCGAAAGTTGGCGCGAATTGGCCATCGGGCACAATAACCTTCAAATAGCCCTCGCTTTCGCATTCACCATAGGCATTCTTTCCAACAGCCCTCCATTGGCCTTCATCAGAAGCGCTAACGCTGAGAATGTGGAGCTCGTATCGTCCTTTGTCATGCTTCTTGAGATAATTGTTGTCGTTGATCGCAATTTGATCGCCGTTGAGATACCATTCAACAATGGGTTCAGGCAGCGTCGTGTTCGTAACCACAAGAATCTTCGATTCTCCGATTTTGGCTTCATCGTCCTTCAATGTGTGATGGAAGCTTGGCGGCATATTGAGAACCTTGTCTTCCGGCTCAACAATCTTGGTTGCCCTCTTCTTCTTCTCCAACGTCGCCGGCAGTGTCTCCGCCTTGCTCTTCTTCTTGGCGGCTTCTCCTTGAACCGACAACTTGGCATGAGTCATAATACTTCCGAGATCATTCGTTGCACGGCACGTATACTTGCCAGCATCGGTGTCAACAATATTCTTGATCGTAAGCTCCGCAAGTCCCTCATTGTAGAACGAGTCGTACTTGATGGATGGAACTTGAAGCTCTTTGCCATCTTTGAACCAAGCAATTTTTGGCATTGGGGTGCCTTCAAGATCGCACGACAATGTCGCAATGAGGTCTCCAACATTGGCGACAATATCGTCAAGCTTCTTCTTAATACTTGGAGCGGTGTCAGTATCTGAATAAGATGAATCACATAATTAATATGATATTCATATTCATACCAAATGAGATCTTGCGCTCGAACACACCATCCATTGTCAAACGGCGGAAAATAGCTCCCCGCTTGGCGAGGCGTCCAATAGGAAGAAGATCATCGGACCATCTGAAAGAAATTGGTTGGGAAGGTGCTCAGGATTCTATCAAACCTCTTAAGAGACAAGAAGTTTCTCTTCTGGCGAGCTGGAAGTGGACCCTTGTCAGGCTTGGGTTGCATCTTCTGAAAAAAAAATTTGCTCAAAATAAAACGAAAAACGCTCTATCCACCTTGACATATTCAGACAAATCATTGAACGCGGACAATAACGGACCCTGAAGACACAATCACAATAATCGAACACACAACAACAACATCTCGACATTGCTACAAAAATAGCTTACCGTAATCCATGGATGTCTGAGCGCATCTTGCACACTCATCCTCTTCCTCTTGTCTTTGATCATCAATCGACAGATGAAGTCTTTGGCGAGATCTGAGACATCGTCCCAACTCGGATCGTCAAAGTCCCAATCGGCGGCGGAGACGTTCGTCAATGTCTCCTCATCGTTATCGCCAAGGAATGGCGAGAGACCGGATAGCAAAACGTATGAGATGACGCCAACTGTCCACATGTCGGTTGAGAGGCCGACGGGTTGATAGTTGACGACTTCTGGCGCGCAGAACTCCGGAGTTCCGAACAGAAGTTTCACGCTCTTCTTCGGATCAAGTTTTCGAGCAAGTCCAAAGTCGATGATCTTCAATTCGGTGGAGTTCTTCGATTTGAGCAGAATGTTCTCTGGCTGAAATTTGAATAAGCTTGAAACAATTTTGAGCATCAACAAACCTTGAGATCGAGATGGACTATCTGATTGTGATGCATGTGCTGAACACCGAGAAGGATTTGATGCATGTAGTCTCGCACTTCTTCCTCACTCATCAGGGAATCGTCTTCAAGAATCTTCTCAAACAACTCGCCACCGGAAACACTAAACAATTCAAAACTCAATTTGTTAAAGGCAAAAAAAATTGATTCTCACAATTCCTCGATGAGCCACATCTCGTTGCCCATGTCGAATGCTTCGTGCAAATTGAGGAGTTTGTCATGATGGAGTTGATTCATGATCGAGATCTCATGAATAACATTCTCCTTCTTCACACCCGGCCGAACTTGGACCATCTTCGCCGCCCATGTCTTTCCAGTGGCTCTTTCAGTGGCGCGATAAACCGTTCCATAGGCGCCCTTTCCGAGCTCCTCATGAATGATATACTTTGATTGCAGATCGTTCGGAAGCCGATGAATATCGACAGTTTTGTATTCCGTTGGTCCCGATTCGTTGGAAGCCTTCTCATAGTCAATCGACTCGTCGTGCTCTTTCACGCTAGCCTTCTTTTTCTTCGGCTCTTCAACAGTCCGGCTCACGTCTTTGACGAACACCGGATCAGAGATCTCCGATGGATCCGATTGTCCGAACGTGTTGTCGGCGCGCACGCGGAACACATACGTCTCACCGGCGACCAGATTGAACAATGAGATGAACGTCTGCTTCGTGACTTCGGCCTTCGTCCAGATGTTCTCCTTCTCCTAAACAAAAAACAGAATGATATGAACAAAACAAAAATTGTGCAACCTTGGCCATTTCAACCGTGTAGTTTCTCACCGGCGAGCCGCCATCATTGGTTGGCGCCGCCCATCGAAGGCGAACCGAGTCGACATTCTGATCCTCGACGGCAGGTTTGCCAGGGGCACACGGCCGATCGGTGACCTACAAAACATCACTCAGTGGTGCCGAATTGAAGGAAGAAGGGAAGCGAGGGGAAAAAAACGAGGAACCGCAAAAAAAAAATATATATATATTGTGGGCATCCGATAATCGGTGGCACGAGGCAAAACGCGCGAGGCAGAAGCGCGAAATGAAGTTTGTGCAATTGGGGACTCGATCTCTCCTATCAGTCGCGCGCTATTTCGCTGTTCGGTTGCTTTTTTTTTTATCGAGCCCTCGCTTCCAATTTGCACAAAGTATTCCGCAATTGGCACCCATCCAATTCGACTGTTTGAGCTGTTTCCAATCAACCTCAACCAACTCTCTGATTTTTCGAACAATGGTGATTCCAACGGTAAGTGGGTTTCCTGTTGGTCCCTTATATATAAGAGATCATCATACGCAAAAATCATACATTCTTAAAAAGGCGTCCCCCCCACTTTCTTATTCAGCATCTTTTCAGAGAAACAATTCAATGGTGAGCGGGTGAGTTATTTCTTTTTTTTTGCAAATTTTGTCTATCTGTCTTAATTGCTCGCGCCTGGCATGAACGTTTATGAGCATGAAAGCAAGCGTGTGGTTGAGGCGAAAAATCCCAAATTTTGCCGAAGCGACATTCAGAGAAGGAAACCGCTCATTTATTTTTTGGTGTATTCATTCAATACTTCTTTTTTTTTTTGAAATTCGAATTCGAATTCGACACTCACCTGAATTCCAATACAATATTTGTCCTCGCCGCATCGATTTTTGACTCTCAATGTAAATTCGCCTTGATCGCTTGAATCGATGCCATTGATCGTGAGCACCGTGTTGAGTTGTGTCGTCTCGATCTGAACAAAAAAAATTGAAATGAAATATGCAATAAAAAAAAAGAAGAAAGAACGAAGCGGACGTGGAAGAAAAATGAGCTCGCACATTGCCATTGCGGCTCATTAAATTAAACGCTCCGAGTTGATTGGGGGCCCGCTCAGCCCGCCCAAATGAATGTCAACACACAACATAAAGCCAATAGTTTTAACTACTCAATATTGCATTTTTTATGTCTTCAATTATTTTGAAAGCTTTTGTCAAATATGGTTTGCAAATTAAACCGCTTCTCAAGTTGACTTTTCTTTTTCATTCCGAACAATAGTTGCCCGGCTCATTTCTCGTTTGAAATTCTAGCAAAAAAAAATTCTTCTTCACAACGGAATTAAAGCGTTTCTCCTTTGCAGTTCATTTTTCTTTGGCAATTGAAATAATGTGAAAAATCGCTATGGACACGCTAGAAATTTTTCAATTCCAATGTTTTATTGTGACTTTTCCTTATACTATTTCAAACCGTTTGAAATTTGAATACAACTCTGATGTGAGTTTGCAGCTTCAAAATTGATACTGTGGAGGTGCTGCTTGAGGAAAGTCAAAAATTTTTTTTTGGAACACACAGATAAGAAAATTGAATTCTCAAGTGGCATTCGTCAAACTAAATCTATTATTTATTCTGGTTCACTAAACTTGCGTCATCGTTCTGACTCGTTATGCGGATAATAACTATGAGCATACATTTATATATATATTTTTGAAATGCTTCTATTAAGCAAAAATTGAATTCTAGATTTTTTTTCGGATCTCTCTTTTCAGAAATTTATTTTTAATTTATTTCTCCTCTGATCTACCAACCAATTAAATCAAAAATGTCGACTTCTTAATTAGGATCCAAGCTGATTCCAGATTGGCTCCTTTTTTCTAAATTCGAATTTCCTAATGTCAATGTCTGGTGATTTCGACGAATTCGAGTAATTAAACGCGATAAAATGTTTGATCTTGACGCGATGCGCCTTTAATGAATATTTCATGCTAGATCAAATCGAAATGGTTCTCAATTCATGGCTTCCTAGCAAGCTCAAAAATATTAATTTGCCGAGACTTTTAAATGAACCAATGATTGGTTCAATGATTTGCCCGCAATTTGATTAATCTATGCTCACCTCACAATTTCAGTAACTTTTTTAGTTGTCTTATTTATTTTCAGCTCATTTGCTATATTAAAAAACCTGTCAATCATTGGTTTTCGAATAATTTGAGATGACGGTCGATTTTGAAAAATTTAAAATTCACGGGCTGTTATTTAATTGGTTCGAACTCATACTTCCAAAATACTATATTTGGAAATTTAAAATTAGCCGGTTTAATTAAACAAAACTCGCTCATATGCGATTTTCCATACGAGACCCCAAATGATAAATCAAGTCCGTCATAAAATAAAGAGCAATTTGGCGTTCATATTCAAAAGTTTTTTTTTCTTTTGATGAGTTATTGGAGGGTTTCAAAAATTCGCAAAAAAAACAATATGAAATTTTTATTGCCGTCTCGACCTATTCATCCATGAAACGCGAATGACAGGTGATTCTGTGTTGCCGAAAAAAAAAACGCTCGCCAGAAAAAAAAAACTACAAATTTGTCCCCGCAAAAAATTGCGTGCTCGAAAATATCAAAACAAATTCATCTATCATTTCGAAGATACCGCCAGCGAATGGTGCAATCTACAACGCATACCTTCATCTTCTTCGAATCCTCAATCGGCTTGCCATCGTTGGCGATCCACTGGACCTCCGGTGTTGGTCGGCCTGCAAGAATGGTCCCTTATTTATTCAGCTAGTAAATTGACAATTGAACGTAATTACTCGTCGAGCCTCTCATGCCATCAAAACCCCAATTTTTTTCACACTCCGCTATTATGATCTCCATACCCGATTTACGAGCCAACGCGTTTATTTATTGCTCAATTCGTCGCGAGCACTTCTTTTTTTTGTTTTTGTCAATGGTTTTCACGTGTACACATTTTCAGCAAAAAAGGTCACCTCAATCAATTATTATTATAATATTATATTAGTTGCGACTTTCTCGGAAGCACAAATTTTTTGAAAAAAAATGCATTCGTCAAGGTTAGTTGAACCGGTTTGGTGGTGATGAATCTCATGATTATATGGCAAAAAAAATGAGATTTGGAGGGTGAAGCTTCTTTCCATTTATAGAGTGCATATTATCTTCCTCTTTACCCATCGAAAAAAAAAGGCGAGGCATAATTTCATTTCGTTTTAATCGCATCATTCTTCTTCTCATCTCCATTCACAATGCGCGAACTCGTCCGCCAAAAACGAACATAATGGAAGAGAATCTACATATGTGCATTCTTTTTTTTTTCTCGGCTTCTTCTCCGCTCTTCTCACCCACCACCAACACCATTCGGTCGCCATTTATCGCCACCCTGATTTCAACATCATTGTAAACTCGCGTAAGGAGGAGGCGGAGCCGAAGGGTGGGGGGGAGACTGACGAAGAAGACGAAGAAGGAAAAAACGCGACGGAGAAGAAGATGAAAAAGAAGAAGGGAGCGCAACTCTCGTGCCCCATAATATTCCAGGTCGTCCCAACAAATTTACATTCTGTCAATTTGGGGTTGCATTTTCCACGGCCGGCCAACCCCCCCCCCCAAAAAAAAAAAAGAAAATTTTTTTCGCACATGCTCGCCGACGACATTCCCGTCGTGCTCCATCCATCCATTCACTCATTAATTCATCACGAATCGTGTTGCGTCGCGCTATAAATGGTTTCGCGATTTGTTTCCGCGCCTGGAATCGTTTGAACGTTCCAGCCACACCTTATTTATTATTATTTTTATTATTGACTATATTTGATTATATTATATTAACTATACAAGCCATACTGCAATCATGCCGACCATGTAAGTTGTCAATCAAACGTCGAAATGTCATTAAAACCGAGGGGGATGTTGTTGTCCAAGTTACCCACCAGCTTAAACCAAATTCTCTCAAATTTGCCACAGCTTTAAAAGGTGTCTCGAATTCTAATCATGGGATCAATCAAACAATCGAATGCCGATTTTTTCTGAACAATTACTCTGCTTCGTAAATCGTCACACTCATTTCCGTTTATGTAATGTTTCTCGATTTCATGGAAACACACCGACGCTGAATTATTTAATGATCTGTGAGCCATATGTCGTGCTGAATCGAACCGGTCAGGTGCAATTTTTTTAAAGGAAAACTTGCGATTTTGCTTCTTAAAAGCAATTTTTTTGGGGGTTGACGAGACTTCAACTAGTAGTGAAGAAGTGGTTGGGGGGGGGGGAAGATGACGAAAACGAATGTTTGATGGCGGCAACAAAAATTATGCAAATTGGCAGGCTTTTGCCCTCCAGAAGAAAAAAAAACTACTACTTGGTTGCTTCTTATCTTTTATTTTTTTTTTGGGCTCCCTCCTAACTGATCTTCGCGCTTCGTTTTTCCCCCGGAACACGTCGCCTCAAAGCCTTATCTCATAAGGTTGTCACTTTATTTTTTCGAAATCGACACATGAATTTTCATATATTTTGTTGGCCCACCACAACTAGTCAGTCACTTTGCTTCTACTTTTTTTTTTGAGTGGTGGTGGTGGTGGTTGTCAAGCAAAATATATTTATTATGACACGAACATGAAAATTTCGTTTCTGAGTCATTTGGGAGAAAAAACATTGCAGGCCATCACGATTTTTCTCTTTTCAATATTTCGCCTTGAAATCATTCACCCAACCGATTATAATTTTTTTTTGGGTTTCTCGAGGTGGTCATGATCCGCGCATCGCGTACCGTAACCACAACGTCGTCATTCAGATATCAGCCGAGTTTCGATGAGGAAGAGTAAGTTATGATTATAGTTGGGAACTGACTTGGGACCCATTTATATTATTGGGGATCTTCTAATGAGATTCCACATTTTCTGGAGACAACCTAGAGACAAAAAAAAAACAGGCCACTTCTACACGCGCTACTCTCTAAAATTAAAATTTGCTGGAACGAAGAAGCCGGCTTCTGGTGTGTTCTTCAAGAACGTCGTTTTTTTCCTCGGAAAAGATCCTAGAGTCATTTTTTTTGCACCTGGTGTCATTGGTTTGATGATCTTGACACGAAATTCATTCATAAATGATTTCTAATATAATTCGTGTGAGTTGCTGCCAGTGGCGAATTCCTTTGAGATTCCTTTGACGATTTCACATTAAATCGTTTTTTTTAATCGGCTCGTCTCACAGAATTTGGAAGAGCGCATTCGGCTCGTCGAAAGGTTCATTCATATATACTTTTTTGTTTTGCGCGGGTTGCATGGAGAGCAAGCGAGAGCCGCAAAAAAAAACGACGACTGTAGAAAAATGGGGGGGGGTGGGGGGGGTTCTGTCATGCTGCTTCTTGAAAATCGCGCGTCGATAGTAACATATTGCGCGTCTCTGCGATTCTCTCGTTCTCAATTAAAGTCGAGACGAATGCCACAAACTCGGCTCTTGCACTCCGAGACACAACAGCATCGCAAATAAACGCGAGCCACCGAGCCAACAGTAATCGCAACGAAGCGGCGTGTGAGGCGCCGCTTGTAATATATAATAGTTGTGAGCGTCACTCGGAGCTCGGCTCGCTTCTCACATTGTGTTGTTGCGCTTCCAAAATAATATTTTCTCTAGAAAAATACTTTTAATATGCTGAATTTTTTATGCGCAAAAATTGTCGCCCAATTTTGGAGTCATTCAGCGGAAGAAGACCTTTCTTTTTTTTTTTTCATCGCGCTTTTCTTTTATCGAGCCTCGAACACAAAAATTTTTTGGGGTAAAGAGCCAGATAGCCCATTCAATTTTTTTTGTTGTGCTCTTCTAGGCTCGAATTTTTCTTTTTGATATCTCACTAGCTCATTCTCAAGTGTCGATTTACGAAGCAAGTTGATTGGCAAGATCCCTTAAGAATCGCGAGTAGATCACCAGAAAAAAAAACGAGAATGCAAGGAGAAATGGGGTTGCTGAGATAATGAGAAGAAATAATAGACCGTCATTCCGGAAACGAAAAAAAACACATTGTTGTTGTTGTTTTTTTTTTCCACGTCGGGTTCAATATTTCATAAATGTTATATTTTTGCTCTCTCCTCCTTGAAAAGTTGCAATTTCCCTCTCTCTCTCTCTCTCGATCTCTCGATCTCTTCCTATCTCGCAAACCCCCCCGCTTTTGTTGTACAGTGTTGACCGATTGGATAATGAACAAAGTTTTAGCGAATGTGCCTCAACAGTTTAAACTTTGCCCGTGTTCTCAATTTTTCTCATTAAGCTGGTTCAGCCAACGACAGTGATTGTGCAAAAAGTCTATTGTCACACAATTCTTTTGTTTTTTTTTTGCTCCCCTCCGAATTGGTCTAGAAAACAAAAATCAAAAATTTGCCGTCCCGTTCGGCTCACTTCTTGGTTGCCTTATTGAAATACCAACCCAGGTAATAATTATGCGAGTCTCACATACATAATAAAATTTATGGACGCCCAGTAAATCTAATATTGTGCCCGACAGATGTTGAACATTGGAAACGGAAGAGAGAGAGAGAGTGTCGAATCACCCAAAAAATGAGCTTTGTGGGATTCCATCATTCTATTAATAGTGTAAAACTTGTGTTGGGCCTATTAAAAATTTCCGAAGCTCGGTTATCCCGGCTCGCTTTCAAAAAGACGAAAATTTTAATAAGGTATTTATTCGTCGAATTCTCGCTTTCAACATTCCGAAATTAGAAACACGTGCGAGCTGAATGAAAACATATGCATTTTTGTTGCCAATTTGTTGTTGATTTTTTTTTTCAGTGGCTCGTATGCTTTTGCTCAAGAGCCTACGCAAAAATGAGCGAATACATATATATGTTGCAATTTGTTTGGTTTGCCCATTTCCATTGCTTTTTAGGCGCCCCCAACACAAAAAAAACCAAAACAAAACCAATCCTCTTTCTTCCCATTATGTCTTGTTCGCGCATCAATCACTCAAAATGAATTAGTTATATCAACATCGTCGGATTGAAAATGAAACGACGACGACAACGCTGCGGCTTAAATGTATTTATATACATATAGTTAGGCACGCGAATATCTGCCCCGCTAACACCTTGACTCGTGTGCTCACGTCCGTTTCCCACGGCGACACCTGTGAGCTTGTGTGTGTGTGTGTGTGAGAGGAGGTGTGAGGCGACGAGTCGTGGCCATACTCTCGACGGCTGCTCCTTCTCTAATAATCATCGACTTCTAATCATTATCATTTCTGTTCCATTCAAATCGTGATATTATGGCGACGGCCAGCATATCGTATTCGGCGCTTGCTTATAATGGACAGTAAGTCGAACCAATGGCTTCAATGCGTTTGTGTACTTAAGAGGAATGAGCAACTGATTTTTGAGCTCTACGCCTTGAAGGCATTTTATTTAATTCTAGCCAAAAAATTGACTAAAAATGGAAATTCTCTATCCAATTCAATTAAGCTTGTTGACTTCACAAATTAATTCGAACAAGGTGCTCAATTCTCTTACAAGCAATTGATCTTCCACTTCTTCGCCTTCTATTCCACTCCTAATTTAAACTATTGTTGTTCACATCCGTTCGGTGGTCGTCAGCATCAAGGAACAAAAAAAAACAAACACACACTCACATACACTTAGAAGAAGTATGTAGTGACAAGAAGAAAAAAAAAATAGAACTTGGAATTCATTTTCTTGTGCATGTGTCAGCGACGAGTCAATTTCAATCATCGTCACTTTTCCAACGAGTAGTTTCCTATCATCAACGCGTCTCAGCCCCGACCACCCATCCTCAGATATTTTCTAACAAAAATACTGATCGAGAGGAGGAGAGGAAAAAAAGCAATATTGCAAAAAAAAAAAGAAAATTCAACACCAAAAAGAAAAATGGCGATCGCTATATCACAGGCGGTTCTTGTTCATAAAAACTCAGCAACAACATTTCCGGTTCCTTGCTCGTTGGACTCGCTTAAATTCCATAATTACAGGGTAACCGGGAACATGATCAGCGGGTAAGTGGTGGCATTCATTGAATTCACTTTCTGTGTGTATGTGTGTGTTTCTGTACTCTCGTTGTAACTCCATTTGCATGCTTTAACACGATTTCGTCGGCTCTCACACATAAAGTCCGAATAAAAATTGATTGCAGAGCCGCGCAGCAGCACAAAAAGCGACTGATACCGCTGCGTCGAACCGACGCGATGAGCCACGCCGAGAGGCGCAACGGCCAGATATTGGAGGAGATCTATCGCGCCGGCGGTCCCGACTGTTTTCAGCAGATCTCGTCGGGCTACACGAGCGACACCGATGAGCCGGCGTTCCTTCGGCTCAACATCGGCGGAACGCCTTTCATGATTCTCGTCGACGCGATTCTTCGCGCCGAGACGAACACGTTCCTTTCGCGATTCGTCCAACTATCACACTCGGCAAGATTAAAGGTGATCTATATTCATTCTTTTCCTTTTTTGGCGTCACAGCTTCTACATAATTCGTCGAATTAATCCGCTTCATCTTTTTTTTTGCTTCAGGTCGCTGATGCTTACATTCAATCCGAGGATGCGTATTATTTTCAACGCTCACCGACCTCATTCGAAGCCGTTTTTCAATACTACGCCACCGGTGTTGTTCATCGACCGTCGGAGGTTTTACAAAAAAAAAACAGACACCGTCGGATTGTATATCGTTTTTTCGATCGTATGACATTTGCAGGTGTGTCCCGCTTCATTTCTAGGCGAACTCGATTTCTGGCAAATTTCGCACCAATTCGTCGGCTCGTGCTGCGCCGACATCATACCGCAGAAGCGCGAAGAGGAGAAGGAGGAGGAGAAAGTTGGTGGCATGAGCAACAATTCAAAAAAAAACTCAAAAATTCAAGGTTGACGACACGACATTCGACAAATTGATGTTCGGCAAATTGCGCAGAAGAATGTGGACATTTTTGGAAAGGCCCGGATCATCAATGCAAGCAAAAGCGTTCGAGCTCTCGTCGACATTGTTTGTGGCAATATCGGTGATGGGTCTGAGCTTCGGAACGATACCCGAATTTCAAGTAATAGATGAAAGAATCTCTCAAACCAGCCTATTTTTTTTAACGCTACAGGTCCCTCAAAATATGCCACCGCATAATGAGACGATCGTGCTTCCCAATGGTACGGTGATTGTTGTTGGGAAAGTTGAGCAAATGCGCGTCGAACACCCGGCGTTTGTGTTCACCGAGCGCATATGCATCGCGTTTTTCACAGTTGAGTATTGTTTACGATTTTTTGCGGCGCCTCGAAAGCTGCGCTTCGCGTTGAAACCGCTGAACCTCGTCGATCTGCTCGCGATTGTGCCGTTCTACTTGGAGCTTCTGTTGACACTGTGCGGTGTTGACGACAAAAAACTGCGCGATTTGCGTTGGGCGTTCCTCGTCGTTCGAATCCTTCGCGTCCTTCGCGTCATCAGAATCATCAAGCTCGGACGATTCTCATCAGGACTTCAAACGTTCGGAATGACGCTTCAAAGGTCGCAAAAACAATTGCAAATGATGACAATCGTGCTGCTCACTGGTGTCGTCTTCTTCTCCACAATGATCTACTTCCTAGAAAAGGACGAGGAAGGAACACCGTTCACTAGTATACCGGCAGCCTACTGGTGGTGTATAGTGACGATGACAACGGTAGGATACGGTGACGCCGTTCCAGCAACAACAAGTAAGGCATGGTTTTGATTCTCGTTTCAAATTCAAAATTTGCAGTGGGCAAAATAATCGCGTCCGCCGCAATCATGTGCGGTGTGCTCGTGTTGGCTCTGCCGATCACCATCATCGTCGACAACTTCATCAAAGTCGCGCAGGACGAGCAGCAAGCCGAGCAGATCAAAATCGATCAAGGACGCGAGGCGCAGGCACTAGAGGAAATGCTCAAACATCACGACTAGAGTTGTATATCATCAATTATTAATATTTAATTTTGTACGAGTAACAACCCCCCACCATATTCCCCACTCTTGGCCTAGATGAAGCTAAAATCTCCATGATCAATTGAAAAAAAAAAAACACCGAATGTTCTGCCACGACGGGAACCGTTCACCAAAAGTGCGCTTTCGAATCGTGTATTGGCACTAGAATTTATTTTTTTGTTGTTGTTCTTCTCACGTAAAATCACTCAACAAGCTCAGTTTTGATAATATTAATTTTCTTCCAAATTGCACATACTCTCTCTCTCTCTCTCTCTCTCTCTCTCTCTCTCTCTCTCTCTCTCTCTCTCTATTTTTTTGTTCTGACATTTTCCATTACATATCGCGATACACATTTTTTTGTTGGTTAGCGGAATATTTTTCCCTGGCCCCCCCCCCAACCACTCGATGCATAGTGTTGTATGTACAATATAATTTCTCTAGTTTAGCAATATTATAAATGATATTTTTGATAGAAGAATCGCGTACCTGAGAAGGAGAGGCGAAGCTTCACCGATTCGCCTTTGTCGAACACCAATGTTGATGCATAGCGTTCGACGCGATTGATTTCCGGCAGCTGGTCGACGGTGAGCTTGAACGAGTGCTCGACACTTCCCGCCGAGTTTTTGAGCGCAATTTTGTAGTCACCTAGAGCCCAATCAATATTACAAAAGATGGAATTAGCAAGTATTTTTGCCTTCATCGTCTTCTCGAATTTCGCCGATCGTCAACGACGTCGTGTTTCCGGCGGTTTCAATCCATTGCCGTTTTCCCGAGAAGATCTCCTTGCGATTCTTGAACCAGTGCACTTCTGGCGCCGGATGAGCTTTGAACTCAACGCTCACTTTCCATTTGTTGTTCTTAATTGCGATCGTGTCTTCTGGAGCGACGATAATCGAAGGCTTCTCGTTAGCTGAAAAAAAAAGGTTTGATTCAAACAAGTGTCTCAAATACACTATGAATCTTACCTTGCGAATCTTTGCATTCCAATGATTCACTCTGCTCCGAAATGGCAGTTTGTCCATCTTTGCCGGTGGCAACGATGCGGAAAATGTACGACGTGCCTTCTTTGAGTTGAGCAATCGTTGTCGTGCACTCGGCAACGTTTTTCACCGCATTACTCCATGGCCTTTTGGAGTTGGCCTATAAATCAAAACCCGAAAACTTTTCTAAAGAACACGTTCAACAATTCCTACCTCCTTCATTTGAATAGTGTAAGTCACATCTTTGTCATTCTCCGACTCCCATCTAATGGTGATCGAGGTGGAATCACTGGAAACTGCTTCGGGTTTCCCTGGAGCCTTCAACGCCTTCTCGACGGTTTTTTGTGCATCGTCAGATTTCACCTCCTTCACCTCTTCCTCATCCTTCGACTTTGCGTCTTTGGTGACAAATTTGCCTTCGACAGATCGTCCAGCTCCCATTTCATTGAACGCTGATACCCTCACATCGTACGAGGTGCTTGGTTGCAGATCGTCGATTTTGAAGCGCAACTCCTTCGTTTTGCCGCATTGCTTCCAGCCTTTGTTCTTTGATTCTTTGCGCTCAACATTGTATCCATTAATCGCGCATCCTCCATCGTCCTTTGGAGCCTGCCATTGCAACTCAGCCGAACTCTCCGTGATGTCGCCAAATGTGATAGCACCGGCGGGCACGCCAGGCGCACCTTTTGTCGCGCCTTTGATCTTCAACGCGATCTCGACTTTTCCTTTTCCCGTCTCATTCGACACTTTGAGATTGTAGGTTCCCGCGTGACTCGCATCCGTTTTCGCAATCGTCATTTGAGCGACACCATTCGAAATGGACGTGCTCACATTCTTATCGGTCTAAATAATAAAAATCAACATGAACAATTCGGCATGATAGCTTAGAAATACCTTGACATCTTTGTCATCTTTTGTCCATTCCACACTTTTCGGTGTGCCAAAAATGGTGGCTGTCAGTTTGGCCGTATCTCCGGTTTTCACTTCAACAACCGGCTGCTCGGTCTTCACAATGGTATCAGACTCTATACAAAAATCGTCATTAATTGGTTTCAAGGAAAGTTTTTTGATATACCTGGCAATTTGATGGTGACATTAATCGAGACTTCCTTCTCATCACCGCTCTCAGTTTTCGCTTTGCACGTGAAAACACCAGACGCGGAAACGTCAACAATTGGGATGCGCACAACGGATTCGTCGCCACTGCGAGACACCGTGATGCTTGAATCCAATTGTTGGCCGTCCTTCTTCCATTCAACATCAACTACGGAGGAGTCGAGTTTTGTCTGAAACAAACGAATTCAATTATTTTCAGTGGGGCTGCCTCACCTTCAATTCGCCTGGCGATCCAGCTATCAATTCGACGTCGGTTTTGTCAGCCTTCACGAGCTCCTTCTTCTTAGCAACAACTTTCTTCTTCTTGCTGAGCTCCTTCTTCACTGTTTGAGGTTCACCTTCCACTTCGGACTTCTTCTTTTCCACACCTTCAATCGATTCGGCATCAGATGTTTGCAATGATCCACGTCGTGATTCGTCTTGAAGTTTCTCCACGGCCTTGCCTTTTTTCAATTTGTCCTTGACTGCTTTCAGCTCTTCTTCGGCTTCGGTGAGCTCGACAGCCTTCTTCTTCTTCTTCTTCAACACCTGGCTTTCGTCATCCTTGTTCCCCTCAACAGTCGATGCCTCCAATTTTTGCTCCAGTTCTTGCTCAGTTTCTTGCTTCTCCGCATCCAGCTCTTCTTTCGCCGGCGAATCAAAAGAAATCTTCACCGGATCGGTTGGCTCGCTGGGTCTTGAAATAGCATGCAATCCGGTAGCCGTGACTTGATAGGTGTACTCTCCAGATTTTGTCAACGAGCGATCCTTGAACTTGTTTCGGTCGGTGTTCGCAATCTCAAGCCAATAGTTTTCGCCGATCGTTTTTCGTTCAACCAAATACAAACTGGTTTCCGGAATCTCATCCCATCGTAGAGTCACTTTCGTTCCTTCAACGGACACTTGAACCTGGGGGGTTTCAAGAACGGCGATCTTTGGCACAAACAGCTCATTGGAATCCATATCAGTGTCAGGCCCCGGCAATGTCATGACGTCAACGGTTCGACTCGGCTCAGACTCGCCAACCTCGTTGACAGCAACAATTCGGAAACCATAAACTTGATTGCAGAAGAGGTCTTCGGCGACGAACGACAAGGTGTTCGGTTTGACATGACCAACTGGCCTCCATCTGTTATTGTCAACACCCTTTCGCTCGATGATGTATTCGCTGACGGGCGATCCATGAGTCTCGGTTGGTTCTTCCCATGTGAGGAACACACTGTCTTCGGTAACGTCGCTGTATTGCAGGTTCGTCGGCGGTTCCGGAACATCGATGACGGTCAGATGAATCTCGCGGACGCACTGTCCAATGGGACTTTCAGCAATGACGCGAATGATTCCCGAGTTGTCCATGCCGACATCCTTCATTCGCACACTGACATAGTCGTCGTATTCAACAATTGTAGCGATCGCTTTGAGCGGTGTTCCATTGTTGGTCATATGAATTTGCGGCACCGGATATCCGCTGTATTCAACTTGGAAGTCGAACTCGCTTCCAGCGTGCACAACAACACCTTCCGCAAGTTCATCGGGAACTGTCAACGATGGAGCAACATTCAATGAAAGTTTTCCGGGTGTCGATGTCTCCTTGTCGCCCACAACCGCCGTGTACTCACCGATGTCGTGTTGATCGAAATTTTTGATCTCCAATGTGGCCTCGTCGCCTTCGACCGACATTATGGCCTTGTTCATTTGGGGCCAGATTTCGACACCATTCTTGAACCACTTCACCCTTCTGACCGGCTTGGTGAGTTTGCAGTGAAGCAAAACCGCCTTTCCAAACTCTTCGATGACTTGATCTTGTGGTCCCATGACAATGTGAGGTTCCACTTCACTGACAATGACCTCACCCTCGGTGCGACTTCTTCCGTCGGTCGTCTCGCATTTGTATATTCCACTGTCGCCGCTCGTCGAGTTCTTAATGCGAAGCGTTCTCTTCTTAGCCATGGCGTAGAACTGGACTCGATCGTTTGCCACCAGTTTCTTTCCGTCCTTATACCAATTGACGACCGCTTCTTCATCGGACACTTCACACGTGAGCTCAATGTCGTGCCCTTCTTCGACTTCGGTAAGTTCCGAGAACGACGATCTGAAATGAGCGCGAACATCGCTGATCGTGATTTCAGCTTCCGATTCAGCGGTTCCGTGCGAGTTCTCGACGAGCACCTTGTAAACTCCAGCATCGGCATCAGAGACTTCGTGAATGATAAGCGCGCTCATCGATCCTTCATTGATTATTTCAGTGTTCTCATCCGCTGGAATGATTTCGACGCCATCCTTGTACCAAATGTATTCTGGAGCTGGATAGGCAGCCGCATGGCACTCCAATCTCATTTCGCATCTCTTTGGAACGACGGATGACTTGATAGCCTTGAGAATTCGTGGCGCATCGTCTTTCAGAACAGTGACCGGCGATGTTGGCTCGCTGAACTCTCCAGTGCCGAATTGGTTTCTGGCAGCGACACGGAAGACATATGGGATTCCTTCGCGAAGGCCATCGATCACACAATGAGTCTCATTGGTATCAATACTTGCCCAAATGGATGAGCCATCAGACTTGTATTGAACAACGAAGCTGCTCTCGTCGGCTGCATTCCATTCGAGTTCGACCTTGTCATTGTCGATAACTTTGACGGATGGGGTGTCCAAGACAACTTCTGGAACGAGGCCTTCAACTTCAAGAGGCTCTGACACGACATTGGACGATGATCGGAGTCCAGCATCATTGCATGCTTCAACCTTGAAGCGGTAGACCTTGCCGGAGACAAGTGCCTTCACATTGAATGATTCTGTGAACACAAGCTCGTCTCCATTCAACTTCTGCCAACTGCCATCGTTTTCCTGTTTGTAGACATCGTATCCGTAGATTGGAGCGCCGCCATCGTTCAATGGCTTCTTCCAAATCAGAGTACACGAGTTGGACGAGACGTTCTGAATGATCGGCGGCTCGTCGACAACAGGCGTTTGGAATGGGCTGCCGGTAGTCACCGGTTTCGTCTCGATGAACTCTCCAGTTCCGAATTTGTTCACAGCGGCAACGCGAATAATGTATGGTGTTTCGATTTCGAGATCGTCGACTTCATACGACGTTCGACGTCCCGGCACCTGAAAAAAAGACATGCGAAGGACGAAAAATTTAATAAAAATAACACATACGGTTGCCACTTTATGGAACTTCCTTCGACCCTCTTCCTTCTTCTCAATGATGTACGAGGTGACTTCAGCTCCGTTGTTGCTCGTCGGTGCATCCCATTCAATATGAAGTGAACTACCTTCAACTTTCGTGACAGAAATGTCCGCTGGTGCCGATGGACTATCATTAACCTATTAATAATCAATTAATTCAGATTCGAATGAACTGATTTGCTTTATACCTGCACTTCCACTTTATGAGCAACTTCGCCGAACTCATTCTTCAATTTGATTTCGTATTCACCAGCGTCCGCCTTCGACGCCGATCGTTTGACATACTTTATGCCGTCATCGACGATGTCGATTCGACTTTTACCGTCGAACTCAAGCTTCTTACCATCAACGGAAATGTCGAAAGATGATTCAGGATCGCTTTCATACGGAACATGAATCGAAAATTGGTCATCCTTGTCAACCTGAATCAAAAATGTTGAACAGAACTAAAAAAAAAAGCGAAAAACAAAATTTCAAGGAACATGGTGGTGATGAGGAAAAATGTGGAATCTGGAGAGGGGGTGAAGAAAAACAAGAAAGTGCATGGGAAATTTTGTCGAATTGAATTTCGGGCTCCATATTTTCCATTACTCCAACCATGACGAAAACAAACCTGAATCACAGCGGCTTCAGCTTTGGCCTTCAATACCGGTTTTCCTTGAATCATCAGATTCGTGCTGCATTCGAGGCCGTCGCATTGGAATGTGTATTTACCGCGGTGCTCATAGGTGGCTCGACGAATTGTCAACGACACCGAACTTCCGACTGTATCAATCGAATAGTCTTGACCGATTTCCAAAGGTTTTCCATCCTTCAACCAGACAACTTGGCTGACGTCAACTGGATGGTTGAGGGTGAGAGAAATTGACACTTCTTGGCCTTCCTTTCCAGTTGTCTTTCTCGGTGCCCATTGTACAAAGTCTGTTGGAAGATTCTCGACTTGAAGGACTGTTGTATGCTTCTGGCCATCGCATTCAGCGCTAATTCTCATTCCGCTGTCGGCTAGCGTGACATTCTTCACGATGAGAGTTCGGAAGAATGAGCTCGCGGTTTCGTTACATCTTGGAACATCCTTCAAATCCACATCGTTGATCGTCCATGTAACACAATCGTCTTCGTTGAACAGCTCAGCTTCAATTTCAACATTGTCTCCAATCAATGCGCGAGTTTCTTTGGCGAACACCGAAGCAAATCCTGTTCTTCTTCGACGTCTCGAACCATCTGATTTTATTGACACTTCGTCATCGCTGAAAACACCGATCGGGCTCTTGATAGTTTGCTGTTCCAAATTCTTTTCCGTATGCTCCAAAACATCGACGTCCGATTTCACTGACTCGCTCTTTTCCATCTTCTTTTTAACAACACGTTTCTTTGGCTTCGCAGGAGTCTCTTCATTGTCCTCTTGAATTACTTTAGACATTACTTCCTCTTCGTATTCCGATTTTCCCTTGGTTTTCTTATCAACTTCATCCTGGGCCTGCTTGTTAGCCTCGATCTTATCTTTGTTCTCAGCTTCTTCCGTGGCCTTCGTTTCAATCTCAGCCTTAGCCTTCTTGTCCGCTTCATCCTTGCCTTTATCGGCTTCGGTCTTGCCCTTCTTCTCAGTCTTAGCCTCAGCCTTCGTCTTTGCTTCAGATTCGGCATTCTTCTCAGCTTCATCTTTGACCTTTTTGTCAGCTTCATCCTTGGCCTTCTTCTCAGCTTCGGTCTTGGCCTTCTTCTCAGCGTCATCCTTAACCTTCTTCTCAGCTTCGGTCTTGGCCTTCTTCTCAGCTTCATCTTTGACCTTTTTGTCAGCTTCATCCTTGGCCTTCTTCTCAGCTTCGGTCTTGGCCTTCTTCTCAGCTTCGGTCTTAGCCTTCTTGTCAGCTTCATCCTTGGCCTTCTTGTCAGCTTCGGTCTTAGCCTTCTTGTCAGCTTCATCCTTGGCCTTCTTGTCAGCTTCGGTCTTAGCCTTCTTGTCAGCTTCGGTCTTAGCCTTCTTCTCAGCTTCGGTCTTGGCCTTCTTCTCAGCTTCGGTCCTTTTGGCCTTCTTGTCAGCTTCATCCTTTGCCTTCTTGTCAGCTTCGGTCCTTGGCCTTCTTGTCAGCTTCATCCTTGGCCTTCTTGTCAGCTTCGTCCTTGGCCTTCTTGTCAGCTTCATCCTTGGCCTTCTTCTCAGCTTCACTTCCTTTTGTCAGCTTCATCCTTGGCCTTCTTGTCAGCTTCTTCTCCTTCAGCCTTCTTGTCAGCTTCATCCTTGGCCTTCTTGTCAGCTTCGGTCTTGGCCTTCTTGTCAGCTTCATCTTTGGCCTTCTTGTCAGCTTCTTCCTTAGCCTTCTTGTCAGCTTCGGTCTTGGCCTTCTTCTCAGCTTCGGTCCTTGGCCTTCTTGTCAGCTTCATCCTTGGCCTTCTTGTCAGCTTCGGTCTTAGCCTTCTTGTCAGCTTCATCCTTGGCCTTCTTGTCAGCTTCATCCTTGGCCTTCTTGTCAGCTTCGGTCCTTAGCCTTCTTGTCAGCTTCATCCTTGGCCTTCTTGTCAGCTTCGGTCTTGGCCTTCTTGTCAGCTTCATCCTTGGCCTTTTGTCAGCTTCATCCTTGGCCTTCTTGTCAGCTTCGGTCTTGGCCTTCTTGTCAGCTTCATCCTTGGCCTTCTTGTCAGCTTCATCCTTGGCCTTCTTGTCAGCTTCGGTCTTGGCCTTCTTGTCAGCTTCATCCTTGGCCTTCTTGTCCTTGGCCTTCTTGTCAGCTTCATCCTTGGCCTTCTTGTCAGCTTCATCCTTGGCCTTCTTGTCAGCTTCATCCTTGGCCTTCTTGTCAGCTTCGGTCTTGGCCTTCTTGTCAGCTTCATCTTTGGCCTTCTTGTCAGCTTCTTCCTTGGCCTTCTTGTCAGCTTCGGTCTTGGCCTTCTTGTCAGCTTCATCCTTGGCCTTCTTGTCAGCTTCATCCTTGGCCTTCTTGTCAGCTTCATCCTTTTGGCCTTCTTGTCAGCTTCGGTCTTGGCCTTCTTGTCAGCTTCATCCTTGGCCTTCTTGTCAGCTTCGGTCTTGGCCTTCTTGTCAGCTTCATCCTTGGCCTTCTTGTCAGCTTCGGTCTTGGCCTTCTTGTCAGCTTCATCCTTGGCCTTCTTGTCAGCTTCGGTCCTTGGCCTTCTTGTCAGCTTCAGCCTTGGCCTTCTTGTCAGCTTCGGTCTTGGCCTTCTTGTCAGCTTCATCCTTGGCCTTCTTGTCAGCTTCGGTCTTGGCCTTCTTGTCAGCTTCGGTCTTGGCCTTCTTGTCAGCTTCTGTCCTTGGCCTTCTTGTCAGCTTCAGTCCTTGGCCTTCTTGTCAGCTTCATCCTTGGCCTTCTTGTCAGCTTCTTCCTTGGCCTTCTTGTCAGCTTCGGTCTTGGCCTTCTTCTCAGCTTCTTCCTTGGCCTTCTTGTCAGCTTCGGTCTTGGCCTTCTTGTCAGCTTCATCCTTGGCCTTCTTGTCAGCTTCGGTCTTGGCCTTCTTGTCAGCTTCATCCTTGGCCTTCTTGTCAGCTTCGGTCTTGGCCTTCTTGTCAGCTTCATCCTTGGCCTTCTTGTCAGCTTCTGTCTTAGCCTTCTTGTCAGCTTCATCCTTAGCCTTCTTCTCAGCTTCTTCCTTGGCCTTCTTCTCAGCTTCTTCCTTGGCCTTCTTCTCATCTTCTTCCTTGGCCTTCTTCTCAGCTTCAGTCTTGGCCTTCTTCTCAGCTTCTTCCTTGGCCTTCTTCTCAGCTTCTTCCTTGGCCTTCTTCTCAGCTTCTTCCTTGGCCTTCTTCTCAGCTTCGGTCTTGGCCTTCTTGTCAGCTTCATCTTTGACCTTTTTGTCAGCTTCTTCCTTAGCCTTCTTGTCAGCTTCCTTCGGTCTTGGCCTTCTTCTCAGCCTCATCCTTTGCCTTCTTGTCAGCTTCGGTCTTGGCCTTCTTGTCAGCTTCATCCTTGGCCTTCTTGTCAGCTTCGGTCTTAGCCTTCTTGTCAGCTTCATCCTTGGCCTTCTTGTCAGCTTCGGTCATAGCCTTCTTGTCAGCTTCATCCTTAGCCTTCTTCTCAGCTTCTTCCTTGGCCTTCTCAGCTTCTTCCTTGGCCTTCTTCTCATCTTCGGTCTTGGCCTTCTTCTCAGCTTCAGTCTTGGCCTTCTTCTCAGCTTCTTCCTTGGCCTTCTTCTCAGCTTCTTCCTTAGCCTTCTTCTCGGCTTTAGTCGTTGCTTTCTTGTCAGATTCTGTTTTTGCAATCTGCTCATTCTTTTGATCTTTGTTTTCATCTTGTGATTTCTCATGTTTTTCAAGTTCCGCCTGAAAGAAAGGGTAAAGATGTGTGCAAAACTAATTGGTAAGATATCATATGATAACATGCAGTGATTAGTAAGTGTGAGAGTCTAATAACTATATTTTCGCTTTTATAAAATGGATTGCGTAGTATTTTATTGAAGCTTCGTGAGACCAAGAATTTAAATACCTACCTGTTTTCCTGTCACAGGTGGAAGCCCGTCTTTCTTTCTATTTTTGTCATCTGGAGTTTCGGATCTTCGTTTGAAAGAGAACTCTGCTTTATCTTTAGCACTTTCAACCTTAAAAAAAGTTGTTCATCATCAAATTCAAGAGGTCAAACCTTCATGGTGACACTAGCTGAAAGTGGCTCTTTCAATGGTGTCACAGCGTCTGCACTTCCTTCACGACCTCTAATAGTTGTAGTAATATTAGTTTCCGACCGAATTGTGCTCGGATCACCAAATCGGGAACTGATTTCATCAGGAATGAACAATGGTTTTGGAATCTGTTAATACATATATTTAATTTTCTAGTAGATCATATTAAAATTACCGTTTTCTTTTTCTTTTCTTCTGCGCTATCGATAGTGGCTTCGGCGGAATTTTTATCTTCTTCGTTCTTTTTATCGTCTGCAGTCGAAGCAACTTCTAGCTTATCCTCCTTTGTCTTTTTCTTGACTTCAGTCTTAGGTTTCATGGCACCTTCCTTTCTCTTTTTATCCAACTCCGCATCGGCTTTCGTCTTCTTATCAACCTCATTTTTGGCCTTCTTATTAGCTTCTTCCTTTTCCTTATCACTATCGGTCTTGAGCTTCTTCTCGGTTTCCACCTTAGTCTTCTTATCAGATTCCACCTTTGTTATTTTGTCAGCTTCAGCTTTGGTCTTCTCAGCATCCATTTTGGACTTCTTGCCCGCTTCTGTCTTAGCCTTCTTCTCGGCTTCTTCCTTGGCCTTCTTCTCAGCCTCATCCTTAGCCTTCTTCTCAGCTTCTTCCTTAGCCTTCTTCTCAACTTCTTCCTTAGCCTTCTTCTCAGCTTCTTCCTTAGCCTTCTTGTCAGCTTCATCCTTGGCCTTCTTGTCAGCCTCGGTCTTAGCCTTCTTCTCAGCCTCATCCTTAGCCTTCTTCTCAGCTTCATCCTTAGCCTTCTTGTCAGCTTCGGTCTTGGCCTTCTTCTCAGCTTCGGTCTTAGCCTTCTTCTCAGCCTCATCCTTAGCCTTCTTGTCAGCTTCGGTCTTGGCCTTCTTGTCAACCTCATCCTTAGCCTTCTTATCGGCTTCGGTCTTGGCCTTCTTCTCAGCCTCATCCTTAGCCTTCTTCTCAGCTTCTTCCTTAGCCTTCTTATCGGCTTCGGTCTTAGCCTTCTTGTCAACTTGTTCTTCCTTTGCCTTCTTCTCGGCGTCATCTTTGGACTTCTTGTCAGCCTCAGCCTTGGTCTTGTTAGATTCGGTCTTCGTCTTCTTATCAGTCTTAGCCTTAGCCTTCTTCTCTGCTTCAGACTCGGCCTTCTTTTCAGCCTCATCCTTAGCCTTCTTGTCAGCTTCTTCCTTGGGCTTCTTATCGGCTTCGGTCTTGGCCATCTTCTCAGCCTCATCCTTAGCCTTCTTGTCAGCATCTATCTTGGCCTTCCTATCAGCTTCTTCCTTGGCCTTCTCATGGTGCATCTTCTCATCTATTTCTGTCTTAGCCTCGACAAGGTCGTCCAATTCTTTCTTCTGACTCTTTTCAGTTTCATCCTTGTCTACAACCGCTTTCCTGGTCTCTTGCACTTCCGGAATGTCTTTTTCGTCGTCAGCCTTCATAGTAATTTCGTTTTCTTCAGCCACTGATTTCTTTGTCTTTTTGGCTTGTTTCTTCTTTCCTTTCTTCTTCTCCTCAGATTCAAGTCCACCTGTGTCATCTTTGGGCTCATCTCGTATGGCTTGATCAAGAGTTTCTGGAAGTATGGAAGTATAAAGAATTTGTTAAGAGACTCTTTTCTTAGAAAATTGTAATACAGTATAGTGCACTGTTTTCTGAATCGTTCCCACATTAAACAAAAAACACATAGCCGACAAAACAAAGGACAACACCTTCGGACAAATGGACAAAGACATCAGAGAAGCACCAAGCTTCTCCTGCAACATTAATCGCCTGGCACGCATATTCAGCTTCTTCATCTTTGCAAATATCCTTTAGAATCAGCCAATGTTTTCGTTGTTCCTCTTCATGCTTCACTTGAATCTAAAAGAAAAATTGATTTTAAACCAGTAAGAATGGAATTGAAGGTCTACCCTCTCATCATTGCTATCGTTAATAAGCTTTCCGTCTCTAAAGAAGCGAACTTTTGGCTCAGGTTCTCCAAGAGTCTCGACCATCATGATCACATTGTCTCCAACAAGCGCGTCATGATCCGATAGAATCTTGTCAAATCGAGGCGGAATCAATTGCGTGAGACGTGGCGCGTTCGGGTTCTTCCTTTCGACGACCTTTTTCGTACGACAACGTTTCTTTTTCTTCTTCTGATCCTCAAGTTCAGAATCTGACGACGCCTCAATTCGGCGACTTCGTTGAAGGCGACGACGTCGATTGAAGTGCTCATTGTCGGGATATTCTGCAATTCATTTCGATGAAGCTCCTTCGTAAAATTGAGGCCAACTTTTGCAATCAACAAATACTTGAAAGTTGCAGCTATCGACACCAGCAAGATTTTCAACCAAAAGACTGTAATCATCGTCGTCTTCGAACGTGCAATTCGCGATTCTGGCTTCGAATTCGCCGTCTTCAAAAGAAAAAGAGACAACTAAGAATATTGCGGGATTATGAAATATGGGATACCTGAATGATATTCGAGTTGATATTTCGTCGATGGTCCCATCATGTCAATTTCTTTTCCGTTCTTAATCCAAATCAATTCCGGCAACGGGTAGCCGTCAACTTTTCCAGTGAGCGTCGCATTCTCACCCTCCTTGACACGCGTGTCCGACAACGGTTTGACAATCTGCGCCGATTCATATTGCTCGGCGACATCGTCGACAAACGAGCCGCTGTCGCGAACGTCGAGAAGAATCGTGCACTTGTCGACGCCATAGTCATTCTTCGCCTCGAACACCAATTTTCCGCCGTCGATTTTTCGAATGTCGGCAATTGTGACGTTGAACGTGTGGGTGTCGAGAATTGAGTGCCCATCGAACGACATCCTCTCAAAATTTTCCACCGGAATATCATTTCGGTACAATCGGACCTGAAGAAAAAGATGAAGGTTTTGCTGTTCTTTTTTTGGTGTATTTTGAAAAACCCACCAATGGAACATCATCGTCAACCACTTTAATCGAGAATCGGACATGATCACCTTCAATGCATCCAATATATTGCATCTTCTTCTCAAATGCCGGTTTTCGATCACTCAATAGATCTGAAATCGATCTCTTAAAAAATTCTAGAAATCGTTTTTGCATACCATATTTCTTCGATTCCTTTCTTCTCGTCCGCCTCTCAACCCTGGCGCCGTTCTCGTCAAACGAGATACTCTCGGCATCGCTGTATTCCATATCTTGTGATATCGCCGAGATGATGAACTTCTTCTTTTTCTTCACCTCGCTCGATGACGTTCCTTCTGATGCATTCTCATGATCATCATCATCATCGATGGTGTCCGATTGGCTGATGCGCAACGTGAAACTCTTTTGCGGCGCCTTCACATCAAGACTATCTTTCACTTCCATCTTGTCGCTCATCGTTGTCCCAATCGGTTCGCTCTCTTCTTTGCTCTCAAGAGAGCACGAAGCATTGCGAAGAGCCAAAGAATCGCGTTCAATCTCCGAAACCGCTTCAGAAGTGTCATAGCCTTCAGATTCTTCCGAAGCTGTCATTTTGAAAGAAGTCGTTTGCTCGCTGAACGAGACATGCTTCTCCAATTGCTCACCGATCGTCCTTCTCGCTGATTGCATGTCCTCCTTCTTCTTCAAAACAGGAGTTATATGGGCTTCACTATCATCCTTCTGCTCCTTCTTGCCGCCATCCAACAAAGAAGCTTCCACAGACTGCTTTTCAGAATCATTCGTACGCACTTCAACGACGCCTTCCTCCGATTTCCTTCCAATTTTCTCGATTTTCCGTGTCTCCGAATACTCGGTTTGATCATTCGTCGGATCATCTACTATATGCGTCTTCTCAGCACTATCCGCCTTCTTCTTTTTAGCAACTCTCCTTCCACGCTCTTCATATGAACACGATTTGATCTCATTATCTGGAATGACAGTGGCAGCGGAATCACTGCCGTCTTGCTTTCGCAATTCCTCCGAAGAATCCACCGTTGAGAGCTCATCTGTTTCCGTGAGTGTCTTTTGCAGAGAACTCACCGCGCAGTCCACACTTTCATCATTTCCAATAGCAATATTTGTCTCATTCAATGTCATCTGATCCCCAGTGTTGTCATTCAGTGCAGCGTTCACTTCAACATTTTCATGTTGCGATTGGTGTCTGAGTTCCGGAGCCAATGTCATTTCACTGAATTTGGTGGCACTTCTCGTTTTGCCATCACGATCCCTCACGGTCTTTTCCGCGTTCTCATTCTTTCCAGAAGCATTCAATGATTCCGATGAAAATGTTTCCTCCTCATTGACCTTCTCACTCTTGCTATGGTCATTATTTTCTGGTTGAGCCGAAATATCAACATTTTTGGATCTCTCATCGATTGATTTCTCGTCAATATCCTCTTCCAACTTTCTTGAAGCTTCTTTGTCATTTGCATGTTTCGGTTTTCCTTTCTTGGCTGCAGCTTTCTTCGATTTCGCCGAATCCTTCTCTTCTTCTTTTTTGATCTTTGATACTTTCTTTGATTGGTCGCCATCATTTTCAGTCGATTTTCCTTCTGATTTGATTCCTGCTTCAACATCCAATTTTGCCGAATCCTTCGATCCAGCATAATCGCCGAATTCAACGCTAGCTTCAGCCTCCTCCAAATCGGATTTCAAATCTTTCGAGACATCATTCAATGAAAGCTCAAATGTATTTTTGTTCTTTCCAACTTTCGATTCGGCAGAATCATTTGACGTTTCTTTGATAAATTGCTTGTCGACATCTTGAATCGATAGCGATTCCTCAGCACTTCTTCTTCCAACATTTACATCGGCGGATTCTTCCGACTCCCTGTTCTTAAGTTTCGCCTTCATACTAAGTTCAGATAGTGATGTAGCTTCCGAAGCATCGGCATGAACATCGGCTTCAACATTTCCACTATCATCTGCTGATTTCGATAACTCGATATTCTTCTTGTGCAAGGCCATCGATGTTGCCTCCTTCTGTGCTTCTTTCAGTTGAGCATCGTTAGCTTCCTTCGAGCCTTCCTTTGACATTTTCTTTCTCATCTCTTGTGATGAATATGATGTCGATTCTGTTGGATCATATTCAACATCAACCAACGTCTCTCCTTTCTGTGGCGGCTTCTGCAGCGTCTCCTTGGTTCCATACTCTGAATATTCCGCTGAATCCTTAGCAGTGCATTCGGAAACATCGATCAAAGTTTCTGCTTCTTCTTGATTTTTCTCTAACGCCCTATTGGCATCAAGAATGCTCATTCCCGAACGATCTTTGTTTTCATTTGGAACTGCAATCGAAGTCGAATCTTCATCTTCATTTTTCGTCAGTTTCTTGCCAGCTTCAACAACGGAAAGAGCCAATTTATCTTTCTTCTGCTTCTTTTGAGTTTTCGTCTTTGCGGCTTTCGCCGACGAGGGATCTTTCGAAAGACTCGCATCGACATCATCGACTGCCATCCGCACTTGTTCTCGAGTCGTTTCCGCCAATTTTGCAACGGACCTCTCCTCATCATCAGCTTTTGTGACACTTTTTGTAGAAGACTGCAAGGCAAATGATGTCTCGTCCGAGGTCTTCACAACTACATCAGAATCAATCTTCTCATTCTGTTCCTTCTTCGCCAGCTTCTTCTTCAAATTCTGAACCGATAATTCTGTCGAGTCGCTGATTTTTTCTTTGACATCAATCGACGATTTTTCCGATTTTGGAGCATTTGATACCTTCTTTTTCAAGCTCTGAACTGATAGAGACGTCTTGTCACTGATATCATCCTTCAAATCGGCGGATGAATCATTCACAACTTCTTCTTTCTTCAAATGCTTCTTGACACCACTAACTAATAATTGATCCTTTTCCTTCAGCTTCTGCGAAACACCAAATGATGAATCTTGACTCGGCGGCACTTTATGAAGATCTTCGCTGTCATTGACGACCGCTAGAATCTCATTTTCCGTGATATTTTCCGGCAGCTCGATTTCATCGCAACCTTCAGCGTGCTCTTTTTTAAACGACTTTTGTTTATTTGTCAATGACAGACTTGAGGCGTCACGATTGGCATCGACACGTTCGCTTGAAGTACTTTCCTCTTCTTCCTTCTTCGACAATCTCTTCTTCGATTTCTGCAGCGCCAATGACGTCGAATCCCTTGCGTCATTCTTCATATCAGTCGAGGCCGCCTCTTCCAACGAACTCTTCCTCAGGTTCTCATTGAGACCATGCATCGACAAACTGATATTGTCCTTCTGATTGTCTCCGACGCTCAGCGATTCTTCCTCTTCCGCCGTCTTCTTTTTCTTCGACACGTTTTTATTGCGAATCGCCAGAGACGTTTTCTCGTTGCCGACCGGCTCCTCAATGCTCGCAACCGCGTCGTTGCACTGCTCCTGATTGCTCAACTCATCATCCATTGCAGTTACCGAGAATTCCATCTCTTCTCTGTTCTTTCGCGATCGCGACACTCTGGCGACATCGTCATCGTGCGGCTTCTTCAATGCCTTCTTGGTGTCAATGATAGAGAGCTTCTCCTGATCCACATTCGACGACGCCAATTGTTCCACGCCTTCAGCTTCGGACGGCTTCTCAATTGCCGACTCGTTGCTCGTGATCGCCAATTCCGACGATTCGTGCGTCTTCTGCGGTGTTCGCACAAACTTTGACGAGCCTCTCGACTCGGCCGGTTTTCGTTTCGCCACATTTTTCTGCTGCACCGCCATCGATCCTTTCGTCTCCTTCTTCAGAGGAATGGATGAGCTCACATCGTCGATTTCCGACGGCTGTTGGAACTCGAACGATTTCTCATTGGTTGGAGTTGTCGGCTAGAATTAAACAATATCATACACAATGTCAAAAAAAATGACGTACACTTTCGCTGGCGGTTTCCACTTCGACAACGTCGGCATCGATATCAGATTCTTTGATTCTCAAGCTTCTCGTCAGACTTTTTGTCAGCGGTTTTTCAGCGTGTTCACGTTCTTCCACAGAAGAGAAGCTTTCACTAATTTCAATCTCGTTTTGTCTAAAATTCGAAATTTAAATTGCGCTTCATTAAGAATATCAAACCGTTTATCGGATTCTGAAGTATCTTCTTGTGTCTTGCTCGAACTCTGATCTTCAATAGCATCTAAAACAAATAAAAACTGGCAATTTTAGCAGATCCGAACCTGTCTCATCATTCTTCTCAGCTTCTTCAACTATTTCTAAAAGGAAAAAATTACAAGGTTAGATTTTTTGTGTCAAAAAAATTTACCATTTTTCACGGACTTCGCTTGTTTCTTTCCTTTAGTAACTGAAAATTATCAATTTATGAAATTTATATTTTCTTTATTGGGCCTAGAGATTTCCAAAATTAAATTTTGTGGAAATCTCAATGTTGAAAATGATGAGAAATTAAACCTACCTGCTGATACCAAATCTGAAAACGCTGAAACACTGAACAATTTTTGCGCATGCAATTAAACACACAGAGCATGCAAAACGATTCAGAAATCAATGTGTATACCGTCATCCTCGCAAAACTTACCATCCTTCTCGTGATCGCGCAGCTTTTCGTCGAACGCGTCGTCTGAAAACCAATAATGTGTAAAACTCAAAAACCAATCTCGGATATCTTATTGTAGCAGCACAGAACAAAGAATATGTGTTGACACATACCCTACACCTAAATGCGCAAAGAGAACAACGCAAACGTTAAACATTGCGGTGTTTCATGTATTTTGTGGATTTCAAGTGTTGTCATTTTTTTTTAATGAGAAATAGTGTTGAAAATGTTATTGATTACGTCGCAAACCGTCAAGATGGTGCGTACAAGAAGAAATTCGCTATTTGGGTGGGGGGGGGTTTGAGCGATTACAAATCACATGTGGAAGAAACACGATAATGCAGTAAACTTCGGCAAACTGAGATAGCGTTCATAGATTTGAAGTCGCGAAAGTAACAGAGCATAAATGAGACAGTATATACGAAATACGAAAAGCTAAACAGGCAGCCCTTGTGTCAACAAAACGCGGGGGCGAAGATCTCGTCGGGTCGAGGATCTCCTAGTTATTCGCTAACATCGGCAGTGTTCATTATTTTCGATGGAGCAATGCATGTTTGTCGTATCAAGATAAATAGACAATTATTATTTGCAAATATTTTTTCATTGCTTCATCGTTTGATGAGCTTGTCTCATTTCGAATTGATTATCCTAGAAAAGCTAGAAGGCATTTAAAATTAAACAAATATACATACATATTAGAATGCCTATAGGATTGGAAAATATGGCTTGGAAAAAATGTTGGCATATTCCAAATTAGGTCTTGACGCGCATTTTGTGATAATTTTGACAGCCTAACAAATAAAATTTACCTTGATCATCTGACAGTGTTTCGACCTCGACCACCTCACTGACAGGACCTTGTCCAGCTTCGTTTACAGCACTCACTCGGAACACGTAGAGTGTTTCGGAGAACAATCCAGTGATGTTCACTTTACTCGACGCAACTGTATTCGACACTCTCCATCGCGTCGAATCAACCGTTTTTCTCTCAACGATGTACTCGATGATATCGCTTCCTGAAAACAATGACCATTTTTTGATCGGAAATAATTATATGATAATTATTATTGGCACGTCTTACAAAAATTAAAAATAATTTCCATCCCTTTGGCAATAATAGGGACCCTTTTTTAGCATCTTAAATGCTGGTTGAGAAAATCTGAAAATGAAGCCAGCAGGGTTCCACTGAGCGCCATGCTAAATAGATTATAGAAATGCTAAATGTTACGTCAAACTTGACGAACTTCACGCGTTTGGTGAAAAATGGAAAATTCGTGAAATTTGCAAAACCAAATACATATGAACTATTTGAATGCTCGAATCACATCCATATGACTCATTCGAATCTCCATTAAATTTGCTACCCGACTAGACTTGTCGCGGGCTTAACCCAACAACTTGTTGGAATTATCACTACCGACCAAATTGATGTGCCATTAATTATCGTTCAATCTTTACTTAAATGCTCTTACCATTTGTATTCTCAGGCGAGCTCCATTCCAATTCGATCGACGCATTATCGCGATGCAACATTCTCAACGATGAGGGTTTGCTTGGAACGTCGATAACATTGATCGGAATTCTGACGGAATCGCGACTCTCGGTGTTCGAAATAGCTACTACTATTTCTCCATTGTCGGCCATACTCAACTTTTTCATGCGGATCGATATCATATCATCGTAATCAGTGACATCAGCTCTCACGCGAAGGCTCTCATTGTTATGAAGAAGTTTGACTTCGGTTGGAGTTGGGTACGATTGAATCTAAAGTTATTCAATAAGCGCATAAAAATTTCAATATCGCCAATGTACCTTTAATGTAAGATCCAGATTTTGTCCAGCGACCAATGTTTTTGGAAGCGTTGAAGTGACCTCAACCTTGCACGGAACTTTGAGATTAAGCTTCGCTGGCTTCGACTTGTACTCATTGTCAAATAGGGCCCAAATAGTTCCAACATCCTTCGCATCAACATTTTTGATGGTCAGAGTGGACGATTCGTCGGTGGTATGAACAACAGTTTTGCCATATAAGACGCGAATTTCGGTTTCGTTTCGCATCCATTTGACAAAGATTGGCTTCCTTGAGAATGACACCGTGAAGATGGCGTCTTGGCCGAATTCGGCAACATTGACAGAAGATGGAGAACTCGTGAATGGCGAATCTGCAAACAAACAAATCCATTCAGTTTAACAACGGAATAAGCTTACCACTCCATTCTGATATGTCAGTGTCCTCCGCATCGTGACTAATTCGACTGACAAATCCGCTTTCATCAGATTCTTTCTTCAATGTGAGAGTTGTTGATGAAGAAATCGAATTATCATCCGCTTCATTTCCAATGCTGACACTAAGGTCCGCTTGGAGTTCCGAATCTGACACAAATGCAGAACTGGTGTCGCTGACATTTGATACATGTTCGCTTGACTTTTTACCATCATCCTTCTTTGAAGTTTTTGATTTTTTTACAATCTTTTTCTTCTTTAATCCCTCAGCAACTTCTTCTTTCATCTCAACGACTTCCCGGATTTTCTCAACTTCCTTGGTAGCTTCAGAATTTGTTTTCTGGGCTTCAAGTGCAGTCTTCCCAGAATCAGTCTTGACCTTCTTGTCAGCTTCTTCTTTGGCCTTCTTCTCAGCTTCATCCTTAGCCTTCTTCTCAGCTTCGATCTTAGCCTTCTTGTCAGCTTCTTCTTTGGCCTTCTTCTCAGCTTCGGTCTTAGCCTTCTTGTCAGCTTCATCTTTGGCCTTCTTGTCAGCTTCATCTTTGGCCTTCTTGTTAGCTTCATCCTTGGCCTTCTTCTCAGCTTCTTCCTTGGCCTTCTTGTCAGCTTCAGTCTTGGCCTTCTTCTCAGCTTCATCCTTGGCCTTCTTGTCCACTTCATCCTTGGCCTTCTTCTCAGCTTCTTCCTTGGCCTTCTTGTCAGCTTGTTCCTTGGCCTTCTTCTCAGCCTCATCCTTAGCCTTCTTCTCAGCTTCGGTCTTAGCCTTCTTGTCAGCTTCTTCTTTGGCCTTCTTGTCAGCTTCATCTTTGGCCTTTTTCTCAGCTTCATCTTTGGCCTTCTTCTCAGCTTCATCTTTGGCCTTCTTCTCAGCTTCAGTCTTGGCCTTCTTCTCAGCTTCATCCTTGGCCTTCTTGTCCGCTTCATCCTTGGCCTTCTTCTCAGCTTCTTCCTTGGCCTTCTTGTCAGCTTGTTCCTTGGCCTTCTTCTCAGCCTCATCCTTAGCCTTCTTCTCAGCTTCGGTCTTAGCCTTCTTGTCAGCTTCAGTCTTGGCCTTCTTCTCAGCTTCTTCCTTGGCCTTCTTGTCAGCTTCTTCCTTAGCCTTCTTCTCAGCTTCGGTCTTAGCCTTTTTGTCAGCTTCATCCTTGGTCTTCTTATCGGCTTCGCTCTTGGCCTTCTTCTCAACTTCCTCCTTTGCCTTCTTATCGGCTTCGGTCTTGGCTTTCTTCTCAGCCTCATCCTTGGCCTTCTTGTCAGCTTCATCCTTGGCCTTCTCAGCTTCTTCTTTTGTCTTCTTCTCAGCTTCATCCTTGGTCTTCTTCTCAGCCTCATCTTTAGCCTTCTTCTCAGCTTCAGTCTTGGCCTTCTTCTCAGCTTCGGACTTAGCCTTCTTGTCAGCTTCATCTTTGGCCTTCTTGTTAGCTTCTTCCTTGTCCTTCTTCTCAGATTCTTCCTTAGCCTTCTTCTCAGCTTCAGTCTTGGCCTTCATCTCAGCTTCAGTCTTGGCCTTCTTCTCAGCTTCGGTCTTAGCCTTTTTGTCAGATTCATCTTTGGCCTTCTTGTCAGCTTCATCCTTGGCCTTCTTATCGGCTTCGCTCTTGGCCTTCTTCTCAACTTCCTCCTTTGCCTTCTTATCGGCTTCGGTCTTGGCTTTCTTCTCAGCCTCATCCTTGGCCTTCTTGTCAGCTTCATCCTTGGCCTTCTCAGCTTCTTCTTTTGTCTTCTTCTCAGCTTCATCCTTGCTCTTCTTCTCAGCTTCTTTCTTTTTAATCTCCACTGCGGTGTTATCAACGTCTGTCACTTTTTCTTCAATTGTTTCTTCGAATGTTTCAGCCTTCTTTTTCAATGTTGCCTCCGCTTCTTCCTTGATCTCCTTTACTGCTTTTCTCTTCTTCTCTTCTTGATGTTCTTCCCCTACGATAAGTTGAACGACTTCGACTTCGACCTCCGCAGCCACTGGTTGTTCAGTTTCAGTAACTTGAGCATTCTCTTTCTGTTTCCTTGTTTTCTTCAGTTTTTTCTTCTCGGTTTCCTGTTTGTCAATAGTCTTCTGAATTATAACTTCCTCGTTGGTCTGGGATGAGTCGGTAGAAGTCACTGCGTCGGACAGAGAAATTGATACATCAGCCTCAATTGACATCTCTTCTTGGCTATCCACCATACTCTCGGTTGTCATAAGTTCAATGGTTTCAAACGTGACATCGGTTACACTTTGTTTGGATTCCGTTGAGAATTCAAATTCTTCAACCTGATCGTAATCGAGCGTGTTGACCTCAATGATGTCACTAGGCGCTCCTTCGCCGAAGTCATTGACCCCAACAATTCTAAACGCGTAGAACTCGTTTGGAACCAATTCTTCAGCCGTATATTCGTGATTCGTCACCTTTGCAATTGTTCGCCATCTGCGAGTTTCGGTCGATCTTCGTTGAATCATGTAATGAATGATATCGGATTCGCCCGAATGCGGCTCAATCCATCGAATCGTTGCAGTCATATCCGAAACACGAATCAGTTTCGCTTTCCGCGGCTTCAATGGGGTGTCAACCATAGTGATATGAAGTGGAGACGAATCCTTTCCATACTTATTTTCGAGCACCACCGTATATTCGCCGCTGTGCTCTTTGAGCAACTTCGGGATATGCACCGAAGCGATGTTTTCATAAATATCGTACTTGACGTCAAATTCGACGGGTTCACCGTTAACCAAAACGCGACACTTGGGTTGTGGGGCGCCGATGAACGTGATGTTGTACGTGAATGATTTTCCGGCCTGGTGTGTTATAGCATGATCCAGCCTAAAAAAATGGAATCCAATCATCGATACTTCTAAAACTCATAAAAAATTACTTGTTAGTTATTATTGGTTGCGATGGTCCGCCAAGGCTTGCCGGACGGCTTCCAATCGAATTGTCAATCAACACATGATATTTTCCTTTCATGTGATGGTAGAACTTCGGTATACGAAGAATTGCTTGATTGTCGGCGATCATCTGCTCACAGGTTCCATCGTCGGCCAGCAGCATTCCATTACAGAACCATTTCGCATCCGAAATATTCTTGCTCGTCTGGCAAATGAGAAGAACTTCAGTTTCCAATTCATCGACAGCCTTCGACTTCGGATGTTCAATAATGGATTGCTGGTGTTGTTCTGATGACAAATTGATTGGAATCGGCTCAATGTGATCTAACATACCTCCAATGGTAAGCGAGACTTCTTGAGTTTCAATGACGGTATCAGCATGCGCCTGCTCTTCCAGTTTATTGATTTCTTGCTCTTTTGGTTTTTTCAATGGAAGCGAAATGCTCTTGTGAACTTCCTGTAATTAATACAATTTTGATAATCGTAATTCATTTGCCAATCAACCTCAAGGTTTTCTGGCGGTGGGAACACTTGAATGCCATCAATTTCGGTTAAGTTCTCCAATGAGACGTCGCATTCAATCGATTGGCTGTCCTCGTCGTCGGAATAATCATCGTAAATACTCATTTCCATCGCATCATAATCATAGAAGTTGAGATCAACTAAGGCGTCGGTATGAATCGATTCCTCGCCAGCTTCAATATCAACGTCGACGAATATATCGCTGCTTCCTGGAAAAAAGAGCAAAACCAAATGCAAATCATTTGAATTATAAGTGTTGAAGAAGCATACCGGAACTGGTTCGTTTGCGTTCGACACCACTAACTTCCGGTTTGAGAAGAGATATTTGTTTTTCATCCTGCTCGGACTCTTTGATCTTGATCTGAAAATATGAATGATATCTATAATGTATAAAAAAAGGCACCTTTTCCTTTCGGTTCGCCTTCTTTTTCTTCTTTTTGAGTGGTTTCTTGGCTTTAACTGATGGGCTGAGAATTGAAATGCCGTCTGTAACGTCGACCAAAGCTGATCCTTAAATTTTACAAATAAATGTGTTTGACACATTTCAATGCCACACCGTTGTCCAATTCGTCTGGACGATCTGGTTTCGATGCAAACGACTTCTCGAATATAATTCCGATACCAATTTTATCTGTCCGCTGTTTTACAAACACCTAATAAAGTTACGATTACATAATAATTCAATTGAATTCAGACCTTTATATTTTTTTTTTTAAGTGTGGTTTTTTTTAAAAAATACCCCATAATTTTCGGGGGGTGGGGGGGGTTTTTTTTTTTTTTTTTTTTTTGGGGGGGGGGAAGGGGGGGGGTCCCCAAAAACCCAGGGCCCCCCCCTCCTCTTCTTCCTTGGAATTCTTCTCAGCTTCAGTCTTGGCCTTCTTCACAGCTTCTTCCTTGGCCTTCTTTTCAGCTTCTTCCTTAGCCTTCTTTTCAGCTTCTTCCTTGGCCTTCTTCTCAGCTTCGTCCTTGGCCTTCTTCTCAGCTTCAGTCTTGGCCTTCTTCTCAGCTTCTTCCTTTGCCTTCTTCTCAGCTTCTTCCTTAGCCTTCTTTTCAGCTTCTTCCTTGGCCTTCTTCTCAGCTTCGGTCTTGGCCTTCTTCTCAGCTTCTTCCTTGGCCTTCTTTTCAGCTTCAGTCTTGGCCTTCTTCTCAGCTTCTTCCTTGGCCTTCTTCTCAGCTTCGGTCTTGGCCTTCTTCTCAGCTTCTTCCTTGGCCTTCTTCTCAGCTTCTTCCTTAGCCTTCTTTTCAGCTTCGGTCTTGGCCTTCTTCTCAGCTTCTTCCTTGGCCTTCTTTTCAGCTTCAGTCTTGGCCTTCTTCTCAGCTTCTTCCTTGGCCTTCTTTTCAGCTTCGGTCTTGGCCTTCTTCTCAGCTTCTTCCTTGGCCTTCTTTTCAGCTTCTGTCTTGGCCTTCTTCTCAGCTTCTTCCTTGGCCTTCTTTTCAGCTTCAGTCTTGGCCTTCTTCTCAGCTTCTTCCTTGGCCTTCTTTTCAGCTTCTGTCCTTGGCCTTCTTCTCAGCTTCTTCCTTGGCCTTCTTCTCAGCTTCTTGGCCTTCTTGGCCTTCTTCTCAGCTTCTTCCTTGGCCTTCTTTTCAGCTTCTGTCTTGGCCTTCTTCTCAGCTTCTTCCTTGGCCTTCTTCTCAGCTTCTTCCTTGGCCTTCTTCTCAGCTTCTTCCTTGGCCTTCTTGTCAGCTTCTTCCTTAGCCTTCTTCTCAGCTTCAGTCTTGGCCTTCTTCTCAGCTTCTTCCTTGGCCTTCTTGTCAGCTTCTTCCTTGGCCTTCTTCTCAGCTTCGGTCTTGGCCTTCTTCTCAGCTTCTTCCTTGGCCTTCTTGTCAGCTTCTTCCTTGGCCTTCTTCTCAGCTTCGGTCTTGGCCTTCTTCTCAGCTTCTTCCTTGGCCTTCTTGTCAGCTTCTGTCTTGGCCTTCTTCTCAGCTTCAGTCTTGGCCTTCTTCTCAGCTTCGATCCTTGGCCTTCTTCTCAGCTTCTTCCTTGGCCTTCTTCTCAGCTTCTTCCTTGGCCTTCTTCTCAGCTTCTTCCTTGGCCTTCTTCTCAGCTTCTTCCTTGGCCTTCTTCTCAGCTTCTTCCTTGGCCTTCTTCTCAGCTTCTGTCCTTGGCCTTCCTCTTCTTCTCAGCTTCTTCCTTGGCCTTCTTCTCAGCTTCAGTGTCCTTGGCCTTCTTCTCAGCTTCTTCCTTGGCCTTCTTCTCAGCTTCTGTCCTTGGCCTTCTTTTCAGCTTCGGTCTTGGCCTTCTTCTCAGCTTCTATCCTTGGCCTTCTTCTCAGCTTCTTCCTTGGCCTTCTTCTCAGCTTCTTCCTTGGCCTTCTTCTCAGCTTCTTCCTTGGCCTTCTTCTCAGCTTCTTCCTTGGCCTTCTTCTCAGCTTCTGTCCTTGGCCTTCTTCTCAGCTTCTTCCTTGGCCTTCTTCTCAGCTTCTTCCTTGGCCTTCTTCTCAGCTTCGGTCTTGGCCTTCTTCTCAGCTTCTTCCTTGGCCTTCTTCTCAGCTTCTGTCCTTGGCCTTCTTCTCAGCTTCTGTCCTTGGCCTTCTTCTCAGCTTCTTCCTTGGCCTTCTTGTCAGCTTCAGTCTTGGCCTTCTTCTCAGCTTCAGCCTTCTTCTCAGCTTCGTCCTTGGCCTTCTTCTCAGCTTCTTCCTTGGCCTTCTTCTCAGCTTCTTCCTTGGCCTTCTTTTCAGCTTCAGTCTTGGCCTTCTTCTCAGCTTCTTCCTTGGCCTTCTTCTCAGCTTCTGTCCTTGGCCTTCTTCTCAGCTTCTTCCTTGGCCTTCTTCTCAGCTTCTTCCTTGGCCTTCCTTCTTGGCCTTCTTCTCAGCTTCTGTCCTTGGCCTTCTTCTCAGCTTCTTCCTTGGCCTTCTTTTCAGCTTCAGTCTTGGCCTTCTTCTCAGCTTCTTCCTTGGCCTTCTTTTCAGCTTCTGTCTTGGCCTTCTTCTCAGCTTCTTCCTTGGCCTTCTTCTCAGCTTCTTCCTTGGCCTTCTTTTCAGCTTCAGTGTCTTGGCCTTCTTCTCAGCTTCTTCCTTGGCCTTCTTTTCAGCTTCAGTCTTGGCCTTCTTCTCAGCTTCTTCCTTGGCCTTCTTTTCAGCTTCGGTCTTGGCCTTCTTCTCAGCTTCTTCCTTGGCCTTCTTCTCAGCTTCTTCCTTGGCCTTCTTTTCAGCTTCAGTTTTTGCCTTCTTCTCAGCTTCTTCCTTGGCCTTCTTCTCAGCTTCGGTCTTGGCCTTCTTCTCAGCTTCTTCCTTGGCCTTCTTCTCAGCTTCTGTCTTGGCCTTCTTCTCAGCTTCTTCCTTGGCCTTCTTGTCAGCTTCTGTCCTTGGCCTTCTTCTCAGCTTCTTCCTTGGCCTTCTTCTCAGCTTCTTCCTTGGCCTTCTTCTCAGCTTCGGTCTTGGCCTTCTTCTCAGCTTCTTCCTTGGCCTTCTTGTCAGCTTCGGTCTTGGCCTTCTTCTCAGCTTCTTCCTTAGCCTTCTTGTCAGCTTCAGTCTTGGCCTTCTTCTCAGCTTCTTCCTTGGCCTTCTTGTCAGCTTCTTCCTTGGCCTTCTTCTCAGCTTCGGTCTTGGCCTTCTTCTCAGCTTCTTCCTTGGCCTTCTTGTCAGCTTCGGTCTTGGCCTTCTTCTCAGCTTCTTCCTTGGCCTTCTTGTCAGCTTCTTCCTTGGCCTTCTTCTCAGCTTCGGTCCTTGGCCTTCTTCTCAGCTTCTTCCTTGGCCTTCTTCTCAGCTTCTTCCTTGGCCTTCTTCTCAGCTTCTTCCTTGGCCTTCTTCTCAGCTTCTTCCTTGGCCTTCTTCTCAGCTTCTTCCTTGGCCTTCTTCTCAGCTTCTTCCTTGGCCTTCTTCTCAGCTTCTTCCTTGGCCTTCTTCTCAGCTTCTGTCTTGGCCTTCTTCTCAGCTTCTTCCTTGGCCTTCTTCTCAGCTTCTTCCTTGGCCTTCTTGTCAGCTTCTGTCTTGGCCTTCTTCTCAGCTTCTTCCTTGGCCTTCTTCTCAGCTTCTTCCTTGGCCTTCTTCTCAGCTTCTTCCTTGGCCTTCTTCTCAGCTTCTTCCTTGGCCTTCTTCTCAGCTTCTTCCTTGGCCTTCTTCTCAGCTTCTGTCCTTGGCCTTCTTCTCAGCTTCTTCCTTGGCCTTCTTCTCAGCTTCTGTCCTTGGCCTTCTTCTCAGCTTCTGTCCTTGGCCTTCTTCTCAGCTTCTTCCTTGGCCTTCTTCTCAGCTTCTTCCTTGGCCTTCTTCTCAGCTTCTTCCTTGGCCTTCTTCTCAGCTTCGGTCTTGGCCTTCTTCTCAGCTTCTTCCTTGGCCTTCTTTTCAGCTTCGGTCTTGGCCTTCTTCTCAGCTTCTTCCTTGGCCTTCTTCTCAGCTTCTTCCTTGGCCTTCTTCTCAGCTTCAGTTCCTTGGCCTTCTTCTCAGCTTCTTCCTTGGCCTTCTTTTCAGCTTCAGTCTTGGCCTTCTTCTCAGCTTCTTCCTTGGCCTTCTTCTCAGCTTCGGTCCTTGGCCTTCTTCTCAGCTTCTTCCTTGGCCTTCTTCTCAGCTTCTTCCTTGGCCTTCTTCTCAGCTTCTTCCTTGGCCTTCTTCTCAGCTTCTTCCTTGGCCTTCTTCTCAGCTTCAGTCTTGGCCTTCTTCTCAGCTTCTTCCTTGGCCTTCTTCTCAGCTTCTTCCTTGGCCTTCTTCTCAGCTTCTGTCCTTGGCCTTCTTCTCAGCTTCTTCCTTGGCCTTCTTCTCAGCTTCTTCCTTGGCCTTCTTCTCAGCTTCGGTCTTGGCCTTCTTCTCAGCTTCTTCCTTGGCCTTCTTGTCAGCTTCTGTCCTTGGCCTTCTTCTCAGCTTCTGTCCTTGGCCTTCTTCTCAGCTTCTGTCCTTGGCCTTCTTCTCAGCTTCTTCCTTGGCCTTCTTCTCAGCTTCTTCCTTGGCCTTCTTCTCAGCTTCAGTCTTGGCCTTCTTCTCAGCTTCTTCCTTGGCCTTCTTCTCAGCTTCGGTCTTGGCCTTCTTCTCAGCTTCTTCCTTGGCCTTCTTCTCAGCTTCTTCCTTGGCCTTCTTTCTCAGCTTCAGCCTTCTTCTCAGCTTCTTCCTTGGCCTTCTTCTCAGCTTCTGTCCTTGGCCTTCTTCTCAGCTTCTTCCTTGGCCTTCTTTTCAGCTTCAGTCTTGGCCTTCTTCTCAGCTTCTTCCTTGGCCTTCTTTTCAGCTTCGGTCTTGGCCTTCTTCTCAGCTTCTTCCTTGGCCTTCTTCTCAGCTTCTTCCTTGGCCTTCTTTTCAGCTTCAGTTTTGGCCTTCTTCTCAGCTTCTTCCTTGGCCTTCTTTTCAGCTTCAGTCTTGGCCTTCTTCTCAGCTTCTTCCTTGGCCTTCTTTTCAGCTTCAGCTTCAGTCTTGGCCTTCTTCTCAGCTTCTTCCTTGGCCTTCTTTTCAGCTTCGGTCTTGGCCTTCTTCTCAGCTTCTTCCTTGGCCTTCTTCTCAGCTTCTTCCTTGGCCTTCTTCTCAGCTTCCTTCTTCTTTTCTTCCTTGGCCTTCTTCTCAGCTTCTTCCTTGGCCTTCTTTTCAGCTTCAGTCTTGGCCTTCTTCTCAGCTTCTTCCTTGGCCTTCTTGTCAGCTTCGGTTCCTTGGCCTTCTTCTCAGCTTCTTCCTTGGCCTTCTTCTCAGCTTCTTCCTTGGCCTTCTTCTCAGCTTCGGTCTTGCCCTTCTTCTCAGCTTCTTCCTTAGCCTTCTTGTCAGCTTCAGTCTTGGCCTTCTTCTCAGCTTCTTCCTTGGCCTTCTTGTCAGCTTCTGTCCTTGGCCTTCTTCTCAGCTTCTGTCCTTGGCCTTCTTCTCAGCTTCTGTCCTTGGCCTTCTTCTCAGCTTCTTCCTTGGCCTTCTTCTCAGCTTCTTCCTTGGCCTTCTTCTCAGCTTCTTCCTTGGCCTTCTTCTCAGCTTCTTCCTTGGCCTTCTTGTCAGCTTCTGTCCTTGGCCTTCTTCTCAGCTTCGGTCCTTGGCCTTCTTCTCAGCTTCTTCCTTAGCCTTCTTGTCAGCTTCAGTCTTGGCCTTCTTCTCAGCTTCTTCCTTGGCCTTCTTGTCAGCTTCTTCCTTGGCCTTCTTCTCAGCTTCGGTCTTGGCCTTCTTCTCAGCTCTTCAGCCTTCTTGTCAGCTTCTTCCTTGGCCTTCTTCTCAGCTTCAGTCTTGGCCTTCTTCTCAGCTTCTTCCTTGGCCTTCTTGTCAGCTTCTTCCTTGGCCTTCTTCTCAGCTTCTTCCTTCTTCTCAGCTTCTGTCCTTGGCCTTCTTCTCAGCTTCTGTCCTTGGCCTTCTTCTCAGCTTCTGTCCTTGGCCTTCTTCTCAGCTTCTGTCCTTGGCCTTCTTCTCAGCTTCTTCCTTGGCCTTCTTCTCAGCTTCTGTCCTTGGCCTTCTTCTCAGCTTCTTCCTTGGCCTTCTTCTCAGCTTCTTCCTTGGCCTTCTTCTCAGCTTCTGTCCTTGGCCTTCTTCTCTGCTTCTCTCCTTGGCCTTCTTCTCAGCTTCTTCCTTGGCCTTCTTCTCAGCTTCTTCCTCTTGGCCTTCTTCTCAGCTTCTTCCTTGGCCTTCTTCTCAGCTTCTTCCTTGGCCTTCTTCTCAGCTTCTTCCTTGGCCTTCTTCTCAGCTTCTGTCCTTGGCCTTCTTCTCAGCTTCTTCCTTCTTGGCCTTCTTCTCAGCTTCTGTCCTTGGCCTTCTTCTCAGCTTCTTCCTTGGCCTTCTTCTCAGCTTCTGTCCTTGGCCTTCTTCTCAGCTTCTTCCTTGGCCTTCTTCTCAGCTTCTGTCCTTGGCCTTCTTCTCAGCTTCTTCCTTGGCCTTCTTCTCAGCTTCTGTCCTTGGCCTTCTTCTCAGCTTCTTCCTTGGCCTTCTTCTCAGCTTCTTCCTTGGCCTTCTTTCAGCTTCGGTCTTGGCCTTCTTCTCAGCTTCTTCCTTGGCCTTCTTCTCAGCTTCTTCCTTGGCCTTCTTCTCAGCTTCGGTCTTGGCCTTCTTCTCAGCTTCTTCCTTGGCCTTCTTGTCAGCTTCTTCCTTGGCCTTCTTCTCAGCTTCTGTCCTTGGCCTTCTTCTCAGCTTCTTCCTTGGCCTTCTTCTCAGCTTCTTCCTTGGCCTTCTTCTCAGCTTCTTCCTTGGCCTTCTTCTCAGCTTCTTCCTCTTGGCCTTCTTCTCAGCTTCTTCCTTGGCCTTCTTCTCAGCTTCTTCCTTGGCCTTCTTCTCAGCTTCTGTCTTGGCCTTCTTCTCAGCTTCTTCCTTGGCCTTCTTCTCAGCTTCAGTCCTTGGCCTTCTTCTCAGCTTCTTCCTTGGCCTTCTTGTCAGCTTCTTCCTTGGCCTTCTTCTCAGCTTCGGTCTTGGCCTTCTTCTCAGCTTCTTCCTTGGCCTTCTTGTCAGCTTCTTCCTTGGCCTTCTTCTCAGCTTCTTCCTCTTGGCCTTCTTCTCAGCTTCTTCCTTGGCCTTCTTCTCAGCTTCGTCCTTGGCCTTCTTCTCAGCTTCTTCCTTGGCCTTCTTGTCAGCTTCTTCCTTGGCCTTCTTCTCAGCTTCTTCCTTGGCCTTCTTCTCAGCTTCTTCCTTGGCCTTCTTCTCAGCTTCGGTCTTGGCCTTCTTCTCAGCTTCTTCCTTGGCCTTCTTGTCAGCTTCAGTCTTGGCCTTCTTCTCAGCTTCTTCCTTGGCCTTCTTGTCAGCTTCTTCCTTGGCCTTCTTCTCAGCTTCGGTCTTGGCCTTCTTCTCAGCTTCTTCCTTGGCCTTCTTCTCAGCTTCTTCCTTGGCCTTCTTGGCTCTTCCTTCTTCTCAGCTTCTTCCTTGGCCTTCTTCTCAGCTTCTGTCCTTGGCCTTCTTCTCAGCTTCTTCCTTGGCCTTCTTCTCAGCTTCTTCCTTGGCCTTCTTCTCAGCTTCTGTCCTTGGCCTTCTTCTCAGCTTCTTCCTTGGCCTTCTTCTCAGCTTCTGTCCTTGGCCTTCTTCTCAGCTTCTTCCTTGGCCTTCTTCGTCTTGGCCTTCTTCTCAGCTTCTTCCTTGGCCTTCTTCTCAGCTTCTGTCTTGGCCTTCTTCTCAGCTTCTGTCCTTGGCCTTCTTCTCAGCTTCTTCCTTGGCCTTCTTCTCAGCTTCTTCCTTGGCCTTCTTCTCAGCTTCTTCCTTGGCCTTCTTCTCAGCTTCTTCCTTGGCCTTCTTCTCAGCTTCTGTCCTTGGCCTTCTTCTCAGCTTCTTCCTTGGCCTTCTTCTCAGCTTCTGTCCTTGGCCTTCTTCTCAGCTTCTTCCTTGGCCTTCTTCTCAGCTTCTTCCTTGGCCTTCTTCTCAGCTTCTGTCCTTGGCCTTCTTCTCAGCTTCTTCCTTGGCCTTCTTCTCAGCTTCTTCCTTGGCCTTCTTCTCAGCTTCTGTCTTGGCCTTCTTCTCTCAGCTTCTTCCTTGGCCTTCTTCTCAGCTTCTGTCCTTGGCCTTCTTCTCAGCTTCTTCCTTGGCCTTCTTCTCAGCTTCTTCCTTGGCCTTCTTCTCAGCTTCGGTCTTGGCCTTCTTCTCAGCTTCTTCCTTGGCCTTCTTGTCAGCTTCAGTCTTGGCCTTCTTCTCAGCTTCTTCCTTGGCCTTCTTCTCAGCTTCTTCCTTGGCCTTCTTCTCAGCTTCGGTCCTTGGCCTTCTTCTCAGCTTCTTCCTTGGCCTTCTTCTCTGCTTCCTTGGCCTTCTTCTCAGCTTCTTCCTTGGCCTTCTTCTCAGCTTCTTCCTTGGCCTTCTTCTCAGCTTCTTCCTTGGCCTTCTTCTCAGCTTCTTCCTTGGCCTTCTTCTCAGCTTCTGTCCTTGGCCTTCTTCTCAGCTTCTTCCTTGGCCTTCTTGTCAGCTTCTGTCCTTGGCCTTCTTCTCAGCTTCTTCCTTGGCCTTCTTCTCAGCTTCTTCCTTACTGGCCTTCTTCTCAGCTTCGGTCCTTGGCCTTCTTCTCAGCTTCTTCCTTGGCCTTCTTCTCAGCTTCTTCCTTGGCCTTCTTCTCAGCTTCTTCCTTGGCCTTCTTCTCAGCTTCTTCCTTGGCCTTCTTCTCAGCTTCGGTCTTGGCCTTCTTCTCAGCTTCTTCCTTGGCCTTCTTGTCAGCTTCGGTCTTGGCCTTCTTCTCAGCTTCTTCCTTGGCCTTCTTCTCAGCTTCTTCCTTGGCCTTCTTCTCAGCTTCGGTCTTGGCCTTCTTCTCAGCTTCTTCCTTGGCCTTCTTCTCAGCTTCTTCCTTGGCCTTCTTCTCAGCTTCTTCCTTGGCCTTCTTCTCAGCTTCGGTCCTTGGCCTTCTTCTCAGCTTCTTCCTTGGCCTTCTTGTCAGCTTCTGTCCTTGGCCTTCTTCTCAGCTTCTGTCCTTGGCCTTCTTCTCAGCTTCTTCCTTGGCCTTCTTCTCAGCTTCGGTCTTGGCCTTCTTCTCAGCTTCTTCCTTGGCCTTCTTCTCAGCTTCTTCCTTGGCCTTCTTCTCAGCTTCTTCCTTGGCCTTCTTCTCAGCTTCTTCCTTGGCCTTCTTCTCAGCCTTCTTCTCAGCTTCTTCCTTGGCCTTCTTCTCAGCTTCTTCCTTGGCCTTCTTCTCAGCTTCTTCCTTGGCCTTCTTCTCAGCTTCTTCCTTGGCCTTCTTCTCAGCTTCTTCCTTGGCCTTCTTCTCAGCTTCTGTCCTTGGCCTTCTTCTCAGCTTCTTCCTTGGCCTTCTTCTCAGCTTCTTCCTTGGCCTTCTTCTCAGCTTCTGTCCTTGGCCTTCTTCTCAGCTTCTTCTTCTTCTCAGCTTCTGTCCTTGGCCTTCTTCTCAGCTTCTTCCTTGGCCTTCTTCTCAGCTTCTTCCTTGGCCTTCTTCTCAGCTTCGGTCTTGGCCTTCTTCTCAGCTTCTTCCTTAGCCTTCTTGTCAGCTTCAGTCTTGGCCTTCTTCTCAGCTTCTTCCTTGGCCTTCTTCTCAGCTTCTTCCTTGGCCTTCTTCTCAGCTTCGGTCTTGGCCTTCTTCTCAGCTTCTTCCTTAGCCTTCTTCTCAGCTTCGCTTGGCCTTCTTCTCAGCTTCTTCCTTGGCCTTCTTCTCAGCTTCTTCAGCTCTCTTGGCCTTCTTCTCAGCTTCTTCCTTGGCCTTCTTCTCAGCTTCTTCCTTGGCCTTCTTCTTGGCCTTCTTCTCAGCTTCTTCCTTGGCCTTCTTCTCAGCTTCTTCCTTGGCCTTCTTCTCAGCTTCTGTCCTTGGCCTTCTTCTCAGCTTCTTCCTTGGCCTTCTTCTCAGCTTCGGTCTTGGCCTTCTTCTCAGCTTCTTCCTTGGCCTTCTTCTCAGCTTCTTCCTTGGCCTTCTTCTCAGCTTCTTCCTTGGCCTTCTTCTCAGCTTCTTCCTTGGCCTTCTTCTCAGCTTCTTCCTTGGCCTTCTTCTCAGCTTCTTCCTTGGCCTTCTTCTCAGCTTCTTCCTTCTTCTCAGCTTCTTCCTTCTTCTCAGCTTCTGTCTTGGCCTTCTTCTCAGCTTCTTCCTTGGCCTTCTTGTCAGCTTCTTCTTCTTCTCAGCTTCTTCCTTGGCCTTCTTCTCAGCTTCTTCCTTGGCCTTCTTCTCAGCTTCTTCCTTGGCCTTCTTCTCAGCTTCTTCCTTGGCCTTCTTCTCAGCTTCTGTCCTTGGCCTTCTTCTCAGCTTCTTCCTTGGCCTTCTTCTCAGCTTCTTCCTTGGCCTTCTTCTCAGCTTCTTCCTTGGCCTTCTTCTCAGCTTCTCTCCTTGGCCTTCTTCTCAGCTTCTTCCTTAGCCTTCTTCTCAGCTTCGGTCTTGGCCTTCTTCTCAGCTTCTTCCTTGGCCTTCTTCTCAGCTTCTTCCTTGGCCTTCTTCTCAGCTTCTTCCTTGGCCTTCTTCTCAGCTTCTTCCTTGGCCTTCTTCTCAGCTTCTTCCTTGGCCTTCTTCTCAGCTTCTTCCTTGGCCTTCTTCTCAGCTTCTGTCCTTGGCCTTCTTCTCAGCTTCTTCCTTGGCCTTCTTCTCAGCTTCTTCCTTGGCCTTCTTCTCAGCTTCTTCCTTGGCCTTCTTCTCAGCTTCTTCCTTGGCCTTCTTCTCAGCTTCTTCCTTAGCCTTCTTCTCAGCTTCGGTCTTGGCCTTCTTCTCAGCTTCTTCCTTGGCCTTCTTCTCAGCTTCTTCCTTGGCCTTCTTCTCAGCTTCTTCCTTGGCCTTCTTCTCAGCTTCTTCCTTGGCCTTCTTCTCAGCTTCTGTCCTTGGCCTTCTTCTCAGCTTCTTCCTTGGCCTTCTTCTCAGCTTCTGTCCTTGGCCTTCTTCTCAGCTTCTTCCTTGGCCTTCTTCTCAGCTTCTTCCTTGGCCTTCTTCTCAGCTTCTTCCTTGGCCTTCTTCTCAGCTTCTGTCTTGGCCTTCTTCTCAGCTTCTGTCCTTGGCCTTCTTCTCAGCTTCTTCCTTGGCCTTCTTCTCAGCTTCGGTCCTTGGCCTTCTTCTCAGCTTCTTCCTTGGCCTTCTTCTCAGCTTCTGTCCTTGGCCTTCTTCTCAGCTTCTTCCTTGGCCTTCTTCTCAGCTTCTTCCTTGGCCTTCTTCTCAGCTTCTTCCTTGGCCTTCTTCTCAGCTTCGTCCTTGGCCTTCTTCTCAGCTTCTTCCTTAGCCTTCTTGTCAGCTTCAGTCTTGGCCTTCTTCTCAGCTTCTTCCTTGGCCTTCTTCTCAGCTTCTTCCTTGGCCTTCTTCTCAGCTTCTTCGACTTGGCCTTCTTCTCAGCTTCTTCCTTAGCCTTCTTCTCAGCTTCGGTCTTGGCCTTCTTCTCAGCTTCTTCCTTGGCCTTCTTCTCAGCTTCTTCCTTGGCCTTCTTCTCAGCTTCTTCCTTGGCCTTCTTCTCAGCTTCTTCTCTTAGCCTTCTTCTCAGCTTCTTCCTTGGCCTTCTTCTCAGCTTCTTCCTTGGCCTTCTTCTCAGCTTCTTCCTTGGCCTTCTTCTCAGCTTCGGTCTTGGCCTTCTTCTCAGCTTCTTCCTTGGCCTTCTTCTCAGCTTCTGTCCTTGGCCTTCTTCTCAGCTTCTTGGCCTTCTTTGGCCTTCTTCTCAGCTTCTTCCTTAGCCTTCTTCTCAGCTTCTGTCCTTGGCCTTCTTCTCAGCTTCTTCCTTGGCCTTCTTCTCAGCTTCTTCCAGTCTTCTTGCCTTCTTCTCAGCTTCTTCCTTGGCCTTCTTCTCAGCTTCTTCCTTGGCCTTCTTCTCAGCTTCTGTCCTTGGCCTTCTTCTCAGCTTCTTCCTTGGCCTTCTTCTCAGCTTCTTCCTTGGCCTTCTTCTCAGCTTCGGTCTTGGCCTTCTTCTCAGCTTCTTCCTTAGCCTTCTTCTCAGCTTCGGTCTTGGCCTTCTTCTCAGCTTCTTCCTTGGCCTTCTTCTCAGCTTCTTCCTTGGCCTTCTTCTCAGCTTCTTCCTTGGCCTTCTTCTCAGCTTCTGTCCTTGGCCTTCTTCTCAGCTTCTTCCTTGGCCTTCTTCTCAGCTTCTGTCCTTGGCCTTCTTCTCAGCTTCTTCCTTGGCCTTCTTCTCAGCTTCTTCCTTGGCCTTCTTCTCAGCTTCTGTCCTTGGCCTTCTTCTCAGCTTCTTCCAGCTTCTTCCTTCTTCTCAGCTTCTTCCTTGGCCTTCTTCTCAGCTTCTGTCCTTGGCCTTCTTCTCAGCTTCTTCCTTGGCCTTCTTCTCAGCTTCGGTCTTGGCCTTCTTCTCAGCTTCTTCCTTGGCCTTCTTCTCTGCTTCTTCTTCCTTGGCCTTCTTCTCAGCTTCTTCCTTGGCCTTCTTCTCAGCTTCTTCCTTGGCCTTCTTCTCAGCTTCGGTCTTGGCCTTCTTCTCAGCTTCTTCCTTGGCCTTCTTGTCAGCTTCGGTCTTGGCCTTCTTCTCAGCTTCTTCCTTGGCCTTCTTGTCAGCTTCTGTCTTGGCCTTCTTCTCAGCTTCTTCCTTGGCCTTCTTCTCAGCTTCTTCCTTGGCCTTCTTCTCAGCTTCGGACTTGGCCTTCTTCTCAGCTTCTTCCTTGGCCTTCTTCTCAGCTTCGGTCTTGGCCTTCTTCTCAGCTTCTTCCTTGGCCTTCTTGTCAGCTTCTTCCTTGGCCTTCTTCTCAGCTTCTTCCTTGGCCTTCTTGTCAGCTTCTTCCTTGGCCTTCTTCTCAGCTTCTTCCTTGGCCTTCTTCTCAGCTTCTTCCTTGGCCTTCTTCTCAGCTTCTTCCTTGGCCTTCTTCTCAGCTTCTTCCTTGGCCTTCTTCTCAGCTTCTTCCTTCTTCGGTCTTGGCCTTCTTCTCAGCTTCTTCCTTGGCCTTCTTCTCAGCTTCTTCCTTGGCCTTCTTCTCAGATCTTGGCCTTCTTCTCAGCTTCTTCCTTAGCCTTCTTGTCAGCTTCGGTCTTGGCCTTCTTCTTCTCAGCTTCTTCCTTGGCCTTCTTCTCAGCTTCTTCCTTGGCCTTCTTCTCAGCTTCTTCCTTAGCCTTCTTCTCAGCTTCGGACTTGGCCTTCTTCTCAGCTTCTTCCTTAGCCTTCTTCTCAGCTTCGGTCTTGGCCTTCTTCTCAGCTTCTTCCTTGGCCTTCTTTCAGCTTCTTCTTTCTCAGCTTCTTCCTTGGCCTTCTTCTCAGCTTCTTCCTTAGCCTTCTTCTTTCAGCTTCTGTCCTTGGCCTTCTTCTCAGCTTCTTCCTTGGCCTTCTTCTCAGCTTCTTCCTTGGCCTTCTTCTCAGCTTCTTCCTTGGCCTTCTTCTCAGCTTCTTCCTTGGCCTTCTTCTCAGCTTCTGTCCTTGGCCTTCTTCTCAGCTTCTTCCTTGGCCTTCTTGTCAGCTTCTGTCCTTGGCCTTCTTCTCAGCTTCTTCCTTGGCCTTCTTCTCAGCTTCTTCCTTGGCCTTCTTCTCAGCTTCTGTCCTTGGCCTTCTTCTCAGCTTCTTCCTTGGCCTTCTTCTCAGCTTCTTCCTTGGCCTTCTTCTCAGCTTCGGTCTTGGCCTTCTTCTCAGCTTCTTCCTTGGCCTTCTTCTCAGCTTCTTCCTTAGCCTTCTTCTCAGCTTCGGTCTTGGCCTTCTTCTCAGCTTCTTCCTTGGCCTTCTTCTCAGCTTCTTCCTTGGCCTTCTTCTCAGCTTCTGTCCTTGGCCTTCTTCTCAGCTTCTTCCTTGGCCTTCTTCTCAGCTTCTTCCTTGGCCTTCTTCTCAGCTTCTTCCTTGGCCTTCTTCTCAGCTTCTGTCCTTGGCCTTCTTCTCAGCTTCTTCCTTGGCCTTCTTCTCAGCTTCTTCCTTAGCCTTCTTCTCAGCTTCTTCCTTGGCCTTCTTCTCAGCTTCGGTCTTGGCCTTCTTCTCAGCTTCTGTCCTTGGCCTTCTTCTCAGCTTCTTCCTTGGCCTTCTTCTCAGCTTCTTCCTTGGCCTTCTTGTCAGCTTCGGTCTTGGCCTTCTTCTCAGCTTCTTCCTTGGCCTTCTTGTCAGCTTCTTCCTTAGCCTTCTTCTCAGCTTCTTCCTTAGCCTTCTTCTCAGCTTCGGTCTTGGCCTTCTTCTCAGCTTCCGTCTTGGCCTTCTTCTCAGCTTCTTCCTTGGCCTTCTTTTCAGCTTCGGTCATGGCCTTCTTGTCAGCTTCGGTCTTGGCGTCTTCAGTCTTCTGCTCTGGCTCAAACACAGCTGGTTTCGGCTCTTCTGGTTTCACTTGAGCGACTTCCATGACCTTCTGGACGTCTTCAGTCTTCTGCTCTGGCTCAACCACCGCTGGTTTCGGCTCTTCTGGTTTCTCTTGCACGACTTCCACGACCTTCTGGACGTCTTCAGTCTTCTGCTCTGGCTCAACCACCGCTGGTTTCGGCTCTTCTGGTTTCTCTTGCACGACTTCCACGACCTTCTGGACGTCTTCAGTCTTCTGCTCTGGCTCAAACACAGCTGGTTTCGGCTCTTCTGGTTTCTCTTGAGCGACATCCACCACCTTCTGGACGTCTTGGGTCTTCTGCTCTGGCTCAACCACCGCAGGTTTCGGCTCATCTGGTTTCTCTTGAGCGACTTCCACCACCTTCTGGACGTCTTGGGTCTTCTGCTCTGGCTCAACCACAGCAGGTTTCGGCTCTTCTGGTTTCTCTTGAGCGACATCCACCACCTTCTGGACGTCTTCAGTCTTCTGCTCTGGTTCAACCACAGCAGGTTTCGGCTCTTCTGGTTTCTCTTGAGCGACTTCCGCGACCTTCTGGACGTCTTCAGTCTTCTGCTCTGTCTCAACCACAGCTGGTTTCGGCTCTTCTGGTTTCTCTTGGGCCACTCCTTCGACCTTCTGGACGTCTTCTTTAATCTCTTCGTGCGTTTTCGTGATCTTGTTGAACTGAATGATGTAATTGATAGACTCAAACGTTTCAACCAATAAATCAATTTCCAGTCCAGATGTGAATTCCGGTCGTCCGAAGAAGAGGTCCGTAGTAACTTCGGATTCATCCGGAGACAAGGATTCAGATTCCTCAATGAACACTTTGTCTTCCACGACTTCCACGACCTTCTGGACGTCTTCAATCTTCTGCTCTGACTCAACCACAGCTGGTTTCGGCTCTTCTGGTTTCTCTTGAGCGACTTCCACGACCTTCTGGACGTCTTCAGTCTTCTGCTCTGGCTCAACCACAGCTGGTTTCTGCTCTTCTGGTTTCTCTTGAGCGACTTCCACGACCTTCTGGACGTCTTCAGTCTTCTGCTCTGGCTCAACCACAGCTGGTTTCTGCTCTTCTGGTTTCTCTTGAGCGACTTCCACGACCTTCTGGACGTCTTCAGTCTTCTGCTCTGGCTCAACCACAGCTGGTTTCTGCTCTTCTGGTTTCTCTTGAGCGACTTCCACGACCTTCTGGACGTCTTCAGTCTTCTGCTCTGGCTCAACCACAGCTGGTTTCGGCTCTTCTGGTTTCTCTTGAGCGACTTCCACGACCTTCTGGACGTCTTCAGTCTTCTGCTCTGGCTCAACCACAGCTGGTTTCGGCTCTTCTGGTTTCTCTTGAGCGACTTCCACGACCTTCTGGACGTCTTCAGTCTTCTGCTCTGGTTCAACCACAGCTGGTTTCGGCTCTTCTGGTTTCTCTTGAGCGACTTCCACGACCTTCTGGACGTCTTCAATCTTCTTCTCTGTCTCAACCACAGCTGGTTTCGGCTCTTCTGGTTTCTCTTGAGCGACTTCCACGACCTTCTGGACGTCTTCAGTCTTCTGCTCTGACTCAACCACAGCTGGTTTCGGCTCTTCTGGTTTCTCTTGAGCGACTTCCACGACCTTCTGGACGTCTTCAGTCTTCTGCTCTGACTCAACCACAGCTGGTTTCGGCTCATCTGGTTTCTCTTGAGCGACTTCCACGACCTTCTGGACGTCTTCAGTCTTCTGCTCTGACTCAACCACAGCTGGTTTCGGCTCTTCTGGTTTCTCTTGAGCGACTTCCACGACCTTCTGGACGTCTTCAATCTTCTGCTCTGTCTCAACCACAGCTGGTTTCGGCTCTTCTGGTTTCTCTTGAGCCACTTCTTCGACCTTCTGGACGTCTTCTTTAATCTCTTCGTGCGTTTTCGTGATCTTGTTGAACTGAATGATGTAATTGATAGACTCAAACGTTTCAACCAATAAATCAATTTCCAGTCCAGATGTGAATTCCGGTCGTTCGAAGAAGAGGTCCGCAGTAACTTCGGATTCATCCGGAGACAAGGATTCAGATTCCTCAATGAACACTTTGTCTTCCACGACTTCCACGACCTTCTGGACGTCTTCAGTCTTCTGCTCTGGTTCAACCACAGCTGGTTTCGGCTCTTCTGGTTTCTCTTGAGCGTCTTCCACGACCTTCTGGACGTCTTCAGTCTTCTGCTCTGGCTCAACCACAGCTGGTTTCGGCTCTTCTGGTTTCTCTTGAGCGACTTCCACGACCTTCTGGACGTTTTCAGTCTTCTGCTCTGGCTCAACCACAGCTGGTTTCGGCTCTTCTGGTTTCTCTTGAGCGACTTCCACGACCTTCTGGACGTCTTCAGTCTTCTGCTCTGGCTCAACCACAGCTGGTTTCGGCTCTTCTGGTTTCTCTTGAGCGACTTCCACGACCTTCTGGACGTCTTCAGTCTTCTGCTCTGGTTCAACCACAGCTGGTTTCGGCTCTTCTGGTTTCTCTTGAGCGACTTCCACGACCTTCTGGACGTCTTCAATCTTCTGCTCTGTCTCAACCACAGCTGGTGTCGGCTCTTCTGGTTTCTCTTGAGCGACTTCCACGACCTTCTGGACGTCTTCAGTCTTCTGCTCTGACTCAACCACAGCTGGTTTCGGCTCATCTGGTTTCTCTTGAGCGACTTCCACGACCTTCTGGACGTCTTCAGTCTTCTGCTCTGACTCAACCACAGCTGGTTTCGGCTCTTCTGGTTTCTCTTGAGCGACTTCCACGACCTTCTGGACGTCTTCAGTCTTCTGCTCTGACTCAACCACAGCTGGTTTCGGCTCTTCTGGTTTCTCTTGAGCCACTTCTTCGACCTTCTGAACGTCTTCTTTAATCTCTTCGTGCGTTTTCGTGATCTTGTTGAACTGAATGATGTAATTGATAGACTCAAACGTTTCAACCAATAAATCAATTTCCAGTCCAGATGTGAATTCCGGTCGTCCGAAGAAGAGGTCCGTAGTAACTTCGGATTCATCCGGAGACAAGGATTCAGATTCCTCAATGAACACTTGGTCTTCCACGACTTCCACGACCTTCTGGACGTCTTCAGTCTTCTGCTCTGGTTCAACCACAGCTGGTTTCGGCTCTTCTGGTTTCTCTTGAGCGTCTTCCACGACCTTCTGGACGTCTTCAGTCTTCTGCTCTGGTTCAACCACAGCTGGTTTCGGCTCTTCTGGTTTCTCTTGAGCGTCTTCCACGACCTTCTGGACGTCTTCAGTCTTCTGCTCTGGTTCAACCACAGCTGGTTTCAGCTCTTCTGGTTTCTCTTGAGCCACTTCTTCGACCTTCTGGACGTCTTCTTTAATCTCTTCGTGCGTTTTCGTGATCTTGTTGAACTGAATGATGTAATTGATAGACTCAAACGTTTCAACCAATAAATCAATTTCCAGTCCAGATGTGAATTCCGGTCGTCCGAAGAAGAGGTCCGTAGTAACTTCGGATTCATCCGGAGACAAGGATTCAGATTCCTCAATGAACACTTGGTCTTCCACGACTTCCACGACCTTCTGGACGTCTTCAGTCTTCTGCTCTGGTTCAACCACAGCTGGTTTCGGCTCTTCTGGTTTCTCTTGAGCGACTTCCGCGACCTTCTGGACGTCTTCAGTCTTCTGCTCTGTCTCAACCACAGCTGGTTTCGGCTCTTCTGGTTTCTCTTGAGCGACTTCCGCGACCTTCTGGACGTCTTCTGTCTTCTGCTCTGACTCAACCACAGCTGGTTTCGGCTCTTCTGGTTTCTCTTGAGCGTCTTCCACGACCTTCTGGACGTCTTCAGTCTTCTGCTCTGGTTCAACCACAGCAGGTTTCGGCTCTTCTGGTTTCTCTTGAGCGACTTCCGCGACCTTCTGGACGTCTTCAGTCTTCTGCTCTGTCTCAACCACAGCTGGTTTCGGCTCTTCTGGTTTCTCTTGGGCCACTCCTTCGACCTTCTGGACGTCTTCTTTAATCTCTTCGTGCGTTTTCGTGATCTTGTTGAACTGAATGATGTAATTGATAGACTCAAACGTTTCAACCAATAAATCAATTTCCAGTCCAGATGTGAATTCCGGTCGTCCGAAGAAGAGGTCCGTAGTAACTTCGGATTCATCCGGAGACAAGGATTCAGATTCCTCAATGAACACTTTGTCTTCCACGACTTCCACGACCTTCTGGACGTCTTCAATCTTCTGCTCTGACTCAACCACAGCTGGTTTCGGCTCTTCTGGTTTCTCTTGAGCGACTTCCACGACCTTCTGGACGTCTTCAGTCTTCTGCTCTGGCTCAACCACAGCTGGTTTCTGCTCTTCTGGTTTCTCTTGAGCGACTTCCACGACCTTCTGGACGTCTTCAGTCTTCTGCTCTGGCTCAACCACAGCTGGTTTCGGCTCTTCTGGTTTCTCTTGAGCGACTTCCACGACCTTCTGGACGTCTTCAGTCATCTGCTCTGGCTCAACCACAGCTGGTTTCGGCTCTTCTGGTTTCTCTTGAGCGACTTCCACGACCTTCTGGACGTCTTCAGTCTTCTGCTCTGGTTCAACCACAGCTGGTTTCGGCTCTTCTGGTTTCTCTTGAGCGACTTCCACGACCTTCTGGACGTCTTCAATCTTCTTCTCTGTCTCAACCACAGCTGGTTTCGGCTCTTCTGGTTTCTCTTGAGCGACTTCCACGACCTTCTGGACGTCTTCAGTCTTCTGCTCTGACTCAACCACAGCTGGTTTCGGCTCTTCTGGTTTCTCTTGAGCGACTTCCACGACCTTCTGGACGTCTTCAGTCTTCTGCTCTGACTCAACCACAGCTGGTTTCGGCTTATCTGGTTTCTCTTGAGCGACTTCCACGACCTTCTGGACGTCTTCAGTCTTCTGCTCTGACTCAACCACAGCTGGTTTCGGCTCTTCTGGTTTCTCTTGAGCGACTTCCACGACCTTCTGGACGTCTTCAGTCTTCTGCTCTGACTCAACCACAGCTGGTTTCGGCTCTTCTGGTTTCTCTTGAGCCACTTCTTCGATCTTCTGAACGTCTTCTTTAATCTCTTCGTGCGTTTTCGTGATCTTGTTGAACTGAATGATGTAATTGATAGACTCAAACGTTTCAACCAATAAATCAATTTCCAGTCCAGATGTGAATTCCGGTCGTCCGAAGAAGAGGTCCGTAGTAACTTCGGATTCATCCGGAGACAAGGATTCAGATTCCTCAATGAACACTTGGTCTTCCACGACTTCCACGACCTTCTGGACGTCTTCAGTCTTCTGCTCTGGTTCAACCACAGCTGGTTTCGGCTCTTCTGGTTTCTCTTGAGCGTCTTCCACGACCTTCTGGACGTCTTCAGTCTTCTGCTCTGGCTCAACCACAGCTGGTTTCGGCTCTTCTGGTTTCTCTTGAGCGACATCCACGACCTTCTGGACGTCTTCAATCTTCTGCTCTGGCTCAACCACAGCTGGTTTCGGCTCTTCTGGTTTCTCTTGAGCGACTTCCACGACTTTCTGGACGTCTTCAGTCTTCTGCTCTGGTTCAACCACAGCTGGTTTCGGCTCTTCTGGTTTCTCTTGAGCGACTTCCACGACCTTCTGGACGTCTTCAATCTTCTGCTCTGTCTCAACCACAGCTGGTTTCGGCTCTTCTGGTTTCTCTTGAGCGACTTCCACGACCTTCTGGACGTCTTCAGTCTTCTGCTCTGACTCAACCACAGCTGGTTTCGGCTCCTCTGGTTTCTCTTGAGCGACTTCCACGACCTTCTGGACGTCTTCAATCTTCTGCTCTGTCTCAACCACAGCTGGTTTCGGCTCTTCTGGTTTCTCTTGAGCCACTTCTTCGACCTTCTGGACGTCTTCTTTAATCTCTTCGTGCGTTTTCGTGATCTTGTTGAACTGAATGATGTAATTGATAGACTCAAACGTTTCAACCAATAAATCAATTTCCAGTCCAGATGTGAATTCCGGTCGTTCGAAGAAGAGGTCCGCAGTAACTTCGGATTCATCCGGAGACAAGGATTCAGATTCCTCAATGAACACTTGGTCTTCCACGACTTCCACGACCTTCTGGACGTCTTCAGTCTTCTGCTCTGGTTCAACCACAGCTGGTTTCGGCTCTTCTGGTTTCTCTTGAGCGTCTTCCACGACCTTCTGGACGTCTTCAGTCTTCTGCTCTGGCTCAACCACAGCTGGTTTCGGCTCTTCTGGTTTCTCTTGAGCGACTTCCACGACCTTCTGGACGTCTTCAATCTTCTGCTCTGTCTCAACCACAGCTGGTTTCGGCTCTTCTGGTTTCTCTTGAGCCACTTCTTCGACCTTCTGGACGTCTTCTTTAATCTCTTCGTGCGTTTTCGTGATCTTGTTGAACTGAATGATGTAATTGATAGACTCAAACGTTTCAACCAATAAATCAATTTCCAGTCCAGATGTGAATTCCGGTCGTTCGAAGAAGAGGTCCGCAGTAACTTCGGATTCATCCGGAGACAAGGATTCAGATTCCTCAATGAACACTTTGTCTTCCACGACTTCCACGACCTTCTGGACGTCTTCAGTCTTCTGCTCTGGTTCAACCACAGCTGGTTTCGGCTCTTCTGGTTTCTCTTGAGCGTCTTCCACGACCTTCTGGACGTCTTCAGTCTTCTGCTCTGGCTCAACCACAGCTGGTTTCGGCTCTTCTGGTTTCTCTTGAGCGACTTCCACGACCTTCTGGACGTCTTCAATCTTCTGCTCTGTCTCAACCACAGCTGGTGTCGGCTCTTCTGGTTTCTTTCTGGTTTCTCTTGAGCGACTTCCACGACCTTCTGGACGTCTTCAGTCTTCTGCTCTGACTCAACCACAGCTGGTTTCGGCTCATCTGGTTTCTCTTGAGCGACTTCCACGACCTTCTGGACGTCTTCAGTCTTCTGCTCTGACTCAACCACAGCTGGTTTCGGCTCTTCTGGTTTCTCTTGAGCGACTTCCACGACCTTCTGGACGTCTTCAGTCTTCTGCTCTGACTCAACCACAGCTGGTTTCGGCTCTTCTGGTTTCTCTTGAGCCACTTCTTCGACCTTCTGAACGTCTTCTTTAATCTCTTCGTGCGTTTTCGTGATCTTGTTGAACTGAATGATGTAATTGATAGACTCAAACGTTTCAACCAATAAATCAATTTCCAGTCCAGATGTGAATTCCGGTCGTCCGAAGAAGAGGTCCGTAGTAACTTCGGATTCATCCGGAGACAAGGATTCAGATTCCTCAATGAACACTTGGTCTTCCACGACTTCCACGACCTTCTGGACGTCTTCAGTCTTCTGCTCTGGTTCAACCACAGCTGGTTTCGGCTCTTCTGGTTTCTCTTGAGCGACTTCCACGACCTTCTGGACGTCTTCAGTCTTCTGCTCTGGCTCAACCACAGCTGGTTTCGGCTCTTCTGGTTTCTCTTGAGCGTCTTCCACGACCTTCTGGACGTCTTCAATCTTCTGCTCTGACTCAACCACAACTGGTTTCGGCTCTTCTGGTTTCTCTTGAGCGTCTTCCACGAGCTTCTGGACGTCTTCAGTCTTCTGCTCTGGTTCAACCCCAGCAGGTTTCGGCTCTTCTGGTTTCTCTTGAGCGACTTCCGCGACCTTCTGGACGTCTTCAGTCTTCTGCTCTGACTCAACCACAGCAGGTTTCGGCTCTTCTGGTTTCTCTTGAGCGACTTCCGCGACCTTCTGGACGTCTTCAATCTTCTGCTCTGGCTCAACCACAGCTGGTTTCGGCTCTTCTGGTTTCTCTTGAGCGACTTCCACGACTTTCTGGACGTCTTCAATCTTCTGCTCTGGTTCAACCACAGCTGGTTTCGGCTCTTCTGGTTTCTCTTGAGCGACTTCCACGACCTTCTGGACGTCTTCAATCTTCTGCTCTGTCTCAACCACAGCTGGTTTCGGCTCTTCTGGTTTCTCTTGAGCGACTTCCACGACCTTCTGGACGTCTTCAGTCTTCTGCTCTGACTCAACCACAGCTGGTTTCGGCTCCTCTGGTTTCTCTTGAGCGACTTCCACGAGCTTCTGGACGTCTTCAGTCTTCTGCTCTGGCTCAACCACATCTGGTTTCGGCTCTTCTGGTTTCTCTTGAGCGACTTCCGCGACCTTCTGGACGTCTTCAGTCTTCTGCTCTGGCTCAACCACATCTGGTTTCGGCTCTTCTGGTTTCTCTTGAGCGACTTCCACGAGCTTCTGGACGTCTTCAGTCTTCTGCTCTGGCTCAACCACATCTGGTTTCGGCTCTTCTGGTTTCTCTTGAGCGACTTCCGCGACCTTCTGGACGTCTTCAGTCTTCTGCTCTGGCTCAACCACAGCTGGTTTCGGCTCTTCTGGTTCCTCTTGAGCGTCTTCCACGACCTTCTGGACGTCTTCAGTCTTCTGCTCTGGTTCAACCACAGCTGGTTTCGTCTCTTCTGGTTTCTCTTGAGCGTCTTCCACGACCTTCTGGACGTCTTCAGTCTTCTGCTCTGGCTCAACCACATCTGGTTTCGGCTCTTCTGGTTTCTCTTGAGCGACTTTCGCGACCTTCTGGACGTCTTCAGTCTTCTGATCTGGCTCAACCACAGCTGGTTTCGGCTCTTCTGGTTTCTCTTGAGCGACTTCCGCGACCTTCTGGACGTCTTCATTCTTCTGCTCTGGCTCAACCACATCTGGTTTCGGCTCTTCTGGTTTCTCTTGAGCGACTTCCGCGACCTTCTGGACGTCTTCAGTCTTCTGCTCTGGCTCAACCACATCTGGTTTCGGCTCTTCTGGTTTCTCTTGAGCGACTTCCGCGACCTTCTGGACGTCTTCAGTCTTCTGCTCTGGCTCAACCACATCTGGTTTCGGCTCTTCTGGTTTCTCTTGAGCGACTTCCGCGACCTTCTGGACGTCTTCAGTCTTCTGATCTGGCTCAACCACAGCTGGTTTCGGCTCTTCTGGTTTCTCTTGAGCGACTTCCACGAGCTTCTGGACGTCTTCAGTCTTCTGCTCTGGCTCAACCACATCTGGTTTCGGCTCTTCTGGTTTCTCTTGAGCGACTTCCGCGACCTTCTGGACGACTTCAGTCTTCTGCTCTGGCTCAACCACATCTGGTTTCGGCTCTTCTGGTTTCTCTTGAGCGACTTCCGCGACCTTCTGGACGTCTTCAGTCTTCTGATCTGGCTCAACCACAGCTGGTTTCGGCTCTTCTGGTTTCTCTTGAGCGTCTTCCACGACCTTCTGGACGTCTTCAGTCTTCTGCTCTGGTTCAACCACAGCTGGTTTCGGCTCTTCTGGTTTCTCTTGAGCGACTTCCGCGACCTTCTGGACGTCTTCAGTCTTCTGATCTGGCTCAACCACAGCAGGTTTCGGCTCTTCTGGTTTCTCTTGAGCGACTTCCGCGACCTTCTGGACGTCTTCAGTCTTCTGATCTGGCTCAACCACAGCAGGTTTCGGCTCTTCTGGTTTCTCTTGAGCGACTTCCGCGACCTTCTGGACGTCTTCAGTCTTCTGCTCTGGCTCAACCACATCTGGTTTCGGCTCTTCTGGTTTCTCTTGAGCGACTTCCACGACTTTCTGGACGTCTTCAGTCTTCTGCTCTGGTTCAACCACAGCTGGTTTCGGCTCTTCTGGTTTCTCTTGAGCGACTTCCACGACCTTCTGGACGTCTTCAATCTTCTGCTCTGTCTCAACCACAGCTGGTTTCGGCTCTTCTGGTTTCTCTTGAGCGACTTCCACGACCTTCTGGACGTCTTCAATCTTCTGCTCTGTCTCAACCACAGCTGGTTTCGACTCTTCTGGTTTCTCTTGAGCGACTTCCACGACCTTCTGGACGTCTTCAGTCTTCTGCTCTGACTCAACCACAGCTGGTTTCAGCTCTTCTGGTTTCTCTTGAGCGACTTCCACGACCTTCTGGACGTCTTCAGTCTTCTGCTCTGACTCAACCACAGCTGGTTTCAGCTCTTCTGGTTTCTCTTGAGCGACTTCCACGACCTTCTGGACGTCTTCAGTCTTCTGCTCTGACTCAACCACAGCTGGTTTCAGCTCTTCTGGTTTCTCTTGAGCGACTTCCACGACCTTCTGGACGTCTTCAATCTTCTTCTCTGTCTCAACCACAGCTGGTTTCGGCTCTTCTGGTTTCTCTTGAGCGACTTCCACGACTTTCTGGACGTCTTCAGTCTTCTGCTCTGTCTCAACCACAGCTGGTTTCGGCTCTTCTGGTTTCTCTTGAGCGACTTCCACGACCTTCTGGACGTCTTCAGTCTTCTGCTCTGGCTCAACCACATCTGGTTTCGGCTCTTCTGGTTTCTCTTGAGCGACTTCCACGACTTTCTGGACGTCTTCAGTCTTCTGCTCTGGTTCAACCACAGCTGGTTTCGGCTCTTCTGGTTTCTCTTGAGCGACTTCCACGACCTTCTGGACGTCTTCAATCTTCTGCTCTGTCTCAACCACAGCTGGTTTCAGCTCTTCTGGTTTCTCTTGAGCCACTTCTTCGACCTTCTGGACGTCTTCTTTAATCTCTTCGTGCGTTTTCGTGATCTTGTTGAACTGAATGATGTAATTGATAGACTCAAACGTTTCAACCAATAAATCAATTTCCAGTCCAGATGTGAATTCCGGTCGTTCGAAGAAGAGGTCCGCAGTAACTTCGGATTCATCCGGAGACAAGGATTCAGGTTCCTCAATGAACACTTGGTCTTCCACGACTTCCACGACCTTCTGGACGTCTTCAGTCTTCTGCTCTGGTTCAACCACAGCTGGTTTCGGCTCTTCTGGTTTCTCTTGAGCGACTTCCACGACCTTCTGGACGTCTTCAGTCTTCTGCTCTGACTCAACCACAGCAGGTTTCGGCTCTTCTGGTTTCTCTTGAGCGACTTCCGCGACCTTCTGGACGTCTTCAGTCTTCTGCTCTGTCTCAACCACAGCTGGTTTCGGCTCTTCTGGTTTCTCTTGGGCCACTCCTTCGACCTTCTGGACGTCTTCTTTAATCTCTTCGTGCGTTTTCGTGATCTTGTTGAACTGAATGATGTAATTGATAGACTCAAACGTTTCAACCAATAAATCAATTTCCAGTCCAGATGTGAATCCCGGTCGTCCGAGGAAGAGGTCCGTAGTAACTTCGGATTCATCCGGAGACAAGGATTCAGGTTCCTCAATGAACACTTGGTCTTCCACGACTTCCACGACCTTCTGGACGTCTTCAGTCTTCTGCTCTGACTCAACCACAGCTGGTTTCGGCTCTTCTGGTTTCTCTTGAGCGACTTCCACGACCTTCTGGACGTCTTCAGTCTTCTGCTCTGACTCAACCACAGCTGGTTTCGGCTCATCTGGTTTCTCTTGAGCGACTTCCACGACCTTCTGGACGTCTTCAATCTTCTGCTCTGTCTCAACCACAGCTGGTTTCGGCTCTTCTGGTTTCTCTTGAGCGACTTCCACGACCTTCTGGACGTCTTCAGTCTTCTGCTCTGGTTCAACCACAGCTGGTTTCGGCTCTTCTGGTTTCTCTTGAGCGACATCCACGACCTTCTGGACGTCTTCAGTCTTCTGCTCTGGTTCAACCACAGCTGGTTTCGGCTCTTCTGGTTTCTCTTTAGCGACTTCAACGACCTTCTGACGTCTTCAATCTTCTGCTCTGTCTCAACCACAGCTGGTTTCGGCTCATCTGGTTTCTCTTGAGCCACTTCTTCGACCTTCTGGACGTCTTCTTTAATCTCTTCGTGCGTTTTCGTGATCTTGTTGAACTGAATGATGTAATTGATAGACTCAAACGTTTCAACCAATAAATCAATTTCCAGTCCAGATGTGAATTCCGGTCGTCCGAAGAAGAGGTCCGTAGTAACTTCGGATTCATCCGGAGACAAGGATTCAGATTCCTCAATGAACACTTGGTCTTCCACGACTTCCACGACCTTCTGGACGTCTTCAGTCTTCTGCTCTGGTTCAACCACAGCTGGTTTCGGCTCATCTGGTTTCTCTTGAGCGACTTCCACGACCTTCTGGACGTCTTCATTCTTCTGCTCTGTCTCAACCACAGCTGGTTTCGGCTCTTCTGGTTTCTCTTGAGCGACTTCCACGACCTTCTGGACGTCTTCAGTCTTCTGCTCTGGTTCAACCACAGCTGGTTTCGGCTCTTCTGGTTTCTCTTGAGCGACATCCACGACCTTCTGGACGTCTTCAGTCTTCTGCTCTGGTTCAACCACAGCTGGTTTCGGCTCTTCTGGTTTCTCTTGAGCGACTTCCACGACCTTCTGGACGTCTTCAATCTTCTGCTCTGTCTCAACCACAGCTGGTTTCGGCTCATCTGGTTTCTCTTGAGCCACTTCTTCGACCTTCTGGACGTCTTCTTTAATCTCTTCGTGCGTTTTCGTGATCTTGTTGAACTGAATGATGTAATTGATAGACTCAAACGTTTCAACCAATAAATCAATTTCCAGTCCAGATGTGAATTCCGGTCGTCCGAAGAAGAGGTCCGTAGTAACTTCGGATTCATCCGGAGACAAGGATTCAGATTCCTCAATGAACACTTGGTCTTCCACGACTTCCACGACCTTCTGGACGTCTTCAGTCTTCTGCTCTGGTTCAACCACAGCTGGTTTCGGCTCTTCTGGTTCCTCTTGAGCGTCTTCCACGACCTTCTGGACGTCTTCAGTCTTCTGCTCTGGTTCAACCACAGCTGGTTTCGTCTCTTCTGGTTTCTCTTGAGCGTCTTCCACGACCTTCTGGACGTCTTCAGTCTTCTGCTCTGGCTCAACCACATCTGGTTTCGGCTCTTCTGGTTTCTCTTGAGCGACTTTCGTGACCTTCTGGACGTCTTCAGTCTTCTGATCTGGCTCAACCACAGCTGGTTTCGGCTCTTCTGGTTTCTCTTGAGCGACTTCCGCGACCTTCTGGACGTCTTCAGTCTTCTGCTCTGGCTCAACCACATCTGGTTTCGGCTCTTCTGGTTTCTCTTGAGCGACTTCCGCGACCTTCTGGACGTCTTCAGTCTTCTGATCTGGCTCAACCACAGCTGGTTTCGGCTCTTCTGGTTTCTCTTGAGCGACTTCCACGACCTTCTGGACGTCTTCAGTCTTCTGCTCTGGCTCAACCACATCTGGTTTCGGCTCTTCTGGTTTCTCTTGAGCGACTTCCGCGACCTTCTGGACGTCTTCAGTCTTCTGCTCTGGCTCAACCACATCTGGTTTCGGCTCTTCTGGTTTCTCTTGAGCGACTTCCGCGACCTTCTGGACGTCTTCAGTCTTCTGCTCTGGCTCAACCACATCTGGTTTCGGCTCTTCTGGTTTCTCTTGAGCGACTTCCGCGACCTTCTGGACGTCTTCAGTCTTCTGATCTGGCTCAACCACAGCTGGTTTCGGCTCTTCTGGTTTCTCTTGAGCGTCTTCCACGACCTTCTGGACGTCTTCAGTCTTCTGCTCTGGTTCAACCACAGCTGGTTTCGTCTCTTCTGGTTTCTCTTGAGCGTCTTCCACGACCTTCTGGACGTCTTCAGTCTTCTGCTCTGGCTCAACCACATCTGGTTTCGGCTCTTCTGGTTTCTCTTGAGCGACTTTCGCGACCTTCTGGACGTCTTCAGTCTTCTGCTCTGGTTCAACCACAGCTGGTTTCGGCTCTTCTGGTTTCTCTTGAGCGACTTCCGCGACCTTCTGGACGTCTTCAGTCTTCTGCTCTGGTTCAACCACAGCTAGTTTCGGCTCTTCTGGTTTCTCTTGAGCGACTTCCACGACTTTCTGGACGTCTTCAGTCTTCTGCTCTGGTTCAACCACAGCTGGTTTCGGCTCTTCTGGTTTCTCTTGAGCGACTTCCACGACCTTCTGGACGTCTTCAGTCTTCTGCTCTGACTCAACCACAGCTGGTTTCGGCTCATCTGGTTTCTCTTGAGCGACTTCCACGACCTTCTGGACGTCTTCAATCTTCTGCTCTGTCTCAACCACAGCTGGTTTCGGCTCTTCTGGTTTCTCTTGAGCGACTTCCACGACCTTCTGGACGTCTTCAGTCTTCTGCTCTGGCTCAACCACATCTGGTTTCGGCTCTTCTGGTTTCTCTTGAGCGACTTTCGCGACCTTCTGGACGTCTTCAGTCTTCTGATCTGGCTCAACCACAGCTGGTTTCGGCTCTTCTGGTTTCTCTTGAGCGACTTCCGCGACCTTCTGGACGTCTTCAGTCTTCTGCTCTGGCTCAACCACATCTGGTTTCGGCTCTTCTGGTTTCTCTTGAGCGACTTCCGCGACCTTCTGGACGTCTTCAGTCTTCTGCTCTGTCTCAACCACAGCTGGTTTCGGCTCTTCTGGTTTCTCTTGGGCCACTCCTTCGACCTTCTGGACGTCTTCTTTAATCTCTTCGTGCGTTTTCGTGATCTTGTTGAACTGAATGATGTAATTGATAGACTCAAACGTTTCAAGCAATAAATCAATTTCCAGTCCAGATGTGAATTCCGGTCGTTCGAAGAAGAGGTCCGCAGTAACTTCGGATTCATCCGGAGACAAGGATTCAGGTTCCTCAATGAACACTTGGTCTTCCACGACTTCCACGACCTTCTGGACGTCTTCAATCTTCTGCTCTGGTTCAACCACAGCTGGTTTCGGCTCTTCTGGTTTCTCTTGAGCGACTTCCACGACCTTCTGGACGTCTTCAGTCTTCTGCTCTGGCTCAACCACATCTGGTTTCGGCTCTTCTGGTTTCTCTTGAGCGACTTTCGCGACCTTCTGGACGTCTTCAGTCTTCTGATCTGGCTCAACCACAGCTGGTTTCGGCTCTTCTGGTTTCTCTTGAGCGACTTCCGCGACCTTCTGGACGTCTTCAGTCTTCTGCTCTGGCTCAACCACATCTGGTTTCGGCTCTTCTGGTTTCTCTTGAGCGACTTCCGCGACCTTCTGGACGTCTTCAGTCTTCTGCTCTGTCTCAACCACAGCTGGTTTCGGCTCTTCTGGTTTCTCTTGGGCCACTCCTTCGACCTTCTGGACGTCTTCTTTAATCTCTTCGTGCGTTTTCGTGATCTTGTTGAACTGAATGATGTAATTGATAGACTCAAACGTTTCAAGCAATAAATCAATTTCCAGTCCAGATGTGAATTCCGGTCGTTCGAAGAAGAGGTCCGCAGTAACTTCGGATTCATCCGGAGACAAGGATTCAGGTTCCTCAATGAACACTTGGTCTTCCACGACTTCCACGACCTTCTGGACGTCTTCAATCTTCTGCTCTGGTTCAACCACAGCTGGTTTCGGCTCTTCTGGTTTCTCTTGAGCGACTTCCACGACCTTCTGGACGTCTTCAATCTTCTGCTCTGTCTCAACCACAGCTGGTTTCGGCTCTTCTGGTTTCTCTTGAGCGACTTCCACGACCTTCTGGACGTCTTCAATCTTCTGCTCTGTCTCAACCACAGCTGGTTTCGGCTCTTCTGGTTTCTCTTGAGCGACTTCCACGACCTTCTGGACGTCTTCAGTCTTCTGCTCTGACTCAACCACAGCTGGTTTCGGCTCATCTGGTTTCTCTTGAGCGACTTCCACGACCTTCTGGACGTCTTCAATCTTCTGCTCTGTCTCAACCACAGCTGGTTTCGGCTCTTCTGGTTTCTCTTGAGCGACTTCCACGACCTTCTGGACGTCTTCAGTCTTCTGCTCTGGCTCAACCACATCTGGTTTCGGCTCTTCTGGTTTCTCTTGAGCGACTTTCGCGACCTTCTGGACGTCTTCAGTCTTCTGATCTGGCTCAACCACAGCTGGTTTCGGCTCTTCTGGTTTCTCTTGAGCGACTTCCGCGACCTTCTGGACGTCTTCAGTCTTCTGCTCTGGCTCAACCACATCTGGTTTCGGCTCTTCTGGTTTCTCTTGAGCGACTTCCGCGACCTTCTGGACGTCTTCAGTCTTCTGCTCTGTCTCAACCACAGCTGGTTTCGGCTCTTCTGGTTTCTCTTGGGCCACTCCTTCGACCTTCTGGACGTCTTCTTTAATCTCTTCGTGCGTTTTCGTGATCTTGTTGAACTGAATGATGTAATTGATAGACTCAAACGTTTCAAGCAATAAATCAATTTCCAGTCCAGATGTGAATTCCGGTCGTTCGAAGAAGAGGTCCGCAGTAACTTCGGATTCATCCGGAGACAAGGATTCAGGTTCCTCAATGAACACTTGGTCTTCCACGACTTCCACGACCTTCTGGACGTCTTCAATCTTCTGCTCTGGTTCAACCACAGCTGGTTTCGGCTCTTCTGGTTTCTCTTGAGCGACTTCCACGACCTTCTGGACGTCTTCAGTCTTCTGCTCTGGCTCAACCACATCTGGTTTCGGCTCTTCTGGTTTCTCTTGAGCGACTTTCGCGACCTTCTGGACGTCTTCAGTCTTCTCATCTGGCTCAACCACAGCTGGTTTCGGCTCTTCTGGTTTCTCTTGAGCGACTTCCGCGACCTTCTGGACGTCTTCAGTCTTCTGCTCTGTCTCAACCACAGCTGGTTTCGGCTCTTCTGGTTTCTCTTGGGCCACTCCTTCGACCTTCTGGACGTCTTCTTTAATCTCTTCGTGCGTTTTCGTGATCTTGTTGAACTGAATGATGTAATTGATAGACTCAAACGTTTCAACCAATAAATCAATTTCCAGTCCAGATGTGAATTCCGGTCGTTCGAAGAAGAGGTCCGCAGTAACTTCGGATTCATCCGGAGACAAGGATTCAGGTTCCTCAATGAACACTTGGTCTTCCACGACTTCCACGACCTTCTGGACGTCTTCAATCTTCTGCTCTGGTTCAACCACAGCTGGTTTCGGCTCTTCTGGTTTCTCTTGAGCGACTTCCACGACCTTCTGGACGTCTTCAGTCTTCTGCTCTGGCTCAACCACATCTGGCTTCGGCTCTTCTGGTTTCTCTTGAGCGACTTTCGCGACCTTCTGGACGTCTTCAGTCTTCTGATCTGGCTCAACCACAGCTGGTTTCGGCTCTTCTGGTTTCTCTTGAGCGACTTCCGCGACCTTCTGGACGTCTTCAGTCTTCTGCTCTGGCTCAACCACAGCTGGTTTCAGCTCTTCTGGTTTCTCTTGAGCCACTTCTTCGACCTTCTGGACGTCTTCTTTAATCTCTTCGTGCGTTTTCGTGATCTTGTTGAACTGAATGATGTAATTGATAGACTCAAACGTTTCAACCAATAAATCAATTTCCAGTCCAGATGTGAATTCCGGTCGTTCGAAGAAGAGGTCCGCAGTAACTTCGGATTCATCCGGAGACAAGGATTCAGGTTCCTCAATGAACACTTGGTCTTCCACGACTTCCACGACCTTCTGGACGTCTTCAGTCTTCTGCTCTGACTCAACCACAGCTGGTTTCGGCTCATCTGGTTTCTCTTGAGCGACTTCCACGACCTTCTGGACGTCTTCAATCTTCTGCTCTGTCTCAACCACATCTGGTTTCGGCTCTTCTGGTTTCTCTTGAGCGACTTCCGCGACCTTCTGGACGTCTTCAGTCTTCTGATCTGGCTCAACCACAGCAGGTTTCGGCTCTTCTGGTTTCTCTTGAGCGACTTCCGCGACCTTCTGGACGTCTTCAGTCTTCTGCTCTGGCTCAACCACATCTGGTTTCGGCTCTTCTGGTTTCTCTTGAGCGACTTTCGCGACCTTCTGGACGTCTTCAGTCTTCTGATCTGGCTCAACCACAGCTGGTTTCGGCTCTTCTGGTTTCTCTTGAGCGACTTCCGCGACCTTCTGGACGTCTTCAGTCTTCTGCTCTGGCTCAACCACATCTGGTTTCGGCTCTTCTGGTTTCTCTTGAGCGACTTCCGCGACCTTCTGGACGTCTTCAATCTTCTGATCTGGCTCAACCACAGCAGGTTTCGGCTCTTCGTCAATTAGAATGCATGTAACTTTTGCGTTTTCTTGATCTACTCTCAGTGAGTAATTGATTTCCATGTTTTCCATTTCGCATTCGCTGTTATTGTTTTTCCTTGTTTCTGTGATGACAGGTTCATTGTAACAAACAATTTGTTGCCGTGTTTCTTTATTTTCGATTCGATCGTCTCTTTTTATGCAAATCTTCAGCATTTGATTTTCTTCACCTATCTCGCTCAAGGAAACTGTTATTGATCCATCATTTTCGTTGATCTCGCTGAATAAAATATTTATTGCCTATTAAGAACGACCCTGTTTCTACCATTCATTTCCGTTTATTGTGCATTTTGTTTCTGTGATGTTCTTGGCAATGACAATTGCTCGAGCCGTTATCTCATTGATGTTCAAATCGCTTTCTTCTCGAACCACCATTCCACCGATATTTCTTCAAAATAAATTTTTGTCGTTTTTATCGTATATCGCATTGTTCTTACTCTTCATTAGTCAGTACTAAATCCGATATTGTGCTTTCAATTTTCCTGACGACACATGTCGTTTCGCATTGTTGATCCTTGAATCTCGCGATGCATGTGTATTTCAGTGGGTTCCGGTGAGCGGTGATTACTTGCAGGGTTGAGATCGCACCATCGCACGTGATTTTGTGGGATCTAAACTTTTGTTTCATTATTTAGAATTTGATTTAATCGGAGTAAAATCTCACTCATCGTCCATGACCGTTTCATTATTTTCTTTCCATTCAAAGCTGATTGGTTGAGGGCCTTCGCAAACAACTTTTAATTGAATCACATCATCAACAACATTTTTGTTCTAAAATTCAGAATTGTGCGATGTAACGAAGATATTAGATCCTTACGTCTAATGCCTTCAAAAATTTCAACTTTGGTTCCTCTTTGTTATCTGTTTGATCTTCAATCTCAACCGGAATCGAAACTTGAGTCGATCCATAATTATTAACAGCTTTACAGTCAAATTGATGGGTTCCTTTTTCAAGATTCGAAATTTTCAAAATACCAATTCCGTCTTCATAAATTATTTGTGTGTTTCTGAATGAGGCTTGTTCAAAACCATAGAATTCAATATGACGGTTACCCATCATTTTCCACAGGAGTTCCATTGTGCTGCCAAAAAATATCAGGTTCCGGGCATGCCACGACTCCAACCTTCAGCGAAATCTCGCGATTGTCTCCTGAGGTGTTCGCCACCGAGTACACGAAAACTGGCTTTTGTGGATCACACTTCTACATCTCTTTTATGTTTACAACCATTATTTACTTTCAAATATGTATACCTTGACTTTTTTCACAATGCACTTCGACATTGCGCTTCCCGACGAATTATGAAGAACACACTCAACGAGCACACCTTCTTCAGTAATATTATCAACCGTTATGAAAACGACGCCGTCTTCACACGTTATTCTCAAATCGGGCAGTTGAAGACAATTCTCGAAAAATTCATTAAACTCACTTTTCGGCGATTTGCGAGTCAATTGTACAATGAACCTGCGGCAATGGATTTCCGCCGACGAGGCATTTCAGTGTCGTCGAATCGGTGCTAACCAATGTATCCTTCAATCGAAGTGTGAAATACGGTTTCTGCTCGTTGGTTGACAATTCCGATGTGTTGTCCTCGGCACGCTGGACTGTGCATTCGGTCATTGCTTTTCCTTTGCAATTCGTCGCTTCGCATTTCACTCGAAGCACCTTGTCAGGCATCGATTTGATGCGAAGCAACGCAATTCCATCCTCGAACAATACTTCGTGATTGCTAAAAAATTTTTTTTGGTTTCAATTTTTACTCTAAATTTCGATTCGACCTATCATTTTTCACTGTTTCGCCATCGATCGTCCATTTCACGAAGACCAGCGGAATTCCCATTACAATGCACTTCAGAGTGCATTTCTCACCGGTCACTATCTTATTTTCCAGCGGCAATAAAAAGTATGGCGGCTGATTGGCGAGATTTCGATTGACCTATGAAAATCAGAATCAATGCATCGAATAGAAATACATACTGGCGGGAAATTGAAAGTGACACCAAGATGATTTGGCGAATTCACCAACACATCGAGCTCAATGTCATTTTGGTCGCGATCGCAGATTACTTGAATTCCCGTTTTCTCCATGGACAGCATATCATCTAAAGAATTAAAAGTGTCTTGAGGGTTTTTATCATTATGTACCTTTAATATTGACGTGGCAACTCGTGCTCTCACATCCCATGTCATTTGCAATCGAGCACGTGTACACCGCAGAATCATCCACTGTGGCGCCGTCAATTCTTAGAATACTGATGCCGTCTTCAGTGATCACCGAGTACTTTCTAAAAATTCAAAATTGTCAATTGAGTTTGGCTGCAAATTATTGTTACTGCAAGTCGAGGAGGACCCCATCCTTTTCCCACATGGCTGCTGGAAGGGGTTGACCGGTGAATTTGCACTTCATCATGACATGATCGTTCACCTGAATACACCCAATTCTCATCCAATGATGGTTTTTTTTTTTTTTGAATACCACAAAATCAAGCTTTTCCGGTAGAGGTACAATGAATTTCGGTCTAGTCGACGACGCCATTGAACTTTCGCTAATCGTCGAGATCTCGTCATTCGCAATGACGACGCATTCGGTTTGAGCTTGACCCGCCGAATTCGTCGCAATGCACTTCACAACACCTCCCGTATTCTTTCGATCGTTGAGAATTTGAAGAACACTAACACCGTTTTCGCATTTGATGAAAATCGCGCTACTAGAATTCAAAACGATATCAGACAATTTTCGTTGAACCGACTTGTCAGAAATCAATTCGTGATCGTCAAGGAACCATTTGATTTTTGGTTGTGGCACCGCGATAAAAGCGACCTGCAAAACTAATTTGTTGTTTTTGAATACCTCGGTTGGCGGCAGTTTTTCGGTGAACACTGGCGTCGTGTACAAAGGGCTTGACGACAATGATGTTATGGTGTCAGCAATAGTGGAACACTCTAGATAATTTCAGATTAATTCGTCTTCTTCGAATCATTTTGGTAGCCTACCATCCTCATCGTATCCAATTTCAGCGACTATCACATCGGAGACAATATCTTCATCCTTCCGACGGAACACCAAATCAACCGTCACCTCAGGAGTCTTTTCCTGCTCCATCTTGGCAACGTCATCAATCTCGACCATTTCAAAATCTTGATTAGTTCCATCGCTAGATGATTTCTCTTCCTTGAATATTAGGAGGATCACATTTTCCAATTTTTTTCAAATTTATACCTGCTCAATCTCTTCAGGAACTGTTTGAGTGATCAATTCGGATTCTATAGAACATATACGATTTCAAATTACAATTCGAATAAAAATTATACCAATGACGATGATTTTCGATACTGGTGTTGTTTTTCCATTGATCAACACCGAATACACTCCAGCATCGGTCCAATCAACATTGGTGATAACCATTTCGTGATCTTTGCCATTTTCATATGTTCGGAATGAGAATCGATCATCATTATTTATGATTGGTTGATCATCCTGAATTTTAACAATCTCACGCTGATGAATTTTCGGCTTCAAATTTTTCGCCGTGACCAAATAATGTCATTTTTTGCATTTTTTATGTTTACTTCGTATGTAGTTTTTATGTGAAAATTCAGGTAACGTAAAATCTGCTTAAAAATAATTCGTGGGTTGGCGAGTTTGACAAATTTAAAAACCCAAAATGATTGTGTAACCAAATGGAGCCGCAGCTCCGAGTATAAAAGGCGTCGTTATCAATGAAATAGCAGTCTACCTCCGCACTACCGACTCCCCTCGTGGCCCCCATTACATTTATTGTTCTATTATTTTATTTGTTACATATTATTTAATTAATAAACTATTGTAATCAACAACTAGTACTTCGCTCACTTCTAGAATTGTAAAAACTCAAATTCGTGAATGACAATATAATGCAATCCAGAGGCACTCTTTTATATTTATGGAAAGCTCCCCTTCCCCCAAACGCGATGTACATACGTGGGTAGGAGGGTGACGGGCGAAAGGAAGGGTGACGTGTGCCGTTATTCAATTAAATTTTTTTTGACTTTCAAGTACTTAAGGTAGATCAAAATCAACATCCTAATATGAATTTTAATCAGATGTCTGCAATGATCCACAATGGAATTGCCGAATTGCCGGATTGTCGGAATTTTGATTTTCGGCTATTTGATATCAAAAAAAAATCGGCAAAACAAAAATCAATGTCCATTGAATAATTTGGGATACCGTGAAAATTCGGTATTTATATTTCGAATTATCGTTGAAAAAAACATTTAAAAGCCGAAATTTTTATTTTCGGCAAATTACTGAATTGCCGAAATTTCCGATTGCCGCACAGCCCTGATTGGCACCAGGATCTGTTTTTTATACCTATAATTGTCTGGTTTAATTCAAAAGAGCATACGTCACATTACGCGAGTTGTTTATCTGATAATCCGCGGGGGGGGGAGTGAGAGGTCAAGAGATGACCCTGCGAGCATTGGGAACAATCTATTAATAAAGTAGGAAGAACGGCCGATTTCTCAAGGCTCTCGAGTATGCCTTTTTTAGAAGCTCTTTTTTTTATTACCTTCCTCCATTCGATGTTATCTTGCGATTCAGAAGACTGACATTGAATTGTTGCGACAACTCCAAATGGTACGACAGTTTCCTCGCATTGGTCCAGTTCTGAATATCTCATCTCGCTTACGTTTCTTTTTATTTTCAGTTTTCAATTTTCAATGTTCAAATGCACAATTTCGCACTTTATTGATTTATTTTGATTGATAATAAGGACAACAACAATAAATATGGATTCATTAAATCTAGAAGGTTCTTTTTTTTTTATTTCTGAAACAAATAATAATAATTGGTTAATATAGAGAATTATTGGAGATTCTTTTACGCTTCAACGCATGCAATTTTGAGGTAACACTATTCACACACAAATGAGCCACTCGGAACTCGACATTCGAAATGCACACACTATAAAGACCGCTATCGGTGCTCGTGGCGTCATGCACCACCAAATAGTGCTTCAACTCATTCTGCACATGCTCGATTTTTCCCGCTTCGAATTTGATCGGCTTGCCGTCGCGCAGCCAACGTATCGTTCGTTTCATTTCGCATTCCTCGAGCTCGCACGCGATCGTCGCCGTGCTTCCCGGCGGCACGAGGTATTCTTGAACCTCGTCGTCTTCGCTCTCGGTTCCCGACGCGATGACGGTAACTTCTTTCTCTTCAATGCGCTCTACAATATTACTAATAATGGACATACTCCGCTAACCATCAATCAATACCTTCGACGACTAATGTTATAGCGACACTTTGGTTTGAAGTCAATGCTATGTAGGTCCCTTGATCCTCGATTTGCGTCGAGCTGATGACAACTCGATGGGTTCCATTTCCATCCGACTCCAATCGAATCCGCTCATTCTCATGTAGCGGTCGTCGATCCTTGAGCCAATTCACGGGAACTTGTGGATCATCAACGACACATGAGATCACTGTCGGTTGCTCTTCCATTACAAATTGGGTTTGTGGTCGCGTCAGAATCGACGCTGTCATATTGGGAGTATAGGCGTTCTCCACGACGAGATACGCCACCGGGAACAGATCGTCGTTGATTTTCAAACTGTAAAGGTTTCCGTTTGCCGGCTCGACACTCCTAATAATGAGCACTTCGAGCAAATCGTGACTTATTCTATCATAGCGATCGTTGTCGATTAGAATTTTCGATTTGCCGCAATACCAATCGATTGTGCAGTTCTTCGGCAAATAGTTGTTGAGCTCGCAAGTGATGGTGGCCGTCGATTCAAGTTTGACAACATAGCTCGGAATGCTGATCGTTCCGCCGGAGCTTATCGTATTCATTTCGGACACCGACGTTTGCGAGCTTCTGAATGACGGCTGAGATTTGAGCGATTTAGCTTCATCCAAATTCGTTTCGGAGACTGTGACATTAAATTGCACCAAGCTCTGTTTCGAACCTTCATCCAAGCTTCTTGACATAATATCGGGAATCGTCATTTCCACTTCGCCCCAAGCGATTTCCTCAAGTGACGCATAAATACCATCGTTGAGACTTCTTGCGACTATCGATATTGTTATTCCAGTTCGTGTTGTTGCCAAACTGATCTCATCACAGGATTGAGCCTTTAGACGATGCCCGTCGAGTGATAGAGTATCCTCTTCGACGTCGGAAAGAATAGTCAACGATGTGTAGTCGACGACATCCTCAATGACTTTGATTGAAATGCTGTACTTTTGTGGCTCTTGGACCACATCCACATCGAATGTATTGTCGGCAGCAACAACGGCTGAAATTGTGTTGAGAAGCGACTGAATGACCATTCCAGTGACGCGTCTCCTCTGCGATTTTCTTGTGATTGTGAAACTCTCAGTGACTTCCGATTCTTCGAAAATCCGAATCGAATTTTCCGGTGTAATCGATTCGTCGGACAGAATATCGGTTTGACGAATCGTGTCGGCTGAGAATGGACGATCGGTTGAACCGTTCATCTGGCTGAGCTCGGTCTCTTCAAGAACCACGTGAATCGTCTCATCCGACAACAGCGACTTGCCAGTGAGCGAATCTTCGGTGGTGACTTCTTCTCCATGAGATTTGTCATCAATCGATTCGATATTCAATGATTGACTCACTTCGGCGTTCAAAGAAGACAATGAGGGAACCGAATGAAGTTCAACATTCACAAACACCTCTTCCATTTTTTCAGGCACTTTCAAAGAGCGGTCATCGACTGGAGACGTGCAATTGAAGAATTGAACAGTTCCCGAGAGCAATAGTGATCTATCAGTGTCGGTGCCGTAGTCAGACTCCTCACAGATCATCTGAATCGAAGCATGATCCTCGAAATTAGGAATTGTCAATTCGATCTCGTCGAAATTGTCCAAATCAATTATTGCGTTGACATTGACCGATTGATCAGTTGGATTGGAGAAGGAGAAATTCGACTTTTGCATATGAATGCATGACACTGACGTTGAATCATCGTCGTCTATCGGCGAGACTTGAAGCTCACTCGATTTCCAATTCTTGCTACGAGTTCTAGGTGGTCGCACCGGAGCGGGCTCTTCTACTCGTGGCTGTCGCGTCGTTTCCGGTGAAAGGTGTTTTCTTCGAGGAGGAGGTTGCGGTGGACTTCTAGCATCACGCGATTCCGATCGTCGTTTTCTCGGTGGCGCCACGGGAAGCTCTTCTTTTTCGTCATCTCTTGGTGGTGACGACGATGGCTCTTCATCCACAATTCCAACAATATCCTCAAATTCCGGCGGAATTTCGAATGCATACCAAACCGTCGTCTCGGCGACGTTCATCGGCTCTTCGAGTGGCTGAAGATTCTGCGACACTCTGATCACATTGATGATACTGGCGACATGTTGAAGCACCGAATTCAATACACGAGACACCGTGTCAGCTCCTTGCTTCGTCATTTTCTGTTTGCAAAGCTCGGCAATCGTTTCGATCTCCTTCTCGATTTTTCGGAACAACTCTTGAATCTCGCTTGAGTCGTCTTGAATTTTTCTTGCTTCCGTTTCGCTGACTGTCATCCTGTGCAACTCCGACAACTGATCCTTGAGACTTGTCGTGATCGGTGTGATTCGCGCCGAATGCGCACTGGGTACTCTCTTGATTCTGACAGCTTTTCTCGCTTCCTTATCGCTTATTCGTCTTTTGAGAATATTGGTGACTTCGGTGTCTTCGAGAAGGTCATTCTCAATCTCCGACAATTTCAATCGAAGTTTGTCGATCGAGCTCATTTCTTTCGCCGGTGATTTGCTCGAAAGCATTTGTGCAAGTGCGCTCTGAAGTTCTTCCTTGCTGGGAGCGATTTCCTTTTTGGGAGAAGCTTGTTGAGCAGCAAGTTGATCGGAAATGATGAATATTGCCTTTTCGATCGATTCGACGCTGCTCATGTCGATTGCATCAAGAAGTTTCGATTCCAGTTTTTCATCGGCAATTTTTGTTTCGGCTTCCAAATATTTCAATTTACTTAGCGCAACTTGTTCAGTCAATTCCGGTGGATCGACATCTTTCAAAATCCGCGATTTCGATTGTGGGACAGCTGTGTCGAATAGTAATTGAGATTCAACGCATTTCTTCAGCGCATCAGCTTCGCCATTCCGCTTAATCGTGTTCGCAAAAATCTCCTGCCCTTTGTATTTCAGCTTATGTGGAAGCAGAGGAACACGCGGCTCATAGACCTCACTCTCATCGATCGTTATCTCCTTGTTGCTTTCCGGAAACGGATCCTCAAACATATAATCCCACGAGTTGGCTGAGCTGGTTACTGATTGGCGAAGAGCCGATGGCTCATGAATGATAGCGGTGATTGAATCGACGGCATGAGTGTTCTGATTTTGGAACATCAGATTCGTGTTGCTCGTCATTACAGAGTTCACGCGCTTCGGTTGCTGGACCGTTTTTGAGCTCGCCTCATTTTGCATGATCTCGGTGACCTTAACAGCAGTGTCAGCCGATTCGAAGAACTTTTTGAATGATTCGCTCTTTGACGCTTCAGCAATGCGTTGAGGCTCGACATCCGAAACAACATTCGATATCAATCGGCTAGTGTTGTCCGACGAATGGCAAGATGTCAATGGATAATTGTCGAACGACGCCGACGTCGGATCCAATGTCGCCGCCGACAATTGTCGTAGTAGATCAATCGGATCATCGTCGTATTCTGGAATGCGTTGATTGTCAGATTAGGATTAGCGGGATGGGCCAACACATGCATGGTGTTAGAGAGTAAAAGGAGCTGGCCTCCGACAAGATCCTTTTTCTCTCGGCCACCACGAGCACTAGGGCATGCAATCACGCAGAACAGAATAATGCGATTCAAAAACAAAACGAATTGCACTCGTAGCGGCCAAATGTTAGGAAAGAGAGAGAGAGAGAGAAGGAAATGAAGGAAGTCAGGTAGAAGTCAAGACAAAAAAGAAGCGAGTCAAGCATTTCGTTTGACTTGACTTGACAAAAAAAATAATAATACGAATATATTATAAATGGCAGTGCCTCATTTTGTTTTACCACAATATCCGAATCCTTGTGATTACATGTGATAGTGCGTTTTTTGTGCATGTGAACATTGAAATTGATATCTTATTCTATCTTAGAGACTCATTTACTAATCTTACATGTCATTGCTAATTTCTTTAAAATTTCAAACTAACCTGATAATTTGAGATAGCATTTGCTTGATTCTGTTCCAGCGACGTTCGAAGCCGTACAGCAATATTCTCCTTCATCCTCCATCAAGGTGGATTCGATGCGGAGAATACAGACACCATCTTCGTACACCACGGTGTATTCACTGAAATGCTTCCTTTTAAGGAGCACAAGACCAATTACTTCAGCTCTTACTCATTGGGAACAATAATGTCTCCGTCGACGGACCATTCAATTTCAGGTTGTGGCATTCCAGCGACAACGCATTTCAGCTGAACAGCTTCACCTATTCGTCCATAGCAATTCGCCAGTTTTCGTAAGAATCTTAATTTATTCATTTCGTCTTTTCAATCACAATTGGCTTACCTCGGTTTCTGCGGTGCTGCTGAAGATTCGGTTGCTAACGATTGACTGGCTTCCGTCAACGGATCATCGTGACTCTGCTCGTAAACCTTCGGCCCATCATATGCTGCGTTGACGGTGGCGACGATTTCGACATTCTGATCCGGACAATTTGCATCGACTTCCACAAACACTGCCACCACATGAGCTTCATCTTCAGAGAACTTTGGCTTTCGCGTCCATGTGTGCTCATCAGGTCCCTAAATTCAAAAGCTAATATAAGCTATTGAATAAAACTACGCAGACCGATGGAATTGGCTGCTGATAGACCAAATGAGAGGTGTTGCGCTGTTCATCGATTGGCTCATCAATGGAGCTCTCGTATTCAATGACAAGCTCCTGATGGGCTCTATCGCCGTCGCGAACCAAAGCAACGCTGACATTTTCAAGCTGAAATGTGTATTTTATTCAATGCTCGTCATCTCATCAAACTGATTTCAACCTTCAACTTATTGGCTGCTGCTGCCACTTGAAGCAATTCCGGAACAATAGTGTCATTATCAATGATTGTCATGACTTGCTCATTGGTTTCGTCCTGTTTGATAACCTCGATGTCAGCGTATGCTTTCGATTCCGCGTCGCCAACAAGCTTTTTGACCTTCTTCAAACTCCACGTGATGGCGTTGTGGAATGTGTTCGACATTCCTTGAAGGACAACAATGCGATGTTCGGCGTTCGCCGATTTCTTCGACTTCTCCACAAACGATTTATCGATCGATTCCATCGAGGTGCTCGGCTTTTGAATCAGTGTCTCAAAATCGATAAACTTCAATGGAACTGAAGTGACCGTGCTCAATCGATGTGAGCTGCACTCGACGTTCGATTCGATGACGGTCACGATTTGCTCGAAGTGTTGCGGCTGCTGCGTTACCACAACGGTTGTCGTCTCGTCGCAAATGTGCTCGTCTTTCAAAGAAATCGCTGTATTGAGTAGAAGATTCGTCGCTTCAATTGGCTCAAGCTGCTCTTGCGACTTGGCGCGAAGCAAATTCGTTTCAATCGTTTTGACCTTCTCTTCATACGGCATTTTTGGTGCCTCGTTTGGAACCGACGACTCCCGAATTGCTGCTTCTTCGGGCTTCTCTTGAGCTTCCTCATAATCCGTCACTCGTTCCGATTCTTGTTGAAGTGCTGCTGGTTCTTCGACAAGAATTGGTGGTTGTAGCTCCTCCTTTGAATCATCTTCCGGCACTATGAGAACTGCTGCGGGTTCTTCGGGCTGCTCATGAAGTGCTGCGATTTCTTCATGAACCTCCGATCGCGTTTCATCTTGCTGCTGAGTTGCTGGCTGCTCTTGGAGTGCTGCTGGTTCTCCTTGAACATCCGGCTTCTCGTCAATCGCGACATTTTGCGCCTCAGCGACAGCGTCCTGCATCCAAAGTTTGGCGAACTGCTCTGAAATTTGTTCAGCGGCTGCTCGCAATTCTCGTTGTTCCTTCTCTTTGTCAACTTCGGTAACCTCAATCGTTGGCACCTCTTCCGGCACGAATACATGGGTTTGAACCTCTGAATATCAAAACGATCGTATTTGTCGGAATTCTGACGATTTACCAATGGGATCCACAATCAATTTCATTGAAAGAACCGATGTTCCATGACAGTTTGTGGCGTGACAATAATAAGTGCCCGCTTGATTCATATTCACATTCTTCAGGGTCAGTGAAGATGTCGACATCTCATAAGACATGGAGATGTTTCTAGAAAAACCAAAAGTTAGAATTTCACTGCTCCGAAAATGCTAAATATCTTACTCGGTCACTGAGATTTTCTTCTCGCCAAAATACCATTCAATGAATGGAATCGGATGTCCGCTGATCGTGGTGCTCATCTGAAGCGAACTGCTTAAACAATGATCGTTAAAGTTGAATACCTTAACAGTTCCATTCTCTTTGACATGATATTCATCCATGCATGTTTCGAATTGTGGCGCTCCAGTGATATCAGCAATGTCATCGCCTTCCTCCTGTAACTGATGAATTAATTCAGAACTCAGAATGAAGCATCACGTCTTCAGTCTCAACCAGCTTCTTGACGGCTTCTCGAACGGCGTCAAGGAATACATTAGCCACCAAAGTGCTAGCGACTTCATCGGCAACCTTGATAAGCAACTTGTACTCTTCTATAAAAATCCATCTATCATTAAAAAATCAATTTCAAGCTGGAAAACCTTCTTTCTTTTCAATGTCAGCGGTGCCGGTAACCTCTTCCTTGACGACAATCTCCAAATCGTCATCAATTCCAGTCTCTTTCACACTCTCGTTTAGATTGATCGTCACATTTGTAACCTCGTCGATGTCGATAACCTCCGGACTTGGCGATTTCAGTTCAACCGCACAACTACTGCTGGCGACGCCGTGTTCCGATTCAGCCGTGCACGTGTAGACTCCTGAATATTGTATGACTTGAAACCGAAAATTGCGAAATTCAAACCCGAATCTTGAGCATTCGGCTGGCGAATTGTTAAAATCTGTGCGCCATCGGTGAACTGCACAATCTCGTATTTGTCATTTTCATAGATATCGGCTCCATTGAATTGCCAGTTGACAGTAATTGGACTATATCTGAAATATTGGAGGAAAACTCAATTGAAATGTCTAAACGTTGAAGTATATATATTCTTACGATTGTACAGTGGCAACAAGACGGATATATCCAATCTCTTCATAATTGTCAGTTTCGGCTGTCAATTGCTCAATAAACTTTGGCGGAAGGATCACGTGAAGATCGTCAGTGAGAACCGATTCCGACGGATCGGCCTCCTCGCGATCCTTAACATATTCCGCTCCTTCGACATTGATAAAGGCTGCAGTTTCAGCGGTTCCGTGCGGATTTGTGGCCGTACACTTGTAAAGACCGGCGTCTTCCGCAAACACTTCCGGATTCATCAGTTCACAAACACCACCATCATGAATCTAAAGCATTCGATTATTTGAGATTTCGCTTCCACAATTATATTACCGCTGTTACCACATCCTTATTGATGATCCATTCATCAACATTCTCGTCATCCTTGGTCCACACAATTGCTGCTGATGGGTTGGCGGTGATTCGGCAACGAAGAGTCATTGGTTGACCTTAAACCGAAAAATGGTTGTCGCGTTGCTTCAACGAAATGAAATACCATCAAGGAATGTGGCGGAATGCAGCGGCTCGACAATCTTTGGAGCGGATTCTTCCGGCAAATCGGGTGGAACGATCTCGAACGAGCTCTCATCGTCACCTGAACCATTTTATTTTCGAAGCGAACTCCACTTTTCGGTGATTGGTGTTTTTTTTAAGCGATGATGTGAGAGCGAAACAATATATTCAAATGAATTATTGAAGCAAATTCAAAACAGAATAAGACTCACGAATTTTCAAATATGCTGATGAGCTGAAGATCTCATTGATCTCGTTTTGCACGGTGCAGACGACCTGACCGCAAAGCGATTCGTTCAATGATTCGATAATAAGAGATGATTCGTATTCGCCTGATTCAACGGCGACACCGTCAATATCCAATGCGTTGCGATCATTGATGGTCCACAAGAATCGGCAAGGCGTTGTGCGATTCTCATCAAACCTCACAATGATGACAATTCTCTCGCCAATTGATCCCGATTTGGGCACCACTTGTGAGATCACAGATTCATCTAATGTTGAGAACTGCTGGCTAATACTCTCTTCAGCAATTTCCTCAACAATCGTCTGTGTGGTCGTGGTTGTTCGACGCTCGGGACTCGAATATTGCACGACGAGTTTCGTCGACCATCGGTCTTCGCCCAAATTGTTTCTCGCAATCACCGACAAATTTCCATTTGGCGTATTATTGAATTGGATTTCCGACACGTTCTCGTCAATCGCGAGAATGCTCACGTTGTGATTATTTCGCATTTCAAAGTTGTTCAGCATCCACAAAAACGTCGCCGACGGGATGGCGGCGGCGGCGACGCGGAACTTCATTGCCGAATTCTCCGGAATTCGGAATATTGATTCCGATGGATGCGATATGATTCGCGGCGGGTGTGACAACATCTTTCCCGATGTGCTCGTTTTTTGCTTGCCGAGAACATTTGTGAACAATGATTCTTTATTGTGATCCGCAATTTTCGGACTTGTTGCGTCGATGAAATATCGATTCTTCTCAGCGTCTTCTATTAGCGTTTCTTCATCTCGCTCCAAAACCTCAATTTCTTGAAGTCGTCTAACCGTCTGGAGGGACGAATGCGACGCAACATCGTCTTCATGCGAGCACGTCACCGTTACCGCGGTTTCGACAATATCCGGCGGCTCCGATTGAGCGTCGTCAGCGGTTCCGACGCGCTCCACTTTTGTCGTCAAGGTATCGCTTCCAATATTATTGATCGCCACCACCTTGTACTTGCCTTGTTTGACCGGTGGATGTACCACAAGTGTGGATTTGTTCTGCTCATTGAGCACCACCGTATTCTTATTTTTTCTGACCTCAAATCCGTTGACTTGCCACGATATTTCAGCGGCCGGCACGGCGCGCACGTCCACCGACAGCATGAGCTTCTCGTCGGCGTTGAGCGTGATGAGCGCCGGAAGTGCGGTCAGAAATTTCGGCGGCTCCGGCAAGAATCGACGTGTTGAGCCTTGCGGCGGTCGCGGTAGATCGCGTGTGACGCGTGCTTCGACAATATCGGCGGCGCCTGAAACGTTGGCCACACATGCGAAATGAAACGCTTTAAAAAAAAATAGAAAAATGAATTGAAAATGAGAAAAACCCCACTCAAAAACTTATCCATAAAAAGCATCACACCATACGAGCCCGGTTCGTCGCACCCCCAAAATCATTTACCTGCTCGTGTTTGAGATCGTCGCTGGTGTTGCTGCTGCTGCTCGATGGTATTGGCAACCTCGACATGCGATTCGAGATGTCGAACGCCTCGTGGAACACTGCTCGATCGTTGGGTGTAGTTCAACTCAAACAAGTTCACAGCCTAAATATTGTCCTGAGAACTGTTTGCAGGAACCATTTGAAGTACCTGCCGGCTCTGTCTTGCATTGCTGCTAACACTTGCTGTCATTTGATCGAACTGCCGCTCATCAAGGCGTCGTTCTTCGGCTTCGGCTAAAAGCAATGTATTCAGTAAATACTGTCGGCTGTTCCGCATTCTTACACTTCTGAATGTCGACGTGTCCGCAACTCATTGCCGATCCGTGCACATTCGAAGCCACCACCTTGTACTCTCCAGCCACCGGCAATGAAAATCTGACGACGCTTCGATTTGCATCCGGCGAGAACATTTCAACGCTATGCGTTGAATCTCGATACTCTTTTCCGTTGACGTACCATGAGAATCTGAAATTGACAATCATTGGTTGAATTTTTTAAAGAAATTTTCAAAACCTTGCTGGCGGGTTGGCGTCAACTTCAACGTCAATAACTACTTGACTTCCAGCATTGACGAAAAGATTTGGCACTTGAGTCAAGAATCTTGGCGCTTGATTTATCGTGATACTATGATGTCTAGATAGTCGCACATCCTCTTTCGACGATGACATTTCGTGTTGGTCTGAAAATGACAAAAAAAATAAAATTTTTTCCGCTTCGTTTTTTTTCCTACCATTGACTGTTATATAACCATAGCTGGTGCTCATTCCTGCCGGGTTTTTCGTCACACACTTGTAGACGCCCTCTTCAGGTTGTTGCACTTTCAGACGACTTATATTGATGCCATGGCCGACTTGAAATCGTTGTCGGTCCTGAAAAGTGACGGGTTCTATGAGGAATCAATAAATATATGTTGTCCTACTTGCAAAACAGATTTGTCGTTGCAAAACCATTCGAACAATGCTGGCGGGTCGCTAGAAACTTCAACTACTAAACTGATAGTGTCGGTTGAAAGAACGCGATATGCTTTGATAACCTGAAGATTTGAAAAACTTGCAAAAATTTTTAAATGATTGATTACTTGAATAAATTTTGGTGGAGCTAACGCCACAAAGCTAGTAATTTCGCTACTCCAATGCTCTTCGGTATATGATTGCGATTGTGAGCCGATCGATCGAATCAGATGAGTTTCGGCAACAGTTGCGTGCCCACTAGAGCTCCGCATAACTGTTTCGCGATCTGAACAATCAATTCGATGATGTTCGGAATATTCTTGATCTACCTGTGGAGTAACTCATTGATGGACTATTCGGCTGCGAGATGCTTCTGCCAACGGTGGTGTCAATGTTCAAGAATCTCTGCTGCTGATTCTCGTCGCGTCGGCGGTCCGCATCATTCGGATCCATGATTGCACCAGGATGATATCACGGTGATACCCGCAAGCACTATCGAATCGTTTCTATTGTTGTTGGTGGTCGTCTGTAAGCATATTGTTGAAAACACAAAAAAAACGTCTACAACGATGAATGAGAGATGAGTGAATGAGTGGTGAACACGACACGAAGAGCGGTTTATATGCTTGATTGATGTGCAGCGGAGATGATAGAGAGAAGCGTCAGGTCAACCCTCCCACGAGTCGGAAATGTTTACTGGTTTTGTGCAACAATTGATTGATCCGAAGCGGCACAATTAATGGAATCCGAAATTTTAATCCCTCATTTTCAGTTTTAACCCGTGAATTTTTTTTTAATTTTTTTCTATTTACGAAACAACTACTTCTTAATTCATTCATCGTGATTTACACATGTGTAAGGTCGCGCCGACACGAGCATCTTCATCGAATGGATGTACGTATTGTCGATACACATGTTCGACGGCTAATTTATTTGAAAACGTTCTCGACGGCCTAGCGCAAATTTTTCTTCAGGTGTGGCGAAAAGACACCGATTCTTTTTTTGAATTTTAATTTTACGACTATTTGTTTTTGCGGAATGTGCGAAACGAGTGAGGAGTTCAATGGATGGGGTGCCGGCTAACGACATAATGAAATGAGCCCATAAAATTCATCAGATTCTCGATTCATTTTGGCTGGCACTTGTTGTAAGCTATGTAGCAGTAATTAAAGCTTCTGGCATGAGAACAAGGAAAAGTCAAAAAATTATCAAATATCCCAGATCGACCGATTTATTTCGAAATTGTTGATCTGCTATTTCAAAACGTTGAGCACATTGAATTTGAATTGGTTTATGACTCGAAAGAACTTTCAAAATTTCATTTTCGACGAGATTTTCATAAAAGATGCGTCATGGAATAAATTCTGATCGTGTTATTTTTGGTAATCTTAAGATTTCGTCGACACGACAAAAATTTGATTTTAAAAGAGCGCTAATGATTAAATCGAAAATAACAACAAAAAAATGGTTTCTGAAAGTTATTTCCAGAAAACTCTTTGTGACCAACTCGAAAAAATGGGCGACTTTCAACAAGCCATCGAAAAACGAGCGACTTAATCATTATTGATCATTTTAAAAGACTCAAACGTCCCGTTTTTACAACGAACCCAAATATCTTCCGGAAGCTACGCGAGGAAAAAAAACGCGCTCTCTCCACACTATCGTCAAGAATCGGCGGGAATCAAACATCGAAAATTTGAAACTAAAAATGATGCCTTATAGAAAAAAAATTAAGAATAACGAATATAACGCATGATTTGAATGCTGAACAAGTGACGGCACAGGTCAGAAACCTGCAAACAAAACGTTTGAGCCGCCTTCGCGCCCATCGTTCTCGATTCGATGATCATTCTCTTCTAATATCTGCCGTTGGGAGGGCTCCCGCTCGATCGGCGTCTCATCGACTCGCGTGCTATTCGCCCGCCAGTGCGCTTGTGGTAAGTGTTGGTCCGTGAATATCATTGTAAAGAAGATAACTCCGAAGCGCTTCTCGTCGACTCCCTGCTAAACTTTCGAATTCGAACTCGCGAGATGAGACGCAGGCGTGTTAAAGAATGATGAAACTGTGTAACACAACAAATGTGCCCCGATGAATTTGTGGATGGATGTAGCGATTTTCAAAAGCGCCCCAATTAGTGCCCAATTTGATTCAATCTTAATTATGGTGATGTTTCTTTTAAGATTTAGAGATCCAAAAACTTATTCCTGAAACAGCTCAATCGATTAAATCACACTATTTGGCTATCGCAAGCCGTAAGCTTAACCCTCTGCTTCTGGGAAAACATGAAATCATTAATGATCAAATGTTTAAAAAAATGGTGATAATTTAATTATATGAGTAATTTTTTCACTTCTTTGCAAATATAAAAATTAAAAATTAAAATTGCTTTTTTTATCTTTCGGAGCTTTTAAAAATTGCTCATTTTTGATGTGGGATGGTTTTTGAAAATTTCGCAACATCTCAATTAATACGTATTATTTTAAAAAGGCGCAATGATATTAAACAACAATGAGTGTATTTTTTTAAGGCAAAGCTGAGATCTTAGTCGGAATCATCTTCCGCAGTGAAATCGAATGGTTTGAACAGTTTCTTGAAGCGCTCAACCAGCTCAATTTCTTTGTCCTTGGAAAGCACACAGTTCTTCCAATCGACCTTCTCCTCACAATCCAGAATTGGTGTTGAGGCGAGAACCTGAAAAAAATTAATTGCTTATTTTATTTAAGTATAATATGTGTCTTTTTCACCTCGCGTCCAAATTGAAGTGGGAATCCCTTCATGTTTCGCGTGAACAACTTCGATCCATCAGGCAGCTCGGCGATAAAATATGGGCATCCTTCATTGACAAGATCGAGAAGCTGAAAGTCGTTTCTTCGAATTTAGCTTCGAAATTACTAAATGATTCTTACACTTTCTTCATGCGAAATCGAAACAAGCTCAAATCCAGCAAGCGCTGCAGCATTCGTAAATGCGCCTTTAAGAGCTTTTGTGCTCGACTTATCAATTGGGACCATTTGAACTTGTAAATGTTGAGTGCGAAAGTTTCGCTCAAATGTTACAAGTGCTTTTCCGGACTACAATAGCGAAATTCAGGGAAATTTTAAAAATCAATGCAAACCTTGTTAGCCATTAGGGTGAAAGCATTTTTGTACTTTTCAATCTCGTCACGTACCTCCACAGGAGCGCTCACTTGTGACTGAATATGACCTGAATATAATAAGATCGCATTTACCGGAATTTCTGCAGTGTCTCACCAATTGACAGGACCATAATATGATCTTCAGTTAGAGGGCCCTTTGGCATTGCCGCGTAGCAATGAGTTCCAACACTAACAACCAAATGTTTTTCAGCGTCAACATTTGATAGACAGAACCAGCACGGACCAACTGGCTGCTTGTTTGAAGGACCTCCGCGGTCTAAATAAATTGTTTCCTCTTGAATTAAGGAATAATTCTTTAAGCATTACCGTTATTATGTTTTCTTTTCCTCGTATCAGATTCGACAACATCCACATTCTCAAATCGGTATTGCGATCCTTCAGGCCGTTTCCCTTCACCGCCGTTCATTCTGCTCAGAGTTTCTCTTCAACATTTCATTTTTTTTAATCAATTCCAAAAGAAATCTCACTTCGCTGCAACTTCTTCCAGTAATTCTCTATAAGGGAATTCCGAGCAATTCGGTGGCTGCGCCGTCAACTCCTCCTTCTCCATTTTTCTCATTGGCTGAATGCAATTTTTTTTTTTGAAAAATTTTGCAAAATAATCGCGGAATCATACTTTGACATTGCAAGCATAAAGCCATTTCTGCTTCTCCGCATTTCCCACAGAGGCAAGTCCAATAAATCGTGTCGTATGTCGAGCCGGTTCGAGCAGAACTCGATGATTTCTGAAAAACAAAAAAATAGCAATTCGTTTTTTTCAACATTAGATCAACCTGTAAGGTTGTCTCTCGTAATGAACACTGTTTCCAGCAAAATGATAACGTGGTTTCAAGTTGGCAGCAAGTTTTGAAATCAATATTGAACCAGGCGGTGGTTTTGAAGGCTGATTATGCGAATGACGCCAGACTTCAGCAGGCCAAATCGATGTTAGAAGGACGTCAACTCCAGAGAATCCAGCTTGAGTGCCTAATGGAATGAGAAGCTCCTGAAAACTTGTTTTATTTTCTTATATATCATTAAATTTATGAATATGAGTTTTTTTTCAAAACCAGATTCGATCGCTGGGAGACTTAAAATGAAAACTGCTCGACCCTTTAAAAAGTATTTTTGAAATTAGAAAACTCATCAAACTAATTGACTAAGGGCTTTTGGCGTCTAGCTTTTACATATCTAATCATTTATTTTTATTTTTTATGAAATTGTGAAAAATTCAATCTCGAAATAAAAAAAAATGAAATATTTGATTAAAGGCTCATAACGCGTAAAATGAGTTTAGTTTTATGATGGCAAATTCTGGTAGTCACTTTCTTCAAAACCGTTTATACCTCAATATCGCTTTTGTCAAACTGATAATCTTCCTTCGACGATCCTTCAACACCGCTCAAATATGCAATTTGAAGGCCTGGATGAAAAATTAAATGTAGAAAAAATAGTCTAATCTTTTTTCAACCTGAAGCAGTACTCAACATTCCTTTTCGGCCGAGATATGTCAAATTCGATGAGAATTCAATGGATTCTTCAGGATAAAGGTAAGTAAGTCGTTTTTCGGAGGCACCTAAAATTTTGCAACATTTTTTTAAAATCAAATCATTATTTAATAAAATCACCTAATATATAAGTGGGCACTGGAAACTCGATAACACCGTTAACAACCTTCTCATTCTCATCGTCATTGTCTCCAAAAAATTCACCAACACAAAATAATGCGTCAAATGGGCCACTCTGAAAAATTTCGAACACCTTTTAATAAATTTAACAATTTATGGAGCGATTCCTTAATGGAAAAAAAAGTTTCAGTTTTTCTGTATTCGTTTTTTTAATAAGTCCAAATTAAAAAATAAAAACCTTTTTATTAATCGCATCAATTTTCTTGACCAGTTCCAAAAAATTTCCGTTCACCGCTCCACACGCAAGAATCTTTGCAGCCTTCGCGTTTGACATTTTTCTTCGATAAACAAAACCATTGAATATTAGTATTTATTTAGAATTCTATTAAAATATTTACATGTTCGGTTAAACGACATCAGAATAATTAACGATAAAATTATAATGAGATCAACTATTTTATTAATCATCATGGTAATCATTACTATCATGAGAAGTTCGCGAATCGCCCGGACAGTTCTCCGCCAAATCGTCAGCATCTTCGTACTGCGCGCCACACCACGAACAATAAAAATGCTGATCGCGCAAGTATTCGACGATTTTCTGCAATCGACTACGAATCGCCTCTTCGTCAAATGTGCTGTAATCGATTTCTGGCGGCGCATCTAATCCGTTTGAGTATTGATATCTGCAAAATCCAATGAAATAAAAAAAATTAATTCCGACTATTACTTTTCCTCTTCCTGCTGCTCTGCAGCTCCAAACAATGAGCTCACAACAACATCGGTTTCTTTCTTTATTTTGAAACTCCTCCAAAACCACGATTCCCTTGGCAAACGTTGGTTTATTCTATAAAACTTTGGATATATAGCCATACAATCTTTTTAAAAAGCTACCTAAGATCCAATTCTTCACATGCTTTGCGACATGTGTGCAAATCTTTCAGCACCGTTTTAACAGTGCTCTCAACCCGCCTCCTTTTGCGAAAATCGTCAATCAATTCTTCCTAAATGTGTAAACAACGATCGGATATCCATAGAATTTATAAATTCTTACATGCTGTTCGGCTCTCTCCTTCATAGCTTTAAGATGCATCTCTACTCTCTCGTTTCTCTCGTTTTCTTCGTGTTTTTCATGGCCTAATCCTTTGCGATTCGCTTTAACTTCTATGACAATAGGCGCCGAGAGCTTCGGACGATCATCTGCATAATCGATTTAAATTAGAAATTATGAAAACGAAAAACAACCATCTTCGCGCTGCTTTCCCAATGTCATTCCAGGCTTGAAACCCATTTTTGCCAATAAAGCGAAACCTTTCGATTCTTCGCTGATTGGCTGAGCTAACGCTTCATCTCGTCGCTCTTTTTCTGAAATTTTTCATATTAATATCCATCAAATGTCCAATTCGTGCCTCGCTCGGCTGGTGTCATTCTTTTGCGACGAATCTCTTCTCTTGTCTCCTCAAATCTCGCATTTATATTTAATAATCGTCGGTGTTCTCTTGACTTTGCGATTCCTTAACTAATTTTGTAAAATTTAGAAGAATTGGAGAATAATTTACCCGTTGAACTTTCCGTTATTCCATTAAGAATTTCATCTGACATATAATCGTCCGACATTGTTTCGTATCAACATAAAAATTTTATTTCTTGTGAATAAAAATAATCTCAACGATTTTTGGAGAAGGTAATCGTTGCGAAATGCAAGAAGACGCACGGCGGAAAAAAAGCGAGAGTTTCTTGTCCACGCGGAGTACACAGAGACATGGTAGATGGCCGAGTAAATACTTCGGCCATTTTGGAAATTATTATTTTTCGAAATTAATTTCGGATTTTAAAAAATGTTTTCGCGTTTTATCGTTTTTTTCTCAATTGATGTTTCATTTCTATGTTTTTAGTACTCACTCAATTCAGAAGCTAAGGTTAAAATCGCTGTATTAATTAAAAGAGCAAACTGCTCGAAAATTGAAGTAAACGTTATAGTTAATCATTCCTTTCGATAAAAAATGCGTCTGCTAAACATAGCAAATTTCAAATATTTTCTATAGGGATTATTATTTTATTTTCGAAATGAAGTCATTTTTAAAGTTTGCATTAGCAATATGCATTTCGCAATATGTTGCAATATTATTTAAGCTTTTTTTCTTCCAGTTCATTCTCATTTTCTCTGCTGAATTGTTTTGAAATTAATTACATTCGATTCCGAAACTTGTATTTCTGCGCCTCATATCATGCCTGTTCGCTGACGCTCGCGTTTTTTTCAAAGAAATGTCGTCGGTCGACTAACTGTCTGGCTAACTGCTGATCATATGATCATCATTGCGGGTCGCTCCTATCTCTTCAAGTGTTCGGGCAAAAGAAAACGAAATTGAAAATGCAGAAAATAAAAAAAGAACAATTTATATATATTTTTTTTCAATATATATATATATATATATTGAAAAATTCTTATTTTTAAGGTTGTTTCTTTTATGACGGTATTCTATAAAAGAATACATTTTCTTCGTCACATTTTGTTATCAAATTCAAACGACAAATGTCAATCAATGCAGTGTTGGCATTCAAAATTGAACGTTTAGCATTTAGAAATTTTGCCATCCAGTTTTGCCCCTCGTCTGCTTCTCCTTGATTTGCGCGCTTTCTCACGCAAAGCGTACGCGCGTGCGGGCGGAAGGAGATGTTCTTTGAAAATTTGATTTCATTTTCAAAGCTTGATTTCAATCTATGGTCTTAAAACCTCTAAAAATCATTCAAAACAACTAGCAGCTGCCGACTTTTAGCCGATTTGCTTGCGTCACTATGTTAAACACGTGCCTGGAGGCAGCGCAATCCTGTTCATTCGTTGATTTTCGTTTCCTCTTCGTTCAATTTTTCTCTTTTTTTCTTGTTTTCAAGTGTCTCCGCCCTCTATTTGTTTTTGCTAAATTGGATTTTTACAGATATCGAATGGTTGATCGGATAGCACACTAAACGCTTCAAACCAATATTAAATATTCCTTATAATTCTTTTAACCAGAAACAACTATGGATTTTATGATTTCACACTTTTGCGATGAGCAAAATCATCAGCCTGTTTATAAAACGAGGTAATGCAATTTCTTTTTTTTTCCAAAATTTGCGTGAATTAAAAAAAAACAATTCATTTATAATTTATTTCAAACTAAAAATCATTTCTTGGTAAGTGATTCCAAAAATGAATGTCGAAAAATTTTTTGGCATCGCCCAAGTAACCATGAGGCTGGTTTTTTTTATATCGGCAAAATTTCGGACGTCGCTAAATAAGAATAAAATTTTTTTAATTTCCGTTCGAAAAATAGGTATATTAAAGATGCATGAAAAAATCATCCGTGAACATCTTCCTTTCAATTTCTATTTGATGATTTTCAGGAAAAAGTCAATGTGTGACGGGTCTGGACCACCACTACTAAGCACCTCACTCCCAGACGATGAAAAATATATTGACAATAGATTGCCACCGGAAACCGAACTAGGCAATATTGAATATAAGGTTTGTTATTTTAATGAATGAATTAAAAATTTAATTATGAAACGTTTAGGCGAAACTAGTCAATATGTCAGAATGTCGAATTCAACATCTTATCACTCAGATGAAATGGAGATTAAGAGAAGGTCAAGGTGAAGCGATCTACGAGGTTTTTTTTTTTCAATGTTTTCCCTACCACTTAAAACATAACCTCTCAGATTGGCGTTGAAGATGGTGGATTAATGTCTGGGATGACCGATATGGAGCTCGCAGATTCTCTGGCGACTCTTCACAAAATGGCAAAAGCTTTGGATGCAAGTATTTTCATACTCACCGAGAAAGATGTGACGCCGAAGGGTTCCAACATTCGACGGACCGTAATTGAAGTACTTGTTAGGAAAGTGCCAGAAAGCCAACAATTCATTGAGCTGAGGTATGCGATTTTAAAAACGATAAATTACTGTATTTTTTTCCCTCAGACTTGCCGTTGTTGGTGGATGCGATGTTGGAAAATCGACACTCTGCGGAGTCTTGACTCAAGGTTGTCTTGATGATGGAAAAGGAAAAGCTCGCTTGAACCTATTCAGGTGCATTTGTTGTTTTTTCTTCGCCGTTTGAGTTTGCCAGTTTTCAGATACCCTCACGAAGTGCGAACCGGCAAAACAAGCTCGGTTTGTGTTGACGTTTTCGGAATAGACAAGCGAGGAAAATGCCTAAACTATGGTCAGAACAGCCTCGAGGAGATGGTTGAGAAATCGGTGAAACTGATTTCTCTCATTGATTTGGCTGGTGATGCGAGATACTTGAAAACGACGATCCACGGATTATCTGGATATCGGCCGCATTTCACTTGCTTGTAAAATACTGCATGAAATTTACTAGAGCAAAAACGTGACTTATAGGACCATTGCGGCCGATACTGGACCAACATCAGCAACAAAAGAGCATTTGGGTCTTGTGGCAGCTCTTAACATCCCATTGTTCGTGCTAATCACCAAGAAAGACATTGTGGAGAAAGCTACACTTGAAAAGTTGGAAATTTAATTTTTCGTTAAAAAAAATGTGATTTTCCAAATTTCAGTGTAATTAGAGATGTCGCTGTGCTTCTAAGCCGCGCCGGAATTTTGTCCGATGGAAAGCGTGTGAAAACCAAACGAGATGCTGTCAAGTAATCATTTTCTCTGTTTAATAGAAATATGCGAAAATTTTAGAGCTGCTCAAAAATTGTGCGAGAAAAGCATCGCGCCGATCATTTGCGTTTCATCGGTGACCGGCGAAGGGTTTCGTCAACTTCGGACACTTCTCAACGTTCTCTCTGCAGCTGGAACAGTTGAATCGCGTTTGAAGCTCGCAAAACTACCGGCGGTGTTCACTATTGAAGAGATGTACAATGTGCCACATGTAGGAACCAATTTTGCTTCTTAGAGGTACAATCTTCCTAGTTCAGGTCGGACAAGTGGTTGGCGGAATGTTGTCGGAAGGCCAAATACACGAAGGCGATGATGTGATTGTCGGACCATTGAAAAATGGAAAATTTGTCAGCGCTAGCGTTGGTTCGATTCGCAGAAGTCGTCAGGCTGTGGCGTGCGTGAATCCCGGAGAAGCTGCGTCAATATCGATCAATTTGCCGCCAGAAATCAATTTGAGACGGGTAATATTGGTTTAATATATGAATTTCCAAAATTACACGTCAATTTCTAGGGAATGGTGATTGCTTCTCCCGGTGAGCCGCCGATGGTTTGCTATAGATTCCAAGCAAATATTTTGCTTCTGTACCATTCAACAAAATATATTTATGAAGGATTCCAGGCGACAGGTAAGGAATTTGTGTATAAAATAAAAATATTGTTGATTTCCCGCAAATCAAAAATAGCTCTTGACATAAATGCCAAAATTGCTGTAAAATATTCAATTATAGCGATATCGCGAGAAAAATAAGCGGAATATTTAAAAGTTCCTCTTTTTTTAAACAAGGATTTGTTTGGTAATAAAATATGCATAGTTTGTGAAAAAAAACCGCTTAAAAATATTTGAGGCAAATTTTTTTGCGAACCATTTATTAATATATTTCAGTTTTTATTGGATCTGTTTGTGGCACTGCGACCGTTGAGAATATTGAAGATGATGATCGTGTTGAGCTCGGAAAATGGTGCCGCGTGCGATTCTGTTGGGCTTATCAACCTGAAGTCATTCGTCAAGGAAGCCCGATTATAATTCGTCAAGCAAAGACCAAAGGAATGGGCGAGGTTCTTGAAGTGTTCCCAATGGAGTGAGATCGACAAGCTCCTCTGTACATTGTAGATGCTTGTATATTGTTTTTATCCGGGGGATTTGATTTAGGTTCTTCCGATTCCGGTTCCTTTTTTTTGCGGGAGTAAATACCGCAAATTGTATCTTTGTGCATAGTTAGCCTCGGCCGGGTGGTCCCACTGTCGAATAGACATTTCATTTTTTTATGACAGTTTTATTGTCGTTGACGGACGAAGGGTGTTATCATTTGAACTACCGCTTTGGGTCTCGTTTGGAAAACTCTTAGGAGCAATTTTTGCCTCTTCTAGGTAACATAATGTAAAATACCATTACTTTTTAAAAAGTTGAAGTATTTTGATTTTTAGCAAAAGTGCGTTTGACGGGACCAATTATATGTGAGCCCGTGCGGTTCAAAATGTTCACATTCATCCGTCCACGGCAATATCTCATCTTGTTTTGCTGTAGCATTATCTCCAAATGTACATAGTATTTTAGCGTTGATTCGTTAATATTTAAAATTTGAGCATTTAATCTCATGCTGTCACAACTGCCAATTTAGGCGATTCTCATTTCTCTCTCTCTTTTTAAACGATCCCTCTATAATTCGTTAGATTCCATTTGTTCGAGAGAAAATAAAATCAACGTGTTTTGTTCGACGTGCAGAAGATGGTTTTTCTTTATCCCTAAAGCGAGTCATGTGGCATGAACTTTCGATGGACTTAATTAACAAGATGGAGAAGCTACTGAGCAGAAATCGGAAAATCATAAGTTCTGTGATCAACTCGTGGAGAGCATACATGTAGAAGAAGAAGATACGACGAATTAACGGAAATTTTGGGAAAAAAATCGTGAAGGTAAACGAGGTAGTGCGATAACGCGGTAACAGAAAATCGCCGAGCGCGCGAAAAAATTCATACCTTTCCCACGCGGTCAACACCACGCGAGTGCGGAGCGGTTGCGATGCGGTGCATACCGTAACGGCTATTGCAGAATTTCAGATTTTAGGAATGCGGTACGTGATTTTTTTTTCTTTCTGTTTCTTCCCATTTTCCTTGTACCTCACTAAATATTATGGTAACTTTCAATATTTCTGTTTTCCGCTCTCTTTTTCTCGGCTCGAATTTTTATTTCATTCACATTTGATGCCCACAACTGCCGTGGAAGCACAATAGTATTATGCTTCGTTATGATTATTGCCCAACGAATGCCTAACAACTCCTGCCTCTTGCCCAACAACTTAAGCGTGCAAACAAAATCATTATGTTAAAAATATTGCGCATATTTTAATCTCTTCCGCAACGCAACAACAACTCACCACCGCGCCCCCTCGTAAATCGCGCGCGTAAATCGCCACATCGGAGCCGCCGCGCACACGCAACCGATTTCTATCGTAACGGCGCGAGAAAAAAAGGGGGCAGAGCCCGCGCGCGCCTTTTTTCTTTTTTGGAGGTTTTTTTTTTGCTTTTTCTTGAGTTTCTGTTTCCTTTGTTTTACGCAGTCACGCCTCGATCACGTCAGCCCACGCGCGACCTTTTTTAACATTCTTCATCTCGCTAACAAAGGGGTTAAAATGATGATATTTTAGTCTGATTAATCCCGGCTGCAAATACACGTCGCTTGACGAGAAAGGCGGGCACTGGCTCAATTTTCTACAAACAGTGCCCATTACTCCTTTCTGATAACTAACGCTATTTCGTGCATAACCTTTCTTAACCGTACCGTCGAATAACTTTCACACCGTACCGTCGTATTTCAACGTACATCAATCAATATGACTTATTTAGGCGATGGCGGACAATCTTCGTCGTTTGGAAAAGGCATTGTTAGATGATGACATAGACGTAGAAGTTGAGGAAGCCGAACAAGGTTCCGAGACTGTCACGATGATAAAAGCGAAGCTAGAGCAAGCGCCCCACCGCGCCACTGCTCATTTTGCCGCGGCGATCACACGTCGGCTGAGTGCCATATCTTCACAAACTGGAAGCAGCGCAAGGAAGTGCTGCGGCGACTATGTAGATGCACGAATTGCACGAAACACAGCAACTGCAAAGCATGCGCGGAGCCGAAGGCATGGTTGCAAGAAATGCAGGGGGGGAGAACCCCTATGTTATTTGCCCCGTCCGTTTTCCTGAGGGAAGACCACAAATGAGAAATTAAGTTGTATTGTGTTTCTGTTTTTGCTGAAGACTGAAGGAAGCCGGAGAAGATTTAAACAACAAATTCTTTATTGATCAGTGTATCAAACGGAAATTCCCACCTCAAATTAGACGACAAATGGCTATCAAGAAAGCCGAACAAAAGGATGGATGGACAGCAGAACGAACGTTACGACAGCTTGGACGTATCATTGAAACTGAAGCGTACCCTATTGAAGAAGAACTGAATTCATTACAACTTACAACTCGGCAAGACCAGAAGAGTCAACTTGTTTCCCGTAGTACAGGAAACACAGGCTGTAAACAATATAAATATAAACGAGACCATCAAGAACGGAAACTTACACTACGACACTTGTGAAACAGTACAAGTCAACGAACGCGAACAAGGACTGCATCGGAAGCAAGAACATCATCGCGGAATGTCTCGTGAAGTGCGCAACCATGGCGCCGAACCTGCACGAGCAAACCACGACCATCCTTTTGGACAATATCACGACATCTTCAGGAGGGGACAGCAGATCAGCTATCAAAACAACCCGCAAAGGAGAGGAGATTGGCGAAATCAGCGTTATTACAACAGATTCCAGTCGCCACGTAACTCCACGCAGCATTTATGTGAGTTCTGTAATGTCGACAATCATAACATGTGGCAATGCCAATTACATGCGAGTTCCAAGAACATACTCGATCTCGCGAGATGTGCTTCCGTTGCCTCTGCACTGGGCATCTAGCAGCGCGGTGCACCAATTGGACCAATCGACGCAGAGTCCTGGTTTCAGCAAGGCACAACTGAACGAATCACTCGATATTACTTCTCAAACCAGTCGGCTGTAGTGGATGAACTCTGGAAACTGTGGAGTTCACAGTATTTGTACTATCTCTCGGAAACTGGCCGGACATGCATTAAATCATATCAAGGAGCGGCCTGCAAACCAACTATCGGACAAATAGTGTTAATAAAAGAAAAAACTACCCGAGACATCGGTGGAAACTGGGCCGAATTAATTCCCTGCAACAAACGACGAACGGAGTTCGAGAAGCGACTGTATTCGATCTCGCGGAGGAAGGAGAGTCGCGATTCAAGGGGAAGAGAACCTCCCAGGTATGTAGTACAACTTTGGTAGAGTTCCCCGAATTGGCGGCGCGGCCGCGTGGGAGATATTGGGGGGGGGGTTTTCTTTTCCCATTAAGACGGCGCGGCCGTAGGAGGGGAGTCGGGAGCATTGCCCTTGCGAAGGGCCGGAGTTAAGTGATGACAGAAGGCTCTAGCCGTCCATGTGGGCGGCGATGAAAGGCTTCTGACTGATAACTTCGTTTCTTGCCACACGAAAATTTGTTCCTTCGGGGACGTTGAATTCTGGGCGGGGCCCAGAATTTTCAAACGAATCACAAACTAGTCCGCCGATCTATAAACCAACTTATCCCATTAGAAATTGGCGAATTTGCGCCCGAAAACTCACCTCAATTAGACGACTGAGCAAAGAAATCGGAAAAAACTGACGTTGCGATAGAACCGTCCGCTGACGTGAGGCGCAATCCTCCGAGAAACTGCAAGAAACCAATAGATTATAACGAACTCGAATGAAACCCACCATTCTATACTTCAACCCGTTCGCCATCAAGTTGCATCCACTTCAATGCCCGCCTCCAATTCATTCTTTAATCGCCATTTCTACGAAAGACACTATGACACCGCCCATTGACTACATCGTCCACCAGCAAAACATCAATATGAGCAGCAGCACGAGTCACAAACGAATAATCTACGAAGACAAACCTGTACAATCGGGACACCGACGAGACAATCCGCAGAGCGGATTCTTGTTGCGTGGGGGAGTGTTGCGGAATGCAAAATGGGCGAGGAATAGAGATGGCCGTGTCTGAGATGGACAAAGTTTTTTCCCAGGCCATTCTGGAGCGGAGCCACGGTTCATAGGCGACGCGAACGAAGGATTCAGGAAGCAACGCGACGGTTCTTTGGCTGGTAACTGGTCCAACTATTCTAATTTGCTTCTTCGCATTGTGAGTTGTTTGTTATGTGTATTTATCATGTCCCTCGATTGTAACTGAGGTAGCAAATCCTCATCACCTGTCCCTTATGCCCCAACTTGTTGCTTATATGATCAAATGAACTATGATTAGCTCAATAAACTAATTTATGTGAAACCACTGAACCACACCTTATGATGCCGGCCCAGCAGAGTCGCATTCTGTGTCACTCGTTTGGAAAACTCTTAGGAGCAAATTTTGCCTTTTCTAAGTATCATAATGTAAAATACCATTACTTTTTTTAAAAGTTTGAAGTATTTTGATTTTTAGCAAAAGTGTCTTGACGGGACCAATTATATGTGAGCCCGTGCAGTTCAAAATGTTGCCAATTTAAGCGATTCTCATTTCTCTCTCTCTCTCTCTCTTTTTATGAAGCTACTGAGCAGAAATCGGAAAATCATGAGTTCGGTGATCAACTCGTGGTCCGTTGACTTGCAATAATGATAAATAGGATTAGGGTCAACTGGGCCGTATTTCAGATTCGCGGCAATTTTTTGAAAAACAGATATTTGGAAGGTCCCATTAAAGCTCATCTCACCCGTAGATGGATAGGGCGAGAAGAAATTTTCACAAAAAAAGCAGATGATTTAGTTTCAGATCAGATTGTTTTCTTTTTAAGAAGCTCCGCTGAATGTTGTAATAATTCGAAAGGCTGATATTTGCTCGAAACTGACCGCAATTATTGGTTGGTGGTGTTTACGAACTTTTCGATTTTATTGGCCGACGACAGCTGACTCCGCCTACTCATCTCTTTTTTCGCTTAATTGGATGCCTCTCGAATGTGGTATTTTGGGATTGATTTACAAACAAGTCTAACACAATTCGTTTGAGGAAAGTAGCAAATTGTGAGGCCACCCACCGCTTTTTTACGATGCACATGTGTTACTTTTGCACTCGGACAAGTTGAGGTAAAGAAGAAGAAGATAAAGGAACGATATACACGTTTTCACTGAATCAGATATCGAGGAACACAAAGAGATTTCCATAATGAACCCAATTATGTTATGAGATAGAGAAAAGAAAAAAAAGTGATCATCAGAATCATTACATTGGAAAAAAAATTCATCATTTGTGGTTTCAGATTCGAGCTGAAATTGCGTATCGCGCAACTGCGAAAAATTGGCTAAGTGTCAAAAAAAATAATGGTAATTGTCTTGGCGCGAAACTAAGAGTGTAGATTTACGAGCCAAAGTTTAAGGATAGGTTAAAGGCGCACACCACGCATCAAGACCTCTCCTCTGAAATTTATTAATTTCCTTTAGTTTGATGTGCAGGCTTTTGTGTAATACAATATCCGAATCCGCATTGTCTGCATCGAAATTGCGATGGTCCATTTGCTAATATTATCCAAAGTTTTTAAAACGCTCTTAGACCTTAAAATTGGAATTCCTACAAAAACCACCTGGAAAATTGGTGCTGTTGCCAAAGAGAAAAAATTGGGTTGTTTGAAATTAATCTAACCTAAAACGGTTCGCCAATAATGTGGTTGTTTCATTATATATTTCTGAATGAATTTCTACTGCAGCGAACAACTGTTCCGACATAAACAACAACCCGCATTTGCACGATTCTTGAAGGACACCTGTGATGCAAAAAAAATGATATTCGGAATTTATGAATCGCTCCCCGGTCCGGTGACAATGATTGAGCGCTTGTAATTAGTTGATTACATGATATTTTCGAAAATGCACACTACCCACTTCGAATAGTGTAATGACGACAAATCATCAGGATGAATGCGTTCGGGGTGTGTGTGTGTGTCTGTGGAATTGTTTTTCTCCAAAATATCATCAAGTGCCGATTCTCGTCTCTTCCACCTCCTACTCAATTGTGGTGTTGTGTCCAGTGTGGCATCGGCGCTTAAAAATAGCGAAAAATTGCACGAGGCCGAGTGCAGATGTCGCCAGCAAAAGTGTAGGTGTTGGGATTCGGGTGAATCGAGGAGGGCGTGGTGAGCAGCGGCGGTGAGCAGCAGCAGGCAGGCGGCAGCGAGATAAAACTCTCGTCGTGCTTCTCCGCCGCTGACTCCTGCGGCGATCCCGCCAACATAAATATATATCAATTGGCATCGAAACGGGGCGGGCAGAAGCGGCCCCCGGGACCAACCAAGTACACCATTCGGATCATTATTGCCGACACTATGAAACACACTTCCTTCTATTTTTAGCTTCTGGAAGGTTAAAGCAATTGACCTAATCCAACATTTGTATTATAACTTGCTTTAGTACCCATGAGTGATAGTGTCTTAACTTCCATAGAATAATCTGGAACTACATTTCTTAGAAGAACTTCTAAGATTTTTTCCACGTTATTTTATCAATTCTCATCTGCGGACATTTCTCAAATCTTCCAATTGTTCCCTATTCGGATTCTTTTTATATGTTGAATTTTTCTGCTCGTAAATCCAAATTATTTCAGAGCAAGGGAGCCAAACATGTCTGGAAATCCGGACTCGTTCGAAAATGATCCAGGATTCCCATATTTGGGAATGAGTCGTGAGGCTCGTGCCGCTTCCGCCGCCCGACCGTTCGACTCGAAGAAGAACTGCTGGATTCCGGACCCAGAAGATGGTGAGCGCCGTCTAATTTCTTTTTTTTTATTATTGTCCCTGCTCACCGAAAAATGATTGACACAATTTTTTGACGAATCGCTTCTTTTTCAATATGTGATCAAATATTAAAGTGTTTCACTAGAATGCATCTATCCGATGCGCGCCAGATTACACTAGACCGATTCTTCCTCACCTACGCTTTTGGGATCGGCGTCTTGCCGATTCGCGTACTCTCTCTCTTTCTATCACGCTGTTGGCCCCACAGTACACTAGGCGATTCGTAGGCATCGTGGGGGTTTATGAACATCTGTGCTCGTCGGGCGTCTCGCCGCTGCTCAAAAATTCGAAATCATTGTTGAATGGATGATTTGGAAGCGATGACAATGCGTTTCTTTGTAATGTCATCGCGTGAATGATGATGATTTGAAACATCGTCGGATTGAAACAAATACAATGAGTGGGGGGCGATCATTAAAAGAATGCTCGATTTGCAGGATTCGTCGCCGCTGAAGTTCAGTCGACGACTGGCGACCAAGTGACCGTCGTCACCGTCAAGGGTAATCAAATTACCGTGAAGAAAGACGAATGCCAGGAAATGAATCCTCCCAAGTACGACAAAACCGAGGATATGGCTAATTTGACATTTTTGAATGAGGCCTCGGTTTTGGCAAATCTCAAAGATCGTTATAAGGATATGATGATTTACGTAAGAATCTAGTCAATCAATCTCGGACGAAATTCTAGTCGCCAATTTGCAGACGTACTCCGGTCTTTTCTGTGTCGTCATCAATCCATACAAGCGTCTGCCGATCTATTCGGAGTCGATCATCAAGCATTATATGGGAAAACGACGAAATGAGATGCCGCCGCATTTGTTCGCCGTTTCCGATGAGGCCTATCGCAACATGGTTATGGACAAAGAGAATCAATCAATGTTGATCACCGGCGAATCGGGAGCCGGAAAAACCGAGAACACGAAAAAGGTTATCTCGTACTTCGCCATCGTTGGAGCCACACAAAGCGGCGGCAACAAAGACGGAAAGAAGGGTGGTACTCTTGAGGAGCAGATTGTGCAAACCAATCCGGTGCTCGAAGCCTTCGGTAGGAGCACTTCCAATGCTTCATCGAATCGTTTGAATGTTTCTAGGTAACGCCAAGACTGTCCGTAACAACAATTCGTCGCGTTTCGGAAAGTTCATCCGAACACACTTCTCGTCATCCGGAAAACTTGCCGGAGGAGATATTGAGCATTGTAAGCTTCTGGTTTACCGCGTTTCATATACGTCAAATATTGTTCAGACCTTCTTGAAAAGTCTCGCGTTGTGAGACAAGCCACTGGCGAGAGATGCTACCACATCTTCTATCAGATCATGTCCGGACATGATCCCAGCCTTCGAGGTGCATATTTCAAGATTCTCCGCATAATTTTTTAATTGGCTTGTAGGAAAGCTCAAGCTTGAAAAGGACATCACTTACTATCACTTCTGCTCGCAGGCCGAGCTCACCATCGAAGGAATGGATGACAAGGAAGAGATGAAGCTCACTCAGGAAGCCTTCGACATCATGGAATTCGATGAGAATGAGGTCATGGATCTTTACCGCGCTGTCGCCGGAATCATGCACATGGGAGAGATGAAGTTCAAGCAACGCCCACGCGAAGAGCAGGCTGAGCCCGATGGCGATGAAGACGCCATCAATGCCGCGTTCAATCTCGGAATCAATCACGAGGAATTCTTGAAGGCGTTGACAAAGCCGCGTGTGCGCGTCGGAACCGAATGGGTCAACAAAGGTCAAAACTTGGAGCAGGTCAATTGGGCTGTGTCTGGATTGGCCAAGGCCATCTACGCCAGAATGTTCAAATGGCTCATCAACAGATGTAACAAGACGCTTGACGCCAAGGAAATCGAGCGCAACTTCTTCATTGGTGTCCTCGATATTGCCGGTTTCGAAATTTTCGACTTCAACTCGTTCGAGCAGCTGTGGATCAACTTTGTCAACGAGCGTCTTCAGCAATTCTTCAATCATCACATGTTCGTTCTCGAGCAGGAAGAATACAAGCGTGAAGGAATCGCGTGGACTTTCATCGATTTCGGACTCGATCTTCAAGCTTGCATCGAACTCATCGAGAAGGTAAGACTCCAATGTTGACATTCCGAATCAATTGTAGATTTTCAGCCACTCGGAATCATCTCCATTCTCGATGAAGAATGCATTGTTCCAAAAGCCACCGATATGACCTACGTGCAGAAATTGCTCGACCAACATCTCGGCAAACACCCCAACTTCCAGAAGCCGAAACCGCCAAAGGGAAAACAGGCCGAGGCGCACTTCGCGATTGTCCACTACGCCGGTACTGTGCGATACAACGCCAGCAACTTCTTGGAGAAGAACAAGGATCCACTCAACGATTCAGCGGTTGCTCTTTTGAAGCACTCGCAAGGAATGAACTTGATGCTCGATATCTGGTCCGACTATCAGACTCAGGAAGAGGCCGCTGAAGCCGCAAAAGCCGGAACTTCGGAAGGCGGTAAGAGAGGAAAGTCGTCGTCGTTCATGACGGTCTCGATGATCTATCGCGAGTCGTTGAACAACTTGATGACGATGCTCTACCAGACTCATCCGCACTTCATTCGTTGCATCATTCCAAACGAGAAGAAGGCTTCCGGAGTAATTGATTCGGCTTTGGTTCTCAATCAGCTCACATGCAACGGTGTGTTGGAAGGAATCAGAATTTGCCGCAAGGGATTCCCCAACAGAATGGTCTACGATGACTTCAGACATCGTTACGCTATTCTTGCCGCTGATGCCGCGAAGAATGGAGACATCAAGAAGGCGTCGATTGGAATCCTTGACAAGCTTGTCACCGACGGAAACCTCACCGATGAAGAGTTCAAGGTCGGAGAGACCAAAGTCTTCTTCAAGGCTGGAATTCTCGCGCGTCTTGAAGACTTGCGTGACGAGATCCTCTCTAAGATCATGACGATGTTCCAATCAAGAATTCGTTCGTACCTCGCTAAGGCTGACGTCAAGAGACGCCATGACCAACAAACCGGTCTTCTTATTGTCCAGCGCAACGTCCGCGCCTGGTGCACACTGCGCAGCTGGGAATGGTTCAAGCTTTTCGGAAGAGTCAAGCCACTCCTCAAGGCCGGAAAAGAGCAAGAGATTGCTGGCGAACTCGCCGAGAAGATCCAGAAGCTCGAGGAGGCCGTGCAACGCGGCGAAATTGCCCGCGCTCAATTGGAATCGCAGGTCGCTGATTTGGTCGAGGAGAAGAATCAGCTCTTCTTGAATCTTGAGAAGGAGAAGGCCAATCTGGCTGAGGCCGAGGATAAGAACGAGAAGCTCACGCAATTGAAAACTCAATTGGAGTCAAGACTCTCGGACATTGAGTCCCAATTGGAGGATATGCAAGAGCGTCATGAAGACCTCGCTCGCCAAAAGAAGAAGACCGATCAAGAGCTTTCTGATACCAAGAAGCAGGTTCAAGACCTTGAAATGTCTTTGAGAAAGGCCGAGCAGGAGAAGCAATCTCGCGATCATAACATTAGATCGCTTCAAGATGAGATGGCCAATCAAGACGAGGCTGTCGCCAGATTGAACAAGGAGAAGAAGCACCAGGAAGAGGTAATCATAAATTTGTTAACTTTTAAATGTTCACAACTTCATTTAAGGTCAACCGCAAGTTGAACGAGGATCTCCAGGCTGAAGAAGATAAGGCCAATCATTTGGAAAAGATCCGCTCGAAACTCGAGCAGCAGATGGATGATCTCGAAGAGGCTATTGACCGCGAGAAGAGATCGAGACAAGACATCGAAAAGGCCAAGAGAAAGACCGAGGGCGATTTGAAGGTTGCTCAGGAGAACATCGATGAGATTACTAAGCAGAAGCAAGATGTTGAGAACACCTTGAAGAAGAAGGAAGCCGATCTTCATCAATTGTCGTCTAAGCTCGCCGATGAGCAATCGCTTATTGCCAAGCTCCAGAGACAGATCAAGGAGCTCCAGAGCCGAATCGCCGAGCTCGAGGAGGAGCTTGAGAATGAGAAGAACAGCAGACAGAAGTCTGATCGCACTCGGTCTGAACTTCAGCGTGAGCTTGAAGATATCAGCGAGAGACTTGAGCAACAAGGAGGACTCACCTCCGCTCAACTTGAGGCCAACAAGAAGAGAGAAGCTGAAATCGCTAAACTTCGACGTGATGTCGAGGAGAATGCGTTGAACCATGAGACCGCAATGGCGGCCCTCCGCAAGAGAAATGTCGATGCTGTCGCCGAACTCACCGACCAGCTCGAGAATCTTCAGAAGCTCAAGGCTAAAGGAGACGCGGAGCGATCCAAGCTTCAGCGAGATCTGGAAGAGGCTCAAGCTGCTACTGATAGCGAGGTCCGCGCCAGACAGGACGTTGAGAAGGCTTACAAGTCGATGGAAGTGCAATTCGCTGAGCTTCAAGCCAAGGCTGATGAGCAATCAAGACAATTGCAAGATTTCGCATCGTTGAAGAACCGCCTCAACAACGAAAATGGAGATCTCGGAAGACAACTCGAGGATCTTGAGAATCAATTGAACTCGCTTCATCGCCTGAAATCCACACTTGTCAGCCAGCTCGAGGAGGCCAAGAGAAACTTGGACGAGGAGAGTCGTGAACGGCAAGGACTCGCCGCACAGGCGAAGAATCTCGAGCACGAGAATGACATTCTTCGTGAGCAGCTCGACGAGGAAGGCGAGGCTAAAGCCGAGCTCATCCGTCAGATCAGCAAGCTCAATGCTGAGATTCAACAATGGAAGGCCAAATTCGAATCCGAGGGACTTTCCAAACTTGATGAAATTGAGGAAGCCAAGTGGGTTCTCATTAATGGGGCAAATAATTTCTTGATTTTTTTACAGGAAGAAGCTTCAGATCAAGGTTCAAGAGCTCACTGACGCCAACGAGACCGCGTTCACCAAAATCGCTTCATTGGAGAAGACTCGGCACAAGCTTATGCAAGATCTCGATGACGCTCAAGTCGACGTCGAGAGAGCTTCGTCGTACGCCGCTGCTCTTGAGAAGAAGCAGAAAGGATTCGACAAGATTATTGACGAATGGCGCAAGAAGAGCGACGATCTTGCTAATGAACTCGATGCCGCCCAGAGAGACAACCGTCAATTGGCCACTGACTTGTTCAAAGCCAAGACGGCTCAAGACGAGCTCGCCGAATACCTTGAAAGCACCCGCCGAGAAAATAAGCAGCTCTCGCAGGAAGTCAAGGATCTCACCGATCAGCTTGGAGAAGGCGGTCGTTCGGTCGCCGAGCTCCAGAAGATCGTTCGACGATTGGAGGTCGAGAAAGAGGAGTTGCAGAAGGCTCTCGATGAGGCTGAAGCCGCTTTGGAAGCCGAAGAGGCCAAGGTGCTTCGCGCTCAAATCGAAGTCTCACAGATTCGATCGGAGATTGAGAAGAGAATCCAAGAGAAGGAGGAGGAGTTCGAGAACACCCGCAAGAATCATCAGCGCGCTCTTGAGAGTATGCAAGCCACACTTGAAGCTGAAACTAAGCACAAGGAGGAGGCGCTTCGAATCAAGAAGAAGCTTGAATCCGACATCAACGAGCTCGAAATCGCTCTTGATCACGCCAATCGCGCCAACGCTGATGCGCAACGCACCATCAAGAAGTACATGGATGTTGTTCGCGAATGTCAGTCGCAGATCGAGGAGGAGCAGAGGCAGAAGGAGGAGATCCGCGAGCAGTTCCTCAACTCGGAGAAGCGCAACGCCATTCTTCAAGCCGAGAAGGACGAACTTGCACAACAAGCCGAAGCCGCTGAGCGGGCCCGCCGCAACGCCGAAGCCGACTGTATTGAGCTCCGCGAGCAGAACAACGACCTCAACAATCAAGTCAACTCTCTTGCCGGAATCAAGAGAAAGCTCGAGGGAGAATTGCAAGCAATGCATGCCGATCTCGACGAAGCCCTTGCCGAACTTAAGAACGCCGATGAGAATGGAAAGAAGGCCGCTGCCGATGCCGCTCGACTTGCCGAAGAGCTCCGACAAGAGCAAGAGCACTCAATGCACGTTGAACGAATCCGCAAGGGTCTCGAAATCCAGATCAAGGAGATGCAGATCAGATTGGACGAGGCTGAAGCCGCTGCGTTGAAGGGAGGCAAGAAGATCATTGCTCAACTTGAGGCCAGAATTCGATCCATCGAGCAAGAGCTCGACGGCGAGATGAGGTACATTTAGTATCATAGGTTTCAATAGACTTTTGTCCGTTTCAGACGTCATCAAGACACCGAGAAGAACTGGAGAAAGGCCGAACGTCGCGTCAAGGAAGTCGAATTCCAATTGGAAGAAGACAAGAAGAACCAGGAAAGACTCACCGAATTAATTGACAAGCTTCAAACCAAGCTCAAGGTCTTCAAGAGACAAGTCGAAGAGGCTGTAAGTGAAAAGAGCTCATTTATTTAATATTATGGATAATACAGGAGGAAGTCGCCGCTACCAATCTTGGAAAGTACAAACAACTTCAGGCGCAATTGGATGATGCTGAGGAGCGCGCTGAAATTGCTGAAAATGGTAGGAGGAGTTTTCAAAATTCTATCGACTGACATCAATCTTTTAGCATTGTCAAAAATGCGCAACAAGATTCGCGCGTCGGCGTCCGTCATACCGCCAGACGGCCTTCCACTCGCCCAATCCGCTTCCAGTGCTCTTATCCGAAGTTCATCAAACGCGCGATTCCTTCAATAAACGATTTTGCCTCTCTCCACACGTCTTCTTTCATATCCCAATTCAAAAGCTTTTTGTGTACAAATATTGACATCTGAAATGTTCCCCATAAAACCATTAACTCTTTCGATATTCAGCAATCAACATCAATTCAAGCTGTTGAAGCCCGCCTATTGTTATGTTTGCCCCTCTTTAACCCGCTCATGAAAGCATTGCTCATTTGACACATAAATATATATTCAATAAAACACTTACTTTGAATACTTTGAAATCCGTGGTTTCTAGCGGCTGCACCTGCGGAAAAAAATCAATTCACGTGGATTGGCACTATTTTTCCTTGTTATACATGTTGGTCCGAGCAAGAGCGTTTTTCGAGCCTCGTTGATGTCGTCAATCTTCGGCCTTACCCAACTTTCAGCAAATCTAAATCTCATTTTTCTGAAATAATGCCAAAAAGTATACGCACAGCATTTTATCGCAAACGTTTTAAATATTCAACATCAGATTTAATCAAAATCTATTACGCCAATGGAATATTTGAATCATGATTTAAAGATAAGAAGCGAGAATGACAAGAAATTGTCTGATACCTAGGAAAACTTTAAAAACCTCTTAAAACAACACCGAGAAGCAATCGAATAAGATCGTAACGAGTGCATTGAACTGGAATTGTTTTATACTATTGTCGGTGTCAAACGACTGAACAAAATTTAAAAAAAAATTCTATTTGCCAGTGTCTCGAGGCAGCGAGAAGTACGCAAGACTGCGTACATTGCATTAAAGCGTACGCGCTTTTATTTTCAGTCAACGATAAATTTTAATCTATTTTGGAAAAATGAGGAATATGAATTTTTTTTGCTGCAGTTTTTCACATTCGTCATTTTTCTACAATATACGCTGATTTCACAAAGCCTCCGATTTCCTTTTAAAAAGCAATGTAAAAGCGTTTGATTATGATATACCACCATGGCAGTCTCGCGATTCATTGCACAAACTAATAAAATAATGATTTTATTGTTAATACACGAAATAGCCGATATATATTCTTTTTCCTAAATAAAAGTGGTTATGAGCATTGAATGATTCCTGCATGCGACAATTCTTTTCTCAAGAATTTTATTCTCCTGCTGCAAGGTGTCGATAAGTGTCGCTCGATTCAACCCGTGGAATCGGTGATGATCACTACCATTTGCAATGATCCTAACACAATTCAATTAATCAAAACAAGTTCAATTAGAATTATACCTTGCATCATCAATCTGGCCTATTGCACGTTTGGCTTCCTCAAGGTCCTTCTTCAAAACCCTTTGACGATGCCTGATTTGATCCGTTTGTCGTGTAAAATTCATTCGCTCTTCGTTCATTCGCTTCTCAAATAATGAGTTTTTCGCTGAAACAATATATTAAGACGACTTTTTGTAAATTTTTAATTAGTACTATAAATATGGTAGTCATTGGAAGCCGATTCATATCCAGATGATGCCGAGTACGACTGTCGTTTCGATCGTTTCGCCTCGTCGCGCGGCGTCGTTCCATTCATATGTGTAGTGCTTCCCGACAGCACAGTTCCATCGAAATCCGAGCCCGGAGCCGATGAGCCGCGTCCCGATGATGATGTTCCCGGTCCTCCATAGGTTTTTGGAGACGTAACATTCGCATAAGGGCTTCTCCAGCATAATTCGTCTTTGCTTCCCTGCCGCTCCTGCGATCCGCCGCTATTTCGGCGATCCTATAAAACGTCTCATTTTTTTTTAGCAAATTCCTAATAAATCATTTACCTTCGTTTTGTCTGATGCTCGAGTTGAGCTCTTGCTCGATTTCCTCTCCGCCGACGTCTTCCTCATCGAATTTGATAGTTTTGTGTGGCGTGGAAGACTTTGATGCGTTGCCGATTGACAACCTTGCGACAATTGATTCCTAATTGAGCTGGCCGCCGATTTTCGTTGAGAAAGCGTCGGCGTCGAAGGCAATGAGGCCATCGGCGGATCAATACGATGCGAGGACATCGATCTCGATGAAAATGATCCCTTCGATCCTCGGCATGGCGATAGCGAGAAATGTTGAAGTTGGCGAGCAATTGATGTCGCTAGAGATCGCTTGTCATCCAATTCCTTAAAAAATATTATATAAGCTTATTAGATCCTTCGATTCAATGCACCTTATCAATCATATTTCTCTCCTTGCGTAACTCCAACTCAGTAATTTTCAGCTTATTCCGTCTCTCCCTCAGTAGTTGTTTACGAGCTTCTTCCTCCAACGTTTTCCGCTCTTGCTCCCTAAAATTTATGAGCATATTCTTGCTCGACAAATTGCTGTTGTTGCCACCCACTTTTTCTTTTCAATAAGACTCCAGTCCACTACGGTACTTCCCGACGAGACCATACTATGTTGACAGCAATTCAGATTCACTTTTTTCTTTTTCTTTTGAGGTTTGTTCTCCTCGATCTCGCGAACGCGTTGCATCGCATACTCTTCCAAATGGCTCGCACGTCGATAAACGTCCATCTCCGACATTTTGTCATCGTCAACGGTGGTGCTCGAGCCAGCCGACAACCCGCTGGTATTCGTATTCCTCATTGCTTCCAGTTTCGCGAGAATATCATGCGATTTCATCGACGACAAAGAAGCAGCCATAACAAGTTCCAGCTCGTTTTCAGCCTCCTACAACAAATTGCGTTTGTTGACAAAACAATTGGACAATGATTGATTACCTTCTCCTTTTGACTCTCGCCCGAATCGGTTTCGGCGAGATTTTGTTTGCTCAGAATTCGCAATGGATGATCCTCAGACTTGGTGGCAGCACCGGTTGTCGCCGTTGATGTGCGAAGAGACTCCTCTTCTTGCTCAATGATGTCCTCAAGAGGATGTGACAAAATTCCAACGCATTCCTGAAAAATTGAAGATTTCTAGGGGATTGGGGCGTTAAAAGAGAAAATTAGCACAATAAATCTTCTTTTCAATGTGAATTTCTCACCCTTTTCTCTTCAAAATTGTTATCAAACACCGGGGTTGTGAAGAGAACCGGCGAAACGTCCGCAGTTTCCATCCAATCCAAAATCTGTCGCCTCTTTCCATCGTCTAGATTATACCTAAAATAGAAAATATTGAAAAAAAAATTGGAATCAATTATGATGATTTTTTTTTCAATAATTCTTACACTAGTCTCTGTAAATAATGCTTAATATAGGTGAATAGAGTCGTCTGAGACTGCGAAATCTCAAAAAACGGCGACGTTTGCGGCATCGACGCGGAATATCGAATGAGAGCTCGTCGACGTTTATAACTTTCGAATGGAATGAGAAGCGCTCATTTTAAAACGCGTCGAGTCGCACGGTGATGATAAAATGTTAATGCGTTTCCGACGTATCACTGAAGCCGTTTCGATACGAGGAATGCGATCCGGCTGTCGGTTTCAAGCAACTGGCGCAAAATTTTTAAAACAAGAAAACGCGTGTTCGGCAGTGTGGTAATTTATAAGTTTTTCTTGTTGTTGATGGAACGCCATCAAAAACAAACCAATAAAAAAAAATAATAATAGTAATAGAAAATAAATAATAGTAGAAAAATAATAATAGTAAAAAATACCTCGAGCGGCATTTTGATGGATGTGTTGGCGTTGCAATCATCACTCCGAAATCCTCTCTTTCCTGAAAATTATTACTAAATAATTGAGTGTCCGACAATTGCGATCATATTTCACACGCGGAAGCTTGTTTTTACTATGTTTATGTTTTATAAACAAACAACGACCTACCTCACGGCAAACTCCACCAAAAGCACTAGGTGAGCCAATCGATGAACCAGGCGGCGAGCACAGCTCGTCGTACAGTTTCAATGAAGCCGACAAGAAAGGCGTGTGGCCCTGCAAATAAAAATATCCATGACTACAAATATATATATGGAAGCAAAAAATTTTAAAGCAATAACTCAATTATTATATAACTAATGGTCTTTTGTGTGTATTGAAAAGTAATATCCAATAAAACCGAGTTCTCACCTTGAGCATAGGTGCAACTGATTGCGTACAATTATTGTGACAGCTGTGCGTTGGAGATGTCTATAAGAAAAAATTATATAGTCATTATCAATCAGCATAGATCAAAATGAAAAATTGTGCGAGCTTTTAAAATGTGGTCTCTCGACGGCGGATGGCACGAAAACAATCAAAATGCGTTAATTGACCTGATAAACATATACTCATCGCCAACTCCGACCGCCCTGTTCGCCACACATTTTGCGCCAGATGGATTACGACCTCCGCCATGTTCGTTTACAAGGTATGATATACGATTATTAGAAAGCATAACAGTCAATGTCACAGAAATTTGGGGAAACAAACTTATAACAAGCGAATTCCGAAAATGTTGGTGGTCAATGGGAATTGGCTCAAATTTTCTATGCATAATGAGAAAGTGTCAATTTAACACACCATATTGGGAATGAAAATTGCGAATAGTAAACATGGAACACCATGTTATATTTTGGAATAACAATTTTTAAAAATCAATGTTTTCAAAAATTATAAACGATTTTTTTTCGATTCGTAGATATTCCAATTTCGATTTTTTGGAGAAATGTCGTATAAGCCATGAAATATGCACCAAAAAAATTGTATATAAATTGCACAATTCTGGCTTGGTCATTTATTCGATGACTAGGGCTTTTCAAGAGCAGCCAAAACACAATAATTATGTATTATGCAACCAGCAAAATCTCGCGTTTACGCTCCTCCCATTCAATGCTCTTCCGTCAACTTATTATAATTCGCAGCTTCATCATCATCATCATCATCATGTACTATTGTTTACATTTTCGCACCGCGGAGCGCGCACAGTAGTTTATATTACATTCCAAATGACCTACACAACAATTTTGCAATTGCATAACATGTGTTCCGGGTAATAGAGATCATTTCGCATCCGAGAGCCACTCGTTTGAAACAAGTGATATGTAAACTGACGGATTGCAATCATTATGAGAAAATGGGGAAAATTCAAGAAAACCAGACGAATTGTAGCTAAAAGGGAACACTTTTTGATAACAAATATGTATATCAAAATTGAAACAGAAACTGATTGGCGTTGCCGCTTGCGAGCACTCAAATATTAGTACCACGATTTACCGCAAGTCTGGCTTCTACTATTTGCACTTAATTAACACCACCTTCTTGTGTTAGACGCGCGAAAAGCGTCGAGCCTAATTGTTTGCACAATCTTCTTTGACACGTTTCCCGTTGGTGTCGGTCTTCCTTATTCGTCGGCTCCACAATAGTCACGGATCATGCTAATCCAACTTGCGCAAATATGGCAATAGAGTGCAAATCAATCAGACACCGCGGCTAAATATTGATGCGCAATTTGATTGCGTTTTATATTTTTCTGCATATATTAAATGAACGGTGCCGACATTCCTATGCAGAAATGGTCCGGCCTTAACCCCCATTTATTCGGATTTTTTTTGATTTTGGAAAATATTCTATATCACATACCTTAATATCGATAGTCAATGGCTTCGTGATATCCGAGTTGGTTCGAGTTGTTCGATGAAGTGGTCGGACTTCTCCAGCAGTTGGCGGCACTGAGAAATAAATTTATTTGAAATACATCAATTTAGTAGATAATCTATCAACTTGATTTAGGAGTTTTCCGAAGTAATCCTACGATAAACAGTAAGAAAACGAGGCCTGCGATCACATCCATAGCAATAAAAATCATTTGTACACAATATCTATCACTGGTGATACATGTGAGGAGCATGAGTTGTCACCATCTTATTTACCAGTGTACCTCACTCATGCCCACACATACTCACACATATCTCTCGTATTGCGACCCATTATTAATCGGAATCGCACAACAAGTGGATCATAAAACATTGATTAAATAACAAATTGTTTCTTGACGCAGGCGAAATGGAATGTTGGCTAAAAGTGAAAAGAAACCGAAAAGTGGGAATGAGTGCATGGGGACAAGAAATGACGGATGATGGATCGTTTGGAAGAGCATGTCACTTTGGAGACAAAAAGTCTGAGACGGGAGCAAGTGCTACTTAAAATACTTTCGTAAAAAAGATATGTGTAATTCCGAAAACATTATAGTGCCCATTAAAATTTATCTTCGACGTTTCAGTACAAAGATTGATCGTTCCTAAGGATTTTTTTAACTCAATAAATATTCAGCGAAGAGAAAAAATAAAAATTCAATTTTCGATGTGCATTCACGCATTCTTTAAATTGCACAATTGTTGACTACAGTACTCCATAAAAAACAAAAAAACTCACATTTGACTGGTGACACTGTGCGTGAAGAAGGCCCCACAAAAATGACAGTTTCCGCAGCGCTACTGAGTTCTGAGCCGCTTTCAAAGTCCTTTCGAATTCTTGCCGTATCACTTGATGATAATCCTTTCTCACTATTCGACGTCTAAAATGAATTATTTCGTTATGACTTGTCGCTGTTCCGCTTTCGCGTAACAAAAGATTTCAACAAGAAAAAAATCGGCGTATGAATTACGGTGTCAAATTTCACTGGAGCGCGGTATCAAAAGATTCACGCTATTTGTCGGTATGCTATTATTTCCGACGCAGACACGAAAAAAAGAAACACGGCGACGAACCATTGTCTTGCGTCCAGAAGCAATCGAATTTTTCACACGTGTTCGCGCAATTTTGCATGCCAGATGCGCAATATTCTCGTTATCGTCGTTCCGGGCGCCGAACGACAACAAAAACGTGCTGAGGCGCGACGATGACAATGCGCATCGGATGAGTTGACACGCCGATGAGTCCCTAAATCATAAAACATTTGTGCCGTTTTCATTTTCCCAACGATATGTCGAAATAGAATCGCTCTAGAGTGCCCAAAAACTCAACGAATTCCCCTGTTGACCTTAGCCGAAGCGGCCCGAAAACGTCTTCCGCACCGCAATTTATTATCCATATTTTCGCGCGACGCGGCACGTCGGTCGAACAGGAAACGAAATAAATTAAAAACGCTCTCAAGAGAAACTTTTTTTAAAGGACGACGCGCTTCGCTTCTGTTTTACTGTTGGTTTACAATGAACTGAATCCCTTTTCACTAGTTTCCATTTTTTTTCAATCATCGTTATAGTAACATCGAAACGCCCCAAAAAAAGGTCGTATTAAAAAGTCATGCATGCGCCGAAAAAAAAGTGGAAGAATAATCGAAAAACGAGACTATTCGACTAATCCTTTTTCACGACGCGGCATTCTTTGATGTTTCCGTCTTCACAAATCTTCTGAGGTGTGAATCGACGACGAAAAATGTAAAAATGGCAAACCTCGATGGAATATGCTTGTTTTTCTGTATCAGCGCCAATAAGATGCTGCCCAAAACCGGCATTGTAAGGCCACCATTCGTTGAGTTCCTTTCACCGATACCCATATCAAGAAAGCTCAGACGACGACGTCCACCTTCAACAAGTTTTTAAATTTAAAGATATTCCTAATAAGTCTAACCCTCCATATGCTGCTCCGTTAGTTTATAAGTGTAAAGAGACAGAGAAATTAAAACATGGTTTGTTCGATGTGTCTGCTCGTCCTCTATAAAAGTTTATTTAAATTTCATCTTTCTAATAAAAATGGCTTACGAATCAATCTATGATCCACAGCAGTGTTCAAGTAAAATAACGCCTGATCCACAGAATCCACGCGAATCTTAAATTGAACGATGTCATGTATAGAAAGAAAATCAATATTTGAAATGGTATACCTCAGATTCGTTGTCAAGAAACACTCCAATCTTGGCGTCATCGACGATTCGGACATTTCGGTGACGAGGATCTTGAAAAAAATTTTAAATTAAAAATTGTGTGCATACACACGTGCATAACCGAGTACCGTACTAGTAAGGCAAAAAAAAACAATTTTTATTTTTTTTTAATAAATCGTTGATTCTTAATTTTTACCTGGATTAAAGGGGCTGAGGAGGTCAACAATAGAAGCTTCCCTCTGCGAGACCATTACCACCGACATTCTGACCTGCATTCGCTCATCGGGACACCTGAACATGCAAAAAAAAAAACAAAATCAACAACGCATTTAATTAGCCGCACTTATTCTCCTCCAACGCATTCATAATTTGCGTGATCGCCAATTGTACGAGCCCGTTGCGCGCTTCAGCGTCCCCATAGAGTCGCTCGTCTTTCCCTGAAAAACGTTTGCAATCAGGGTGGCTCAAATTGGCTCTCAATGGCGCATCAAGAGTGGCCGAAATTGAAAAGAATTGCATTCTCTCACCAGTCGATTTGGCACCCATTGCAAGTATCGTTGCGTCATGTCCGGCTAGTACGGAGCTGATTGTATCGTTGAGAATCGCCTCGCCAATAGATGTCTAAATAAGGAAATTGGTTTTCGATGAGCCCAAAGATAACTACCGGTGAATTGTCGGGTCCGAAAATGTTGTCAAACACCGATTTTGAATAATTCTTGCCCTCGATGTTCAATTGATTATCGCCAATTGTGCATCGTCGAGCCGAATTTGCGTCTTCATCGCTAACACTAATACATAATCGTAGCTGAAAAAAATAGAGACAAATGACGATAAATTTTTCACACTTTTTGATATTTAGTCCCCACCCCCACTCACAAAAAATTCCAACTACAATATTTATATTGAATTATGCCATGTTTTTCCCCCTTCATTCTCAACACACAGCTGGAGCACTTTTATGAATAAACGAAAAGCCGACTGGGGGCCGATTCTCTTGAGACCTCTTGTGTCCACAATTTACATGTATCTATGCAAAAAAACTTTTTTTTTCTTGACAAATTCTTTCTTATTCATTTGTTTCGTTTTGACGACAGCAACACTTACTTTCGGTATCGTTCGATGGGGCGAATGAGCCGCCGCCTTCGCAACAGTGCTACTACTCGTACTGCATACGTCCATTCAAATGGACATGGGTGAACACGTTGTCTTTGAAGCTGAAAGAAACAATTGGAACAAGAAGAAAGCTATAGAAGTGGATGGAAAAATGTCAAATTATTAATATTTTCACAATAAACATTACGATTGGAAAATAAATAATTGGAAAAAAAATGCGGGGGCACTGTACTATACATTCATGTGTTGATCGATATATTAATTGCACAATTTGAGATGGGACAAAAAAATTTGCTGAGGTCAGCGCCTGACAAATGTGTATATGTTTTGTCACCAACAACAGAAAATTGGTTGGCGCCAGCGTTGGCGGCGAGCCAATTGTCGGCATTCGGTAAAGGAGGGGGGAGGCGACGACGAGCGATAAAATGATATGAGTCAAGTATGTGTGCGGTTTGCTTGTGAATCTACGCCAATAATTTTCACAGTCGCGCGCCACCCGATCGCGCCATCCTTTGATTTTACCGACGCCGATGGGGGGGGGAGTAGGTGAGAGCCACCACAAAATACACTTCTGTTGGTGTGAGGCGGGCGCGGATTGGCGAAAAAAAAGCACAAATGAAAAGTGTTGAAATCGAATTGAATATCGCTTCCGATGGATATCTACAGATGTTCGACACACGTGTGCGCGAACGATTGGAGCAGCGCAGCGTCGACGCGACATTTTGTGGTGTTCGGTTTCAATTTCCAAAACTTTTTGATGTGATGAAGCCGATTTTATGATAGCACGGCAAAACGTTGGCGTGAAGTGCTGCGCACAATGTTCCCACGATTAATGGCACAACGACGATTCGAGACGGATGATACCAATCACAATATTGGTTTAACGATAGTTAGTTGCGATCATGTGATGTATGAATTGATGGTAATTCAATGAAGTCGACAAAATCGAGAATTTGAACCATAATAGCATCGAGTAGTTCTCTTGCAAAGATCAATCAAGCTGCGGACACGAGGAGAGCGTTGCACACAAAAATATATATATTAGCTCAAGTGAGAAAAAAAAGCTTGATCACCGCCAATCATATCAGTTTCTAAAAAGCAACTGTCCGACGAGAGACGAGAAAAAAAAACCGCCAAACGCAAAACATACAAACTCATCGGAAAACGACGAAAATTTTGGTGGGCGTGGTTTGCGTTTGAGTCGTTCACACGGAACAACCAACTCCAGAATAAAATGGCTACTATTAGGCGAAAAACGACGGCGGCGGCAGCGGCGAGCAGGAGGGGGGGGGCGGAGAAGGACGGGGCAAACCAGCTATGGCACAATTCCAATAGGGGCGTCTTAATGCAATAGGAAAACGAGAAGAAGATGGCGTCGGAATGGTGCAATCAACGGACAAAACTTCTAACTTGTTGATACTCGAAAATGTTTTATTCTCTTCTTTTTTCCTCATTTTTATTGTTATTCGATTGACATTGACCTAGGGGTGTCGCTTCAGGTTTTATACGATTATTCATTTTTTTTTTGAAGTTATTCTTTTTTCGCAAAATGCGCAGAAAATGGAGGAACGCAAAAACGTATCGATGATACAATTAATTATAATTAAATTCTCAATTTAACTCACTAGCTAGACATACATATTTTTGTGAGACTCGACATTGTGTTATTCAATTTTCTCAATAGTACATCCATACATTCTTCCAAATTCAATGTTCTAGCGAGGGGCAACATTTTCCATTTGACCGAACGAGAGTTCGTAATTGAATTCGGGTTTCTCAAGTAGCAGTACGAACTAGTTGCGGAATTTGCGCAATGATGATGATGATTCCATAGCTTCAAATTCAATTCGATTAGCTGATTTCGTTTTAAATACAATTTGCGCGATTCTGAAATGCGATATCCATCGAGTCGCGACATGCGAGAGACGACCCAACAGCAGTGCGTTCAATAGGTACGCTCCTATTTTTTTCGAATCACAACATATGTTATAATGAATGCAACCTAATTGTGAGGGGGTAACTTAATTATTTGGACAACAGTTCTGGGCTGCACTGAAGTCAATGGCAGAGTCCAAAAAAAATAATATTAAAAAAACTTGGAGTATGTCTGGAGAAGAGATATGAACCAACGGATTCTTCCGGGCTGTTATGATTCTTTCACCCATAATTCAACTAAATTAAATTCTCTTCACCGCAGGAAATGACGAAAAAAAAAGTAACGAGTGTAATAATGGCTCGGGAATCTGCGGTCGCCTGAAAAGACCACCCATATACATTATGATAAACATGGCAGCTGTCTCAACAAACGCATAGTAAATACGAATCGGCAAAAATTCGAAAACCGATCGGACAATGCCAATTGCAACAAATTTCGAGATGAGTTGATAAATCGGCATCAAGATACTCCCTCACAAATAATGACGGATTGTTTGGCAGGCAAGACAACAAAAAAAAAGATGAGCGGCGTCTTCTCTCGTATTTCATTTCTCACTTCACTTTTGAAACTGCCTTAAACTTAATACATATCAATCATGGCTGTCTGCAACCAACCTTGCCGTCATCCCAACGGCAAATATGATCTATTTCATAATTATGATTAACAGACGTTTGGTGTCTCAACCAGTTTGGCGGCGAGGAAGAGATCGAATCAAACAGATAAATTGATGCAAAAATTGTACAAAAAAATTGGTAGAAAATATGACAAAGCGTCAATAGGCGCGCCCGCGCCTTCATACAAATATGGTAATTTTGACGGACGGCGAAAATCGACGAGCCGTTGATTCGATTTCATCGATTATCGAACGCCAGTTTTTATGCGTTTTTGTCGGTCGTCATTTTTTTGTGGCTTAGACTAAAAAACTGTGCTCGCAGCATGAATGTTGTATAGCTCTGCTCGCAATAGCAACAGAATCTTCATTAATTTTGCGTCGCTTGCTACCTGACAACCACACAAGGATTTCACATAAAACAATTTTTTTTAGTTTTACTCAATTGGCATTTATTTTAATATCCTTTCATTGGAAAAATATGTGTATTGTATGAATTGATTTACAAGAGTCAAATATAGCATCAGTAGGATCAGTACCTCTATGATACACCAGAAACAAATTGGACAATATTTGAATAGAATTTGTATGGAATCGATTACTTAGTGCATTAGAAAAAGGAAAGGAAGCCGAGAAAAGCTCGGATGAATTTTTCTTGAACAGAACCGCCAATGATAAGCCAATTAATCAAAGGTGTGAGAATTTCCCACGATCAAATTGATACTAGCGTTATCATGATGAGTGCAATCAATCAAATGAAAGTATGTCTGTGTGTACAGACCAAAAAAATGCTCCGCGAAAATTTTTTTTGATATACTTATCGAAACTGTGAATGAGGAAACCGGCCGGCAAGGCAGCCACCCATCGAACAAAAAAATGAGGGTTGCCGCTTGATTTTTTTTTCACCTTCAACGTAACGTAACGATCCATTCAATGACCTCGCTAATTTGTAATGCGAAACAAAAAAACGAACGACACAATCATGGGTGGGCCGGCGCCGCCGCTACCGTTTTCTAGGCATGTCCCGCTTGATGGCAGCATGTGCCGGCCCACGGCCTTCTACTGTACACTGCCATAAATCGGCACAAAACGATAAATCATTTCAAAATTCGATTAGCCAATCGAGAATTTGATGGCTTGAGGATTCCCGAGGAGGAGGAGGCCGTCTCAACACCCGGTCCAGCTTCGCCTAGTCACTTCGAATTATCGATGAAATATGAATGCAATGAGTGGACGATGATATTAAATTCAACATATGTCGAACACCGTAAATCAACACCATGCTTAACGACTTTATGAGCGAAATTGCCGAGTGGGTTTGACGGGTTGGGTGGACAAGAAGGCTGGTGGGATTCTTGCGAAACGTATAGTGAGCGTCGAATTCAATCTATTAAGCACAAGTCGGATTCAAAACTCGACAATTATGAAGTGTTTGAACAAAGGTAGGTTAATTGGCAATAAACGTTTCGAATACGGTAGAGCGTCCTTAATTGGATGATATAAAAATTAGAGGTATGACCTCTAGGAGATTCAATTGTTTATGGGAATCACAACGATTTTGGAAGTCATCTGTTCGAAATCAATGCTCAGAAATCTCAAGGACAATCCCATAAAAATTGCACAATTATCTGTTCGCTTAACTAATTTGGCAATTATGCAAATGAAGTGAAAGTGAGAGATGTTGAATTGTGTTTTTGCACCGAGATATTTGATTGGGCTAATTTGAAACAAAACCTAATGTGGGGGGTGGGGCACCAGAAGAAGATTAAGCCGCATCATGCGAGAAAATTATCCTCATACAGTAATTAAAGGATCATCGCGTAACGATTACGCACCAACAACGGTGCGGTGAATTTAAATTATATACTATGCGAGCCTCACTCGACTATAATATGTATCATTAATTATTATTTCTATATTGCATACATGCTTATAAAGAGGTCCAATTCGCCACACATATAAGAAAACGCGTGTGGGACTAAAAATCTTGACCGGAAATATTGCGGGAAATTGGCTGGATGCGCGCGACAAAGACGAAAACGACGGCACCGGAAGCTAGTGGCACCTCATTATTCTAATGCCATCGAGCTTGCAGCAGCACAACACGCCCTCTGCAAAAACTAAATCGAGTTTACCGTGTTTGGCTCGCCTAGCAGATTGGAAAAAACGAGCCGGCGCTGTCAGCCAGCAGCACCTCGTCGAAAAACCAATATAAACCGTAATTGACCCGTGCGCGACGGTAAAAACAATGACCGCCACAGCGAATAAAAATGGACACAAGACGACGACAAGGCGATGTGGTAATTAAATCAACTAATAAAACGGGAGACCGATTTTCTTTTTGGACCGATCATCGTTATTCGAGGTCCATTAACGTTTCAAATCCTCGTAAAACGAAAGACAACAAAAAAAAACTGGCTGCAATATTTTTGCAAGAGAAATGAAATGGGGATAACTAGAAAAAAAAATTCAACATGTTCATTTATGGGGATGTAGATTTTGAGAAGAAAAAAATTGCGAAAACTAGATTTCAATGTTTTTTTTTTTCAAAATTAGCATAGCACCATTAAAAGACATCTTGAAGGTAACATATATACAAGAAAATAAAGGTTTGTGTGATTCTTGCTCTAGATTTGCGATCATGATAATAGTAGTAGACGCGCCGCCGAGCAGAACACCACATACTATCTTCATGTCGATCTGATCCGTGTATAGAGGGGGGAACACCCTCATTGATCCTGTATTTCCACAATTTAAGAATAAACAACGATTAATCATTTCCAAAAATGCGTTTTTGATAATTTCCACTGCAAAAGACACCAAAACGCGAACACAGTTTCCCTCACGAACGTTTTTGGCGAATCGCCAAATGATTAATTATTCACGAGAACTGATACTTGGAATAGATTTACGATGAAGGCCATTTTGGGCGAACGACAAATTCACTTCGAACATCTGTACACAGGCGTTGTACTAAGTTAAGTACGGAAAAAAATAACTGACGGCTGAAGTGGGATCAGTAGAGGGGGGGGGGAGATCTCAACGAGTTTTCTTCGAACAGCTGCACATTTTATGCAAACATGCTCACATTTTGGGGGGGCGGGGGGCGGAGCAAAACAATACTGTTTCAATTTGCCAAATTCATTTCAACAAAACTGGCCGCCCAAAATGATGATGGTAATCGAATTATGGTCCGAAAAGAGGGATAGCGGCTCAGTCGTGTTGGCGACGCTTGCAAATGAGCTTTGTTGTGCTCATGTCAATTACGCGCTTTCACTACTAATACATGCACCAGCTAAACGTTAAAAAAAAACCTATTTATGGCAATTGTTACGTATTATCACAATTCGAAATAAATGCATACAGGGCAAGTGAAATGATTTGAGCAATTCCTATTGGGCGGAGCCACCCGAAGAGCAGAAAAGAAATATAACAAATGTTGGTGGGGGTGAAAAAAAAAGTGGAAAACTACTATGTAGTGCTACTAACAATGGATAGACGCAAAAAGCGACTTATGCAAAAGTTTGATTAATCACTTCCTCCGCCTCCTTTGCGTGGTGTTCGCCGATGGCTGTCGCGGTCCACGCGAGCTCGCGGCGTCCCGCATATTTCAACTGGAAAATGTGGTCTCGGCGTTTGTTTTTGCTTTCATCGAGATTTTCAACAACAACAAAATTTTTACCCTAACTCCAAGTGCATTCTCAAATCTCGGCCGCACAAACGTCCAAGCTCCGGCATTCCTCGGCTCTTCCTGTGACCACACGAATTCTGCAACAAAAAAATAAATAAACGCAAAACATTTTTTATTCCGCTTCTTATCGCGTTTCGTTTCGCCATGTCCTCTCTTTTGCAGAAACAAAATCGCCGAAATTCATCGAACGGTGAAGAAAAAAAAACGCAAAGTTTCGCGAAACAGCTCCTTTCAACTGTCACCGAGTCGATGAATTATGTTTCAGCGAGGCCGTGATTTTCTTCGCTGGTGGTCGGCCCTCATCGTTGTGCGTACGCACACACACACACTCAAATCGGGCGAAAACATGTGACCCGTCTGAATACGGGACGCCCTTGTACTTCGAATCTTTACCACAAGCAATTTTTCATTATTCCGGAAAGATTGGAATCACATACAGCAAGTTCATAGACGAACACCGTCAAACTACACTTGTCGCACTATTTATGGCTCATTTTCTGGCGAGACTGCTTTGCGAATTCGAGAGAAAAAAATGGAACATAAACCAAACACCTAGTGAAACATGAAACCTTCTCTCGCTCTCAAATTTACACATTGAACAGCACGATCATGCTCAAATCCGTTATCAAGAGCTACTTGACTTTGGTTGGTCCTTAAATGCATCTGCTCAAGAATGTTTACCCGGCATGAGACACGCAACTGCCCGCCAACTGGTTGCATAACCAAATTTATGTTTGCGCTCAATCCCTAATATGTATATCCATTCATATTCAATTAGGACATATTAATATGTATATTACGATTTCGATATGGCCAACCTTTTGCATTCGGATATTGCTTGAAAACATTTTGAAGGTCAATGACCGGGAATGGGCAAAGCATCTCAAGACGAACAATTGCTACCGTATCCTTGAGCCCGCGCTCCTCGCGAGCCTTATCAACAGCAATCCAGTGCTTTCCAGAAACGAAAATTATCTAAAAACCAACATGAGCATTTTCAAATCATGAATCAACCAGCCTTCGTGACTTTGTCGGGTTTGCACGTCGAATCGCTGATCACATTCCTATAGCTCGTACCGGGCCCAAATTCGAGGATCGTCGAAGCGGCCTGAATAATCGATTATTGCAAGGAGACGCCGTAATCGCATTGACATTTTAATGCGATTACTTTCTAGAGGGAGGCGAAAAAAAAAGTGCCGTGCGTGTTTTTATGTGATACCGAAGTGAGCGAGCGAACGCGCGCGCGCGCACGAGCGGCACCAACAAAGCCGTTTTTGAGCAGTTGTCAACTAGTTTTATTGCTCGGTGTCAATTTGACGCAATCGACAAAAGGATGGCGATCACATTGATATGAAATAAAATTCAATGAAATAGGGGGCGGGGGGAAATGAATGTTCGTTGTAGCGCGACTGTGGCAAATTGGCAAAAAACATGTACTGATAGGTCTTCTCGCAAAACTATCAAGTGTAGTTTTACGGGATAAATTAGAGGTTAAAAAACCGCACATCGGACTTCAAGACCTCTTCCTGTTTTCTGCCAATTTTACCCGGTCCCACAACGCCAAAATACACATCGCAAAAACCAATATACCTTTGGATGGCGGAGAAGAATCTTTGGACCAACGACAATAAGCGGTTTCCTGTAGTTTGGAACAATCTGAATAACATTTGATTTATTTGAAGCATTTCGATCATTTGTTTTTGTACTTGTCGTCTCAAAAGATGAAAATATTGGGCGCTCGTTGTTGGATTCGCCACTCTCATGTTCACATTCTCGCCGTCAATTGGATTTTGGTCTTCTCTCGAATCGCACAACTGCAAGAATCGCTCAACTCTGCAGCTGCTGTGCTCCGGCCCGGCGCCGTCAAAACCGTGCGGCAGCAGTATCGTCAATCCCGATGAGGTGAGCCATTTGCTCTCAGCGCTAGCAATGAACGTATCGATCATGATTTGAGCGCCATTGAAGAAATCGCCAAATTGCGCCTCCCAAATGCACAATCGTCGCGGATTCTCCGACGAGAAGCCCCATTCGAAACCAAGAATCGCTTCTTCAGAAAGCAAATTATTCGCAACTTCGATATAATTTTTCTGTCCTTCGATCATTTCATTTAATGGAATATGAATCGCATCCGTTGATTGGTCCACCATCATCGCATGTCGATGGCAGAACGTGCCCCTTCCAACATCTTGTCCACTGATTCTAACATCATTCCCTTGAAGAATCAAACTTCCAAAAGCCAATGCTTCCGCTGTTGCCCAATCGATTCCCTCTCCACTTTGAATTTTATTCATTCGCGAGTCGATGTGCATTTTGTACAGATGCTTGTGAGTGTCAAAATCTTCAGGAACCTTCACACTGGCAGCGCCAATGAATCGCAACAAATCAATATCAACTCCAGTGTCCCAGGTCTCGATACATTTCGGCGCTTGTTTGAATCCTTCCCAGTTTCCACGATGACTAACATCTCTGAAAAAAGAGCATACCACAATTTCCACATAATGAAGAATATTTACACTGGCGCAGTAGAATCAACCTGCTTCAAAGCGTTGTTCAAGCTTTCTGTATGCTGCACCAGCTCTTTCTTCACCTCATCCTCATTCAAAATTCCTTGTGAAACCAAATGATCAAGATAGTTTTGCGGAACAGATGTTCTAGCTTCAATCTCCTACAACGCGCTCCCAATTTATTCGTTTTGTTTTTTCCCCAAAATTCAAACCTTATACATTACTGGGGAAGTGAATGTTGGATCATCAAGCTCATTGTGTCCCCATCGTCGGAAGCAAACCAAATTGATAAACACGTCTTTACGGAATCGTTCGCGATAAGCAAGAGCTAAACGCGTAGCTTTGATGACTTCCTGCGTTCGCATAATTGTCGAGAGCTAATTATAAATTTCAATTACCTCTGGATGATCGCCATTAACATGAAGAACAGGATACTCGAACGATTTGGCGATGTCTGCAATTCATTTCAATCTATTGTTTTCGCGAGATATCAATACACAGTGATTAATCAAAACGGAACTCTATTAATCACATGTAGGCGGTTATTAAATGTTTTCCATACGGATCTAATGATAATTGTGTTTTTTTTGGCCGATTATCTCATCTCAACGAATTAATCAACGATTAACACATAGTTGAGAAGATCCGGGATTGATACTCGCGTCAAATGTCGCAAATTGAACGAACGCTAATTCGCTCGCAACATGCATGTCACGGATGTCACGGGCAAACCATTTCAGGATCACAATGATTCAGCGTTAACGCAATTCCCAACAAACTCACCTGTGCAGTGAATCGTCGATCGACCAACACTAGACTCGGCAGTGAACGCGATTTGGTTGTTCGTGACCAGATGAACAGTTCCACCAAGTCGAAAGTGCGGCGCTTGACTTAACGAGATCGACTCCCACACAACGCCTTGACCGGTGAACGCGCCATCGCCATGAATAAGGACATTCAAGACGGAGTCGCCGGTCCTCGAGCCTCGATCATCCTCAGCGTAGTCTCCTTTTGACAAGCTCCACGCTCGTGCTCGTGTTTTTCCCATAGCTACTGGATTGACGGCTTCAAGATGTGATGGGTTCGGAAGCATTGTGACATGTACATTGCCCTCCGTTCCTTTATAATCAAACGATGACACTTAAAAAATGATTTAGAACATTTGATATACTTGATGTCTAAAATACCTAAATGAGAGAGCACATCACCCGAAGCATCAACGGATTCCGGGAACTCGGGTTTTCCTTTAATCTTCAATTTGAAACTTTAAATATCGAAGAGAAAATATAATTCAAGTCGGACTTTTCTAAACATGTGAACTGGTGGGAATTCCATAAGTTGCGTGAGCAAGTTCAGTCTTCCACGATGGGCGATTCCAATGATGATCTGCTCGATCGACTTCTCAGAAGCACCTTCAAACAATTCCGAGAAGAACGCAAACATCGATTCGGCACCTTCAGCGCCATATCGTTTCAAAGTCGGAAACTTTGTGGCCAAGAACTTGTCAAAGTTCTGTAAGCTGTGATCACTCTATTAAGCTAAACCCTATCTGATACCTCACATTTGAGCATGAGCTTGGCAATTCTGATAGCTTCCTCATTCCTAATTTCCTGGGTTATGCTATTCTCAAAGTTTTCCGAGAGCCATTTTCGCTCCTCCCAATTCTAAAATAATTTCAATAAACACGATGCACACGTTCCGATCTCACATTGATGTGCATAAATTCAATAGCTAAGGGTCCGCAGTAGATCAACCGCAATTGTTCGGCCAAATCATTGAGCGAATAATCGCTTTTGATGTTGTCGTTCAGCGAAAGCCCATAGACGGCCGGATTTAATTCGGGAACACTGAAAAAAACAACAACAACAACAATGAACTCGATGGCTTTCATTTTTGATTCGTTTCGATCCGCGTCGCATCGCGCCGCGCCGACCGACCACCCAACATTATTTTCAATTTTAATGGGTTGTCGGTATCGTTTGAAAACGTGTGGAATGTCGTTCACCAAAATTGACATTATCGGGATTGGATAGATGGGGAGAATAAAAAAAAGCGAATTTCGCGAATCAAACACCAACGCTTCGCCGGCAACATGCCAATTGTCGTCTTTTGTGACTCACTGCGCGATGCGCTTTTGATCTATGACGAATTCATAAAATCAAAGATTTTCATTGAGTTCTAATTCACGAAATTCAAACTGCTGGGAATTCCGGAGAAGACAAAGACGACATACTTCATTAAAATGGATTAGTTTTTTTTTAACTATGGAATGCGGAACCAAATTTTATAAAAATTAAGCGAAATCCGCATCTAACAAATCCTAGCGTTCAAAATTTAATATAGAGCGAAGCTCTAGAAGCTAAGGCTTATTTAGATTTCACCGTACTTCACAATCTTCAATATTCTTGTCCACATATTATAAAACGCAACAGTTTTTTTTTTCCATTCCGCGATATGGATACATTTGATCCGCGTTTTATCTTCTCACTTTTTTTTCTCATTTCAATTGTTGCACTTTTCCCGCCAAAGATCCGGTAGCGCTTCTTCGCGTTTTTTTTTTGCCTTCACCGCCGCCGAATCAATGCGAGAGATCCCATTGATTGCTCTAGATGGCGACGCGGTGGCTAGCACGCACACCAATAAATCATTGCGATTTGTGAATTTGAATGTGATCTTATCAAAAACGAATTGACAATGATGTTCGTCGGCCGAGGAGGAGGAGAAGAATAAGATCGTGATGAAGATGAAAAGTGCGCGACGGAAGACGCGCATGTCGCCAAAAAAAAGCATGAAAGTGTTCCGGTAGCGTCGAGAATCTCATCGGCGCGCCTAAACTCGAAGAGGCGAAGGCAGAAAAACCGAGAAGCGTCAGGTTGAATATATGTATCATCGAATGTCGCTACGATTATCAATAGTGGCATTGAGACATTCTTGATTTATTGCAATGGGGAGACACGCGATTCTTAAAAGAAGCCGAATCACGGAAAATATTTCGCGAACGCATTCCTTGCGAAACGATTTGATCTATGAGAAGGCCTAATCAAAGAGTATTGCCAAGAATTTCAATAATCCGATGAAATCAATTTTGCTATTTGCTGCTCAAAGTTTCTACAAGATTCCATGTCTTCAAATGATTCATGTTTACGTTGAAAGCAATTTTTCACATTTGAAAAAAGAAACTTGAAACTGTCACAATAAATCTGAATCGTCAAAACGTTGCCTTCCAATTCTCAATATTTCGAATTTAAAAAAAGGCAAATCCGTCATTACATAAAACGTGACGTGTGGCGAAGCAGGAATTATCTATAAAAAGGAATAATGCAGAAAGAAAAAAAGAAAAAAAATTATAAGAAAAATGATATAAGATATTTCTGATTTTTCAGCATTATCCCTTTCAGAAACAATTTTCTTTGAGCTGTGTATAATCGATAGTCCATGTTTATTCACACTCTGATCACTCATCACAATTACATGTGTTCATTGACAAAAAAATTGATGCCGCCCTTATTGGAAGAGCTGGACCACCTATCGAGTTTCGACATATCGCAACTATTTCATTGTCGCGAACGATCTTCATTAAAATTAAGGAGATCTGCGTTTCTTATCGAATCCGTCCTATTTCGGCGCGCGAGTCAAATTCGCCGCTCCCGTCTGAAGGAGGCCGTACGAAATACGATTTTATGATTCCCGGCACCGCCCGCCTACCGCTTCATTTATAAAAGCTCTCGACGTTGGCTAACAAATTAGTTCATTTTTAATAATGTTTATCTCAATATGCCATTTCTTGCGTTTCAATTCCCACATGGTTTCAGATGTCGGTGACGAAGGCGACGTCCGGAGCACTATTCTTTTCCGGTGCCACGTTGTTGGTCTCGCTATTCGCTGCGGCCTCAATTCATTCGCAAGTCACTTCGATTTGGAATGAGCTTGACAATGAGATCGACAGTTTCAAGGTAATCGAAAAACTGACCGTGCGAATAAAATCATTTCACCAATTTTTCGCAGTCGTTGACCAATGACATTTGGGGAGATATGGTGAATTTGGGCGCCGGATCAGCCGCCAATCGAATTCGTCGACAGGCTTATGGCGGTTACGGAGCTAGCGGAACTAGCGCTCCTGAGCCAGTTCCACAGGGTGACAAGGCTCCACTGCCAGTGCCAACCAATCCAGGATTCCCATTCATTCCAGGACCGGGTGGAAACAAATGCCAGGTTGCCTCTTTTTCTCTTTACCATTTTCAATCGTCAAAGTACTTTCAGTGCACCGTTGAGAACAACTGTCCAGAAGGCCCGGCGGGACCCGAAGGAGAACAGGGACCTGATGGAGAAGACGGATTAGACGGTGAGCCAGGAGTCAACGGCTTCGACGCTCCTGATGTCGAGCAACAACCATCGCAAGGTTGCTTCACATGCCCACAGGGCCTGCCAGGTGCGCCGGGACCACAAGGATTGCCAGGAATTCGCGGAATGCGCGGAGCCCGCGGACAACCTGGATATCCAGGACGCGACGGACAACCGGGTATGCCAGGTGAGATGGGACCGCCGGGACCGCCAGGAAACGATGGCGAGCCGGGAAAACCAGGAGACAAGGGAGACGACGCCGAGAAGCCCGTTGGAAGACAGGGACCACGCGGGCAGGCCGGCGAGCAGGGACCAGAAGGACCAGAAGGAACGCCAGGACGTGACGCTTATGAAGGACCAGCAGGACCTGTTGGTGAGCAAGGACCACAAGGATACCAAGGAGCCGCAGGACCTGATGGGTAATCACAAACAGATGGATGCATTTGTTAATTTAATTCTTTTAGCAATGAGGGACGCCCGGGACCAGCTGGACTCCCAGGAAAGGATGCCGAGTACTGCAAATGCCCAGCAAGAGAGGAACATTCCGGATCGAACGGATGGCGCAGAAAGCACAGAAGATTCATCTAATTTCCCAAAAAACCCTTTTTCTAATAAATCATTGAGTATTATTGCTGAAATCAACTCACGGCTCGACTTGACGCAAATCCAATGGATCAAGCTGGGCTTCAAGATAGCCATATCGGCGAAATGCGTTAATCAGATGAACTCTTTGTGCGTTATCAGCGGTGACACCGCCTAAATTAGATTTCAAATAGAGAATGAATGAATGAAAAACGAACCTGTTAAATCGACGACTCGTTTCGGAGGATCAGGCAAATGACCGAAAACTCCATGACCAGGCCTGTAGAATCGTTGACTGTCTAAATAGAGAGCAAATGAGATTTACACGTTTTATTTTATTTTTTTTTTTATTTTATCAATTTCTCTATAATTTCTTTTTTTTTACATTTATGATCCCGTCATTGTTTAGTTTATCTTATGCCTCTCTTCATACCGTGAATTCATAATTTTCAAATCAACTTGATCAGCTCGGCGATGAAGAGGTCAACGATGTTTGCTCAACAAGCAAATGAATATGGCGTACAGGGAGCGAATTCGAGCCCGATTTATACGCAGCACCAGACGCACCACCCATCATCGCCGCTACGCTAATTTACCATTTGCGCACTCGGCAACCGACCGCGGCGACACGCATCGCTGGAAATTAATGCGTTTTTCAGAATCCAATTTCCGTCATATATTTCCAGAATCTGTCATTCCATTGCGTGACGCTATTCACATCTCAGTGTGAAAAAAAAGCCTCGCCGAGAGCTGCTTAATCAAATGGCGAACGGCTTGGCGAGCCGAGAGAGACCCATTGTTTTTTGCGTCATCAATCTTCTAAAGCATCCCATTTCGACGTGCTCCACTCCTATTGATTCCACCAATATTGTATTTCTTTCATTTTCGTGATGTATTATGTTTTTTTCCTTTTTTTTTCTTTCTACACTCGTCCTCTGTAAAATCAACAAAAAAACAACAACAACACAAAAAAAAATGGCTAGCTGTTGTCGAGGCGTTTTGCATTATTTACTTTAAGGTTGACGAGTCGAGTCACACCGCCCGCCGAGAGACGAGCACCGCCGGTCGTTCTGTACAAACAATCGCAAAATAGTCCGAAGAAAGTGGAGGTGGACCAGAGAAGCTGGAAGAAACCCAGCAACCGAATGTTGTCGGAAAGCAGAGAATGTATTGTGCCAAACGAGGCGAAGACTCCCCAAACAATTGATACTATGGACAAAAATAATCATAATCGCCGTTTCGACGATAATGATGAGCTCCCGCAAGTCCGACTCTCACTAGGCGAACCGACTGGCCACAGGTAAGACATAAACGTTCACAAGTTACCCCCTCTGAAGTATATCATTTCAGAAAGAGATTCGAACCTCTGTCAGAAAGCGCGCTTAACCTCTACGCATTGATAATTGCGTAAGTTATCAGAAATCAAAATCATCATCCGCAAATATTCTACAGAGCAACTATCGGAATTCTCGGATTACTCGGTCTTGTCATCGCCGTCATTATTCTTGCTTACAAATAATCAAACATCATTCTCTCTGCATACCACCTATAGCTTGCTTAATATGGATAACAATAACGAGTAGTAATAGTAATTAATATCAGTAGTAATTGAATTTGTTACCATACAAAACATGTTTTAACCTTTGCCAAAATGTAAATATTTAATGGAATGTATATAGAAAAAATACTTTAAAGAACTTTACGAATAATGAAAAGATAACTTCAACTTTAAAATTATTAAAACACTTCAGCTGCATTCAAAATCTTTTCGATATCAAGTTATCTCTTAATTTCAACTATTGAGAAAAAATAGCATAACCGACTCGTATCCAAATGTACCTTTCATCCAAAAAAATCACCAATACTGCAGTGGAAATAAAGTTATTTTTTCGTCTATTCATGCGGTCATTGTTTATAGCTTAATATTTGCGCAACAAAACGCACAGAAGACAAAATCGTACTTCTCATTTTCCGGTATATCCAAACGGCAACCGGAGTGAGGAACGAAGAGATCAGAAAAGTTTTCTATTCTTTCTAAATGCATATCGCAAGAACTATTAATTTGGAAGCAAAATAAGTAATAGAATTTACGACTAAATTCCCAATAACTATTTTTACTAACGTGTTTGCGTTCTACTTAAAAAACTAATTTAATACGCATTTTAGGTAGTACAAAATTGTGTCGCTTTAATTACTCTAATTAATATATGCAAACATTTACTCAGGGTCCGATGAAATTAAATAGTTTGGAAAAAATGCCAACTGTTCAGTTTCTTTAAATTTCAATAGCACTTGTTCAATTAAATACTCAAATTTATACACTTTAGCTTTCATATACCACGCTCATTTCTAATAAAACAAATTTCTTATGGCCTTTCGTTGAAAAATGAGTTTCGAATTTTACTTAAACTTTTTATCAATTGTTTTTCTATTGAGTGTGAATTTCTTTCGTAATGGACAAATTTCGGAACGGAATTTGATCGCCTATGGATCAAGCTTAATCGGATTCGATTGAATTATGAGAGAAACTAACCCACCTCGTCGTATGCATCGCGATCCACTGAGAAGGGCCAACCGAAACATGTTCCACCTGTATTTAGTCATTTTATTATATGTTAGGTTGCTCTCATAATCATGTTATGCTAACCAGCGGGAAAGAAACGAGCACCGGTTTTGCAACCAATATTAATGCAGCATACATTTATACTCATAAAATTTATTGTTTCATTGAAAATTCATCAATAATAGACAAAATATGATTTATATATAAATATATAAATAAGTATTTATGGATGTTTCAAAAATTATGAAAATTTGACAATCGGCGAGCTTCCTGATAGATAGGGTCCAGCTGGAAATATAAATATATAAATCGTTATCTTAATATTTAAATTCCTTACTTGGCATTCCAACTGGTGGAATTCCTTGCGCTTTCTGCTGCATTTGTTGTAAATATTGTTGGGTTGTCATCACTCCAGAATCCGCAATTGTCGGCTGAGGCGGGACGACGCCATACGCATTCTACAAACAATTTCAATCGATCGGTTCTCGTATATGAAATCAAAAAAAAACTAAAAGATGAGGGAGACCACGTGGTCGTGAGACTAACGAATGATACCGGTGAAGGTCGCTATGAAACTGGATTCAGACAAGAAAAAAAATAATATTTACAGCGTGAATTGGTGGAGTCTGCATCGTAATCGGTGTCGCATAGGGAGCTTTTTGTATTTGTGTGACCGCATAAGGAGCCTGAAAATTGAAATATTGCGTCAAAACGGCAAGAATTGTCAATTTTTCATTTTATTCCTATCAACTTTCAATTTCGATGGCTGTGCCGATATAATAAAGCACACGCAATATGATATAATCTCGATATTGCTTTTTTCAAATTATCGCAAGTGTTTTTTTTACTGACATGACGTGATTCATATCCAGATTTCCTTGTATAAATACTATAAATTAGGTACTTCTGAAGCCCCCTCCCCCATTAAACACATGCAAACTCATTTCGTCATTGTAACAACCATCGAACTTTTATATATGTATATGAAAAACTGGGAAAGGGTTTTGTTAGTATAAAAATTTCAAAAAATGTATTTTTCTACCTTCAATGACGTTGTTCCTTGAGGAATTGCCGAATATGGAGCCGACGGTTGAATAGGAGGTGGAACGACTGATTGATACGAAACCGGCGCTGCCGACAATCTGAAAATTGACAAAATTGCAATCTGCGAACACGTTTCGACGAAAGAATGTCTGATAAATTTCGAAGTTCGGTAGTGACGGACGATTACGACGAGCGACGGTAGCGATAAAATACGACGACGAAGCAAAACGATTATCAATTCGCGATGAATCGGGCGGGAACGAATAAAATATATATTTAGAAGTTGTTGTTTAGAATGAAGAAGCTAATTGTGAGCATAAAATTATAAACAAGACCAATTTTTGTTTGCTATCAGGCAAAAATCAAAAAAGAAAAGAAAACGAATGATTTCTGAAACTCAAAAAAGAGCAGTAAAGTACGAATAAAACGAAACACTCGAAAAATAAACTATGTAAAGAAACTCTGGCACGAAGACCGTTCTTACTTGATTTTAAGGAATTTGAATTCCTCAAAAAAATGAACACCTGAACAAAATTTAGTGGAGAAAAACAAAAATGATACTGTGTGCTTCCATTATTGACGACATGCTGCACTGGTGGCACAGTTACAGCGTTGGACAACGCATAGCCAGCAGTGGAGCCATGCTGTTTCGCTTCCATTTCCTTTAAAAGTCTATCACGATAATAGACATATCGCTGGCGCGATAGCTGATATTCCTGGTACAATTGTTGAAGGTCACTGAATAGAACATGATAATCGAAAATTTTTGATTTAAGATTCTTACGGATCGAGCGGACGCGGAATTTCCGCTTCAACGTGCGACGGTGCCGGAAACGCCATTCTTTTCGGATCCTGGATTAAACGCTCCGCCGGCCGTTTTACTCCACTTGTCAAATCAATTTTGATTGTTTGAATTCTTAAAAATTCGAGAAATTGCTTTTTCAAGGATTTTTTTTCCGGGATATTTTGATTTCCTATAGATGCTTGGAATATCAAACTCACCCATCAGCAGCTTTTAAATTATTCGGATCTTGAGGGCATTGCGGTGTTCTATGATCATCTGACTGACATCTGAAACATCTGTTCGGCATTCCAGGCGTTGGCCGAAGCTTCGAAGTCGACCTTAATATTCAATTATAATTTAAAAACTGAAAAGATCTTTTGGTTCTACTTTTTGATATGAATTATTTGGCCATCTAACGAATATCCACTCAACCTTTTAATTATTGGCTCAACATCTTCTTCCTCGACGTGCTGAATAAATTAAACTAACGTCTACAAATGAAATCGACCGTAATTACCACAAATGCATAATTTTTGACGATGTCGCACTCGGTAACCTTGCAAAATGGTTGGAACACCTGTTTAAGTCGGGTTGAGTCGATGTTCTCAGGCAAATTTCCAACAAACAATTTCGATGGCATTCTGTTGTGCAAAAGAAAAGATGATTCGTGCTCACGATTTAAGTCAGATGGAAATAATCAATGGAATTTCATACCAGTGGGTTCAGAAAACAAAAATAGGATAATTTCGGCCAGATGAGTATTTATTGGATTACAGAATTTTTAATTGCGACAAAATACCAAAGACATGTTTAGCATTCTGTTAATTTTGCAAAACAAAGGAATTTCAAATAAACGGAAGAATAAATAGGGACCGACGTAAAACACGGGGTTTCATTTAGACGAAGGCTTAAGCCTGATCTGAAGTCTGATAGCGGTCCTTTTCGCGGAGCAAGAAGTTGGCGAGAAAATCTATCGGATTCTCTGGACGCTCTTTGGCGAGAGCTCCGAGAGCCTGAAGCAAAATTGGGACAACTGTCTGATCCAGGTACTGTCTCGTCGGAACCGAACTCAAGGCGCGAGCATTAGCGTTTGCCTGTGGCTGAGCTGGAGTGGCTGGAGCAGCGGGAGCCGGAGCAGCAGCTGGAGCCGGTGCAGCGGCAGCTGGAGTAGCAGCATCATTTGGGGCAACATTTTCAATATCTTGAGCTGGTTTCTGAAATTCAAAATAACGGTTATTGATAACAATTCAAGTGCTGTTTGCCTCTGGTACCGGCGGCTCAACAGCATCGTTGGTCGAAGTGTCCATGTTCTCTTCTTTCTGAAAAAAAATAATTCAAAAAACTATTAAAATTAAATAATTACCGATAGTTCGACAACTGGAGCAGCTGCGTTTGGAGTGTCAGACATAATTTCCTGGAAATGCGTTCATGAATTTGAACGAAACCGAAAAACAAAATGAGAAAAATCAATAAGTAGAAACGCGCGATAGAGTGCTGTCACGCTCATTTCGAATGTGCGAAAAAAAAATTTGCTCGTTTATGCAGTATGTAGTGGATTTATGAATGGGCTACAAATAAAATGAAAAAATAAAAGAATCGATATGGATTTGCTCACCGCACACCTAACGAGGACAAACCGCGCTACTAGAGAAAGGACGCTAGGAAATAGTGAACGCGAGGAATATTTCGAAAGTATTGTATGTAAACACCGAAACGCGCAATTACACCGGGTGCTCACCAAGTTGTGTACCATACACCATTAGAAAATAAATAAAAAGAAAGTTGGAAACGTTAAAAAAAACAAACATTTACAAAAAATGAACGGGAAAACTTATCGAGGAAACAATAGCTATTTACGAGATCAAATATACGTTTTAATTTTTAAATGATCTTCCTTGTCGTTTGGGTAAAAATATTTATTTCTTGAAGTTCACAAATTAAAATGTAATTGCACAGAAATACATATACATAAATGGTTCTTATTAAATAAATAATTTTCATCGTAAACAAACGAGTACCCTTTTTTCACAAATGTTAGCTTGTTTTGCAGGTTTTGTTTTTGCGAGTTTAAATCGAAATTTGTGAATTACAGCCACAACATGTAAAACTGTTCCGTAAACATTCAAGGGTCTCGTTTTCTTGCGACGATATTTTTAATATATAATATTACAAATGATTTGAGAACAATATAATCACGTCCTTAGCTAACTCGTCAACATAATGAAAGGGTATGGTATTCTTATTGGAATCGATCAATAAATACAAAGGCAGTTCTCCCGGCATTGAATATTCATGTTTTCGTATGATTCGACACCAATACTGTGCTACGCACAATTGGAGGTGACGTTTCAGGAATTTGAACAGGCGACAATGGGGCGAAAACTTGACTCGTCGTGATCACTGAGTGCGCTTTTGCGGTCAGTAAGGTGGTCGTCGGATGCATAGGTATTGGCATCTATAAAAAATTTGAGAATTTTATTGAAATAATTGTCAATATTGTTTTAAATCATTGAAAAACAAACGGTTATTGAGGTTGACGGTGCCAAAATTAGCGATTTCAGATGATCAGTTTCAGCTCTCAGTTGGTTGAGCTCATTTCTCAAACGCATGTTCTCACTTTCCAATGTGGCAGCACGCGAAGCCATTTCATCCTCCTTAAAGAATTATTTTTGAATTAAAGCTGAAACAAACTTGTTAACCATGTCGTAATAATGATAACTTAAACCATAAGTAATAGCAATCTCAAAATTTTCCGACGTGACATAATCAATTCCAAATCTCACCTTTTGTCTTCTCTGATCTCGACTCCGTTTTGCCGCATCATTGTTCTTTCGCCTTCTCTCCCAATAGGCTTCATCCTTGACTTGATCCTGCTAATTGGATTAAATGAAATCGTAATTAATTAGTCGCAATTCGATACCTTCTTTCTTTTCGTTTCGTTCCGAACAATCACATTATCACGGCTACTTCCACCAGTCGAGTTTGGTGAGGATGAATCATGGATGCTGTCACGAGATGAGCATGATGATTCCGCTTTATCGCTATTGTTGTTTTGTTCGAATAGACGATCGGTTGGATCATAAGGGGATGGCTGTAAAATAAAACATATAATATTTTCAATTTCGAGGATTTTTTTTAAAGAAACGTAATAGTTTCAGGGTTACCATTTTCGATTCTAATCTAGTTTTAGAATATATCATATTAGGGCATCAGAATTGATGTAATAAATCATTTTAAAGCGCTTATGAGTTCTATATATGTATGTAGGTGTTATGTGTTGCATATTGATAATAAAATCTAGTTGAGCTCATATTAATCGAGAGAGCATGATTCTGGATAAAATTAGAAAATTGGAGGATTATTGGAATATCAATTTTTTCGAAATAACCGTGCAAGAATATTTAGACAATATTCAGCATTGAATTTCAGATTATGATTTATGACTGAAAGTAAAATGAAAAAAAAAAGAGAATTTTATGATTTTATGGAGGTTGAAAAAAAAATGGAAAACAAGGTTTCAAAAAAATTCTATGCAGATTTCGGAGAAAAAATTACTTTTACCCGATTTTTAAAAAATAATTTTTCTTGAAATCTGGATTATGAAGAATCTTTGAGTGAAAATATGAGAAATTTAAGCAAAATTAAACAAAACTTACGTTGTAGGTACTTAAATGCAATAAATGAGAATTTGATAGCAGTGCCGGATGAATAACAGGCAAGTGGAATGCTGACGTGTATGGTGAGACTTCAAATGTCGACGGAATATTGGCGCCGTGCGAATAAATGCTTTTGAATGCTGATGGCTCGTGGTATGAGGTCATCTCACATCGACACTTCGATGGCGGCGGCTCAGACTCGGATTCCGATGACTGATTGATCGATGACGTTGTCGAAGACAGCGTGAAATTCAGAAAGCTCTTGTTAGCAAAACCGAGAGCGGACGGTCAAAGGAGTGAAAGGGATAAGCGAAAGTATGAATTTCGAAAACGAAAGTCCTCTCACTGACCGCCGGTTCGCTTCATGACCTAATTCCCTCATTTCACTTGCTTCCCCGTTGTTGCGCCCTAGTGAACTGGGTCATTTCAACGAAATCGCAAGCCGATTCCAAACGAATTATGCAATGATGGTTGTTGAAATGAGCGACGAAAAATGCGTGTGCGGGGGCGGATTTCGACAAAACAATACGGAAAGATGATGCCGATAGCTGGTTGACATGGCTAATTATCGGGCATTCATCAAAATTGTTCGACGTTATTTATTGACATGGGGGGAAAAGTTTCTCGAAAAGCGTAAAAGCTGCTGGCAGCAACATCATCATGAGAACAGAAATCCAGAAATCGATACAGGGTGCGTGATCCTCACTGAACATTCGCTTTCATGCAATATGTGATCGAATCGGGGGATCATTCGTTTGACTACTCTGTTTGAGGGGGGGGGGGCTTACAGGGTAAGTTCTGTGCTAAGCTCCATCCGAATTTGGACTCTCTGAAAAAATCGTTGGTCGAGGAATACGACACATTGTCGGTGGAATCCCTGCGCTCCACGGTCAACGCATTTCCGAAGCGTCATCAGAAACCACGGAGGTCGAATCGAACAACGATAATGCATTAATGTTTTTATTATAAAAATAAACTAATTATGAAATTTGAGTGCGTTTGAACAATTATTCACTGAATTACTTGATTTTTAATATAGTCTCGGTAAATTTCAGCCACCCTCTAGATTTCACTTTGAGCGCTAACATTTAATATTTTGAAATATCTCATTTAACAGTATAGAGAGAAACTATAATCATTCAAATCATTGGCAAACATTTATGTTGACAACCGGTAGAACAAATTGAGCTTCTGTAAACATTTTATACTATAAAACGTGTCTAGTTGACTGAAGCATCAGGAAAAAAAATATATGAATCATCTCGCAATTTTTGCTTTAATTCTTCCCTATCATCAGGTAAATCTTATTAAAATCTAATCAAATAATATTTTTTCGGTATCCGCATGTCATTCTGTAAAAATATTGCCATCACTCAACAGCATTCTATTCGATTTTCCGAAATTCTTCAATCCACCAGTAAAAAGATCAAATTTGTAAGTGGGAGAAAAAAAAATATAATAAAGGGGCTACTAGAATTATTCGCCGCAAGACCTTGAAGTTCAGAAGCGTTGCGATTCACGTTTAGGCAATTTCGAACGCACGCAAACCGCAACGCGTCTGACGGAATCGAATAATTACGGTAGCTGCTTTCTATTTAGGAAACTGACTATAATTTTCACATTTTGAATAAATTTTCAGAAATTCATCTAGTATCTTGTGTATGTAGATTTACGATGAGTTTGATTTGGTTATACGGTACCGATTAAAAAATTGAACTTCCACCACCGGAAAAATACGATGGTCCACAATTGTTATGTCGTTCGTGTTTTTTTTTACAAAAACCAAAATAATGTGCAATCACGCCCGTATGAACTTTTTGGGCTTTTTGGAAAATCTGAGCGGGACCAATGTGGGTGGTGTGGCGGCTTGATAGCTGATAGCTCTTCGGACCGGTGGGTCCCACTCATTTTTACCGAGTATATTGGAGAAGCCCTATTTTGTTTTGCAGAATCACGAAGGGAAAATGTGCGGGCGGCGAAATTAGCATAATCACAACGAAACCATGGAATGAGGCGAAAACTGACAACCATTTGAGGTATTTTCTACAAGAAATTGATCGATTGGAAAAATATTCGGGCATTTCGACACGAGAATTTTCACCAAGCTTCACCAAGACACCAATGTAAAATTGTCAAAATTGAACAAAAAATATTCAATGATTATTCTTCAGGAAAGCTTCCTTGAATGGCAACTCCTATTTCTCCGTAATGTTCGCCTTCAAATATCTAACATCGACGTGTGACAGAGTGCGAAAATTTGTTAGAAACGCAGTTTCATGGAGTACTGAAGTATGAGTTTTGATTTGCATAATTAAAAAAAAAACATTTTTCCCGCATTATCTCTTGACTTATAACCACCAGTTGTCCTTTCAATTTAATGCGAAAGAAAAGAGAACCATTGAAATTTATTGAGAAATGTTGCCGATGGCAGATTTTAAACAGTTGCCACGTCGTTGTCAATTGTGCGATTTTTTTTTGAGATGATCAATACGAGAAATTTCTTGTTAAACTAAAAAAAAGACATTGTCTTTCACAGAAATGAAATCATTTCAAAAAATTCTAATCGATTAGAACAAATTTTAAATGCGATCAGATATTTATGTGGGCTCATTAGTTCAAATGAGCATCTGACCAATACGACCAATTCGTAGATAACTTGCTGAATCGAATTCTACAGATGTTTTTCTGCTCTATTAGTCGACTACCGTAAATCAGTGATTTTGATTCGCAAGTTATTCGACGTACAGTACACAACTTCGCACAGTTCACAAAATTCGATGGTCCATAAACACTATTGGTGCTCTTTTTTTCAATGATTATCATAAATTTAAGTGTAGTGTAGATTTACGTGCCCGAGTATTATGACAGGTCAATTGTGCTACGTTTTGCCATTTTCCGGAATATAAAATTTAAAAAAAAAAATACTTTTAAAATTTTAAAATAGACATTTTGGGCGGCTCTCGGTTATAATAACATTAATTTCTGTTGGTTAATAGGTTTTTGTCCATTTTAATTTTGTTAAATTGGACTCATCTGGTATTAGGCCAAAATATTGATAGCGATGGGTGAAATACTGGTGGCCAGATATGAACAATGTAGTGGAAAGTACACCCCGACACAATTTCAGGCAATTTTCCATTTCTGAAACATTCGTAAAAACGAATACATTTCAATATAACAATACATAAACGTTTTGTAATACCAAAAGTATGAAAACCATCAATTTCTCTTTGTCCAATAACTATACACACTTTGTGTGTTGAGTTTGCTGTTAATACTCAAAACTGAGTCAATAAATGCGTCGATCTGATAAAAACCGCTGTTGTGGAGGGACGCACTTGGCACCGTCCCAACTGCGCCCGCATGAACTATCCCGCCTTTATCTTGATAGATTAGCCGAAAAAGGAAGTGACGCCTCTTATCTCTGCAAACCTCAAAAACCAATTGGAACGAAATATGTCCCATTTATTTTTTTGCAGAATTTTATCTTTCAGATTCAACGAGCTCGAGTTGCCTGCGAATGTGAACCTACTGTCGATTTGGTAAGGGTTTGATCAAATCAAACTCTGCTGTAATTCGATATTCGACATCAGTTGTCCAAATATTTGCTCATTTTAAATTATTATAATATATTTTATATCATTCATTTTGTATTTCGCTCCTTCATTCGCACTATTATCTTTAAACTGATAAAAGTGAAGTGCTATAATAATGTTTGATCAAGGCTTCTGCAAGATTGTTCTGGAACATTCGTTTGCATTATCCATCAAGCAGGAAAAAAACAAATTTTAAATCTATACAATTTTTATTGCTTATGGGGCGACAAAAACTATGTTTTATCGTCGCTTTTGTGATCGAAATTTAACATATTTCAGATAAAACATTTATGTTTTTATAAACGAAAAAGTTGAATATTTTTTCAAGAACTTAAATCGTTTGAATTTGATCGATTCAATGATATTAAGCGGAAAATATTTAAATCATTCATGAGTACGATAAATGTGAATATACGCAAACACCAAACTAAATGATGCACACCAATTAAAGGCAGCCCTTTTCCAAATGTTTTTTCATGAATTTTCCTTATTTGCGCATCGGTCAATGTTTTATTAGGTCAAACACACGGAGATTCAACAACCGTCTTTCGGTTTTTTTCCGCTTTCTGAGAGAAATGCGTACGTATAGCATTTTTGATCTCAATTGCGCGCAAACCCGCTAAAATCTGATGACACTCCTAGAAATGGAAATTACTATTATTTTGCTTCCTTTTGTGTGTACTTTAAGATAAGAGCCGAACCATGTTTATTAATTGCCATTTGTTTCTTGCACATGTTTCGGAAAACGCTAGTCGCTGCTCGTATATCTTCGGCCCATCTCTGCGTCTCCGTACCTTCTCGCGTTACTACATAGTCACAACTGACCCCCACGTAGCCGTTGACAAAGCCAGCGCACACATACACTCTCTCTCACACATACACACACGCTCTCGCTAGTCTCCGCCCTCTAAGAACGAGTGGCGTTCGCTGATTGGCCGAATGCTGACGTGGCCCAATCGACGAGCCACCAGCAGTGCATCTCGATTATTCCGTTTGCTGACTCAGTGCCGACGTGGTTATACACGACGAGCTCTTTCAGACCTTTATATTTCGGCTCCTTCGACTCACTCTCGCCGCACTTTATACTTCCGTGCTCGCGTGTATTTTCTTTACGCCTCTTCTAGAATGTTCTAGGCGCTAATTTACACTTTTATTTCAGCTACTTGGTGTTGTTGATCTGACAATTATGAAAACGATAGCTATCTTGTTGGCAATTGCCGCCGTCGCCGCGGCCGAAGTCTTCTTCAAGGAAGAGTTTAATGGTGAGTAGTGTTCAAGCTGAATTTTAAAACAATTGAAATTCTAGAAAAGCGGTTTTACTTCAATTAATTCATTTTCAGACGATAGCTGGGAGAAGCGATGGATCCAATCGAAACACAAGGACGACTATGGAAAATTCATCCTTTCCGCCGGAAAATTCTTCGCTGATGAGAAACGTGATCAGGGAATCAAGACCAGCCAGGATGCCAAATTCTACTCGCGCGCTGCCAAATTCCCAAAAGCCTTCAGCAACAAGGGAAAACCAGTTGTGATCCAGTACACCGTCAAGCACGAGCAAGGAATTGACTGCGGAGGTGGATACGTCAAACTTCTCCGGTCGGACGCCGATCTTGAGGACTTCCACGGTGAAACCCCGTACAACGTCATGTTCGGTCCAGATATCTGCGGAGCCACACGACGCGTCCACGTTATCTTGAGCTACAAGGGAAAGAACCATTTGATCAAGAAGGAGATCCCATGCAAGAGCGATGAACTCACCCACTTGTACACTTTGATCCTCAATCCAGACAACACCTTCGAGGTCAGAATTGACGGCGAGAAGGTTCAAGATGGAGAAATCGAGGAGCACTGGGACCTCCTTCCAGCCAAGAAGATTAAGGATCCGGATGCGAAGAAGCCAGACGACTGGGACGAGCGCGAGTTTATCGATGATGCTGAGGATAAGAAGGTAACACTATCGAACATTGGAGGCAAACTTTACATTTTTCTTTTCAGCCAGAAGATTGGGACAAGCCGGAGCACATTCCAGACCCAGATGCCAAGAAGCCAGATGATTGGGATGATGAGATGGACGGAGAATGGGAGCCACCAATGATTGACAACCCAGAATACAAGGGTGAATGGAAGCCAAAGCAGATCAAGAACCCAGAATACAAAGGAAAGTGGATCCACCCAGAAATTGAGAACCCAGAATACACTCCAGACGATGAGCTTTACCTTTATGAAGATTGGGGAGCGATCGGATTCGATTTGTGGCAGGTAACGAATTGCTAATTGAGTATCTAATTCTGAAAGTTGATATTATAGGTCAAGTCTGGAACCATCTTCGACAACGTTCTTGTCACCGACTCCGTCGACGAGGCTGAGGCTCATGCTGCCGAGACCTTCGACAAGTTGAAGGATGTCGAAAAGGAGAAGAAGGAGAAGGCTGACGAGGAAGCCAGAAAGCAAGCTGAGGAAGAGGCCAAGAAGAAGAAGGAGGAGGAAGAGGAGAAGAAGGATGAGGAGGACGATGAGGATAAGGAAGAGGGCCATGATGAATTGTAAGAAGCAGCAATTTAAAAATTAGTCTGTGTTAACACGAATTCTCTTCTTCTGTCGGGTTTTTATTATTTCTCTACTCGTTTCGTCGATAGGGTGTTATTATTATTGATTGTTTTTCCCCCAAAAAATATAATAAATATATTTATTTCCCTTTAAAATGTGTATTTCATCTTCTCGAATGTTCGCCAACAACCAAGAAGGGAAGCATGTCGGCAAAACGAGTTCGATTCGTTGATTGAATTGCAAGTCGAGATTGTTTTATTTATAGAAAAATCAGTTGGGAGTGTATTGTAATAAACATGAAAACTAAAATTACAACCGTAAATATTCACAAATCAACCGTTAAATTGAATTGAAGCTTGGGGAGATTATTGTCGACGTGCGATTTCAGAAAATTGGCTAAATGCCAAATAGTTAAGGAAAGATGCGCTTTATGCAATCCAGACCCTTTAATGCAAGCGCGTAAATCTACACCTTGTTTTTCGGCTTTTATAGTTTTTCTGGCAATGAGCCAATTTTTTAAATTCGCGCGACGTCGACTAGTTCATTCTGTTTGTTTACATCACAGGTGGGTTATGTCGGAGTTCTCGATATTTTCCGGCTCCAGGTAGGGGAGTTGCTCGCTGAAATTTCAGTAATGCCAGCAAAAAAAAAAGAAAGACGTGAACCAACCTCAAATAGCCTTGAACAAAATCGCTAAGCCAATCGGGTATAATTTGGTGATGAGATAGTAGAAACTGAAAAAAATTCCCCCACTGAATTTCTTTTTTGACAAAATTCTCACCTTGTGCAGCTCTAGAAGAATGTACTGATTCGAAAAACGATAATCAAGAGGGTTTATCAAAACCGTTGCTTTGCCTCCTTGACCGGCGCGACCAGTTCGTCCAATTCTGTGCAAAAATTACTTTCGGCAATCAAATCAAGACTGAAATCAATAATTACCTGTGCTTATAAACGTTAAAATCGGAGTTCATTTCCATGATTATAATCTGAAGCGAAAAAAAATTGCTTTTCACAATCAAAAAACATTACATGACGAAGGGAATCGACGTGAAGACCACGCGCAGCAATGTTCGTGAATACCAATCCTTGGACGATCTTCTTCTTTACGAGCTTCAAGTTTAGCCTTTGTTGACGTTTCTCGATTGAGCTGAAAAAAAGTGCAAGTATTTTCCTCAATTTATAGAAAAATACAAACTCGAGACTTAATTAACTTTCAAAAATCACGGAAATCTTTCATATTTTTCATTAATAAGAAATATTAAATATGAAAGGGTATATATGGTACGAAAGGTCATATATGCAGGTTTAGCAACAAAAAACGGTTAAAAAACCGAAAAAAAACTAAAAGTCATATGTAGATTTCGCAACAAACGAGTTTTTTTAAAGTGTTTGTTCCAAAAATCTGCATTTACATAATAAAACTTACGAGCTCAATGGTAGAAAATTGTAGCCAGCGAGTCGAAGCATCATTGTCACCATGCTCACGCATTTTTTCGTCTCGCAAAAAATTCCGATCGTTTCTTTATACGGCCCTAAACTTTGATTTAATTCTTGAATCGTTTTTCAACTCGGTCAACCTTCTTTTTTGCAGTCCGTCCGCTCCAAATCGTCATCAATGAGAGCCTTAATGTAATTCACTTTGCGGAAAAACACATGATCTGTCATAAAGCGGTCTCGTCGCGGTTCAGTTCTAATCTGAAACCCCAAATCGTTTCCATCATTAAACATTCGTCGTGTTAAAACCTCCACTATTCTCTGTGTGATGAAGCCTGGAACAATGGGAACGGAAATCGCAGACGGTGTTTTATCGCTGAAACCAAACAGACAACAACTTAACATTTCATTCGAATAATTACCGAAAGAGAATATTCTGAAGCTCGTTTAGTTTGATTCCTCCATCGCACATGTCATAAGTCGCCGAAAAGAACGTGACTTGAAGTGTTTCTTGAACATTCGGCGGCAAATTCTCGAAAATTTCTTGAACTTCACAACCAAATTTACTCTCGTCCGTCATGAGATCAGCCTCATCAATAATGAGAAGCTTTAATTTATGAAGACTGACCTGAATAGAAACGGTAATAATTGACTGTTCATAGTCGAACAATTACCGAATTAGATTCGAGAAGACTTTTCAAACATCCTATAGTTGCCACAGCCAAATCGCATTTACTCTTCATTTGAAATCGCCTACCAGCGATGTATGCATCTACGTACACATCTTCGATTAAAGTACCTAAATAATGATTTTAAGAGTTTTTTTAATAAAATTTTACTAACCCCCCCCCCCTTTATATAATGTCGTGGAGATTTTGGAGAAAAATCTCAACAACCTGATTTTTTTTTGCACAACGGTTTTATAGATTTTTTTTTTCCAAATTGTCATATTACCACGGCCTTCTCGCAAATAAGGCCTGTCTTATAACAAAATTCAACATTTTCCAGTTTTCAGGTCAAAAAAATATTTATATACGAATATTGTGGACGTCAAAAGACTGAATGGAGGCGGGAACTTCAAATTCGCGAAATCAGTGTTGATTTAAGTTACGTTGACTGAATACTAAATGCGCGTGCATTACAATACAATGAACGTAGTTTCGCGTACTTCTCGTTGCCTTGAGATACATTGGCACATAGCCAATTTTTTTTTGTAATTTCGTCCAGTCGTTTGACTCTGACAATATACCTTGTTCTTTCACATGACCATAGTTGATTCCGCAAAGCGATGACACGTAACTGTACATTTGCTCAGCAAGATTAGTAGTATTGACTAATGAAAGCACGTATGGCGAAGGAACGGCATCCGAAACTGGAGGTCTAAACATTAAATTCGTTCGCAATTAAACATTAAATTCCCCCCATACTCATCGTTTTTAATATCGAGAACTTTCTGAATCGCAGGAATCATGAACGCCGCAGTTTTTCCGATTCCGGTTGGTGCCATTACCAAAAGATTAAAGCCTTTCAAAATCACAGGAATCGCGCGAATTTGAAGCGCGTTGAAAAAATTGATGCGAAGACGAGTTTTGATGTTATTGATAAGTCGCTCGTCGAGTTGGGCATCCAGCACTTCATTTCTAAATTCCAATTATACAACACTTTCAAATATTGCGTTGATTATTACGGAAAATTCTGCAATGTTTCGTCGTCGCACTCAAATAAGATGTGTTGTTCATAGAATTCGTTTTCCTCTCGAAAATGATCTTCATTGATGTCGGGCGGCACATAATCATCGGTTTGCTTTAATCTCGCATTCCGAAAGCCTAAGAATTGTAAAAAAAAAATTTTTAATATTCTGTGCTGCTACTTTCGTATAAGCCTCTACAATTGAAATTTGCAAGATCGATGGCACCAATTGCTTCTGGTGGCTGATATTTTTGCGTGCCGCTATTTTCATCAATAAAACTGGGCGTCATCATTTCCCTAAACGGCTCATTTGTTTCTTCTTGTTTCTTCTCAGCAACTCCCCACGGCAGCACCATCTTTAAAGCAAGGATTAAACGAAAATTTGGAATTTCTAAATTTCGCTTGCAGATAATCACGGGCAGAAACCAAAAAATAGATGTAACAAAAAATATATCAGATTAATGTGAATATCATTCATTTGATGAGATCTTTCGAGAATAACAAATATTATAACATATTTTAAAAAAATTAAAAATACAAAAATATGAGCATCATGAATAGAACATTAAATTTCACTAGATTTGGACTTCCTTCGACAAAATCAAATAATCGAGTCCTTGCTCTTCATTTGGGCACGTCACATCACTTCCATAGCCATTCTTATGGAAGAAGGCTAACGATTTTGCGTTATATGCGAAAACAGTGGCCATCACTTTGTCAACGTTGGTTCTGAAACGATTTTCATTTCTAAAAATGAAAACAAGGGCAATGGATACTTTTCAGCTAACGCTTCGAGAGTTCTAATTAACATGCTTCCAATACCCTTTTGCTGGTATTCTGGAACAACTTGAATTTCGTAGCTGTAAAATGGTTTCTCTCATTTGATGATTATCCTATTTCGTCTTACCAGTACAACGCTGGAATCTTGTGATCAACGACAAATCGATAGTGAGTGTATCCAACTTTTTCGCCTTTCGAGTTGATCGCGATGATGAATCTCGCTGTAGTTGCGCGAAGTTCGTTCCGTTTCGAGTTCTCGTCCCATCCCCATTGAGAAATTGCGTACATTTCGTACATGTTGTCCTTAAACAGTGAGAAGACCCATTCAAAAACCTCGTCGTCAAGATGGGTTGCCCATGCATACTGAAATGTGATTTCTTCCCTAAAATTATTTGTATAATTAAAATTCAAACAAAAGATCATACCCATCCGTAGTAGTTCTCTCATCTGTGAGACAATTGAACTTTTCAACCGGGTTTATGTGCTGCGATGCCTTTTTAATGATCTTTTTCGCTTTATCACTCATCTGAAACTGTTAAAGTTGTATAAAAATATATATCGAAACTATCAGAGGTGCGTGATAAAGAACTCACTATTAACAATTCGAATTTTGGGAGAAATAACGGCGGAAAAAAATGTGGTTTCCCACAAAAGTGAAATTTGCGCGTTTCGCTGAAAACCTCGAAAAATGCCTGCATTTTACCCGAGGAGTTTGCCGAAATATTTCAATAAAAATTTTAAAAGGCGATCAAAACACAATAAATTACAATCACCGATAGAAATCAACGAATCAAAAGTCATCATATCAAAAACTTCCGATAATTTGAAACGAGGGCAGCAATCGTGGACCATTGAACACAGCGCGAGTTTCAAATTCAAATGTTCACTGGATTTGTCACATATGTGATAAAGGCGTTCTTTGTCTCCTCCTGGCGTCCCTTTTCATTATATTGCCATTTGGTTGACCTGATCGGTCGTCTCCTCTCGTTATTCTCTTATTTTCATTTGCATCAATCTCAAAATATTTTGTCGCGTTTACTTGTTTTTAATTTTCAAAATTCATCTGTTTCACGAATCATTTTTTAAATTATTTATTGCAGATCATGACCGACGTTGTGGTTCATTCAGCTCCAGGCCCTAGCTCAAAAAGTGTGCTTAAGCCAGAAACAATTTCTCAGCAGCCAGTATGCTCATATGAAGTTGTTCAAACACTCGGGGAAGGCGCTTTTGGCGAAGTTCTACTAATCACTGACCGTACCAATCCAAATTGTGCACTTGCGATGAAGAAAATGTCCGTTAGTGATGGAGATCAAGACAAAATCAAGCAAATTAGAAAGGAAGGTCTTCTTCAAAAAATGTTGTCTAGAGTTGGGCATGATAATGTGATTCGATTGATTGGAATAAAGTGCGAGTCTGATTATTACTATTTGTTCCTTGAGTATGCAGATTGCGGAGAGTTGTTTGATAAAATCGGTAATCATCATTTATTTTTTTCTTCTTATCTCAATTTTTAATTTTGTAGAACCCGATGTTGGTATGACTCCGGCGAGAGCTCAATTCTATTTCCGCCAACTAATTTCCGGGCTCAAGTACATTCACAGCTATGGAATTGTTCACCGCGACATCAAACCAGAAAATTTGCTTCTGACCTCATCACGTAAGGGTATCGCGTCAATCAGTTGTTAGTGAATTCGCACATTTTTAGAGGTGCTAAAAATCTCCGACTTTGGTATGGCAACCGTATTTCGTCACAATGGTGTTGAAAGGGACCTTGACATGAGTTGCGGAACATTGCCATATGCGGCACCCGAAATATTGTTTGGGAGAAAATACAAGTAACACATTGGCTAGGTGCTAATCTCCAACCTAATCTAACTACTTCAGAGGAGAGCCTGTAGATGTATGGTCCGCGGGAGTTGTGCTCATTACAATGCTTACCGGTGAACTACCATGGGAAAAGGCTGACGAGTTAGTGTTTTTTTTTAATTCGACATTTTATAAGAATTTTTTCAGTTCATCTGCACCATATTTAAATTGGATTTCAAACACGAATCTTGATGAAAATCCATGGAGAAAGATTGATGTCCGAGGATTATGTAAGTTCATCCCCTACACATGTGTGTCACATGACCCAAAAACTGTTCGCACTAGAGCGCACTAGCTTTCGTCATATATCCAATTTATTATTTTAGCATTGATACGAATCATAGTGACGAACAATGTGGCAAATCGCGCAACACTTGATCGGATTCAAAGACATCCCTGGTTTACGCACAACTATGGTATTTACTCGCCACAAGGTTTCTTTTAAATTTAAGACATTTTATTTGTAGGAGTTTCAGAATATAATGAGAATCCCGCCAAACGAAGAAAAATCGAGAAATTCGACAATATGTATGTTTAAAATAGTTTTTTTTTTCGTATTTTTCGTATTTTTGTTTTTTATATTTTCTTTTGGTAATCACATAACCGGCTTTATGCTGGCAACCAACTGTTTTAGACCGAACACCCAAGTGCAGACTGTTTCCGTAGCTAATAATTGTATGGACGAAAATAATTCGTCAAATCGTGCACATTGTGAGAAAGAGGCTCTATCAAAAAAAGTTTCATCGTTCTCACAGCCTGCTAATATGGACGATCTGATTTTGTCTCAACGTATTGATATGTCGCAGGGATCATCGGTAATTGCCTAAATTACGGTTTTAGAACATTTTTCTGACGCAAACTTTTTCTTAGAACCCTCTAAAGCGTATGGTTTGTCGCATGACGCGCTTCTGTGTGAATGTTGATGCGGCTAGCGCGATTGCGCGCGTTAGCACCGAATGCGAATGTGCCGATTTCTCGGTTCTTCAAACCACCGCGGCTCAGGTAAATTAAAATTTTGGGGGCGCAGAATGGGGAGATTAGGGGGGTTTCAGCTACTTGTTTCGACTCCGCGTGCAACGATGATGGTCAATGTTTATACAATGATTGCTAATCCAAAAATAAAGCCTGCGGTTATGATAGACTTCAGAAGGTAATGGTTTACGATGTGTTGGTTGTCTCTTTTTTTCTAATTTTTCTTAATATTTTTTAATTCGTCGAAGCTGTGAAATTCGCTCCATCATGAAAGCACTCTTGAGTCTCGAATAGAAAAAGGTGATGTTTTGTGTTTTATGAAAAAGCTTGAATTTTACAGGTTTTTTACGAAATTTAACTGTCCTTTCAAATTCACCGAGAGACCCAAAAATGCAAGCGACGGGAAAAGTTTCACAGTTCGATGTTTTAATTGCATCTAAGCTTAATAGTCAAACAATTTGGCATTGTGATTTTTTTGTTAGGTCTCGTGGCGATGGAATTGAGTTTAAGCGTATGTTCATCGAAGTTCGCAATCGGATGCAGAACTTGATTTGCTCTATTGGAAATGATTGGCTGGAGAATTTGGGTCTTACACCACCCTCGCAGGTAGCAAAAATGGTTTTCAAGTAAATTCCAATTAATTTGATTCAGGAGAGGGATGAGAACGCTTCTTCACAAGGTGTGATGAGAATGGAAAGCGATGCCAACTAAAAGACTCCAACTGTGCAGATTTAACAAATGACTAACTCAGAGTTGCACCGAAAAAAAAACTATTATTGCATTGGACTTTGTAAATGATTGGTGATCTCTTACGTTTTTTTTTTGATAAATATTCCACACTGTAATTTTTTTTGAATAATAAAGTTTATGCCTTTACAAATACTTTATGAAGACTTAAAAAGAAGTTATAGATGTTTTTATTGAAGAAATGACAAAAATTGGAGCGGCTTTAATTGATTTGAGTGGCACACTTCATATTGAAGATTTGGCTATTCCTGGAGCTGCTGCTGCTCTGGAGCTTCTACGCAAGCATGTCGAAGTGAAATTTGTGACAAATACGACTAAGGTTTCTTCCTTATAGAATAATGCAAAAAAAGCAGAAAACGAGGTTAATTTCAATGCAGTAAAATATAAATTTTTTTCTGAATTGACCCTTAAAAAAAGGTCGTCTTGTGATGTTAAGGAATCTTCTCGAAAACTTCACGATCGTCTCGTGAAATGTGGCTTCAGAATTGATCGGTCCGAAATATTTACGAGTTTGATCGCTGCGCGCCATTTCATTCAAAATCACAATTACCGCCCGTTTTTTATTGTGGACGATGAGGCGATGGAAGAATTCGAAGGTGTTTTTTTCCATCATGTTGCAAAATTCAAAAGTTTTCCGATTGAAGGTATCGAGACGAATGATCCGAACGCGGTTGTGATTGGATTGGCTCCCAGAAAATTTAACAATGACACAATGAATACCGCATTTCGGCTTATAAAAGAAAGTAAGATTTTTTTCCAAAGAGATTTTAAGAATTTTTTTGGAAACCAAAAACCTATTCGTGAAAGTTTCGAATCAGATTCAACAATTTTTCAAGTTTATCCTCGGCATTTCGTGTTAGGTCTAGTTGATTCTAAAGCCGATTTTTGTTAAATCCGACGTGAAATAGATCTCACTGTGCTGCTTGATATAATTTAATATAACTCTAATCAAAAAATTTTTATTAAATAAATTGGGTTTTTAATGATATATTTTTTTAAGAAAATGCCGCGTTAGTCGCCATTCATAAGGGTAGATACTATCAGAAGAAAGACGGCATTCATATTGGACCAGGAGCTTACGTGGCTGGTCTCGAATATTCTACAGGAACCATGGTAGCATTTTAAATTTTCAAATGTTTGCCATACTAAAAAAAAATTATCTCAGGCCGAAGTGATTGGAAAACCCAACGCGCTATTTTTCCAACTGGCTCTCGAATCTGTTCAAAAGAGCGCCGACGTTAAACTGGATTGCTCGAATGTTGTGATGATTGGTGACGATGTTAAAGATGACGTCGGCGGAGCATTGAACGCTGGAATGAGAGGAATTTTAGTGAAAACAGGAAAATATCGGACAGGTTTATAACGTGATCAGCTAAACAATTTTTCAAATCAATGTGCTTTTTATTAGGTGATGAAGATGTGATCAACGAAGAGAATAGGAATGTCGCCGATTCGTTTGTTGAAGCTGTTCAGATGATTATCGACGACAATGTCCTCTAGATTTCATAATAATCAATAGTCTTCCGATTTTTTTACACTTTGCGAAATCGGCCTCATAAATCATTCAGGTCAACATTTGTTTGAAAAACAATTTTCATCGATTTGTTTTCATTCCGCATTGCTTTCAACGATGTTTTCACAACTTTTACTTGCAATTTTTCTTATTAGCGTTGTCCACTGCAATCAAGATTGTAGTTTAGAAGACACCAGCGCTTATCAAGTTTGTCAAGTGGTGAGAATTTAGCAGAAATTTTTTTGTGATGATATTAAATTGAAAAATATTTGTCAGAAGAAGAAGGTTCTTGACGAGTTTGTAAAGAATGGCTATTTGGAATTGGAGAAGACGTTTGTTGTTAAGGAGGCTGGAAGATTATGCAATGATTTTGTGGTAATAAATAAGTTTAAAAATTCTTGTACATATTTCATACTATTCAGAAATTCTACGGAAATATTCAATGCAATTCTTATAAATCCGAATTGGCTGGAACCAATAAGCAATGCGGTGAATTTATTGAGCTTGCGAAACATTGGGATTCTTGCATGACACAATTGAAGCGCTCTAGAGCGAAATGTACCATGCCTTTCTTGTCTAGTCCACTGCAACTGCGCTAACAGACGAAAAATAGTTAAAAAATAGTTGAAAAATAGTGCAGACTTTGGATGAAAGAGGGATCTGTAACAGATCTATTTTCAAGTCTATTTTTCATCAGCGCTTCATCTATTTCTCAGCCATTCTCTATCTATTTAGCATCTTGGATTCATCTATTTTTCATCCATTTTATGTCTTGTCTCTGTCCCTCGTTCTTGCATTTTTCATCAGTTTTCTATCTATTTCTCATCCATGATTCATCCTTTTTTTAACCCATTTTTGTCTACTTCTTGTCTCTTATTCATCTATTTTGCGTCTATTTTTCTTCTGGATGGTTTTTATGAAAAAACAACAGTAAACGGAAAACAACAAAATAAAAAAAAAAGAAAAATACAATAAATTGTTTAACATTAGAAATATCAAATTTCAATTAAATAGAAAAATGCTGATTGAAATATTCAGCGGCATCGGGCTTCAGTTTTTTGAGTTGGTGCTCTTTTCCAATTTTGATAGCCAAACTATGCGCCATAACTTTGCTAGCGTGGTGAGATCCTTTCTGATCGTTATAATTTGAACGAAGGCGATCGCTAAAAGTACATGGTGTTATTTAGTGAAACATTCGCATAACTACATGAAAGTAATCGCAGACTCTTTGATTTGCACAGCAACTGAAGTAGCTTGATCCGTCGTTGGAGCAATATCTAATCCAATGAACAATGCTTCTTAATTTTTTTTAACATTGTTCACATATGTATGTATTATCAGAATTACCAGATATCATTTGATTAACAGCAGAATCCATGTGGAGATATTCCAGACGAGCACCAGGCGTTCCTAACAAGGTATAAGCTATCAGGTAGTTATCCTTATCGTAAATCTGCAAAATATATATGAGCTCTATCTAAGACAACTTTAAACCTCGGCAAATACATGACGCACCAGTTTTGATGCCGATGTCAGAAGGTTTTGACCAATACTTCCGACAAATTTTGAGCAGATTTCTGCGATATCGACAACTACACCCGACGGCAGTGTGTATTTACAGTGTTGGTGATTCAATAAGCAGCCTTGGAATAGGTAGATGGTCTCATCGATATCAACTTTATTCTGAAAAAGTTCACTGCACATATCATTATGCATTCAATACCTTTTTCCAGATGCGCGTTCGATATTCGTCTAGTCTATTAAACTGAAAAAAAAAACTGTATAGTCCATTGTCCGAGCAGATTAAAATTTTCATACCATAATGGCCATCCCGCACATACTCATCCACATTTCTTTCACGCCCTCATCATTCTCTGCTTCGGCTTTTCTTGCAAAAACGTCCACGTCAATTCCATTTGTTGCGTTTTTTACAAAGTTATTTACTGAACTCTGGAATGAATTTATCTTTAACAGCAAATCTATGTTCATTAATTGTTACCTTGACTTCATCGTAAGATTTCGCTATGTCGCCACCAGAGAAAATTACACGGCGTGCAAGCTGTGATGCGTTGAGGTATCCATCTTTAACCAGCGGCTCATTCGACTTCTAAATTGAATGAAACATTAAAGATATTGGTTGTATGGCAAGGTGTTCCGAGTGCGACGAAATAGTAGACGCAGACACCTATACACTCTCACTAATGCATAGGCGAGTTTTCCTTTGCATCTCTGCGCCTCCATCTCACTATGAGAGGGAGGCCCAGCCCCTTTTTTTGGGAGTTGGTACGCTTGCCGCTTTACAGGCCGGATGCCTCCGGGCACCGGCCCATCTACATTTATTCACAATAAACCATATTTAATCACACTGTGGATATCTGGTCAGCTAGTCAGGGCATTGACAGGTTAACGGTACTCTCCCGTATGGCGCCGGGAGAGGATGCGTTACACGAGGCAAATAAAAGTGAAATTAAGAATTTACCTTGTTTGTGCGGACATGGGTAACTATATCCAAAGGATCGCGCTCCGTGGTTGGCTTATTCCGATGCAATGCATTTGATGATGTTTCGTAATACTGTAAGAAAGACGCCAGAACAATATTAGTAAAAGAATAAAACAAAATTACATCATAGTATTTATGAGGAAGATGTGACCTCCGGTGGCTTCTTCTCTGAAAATAATACAATATATGTAATTTTGAAGCTTGTTTTTATTTTTCCTATGTCTGTGATTACTGTTGTTGTCCGTGTTCATAATTTTGTGTATGGCATAATTATTTAATTATGCATATTTTAACCCCTTCCAGAAATATTTCAACATGTGACCCACGAGTAAAATCAAAGTAAAACATACTAAGAATACGTCCTCAGCCTTATTTGTCGATTCCATATCCTCAATTAGCGTACTTCCTTCTTCTTCTTCTTCTTCTTCTTCTTCATATAATTGTTCTATAAGTACAAAAATAGCTTTAAAAATACACGAGTGTCGTTAATTTTTTTTCTGAGTGAAACTAATTGCTTATCGTCGAGAATATTTGAAAAAAACAAGTGTAAATAAAATGTTGTACCGTTGAAATGTTCTCGTGGCTGCAGGTATTCAAATTTTTTCATCTTCGACAATGGTGAAGCTCTTGGTTCATGTTCTGCCATGCTGTTCCTAAATTTACATTATCCGATTTAAATTACTGTTTAAAATGTATTGTTCAAATAGGTTACAAACCAATTTAACGTGAGAAAATTGATGAATTCAACGACATGATAAACGATTTATATATTTTTTGACATATATTTAAAGAGACAAGGAGTGAAAAAAATAGTAAGCCTTTATGCATGATATCCGCATCCTGTAGAAACGCACATTGCGATGTACCCATTCGATATTTCGATCAAACAACCTATACCAACAATTTCATCCAGACCGATAAAAACCTCCTCCGTTGAGAACTTCCCGTTGCATAAGAATGAGTACTTCCTGCAGAAAAATAAAATCGATAGAATACAGTTTTAGAGAGTAGTTTTCTCACCGCACAATCTCATACAATTTTCGATATTTCAAGTTCCTTAACCACGTGAAACTGTTGTATTCTTCTTCAAACTTCTGGACGCAACACATCCATCTTTCGGCTTCTTTGAAAACATAGATAAATCTAAAAATAACGTCATAAAAATATATGAACGATCTTTGCTCACCTGCAGACTCTCATTGAAGAATTTTTGGTGAACAATATATCTTTCTTTGTGTGGATTCCACAATGTTTTGACCGAATGATTCCAAAATTCAAGTGGTACGCTCCAAACGTGTTTTCTCCGTTTGGTCCCATAATATCTAAAGGTTTCGAAGCTCCAGAGAATGGAGTTTGCAATGATGGCGCATATTTACAAAAGTTGTTCAATAACGCCGATGGGCTTTGTGACAATCTTCGTTTAATCTCTCGTTCGAGGTTCACTCGCATAACATATCTGTAATATTCATTCGTGTTTTTTTAAATATATTTTAATACCTATGAAGTACAATTCCAGGAAAATTGTTTGTAATATGGGTACAAAAATCCCGAATTAGAAATTTGTACATTGCTTCAAATGACGCAGTAGATAAGCACGCAACGTTTCCAAACATCTTGACGTTGTCAACGTAGTGGTAAATGAATTCCTATATATGAAACCATGATTGCGTTGTTCAAATATTTTGGACATACATGCAGTTTGATTGTGAAGTACGTTGGAGAGTTATCCAAAAAACATTTTTTTGCAACGTCACACAAGTCAAAAGTATCCCTATGGTTCAACATTCCATTCGTGCACATATTATTGAAAATAAGACCTAAAGCAATAATTGCACATCGTCCATCTGAGGGTAAACTTGAATTGCAGATAGCAAACAAGAAAATTTGAAGTCTGAATAACTATAAGAAAAATCTAAAACATTATATCTGAAACATACATCTAGTTTTTGCCTTCCGTTAGTGAGCAATCGAGTCAAATCGGCTCCTTCAATTGGCAATTGTAGATGTTTGTCGAAGTTTTCGAGCATGGTTTCATCGCATTCGAACATTGCAGATTTTTTCTTTGAACATCTAAACTTTTTAGGCATGAGCTCTGGAATTTCTGCCGTTTTTTTGGTCACACTTAATTTTGATACCTTTTAGTATCAACATTACAATTCCATCTGAACAAGTGTGAAGAACATCCAAGATTGTATTGTACGGCTTGACATATTGCACCATTTTCGCCGCAACAGGACCAAATCCATTAACACCGCGAATACTATCTTCTAGAGTCTTATCCCCAAATCTGTCCAATCGTCGATCTTAAATCAATATAAGCGATGAATAAGAGGGTTTAAAATTATTATTGATTATTACCGTTTCCAAGTAGTGGTTTGTGCAGAGTTCCGTGAGAGTCGCAATAAAAACAAGCTTGTGGACTTGAAAAACCGCTCATTCCAAGAATTTTTCTTTTTGCCTTAAACTGAAATCTATAGAAATTTTTAT